CCCGTTGTTTTCTATTTGAAAGGTAACTATCTATCCATTTCAAGAGTTGGCCAGAAATCCCATGCATTTGTAATTTGAAAATAAGACCACGGTGCCAAACTTTGTCGAATGCCTTGGAGATATCTAGGAAGACAAGAAGAATTTCTTTTTGATCATCTAAACCGTTATAGATTTTGTTCACTAAGTTCACTAACTGATTCACAGCTGAGTCAAGTGGTTTGAAACCAGAGTTTTTGGGAGTCAGTATGTTGTTTATTAAGCAAAATCTATAAATAACATTAAAAACAAGACGCTCAAAGACTTTGGAAATGCAAGAAAGTAATGAAATTGGCCTGTAATTTCCCTTGATTTGTCTATCATCTTTTTTGAAAATCGGCGAAACATTTGCTTCTTTCCAGGTTGAAGGAAATATTCCAGTTAAAAGAGAATGGTTGAAAATACCGCATAAGGATGGTGCAAGTCCTAATGCACATTCTTTTAAAAGTTTATTTGAGACATTATCTGGACCATTTGATTTAGATATATTGAGAGAAGAAAGGACTTTAAATACTTCATGCTCTTCAAATTGAATTAGGTCAAGTCTTGCATTAGTAATATATGTCAAGTTTGGAAGAGGCGGATCATTTTGATTAAGTGGTAAGATAGTTTGGTCGGCGAAGTAGTTATTCAAAATGTTTGCCTTGGCTTTAGTGTCAGTAATTATGATATCATCATTTTCGATGAGAGGAGGTATACCCCTTGAAACTTTTGAGCCATATAAATTTTTCAAAATATTAAAGTATAATTTAGGTGAGGTTTGATTGTCGGATAATTTTGTTTTGAGTGAATTAGTATGGTCAATTTTTGCTTGGATGATTGCGTGTTTCACTTCGGTTCGTTTTCTACAAAATTTCTCATGATCATTTAAATTGTTAGATATTTTGAATTTATAATGAAGAGAATTCCTCTGTTTAATGAGACTTTTTATTTGTTTAGTCATCCAAGGTTTGTCCCTGTTAGAAACTGTAATGATATTTCTGTGAACATACAAATTCACACAGGACCAAAATAGCAAGTACCAATCTCGAAGAATGTCATCAATGTTAATGTTGTGAAAATAAATTACCTCCCATGGTAAGGAGAGAAGATGGTCGCCTAAAAGCACAAAGTTTGTGTTTTTGTAGTCAAATATTGTTCGTTTATATGTAAGTTTGGCTTCACGCTTAAAATTGAGTGTGCCAAAAATGAAGCAGTGGTCAAGGTTTGCAAGTGGTTAAGGTTCACACTTATCATTAAACCAATAACTCAGATATATGGCGTCGCACACCCATCATGACAATCGCATCATTTCTTCTCAGCCCTGAGATGAATACATATTTCAGGTGAAACAGAAACATGCTATGAGTATCAGAATGTCGCACACCAACCACCTGTTGAAATTAAAGCAGGCCAATTTAAAGGGGCAACAAGGCCTGTAGAGAGAAAATAGGAATATATTAGAAAATATTTACTGAAAAAAATCGTATTGTCCCGCCCAATCCTGCTCACGAAAATCGTATTCACATATTATTTAGGATGATTGTTTAATAATCCCGCTCATGAAAATGTTTGCCAAACAAAGTTTCCTATCGTTCAGTTGGGTCGATATAGCGTGCTATGATGATGTTCTTATGCAAGAAACAGTTTAACAAAACTGAAAATAAAGATTTTGAAACGTAAGAAGTATGAAGATTGTAAGCCTATCAAACATAGGCGAATTGTGATCTCATCATAATGATGTGGCACGGACAGCCTACGCAAGGGCTTATTTAATACCCGGGGCTTAGTTGTGTACCAAACGAAACGAGAAACGACACGACATCCGGGGCTTTGTTTGGTCTTCATTTGACAATCAGAGGGGGAATAACACCAGAGTTCAAAGATGACATACGCTTATAATGTAAACCTGTATTGACTTTATGTCCAAAGGGGGGTAAGAAACATCGTCAGAATAAATTTCAAGTTCTCACACCCCTATCATGTTAATTGGCTAATTCAAATCGGATGCGGTAAAAAACTGAACGCCAATTTGCGAACGTCCCGGGTATTACGTTCGCCCTTTGTGTTACGCGGTATATGGCGTACATTCATGGTTGCGCGGTATTTGTGATACGGGTGAATATGCCATACTCACCTGCGGTATATGGCATATTCTGCAGGCGAATATGCGATATTCCGCAGTGAATATGCGATACATTGATTTCAGTGAATACCCGATACTCACCTGCGGAATATGTCATACTCACTTGCGGAATATGCCATATACCGCAGGTGAATATGACATATACCGCAGGTGAAAACGTGATACAGAAAGCCTTGATTTGATTGGTTGCGAGAATCGACTCTAAATGTAAAACTACGCTGGATTACCAATATAGTTAGTGCTTCGAGTACTAATATATGAATCCTGGTTTGATTGAGAACGTTGATTACGCGAGATTGGTGACTGATACTTCTGCTAAGTTAATATATTCGATACACAGTACTGTTGATTCAGTAATCATTATGATAATTTATAACGTTTTACTTGTTCGTTCAATCGATGTAATTGACAATTTAATTGCGTAATTCTGTATCGCGTTCTCATTGGTTAGTGTGTATACCATATACCGCAGGTGAATCTGCCATACACCGCAAGTGAATATGCCATATTCGTTGCGGAATATGACATATTTTTGTATCGTGTTTACCGCGTAACTCCCCTGGTCTACGTTATACAAATCTGCCGAGCAATACGCATTTTTTATGTTGGTGGGTTTATGTTATACGATAATTTTTTTATTTCAAATTGTCATAAAATTAAGTCATATTTTGTAGACTTAATAGGCTATACATAGTCTGGTTTTGCCTCATAAAAAATCACTGATTTTGAACTAATGATTTTATGAGAAAGTCATGAATATCATGGGATAAAAAGCTTTCCCTCTGGCCCTCGGGAAATATCATATTGTGTCCCTCGGAGTAAAACCCATTCTACTTAAAACTTAAACTTATTGAATCCCTCCCAGTAAATAACCTCTATATATGGGATACGTTACATAGTTAAAGCTCACGCCTATCTAAGAATTTAAGAAAAAACTTACATGTAGGGCCCTAATGGAGGAAATTTAATAAATGATGACACTACATGCAAGTAGCGCATTTAGGAGAGACTCATGTTTTTTGTTCGATAGGACAGGATCATATTCAGGACTATATTTCTACATGTATATATTGGATAAGGCGAACGTTTGACCTTGACTTTGGCCAAGAGTATAGCCGATTGGTCCAAAAAGTGACATTGCATGCATTGTTATGCAATCCCTTCTTGAACATTGCTCCATTCTGACGTAGCAAGTCAGAGATGAGATGGATGACTATCACAATGAAGAAGTAAACAACGAAAAATCTAACAGCTGATTGGAAGAACATACAAGCAATGTGTTACTCCGACTGATCTAGTTGCATCCCATTTCAGTAAAAGTATGAGTTTTATCTAAGTTTTATTGACCACCATGGCATATTATTGGCCTTTTATGACATAGTATAATTACAGCGTCCCTGGATTGTGGAGCTCTCAAATACGACCTAGTTGCATGTAACAGTTCTTGAATCACGATGGATTCATGTCAGAATATTTCAAAAAGAGATGACAGGTAGTCTGAAAGATTGGTTCCCATACCAAAAATATAGGAAACAAGTTATGTTGCCGCATGTGACCGAGGTATCCGCAATTGCTGTTTGCGATTGTTCAAAAATTCAACAAAAATTAACGTAAGAATGTTTATTGTAGCGATCAAATCTTGATAATGGCTGATCCACCTTCAGTGGTAGTCATTTGCCCGCAAGGGTCCACACTTAGCGTCCCATAATCCAATCGGTGATGTTATTATCTCCAGCGGTTAGAATATAATAAAAAGCACTTCAACACTATTAAAGAAAATGAAATCATCATTGGAATGTGTTTGCCTGTCTGGATATTTGTCCTGGGATGGCCCTGCCCTGTCTAGCATCGAACGCTCTCACCTCTCACTTGGGATCGGAACAATTTGCTCGGAACTCGTAAACAACTTGATAATCGATACCATTAAACCAACAGCTAATTCCCATAAAAAATACACTCCCATTTCTGATTCTGGTGGTTTACGTAAATAATCTCCACTCGCGTCGCAGATAAAACTGACAAGGTGGCAGATGAAATTCACGTGTCAGAGAAAACATTCAGGTTATTATAACGATGACGTCACTCGTTGTTGCTACCTGTTATGGAAAGGTGTGTTTAGTTTGAGGGGGTAGAAACATTCTTATTTGACAGACTTGCCTTTGGTTTGGCCTCATCTCATGAGATATTTCAACTAAAATGGAATCTGTGTCTTGAAGGATTGATGTTTTATCCCGGGACGGCTACTTGTTGATTTTCAACGATATTGGTATCGTATTAATCACGCCCGGTGATCGTACAAAATGGATGGAGGGGGGGGGATTAGGCGATTTCTGCAAGAAAACTCAACAAATTGGGAAGAAATTTTACAACTGAATTGCCAAATGAATAGGCGCAGTGCATAGCAAAATATGTTAGGCCATCTAGTATTTTTTTGAACTGATACCCTTCTAAAATATGAGATCTATTAAAAAAGGCGCATCATCACCAACGTGCAAAAGTCAATGTTTTAACTATAAATCGGGCAACAATGGTCTACACGACCTGTTATGAATAGGTATAAGGGACGTTATTATCACAATACTAATGACATTGCTCACTTTTTAAAGTTAGTTTCCATGCATATACAAAAAAATCGATTTATAAATTAATATTGGATGGAGGGGGATAGGATGGAGGGGGGATAACGTGTATATAAGACATGATAAGACATGCTACTTGAATTTATTCTTATTACTCCAAATTTTCCCATTTTGCATTCTCCAGAGATATAATATCCAGTTTCTTATATGAATTCCATTTGATTTTTTATATTTTCTATTGGTTTTTGCTTATTTTTCAGATCCAAGGAATTGAGGTTGTTTACGATTCAAGCAGACATATTGCGACAATTGGGGCGTCGGCGTCCCCCGACAATCAACACAACAGTATTTTCCCCACAAGAGAAAAGAACTATGATCAATATCTATAACCTGTATAAACAGAAGGACGAAGTAACCCGGTCACTGTATGATGGAACAAGACCCATCAAAAAGATACACGCTTATTTACCTGGATGTAAGTTTATTATGTAGCATAGGCCGAGTGCACCGTGATACAACCCATAGTTTATTGTGATAGTCCTATTAATAGAGAGGCATTATCATAATCATCAGACAACAATTAGAATTTACGATAGCGAACTGCTGGGAAACAAACAAGGTGACCCAAGTTCAGTCTGTTCCCTAACCTCCCGCCAGAACTATTACCGCACTTTACCCGTTCCAATGTTTCGACTGATTTTGGTTCTCTAAAATAAAGGCTCATCTACATATAATGTCTTAGACTCTGACAACACTGGCGGATCCAGTGGGGGGGGGGGCGGCATAACTTGGCATTTTGGGCAGTTAGACCAAATTATTAAACATGGGCCTTAAAGAGGCACTATACCATAGGCTAGCATAATCAAGACCCCTCAGGACCTTTTTGCATATTGGGTTTCACCACATATTCACCCATCTACTTACCAAAGAAGAAGTCTCAAATCACCGCTTTCAGTGTTAATTTTGCGATTGTGCTGGCTGATCTAATTGTTTCACGGAAATTAATTCAATCTGAAGTTTAAATATACCGGGAAAATCCCCCTGTTATCTGATTGGTCGTTGAATTTGTTTATCATGAACCTGATTGGCTGCTTGTTTCAAGGCGCGTGTAGGCGCATGTATGACTCAACGGGGATTCCCCTAGCTAGCCGAGGAATCGATTGTGTTTAACTCTGGAGGTTGGTTGTTCTGTTGATTATTTCAATATTTCGGCAATAATATACTCATAAGTTACTCTCAAGATATATCCATGGTATGTGAGATATCATATGAGCAATAACGAAGGGACATCATTGATTGTCTGGGCGAGAAAGCTATGGTATAATGCATCTTTAAATTTTCAAAATTTAGGCCCTATTTTGAGATTTAGGGGCCCAAATTTTTCCTGACTTGAAATGACATTTAAAAAGCATGTATAAAAATATATGACGGGTGAATTGCATACCCTTTGTTACTTTAGAGGTGATGTAGTCTATGTTTCTGCATTTTTTATATTAATTCCACTGTGATGTGTTATGGCTTATGTGTTCTTTGGATGAAGAATCTGAATCTAAAATAGTGAAAGTTCTGAAAAACATTTTTCATAGGTATCCCAACATTGAACCATATTCTGGAGAACCGACTGCTTTTTCTGAATAGTTTGGCATACTTACAAATTCCATAAAGGTCAATTTGAGGAAGTTGTGCATTGAAACAGTCCAGAAAGTGTGGGCTTATATTCATGGAAATACATGTGCACAAACGCACGCAATACTGAGGCCACTTGCTAATATCTGTGTAACTTTCCAAAAGAGGAAAGTCTCATAGAGTAAAATTGTAGTTTTGACAGAATTTTCGTGATTTTCGTGATTTTCTCTGAAAACTGCCATCATGTTGACTTTTCTCAAAAGCCTTTTAATTAAACATACAAACAAAGCAATAGGCGAAATTCAACTTAGATGCATGAACATTTTTCCAATTTTTTATTCCTTTTTTTATTCATAGAAAAAAAACATTTGAAAGCAGTTACATTAACATATACAATATACGTAGTATCATAGAAGTCACAAAATTTTCCATCATATTCTTTTTAAGGCATCTAACCACACTAGTCTAGTCTATTCTAGTACCCATAATTTCCCACCTTTTTTCTAATATTTCAAAGTTTAGAATATGCAATATCTCATCCAAGCTCATTTTCGGATATTTTAGGTACATAAGGGTTATGTACTGGGAGGTTTTGGATATGGGGTTTATCCAGAGGGAGATATGCATATCTACCTGAGGGACCGTAGGGACCGAAGGTAGATGTGCATATCTCACGAGGGATGAACCCAATATCCAAACCGACCGTACATAACTGCTTTATCCTATACCAAGTAGAGTTTTCTAATTTTCTTTCAATTTCTTTTTATTGTTTCAATTTCTTCACATTTTTCTAATTTTTTCAATTTTTTATTTTTTTCAATTTTTTCACAATTTTTCTTTTTTTTCATTTTTTCTTATTTTTTCAAATTTCTTTTTCGAAGCGGGAAGATATGCCCTGGAGCGGGAGATATGGAGGTTCAGGATATGGAAACCTCAAAATCATGATACGGGATTACCAACTTATCTCCCTAAAACTCTACTTGGCATAGGATAAATGTACATATTTTGAAATTTTATGAGTGTCCCATCGTATGGGCCACCCTTAAAGAGTACGATTACGACTTACAGCTGGGTATTCGATATCAGATAGGGTTGCTCACCTGACACTTGATTCGATTGATGATTCTAGTGACTGCTCCTGATAAAATCAACCTTAACAAGTTCCACGTGCCATATCAAAATACCACTCCAAAATAATAGACTAATAACCTAATAGTATTGGCGTCTTATTTCGGCAATACTTCCACTTCAAACAAAGTTGGAAGGATAGGAATTGTTTTGATGACCCACTCTATAGAAGTCCACATGCGAAACATTGTCGGGTTAATTTAATGTGCAAATAGTGTAAATAGTACTATTTTAGAAAAGGATGCATGGCTTTGGTACAGTTCTTGTGTTAATATCCAGAAGGACATGGGTCACAGATATTCTTATCATACCTAAACTCAAAAAACAAACCACTAGCAATGACTAGAATGAAGCTGATGGATAACTGTGATCATTCACGTCACGAGGTGTTACAGATGGACTTTACCCCAAAACACTAGCATCTCACTAACGTTCTTGACCACGATTGATGAGAATGATACTTCTGTACTTACTTAGTGTAAATCATAAAACGAAGTTGACTGATTACGCATACGGTCAATCCACTACATCAGCATGGTCACTCTAATTTCCGCTATGAAATCTTACGAACTTTTTGTTATTGATTACTTATGTCAACTTCAAGGCTATGTTTCTTGATTCACCAACTGCTGACCATCGACATGTTTTAATTAAACTCGCTGTTTCAATTATGGGGAATCATATATCAAATGTATACGTTTCCTTATATTGTGTTTCTTTTTGAAGGTAAAAAACCTCGCACTGCCGATAATTCCTGGTACGACAAAGGGCAATTTCGACTCTTCTTCGACTTTGACTTCTTGAAAACTAAACGAGTTGATGTTGAGTCAGCCTACATTGAACTACCGATCAAGTACCCAGTCAATGTTGGATCTACGAGTGCGACAACGAGTGAAGGTGATACACATACGAGTGTCACGAGTGGAAGTGCTACGAGTAATAGTGTTACGAGTGAAAGAGTAACTAGCACGAGTACGAATAGTCCTAGTTCTATTTCCCCTTCCTTGCAAGGTAATAAATGTTGACTGTTTCCTGGTTTTCAGTACCAATACAAAAATTAGAATGGTCATAACTTTTCAAAATGCGTATTGGTAAGATTGCAATTTGCCATCATTGCATGCAATTGTAGGTATTATTCTAACAGCAAAGTTCTATTTTCTGTAAAATTGAGCTCAGTCGATGCACACCTTGAAAAAATTGTTCGAGGCAACTCTGATAAATCAATGAGACCCCCATCAATAGTGCCATGATAGATCAGCGAATATTGGCAAGAACATTTTGAATTTCGATTTCCATCTGCTAGATTAGAATGTGAGGCCTTGTCATTCGGGCTTTTTGACATATTCTACAAATGGCACACGACTTCATATTGTACTTACTATGACCCAGTGTTGGTATATATATATTTGCGTTCTAGGGGAGATACTTACCGTCAGTTTATACAGCTACCTCTATCCTGTCAGACACACGGCCCACTGGCGGAGAGGTAAATATTTGTTTTAATTCTGCATATATTATTTTAATTTTTCTATGTTTATAATCAATTTTAAACAACCCGAGTTATAACACCTGCATTTCTGTTGTATTATTGTAAAAATATTTTCGTTTGTAATGTCCTTATTTGATGAATGCAATTTTATTTTTCGTAGGCAGAACAAACAGCAGAAAGCGCTTCATTGCTCGGGAACGAATCGGCCACGATGCAAAATCAGTTATCTTTGATGTCAAACGGATTGTCAAAAGATGGAAAAACAAACCAAAAAAAAATCATGGACTGAACATTGAAGTCAGGAGCAATCTTAGAAATAATATTAACCCCAATGATATCTTCCAAAGCTTCAATTGTTCGGACGCCGACAGTAAGTGATGACATATCCTATTTTATGTCACCATCAGAGGTGTTGTTATAATCCAAGTTTTTTAGACTGTGTTCGGAGTTCAGCGGTTGGTAGTCGGTGTTCGTCGTCTGTAAAAAACAGTAGATGGTGATATTTTGTTAATACCTTGTTTCTATTGTTATTTGGATATTGAATTAAGTGCAGGTATTAAGGTTATAAGAATAGGACATAGGGTCAGGAATACAGTAAATAAGAATTGAGAAGGTTGCGCTGAGAACAATTGAATACTCTGTTTCAGCAAAGATTAAGTACCCCACACTCCATCTTAACACCACCCAGAGGTCGCTGTCTTATCGTAAGAGACGTACTGCGCATGCGTCATCGTGCAAGTGGCAGCCCATATACATACGATTCAAAGGTATACTAGCTAGTATTGGTAGTCTTGCCTAAAGACTGTGTACTCCCCTCCCCCACCCTGTGTAGTTCACCTTCCCCTGTGCTGGGAAGTTGAAGTACATGTGGGCTGGGTACACAGTCTCGAAGTAAGTATAGTATCTATAGTAGGGAAAGTTTTCTTTAAAATTTGTTTAACATTATAGTATCTCATAAAACTCAGAAATACAAAACATGTTAAAACTTTCAAATTGATTCCCGACGCGTATATGATTCACACTGATAACTAATGCCTTGGGCACATAGGTCCCGATTTTCACTACGGCGCCCGGCCGATGAGTATTTTGTTCAAAATCGGCCGGCGAGCCCGGGCATCGTACGGGCGCCGGGCGATGATCGAGCACCATCGGTCGATTTTTAGACATCGCCCGGGCGCCGGGCAGAGTTTTATCGAGGAGATAAAAGTTGCTATGTGTTGGCGATTTTTTCTCAACCAAACTCATCCGTGTCCCGGGCATCGCACGATTATCTTACGACTCCCGGTGGCATCGTAAGGTCATCTAGGGATTTTATTTAACTTTACACACTGATTTGTTCGAAAATTCTCAATTATAATTACTAGTATTATATAAACATTTTAAACATGATAAGTTTGGGAAATATAATTGCCCAGAACCTTTTTCTAAAATATAAAAGAACGAATTGTATAAAGAAATATAATTGTAAAACAATAACACATATGGGTCGTTGTGTTGTGTGGGTGGATGGATCTTTTCGTCCTTTTAATTAGCTGCTTGTCAGTCTTGGCATTAAATATATAATAGTTTTCAATGAATTGATACGACGTCAGATACTGTACATCGCGGCATTTTACTGCATTTTTAATGCGTACTTACTTTTAAAACCGCAATATCTCGACAGCAAAATCATATTTTTCTACAATTTTTCGTCATCAGTTGAACACGTATGTCCATGAAATGTTTGCGTAGTTTTACATTTAGAGTCGATTCTCGCAACCAATCAAATCAAGGCTTTCTGTATCACGTTTTCACCTGCGGTATATGTCATATTCACCTGCGGTATATGGCATATTCCGCAAGTGAGTATGACATATTCCGCAGGTGAGTATCGGGTATTCACTGAAACCAATGTATCGCATATTCACTGCAGAATATCGCATACTCACCTGCGGAATATGCCATATACCGCAGGTGAGTATGGCATATTCACCCGTATCACAAATACCGCGCAACCATGAATGTATGCCATGTACCGCGTAACAAATATGAAGTTCAACATCATAATGTTATAGAATGTATACCTTTATGTACAGCTCATACAAAGACATGTCTTTAGTCAATGCATCCTTCAAGATCGGTCCTTCACTGCTTTCACAGCAGATAATGTAATGCAATGAATTACTCTTGGGCCAAGGATGTAGTCAATGCAGAATGATTGATTTTGGAAACTGAAATGAAAGAAACTTTTTATGAGTATATGTATAGCTGTAGAGGCTCCCTGGTGCCTGTAGATCGACCGATGTTCTGACGGGTGCCGTACGGTCATCGGCCGATAGCCTTGCGATACCCGTGCAATATCCTATAGATTTAGTTGTTTGCGGGCGTAGTACTTATGTGACCATACTCACGGCGAAATCAAGACATAGGGGAAAAGTCACCGGCACCCGGATGATTTAGAAATCGGCCGATGACTACTCATCGGCCGGCGCGGTGCGCCTATGTGACCTATAGGTTTTAGTAGTCGCGAGGCACCAAAAAATTCACTTGGTTTTATGGGACAATATTGTTTGAAAAGATATGGCCTTTCTTGAAGTGTAGGCTAGCGATATTTTAAATATGTTATGAAATGTATATATCTAGGATGATTTCTTCATCCTAGGGTATGAAAAAATATTGTAAAACTTACCGGTGTTTATTCAATACAGATACAGAGATTATATTACAGATTGGAACTGGGATCACTGGATTGTGGAGCCAAAAGGATTCTTCACTGGCTACTGCAAGGGCACTTGTGCGACAATGATGGCGAAGAAGTCAGTCAATTCCAAAAATTCCATCCACCCGTTCTCTTCCAAAGATGCCCAGGTATGTAAAACAGGACAGACAAAAGGTATTTTACTTATGTTAACCTCTTCAAATCAACACAAATATCAAAAAGTGTGGCCAGAAAAAATAATCAAGTGTTTCTAGCTTGGGGTAAAAATTTTACCAAAGGAGGATCCGAAATTTTTAAAATGCTTATTCAAAGCATGATAGAGGAAGCCATGAAATTGTGAAAGGATGAATCATTCCCAGTTTTTTTAATGATATGATCTCGTCTGTCCTATCACATGTTTAAAGATAAATAATTACTTTTATCTATTTCAATGAATCAAATACAGATTGCTATTTTGTCATTTCCAGGTGTACATCAGAAAATGACAAATATTACAATTTCAAAAAATAAATAGACCTGGATACGATAGCCAAAACTAAAATATTATTCATGGCCTTACATGTAGGGAGGATCCCCACCTGTTCCCAAGCATGTTAAGAATTGAAAACATGAGATTCCTATATAAAGGCACTAGCCATTAATAAAGATTTATGGTGATCATCTTCACATCGAAATACGACAGTTCTGGACTAATGTACTACATCCAGATTTCCAACATACGCTATAATGATGGCATAAATCATAGGAACTGTGATCATTAATTTTGTTTATCTAGGATGGGTTCGCTTTACTCTCAATTTGTACCCTCCCAAGCCAAATCATTAGAAAACTATTTATCATCAAAATTTGGAAATTGGGCCTCATATCATGAAGATGATATTATTAAAAAAAATTATAATAAGTCAACGAGGTCTTCTTTTGGAACACAACCCATTGACTCATACATGATAATGTTTCTAAACCTATGGTTAGTGGCATCTATAAACGACACAGGAAGTATATCACTGCATTTTAACACAGTGTATCTTATTGACTAACCATGATTTATAGAAGCCCCCCATCGTCATAATGAGATAATTACCTCTGCGAATTTATGATAACTGTAGAACATATAGGCTATGAATACCTAATGAATCAAAAGAGATATCAGGACTGCCATACTAATTTCTGACATTTAACACGAAGTATACGAAGTTTATTTATTTTCATTAGTTTTATTTTCACCTAATTTCTTCTTTTCATCAAAATAGTACTTACATTCCTGTAAGTATCCATGGGTAATCAGAAAGAGGCTTTCAAACATTATTTTCAGGTTTCAGCATTATATATATTCAGTGTAGAGCGTCTTTTATTCTGTCTTGTTTCATTTTCAGTATAAATGCTGCACACCCAACAAGCTTAAGTCCCTCACAGTTTTACATAGAGACGAAAACGGCGACCACGCTGTAACGGTATTTGATGACTTCAGAGTGTCCGGCTGTGGGTGCCGCCCATAGCTATATGGACCCCAAGATCCGTATTGCGACCTCAAAGAAATATGTCGCCCATAGACAACAGTTGTTCAAGTTATCCTATGGTGGATTAATAAATAAAATGATCTATTCTCAATATGTCAAACTATAAACAGCCACGTTCAATGGGGCATTTATTGATATTCTTTCTCAAATAGAGAGATGACAGTAGTACGATTTGTCTGTATCTGCTACTTTCGCCATATTTGTCAATCACGCTAGAGTCGTGGCTAGTACAGAGGACAGTGTCACGTGTGAATATTTTTGATATACCTCTTATCCTTTGAAAAAAATATCGCAGTGCTAAACATGAAATTCAATTACTGTAGATACACTAATTTGGTTCCGTTTTAATTTGACGGATTGGCGGATTCAGAAAATCCACCAAATTAAAAATCCGTCAAATTCAGTTTGGAATTTTTGTTCAATGAACTTCAGAAATTAAATCCAGTGGCCCGTTTCCTGTCAACATGTCATCAATTCTACATTATTCCAAAAGAAATACAGAAAATATTTGAGTAAACACCTGTCCTAATGACATTTAAACATCTACAAAAATTAAACTTCAGTCCTGAATCCGCCAGATTAAATAGCCACCAATTATCCAATATTTGGAATTGAGCAAATCCGTCAAATTAAGTAGCGTCAAAATAAGTGTATCTACAGTACTCTGGACAACATAAATTACAACATTCGTCTACCATTTCCATAATCCATTCTAATATACGTATACTACACCGTGTACTAGGTTTAATCATGGCGTCGATCGTTACATTATTCTCTTCAACGAGTACATGGTCTTACTTATTAATGATGGCTGCTTTGACGTACTTAATATTTTCAAATATTGCAAAATATATTATAAAAAAAACTGGTAACATTTTGCAAGAGTACAAATTGAAACCTTGGTTTTCGTACATTTCCAAGATGTACCTTTGCAAAAAAATTACCAATTGATTTTAATCGACTTCTAAAAATGTTTTGCTGTGTATAAAAATGAATAATTTATAAGCATTTTAAGGCATCATTAATACGTCATACCAGGTATGATACTTCTATTCATAGAACAATAAACGTTTCATATAATTTCATATGAATTTAAAAGTATTATCTTGTAAAGGCATACTATTTTTTGCCTTAATACTGTTGACAACAGGCTAAAGGTCAGACAACGTCCGTGAAATGTAATTGTACAATGGAAACGATGCGTTCTGGCAACGCACACAATCGTTATTAGTGAATACACTGGTGATCCACTCGATTACGCTGGTTACCAAAACGGTTCGTTTTGGTAACAAAATGTCGGAACATCCGGAAGGTACGATTTTTCTCGTTACCATTATTTTACACGTTGTAGGCAGAATTCCCACGACATTTCTTAACACAAACGTGTATCAGTATCATATGTTTAAGAAAGTGTACATATTTGCGAATTCAAATGGTTCAGAATCGTCGATTTACTTCCTCACTTAAGTTACATAAACGGTTTGGGTTAAAAGTGCAGATCTTAACTGTTTTTCGAAAAACCGTTTATGTAACTTAAGTGAGGAAGTAAATCGACGATTCTGTTGTCCTCTGAGCTATTTTTTCGAAAACATGTACATTTTCTAAAACATATGATACTGATGCACGTTGTGAGAAAAAACGTCGTGGGGATTCTGCCTACAACGCGTGAAATAAGGAAAAAAGAAAAATCGTGCCTTCGACGTTCCGACATTTTGTTACCAAAACGGTTCGTTTTGGTAACCAGCGTAATCGAGTGGATCACCAGTGGAATAGGACTGAAGACTCATTAAAGTAACCGAATGAGCAAGAAATTGTAAATATACGAGGGTTATTCAAGATGTTCCACCTGCTTGCTAAATCTAAGAAATACTATCCATTTCCATGACGTGAGCTTTTCACATAGGTCGAGGCATTACTATAATTACTACAAAAGGATGCTTGATTGAATGAGGATGTGTAAACAAATGGCTGGAAACAAATGAAGGCAAAAACGTTATGGGTGAATACACTCCCCTCTATACGTTTGGCAATCGGAACTAAGTACTGTTTTGGATCAAAGTCTATTTTGGCGATTTAAAAGATCACAAAAGCTATGATTATCCGAACTATTGTAAGTCAAGAACAAAATTAAGATTCCAACTTTGACAGGGTTTGCTATGCTATCCAATATTTGAGAATTTTCGTTTGCCAAAATTATGGAAGAAAGTGTAGTTCGATTTGGCAGAAGAGACACTTGCCTCTTAAAAATGATTTTATAAAATTTCAGTAATTTCATAGTTTGAAACTTAAAATTAATCATAGTAGTGGTAGTATTCTATTTATTATAGGCTTTAGGACGATATAAAGATGGCAGCAGGTCATATAACATTTCTCTCAAAGAAAAATATAAACACAGATTGATTGATTGACCTGCCCTCTTTATCTAAAAATTATTTCTATCGCCCTTTAGCCTCTGTTATACTTGACTCACGTTTTGCCTCGCCTATGGATCATTTCTACATCCCTAAAAAGGTGTAAATCCAACTTTGTAATACCATAAATTATTATACTTTTACCGTATCATACATAGATCTAGAATTGACGAAGTCGCGATCATATGGACCAATCTCATATCTCATGAAAAACTATGATCTCAATGAACTGATGAATAAGGAAAGTGATATAAAAGCCTCCAAGATTCAAGTATTCATAACACTTTTATTTGACGTTACTAACACAACTGCCCCCAGTTGCATGACAAACAGATAAATTGTCTTGATTGTATTTAGCAACAAAACAGGTAAAACCTTTAGAACGACCTACGTAACTAGTGAATGTATATATTTTACCATACATTTATAATGTACAATAACTGTATAGTTGATGTTCATCCAAATATATGTATAACATATTAAAAGTTATTTTGTTACTGTTAATAGTTTAGATTTTAAGTGGCATTTGACTTCAAAATGGCTGAGAGGAAGTAGGTATCAAGTTAAATTTTTTCATCCACATCTGTATGTAGTATGCACTCATAAGTTATCCCTGAAAATTTGAAGATGATATCTGTAGCGGTTTTTGGAGAAAACTGCCGGACGGACGGACGGACAGACGGACGCGCCTAGGCCAACAATATGGCCCCTCACTATGTGGTGGGGTAAAAATGTCTTCCCGAACCTTGTTGGAACACAATAGCATATACGACATGTTTTAGATCTCTCAATATTATAGTTATACAAAGGAATTTGGGTTGATTTTTTAAAAATATTCAAAAAATTAAAAAAAATCCCCCAAAATAGATAAAAATCAAGATAAACCTTTTATTTCATTAACTCAGATACTTTTTTAAAATCAACCAAAATTTCCCTATGTACAATTTATAATTACAATATTGAGAGACCTAAACATGTTGTGTTTATGTCGTTTTGTTCCAATGAGGTTCGGAAAGATGTTTCATATTTCACTCTGGAAACATGATACCAAGAACAAGTGTTTGATGTGTTTTTTAAAACAATATAGATGAAAGTATATATTATATATTTTTCAAATTATATTGTTACCATTCCAAAGATGACCATTAAATTGAAGATGTGTTAAATTTTTAGATTTTTTATGACTGGGTTAAGAGAAACGTGTGTTCAAAAAGTTTTCCATATCGATACCACTCCATTCTTAGCTTGTCAATAGAATGAAAAACAATAGAGTATCACAAGAGAATATCACACTATTTATTTAGTAAAAGGGTATGAGGTCCTATCAAATTATGGTCCTATTCTCCATTGATTTATATGGTGACCTCTTTCCTTCATTATCTTATACACAATCAGGGCCAGTAAGGGGCGTTTAGAAGGGGGACCAAAATCCCTGGGGGACCATAATTTCCTTCACATCGCTATCGGTTGACAGGCCCCCGGGGTGGTCACAAGATATGTCAGATAAGAAACAAGGCCCAGATACTACTTCAATTGGACGTTTAACTTTTTAAATTACATAGTTCTATGCAGTGTACATATACAGGGTGACCCCGAAAAACAGAATCCTCTGAAAGTGTAATAATTTATTAAATACCTACCCTATCAACCCAATTTTTATATGCATAAGCTTATGCATATGGATGATAATATGATATCAAGTTTGTTACACAAAATTGATTATTTGTGATATCATTCATGGATGATCTTAGCATGTTTCCAATTTTTGGAAAATCAACAAAGGCAAAATCATATCTTGAGATTTTATGAGATATGCAGAAGATCAGATGATTGAAATGCCTCAAACACTCTACGGAATTTCATTGGATGAATTCTCAAGAAATCATTACAGATGTATATAAGACAGCTGAATGGTCAGTTTAGACCACCTGTACAAGTTTGGTCTCACATTGTCATCCATAGATTGTAGTTTATGTACATGAAAAATAACGCTGACTACAGGGGCGGATCTGGGAACCAACAAGGGGGGGGGGCAAATTTCAGGTCAGAGAAAAAAACGGAAAAAAAATTTTGGGCCCCTAAAACACAAAAATGGGCCCAAATTTTGAGGCCCATTTTCTTCAAAATTTGGCCTGAATTTAAAAAATAAGGCCTTAAAAGGCCCAGTAATGACCAAAAAGGCCAACTTTTTGGGGGCCTTAAGGCCTTAGGGGGGAGGGCGGGCCCCCAGCCCCCCCCCCCTAATCCGCCAGTGCACTACGTATGTATTAAAGAAATTATTTCATTTTTGGAGGGTTCTATTTTTTGGGTCACCCTATAAGCTTGTACGTGTAGCTTAATAATTAAATTTCTTGACTCGAAAGCCCATGATTGTACCCCACAGGCTATAACAAGAAAATAATTGGATAAAGAATTTTGAGCATTCCAGGATACATGAAACATCTTTGATTAAAAACAAGTATTCTACCTTAGAACTCATAATAGACACCCACCCATCCTTTGGACTCTCCTGTAGCGTAATCCGTCAGCAACCGGAAGTAAACCAAAATTTGGAAAATCTATAATTTTTATCGATTATCGTGGTTCGTGTCCACAAAGGGTAATGTATATGACTATTTCTCCTCGTTATTATATAAATTGCATTGACATCTAATTGATTGAAATGTTTTATTGTATAGGATCGGCATGTGTTGCAATGATAGTATTATTTTTGAATTCGAAATTTCAAACAAAAAATTCACGAAATGGCATTTCCTGTTTGAAGTGTTTCTTTTAAAACTACGTTTACCTTTGTTCAAAGTCATTGAGTCTCTGGATCCTGACCGTGCACAAAAGGGCATATAAGTACATACAACCTTATAGCCACCTTTTATCACATGGTTTGTGTCAATGTCCTTTCTAAATTGGACATGTAATGTTTCCAATAGGCTTAGCCGAGGGAAAGGCAGTATCAAGCTATTATAGAAGATCAAAGGTGCAAAACTTCAACTGAAATATTTCAAAAAACTAGGCTTCTTGGAATGTGCTCTCCCACTGGTATCAAATCGTTACTCGAGTCTCTAGCCAATTGTTGGCTAGAGTAATTTCATGTGGAACACCGTGAACTATTGTAAAATTGCTAGTCGGGGTTCAATTTATCCCGTGCCAGGACTATAGTCCTGAGAACGTCTCAATCTTTTGCCTCTACGATTACAACATGGGAGAATTTTCTACGCTTCTTACACTTAAGATCCCTACTTCAATAGATTCCTTGGTATTTTAGCATTCTTTTTGTGTAGTTGAATCCACAATTGTCAGGGTTTATCGGCAGAATGAAGAATTTTTTGTTTTTTGATCGCAATATTTGCGTGTAATATTTAACTTATTTCAACCATCAAATTCCTCCATTTATTGGTACTTCTGGGCCACTTCCGGGCCAGTCAAACGTGGAATCCTTTTTTAAATCCAATCTTGAAAAGTGATGGAATCTCTCTCGATGAAAAAGAAAAATGTTCCCATTCTGCCTATATACCCAGATAATTGTGGATTCAACTACACGAAAAGAATGCTAAAATACCCAGGAATCCTACATGATGTTTTTCATATGAATTGTGTGTATGATCACACTTCTTATTTTACAGAGAATATCATCAAATATTTCCAAGTTTATGTTACTTCACAGGGGCTACCATCTTCAAAGTCCTCAATTTGTTGGATTTTGGTTATTTTCTGAGGATTTAAACAGGTGCATATATTAGGTCAATGCATTACTTACAAGAAAAGCACTCATAGACTGAGATCATAAAATAATTTCAACTTTGACAGGAAAGATGCAAACAACCCACCCACATGTTTTTTCTGAAATGTTGTCCTGATTTTCAACCCCTTCCACTCCTGCTTTTTCAATTTTTGATGAATCAATATTTTGTGTTATGACACATAATTAACCCCATTAAAGGAATAAGTAATTCCTTCAGGGGTTTTAAAGATATACATTATGGATGACCAAAATGAGCTGAAAGCAATGGATCGCATGAGTTTTCCCTATGGAAAATAACATGGGAAATATTGTTTTCCACTTTATCGAAGAGGAATTACTTATTCCTTTAAAGCAGTTAACTGTGTCTTAAAACGCAACATATTGATGCAACAAAAATTGAAAAAGCAGGGGTGGAAGGGGTTGAAAATCAGGACAACATTTCAGAAAAAAACATGTGGGTGGGTTGTTTGCATCTCCCCTGTCTCAAAGTCGAAATTGTTTATCATCTCTATGAGTGCTTTTCCTGGATATTAATAATGCATTGGCCTAACATATACACCTGTTTAAATCCTCAGAAAATAGTCAAAATCTAACATATGACTGTCCGAAATCTGTTGTGATACTTTCCGTCCTCCTTTAATCTTTACACTGGGAAAAAGGCGTACTATTTGTTCATGTCTCCTACAATTGACAAGGAAATTAACTTCAATTCAACTGCTAACTTTGGAATGCCATAATCTGTTCTTATTTCTACATACTCTGGGGTTTCAGTAGAATTTGCCACAACAGGCTAAATAAATGAAAACAACAGGCAAAATTAATCGAAATCATAAATTTAACATGGAAAAGTTGAAAAGTCCATAAAAACAACAGGTGATTTTGTGAAACCAACTGTTGAAAATCAACTCTTCCCTGCTGCTAATGAAACCCCTGAAAATATAAAATGAGAAATTGTACAAGATATTAAATAACTTCCAAGTGCAGCCTGCATGTATCCGAACTCCTTTGGATACCTTCGATATTCCATGATGTGTAGACACGGCCTTTGAATGTTTGATTTTGCATTCTTGTTTAATCAAATCATGGGCTTTCAACTAGATCGAAATATAGGCAGTGTAATTGTATTTGTTATTTTTATTTTTAGGTAAAGACTTGACATTGAATGAATCACAGATGATTGATGGCAAATCTAGTGTAAGTAACTGGACTTGCACTGCTTGCAACAATGGAACATCTGAATCCAAAAGAGGCTAGCATTGCAAAAATAATACACAATGCTGATGAGAGACCTGCCGTGGACAGTATGGAAAATGTTGATGACAGTTTGCATGATACAAAGGAATGTGCAGATGCTATTAATAAGACAATTCATGAGGAAAACCCATCTACCTCAAATGATCAAATGAAGACAAACATTGAGATGAAAGGATCACAGGGGACAGACCCCTCATGTAATGATGTCAAAATGGATGCCTCAGGTTTTACCGAAATATCAGAGATTTCTGAAAGGGCAAGTAATGATACGAAACCTACTTTGGATGTTGAGAATGACTGTGCTAATATAACACCTGATGAAAACTGCATTCCCCCAGCTGCAAAACATGACAATTCAGATATTGAGGAAACTGAGATGCGATTATCAAATGATGTTGTGAGAAATAGTGGTGAAGAAGTAAATACCAAGGAGATGGAGGGCAAGGTGGTATGTTCTGAAGTTGATAACAAGGCTCTTTTGAAACAAGAACCAGAAATAGAGGTAGGTTTGTTTGTGTACAGAATACAGGGTTCTCACCACAAAAACTTAAGACACTTTAAAAATTGGATCTCATGTTTCATGTATTGAAACATTTAGTGGCATGATCACCATGCGCTAGTTCCTCAATCTTTAACACTAATCTTTATCTGCTATGTCAGTATGTCTTTACCCTATGTTAGAACTTTCCAAAGGAAGGTACCATCCTTATCATTGTAAGGACAGAGTTTTTGTTTTTTCATTCAGTTTAAATTATCCAATAATGATATATTTTTGTCAATTGAGACTGGTTACATTAGGTGACTCTGTCAATGGATACAATTGTCTTAATGACTTGATAAGACATTGTCCAGTGTGGTGAGAACATTGAAATAATGTATGCATTCTTGACTGCCTAACTACTTTCATATACAACTTGTAGATTTGTATCCCTGTTCTGTAATGCAAGGTAAAGTAATACTGTAGATACACTTATTTTGACGCTACTTAATTTTGATGGATTTCCTCAATTTCAAATATTGGTGGCTATTTAATTCGGTTGATTCAGGACTGAAGTTTAATTTTTGTAGATGTTTATGTCATTTGGACAGGTGTTTACTCAGATATGTTCTGTATTTCCTTTGGAATAATGTAGAATTGATGACATGTTGACTGGAAAAGGGGCCCCTGGAGTTTAATTTCTGAAGTGCATTGGACAAAAATTCAAAACTGAAATTTGACGGATTTTTAATTTGGCAGATTTTCTGAATCCGCCAATCTGTCAAATTGAAACAGGAGCCAACTTAAGTGTATCTACAGTAGTCATCAATATTTGTGAAATATAAGAAATATAAGATAATATGTAAAATTACCAATATTTATTCATTTAACAAAGTACATGTATGTGTCATGTATTAAATTCACATTTCAGAATATACTGACTGTTTATATTTTTAATGGGAGAAAATAATTAATAAAATATAAAAATTCAGTTAATATGACATTTCAGACTGACGAAGATCTTTACCAGCAGCCCAAGAGGAGTCGTAAATCTAGGAAATCAAATAAACCCATGCGAATCATAGCAACAGTTGCTGATGATGAAGCCTCAGCTTACATAAGTGATGATGATTGTGACATTAATGATGACCTCAGTGCAGGCATTAAAGGCTCAACAGTTGGTATCATAGCTAAAGTGGGCTTAGAGGTTGTGAAGAACACAGGAAAATACTGGGGAGATAGACCTGTGAAGCAGATGTCTGGTAGTGTTTCCGGTATCAAACTGGCGTACAGCTGTAAGGAATGCAAATACACAACTGATAATAAATCACATTTACATCGACATATGAATGCCCATACAGGCTACAAACCATTTGTATGCTTTGTCTGTGGACTCGAATACAGCAGAAGTGAGAAGGTTAGATGGCATGTCTTCCGTCACCATCCAAATGAACAATATGACATCCTGAAATGCAAGAAGGACAACCTTAATAAGCCATCAACCTCACTTAGTCTCAAGAACTTTACAAAAGTTAAAGACATCAAAGAAGAGGCGAACAAAGGTGAGCTGCCAGCTAATGAAGAAAGCAAGAAGCAGAATACTACCTCAACAACAAAAGCAACAGATAACAATCTGGATAAGGTTGTTTGTAAAGAGTGTGGCTACAAAAGTAATTGTGCTTATAGTTTAAGTAGGCATATTAAGGAGGTCCACCAAAAGGTAGCAACGTTCTCATGTCCCTTATGCGACTATGGCACCAACAGGAGATACAGGTTTATCAACCATATGATCAAACATGGGATTCTCCAGTGCTGTTTCTGTTCCCACATTGCCAGTGATCAAATAGGTTATGAGTGTCATCTGACTGCATGTAAGGTGAAAACAACATCAGCTTCTTTCCCTTGTGACCATTGCACAGATACATTCACCAGCAAGAAACAACTATCTCTCCACATAGGAGATAACCACCAGATTTATCAGTTCAAATGCACACAATGTGACTTTAAATCCAACTTCCAAGGATTGTTTCAAAAACATGAGAATAAACACACCAAGAGAAAGATAGGAAGGCCAGTAAAATTAAAGGTCAAGCTTCCAACTCATAATTTATCAACTTCTGACCATGAAACGGAGGAAGGAGGAATAAAATGTGAGTTATGCGATGTTCATTTAAAAAACAACCATAGTTATTTGAAGCACAAGCGTCAGGCCCATTCAGGAAGTAAACCATATGCTTGTCATGAATGTGACTTTGAGACAGAATCTGAGATTGCTCTGATGAATCACTTACGTATCCACACTGGCACCAAGCTCCCCTGTTATGATACTGATTGCACATATAAGTCAAGCTTTAGTGGTTCCCTGGCTAGACACATGGCTGAAGTCCATGAAATTGTACCTCGTCATTTATGCCCCTTGTGTCCCAAGGATTTTCGTTGTCAGACCAAGCTTTATTACCATCTTCAAGTACATAATGAAGCATTTACCTGTTTGAAGTGTGACTCAAAATTCTATTTAGATGCTGCTTATAAGATGCATCAGGAGGTTTGCGAAGGGCCTATATCAAGGACAAGATTCAACCCATCATTGGACTTTAATGACCTCAATGAAAACAAAACATCAATGTCTCCCATTTTATAAAACATTCATATATTTCCTGTGTCATGTGGAACTGTCCTTTATGATAGGTAATTTTAGTTGTATGATACAGTATCGTATTCCTATCTATACAGTAAGTCATTTTAGTAATGTAATACTGTGTGGAATCCACAATATACCTTTTAGCATTTATATACTTTAAAATTACCTATTTTATGGTGTAACTTTACATGACACCTGTGTATACTATGTATGCATTTTTACCAATTTATAGATAACCCTTGGAATATTTTCCAATACTTTGTGCAAATTCTAACTTTATCAATTCTTACTAATGTACTATGTAATACTAAAATATCCCAAATTTGAACAATTCTATTTTTAAATTCACAACTGTGAACAAAATGATATTCACTTTAAAGCTCAATTGAGTGCAGCTGGGTACTTGCAAACGTATCAAAACTGTAACTCACCACTTTTCTATTTGTATCAGTCCATAGACGGCTTTTTGTTCACTTGAGGGGTTTATATTTGACAACTCAGGTCTGAAAATGGCCAAAATCACCGGAAAAGTGTTCAGAATGGTGAGAAATGCATGATTTTGAAAGAATTTTTGGCCAGAGCGGACGCCCCCCAACCCACCCTGACTTTGGGCCTGTTGTACAAGTATGTTATGAAACTTAGGAGGGACTGATAGAGTGTAAATTGTTCGAAGCAATCCAAAGTCATGCCAATACTAGTATTTCCCTTACAATCCATACTTGAAAAATATAGATATCTGCTAAATATAGAAGTTACGGAATATTTAAAATCTAAAGAAATGTCAAAATCTGTTAGAATTCAAAAGGGAGATTCACTTTTTCAATCTGTTGGCCACGAGAACAAAAAATATTTCAAAAGTGATATTTTTTCAGAATTTGCTCTCAACTCATCTCTCTCCAGGCTAAGGTGAGCTGAGAGGTCAAAGGTCAGTACAGTAGTTGGGTATTTGCAATTTTCTTCCTTTGTTACATTATCATCAGAGTTCATTTGGTTATTTTTCCATTTTTTTAAAATAAAACAATGTGCAACAAAAACAACTGTACTAGATTGCATAGGTGTTGCCAGGCATGAGGCAAAGTGAGGCAATTGCCTCAACAAAATATACGGAGAGATACAAACTAATTTCTGTTTTCATTCTCCAGACTATAGTGGTGCCATGTTTCATCATCTGAGTTTCTTGCAGTGTCTCTGGATACTATACTGTACTTTTCTGTGTAATGTCTGAATTTTTCCCAAAAATTTGAACTAAGGTAGCAAATACCTTATTTTTCCTCAATTTACATCTGAGCTTTGCCTCTTGAGATTGCCTGTGAAAATGTATTGCCAGAAATTGAGATATGAAAATAATGATATTGCTGTATATACTTAAATTATATATAATTCAATTGAATAGTTGTTGTAATCATTTATGAAATAAGATGAATGTATTTAACTCTGTTCAATACAGTTGGGTCTAGATAACTCAGGTGAGAACAAAATAATGTTAAATAATGAATATATTATTCATTGATATTGTAAATAAATGCTGTAATGTAAAATTGATTGTTACAAAAATATGTATATTTAGGATAGCAAATGTATAATGATATTAAACAGTACATATTAAATTAACAGTACCATATACAGTACAATATTTTGTTACCCTTTGCATTCGTAGGACTTCACTTCTTAAAGAGAGCTTCGTTTATAACTAGACTCTGCACGCAGGGTAATATTTTGTCTTTGCCGCCATCTAGAATTTAGAACATTTTGTAAACTTACAATTATTTAATAAATTCATGGATATGACATAGTAAGAGAACAAAGACTGAAATGTCCATGTGCATTAAACGAACCATCAACTATGGATATTTTAGACGATCTTGTCTTTGTACTTTTCCTCAGATATTCATATCTTCACTGGTGATCCGCTTGATTACGCTGGTTACCGAAACGGTTCGTTTCGGTAACAAAATGTCGGAACGTCGAGGGTACGATTTTTGCTTATTTTTTCGCTCGTTGTAGGCAGAATCCCCACGACATTTTTTCTCACAAACGTGTATCAGTATCATATGTTTTATAAAAGGTTTGCGAAAAAATAGCTCAGAAGACAAAAGAATTGTCGATTTAATTCCTCACTTAAATTACATAAACGGTAAGGGTTAAAAGTGCAGATCTTAACTGTTTTTCGAAATACTGTTTCGGTAACTTAAGTAAGGGATTAAATCGACGATTCCGTTGTCTTCTGAACTATTTGCTCGCAAATGTGTACATTTTCTTAATCATAGTGATGATACTGTTTGTGATAAAAATGTCGTGGGAATTCTGCCTACAACGTGTGAAATAAGGACATTTTGTTACCGAAACGGTTCCAGCGTAATCGAGTGGATCACCAGTGATCTTGTGCATTTGAATATATTTCTGCTTCAATATTAAAGGCACGTATATATAACATTGAATATCTCCAGGAAAGAATAGGAGAGCCCCTACCCCTAATATCTACATGTGGCAGTGACTGTAAGGTAGCATTTTCAAAATCAATTGACGGCTGATGGATTAACGTCCTCAACTCATTTAAATATAATAGTGGCAGGTACTATTCATATTTAAATTGGCTATAAAATAGTAGTTCAATCTGTCAGCCGGCAGTTGAATTCGCGAAAGCTATCCGAGACCCTCAATTGCAAGCCTTCAATGACCTATGCAAATTATCCATTATTCAACATGTAATAATAACAATATACATGTCCTGTTTGATATCTAATGGTTTAAAATTAATTTTATTGAATATCTTTTTTCATATTTATAAAGCTAGAATCGGAGGTATAATGTTTAGCTAGCGGTGACATTATTATACATATTTCAAACAAGATATTGCAATTTTTATCCTATTTTCGCATTTTCTCGCACCTAGTCTATTGACAAAAATGTTGAAATTTCTAACTATGAATGACTCGTAAAGATAATCATGATACAGCAGTGATCAGTCTGAAGCTTATTACAATTTTATGGGAATTGCCTTCTGATGCTAACTTTAAGATCTTCAAGTTCGATTTCTAGATATCAAACTGCTTTTCAGAGATGTTTAATTTTGGATTGTGTAATATGGAATACAGCATTAATAGTTTAAAGTCTATCATTTTCTCTTGGATACTCTATCGTTCACTATCATGATTTAATTAATTCATATGCTTCTCTTGAAATTCCACTATTGTTTTATTCTTGTTTTTTAAATATTCCAATGGGCTATGTGATGCTGCATTGTTATGGGTAAAAAAAATTCGCACATGATTGAGAACCAAAATGAGCACATATTTCTGTCTTTAAACTCTGCTTTTTCTGCTTCTATTTGGTACTAGGCCATATCTGCTTAGGACCATCCCATTCCATGAGACCCCATGTAAAGCCATTTTGCTGTTCCCTGGGGTACCCTAAGCAATGTGATACATAGCGGACTCCCCCTATTTCTCTATCCCGATTCCTATGTTGATGCCCGTGTACATGAACAACTGATCCCAACATTCGGATTGCTTCTTCTAGTACCTTGCACCCGGCAAATAGTGAAAAATCAAACTGCATTTGTTTGGATTTAGATTTGTCAATTTGAAATTCAGGGAGTTTCCTAAGAGAGCGTTCTTTGTTGAATTCCTCAAATTCTGCTTCAGTGTGTCCTAGAAGTTCTTTCCTCGACAGAAAATGGCTGAAAGAGACCACTACATCACCAGGTGATTTATTTTTCATAACCAATGATATTGGTTCTTTGTTCAGATCAGCGAAATATTGTGATCGTGTTTTGTCCTTTAAACTTGTCCACAGACATAGGTGATTGTCCATCCACATGTTTTCGGAATCTTGATGAACATCAGCTGAATCACCGGCGTATAGCGAATCCTGAGGGTCATCGTACGGTGTACTATACCAAGCGAACAGTGGCACGACCCAGACATCCCCCTGCGTGCTTGTCACCTTCTCTGGTTCAGTCTTTACACCAGTGTCATGACATAGTTTGATGATTGCATGGAATTTTTCAATTGAATCTTTGAACCTCATTTCCCTGTCATCCTTTTTCAGCCAAAGTTCGTGATTACCTGGAAATGGGTGATAAAAAACTACGTAATTGTGTGATTTAGAAAAATGACCACTTTCATGAATATATATTTAAGTTTAATTTTTATCGCATTTTCTTAATTTGCTATATTGCCGTCCTGTTCTACCTTGAGACCTTTAGATGCAAGAGCAAACTACTCGTAATAGGTTGGGGTGTGTTACTGAAACATTACTGGAGATCATCCTTGGTACCATCCTCCGAACGTAAGGCTCCAGGGGCCCTCTCCAGAAGGATGGAGCCCTTCGAAGCCCGTTGTTCGAAGGATGCCTTGGAATGAGCTTACTAGTACAAGTACATGTAGCTGAAGGTATGTGTTACCCTGATTCTATAGACCGAGCTGACATCTATCATTGCATAGAAAATGCAATTCCGCATATGGTCATACATATAGATATAGTGTACTATATTTAATACATGTATGTTATTGGGCTCAGCAATTATTGCTTAAATTCGTACCTGGAACGTAAAACACATCTTTGAACTTCTTTTTAAGGGTCTGAAGAGTCGTCTTGAGTAGTGAGAGGTTGTCTGTCACATCGCCTGCAAGTAACAGAACATCCGATTCGTACTTCTGGTCTGATAGATGTTCAATATATTTACGGTTTTCCAAATAATCCACGTGGACATCAGATATAGTGTATATTCTGCTCATTATTCATAATCCTAGTTTCATCTATACTCTAATATGGCTCTCCCATACAATCCAAAGTCCTTCAAATAATATTGGTCATGAAATGTAAGTTTTTTATTTACTTCCTGCATTCTCAAAATTCATTTCGTTCGTTGCGAGGCACGGATTGTACTGAACTAAAGCCCGGGACGAAGGCTAGGAGACTGGGTATTTTATACATTATAATTCACACGCCTAACCATCGACAACATACAGTGACAAAATATACTTTAGATGTACGGTGTCACTATTAAGTCGATTTGAAGCAAAGACAACGATATAGGTTTGATTGGTCGGTTCGAAAATGTTTTTTACACATTTCCTTTTCTGTGGTCTAAGACTGTCGAATATAGTACACAATTAAGGCCTGTTGAAGATTTAATATCATGTATTAACGTTTTGGCAATAATTTAAAATTTCATAAGTGTACGTTGTCAACTCGAATGCACGTCGTCCCATTATTGAACTTACTCAATTCACAACTAACCCTAATGCAGGCAACGTATTTTTCATAACACTAACACACGCCTGACCATCGACAAGGTACAGTCACGTGACAGTGACAAAATATACCGTAGTACACTTTTGATGTACTATGTCATTTGCGCCATTTTAGATCTGTAGATCGCCATTTTCTAGAATGAGGAAGCGAGGCAAGAACTAGCATTGATTTGATCAATATTGTGTCAGTTCATCATCAGGTAGTTGTTGCATTCGATTTGTAATTAATTTGCAAATGTGCATATCTATACTTCAAATGATCCTCAGCAACTTCAATATCTTGTTATAGATCTACCCAGTACGTCAGGGATCTCTAAATCCTGACTGAATTTCGCAAAATTCTCTCTAATTTTTGTTTTGCTATGCAAATAACAGCCAAACTACGACTAACACAACTTAAGATAAGTATACAAATATACATCCAGAGTTAATGCAAAACCGCTTTTTACTTTGGATGCTACTACGAAAAATAGATAATGTATGTTGTCAACTCGAATGTATGTTGTCACATTGGCCTTACAGATCTCAATTCACAGTTAATTTTACAGTGAATGAAATGCTATAATGTACGTGTAATAGAAGGAACATATTTTATAATAAAGTAATAAATAATGATAGGCATATCAGATATATTTACTCTAATATTTTGTCCGTTAATCCATAAAATTGTCATTGATATGATTGTTACTAATTCTTTTTTTGTGTTCCATAACCTGGCTTTTGAACTTCTGCACTTTCCAGATATACAGAGTGTCCCAAAGTATGCCCCCCCCCCCCCCCTAGGCAGACATATACATAGTAGTATGTTTCAAATATCATTTTTTAAGCTTATCCAAAGTTACATATGATGGTTCAAATGGTAAAAAGTAACAGGCATTTTAAAAATTAGCGTTTTGCCAAAAAGATTTCGGTATCCTGGAAACAGCCCTGACCTGAATGTGAAATATTGATGCACATGGCGGCTAAGGAGACACACCGACTATTGTTTTGGTGTAACACTGACTTTAATTTTGGCCAAACACTAACTTTTGAAATTCCTGTAACTTTTTTCCATTTGTGAGTTGAACCATGATACTCGGCAAATTAATGTAACTTTGGATGAGCTTTAAAATGATACTATATATGACACATACTATGGAGACATTGTTATATGTCTGCCTAGGGGGCCCATACTTTCGGGACACCCTGTAGCATAAATTTTGAAAGTCATCTTGGAATAGCTAGTATAGATCTCTCCATGCAACTAAACATAACGTAACGTACCGACGCCGAGTGGTCAAAGAGGTCAGAAAATAACACGCCATGGTCACATATTAATCACCATATTAACACTTTCATAAAATAAAATAGCATTCAACGAAAAATCACTTTTACCTGTTTATCTGTAGGGATACAGGAGCATGTTCGTTGAATTTCAATTACAGGAACAACATACACTGTGAGTTGACAACGTACATTTCTGATTTTTTAAATTATACCAAATGCACGAATATTTATTAAATCTTCACCCGTCTTAAACTGTGTAGTTTAGAGAAACACATTCTCATAAAAATATTCGACACTCTGAGACGTCAGTGGAGAAAATTATCAAAGGAAATGTGTAAAAAACAACATTTTCCAACCGAACAATTGTATGGGTAGACTTACAACGAAAAAAATCGAGCACTGCTCGAAGATCTTTTAACGTAATTAGAAAAATAAATGTATTTGAAATCGAATACACGCAAAATCAAACATGAAATGCTTTATGTATTCCTCAAATTTATTTTTGAAAACCTGCATCAAACCTACATCATAGTCTTTGCTTAAAATCAGTTAATAGTGACATAGTACATCAAAAGTGTACTACGGTATATTTTGTCACTGTCACGTGACTGTACCTTGTCGATGGTAAGGCGTGTAACAGGCAGGGAGGCAGCATTCAAAATTGAAACTGAACAATTACCGTATAACTTCAATTTGATTGAAACTATTGAGCACTTTCCAGATATATGATAAACGGGATTTTTAAAAGTCATATTCGATAAGCTAGTATAGATCTATCTATCAGTGTAACTTAATAAAACGTAAGGTATAGATGCCAAATAATCAAAGAGCGTGGAAGCTAACGTCCAATGGCCACAAATTAGCCACCAAATCAACCACTACAACAACAATACAATACAAATGAAAAAGCACTCAAAAGAGGTTAAAAATCACATTTACCTTATCTTTAAAATCATCTGTACAAAAAAGGAAACTTGAACATGTTTGTTAAAAATTACTTGTTACTCATAATTAAAAACCTTAATGCATTTTGAAATGAAATCATTTCATTGTTTAATATTACGCATATCTCATGAATTTCAATTACAGGGACAACGTACAGTGGAGTTGATAACGCACATTTCTGATTCTTTTAAATTACAATAAATACATGAATATGTAATACTCTTCACCCATCCTAAATTGTGTAGTTTATAGAAACATATTCTCGAAAATATTCGACACTCTTAGACGACAGACGAGGAATGATCAAAGGAAATGTGTAAAAACAACATTTTCCAACCGACCACAATGTAGGCATAGGATACTGTACATATACCCCTTCATGTATATGAGGAAATACGAATACAATATCATTTTAATAGTTAGCATTTAATGTATTTGTCTCCATCAAAATAAGAAAACGTTTTACAACGTTGAAGATTCCAAAATATTTTACTGAACTTATAATAGCCTAATGTATAATTTGCGGTGCCGTATGCATATTCACGTACATTTATTTCAATTTAAATATAGTTTTGTGTATTAAACCGTATTTTACACTACATGTAGTTTCCATACAAAATTAAACCACCACTTGATGTATTTTAATCATGTTAACGAGGCGTATAGCCTTTTTATTTTTCACAACCGCACAACTGACAACTGCAATATGGACGTTGCTCTGTTACTTGTGTTCTTCCAATTGTTGCAAACCGCAGACTGATTGAACACATTGTCCACAAATTCAGGTGATGTCACCATCCTGCCACTATTGTACAAGTTTGACTAGAACTGATATGCCTACAAACATGGGCTCTGGGTGGTAGAGCCCATGCTGCAAAGCAGCAATTCTATCATCTAGTGTGAATAGCTACAATGCATACATGACGTAACACTTTCTCGGAGGTTCACTTTTTGACCACACTTTATATTGAATCTTTTTAACCAGACTGACTAATTATAGACCATTTCATACTTTAAATTATGTATTTTTAAATAAAAGTGATTGGTCGATATAGCTGTGCAACTAATTACATTCTACATGTAACTTGTTCTTCAATATCCTTAGCCGATCGTGAATCCATCATTGCACATAATAATATTCAACAGCACCCCACCTTCATGGTCTCTTCATCATTACTTTGAGTCTCTAAGTCCACTGTACTAGATCTTGATTTAATATGGACTGGTGGTGTTTTCTTATGCAAGTTTTCATCAGGAAAACAATGACGGAAAACATATTCAAACACTTCTGTAACATCTTTACCAGTCTTACTTGAAGTTTCAAAATATGGCACTGTTGTTAATTGAAGTTCTTTGTTTAGAGTTTTTGTGAATTCTAAACCCTGTGCCATTGTTATAATCGGTGTAGTGTCTTTTGCAAGGTCAACCTTTGTTGCAGTCACTACCACTAAGCAGTTATGGTTTGCATATTCTACGAGTGGTAAAAACCTGCTCCTGAAATAGAAAATGTCACTGTTTAAAATTACATTCCAATATTCAAACATACTGTTCCGACTCTGAAACGTCAGTGTATCAAACTTTCAGCCATACTAGTATGACATTCTCTAAGCCATGTGACAGTGACATCCTTTCAATTATACAACATCCTTTGATGAATTAAAAATCAATTGAGTTGATAAAATTAGAACTATGGGTGTACAATACAATCACTAAAAAACTGTAGAGTGAAAAATATGGCAACAATTTAGAACTGATGAAGGAAGAGCATAAGTACCCAAGTGACCTATTTACCTGAGAGAATGGAATGAAGATGGCCGTGTTACATCAAATGCCATAATAACAGCAGATGCTCCCCTGCAATAGAGATTACTCAAGCCAGAAAACCTTTCTTCCCCAGCAGTGTCCCATAATGACACATGCCGCTTACCCCATTGTTTCAGGAAAAATGATGCTCCTATTGTCTATAATCATAAACATATTTATTGTCACATGTTGTGAATACTAGATATAGGTTTACAATAGTCAATGATTCGTTACTTTAATGGATTGATGAAAATCTTTTTAACACTAATCATTGACCAAATCTGCACACTTTATAAAGTTTTATTAAGGCCAGGGTCCATGTTTGGAATTTTGCTGCAACCCTTAATAGCAGGGTCACAAGTTATTTTTCATTTTTTCGTTTTTTATACATTTTACAAAACAAATCTTCCCACCAGTCTTTTCTAGGCACATAAGTACACTATTTGTGCAAAACTGGAAGATGTAGACAATGTGGGGAAGGAGTGATTTCTGTTTGAAAAATAACATGTGACTCAATTAAGGAATGAAGCAAAATTCCGAACATGCACGCTGGCCTTAATACTAATTTTCAGTACACTAATCTGATCTTGGAAGACTCCTTCTATGTATCTGTACAGCAATGTTGTCTTTCCAACGTTAGCTTCTCCTAATATAAAGACCTTAAGGTCTCTGAAAGCATGGCAAATGTTGGAAATATTATACAACTAAAAAGTTGTGCTTTGTTGAGCTCCAAAACATACATTTGTAAAAGTACTTTAACACAGTGTGTATATCATTTGTCTTTGAGATAGAAAAACATTTGGAATAATACAGAACCCAAACCCTAATAATAGTATACTTTTGTTTAAATTGTATGTTTAAATCTAAACATACACTATGCAACGATGTAATGCACTCAATAAGCAATAAAAAAACTTACGCTTTCTTTTTCGACATATTGACAGATTTGATGTAACAGGTTAGTTGGGCACATACCAGCATTCATCTAAAAGTAAACATACATTTAAAGGAGCAACAATTAGTGCAGGGGGAGAGGGGCCATTCAATGATCATGGACCAGTATCAAAATATATTTAAGTTTGGTTATTTAAGACTAACATATATTTTTATTATCCAAAGAAACCCCCTGGATGAACATTATTTCAGCTAATATTCCTCTTGAAACATGGTGAATCTTAAAAATCTATGAGTGGGACTCCCTCTTTAGAAGCTTTGAACTGAAATTACACTTCTTTATAATGCTGAAATTGATAGCTTGTCCATACATTTTAAGAAAATGGGTATGTCAAAGAAGATGTCCCAATGTTGCCCTGATAGCTCAGAAATTTTTTTTTCTTCAATTTTTCTCTCTACAGGCCTTGTTGCCCCTTTAATGGATGGATAGCAGTTTTTGTGTTGTCTACAGTCTTGTACTGAAAGTGTGCACCTCTGATAATTTACATTATTGTAGGCCTATAAAGCTACAGACCCATAGACTACTGTTACATATGGATTTACAGGGTGTGCTATATATTGTGCATGTACATATAAGTACATATGAGCAAAGTAAAGACTTGTGCCTAGAGTATTTACATACAAGTCGTTCTAAAGGTATCATCCCTGTCAGCAAGATCCCAAATTTTCCTTACAAAGGATGTATTACCCACAGGCGGGAAGCTGAACAGATAGGCCACTTCCCCCAAACCATACATGTAGGCACAGGAACATTTATAAACAAGGCATTAACATGACAAAATGTCACCACCTAAAACAATTTGGTCAATTTAAAGCAAGTTGGAAAATACCTTTTGACCTTGAGAAGGTCATTGAAGGTCAAAGGTCAAATCTAAAGTCAGATTTGAACTTCTGAGAACTTGTAGTCAAATTTGAACTTCTGAAAAGATGTAGATGATTTTGAAAAAAAAATCTGGTCAATTTGAAGCAAGTTGAAAACAGACCTTTTTTGACCTTGAGAAGGTCATTAAAGGTCAAATATTTCTGAGAACATGTAGATGATTTAAAAAAAAAAAGTCAATTTGAAGCAAGTTGAAAAAAGACCTTTTTGACCTTTTTTGACCTTGAGAAGGTCATTGAAGGTCAAATCTTAAGTCATATTTGAATTTCTGAGAACATGTAGATGATTTTGAAAAAAAAATCTAGTCAATTTGAAGCAAGTTGAAAATAGACCTTTTTGACCTTTTTGACTTTGAGAAGGTCATTGAAGGTCAAATGTCAAATCTAAAGTCAGATTTGAATTTCTGAGAACATGTAGATGATTTTGAAAAAAAAATTTGGTCAATTTGAAGCAAGTTGAAAAAAGACCTTTTTGACCTTTTTGACTTTGAGAAGGTCATTGAAGGTCAAATGTCAAATCTTAAGTCAAATCTAAAGTCAGATTTGAATTTCTGAGAACACGTAGATGATTTTGAAAAAAAATTTTAGTCAATTTGAAGCAAGTTGAAAACAGACCTTTTTGACCTTGAGAAGGTCATTGAAGGTCAAATGTCAAATCTTAAGTCAAATCTTAAGTCAGATTTGAATTTCTGAGAACACGTAGATGATTTTGAAAAAAATATTCAGTCAATTTGAAGCAAGTTGAAGTCAGACCTTTTTTGACCTTGAGAAGGTCATTGAAGGTCAAATGTCAAATCTAAAGTCAGATTTGAAGGTCAAATCTAAAGTCAAATCTAAAGTCAGATTTGAATTTCTGACAACATGTAGATGATTTTGAAAAAAAATTTAGTCAATGTGAAGCAAGTTGAAAAAAGACCTTTTTGACCTTGAGAAGGTCATTGAAGGTCAAATGTCAAATCTAAAGTCAGATTTGAACTTCTGAGAACATGTAGATGATTTAGAAAAAAATTGAAGTCAGTCTAAACAGTATTTGTTAAGTTATAGGAAGTTGTAAGAAATTGTTACAGACGCCGGACGCCAACCTCCAACCACCAACCGCCAACCTCCAACCACCAACCGCCGTCGCAAAAAAACGGAGACCATAACAATATGTCACCACTTTTGGTGGTGACATAAAAATTGAGTCGAATACACCAAGTTTAGTAGAGATTACCGCTCTTTGCTTGGTATTCGATTGGTATTGTATTCCATTCGATTTTTTTTATTCATGTCCCCGGGCCTATGCCCCAAACCTTTTTCTTTGAGGTGAGTTTGTGCCCATATATGACGTATATAGAAACTATCACTAGGAAGGCAAACTAAATTATAATTCTCATTGAATCAATGAGACGATAAGAGCCCGTCCAGTGTCCGACAGATTAAAATCTTCACAGTCAGTATGCAGTTATGATTAGGGCGATTATGGGCTTTCAAGAGATCTCTTGAAAGGCCATGGGGTGATCCAGGCTCGGACGCACTCGCACTCGTACACTACCACGGTCATATCTGGCATTGCAATATAATACAGCATTGCCATGGTTATACCAGGCTTTAACGATAACACTACCACGGTCATGGCAGGATCCTTGCGATACTTAAAAACACTGAATAACATGGTGACGGTTGTGGCAGGCGTAAGTCTTGCAACAGATAGGGTCTCTGCCAAGGGGGGTTCAGTTTTCAAATATTTTCAGGGGGGGTTCACATTTGACAATTTTGGCCCAAATATGGCTAAAATCACTTGAGAATGAGAAGTGTGATATGATACATGTATGATAATGATTTAAAATTTACTGCAGAGTTTAAATTATATCAAGAATTTGGCAGACTCGAGTCAGCACAGGCCCAGGAAGATTTAAATCCCCCAGTCACTGTATAGCTTTCTACCTAAATACATAGTGAGTGGGAGGGGGGATGAACTCTTGTTCCCGTGTCTGTCAGGATTCCTGTGACCTGGTGACTGGCTAATTTTATCAAATCGAACTTTGTGACTCTTCTGACTACCAAGAAGTAACTGAGTAAATGGCTATATGTTTAAACTATCGTCCATACCTTATCCAAGTGTGTGACTGTGGTAACAACATTAGTGACAGCTACATGAGATTGTTCGACAAAAATATTATGTTTATGTGAAGTGACCTACATGTACATCTGTGTACACATAAACGTATGACGTCAGTGAGCGCCAAAATCAAAACTCAACAGTCAAATATTACAGACTTGAATCCATCAGTACAAACTCACTAATGTGACTTTTCCTTTAATTTACGTCATAAATTGCAATTTTCTCTTCTGCTTAATTAAATGTCATATCTTTACTTACTAGTGCGAAAGCTATGTGGACTTTGATATAATAAGTTTCAAAATCTAACATGGCTCTCGAAGTGAGTAATCATACCCACACAAAAATCATTTCATAATCATTAGCTAATGATTATTGAATCCTTCAGGAATTAATCAGAAAACCTGAAGAATTTAAAAGCAACATCTGATTAGTTTCTGAATAATTAACTGAATTGTTTCTGAATGATTAATAATCTGAATAGTTACTGAATAATTAAAGATTTTTTTCTGAATGATTAACTTGGAATTTTTTATTCCGAATTTTTACTGAGTGATTAACGATTTGTTTCTGAATGATTACCTAAAAGTCCATGATTTAGAATGAGAAACCCCACATTGGCAGACGTTAAAATTTGGTAAAGATGTGAGAGAATTATTTGTCTAATAAAAGTGAGCATAAACAACCTGAAGGGTGGCTAGACTATCTTGAAACTTGATCAACATAATCATAAAGGTATGTAGAACATGTTTAGATTGAAACTTATTCATATTTATCTCTACTATTCTAATGAATTTGAATTCAAGATATTTTTTTGAATTTGATCAATTTTGGGTTGTTCCCCATACATGATTAGGCACAAACACTCATTTTAGCCCTGAGCAGATAAATATAAATTAATTTGGAGTATATGTCACCTCTATATGAGCATGTATTAGTCAGAATAATACAAGGCAGCTCCAGGAGAGGCAACAGGGTCTTGATAAAGAAGAAAATGAGTCAGATGAACCTGAATAATTACTGAATAATTAACGATTTGTTTCTGAATAATTAACGGTTTCTTTCTGAATAATTACCGATTTGTTTCTGAATAATTATTGATTTGTTTCTGAATAATTAACTATTTGTTTCTGAATAATTACTGAATGATTAGTGAATGATTAACGAAGAAAGAAATCAGTGTTTCATTTAATTCACAATCATTAGCTAATGATTACCCTGAATGATTATCTCATTTGCATGTCAAATTGCTATACTATTTGTTACCTATTTGTTTCATAATCATTAGCTAATGATTACCCTGAATATGTATGCTATTATTTTGACCTGGGTATCTGACATAAATTTTTGTATACAGTATGTATATAGTATACTGAACAAATATTTCACTCTATTGAGGTGAATACCTGTACATCTTTCACAAGTGATATTCCACGAAGCCCGAAGGGCAAGTGGAATATCACCTTGTGAAAGTGCTACAGGTATTCACCGAAAATAGAGTGAAATATTTGTTTTATTATATCACTGTCTAGCTAAACATCCTTAATATTATTAAGTCATTAAGTCTTCAGATATTTTTACGAATCTACTCGGTTCGTCTGCCATTTTGACTTAAACTGAACTAAATTATTTACACTGAACGAAAACAAATTCTTTGAAAATTCCCGGGAGCGTGGGATATCGCTAGATATCTCACGGTTGTCTTATCTGATTAGCATTGCCATTGAATATCGCCAGATATCCCACAACATGTGACCCGGTTTTGACCAATCATACTGTCGCTAGCTAGATAGTGATATAATAATGTATAATATTTTTCAGATGGTGTCCGACAGTTGAAAAATCCATATTTTTTCTCATTCGGCGCCGTATTCTTCAGTTCAAAGTTCGCCATACATAAATAAATTTGGTCTATGACTTATTTACACCTCCTTCCTCTCATCAGGGAGCTGAGTAGATTCATGCCCAATTACATTTTCTTCTGATTAATCCTCTAAATTTCAAAATGGTGGATGATTCGAAAAAATCTCATGACATGACAAGTCATTATATTTTGTAAACTTGACCATTAAACTTGAGATTGTTAATTACATTTATTACAGGGGGCATAAGCCGTAGGGAGCGGGGGTTCGATGGGTTCGGACGAACCCCCGGTCGGTATTTCCCCCAAAAAAATATTTGTGGAAAATTCATTGCAATAACCAATAACATATATTCAATTTATATGACAAGTAGATAAAAATAGTTAATTTACACTTCTCTCCAAAAGATTGGCAACCTCAGGCACGGGATGGGATTGTTTAATTTTGGGAAGACCCCGGAGCATCATGCCATTATGCAAAGAAAAAATATCAATAATTTCGCACAACTTATTTTCCAACTTAAAAGCTGCTCCATTTACAGTGAAATAAACCAACTGTCTTAATACTGATGAAAACACATTTTCTTTCAAATCTGTCCCCCTCCGTTTTATCTTATTTCAAACAAAAAAAATCTTGCTAAGTCCCCGGGGCTGACAAATCCTCAAAAGCAAATATTAAATAATAGAAACATTTTGAAATGAGTTATTATTAAAAGCATATGCATCATTTATAAACACAAGTATTTGATCGAATGGGTATTTATTATCCATCACTTTTTAAGGAAAAATAAATCGATTGCGAAAAAATCAGTTTTGCTTTTTTTCAGATGCACGTTCATCTCGGAGATCATTTTAAGATTAAAATGTTGCTGTTGCAGTGTATTTAGTATTTACTCTATTTTCAAGAATATCAAACTTTAGTCGATCGCGCGCGTTTGTGTCATTAATTATAATATGTTTAGCAAATAAATGGATTAAGGAAGGCAATTAGGTGAGTATGTCTGTGTGTACTAGATACAAGTGTAAAAGGTACACACATTACGTGCAGTGGAAAGTTCTGTTCAATAAAAAGGCCAGATGCAGTCATCTTTTGCTGAAAAAAGCAAAGGCGTAAGGAGGATTATATCAAATAAGTCTAGATTTATTATTTCGAATGGGTATTACATTTTCACAGTTAAGGGAAAAAGTTCATAATAAAAAATATTAAAAAATCACGTGGTCTACCAATATATGCATTGCTTCCTGATAATCACTTTTTATTTTCTAAATAACTGATCCACTGATAATCACCAACGGATTAAAACTTTCAACAAAAGAAGTAAAAAAATGGGAAAATTTGGACGCATTGGAAATGAAATCAAGTTACATTTTAATCAATATTATCACAGGCTGGTATCGAAAGATTTGTCCGCTGTGACGGAGCATGCTATTTTTCATAAAAACACTAAGAATGCTTCATGCTTTTTAACTCATATGTTTCGTTATATCAAAGATAATTACTTACTCCATGCAATGGATATATCATTTGCGTGTAACCTTCACTTCTGTTTGAAGTCTAATAACGCTAGGAGTAAAATCTATTGAAAACGGCGCCAGAGTATCAAACTCTAAAATGTACCATTTCTTTTTTAATTTTTTAATGGCATGATATAGTGACACGATAATATTAACATATGTTTTCACCATAACTCTGAATGTATTAATGAAATATTAATGCATTGGGTCTTTTTAATTTTTTTATAAAAAATAATATTAATATTTTTTGTCCGCTGTGACGGAGCATTTTCACAGTTCACATTTGCAACTGCTCCGTCACAGCGGACAAAAAAATTAAATATTGTTTTCTATAAAAGAATTAAAAAGACCAAATACATCAACATCTCATTTATACCTTCATAGTTATGCTGAAACCATGTGTAAATATTATCGTGTCACTATATCGTGCCGTTAGAAAGTTAAACAAGAAATGGTACATTTTGAAGTATGATACTCCGGCGCCATTTTCAATAGCTTTTCTTCCCAGCGTAATTGGACTTCAAACAGAAATGAAAGTTACCCGCAAATGATATATCCATTGCATGGAGTAAGTAATTTTGTATGGTATAACGAAACATGTGAGTTAAAAAATAAATCGTGAAGTATTCTTAGTGTTTTTATGAAAATAGCATGCTCCGTCACAGCGGACAAATATTTCGATACCAGCCTGTGATTATAAGTATTTTCCCCGCAGGTTATGTAAATAAAAAATCAAATATAAAGAGGAGGCAGGGAGCTTAGGTTGCCAAACTTTTGGAGGGGAGTGTATTTGTCAGAAAGACAGAGGATTGGCCTACCACAAGTTTGAAATCGTGTGTACTCTAAAAAGGATTTGGCAGCATTCTTGAATAAAATAATAAAACGTTAATTTCTCAAAAACAAATCAAAGTTTATAATGATTCACAAGTTCATCTAAACTGTTTTCATTTCTCAAAACATTCATGATTCTCGTCATTTATGATAAAAACAGCGGAACGGTGATCGAATGTTTCATTCCATATGTAATACAATACTATTTGTCATCTGTCACTTTTATCGTCAGTACCAATTGAGAGTATTCGTGCAGCCATTGTGCGCCATGATTACATTCTTCAAAACTATTTGCTATTGAATATACTAGTTTTCAGTAAATAACTGTAAGTTCATGAGGTATTACAAAATGAAATATCAAATAAAATTCTTTTGATTTGGATTATTTTCAAAAATCATCTAAAATTGTTGGAAAATAGCATGTGTCTGAATATCTTTGAATGAACTCTAAAGCATGAATTGGGAATGACGATTTATCAATGGTAGCTCGTCAAAAACATGTTCCTTAGAGATATGTTATAATTTGCCCTTAAAGGAATATTCCTTGCCAGACCCTTTCTCTCTTGATATGGTAGCTATAATCATATATATAGTTTCCATATTGAGCAAAACATGGGGAAATGTTTTAACATGGTCAATATTGATCATTTAATAATCTAGTGCTTATTTCCAGTGAGCTGCCATCTTTTAAGATTTCTTGCAGGAAGTGATGTCATCAACTCTCAACTTCTATAACCTTGCCCATAACAGTATAGGAAAGTAGCACAAAATCACTTCTAGACAAGTGATCATTACTTTCTGTGCAAAAATATTTTCAGGGCTTGTCAACTTAGAATAAAAGAAGAGATTTTCAGAAGGATTAAATAAGATGCAAAGTTGAAAAAGAATATTTAGCTGGTTTTGTAATTCTTAATAGCTCCTCACCTAATGCTATATGCAAAGTTGAGAGTCGATGACATCACTTCCTGTGTGAAATTTTAAAAGATGGCAGCTTACTGGAATTGAGCATCATATTTCTAAGTGATCAAATTTGTCCATATCAAAACATTTTTGCGTGTTTTGCTAAATATGGCAAGCATATATATGGTTATAGCTACCATATAAGGAGAGAGATGGTTTGGCAAGGAATATTCCTTAAACAAAAGTTGGCTCAATGTATGCTAACCGCTTGATTTGGATTCCATTGAACAATTAAACAAGTGCATGTTAAATTTAAATGTATGATTTTGCTACCAGATTTCAATATCTTTTCAGTAAAAGATTCACCAAAAACTATTTCAACATAGAAAATCAAATTGTTGCCAAACTTTTGGAGTGGTGTAAATTGTATGTACAAATACAAAAAATGCTTTTATGTGAGGTACACCGATGAAGGGGGGGATTTGTGGATACATAAAAAATCGAACCCCTGGTCACCATTTGCTGACATTATTTCTGAAATTTTAAATCAGATATTAAACTTCCCTATGGTATATAACTAATCTATGATCATAGATGATTTAACACTACATTGTCTACTCTGATATACCCGATACCTCGATGTAATATCACAATTGTATCATATTTCCTTATCACTTTTCTTGCTTGTAATCAGCTTATAACCAAAATTTAATGCATTAAAATAAGATAACTTAAAAAATAAACCTTGGTATTCACCTCAAAAAAGCATGAATGAGGGTACCAATACTAAGGTCGTTACCGACTGTTGCCGTTTACCTTCGCTATACTGACAAGTACTTTTTTTTCTTTTTTTTATAATAAATACTCTTTATTTCTTAAAATCATAGATACATTTTCATTGTTATTCACGGCGTAATCGCCCTGAAAGGGCATTTCTACTGCCGCTTTAAGTGAATTTAAAATACAATATAATATAACATTTAGTCAAAGTCATTATTAGAGTAAGAAAAATATATAATTTAGATACTATCTGTTTTTCTACCTGTCTGTACCCCCGTTGGTGCCCTGAATTTGAATTGCTGTTATCGATTACTTAATGAAATTCAAAACTGCCTTAAAGATTTTGGAATTGTTTTCATTTGTCAGATCTTTGTCGCCAAAAAGTAGGAAATTTGTCTTATTTTTTAATGTTTTGTATTTAGTAACATCTAAGTTTAGTTCATGTTTAACCACCGCTAGCGCATTTGTTTCTCTCAGAGGGCAGGACAAGAGTTTATGCTGTGCTGTCTCTCGAGCTCCACAGTCACAATATGGATCGTTAATGAAAGAGAAATTATGGTCAAAAAGATCGGATTTGAAATATCGATTTACTCTTATCTTATTTAGTACAATTTCTTCTTTTCTATCAAGATTCTGTATGTAGGAGGTTGAAATTGTAGGTTCGGTGTTTTTGGTGAGGTGATCGTTTAGTTGTTTTTTAAAAAGTGAGAAGCTGTTCGTTTCCTTGTGGTCTCTAGGAAGACGGTTCCACAAGGTTATCATTGAGCAAACTGTTCCCGTTTCCATTTTTTTACTAATTGAGGCTGGTAATTTGTAGTCGTTGGTTGTTCGAAGAACTCGCGTCTGAGGTGATTTATATCGTTCGAAAATCCGTTTAACGTAAGATGGTGCCGAATTGTTATGAATCTTGAACATAACGCGCAATTTATGTTCATCCCGTCTATTTTGAAGATTATCCCAATTTAATATTTCAAGGGTTTTTTCTGTGCTTGCTCCTTGCATAACACCAGAACAAATAACAGCTGCCCTATAATGTAGCTTGTCTAACTGGGCTAGGCTGGTAGCTGGAGCAGCGTCATAAATGATATCACAATAGTCCAGATGTGACAGGATAAAGGAAGAGTAAATTTTTTCCAGGTGTTTGGAATTTAATCTATGCTTAAGTGCCATAAGTGGATTTAATAATTTTTGAATTTTACCTTCTAGATATTCAATATGGGTTTTGAAGGTTAACTTTTCATCAAGAATTAGACCGAGGTGCTTATGATGTTTAATTTGATCTATTGGAGTGTCGTTGAAAACAAACTTAGGATATGTTCTCTCAATTGGTCTATTTGTTTTAAAGATCAACTCGTGACTTTTTTGTGGTGCGAAAGTTAGTCCCCATTTCTGGGACCACATTTGGATATGAATTAAGTCTTCTTGAAGAACTTGGCTATCTGTTTGGTGATTTATTGGGTCAACCGGACAAAAAAGTGACGTGTCATCCGCATAGATAAAACATTTAGAGTTTAGGTCGTCCGTTACGTCATTTAGATATAACAAAAAGAAAATCGGTCCCCATATTGAGCCTTGGGAGACTCCAGAGTTGATTTGACCGACTTAACTTGACCTAGAAAATGATGAATTTTCTAGGTCACTGACAAGTACTATAGGCTAGTGTTAGCGTCACTAAAAATCGCAAAGTAGGAAGGTGTGGCCGGGTACACAGTTGACATCGCAAAGCAAGTAAAAATGGACAGGCGACGCTACATATATATTCAGATGGTCATATTGATCTTTACAGAGTACCAAGCTGTTACTCCTTGCAAAGTCGCAAATATATCTGCTCAGGAGAATTTCCAACTTGGCAAGGTAAATATCTATTGAAAACAAAAAACACTCTAAACAATCGAGTATCATTGCATGGGGGTGATCAAGATTTTTGTCCTTTGTTGCATAATGCAATCACACAATTGGATACGTTACGGGAACGCAAATGTAACCATTGTTGAACATTGATTTCAAAATAATAAACTATATCCAAAAGCTGGAAAAATAACTTACTTTGGACAAAGATAGATTAGTTTTCGAATTTCACATAAGTTTTTTGGCTGAGGCAGTCTTACTCTTTTTTAATTAGTAATTGTAATTAGAAGAATTTGAAGGCAATTTGCAATTTAAACGACGCATTTAGCATACGAACAATACAGTTTACCCGAACGTACTTGTGTTTTTATTGCTCACTAAGACGCTGTTGTGACATTTACATATATGTACATGGTAAATATACATTTACACTTACTACAGGTCCTGTGAGTAAACATATATTTACAGCTGACAACAAAGGAAGCCTGTATTAAGTGACAAAGAGTTCCATTTTTGAGTTCGAACAACATCACTGGTAGTATCTAAAGCCCCGCTATGATTTAAAAGTCGCGAGCAAGTTCCCGCTGAAATCGCGAGGAATAAAAAGAAGTCATGGGTTCTTTTTTTGTGTTCTTGAATTGTATGATTTACAAAACGTTTTCTTTTATTTTTTCCCAATGATTACATGGTATTGAGACTAAAAAAGCAACTGCTGGAAAAAATGTATCACGAGCGGTCGTTCTGTGGTTCGTTATTTGTCAATTGAAGAGGGAAAGTATCATTTTGAATCTTTATCTGTATATTTATATACGTTATTGGTGAAGAACGATGTTGTCCTGTGGTTGAAATAACGATAGTGATATGAAATAAAGATGTACCGAGTTTCACTTCCTAAAGCTTTACAGAACATTTTATATTTAAATTTTACCCTCAAGGCCCCGCTTCTAGCAGGAGCAATTAAGCAAAGATCCCGCTGAAATCAGGAGGAGGCCCCGCTGAAAACATGAGGAGGTCCCGCTGAAAACAGGAGCAAGTGTCTCTCAAAAACGGAGTGAATCCCGATTATACCCTGAAAATCTCCCACTTTCGTACCCACCTTGACTCACTATTGTACCCAGTTTGATGAATACATTATTTGTCAATACAATTCTCAATAACAGCAAACACAACTGTTTAATATAGTTCATATTATGATACGTTGTTATGGAAAACTGCAGTATCATATTTCCATGCCATTTTACAGAATAAGAAAGATCATCTGTGAGAAATGTGATGAGTATTAGATTGGACGAAATGTTAAACATTCAACCTCATTTTCATAATTTGAAGTAATATAAGTTATTGAATGAGAAATATAGGATATATTGTGCTAAAAAAATTCTGTATTTGCACGAGATGAAATCAAGTAGAAATACAGCATATCGAGAGCACAATATATCCTATGTTGCGCTTCAAATTGTTGTATAACGTTTTTTATCGTGTGATCTTACTACATAGTCCATAGGAAATATTCTGTATTCTCTGTATTGCAACTGTCCCCTCTGTTCCATCTTTGAGTACAAGTCGATATTCAGTAAGATACACGAATAAGCGTGCGTTTAGGTCAACCTAAAATGATTTAGTCAGAATAATGTTTATGAATATTATTCCTATATCAATCTCCTGTTGCTTACTTGCTTGCTCGCTTCCTCCCTTCCTTGCTTCTTTGCTTCCTTCCTTCCTTGCTTCCTGGCTTCCTTCCTCGCTTCCTCACATCCTTCCTTCCTCGCTTCCTTCCATCCTTGCTTCCTTCCTTCCTCGCTTCCTTCCTTCTTTGCTTCATTCCTTCCTTGCTTCCTCACTTCATTCCCTCGCTTCCTCCCTTCCTAGCTTCCTCCCTTCCTCACTTCCCTCCTTTCTTTCTTGCTTCCCTCGTCGCTTCCTTCCTCGGTTCCTTCCTCCCTCCCTTCCTTGCTTCCTCGCATTCTTGCATCCTTCCTTCCTTCTATCCTTGCTTCCTTCCTTTCTTGCATCCTCCCTTCCTTGCTTCCTCCCTTCCTTGCTTCCTCACTTCCTTCTTTCTTCGCTTCCTTGCATCCTTCCTTCCTCGCTTTGTTCCTTCCTTGCTTCCTTCCTTCCTTGCTTCCTCGCTTACTTCCTTCCTCGCATCTTTCCTTCCTTGCTTCCTCATTTCCTTGCTTCCTCCCTTCCTTGCTTCTTTCCCTCCTTCCTTCCTTGCTTCCTCGCTTCTTTCCTTCCTGGCTTCCTTCCTTCATTGCTTCTTTCCTTCCTCGCTTCATACCTTCCTTTCTTCCTCGCCTCTTCTTTTCTTGCTTCCTTCCTTCTTTGCTTCCTTCCTTCCTCGCAACTTACCTCCCTCGCTTGCTTCCCACCTTGCTTCCTCGCTTCCTTCCGTCCTCGCATCTTTCCTTCCTCGCTTCCTTCCTACCTTGGTTCCTCGCTTCCTTCCTTCCTCGCTTCCTTCCTTCCTCGCTTCCCTCTGTCCTTGCATGCTTTTTTCCTTCCTTGCTCCCTTCTTTCCTCCTTCTTTGTTTCCTCGCTTTCTTCATAAATTTCTTCCTCACTTCCTTTCCTCCTTCCTTCCTTGCTTCATTCCTTCCTTCCATGCTTCCTCGCTTGCTTTCTTCCTTGCTTCCTCGCTTCCTTCTTTCCTTCCTTCCTTCCTCACTTCTCTCCTTCATTCCTTGCTTCCTTCCTTCCTCGCTTCCTTTTTTCCTCCTTCCTTGCATCCTCGATTCCTTCGTTCTTTCCTCACGTCCTTCCTTTTTGGCTTCATTCCTTCCTTGTTTCCTCGCTTCCTCCCTCGTTTCCTTCTCTCCTCCTTCCTTGCTTCCTCGCTTTCTTCTTTCCTTGCTTCCTCGATTCCTTCCTTCCTTACTTGCATCCTCCCTTCCTTGCTTCCTCCCTTCCTCTCTTCCTTCTTTCCTCCTTACTTGCTTCCTCGTTTCCTTCATTCTTTCCTTGCGTTGTTCTTTTGTCGCTTCATTCCTTCCTTGCTTCCTTCTCTCCTTGATTCCTTGCTTTCTCGCCTTCTTCCTTCTTTCCTTACTTACTTCCTTATTTGCTTTTTTCCTTCCTTCCTTTCTTGCGTCTTTGCCTGCTTCCTCTCTTCCTTGATTCATCGTTTCCTTCCTTCTTTGCTTCCTGGCTTCCTTTCTTCCTCGTTCCCTTCCTTGCTTCCTTCCTTGCTTCCTCAGTTCCTTCCTTCCTTGCTTCCTCGCATCGTTCCTTCTTTGTTCCCTCGCTTCCGTCCTTTCTTTCTTCCTCAGTTCCTTCCTTCCTTGCTTTCTCACTTTCTTCCCTCCTCGCTTTCTCGTTTCCTTGCTTCCTTGCTTCCTTCCTTCCTTCTTTGCTTTCTTGCATCCTTCCTTCCTCGCAATCTTTCCTTCCTCACTTCCTACCTTGCTTTCTCGCTTCCTTCCTTCCTCGCTTCATTCCTTCCTTGCTTCCTCGCTTCCTTCTTTCCTCGTTTCCCTCTTTCCTTCCTTGCTTTTTTCCTTCCTCGCTCCCTTCTTTCCTCCTTCTTTGCTTCCTCGCTTCCTTCACAAATTTCTTCCTCACTTCCTTCCTTTCTTCCTTCCTTTCTTGCTTCATTCCCTCCTTCCATGCTTCCTCGCTTCCTTCCTTGCTTCCTCGCTTTCTTCCTTGCTTCCTCGCCTCCTTCTTTCCTTGCTTCCTCGCTTCCTTCCTTCCCCACTTCCCTCCTTCCTTGCTTCCATCCCTCCTCGCTTCCTTCTTTCCTCATTCCTTGCTTCCTCGCTTTTTTCGTTTTTTCCTCGCGTCCTTCCTTTCTCGCTCCATTCCTTTCTTGCTTCCTCGCTTCCATCTTTCCTCCTTCCTTGCATCCTCGCTTCCTTCTTTCCTTGCTTCATCGATTCCTTCCTTCCCTCCTTCCTTCCTTGCTTCCTTCCTTCCTCACTTCCTCCTTTCCTCCTTCCTTGTTTCCTCGTTTCCTTCATTCTTTCCTCGTGTCCTTCTTTTCTCGCTTCATTTCTTCCTTGCTTTCTTCCCTCCTTGCTCCCTTGCATTCTCGCTTTCTTCCTTCCTTCCTTCCTTCCTTACTTCCTTGCTTTTTTCCTTCCTTTCCTTGCGTCTTTGCTTGCTTCCTTCCTTCCTTGCTTCCTCGTTTCCTTCCTTCTTTGCTTCCTGGCTTCCTTTCTTCCTCGCTTCCTTACATGCTAGCTTCCCTGCTTAATTCTTAACTTGCATCGTTCCTTCCTTTCTCCCTCGGTTCCTTCCTTCCTTTCTTCCTCAGTTGCTTCCTTGCTTGCTTCCTCGCTTTCTTCCCTCCTCGCTTTCTCGTTTCCTTGCTTCCTTCCTTCATTGCTTCTTTCCTTCCCTCCTTCCTTCCTTTTTTCCTTCCTTGCTTACTTATATTACACCCACCTTCACTTCTTCTATTTACTTCCTCCATTCCTTCTTTACTTGCTTGCTAACTCAATTACTTACTTCGTTGCTTGTTTACTTCCTCACGTGCTTGCTTGCTTTCTTGATTATTTACATTCTTTCATATGGCAGTGGAAAGACAAATTTTGATGAAAACCTGCAAACGAACAAACGAACGAGGAAAGAACGCACGGATGGACAGAAGAACAGCCGAAAAAACAATGATGAACAAAAGAACGCATGAAGGAAAGATAGAATAAAACAATTTACAAAAGATCGAACCCACGCACGCAAGAACGTAGTTACAAACGAACGCACGAATGAACGCACGCACGAATGAATGCATGAATGGACGGTTGAACGAAAGCACGCACGGACGGACGAACGGACGGCTAGACGGACGAACCCACGAACGAAAGGGCAGTCAGACGAAAGCAAGCACAAACGGACGGTCAGACGAACGCATGCGCACACAAACGGACGGACAATCGCACGAACGGATGCACGCACGAACGAACGAATGGACGGTCGGACGAACGCTGCCACGAACGCATGATTGGGCGATGCACGCACAAACGATCAGTCGGTCGGATGAACGCACGCATTAACGAACGGACCGTCGGACGAACGCACGCACGAACGAACGGTCGGACGAATGCACGCACGAATGAACGGTCGGACAAAGAAACCAATGAAATATATGTGTCCTCGGAAGTATAATCCTTGGAATAGTTAATTATGTAGAATGTACATTTAACTCCGAAATGTACAAAGTCTATTTACATATAAAAATTTGATCATGCCGCTGACAGATGGATTAGACTGCCTGAAGTTGAAGAAGAAATATTTGTGATGTTGCCATAGAATGATATGTTATGTGATTGTCATTAATACGTTATTTGCACATTCGTGTACGTTCATATGAAGAAGCTCACTATATTCATGGAATAATGATGAAGCTTTCCTCGTGATCGAAGCGGGTAGTCGTGAAATTTGCTCGTGTTTTCAGCGGGGTCTCCTCATGTTTTCAGCGGGGCCTCCTCATTTTTTCAGCGGGGCCAATGGAACACCTTTAATAATGTATTTCGACCCCCATGGCAGGTGTCATTGTCCAGTTACTTATCAATACAGACCATCTTGATCGGATATTTATTATGGAGTATGTAAATCGTATTTATTGCCTTTGTTTTAACGATAAAGGTAATATATGAACAGTAAATTATGCAAACGTGCATGTTGACGCCCCTTTCCTCCATGCAAGTAAAAAATAATCATTGTTCATGTCATTTTTTGTCAAATATATCTGTTTTCAAAGTTTTGCTGGAGTATCAAAGAACGGTAATAAGTATTTTCATCCTTTTTGGTACATTTTCCAAAGTGATACAAATAAACAGGACTATGCTCGCGATTTCAGCTGGAACTTGCTCGCGACTTTTCAATCATAGCGGGGCTTTAGATACTACCCGTGAACATAACGTTTAAAGGGACGGACTTAAAAATAAAAAATATGTGCTGCAAAAACACCCCTGGGTACCCCATCTTGCCTCTCTCTGCCGTTTCATTACGCGATTAAATACATGATTTTTAAAACAGGTTTTGACAAAATGAAAATAATGAGGGGCTGGACTAAGACTAAATAAGGTCATTCATGTGACCCGATCTCAACCATTTAGAAAAATACCTTCTTTGTAATTTCTTCTGAAACATTTTAGATATGACTTTGTTTCGCTTTCATAAGTAAAGATACATTGATAAAAAAAATATTTCAAAATCCGTTTCAGTTCATGGGTAAATGGTACGAGATCAAGTATATTCCACTCACACATATACCTGGCGAAGTACTATGGACGGACTACCAAGTCACTTTCACCCAAGAGAGCCAGAATTTGGTTTCTATGTACGACATGGGAAGGTAAGGAACCGGTTAATATTTCGATGTCCCAAAATCACACCGGAATAGCCTAACAACGTTAAAGTCAGATACCGTTGTCACAAATGGGTGACATCCGTCGCTTCAATTAGATTTTCATGAACTGTGTGTTTAATACATAGTGAACATAAGCCATCCACCCCCTCCCTTCTAGATATGGTTACACTACAAGTGCGGAAAGAAGTTTGAAAAAAGAAAAATAAGGTTAAATATTTTTGACTTGTTTTGTCTACAGGATTCTTCTGGCACGCCTAAAACATGAACATCGGTCAAATAATGAACCAAATAAATCGGAACCAAGTGGTTGAAGAGTTTAAGCGACGGTTACGTCCGCCATATGTGACAACGGTATCTGACTTTACCGTTTTCAGGGTATTCCTGTGTGAAAATGTAATTTAATATTGATTTTATTTTATTGATTGATTGATTTTATTATATTATTTTATTCTACAGGTTTGTAGTTACTTCTTCTGAATCGATGTTCCTTCCTAAACGTAATTTTGATGGGGTACGCTCTTATTAGCTCTACGGTACATTGGGGTAATTCGTTTGAGCTGGTTGAACTGGTTGGACATTGATGCCGGCCTCTAGCATACTATTAGACAAATCAAAGAAAGCAGCAAAAAAACTTTAATTCCAATACTGTTGTTTGATTTACTCAGGCTCATATTAATCATTCCTTGTCATGACTCTCAAATATTTCCCATGGATTGCATACTAGTAAGTACTTTATTTGATGAAAACTAAAAGAAAGTATTTACAATGGTAGGTCAACTATACATTGCTCATTATAGGCCCAAACGAACAGATGAGTTTTGCAAGGAATCAAAACATTACCTCCATACTACTGATGTCCCTGGTAAACTACAACACAGTAGAGGAATAAGTATGAATTTATTTTATCATTGTATTAGGCTATGTATACGCTAATAATGCAATGGACGATTCTCGGTTTGGAGAACAGTCTCCTGGGCTAATAATTTTTTCATAAAAAATATAGAAATATTACCCAAATCAAACTATAAATATTCAAAAGATGACATAATCTACAAGATGTAAAAATAACAAATTGGTCTGAAGCAGGGATAACGCTCAATTAGACCGATTCAATAAAATACAAGTCTCGATTTGGGGAAAGAAGTTCATCAGTGTACTGCGCTAATATTAATTGCGAAAAATCTAGAAATATTACCCAAATTAAATTATGACTATTCAAAAGAAGACATTCAAATCTATATTATGTAAAAAATCAATTTGTCCGAATCAGGGATAATGCTCTTTAGATTGGTGAACTTCTATTAAATAATGCTAGTAATTAAAATCGAACGGTTTATGTCACAACCAAAAAGTTGTGACGGCGGTCGGCGTTTGGTGCACGTGGGTGGTTGGCGATAGGCGGTTGGCGTCTGTAATAAATTCTTAAAACTTCCAATAACTTAACAAATGCTGTTTAGACTGACTCCAGTTTTTTTTAAAATCATATCCAAGTGTTTTCAGTAGTTCAGATCTTACTTTATATTTAAGATTTAACCTTCAGTGACCTTTCAAGGTAAAAAAAGGTCAAAAATATATTTTTTCAACTTACTTCATATTGACCATTTTTTCAAAATCATCTACAAGTTATCAGAAGTTCAAATCTGACTTTAGATTTGAGATTTGACCTCCTCAAGGTAAAAAAGGTAAAAAAAGGTATTTTTTCAACTTACTTCAAATTGACCAGTTTATTTCAAAACCATCTAGAAGTTCTCAAAAGTTCAAATCTGACTAAAGATTTGACCTTCAGTGACATTCTCAAGGTCAAAAAAATAGTTTACCTTCAATGAGCTTCTCAAGGTCAAAAAGGTATTTTTCAACTTGCTTCAAATTGATCAATTTCTTTTCGAAATCATTTACAAGTTTTTAGAAGTTCAAATCTGACTTTAGATTGAACTAATAATATTAAGAGTAACTAGGTGGTGACATTTTGTCATGTTAATGCCTTGTGTCATTTATATTATATTTTAGACTCGACTCGCTCGGATAGATGTGTTGTTCTTACCGATTACAATAATTATGCTGTGCAGTACGGTTGTCGAGAATTACTTCCAGATGGAAGGTGTGCCCCTGGTGGAGTTGATTCCTGGGTATGGTCCAGGGCATGGACACTGCCTGTTGACACCATGGTGATGATCGATGATTTTCTTAATACAACACTTTGTATTAATATGACAACGTATGTGCCTAATGTCAACGAAAAAGGTAAATCTACAGTAAACACTATCAATTTCTCTGAGTCGTATGCTCAACATACCCCATTTTATGGACCTAAACACAAATTGGGGTTGCAGAGATTAAGTGGGATAATCCATATTAGTGATTTATATGTCACTTACACAGTGGTTATTGTTATAGTCGCCAACTTTTTGTGGACAGTGTTCGGCGGGTGGCGGTCGGCGTTCGGAGTCTGTAACAAATGGCAGGTTGTGGCATTTTGTATGTTAATGCCGTGTAAAAATTTTGATCTGTCGGAGTCTCTCTTTGTATAATGTTATTCCAAGGCATAGTATAGACTGTGGATCCATCGATGCCTCGTTTTGGATTGTAGCAGTTTGTCCCGGGGTTCAAGTAGTCCTGGGATTACAGGAGGTTTTGAAGGTTAGGTTAATTACAAGTATTAGGGCTGATCTCTGTATCCCCTTTAGTGATTCCCCATGTATAATTAGTGTTTAGTTCCAACTTACCTGGCTAATCTGATGACAGAAATACATTTATTTCCAGAATGCTCTCCTGAAACAAGTGCAGCAGGTAAGAGCTTTGCCCAACTACAGGTGACGCCTACAGTTGTACATAAAATTATTTTTCAAAGAAGTCACTGTTATATCATTATGTAATCATCAAGATGGTGAATAAAAAAGATGACATATTGTAAAACAGATCTAGAGTGTACAAATGGACTCATGTATTACAGTTGATATTGAAGTTGTGGTTGCACGTAAAATGGTGGATGGAACATCTTTAACTAAGATTGAAAGTGTAATGAAATGTAAGCGATAAACTTGTAGGAATGGATCAAATGCGACTAGTCTGTAACAAGGAACTACTGCTGATGATCTTCTTAATTATCCCATATCAGAAACAATTTAAGTTAACTGCTTAATCTTCAGCGAACATGTTTTCCAAATGTATACCTCTTAAAAATGTTGCTGGCATTTATATAGAAGTATCCCTTAACGATTTTTGAAAGAATTTTTATTTTTATTACAGATGTGAACTATTTAGCTACATCAGTGATTTACCTGGCTATTACACTTTCCGTTGTGTCCATTGCATTCGAATGAGAAAGAAGAAAAACGAAGAAAACAATTACAATGCAATAATTACAATTACAATAAACGACCTCTTCAATACTTTGACCATAATAATACGCCTATAAAGGAAATATACGTGAAGCAGGTGTTCTACGGTTCGATGTAAAACTGATGGTTTCCACTTTCCAGAATTCCATAGATTATGGTCTTTGATGCTATTTTCTATATAAAGTTACCACACCGTACTGTTGGGGCCCCTACTGTGAAACAGAATATGTTCACATCAAATGCAACTTATCAGTTTAAATGAACAGTTGGAATAGTAGGATATTTTGACATGTAATTTACTACATCTACAATCTACACTGGACAATGAGCCTAAGTGTGCAAATGCCATATTAGTACTAACTTAAGTATTCATTAATAAACACAAATATTAATCTATGGTTGTATTTTAGTACTATGTATTCATTAATAAACACAAATATTAATCTATGGTTGTATTTTAGTACTAAGTATTCATTAATAAACACAAATATTAATCTATGGTTGTATTTTTTATAGCTGTTCGTTTATTTTCACATTTTATGTACATGTAATTTTTGGCGTCACACAAATCAATTGTTAATTTACCCTAATTATATTTCATTTGGACCAGGAATATGGTGTTTTATTCGACTCTTTAGTAAAAAGCTTTTTAAATGTCCCGTGCGATCTATGTCCAAAGATGGTTTAATTCACCAAGTATCATATTCATGCGAGTCCAAGTTAAAGAGATCGCCCAACCATTCTTCGTGAAAATCGCTTCACTAGCCCAAATATTATTTTCTGAGACAAAAAAGTGTCAATTTCTCTTTATCCAGGACACGTCTGAATAAGATATTTGGTGAAATAAATCTTCTTTAAACATTGATGGTGTGGGCAAGTTTCACAGAGATACAAAGTCTAAAAATATGTTAAAAGTATCATGACAAACCTGAAGTGGAAAGGCTGGCGATCTATTCGCGCACCTATCATCCATAAAGTCACGTGACAGACTATACATAGGCTGAGCAGCACAAATGTCAAAGTGTAGGTTGGTATCTGATGGGGTCAGCATTTTTCTGGATGTGATTGTTTAGAAATGCAGAAAAAATTGAAATAACTGATATTTAACGAATACTGTACTTCCGGTTTGTTTCGTGAGTTTTAATTTCGCGAATTTTGAGAAAACATGATTTTGCGACTATTAAATTTCGTGATTTTCACTAAGTACACCTAAAGCTTTGTCATCTTGGTCCACAACATGCTGCACCTTAACCTCTATTACATCGTGATTTTTGGGTTTATTATCCCAACAAACGAAGTTCGGTAGGGATATAGTGAAGCCCTCCGTCCGTCAGTCCGTCCGTCAGTCTGTCCGTCCGTTTCAAGATGGCCGCCGCTTTAAAAATGACGGGACTTTTTCGCAAAAATCATAAATTTTTCATTCTAAACCAAAGTAATTAATATTATTGTTTGAAATTTTGGTAGTATATTCACAATATTTATCTATTTCACATATATTCCGTGTTTTTCATCCTGACCCAGGACCCTGGTCAGGAAAACAGAAATTTTCGCTAATTTTTAGATCTTTCTGAAGTATAGCTTTATTATACTCAAATGAAAGGCAATTAAGAGCAGATTGCAAATATTGTATCTTTTTTCTGATTCGAGCCTCGTGAAATTCAAAATGGCCGTCTAATGTACGATTTCGCAATAATTTTTCAATCCCTTCAAAGTATGGCTATATTATACTCAAATTGAAGGATTTTTGGAGTAGATCACAATTATGGTATTATTTTTCAGATTTGTACCTCAGAAAATTCATAATGGCTGCTTTGCAGGAATTCGCAATTTTAAAATCTAATTTTTTCAATTTTAACCAAAGTAATGAGTATAATTGATTGGAATTCGGTAATTGATATTTTGTTCGTTGGGATTTGCTACTCCGCGGAGTTGCCGTTATCTAGTTTGATCTAATAAGCCAATGTGGAACAGACATTGTTATTTAGTATTCCATTATCACCTAAAACACTTGACAAACATTTTACAAAACATGGAATGCAATGGAGTCCCAGGAAACAAGAAATTTCACAAATCCCCTGGGATTTAATTGACAATTTCACGAAGATTAATTTTTACGAATTTACCACAATCGCGAAAAACTCGAAACTAAATCGCACGCGAAAAATACTGTTAATAATTGTTGGAAACAGGACATTGGGTTGGCATGATTAATGTATACTGTTTGTGCCATAGGGCAACATTTTACAAGCTTAAGGGGGTCTAGAGTTATCTACATGTAAGTTGACATTCAGATTGAGGATTCATAGAATAATGGAAATTTAATAAGGGGGAAATTGTGATTTTCAAATAGTGTAGAAATATGCCAAAATACAGCTTAGATAATTGATGATATAGTTGCTATGCTACTGAGTTGCTATAGCTATCTATTCAATCAATAGACATAATATGTGTGCTTTAACATTGTGCAGTATTGGTAAATCATATCCACATTGATATTTATAAAGGATTTGTATGAGAAATGATTTTTCCTGTTTAAGAAAAGTAAACAATTAGCCAATGCTGTTTATAGTCAGCTGGTTGCTATGGCAACCAAGAGTGTTGTCAGATATTCCTGTTAGCTGAAGAACTTTTATACCTTAACATTTATATATAATTTTATGAATAAGTTGGATAGTTCATCAATAAGTTTAAAAATATAACACAGAAATACAAGTCTGCATACTAATACCTCCTTATTAATATTCATATTTAAATGGCATTCTACCATAGTTTCTGGTAAATTTTACTATTTTGCCCGATGATAGGCCGGTTGCTATGGTTATCTATTCAATCAGTAGACTTATGTGTGCATTAACATTGTACAGTAAGTCATATCTTCATCCACATTGATCATTATAAAAGATTTGTATGAAAACTGTTCAGGAAAAGTAAAAAATTAGTTAACGCTGTTTATAGTTAGCTGGTTGCTATGGCAACCAGCAGTGTTGCCAGATATTCCTAATAGCTGGAGAACTTTTATATCTTCAAGATTTTATATCATTTTATTGAATTAGTTGGAAAGTTCATCAATAAGTTTGAAAATGTAATAAAGAAATGCAAGTTTGCATACTCATATCTCCCTATTAATATTCATATGTAAATGGCATTCTACCATAATTTCTGGTAAATTTTACTATTTTTTCTCGATTTTTGTTCATCTGTGGCAGAAAAACACTCAAGAGTTCCACTTATTTTCTTTGCTTCTTTTGAAGCCCACCATATACCCATTCTCAATTTCTCACAAGCCATAAACTAAATGATGTATAACTCTACTTGAGATTTTATGAAAGAATGTGTAAATATAATTTTTTTGTAAAAATAGACAAAAATCACCAATTTATGAGGTAGGGGTATGTATGTCATACTAACGTGGAGAAAAAATACAAGATACAGTATATGTCAAATTATTATTCCTTTTTTGTTTCCTTAATATTTAAGGTTTTATAAATAATAATAAAAGATGAAATTTGCAAAAGCACATGAATTGAAATATAAACAGAGCATGTGAAATAGGGTATGTTTGTAAGATTGGGTTGAAAATAATGCCCAAATCCCTGGAAATCAGGATAAAATTAAGAAGTTTACCCCTATTTCTAAATGATGGCATAACTTTGCAAAAAAAGGTTCTCAGAATAAAATATTTTGGGAAATTTTATATCTTTCTACTATATATAGTTTAACATAAAATTAGACAAAACGAAAAATTTCATCCATCACCCATCATCAGGTTCTCTGGGACAACCCTACTTAAGTAAATATTAACATACCTATGGTTTAATTCTTTTTAAGACTCATTTTAGTTTGATAAAATGTTCTGTTTTTAACCAACATGGCATTGTGGATACTTTCGATTAGATGCACCTTATGATGTAAGAGTGCCACTGTTAAAAAAGTGTATATCTAAATAAATAAATAAATAAATATTCGTTGGACTTCGCTTCTTAATAGAGAGCTTCTGAAACCTATCGGGTATATCATGGATCTCGATCTATCCGGCGCTTGGACTATCAAAATTAATGGATTCATTGAAGTATACAATGCAGTGGCGGATCCGGGGGACCCAGAATTTTTTTAAGTTTTTGGGCCCCAAACGAAAGAAGAAAAATAAAAGGGACTCAAAAATAGGCATTTTTGGCATAATTTGGCCTGTTAGGCCTATTTTGTGCCAATTTATCAAAAAGGGCCTTAATTTTTCAAAATTCGGGCCCAATTTTTGGTTGGGGCCCAAAATTTTTCCAGACTAAAAATCCCCCCCCCCCCTTGATAATTTCTGGTTCCGCCAGTGCCTTGTATATTGCAATGAAACTAACAATGGGGGGGGGCAAAGATTAACTCCGAAAATAATTTGCACCCTAATAAATCTGGGACCAAATTTTCAAAATTGAAGGCCATTATTGATAATTTGGCCTATAAATAAAAAATAAGGTCCAAAAGGCCAAGTAATAGTGAAAAGAGGCTCAATAGTTGAGACCCTACCAAATTTTTGGGCCAATTCGAAATTGTGATGGCTAACTCATGCCCCCCCCCCCTGTATCTGCCAGTGCAGAGTGTCAATAAACTTGTCCCTATCCCCTCTTTATGAAATTCCTATAAATTCAGATTAATAACATATTAACTATGACAGTACAGTACCATTGAAGGAGGTGCTACAGTTTGTATGCTCATTGCTCACATATAGATTATTTCGTGATTGCTGAATCACAACCACAAATTTGTACTAGAAACGCGCATGCGCAAAACAAAATATCTGAAAAATATTTGCAAAATATTTATTTTTACGTTCATTTGACAACATATACATTATGTGAATCATGATAACGCAAATAGTACGACTATTTTATCCTTTAGATGATTCGGAATGATTGGAAAATATAAGTGATACTCCAGCAACAAATCAAGTAAGTACTAAAACAAAAAGTGAGCTTGTCTCCAAATTCTTGGAATCATTTTTACAGCTCAGAGTCAGAGCTCAGTCAATCTTATAGCCTATTCTTTATCCTAGCTATGGAATCTAGGTATGCTGATGTATGGCGATGGTCATGTACTATCAGAGCAGCAATGTTGGAAAAACAAAATAAAACAAAAATTTAGCTTTTTATGATTTAGACGCTAAAACAATGTCAAGTTATGCTCTCCGTTCGATGCCACACACTTTTCATTCCACTTAGTGAATGGTAGTATTTTCGGGAACCACATTTTTTCTGACCGAACCATACACTTTTAGAAACGAACATACTGACCGAGTCCTAACTCAGGTTTGGTTTACAGTAAAATTTTAAATGTTTCAAAGTACCTTGAATCCAAAAAATAAGCAACCAAAGGACTATTGAAACAGTATATGTAAAAATATCAACATTTATACATGTAAATGGCCAAACTTTTGTATATTTTAGTTTGCTTTGTAGTTTGGCTATCATATGTGTGACTTTTGTGTGCTTCTTTGCCACGTTATTTTCGAAAAAATTAACATGGCTGAAACTCCCTAAATTAAAAAAATTACCTGGAGTGCAGTAAATCATTTGATTGTTTATTTTTTTAATTCAAAGTATTTCGAAACATTTAAAATTTTACTGTAAACCAAACCTGAGTTAGGACTCCGTCGGTATGTTCGTTTCTAAAAGTGTATGGTTCGGTTTCATAACGGTATGTAATTCAGGAAAAATGTGGTTCACAAAAATACTGCCAACTCAATTTACATTTTACTCAATTCACGAAATAAAAATTAAATTTCAAACTTATGCAGTACATTTGAACTTTTTATTATCAATTCATTGATCTGCTCCAGCAATTATGAGTGTTAAAATCTCACAAACTAAGAATTTTGGAAATTTATGTGGTATGATGTACCTAGAACCTTAGCTTGTAGGTGTGGAATACATCTTTTATGTACGGCCGGTTTCAGATCCAGAGTTTATCCCTTGGGAAATATGTGTACACATATTCCCCTTGGGATTGGGATGGATAAACCCTGTATCCAAAACCTCCCAGTACATAACCCTTACAGTATATATGAACTAAGCTATTCTCTCGAATAACAATGAATAACAACCATTATTCCATAATAACATGTTTTCCCTGGGAAAATAACAGGGAATAAAAGTGTTATTTGAAAAATCCCGTATCAGATCCCGTATCAGCCAAAATCCCGTATCAGATCCCGTATTGGATCCCGTATCAGCAAAAATCCCGTATCAGATCCCGTATCAGAAATATTCCCGGTAATTTCTCTTGAGTTTTACGCTTTTCGTCTAGCACATCTCTACAGGAAGTAAAAAATCGTTTGGAAAATTGAAATTATTATCATCTAGTTTACGTCTATTACTGTGACAAAGGTCTATTACTGTGACAAATATTAAATATTAAAATATTATGAAATAAATAGGTTATTGATGGTCGTGATGGAATATGGATTTATTCCTTGAGAAAATATGATATTGGCCTCAGAAAATATCATATTGACACTCGGGCTATCGCCCTCGGTCAATATGATATTTTCCTTGGCCAATATCATATTTTCCCTCGGAATAAAATCCATATTCCATCCCTCCCATTAAATAACCTCTATATATAGACAGGTATATGAATTCACATTCTAGACAGAGATACACTCAGGTATGTTCAATATTGGAAAAGCACAAGTGAGAACTAATGAATGTAATTATTCATTATACAAGTTGTATACAATCTATATTATACAATACAAGTTGTTTCATAGCTCATGCAAGGCCGGAATGGCTTTTGAAGAAGCATATATAAAACATATGTTTCTTTTATGTGTCTGGAAGAAGGTAAAAACCTAGGGTCTAAAGTTTCGGGTCTATTTTTATGCTGTTTTGGGTCTGTTTTTATGCTGTTGTGTTCTTCTAGCCGGATGATGTTCATGTGTTTTGGTGTAGTATCTCGAGTTATTACTCAACTGAATCTAACCAACAACTAATTTCTTTTTAGGCTAATAGATGTCGCTGTTTAAGGCACGTGAATGGTGGTCGACTGTTGTTGGGGAGGATGAAGAATACGATTGTGGGTGTTTATGTGTCGCAAATATTGATAATGCAGCAAACGGACAAGGTATAGTGTCTTTTCTGGGATTAAGTTTCTCATTTAGGTAGTACTTATTGAGTGATATAATTTGAAAACAAAATCTTTATATATTTTTGTACAATACCGGTACATGTATTTCATGAGACAGAAATATAATTTTATGCAGCTGTACATGATATTACATTGTACTATGTATTACATGCATACCAAACATTCATTATGATTTTTATATTTATTTATTTATTCATTTATTTAAGTGTCACCTATCTAAGATAGCCAGCCCTACCTGGGCTTATGAGACACATTTTACATAAGTTATATAATAATAATACATAATAATTTTAACAATACAAATATAAAATTAGTGCAGTTCAGCTCAACATCATTATTGATTTTGATTTTTAAATAAAACTCTTTTCCTTATATAGAATATTTTTTGCAAATACTTTCCAAAGCATTTAATATATTTTTTATTTTCAAAGATATCTTTAAAGGAATCTTGAAGGAAAGAGTTTCGAGCTTCTGAATAATACACTCAAATACAAAATGCGTTTCATTTTCAATTTCATTTGAGTTACAAATTTGGCACTGTCTTTGGTTTACTGGAGTTTTTGGTTGAGTAAATCTCCCCGTTTCTATTGCTAAAGGAAGTATACCAGTTCTTAACTGAGCTATTAAAGAGCGTTCACCCCTTGTCAATGATGATGTAAGTAAATACTGTTCTATTGGACAGTCATGATTTTAAACTAAGCAATTTTGATACAAAATATAATTTCATGTGATTGTTATATCTTTACTTTTACACATTACAGAATTACCATATTAAATACAGGAGTTATTTATGTACATCATTATTCTTTCAGATAAAGTAATAGTTGGTAGTTTCCATGGGGTTTTGAGAATATTCAGGCCCCAGCCATTGAAGACTGAGTCTGGATGGAGTGGTTACAAGCCAGAAGATGTCCTAATAGAGCAGCAGTTACCCCAGCCAATCCTGCAAGTGGAGGCAGGACACTTCATAGCGTAAGTACAATACATATACACCAGTGATCTCCCCATACCAGCATTAAAGCAAGTGGGCCCAGCACACACCTGCGATTTTGAAAATAGGCTTGCACCCACCTGATAGTCCATTTGCACCCACTGGAAAATGAGAAAAATTATGAAAAATTGGCATATTTTGACCAATTTTGGTCTGAATTGTGAAAATTAGAATTTTGCGCCCACTTGAGAAAAAATCCTGTGGAGACCACTGTACATGTACAAGTGAAACACCTCTATTAGCGGAACACCTTCCAAGTGGAACACTTATTTTTGTTTTTACTTTAATATCTAAACCTCGTAATATTTAAAAAAGATTTAATTTGCTGAATGACACCTTCAAATGAAATCTTGTTACAGGGTATAAATCAGACTACATTCCTTTTAATAAAAAGGAGATCACTGACTGATACTCACATGAGACTAAAGCATTTAGGTGAGAATAAATGTAAATATAAGTTTAAATGTACACACAATATCATGACTGACTTGATCTGATATTTCAGAGGCAGTGGCAACAATGAAAACCTTAGCCTTGCAATACTTCACCCAAGGAAAATAGCAGTTTATTCTTTAACAGGTAATGCATATAATTGTATAACATGTACTGCACTAGACTCTATAAGAAGTTATACATCTTTGGATGTCATGTTACAATATAATCATTTTTCAATCATATTGGGTATATTTTGTGTTTTAAATGGTTCTTAAATAGAAAATGATGATGTCAGAGTGAAATGTGGATCTTGTATCCCATCAATTAAAAATAAAGGAGAACCTTACATCACAACGAACCAGTCAGATTGCTAGAACTTTCACCATCATTTGATAATATATTGTAATGTATTGTGATTTAAGATTAATCTTCTCAGGCTGAGATCCCAAGGTATACTGTCAGCCTTTTCCCTTCTGATTTCAAACTTATGGACATTTTAAAAATGCCCAAGTTGATTTTAATTTTTTTAGGCTTTACCCTCCCTTTACTTATTGAAATAGCCTCTTGCATGTCAGTGTCTTGTTCATATTTGCCAATATTCTCCATTTGTATTACAGCTGTGGTAGGTGCAGTTGAACATGGAAGCCACTGTAAGCTGAGTCTCGTTTATGAACACAATTTACAGAGAACAGCTTTCTGCTTCTGCTATGGACCTTTTGGTGGTGTAAAAGGTAATATTCATGCAGACATTATTGAAATGCTTGTGTACATTTTTACACTCTTTGGAATGAGGCTTTGGAGTGTAATCAATGTTGTAAATCCTTAGAAACAAACTTTGACACAAAACTTTAAAAAAGGTTACATGGTTTACATTAAGGTAGGACTGTCAATGTGATTTGTGTATTTTGGGTGTCAAAGACATACATTTTAGGGTTGATAATGTATGTACTTTCAGGCCGTGACTTCATATGTGTGCAGTCAATGGATGGTACAATTAGTGTATTTGAACAGGAAAGTTTTGCTTTTAGCCGGTTTCTCCCTGGTGCATTGCTACCAGGACCTCTGGTTTACCTGGCTAAAACTGATAGCTTTATAACTGTATCAAGCAGTAGACACATAGAGTGTTACAAGTAAGTTAATACCATACACCTCTAGAACACATCTACATATGTAAGAATATGTCCTAAAAGGGATAAAACCAAAAAACAACAGCAATGAAAAGAAATATCTATGATTTGAGTCACTTTGAACATTGTCAAGTTGGTGCAAATTAATGTTCACCCACTTCATTGCTTGAGAGATCACTTATTTCTTTTATAATGGCTATCGCAAGAACTCTATGTTGGGCTTACAACAAAGAAAACCGCATTTTTGTAGCTGCAAGTTAAGAAAACCTATTTCAGTTGTCCTTTAATGTCTGTTCCATCTTTCACATGGCCTGCTTTTATTTCACCCTTGTTAAGAATTGACTGCCTTGCCATTTCAGGTACCAAGTACTGGCTGTTGCCACTGATTCCAAGACTAAGGAAGAGTCCCAGAGTCTCAAGTCAGGCAAGCGTGTTGCAGTAAGATGATAGCCCTTTAATACCTTTACATTAGTTGTCTTTGTATTGTATGTTACTCTTTGTAGTATTATGGGAAGCTGACTTCGAATTAAAAAGGCAACACTTAGAAATACGTTGTTGCAAATGATTAAAGCCAGACTTATATTTTGACCATATAGAACATTTTTCATTGAAATTATACATTTCAGTTATCAGTTCGATAAATTTTTCATTTCTTTCTCATTTTCCCACATCGAAAATTCCTTCTATTTATGCAAGAAAAATGAGAATAACATGATCCTCTTTTTTAGATAAATCAATTTCATCAAATACTCCACAAAACATTGTATTTGTTTTCCAGATGGACTGGAGTTTGAACATAGGAGAACAAGCCTTGGATATTGCAGTCTCAAGCTTTCCAAATTCACCTGTCTGCATATTTGTACTGGGTACGTCCTTCTATGTGATAATCTATATTTAGAGCTTAACTTTTGACCTGGGACTTTTGACAAGGATGTTAACTAGTTTAAGTGTTTTGTCAGATTTATACATTCACAAATAACTATTTTTGTGTAATTTGTAATACCATTCAAATCTGTGTATGGTACACTGTGTAATACCATTCATATCTATGTATGGTACACTGTGTAATACCATTCATATCTGTGTATGGTACACTGCATATTTTTAAGCCTATACTGAAAGTTTACATGTATTTAAATGCATGTAGCTTGAATTGTATTTTTTAATGAATTAAAGAGTAATGTTGTCTATATTCCAGGAGAACATAACTTGTACTGTGTAACAGAGTTTGGGAAGCTTCGCTTTGCCAAAAAATTTGAGTTTAATGTTAGCTGCTTTTTGCCTTATAAAACTGGTGAGTATTATTTAATTTGATATTAGTTTAAAAACTATAAACAAGAAATAATTGATGTCAAAATAGTGACCGGCTTAATTACCTTGTTCACAATAAAGGGGAATCACATGTTATAAGGTCACATTTTGAACCCTTGGTTTAGCTTGTGATTGTTATTAATTTTTAAGTTCGTTAAGTTGTTATGTACAGAAATGTATGTTTTCAAGTGTTAATTTTATGAACTTTTTTTTTATTTAGTAACTGAAGGCACAGTGAATACACTAGTTGGTACTCACACAAACTCACTGATGGTCTATCAGGACATCACCCTGAAATGGGCTGCTCAGTTACAACACACTCCTGTTCAGATCAGACTGGGTAACTTTGGGTAAGAGCCTTGAAAAGTCATTTGGTTTGTGGCATTCGTCCTACATTTAGATAATACTACAGACTTTCTAGAAGTTTAGTCGTAAGTTTGTTGTAGCATTTCATTGTAGTTTAATAGTCATATCTTTTCCAATTTAGTATATGGATGCTATAGACTCACAGGTATGTTTCTAGTTAATGTGAACACCTTGCACTGTGAACACTAGTCAAAGAAGTGTTCAATATATACTTGTTTTTTCATATTTTCAGAGATCTTAAGGGTGTGATTGTGTCTCTGAGTGATGAGGGTCACCTAGACTGTAGCTACTTGGGTACTGACCCTGCCATCTTTATGACCCCAGCCTCTGAGAGCAGAGAGACAAACTATGATGATCTGGATGAGGAACTCGCTGCACTCTCTGAGAAAATCAAAGAATCTTCAAAATCTATCGGTAGGAATGTTAAAAATACTGTCCATGACAATAATGTGCAAAGGCTTTCATTTATTTTGCAGAGGAAATTAACTAGAGAAGATGACACAATATTTCCAAATTAAAATTATCTACATGTACATATATCAAAATTATGCCTTACTGTATTTATGTATGATGCTTTGTTGACAATTGAGTTATTGTGTTAATTTAAAAGAATAATTGCAATCATGGGTGATTACTGATGTGCCTTCTGTGGAAGCGAGTCTTAAATTCTACCGAGTCACATCATAGTAGTTTCACACTCACAAAAAATCAAAAATATGTATTTGCAGCTGCAGTACCAGTGGCAAAGTCATCAGGAACTGATATCGAAATCATCTCAAGTGTACCTCCAAACCTTGATGCTCCTTCAGTAAGTCCCTCTAATCAGTCATCATTTCAATATTACACCTCATCTTGTTTGTTTAGGGAACAGGTATGGAATGATGAAAGTAAAGAAATTAATGTACTTTCTACTTATCTCTAAATGTTTCGCTTCTACTTCCTCTCCCTGTCCTTACTCAAAATGTACTCAAAGAAGGCCTTATAAAATAACTACCTGAGTAATTTTCAGTACATATTAATTATAATAGTATTTCCTTATTTTCTTAGAGGCATTCATCTTATGATATGTATGAATGTATTATACATTGCTGTGTTTACATTTTAGCGAGCTTTGGAGACATCTATCACAGATGAAGACACCCCAGTGCCATCTATAACAGTAACTGTGAGTTTTCATATTAATTCAAAATCTGACTTACATTAAGCTCACTAGTATAGGGTTAGGAAAATAGATAACTGGGAGGAACAAAGACCTGATACTAGCCTAAGATTGATATGGCATTATATTTCTCTATCATGTTTCAGTCTAAAATATGTTGAGGATTTGGAAAATATAGCTTGACAATACGACCTTCGTGCATCTAGCTTCTTTAGATTTTGGAAAACCTGAACTTTCAATCTTAGATTTTTCATGGTGAAATCATTATTTTAGAATTGTATTCATTAGCAGGGGTTTCATTAGCAGCAGGCGACAGGAGATTTTCACCGGTTGTTTTCACAAAATTGCCTGTTTTAGGGATTTTTCCATGTTAAATTTATGTTTTCCATTAATTTTGCCTGTTGTTTTCAATTATTTAGCCTATTGTGAGAAATTCTAGTGAAACTCCTGCATTAGTATATTAAACTTGGTATCCATGCAATGAAATGTATATGTGAATGATGTATGGTTTTAGATCCAACTGAAGGCCAAGTCGACTGCCAATAATGTTAATGTCACCATCCATGTAGCCCCACCACTAGTAGTAGATAAACCAGTGCTAATGTTCCCAATGGTTGGTAAGTACAAATAAAATGTAGGAATTTTCACCATCCAATAAGCTTTGCACTAGTGGGAGATCATGCAGATTTTGTGTTCTCAAAAGTCAAACGGTTTTTTTTAAAATTCCCCAATGTGAAAGAAGATGCAATATTAAATATATAGAAAATAAGTAACTTACATAATACATCTAGAGAATGAGTCATTAGAAATGGGACACTGCATCATTCTTGAGAATATCTACGATAACACAGATGAACCAGATATACCATGCCAAAAGATGGATGGGCTTTAAAAAGATGTATTCATATGTCACAATTCTTAAAGACGTAGAAGTTATGACAGATTTAGAGAAATTGTAGAAGTTAGACACTTCAGAAAAATAGTAAGGCAGATTTTGGTTACTTAAAATTGCCCACTCTAGAAGGAGAACAAGAGTTAGTATATACAGGGTGTCTCAAAAAAATGTACCCAAAAGTATATCAAGAGCACAGATTAACCAATCAATATTTTCAGACATTTTTTGCATGGTCATGTAGAGTAAACATGAAAGTTTTCTCCTCAATACACCATTTTTATTTTAGTCTTGTCTTTTTTATGCTGTAACCCTTTACCTTTTACACCACATAATCGATGTAACCTCATACTTCGATGACAGCCTGTATCCTTACTGCTACAATGTTCATCACATTTGATAATAATTCAGGTGGAATGTTTTGGATTTCTCTTTGTATGTTGCCCTTAAGTTGTTCTAGGTCTTTTTGCTTGGAATGGGCATTAAAACACTCCTTCAAATAGCCACAGAGAAAGATGTTTGAGGATGACGATGGCAGATAATCAGGTCAATTATCGGCAAATGATTCAGAAGTTACCTTCCAGAGTTAGGTAGGCTAGCCTGGAGACCAAATGATATCCAAATGAAAACACAGTGGTCTCAAAATGATACACACAACAAAAGCTACACTAGAATCCCAGCCATTTTATGCTAAACCCAAGCTAAGAGACCTAGAACAACTTAAGACCAGCATCCGAACAGAAATCAAAACATTCCACCAGATATATCAAATGTGATAAACAGTGTAGTAGTAGTAAGGATGCAGACTGTCATCGAAATATGAGGTTACATTGAATATGTGGTGTAAGAGGTAACGGGTTAAAGTATCAAAAAGGCAAAACTGAATTAAAAACTTTGTATAGGGGAAAAAACTTTCTTCTTTTATCTACAAGACCATGCAAAAAATGTCTGAAAATATTGATTGGTTTGTCAATGGTGATGATATACTTATGGGTACATTTTTTTGAGACACCCTATACAGTACACTCAAATGAAAACCATATTTTGGTTATACATGCATAACGAATCGCAGACAGGTGGGTCAGTCCCTCCTTACTTGACTATGATTTAGGAAATATATAGTGAATGTAGAGGAGCCTGGGGGTAGAGAAATAAGCCTTACACAACATGACATTGTATGAAATAAGTTTTTAAGATCTACTGTACTCATATATAAGATTTCATCTTCTATTTCTAGATGCTAGTAGTAATATCAAAGCAGAAGTGACATTCTACATTAAATCTCCATTCCTTCCTGCTAATATGGATGTCCAGGTGACGGCAACATATCAGACACCTACAGGTAAATATAATGCAATTGTTCACTTCTATAGAGGTGGACTGTGACATTCTACATTAAGTGGAAGTGACATTCTACATTAAATCTCCATTCCTTCCTGCTAATATGGATGTCCAGGTGACAGCAACATATCAGACACCTACAGGTAAATATAATGCAATTGTTCACTTCTACAGAGGTGGACTGTTGAAGTTTATTCAGACAATGTAATCTGAGACAATGAATCAACTCTTAAGTTATATAATTGCTTAGGTTTAAAGAAATACTGAGGCAAGGTCTCACTTGCAAAAACTAGTATCAAAACCGAAAAACTATAACTGACAATGTCTTCTGTAGTCAACTATCAAAAACTACTATATCTACTTTTCTCTTTAACAAATCTGACTTTGAAAATAAAGTAAAGTGTAAAATACTACACCAACCTGATTTTAGGTGCTCCAAGAGTGTCCCAGTCCAGTTTGAGCTTACCACTGAAGTTGATTGTAAAACCAGCAATGCCAGTGAAACAAGCAGCCTACAAGATAACCATTGATACAAACAAACCACCAGTTAATCTTAATGACGTTTACCCAGGTATGGAATCTATCCCCTTCAAACTGATTAAATATGCTCTTCAACATTAAAATTATTAAATTCAGTCTACTAGTTTAATTGTTTTGCTGTTGTACATGTACTTGTTTTGTTGGTTCCTCTATCCATGATCTATAGTGGTATAAATTAATGAAACTACGTGTAGTGTACATGTGCATTAGGCCATATGTCATTTACATTATATGTCTATTCATAATATCTGTTTTACCTGAGGTATCCATTTCCCAAGTCCCCTCTGTATTCAAGAAGTTTTTGACTTTGAACTCAAAAATTTCTATCTGCGAGCAAATGACCAATGGCCCTTTATTTATTGTTTCACTCACTTTATATATTGTTTTACACGATTTCAATCTACTCTTTCAGATCTTCTTGGAGAAAGTGCTGGTGGCCCGGGTAATGCTCTTGGATTCCAGTACTTTGGCGGTCATCTAGTAACTCTACTAGCTTCAAAGACATCACGTATGAGTTATATACTTTGTTTTCTTTTCATTTTCAATCAGATAAGGATTGTACTAAGTATAAAGCTTAAGGATGATGATCATTCCAATTTGCTTTGTTAAAACTCAAAAATTGAAAATTTATTGAATGTCATTAAACCATGAATAAGTGGCATTTTGAGGTCTGTCATTATACTATATGAGCCAGGCCACAGGAAAAGGGGTCTTATCACAAATTTTTTCAATATTCTGATTTTTTGTTTATCTTAAAAAGCACAAAGAGACCTTTCAAATGAGCCATGGCTTGTGTCTTAACAATTTTTCCTTGCATATATTAACCAATACGTCGAATTTGAATTTAGCACATTTTCCTCTTAATCTTGGCACATTTTTGGCTCTGTAGCACATTTCAATTTTTGTGATAAGACCGGTTTTCCTATGGCCAGGCTCATATACATGATTGTGTATGTGTATGAAATGAAAGAGTGGCTTGCCTTTTCATTTTAGAGAGGTACAGGCTACAATGTGACTCTTTTGAGTCAATCTGGCTGGTTGTCCAAGACCTTGTGAAGAGATTGACGGACTATCATGCTAGTAGACGTATCTCCGATTTCAAGGTGTCATTTTCGAGCAATCTTCCCTTGCAAGAGTTCTTTGAAGTTGTAGATCAACATTTTGAGGTAGGTGTAATGGATCAACATTTTGAGGTAGGTGTAATGGATCAACATTTTGAGGTAGGTGTAATGGATCAACATTTTTGAAATGGTTTAGTAGATCCAACAGTGATATGAGAATTGTAAGTTATATACCAGTCAGTCAGAAGTCAGTCAAATTCAGGTATTGTATTTAATTGTATGGACTTTCTGAAAGGACAATTAAAGTCAATATTGATGCAGCAAATGTATACCGATTAATATTCAACTACAAATGCAATTAATCATACGTTTACAGCAGTTCATAAGATCAATTATGCATCGTTAGGCAACAAGTTGAATTTGAAACAAATCTGTAATGTAAATTAATTATTTTCCAGACAACATGGAAATATTAATTAACGGGTCTGCTTTTCAATTCAATTCATCCTTTGGGTTAAGGTCATTTTCTTAATCAATTTAAGACACACATTCACATTTACATTTCAGTTACGATTGAATAATGAGAAAATGAAAGAGCTACTGAGTCAAAGAGCTACGCAGTTCAGATCCATCCAGAAGCGTTTGCTGACCCGTTTCAAAGACAAAACCCCAGCACCCCTAGCTAACCTTGACACTCTCCTTGATGGCACATACAGACAGGTTTGTAGAATTCAGGACATTGTAGTTGTACGAGTTAGCCTGGGACGGGTCTGTTGGAGCCTGGGACGGGTCTGTTGGAAGTTCCTGGATTTCTAATACCCTTTTCATCCTTCTGAATTATAAGGAATAATGGAGAAGCTGTTCTTCCGTTCATCAGACCGTCTGTTAGTGTGTCCAGGCAATAACTTAAATATCAGTTGTCACATGATTCAAATCTTATAGCCTTATGCCATATGGGCACAGGATGTCTGCTCAAAAAGGAATTTCCAATATTGCCACTCTCTTTAATATCGTATGCCTGGCATTTCTAGGGAAAAGATAATCATTGATAACTCAAATACTGTTTGGAGATTTTGTTCAAATTTTATAGGCTGGTCTGACATTTTTGCTTAGGGTGAATACATAGTTTTTGCCAGAAGGAATCACTGCTTCTTCCTTGTTTGGGAACTAATATATTATGTAATTTATCTGTAACTGAAATAAAAAATCTTAGTTTATTTCTGCTGAATTATAAAGCAGAAATCACATATACTACATGTGCTTTCAGCTGCTAGCTCTCGGCGATGCTATAGATGAGAACAGTCAGAAACAGTCCATAGTTAGCAATCACCTGAGCTGTGCTGTACAGCTGCTCAACTATATCGTGAAAGTCTGGCTGGATATGTCCGACTCTGAGTTCCACGTCCTCCAAGGTTCACTAACACCTGTCATATGTGACAATGGTGAAGTGGTGAGTAAACCTTCTATTCAGGTAGGGTAGGATAAATCAAGTGTTTTGCATATCCTTTCACATCTTTTTCAAAATGGAAGTAAAAACTAGGGTTCATCCAAGTTATGACATAATAGCAATTTTTGTAGATTTTCACACATTGAACACAAGCATTTAAAAGTGTCATACATAATTAGCCAAGTTTTGAAGAGATAATCCAAATGAAAAGGCCTATCAGTCTATTGATAAATACTGTATGTCTAAACAAAGAATTTATTTACTGAAGTTTAAAAATGTTTTGAGTTTTAAGAATAGAGTCAACAGCAAATTAAATTCACTGTAAGTTACTGCGTAACAATATATCGTCTGCTATTAAACTATTGCATTATGGGATAGGGCTGGGAAGAAATAGTGGATACCTCTATCACTCATCTACTGAGGACATGCCTAGCAAAGAGCTCCAAAGATCAGACAATCAACCCTGCTCCACTGACAATGCCCAAAGACACCACCAAGATCAAGAAGCATGTGGCTTTGCTGTTTGACAGGCTTGGAAAAGGAGCCAGACTATATATTGAAGGTCAACAAGAAAGTGAGTAGAATGATTGGTGCCCCATTTTGTTATGATTTTGTCATTGTCAACTAATTTTGGTGGTTCTGGAATGATTATCATGATAAAATCGTCATATACTGCTCAAGTCGTCAAAGAGTTGAAAAGACTATGAATACAGTAATGTACTGCACTATACTGTTCTGAACTATACTGTACCAAAATGCCACACTTTAGTTTGTGCTACTGTTTTGAATATTTATACATACTTATACATCTTCAGGTAAACCGCTAAACAATGACAAGTTAAAGTTACCATCTCCAAGAAATCGGTCTATGGGGGAGGAGCCAAGTGAAGAGTTTGAGGGTGGCAGCACCCCCCTGGGAGAGGCAGAGGTACCCACAGGCAGCAAGTTTGGGGATAAGAGGAAGTCACCGCGAGGCCAGGGACTTGAGCCACTGAAACCTCTGAATGATAGGGAAAGAAAAGGAGGTGAGCACAGCATGTTTAAAAGTACTTACAATATAACTCCTGGTAATGACAATATATTGAGCTTGTGCTTCAAAAAATTTAAATATTTTCTTTGCTGACTTTAGGTTCTAAGTCATTAAACGAGCAGGAGGAGAAGCGCAAAGATTTAGTGCCAGACTTGGATGACCTTTATAGTTCGGTACACAAGGAGGAGCCCCCTGAACCAGTAAATGCTATAGGGTCCCTGCCTCCGCTAGGTGGTTCTAAATTGCCGCCTGTGTCAAATTTACCACCACTAGGAAGTATAGGTGGCGCTGATCTCGATGAGAATGATCCAGGGGGTATGAAGTTTGAATGAAATATGAAGTATTTGAATGTTTAGAAAATGTGTTATGCAAGGAATAATTAAATGGACAATTTTTTACTGGGGTGAAAATCCTGCTGGTTAGAAAATGTTGTTTAATCCAGAATGGAGAATGTTGTTCTTTTAAAACTCCCATAGAGTCTATTTTGACATATGTGTCACCTGTTAAACGCTATGACATCTTTATTATACGTAATGAATCCGTACAATTTATTGTTTTCAGGTGGGGCATCTCGGTTTAAGAAAAAGCGTCCTAAAGTTCCAGATTTAGATGACATGGGTTCAACTGATTCACCACAAGACATGGATGAACTGCTGAATGGACTTGGCTCAGAGAAAGTCTATTCACTATAGCATCACATAATTGGACTCATTTTACATTCGTAATGTACTCTCTGGGATGTTTTTTCCCGTTATATGTGATGCATTGTGGTATTTGATTATGCGTGTTTTTTCCGTCCACTGTTGTACATGTATTCTAAATATTACTCTTGTCTGTGGCAAGTTATGAGAACTACAAATATACATTCTCAGAACTACCACCAACACCATGTATTCCATGCGATGTAAATATAAAATGAAGGTTCCGATGAAAGTACATTGACTTTTGAAAATGTAAAACAGTTCAATGAATAGATGGTGCTGTCTGCGAGTAGATGTCATATTTTACAGTCATGTACGCATCTTTAAACATGAATTCGTCGAATCACATCAAATAATAGTCATTTTTCTTACCTCTCATGTTGAGAGGGAATAACTATTTAATTTGGAGATCAATTAGTCATCTTCACATTTCAAATGAACAATATAATCCTCAGTAATACTTTTCTATGTATAAAGAGACACTATTGTATTGCATATATTTCTCTAAATGGCTATTTTATAGTCAACATTTATGTGATGTTTGAATGAATCTCTGTGTGATGTCATAGATATTTTTGTGGATACAATTACAACATACTCGTACAGTGACCTAATTGGATACGAAAGGGTATACTTACTCTCAGTCCTTTGTTTGAAAGACAGGATCACACTTCTATCTACAGATTACGTGATCTGAAATGCTATTTGTAATGTTGCTGTCTTCTCTATTTTGATAAATGAATGTTTTTTCACGAATTGAAATTTTTTCACAAAATTGAAAATATTCAACCTAGATCAGGTACTCAACCTTTGATTAAAGGTTAACTACAAAGAAATAATTAAAAACTAGAATAAAAAAATTGCGCACAAGAACAATCAATTACAGTCATTGTAGAATTATATAAGTACGCATTATGAAAATTAGGAATAAAATGGTATTACAGTGTATTACATGTATTACATGTACATATTCCGTCCAAATCTAGTTCTACCGTACTCTATATATTTTCTCACTCTGATATCATAACATTGACATATTGGTTACTGCAATGTAATGTATACAAAACTAAACTAGAGTCGTGAAAGTTAAGACTAAATTAATTACAAAATACAGCATGACAACGTATAAGAATATCTGAGTGTAACTATAGCCTATTTTTCTTTCATTTTAGATAAAGAGTTCATTCCAAGAGGTCTACATTATTGACCACATCGTTGTTATTTTTGTGTATTGAGCTATTAAGAAGAGGGGGGGGGGTCGTGCAAGTTGGTATATTTGCAGGCCCGTAACCAGGATCCCCCTTGTTACGCGCCTGACTTGTTATATCCTAAATGACCTAAGTGCCGAACTTTCATCCTAAAATAGACAAAAAATTAAAATTTTGAAAATACGCAACTTGCAATACCTATACTTTTTAGCTCGATCATTTCTGTAAATATTATGATTTGAAGATATGATTTTCACCCCTTGTTGGCACTTGTAATGCATCTTTCAAGTCTTAGTATTTACAAAAAAGGTTTTCTCAACGTGTAGTATATAGGTGACTCTGATTGCAGATTGGTAACATTAAAGTTCTATAAGCTACGGTATATTTTATGAGTTAGAACTTGAGCCTTTTTGAAAATGTATTTGTCATTCCACCTGTTACACTGTTACAAAGAGAAATATTGTTAATTATAGTATCATCTTGGTCTGAAAAGGATAGCTGGTGTTTTGTAAAAATGATACACATTCTATTGTTGCCAAAAATTAGTTCATAACATATCTTCTTCTGATCTCGATTCTGTTAGTGTATAACCAGAAATAAAAATATAGTTTAAATATATTTTAAATAGGTATATGAAATGAATTGTTTTTTAAATATATCTTCTAGAGATTATTGACTCAAGGTAATGTGGATGAATTCGGGGAGGTGAATTTTGAGTAAGGAAGAGGGAAGGAAGGAATGTAAAAAATGCAGAAATGTGAAGGATCGCTCTATAAAATATAAACCAAATTCGATAGGTGGTATTTGACTGTGGACAGACGAGCGGACGGTTTCTCTATATCCTAACTCAGACTTCATTGAAAACAACAACAATCTCTTGAGACCCTATGACCTAGCTAGCCTGAAATTACCAATGGGTAAGCGACTTTTTTAATTTATTGCGAATATTTAATTCCATGTGAATTCAGTCTTTACAATATATTATTAATTTCGCCTAAATTTTAATTTTGGGAAAATGCAATACAGTGCTCAAAAACCGTAGTCTGTACCGATACATTATCAAAGACGCCGACAACTGTATCCGAGAGTATTTAAAAGCGTAATCCTTAGTGGATTAGAACCCTCGGATTGGCATTTCGGTCAATATTTATTTATAGAACACGTCAAGTGTTATAAATTGTTTAACATATTATTTAATCCCTAATAATACAATGAATTGTGTTCGTGGAATAGGAAGAAAATTAAGAGCACATTCGTTCTATCAAGAAAATCAAGATAAGTACAAGTCCGGTAGGGATATAGAGAAGGTCCGTTCGGTAGTGTGTCCGGGCGATAACTGAAAGCCGGTTGACAGATAAGTTTTATGCCTTATGGAGAAGAACATTGCTCGAGAAGTAATTTTCAATGTCATGGTCGCTGATTTCAAAATAGCCGCGCGCCATTTTTGTAAAAATGTAATCTTTGATAACTTAAATACCAGATTTGGTTCAAATTTCATAAAAGCTTTGATCAAGAATAAATGTCCAAGATGGCCTCTAAATTTCAAAATGGCCGCTATTTTTAATAAACAATATAATTTTTGATAACTTAAATACCATTTATGGAATTTGTTCTAATTTGTATAGGCAAAGGTGTTATGGGCACAGCTCAGCTCAAGGAGGTATTCTCATAGCCGTTAGGGGCACAGCTCAGCTCAAGGAGGTATTCTCATAGCCGCTAATTTTAAAATGGCTGCCTTTTTTTATTAAAATATAACCTTAAATCACTCAAATACCAGTTGAAGGATTTAGTTCAAATTATATATGCGGGCTCAAGAAGGATTTTTCAAGATAGCTACTACGTCCTCAATTTAAAATGGTCGTCATTTTTTCATAAAAATGTAATTTTAGATAACTTAATTCCAGTTCCAGAGCCAATTCTAAAGAATAATACCTTAAAGGCAAAGGACTTCTGCTCAAGAATAAATTTCCAGCATGACCACTCAATTCAAAAAGTCCGCATTCTGAATCTTTGTCTTGTCACATGTGGGTGCAGATTTTGCCAAAATGAGACAATACTGCTCTACTTTTGAATTGAGATTCTCAGGCTCTCGGCCTCAAGAAATTGAAAAAATCCCAGCCACGAGAGGTAAATATACTTGTTTATACTTAATTAAATTAATTTAAATGACTTGGTGCCTATTTTTGATTTTGATCTGTTCACATCGTCCTTTAATTAAGTTATAAAAGATTTATTCAAAAACAGTGGGTCAAAGATAATGTCACCATGGACCTTCCATGATGTCACAAGGACAACAGCCTGTCCAGTTGGCTCAATGTGGCATCAATCCTAGGCCATGCAGGAGGCCATATGTTAGGACACCTTGGAAGTCAAAGATGATGTTTAACAGAAGGAAGAAAGTTTCTTTATTCTATGGTCACGTTGTGTTACAATGCTGTTGGCCATGCTGTGTCACAACTAATCAGCCAACCCATATCAAAGGTCCATTTGCAGTATGGCAAGTGATTTTAGACAGTCATATCTTTCATCATGGGTTCTTTCTGGCCACCAATACAGTTGTTTTCATGAAAACAATATGCTTTCTTTCAAGTGAAGTCCCCATGATAATAAAATATCCATACCACTCTCTGAAAAATTATGGATTAGGACCCCACCTTGGCACTTTTTGAAAATGTTAGGGTCATTTTCTAAAAAGGGGATCTTGTTTTACTCAATTTAAACATATCGAAAGTTTCTTCTACACTATAACATTTTCTGAAAAGGGGATGCGTATTGAATTTGAAATGTGTTAAACTTAAAAGTCACATACCCCATGTTATTCCCCATAGGGAAAACTCGTGCTATCCATTGTTTTCAGCATAACTTTGGTCATCGAAAAATGATATTTTCAAATCTAGCCTTTCAATACCATTCTACTTTTGAAGAAGTTTTAGACCCCTTGATAAATAATATTTTCATGCAATAAAACCCAGAAAAAGAAGATCCTCTTTTGAGTAAATAGCTTCAACATTTTGAAAAAAATATTGACATGGGGTCCATATTCATAATTTTTCAAATTGTTCGATTAATATTTTTATTATCGTGGGTACTTCACTTGAAAGAATACATATTGTTTTAATAAATAAAAACACTTGTATTTATGCTCAGAAAGTATTCATGGTTAAAGATATGACTTTCTGAAATCACTTGCCAAACTGCACATGGACCTTTAATAAACTTAAAGAATCAGGCAAAATATTAAATAGCTTCTATTGTTGCTAGATTTTTCCTATAATACGAATGAAGTATTTAGGTTCCAGATATTCCATAGTATCAATTAAATTATAATATATTAAACAATTTATAACACTTGACGTGTTCCATAAATAAATATTGACTGAAATGCCGATCCGAGGGTTCTAATCCACTAAGGATTGCGCTTTAAGGTTTCTTAGGGTACGGGTATCGGCGTCTTTGATGTCGGTGCACGCTAGCGGAGTCCCCTTCTCTCATTGGTCAAAGCTGGCCGTATCGTTCCTCTCGGCTCGTGGGGACGTATTTGTTTTTATTCATGGGGTTTGATTTATATGCGGTACTCGCCTTTTATCTGCAACTTCAAAAGTTTTGAGTTGGTTTATTCGCCTAGCCATAGAATCAACACCGATTTTACCAGATTCCTTTCATATGTGTTTAGTTTTACCTTCAAGAGACTGTAGCTATGTCAAAGGGATCTGATCCACAACGTATATGTTATACGGCTAAGAGAGGAGGCACACGCTCAATCATGAAGCTGCGAATTGACTGGTTACTACTGTGTAGTATACACTTATGTTTTGCGCTGAGTCTTGTACACCATCCAACACACGACAATACAACGTATGAAGCTAGCACGGACCCTCAGCAGCCCGCCAACACAAAGCAGATCAGATGGTCAGAAAACGTCTTCAGTTATGTCCACTCGCTCAATTGCCAAGATGTTTTCTTTACAACTCAACGACAGTGTGAGATTATCACTCAATTACAACGACATGAAGTCAACATTTATATGGCAGATCCTACGGGTAGAGGGGACCTCTTTGCCATCACGCCCGATGGTGGATTGAGCAAGGCTGGTGGGCATGATGGGGTCATTGTGTTTGACCCATACCCTTCGGCCAATTTCGGACATCTCGTTATCGTATTTTTCCTTGATTTGGATTCAAATAGGATGGTTTGCCAAAATGAAGGAGGAACATATATTGGTAAGTTATTTAGAATTTAATTAATTTCATAAGTTGTAAAACATGTAGCTAAGTAAATGAAGTAAACAATAACACATTCACTTATAAAATAAACATGCGTAAGGGGAGTCTGGAACTCTGACGACAAACGTAAATGAAATCACTTCGATAAAATATTTATTAATGACAAGGTCCAATATTAATGAATTTGGCAAATGAAAGGTCGATTGCGTGCAAGAAATATTTCCCGTTTTTACATTTTAGCCAATCTATTCTGTCCCCTTCATTACAATACCAGCTGGGAAGTGCGAACTATTAAGTTTCACAATCAAGATTATTATTTGATTTGTCTAAATACGTGGATCCTTATCAATCGGTTTAGATATTGATTCACCATTTATCATTCTCAAATACAATTCATATTGAAGAGCCAGGGATTGCCCCCCGGAAGTCTTTAGGTTAAGTCTATTATCTACATTTGAAAGTGCTAATTTTTAAGTGGTTTTAAGTATTTTGTCAAGCAGAGTGTTTGCGTTTCTTTGAATAGAAGACTGATGTTTCATTTTACAAGTTCTATGAGAGACTCCGAAAGACATTTGCCTTTTGAAATCCGTCTTTTAGTCTCAATGAGTCTTTCATGTGAGAATAGTTAGAATAGTTGTATGCCTTTTTAACTGTACTTCACTCCTTAATTCTTCAAACGGTCTCGACTCTTTTATTTAACTTTTTGAAAGCAATGCCCTTTCAAGTCCACAGTTTCACAAAGTTCAGAAGGATCGTAGGGTTATTACAACTTTCATATGTTTATATTAATGTTAATACATTTATTAATAATTTTATTTGTCTATTTAGATGTATGCACTCTCTGTATATTTATATGAGGTGAGAAAGAAAGTGTAGTAAGCGGTGCCTTTGATCTAATTGGAACTTAGCCAGAGCGAAACACCTAAACGTATCAACTAATGTTTCATTTTCGATATTCGATAGGATTTCTATCGGTGCAAGGCAATTATTTATCGACTTGAACTAATATATTTATAAGAGATCAAGTATGATTTGTGTGTTATGTACACAGTCAAAGCCAAAAGTTATTATTACTGATATTTGTAACAAGAAATGTTAAGAACGTGTAGCTTTTACACTTAATAGTCTTATGTCAATAATCCAACATAGCTTCTTTGACGTTTTACTCTGACTCCGGAAATATAAAAATATAAATCTGACTTAGCGATTCACCTGCCAAAATATTACTTTTTAATAATCCGACACATTCTTAGAAAGAAACCATACATCCGACCAAGAAAAGTAGCTATTAATGTTCTCAATGATGATCTTAACGTCATTTTGAAACGTATGTAATTTAATAACAACGTTGAACTTCCTATGCTTATAATTAACTGTTGACTGAATCACAGGTTGCTGTTAAAGAACCGATTTGTACCTGAAAACGAGTTAATTATCCAAAGTGAATTTGAAAGCAGGCGTACTAAATATACTTTTGCTAAGTTTCGAATTTAAACTTTGAAAGGGTTTTTCATTTACTATTGCCAATCAAGTTTCTAACTGAAACTTGAAATTGAGTCTTAACTTATACATACAAATACAGTTTCAAATTGGAATTTGTAAATTGGCTTTTACCGTTGTGAAATCCACAATTTTTTGAGTGTATTTATTATAATTTTTGAGATATTAATTTTGAAACATTTTTTAAATCAATGCTGCATTTTATTTTATATTTTTTAACTTTAAAATTTAGAAATATGCCCTGCTTCGACTAAATTTAATAAAATTGAATGATTAAGAATGAGCCCAGGGCTAATGGATTGTGTGTTGTCCATGACGGTATGCGCGAATGGATCCGAATATCGTCCCAAAATCTAATTCAAAAAGTAATATATAAACCCTTACTCTTTCAGGTAATGGCGAATGTTTGACTCTTGCTCTTAAGAAACGTTGCAAGAATGCTTTAGAGAAACGACGTCGACGAAACTATGCAAAGCGGTGTGAGATCAACTTTTTACCACGAGTTTTTCTGGAACATGAGCGAGAAACAACGGCACAGCGACTCACATGTCGTTCAAATATCCCAGGATTTGGAGTATGCCCACAGATGCGCTCCATAAATGAAACTGCTGATCTGATATGCAACCCACTTCGTGATAATACGATACGATGCGAAACTACACACGAAACAACAAGAACTAGCTGCAGGTAAAATGCATATCCAAATTCAGTGGTACAAACAAGAGATTGGTAACAAAAATCCAGAAAATGGAGAATTGGTATCAAAATAACCAACACGATGGCTTAATTACTTTATATCTATATTGATCCACAATATATTAAATCTTTGCCGATTGATTGTCAACTTAACAGCAAGACATTTATGAAATAAATAGAATTGATTGAGAAACACCTTTTGGATATTCTCCCTAAAATATCAAGGATATATTAATATGTTGCCATTCTGCTTTGAAACTTAATTTTTGTTTCACTTTCAGGCCATTCGAAATATGTGACCAGGCAATGATAATATCAGGTGGATGGAACCGACAAATTAGTTTGCCAAGGCACAAAAGAAACATTTTAAACGTCTATAATATGTTGAGGAATAATGGATTCAGAAAGAAACACGTCAAAGTCTTTTTCGCTAACGGGATCGATGGAACTGAAGGTAACTATAATTTTTACAACAAATGAGAAATTAATTCTTGCAAAAAGTAAATTAGTCTCCAAAATTAATCAAGGATCAATATTAATCAGAGAAAAGTCACGGTCACATGATACATCCCAGGGTGTGCCTTTAATAATGGTTAGTGCTGATTTCTATAATATGATACATATACTTATTTTAACTGATAAAGTAAAACCTATATTTACTGGAAGTTAAAACAGGCATAATTTAGTTGTGTTTATATCTCATTGACTTTGGTCAACTTGTAAAGTCACAAGTAAAGACGTCGAACGCTCGTCAAATATCCACAAAATATACGATTTGCAAAATCCACGAGAATACAACTTTTACTGTTCTTTTTGTGTTTCTCCTCCACCCACTCTTAATTATTCAATACCTCATCAACTTATAAATACAATAAGGTAAACCTCTGACTACCCAGAGGGTAAACATTATTATCTTCAATTTGTAAAAGTATATTTGTTATAATAATGTTTTATTCATCACTCGTTCTCCGATTTCGAAGTTTAAAGGAAATTTGAAGTCACTTCATAGGATGTTTGAGGGCTTAGATTAGAGTGAGAGGTTAAAAAGTATTTTAATCAGTTACTTTACTAAGACAAATTGGTGGCAGGTCAAAAAGGCTTTAAAGTGATCTTTTATCGCTAGATATCACTTTATAGCTACCGTTTTCTAACACATCAAACCTGTTTGTTACTCTTTGAAATAATCTTGAAAGGAACTACAATGAAGAGAAATCCCTTTATCCTTGTAAACTAACTTATTGAAAACGGCATTTATGGAAATTCAAATGGGATCGGTTTTCTCTCCCTGCTTCTGGGTGTCAACTCTACTCATATCAGATTTTACAAGATCACATATACGCCGAGCCATTGATGGGGAGTTGAAATTATCATATTTATTTGATTACGATTAGTCTATTATAAGTATTTGATCATGTATGCCATGATAGAAACTGCGTTGACAGAAATCTAGCCGCCGGCCTTTGGTATCAAGTGTGTAATTCAAGTGCACAATTATGTTAGGGATCAAAAACTTTCAATTACATTCTATGTTCGTATTCTGTTCGCTCACTCAACTACAAAATACCTGTTTACCCCCGATAATTATTATGACCATTAACAGGCTATATAATGAACATCATTCATGTTCATAGCTTTCATCTATGATAGCTAGCATGCGATTATATTTATTTACAACTCAACAAATTTATAAAATATGTTTTGAGATATAAATTTTATAGTTTGCACGATACTCAACAGTGAAAAAAGTACTGTTTAGATACGCGTTTTCCTATGTATCAGATCCGATTGTCCAAATGAATATCATAAAGATCAAAGTGAACTCGGGGTTGAGTTTGAGCATTTGATTCGGATCCATAAGTATTAACTTGAAGATCCTTTGGTGATTGGCGAACATCATTGTGGTGAAATCAAACCATCTTCTCTTTCTCTTACTTCATAAACTACCTTTATATGTTATAAGATGGATATATAGCATATATGATACGATATGCTGTATCTAACAATATGCATATAAGAAAGGGTATACGTAAACACAATTGCTTACGATTCATACCTGCCCAGGTTACCTGTACCTTGCACTGAGCAAAAACAGAATCAAGAGGTAAAAACTCACCTTGATGCAGAGTAAATTAAGATAACACATGTCAAGAGGTATGTGTGTATACTATACCTGCTGAGGTAGCGTTTGATGGAAAACTGAGGAATCACATGATAAATTCAAGCCAACACATCATGTCAGCATCAAAGCCTCGTCCACAGTATGAGCAATGATATAGCCGCATACGAGCAAGCAGCCATATAGATCAAAGGCAACTTGTAACGCGCGCTTCATGATTTAATGAACTTGCCCCTCATAGCTAACTATAAGTTGCATGGTGCTCATTTTGCAGCGTATATTTCAGGGGAATGTCAATTAATAAAAGTTACGGGAGACCAAAATGTACTTTTGATACCTATATCATGCAAATGTTTACATGGTAATGATAAACAAAAAATATAACAAAGATAGGCCTATATTCAGTATAGTAAATTAGTTTCATTATTTTTTAAAATACTTCATTACAATTATTACACTAACGTTCGAAAGACTGAAGGCTGACATCAAAGAGCTGAATGAATATGAGATCGCATGATATTACAAATTTATACCATAGTTTCACGAAAACGGTTTTATCATCATTTAAAAGAATCCGGGAACTTCGGTAAACCCGGTTGGATTTACTTTGATATTATAAAGTCTGCCAAGTTGAACATGACATTACTATTTTCCCTGATAAGCGGGGACTACAAAGTATGGCAAGGTGTTAAAACACTCCTAGTTTGGCCTTTTCATGTTCCTTTAATTTGTACACTTTGATGTGCGGACTTGTCAAATCTACATCCCTAAGTTCCGTATTTTGTTCATTATATTTATCTTCTGCTTAAAGGTGTATGCTAATTATATTTAATTTAATTCCAATACTGTTGAGAAGATAGGATAGGATTAGCCTGTGTTTGTGCCGTTTGTACCAGGACGATGCACCTGGGTGTACGATATCGCATACCAACAACCAAAATAGAAAATCAGATAAAATTCATTCATTTAAATCTTCGGAATTTTAGAAACAGCTATTTTTAACATAGCTTCATCGAGACGTATGGTCAAATCATGATTCGATCCAACTCATTTGTTGAAAATATATGTTGGAAGGGGACGGATGGAAGTGTACGTCATCGGATGTAACGAGACTCTGGAACTGTTATCTATTCGTGTATCGCTAGCTCACGGTGTGTAAGAAACCTGTTAGTTGACGTAAATTCTCACTTTTCTATTGATACTGTCAGGTCGATGCACATGTCTACAGTGTATGAGACACTGCGCCGTTAATTGATTTAAATAGATATGAAGCGATCAAAGACGAATTGAAGACGGCATGTATATATTCTATTAGCCGCTGTAGTTTCTATTGTCAGTGTATTAATGCTCATTTATCATCTAGCTTTAGTCGCTATTGTGACCAGAAGTAATTAACAAAATAAAAATACTATAATATTTCAATGAAAGATAGGCATTAATTTCATTCAGTTGAGATATCAAAGGCTTTTAGTTTAGAAGTATCTGATGAGAAAATCTGTGTATCGTGTTTGGGCGACTCAGCCCAGTCGACAGCCAATATAATCTTCATAACAATAAACATCAACAAAACATCAAAGGGAAGAACCTTGCCGATACTTTTGTTTCGTTTCACTTAATCATTTAGCATGCTTACATTTGACATTGCCGCCTCATCTCCCTTTGATCCTGTTAACCTAAAATAATGTTAAAATATCTAAGTAACATTGATGCAAACAGCCCCATTACCACTTCCATAAATATAAAAATGCATTTTTCATTATGAAATATGACAAATATTAACTCTTACAGGTTTATTAATGAACAGGTACAAGTGAAAGGTCGCATAGAAAAACGCTTTGATCGTCAAATCAACAAACAAAACGCTTACATATATTTCAGTATCACGAAACCTGATAGGATTCCATAGGAAACGTCTAAAGAACTTGTTCTGCCAACCAGTTAAATGATACAAAATTGATATATTATGAATACAAACACGGCCTACACAACTTTGTTCATAAACATCCATAACTTTTGATTTTTCGATAAGTGATATCAAAACAAACCAAGTCAACTCTGCTTGATATGTTTTTTAAACTTCCTTTCACGTAATATTGCCCTATGATCAAAAGACTATGACCCAATATTGTCCTTTCATGTATTTTAATGTTCAGCTACATGGTAACGTATCAATTACCATACCCATCGCTCAGATTAGCGTCCCCTTTAATCAAAGCATGATTAACAAACAAACCTGTAATGTAATGTCACGTACCTCCAACAAAAGTACAAAAATATGGTTGGAAAACAAAAAGTTCGCATCCCAACAATGACTAAGCAACAAAGTACTGTTGTTAAGTTGAACAATATTATTTCACACACAATATTCCAGCACATAGTTTCAGTCTAAGAACTGATACAACAGCTGAAAAGTGGACTCTCAAGAAGGATGCAATTACAATTGCTCTAACTAAACTACTTGCCATGATACGTGAACAAAATGAGCCTACTATCACTTATATACTTGTTTTAGTGACTGGGGAGGAGAGTCAGGACATCCACCCTGCAGCCATGAAGCTGGCAATGAGGTACCACTTGCAACGAATGTGTACTTCACTACACTGTGTAGAGTCCCTGGTGCTCTACCTGAACAGCCCAGCCACCGCTGACGGAAGCTCATTACTTTGGGATGTGGATAAAAACGGAATTGTAAGTAGACAATTTTAAATTAACATATCATATGGCTTAATAGTTGTAATAAGTGTCTCTTATTTGATAAGGAGAAATATACAATACCTACAAAATCGCAAACGGAAATTTTCCGGCAGAGCCAACAGTAACCATCAATCTGTTATTTTATGAAGAACGCATTTTGAGTCAACAAGATTTCCTTTTTATCTAAAGCTTGTGCTCTCTTACGGAGATAGTAGATGCTATGGGACCAAAAACATACTTCAGAAATAACATATGAATATGTTTATAGGCAAGTGAGAACGAGAGGTATACGGTTGAGGAATTGTTATCAGACCTCACCGATTGTCAGGCCAGGCAAGTCCATCTGATCGTTGACCAGAGCTACTCTGGTAACATTGCCCAGGAGGTGCAGAAATCAAAGCACCATAGGAACGTGATCGTCTATGCCAGTGGAAGTGAACATGAATATTCATGGTTGGATGATTATACACATTACTGGGTTACAGCAAACCATACAGAGACATGTACACAACAAATCCATAGAGTAAGCACGTATTTACTTCTATTTTCATTTTCCAAATCAAAAATACGCTATGTAATTGACTTTTGTTTGACTGACGTTCTAATTTATTTATTCCATTTAATTGCAGAAGACGAAATCATTAGTGCTACGTTCAGATCCAGAGATGGTTCATGGAGGACGAGATTTTGGAGAGGTCTCGCAGAAAACGATATTTGGGGCACCATGTAATGTCCGCCTGCCCTTTACACGTTCCGAACTACATCGTCAATACTTTGGTTGTCAAAATCTACCAACAGGACTGTGGATAATGAAATATATGGACAAACCTATTAACAGGCAACATACGACTAGCGTAACAGTAGCAAGACACGGCAGTAATTCAGAGCAATAGTATATAGCAGAGCTTGTGTATATATTTTATTTAATTGGAATGAAGTATTATTTATAAGTTTCAAATGCAGACGAAGTGAATGTTGTACAATTTGTATTGACACTTACAAGACGGGTTATGGAATGGTTGTAAATATGTAAATATTTTTGAATTATCGACACAGTTTATTGTAAATAAATACAGACAGATTTTAAGTATAAAATATATATTATGTACATATCAAATCGATGTAATCAACGTTGTCTTTGTTTTATTCTTTCACCATTAATTATCAACTGTTCATCAACAACGTTGTCTTTGTTTTATTGTTGCACCATTAATCATAAAATAGTCATCATCAACGTTGTCTTTGTTTCATTGTTGCACCATTTATTATAAAAAAAGTCATCGTCAACGTTGTCTTTGTTTCATTAATTATAAAATAGTTATAAAACAGTCATCATCGACGTTGTCTTTGTTTCATTTTTACCATTAATTAACTGTTTGTCATAAACGTTGTTTTTGTTTCATTGTTGCACCATTAATTATAAAATAGTCATCACCAACGTTGTCTTTGTTTCATTTTTCACCATTAATTATCAACTGTTTGTCATGAACGTTTTCTTTTTTGTTTCATTGTTGCACCATTTATTATAAAATAGTCATCATCAACGTTGTCTTTGTTTCATTTTTCACCATTAATTATTAACTGACTGTATAGCATCAACGTTGGCTTTGTATCATTTCTGCACCAATTAGTATAAAACCATCAACGTTGTCGCATGTCTACTATTGGTTCTAAATCGCCACAAATATCTTCTTGAGAAATAAAACGTATGCAACAATCACCCACCACGTGGTCCCCCATAATGCCCGCAAAAGCTGCTGCCAATGGACCATATCAGTCACCCAGTTGACGGGAAGCATGTTCGTGAATATACTATGGCAACAGTATATCACAATAGAGTTCATTCCTGAAACATATCACATCGTTGCGTTGGTATTGATCAGTGTATTTTGACAACAACCTGTCAACTGATTGTGAACCTACTACCTAGGATGCAGAATCCTAGTTGTGAACACACCTTTCAGATACAATCCCCTTCGAAAGTTTCACACCCACACTCAAAATTAAGTAGCGTGTTAACGACATGTAATGTATGATTATTTTCTCAATTACTACATGTGATCAACATAATGAATTTTGTAAAGTGCCAAACATGCTTGAATCCGGCGATCCGTGGTACATTAGCTGAGGAAACCTGACTGTTTGAACAGCTTTTGAAAGGAGTGTACGCTGGTGGGTTTTGTCAGAATAGAATTTGAACACTTGTCTATTTTGATTGTTGTCTTCTATCATGCTGATTACAAACAAAAAGAAACAATGATACGGTATCAGTTAAATTACACAAACCAAATGCTCAGATAAACTGAGAATTTTGAGAAATCTAAACACTAAATTTAAAGTGCATACTATATCTTGTGAATGCACTTGTAAACATCTTGTTCAGTATATAGCCACATGGGATAGCTACAATAAACAATACGAGTATCCAGTTATTCATTACCTGGATAGATGAAGGGTTGTCCGCCCCATATTTTCAGGATATCAATGCCAATATACATAACGATCAGCAAGAAATAAGCCATACTAGAGAGTCCAAACGCAAACGAGATAGACCATAATGGCTTATTAACAGAAATGAAGCCATCATTCTTGCTAAATTTTGTCAGAATAGCTGCTGGTATTCCCTGAAAATAAAATGACTTATTCTCAGGCAGAATGTCCATCAGGGCCGTTCAATGTGCACAATGTTATCATACCATCCTCAAGATATGCTACATGATTATTTCAGAAAAAACGTTTGATCAGAGAAGTAGGATCAAATTTATCAACCACGTGTATAATCTATTTACCTACTATTCTAGCTCAAAATGTTAAAATCCTCTTATCTTCATAAAGTACGACATAATTCTCCGAAACCGCAGAACATAATATGTTTTTCTGTCGATTGGGATTGTTAAAAATATGTGTTCACGATTCAACAAAACTTACCCAGAAGATACACCAGAATGCCAATCGTATTAATCTGTTCTTGTGTCCTTTATACGTGACAAAGATAAGCCCAGCCTATAACAGGACAATTCATGCATACATCGACCCTCCTTCCAAGTTTGTAAAGGTTTTCAATCATGATCAATATATTTGTTAAATTTAAATATTCTGTTGCTTTAAGGAAGACATATACCTGAAGACCCAGGAAACACGTGAAACATGCAGATAGTGTTCCGAGAAGACCCTCTGGGTCATATGGTATGTTCGTCTTATAGAGGTTCTATAATATGAAAAGAAGTATACATGATGGGGGTAGATGATTGTTGCAATTCTCAAATGGCAAACACATTAATATTATTACTACTTATCAAAAAGGGAACCAAAATGCCCTTACAATGTTAATAGTTATTATGAAAGTTATTTTGCAATAAAACCCAACAATAATCATAAAAAAGTTACCCGTATTGGGGTGTTTATCCACAAGTGGTTATGCCCGAATACTTTGTAATCTATGTACCCAGCAGCGCCACCTGTGCAGTTCTCAAATTTTTTGTTCTCGTGAAGCCCACCTGGTCCTAAATAGCCGCTTTAAAGTTGAAAATCGAGAATCAATTGAAATACTTTACAGTGAAAGCCAAACCAACGAACATTTAAAACAACAGATTTACTCTGTATGTCCAATGTCGAAACCAGCTTGTTCTGTGATTTTGTATTATTTATTGTATCAGTGCCATGAAGTAACAATTTAATAAAGGTAAAAATCATTCAAATCTAATAACTATGTGTAGTATAAAAAACACTGAATGAGGCAAAACAATATGAATTCACTTCCTTACGTAGGGCATCCTGGTACTGGCAGACCATGTGTAATACCAATGAATATGCCCAGAAGGCAAAAGTGGATGACCCATTCCGGCCAATAGTATATCAGATCACGAACATGTCCTCGTTTTGAATCCTGAAACAATAGAAATGCGATTAGAAAAACGACCATAACTTAATGAAAAAAGAAACGATGTTGTTGAACTGCCAGGACATTTAAAAGACCATGAGGCATCAAACGTCAGATGGGATTGAGCCATGTTTTAATTACTACAAATATATTTTACAATTTTTAGTATTATTTATACATTATCAACTAAAATGTACATGAACTTCGTTGTGAATGAATGTTTCCAAAAAATGTCAATGTTTACCTTTTTGGGATCATCTAACCTGGCGAAGAACATGTGAACAAAGGCTACGATGAGATACACCCATGAAAACCTTTGTAAAACACCAGGGATACGTAATGTTTGCCATTTAATCGCTAAAACATAATTTCCGACACAGAATGACATTGCAAAAATGGTAACATTTGAAAAACAACACATTATAAACTTTGATTATTGATTATTAGATAGGATCCTACCATAGCTATCTATGTTGATAATACACAACAGTTACAGAATAAATATTCAGTCTTGTCTGTTTCATTTGCTAAATCAGCAAAAATAACTTACGTCCCCAAACACTATTAAGTACAAGTCCCAGGAACATCAGGATGATGGAGCGCTTTAAAATCTTTAATGCAATTTTCCATTTTGGAGTTTCCCTTTTCAGAAGACCTCTAAACGAATATGCCATCGCTGTACCCATCATAAAGATAAACCTTGAAAGAAAAAGAAACATTACAATTATATAGCAGATGGAAATGAGGACTGCAAACAGGATCTGAAAAAGTTAAATCGTGAGGGAGTCTCTATCTTAATGTGGAATAGTTCTAGCCTAGAAGCACTAGGAAGACCCAAACTCTCCGTTTGAGCTTGATTGAAACACAAAATAAATCAGCAGCAATAATTACTGGCAGATAACAACTTCATTAAACAATAATTACACGGAAGTACCAAAATGCATGGTTTCGTTCAGTGTGTTTTCTTACCAGGGGAAGACAAGATCGGGAACTGTAAGACCATTCCAGGGTGGATGAATGAAGACATCATACCCTCCACCGCCATAGTTCACAAATATCATAACCGTCAAACACAACCTAAGAATAGAGATCAAGCTAGATTACAATAGAGACTGATAAATCAGAATGGTTATAATGGGGTTAGTAAAGCACACATTGTTTTGTCAACCAGTCTATAAATGCAGTATAAGAAACGTGGTAGTGCTTACCCACGGAATGCATCGAGGGACACAAGGCGCTGACTTTTCTTTTTTGTTGGCTCGACTTTGGTTTCACCATCGGACAACCCATGTACGCCACTCGTAGATCCGTGCATTTCCTGTGAAAATCATTGACATCCGTTACAGTAAGTAAACTATACATTTCTCTTTTGTGTAATACGAGTATACAGCACTACTACAGGTACCAATTGTAAGAGGAATGACTAACTTCCCTTGGCTTTCCCATTGTCCATCGGAAGCCGAAGAGGGTGAGCTACTAACGATACACTAAAGAATTTTCTAAATACATCGACCACTACTTTTTGTATTCTTTTCAACTTTGATACAGAAAATATTGCGATTTACGAAAGCATTACAACGTTCACTGAAGATGGTACGTGTGCAGTATAGATCATGCAATGGTAATCTCCAAAACCATTGGTTAAGAACTCATAAACACGGAGCTCTAGAAATGCATGTAATAAGTCATTTTGACAAACCAGGGTTGTTGTGCTTTCTGTTTTGGATGGCTCTGTGATATCAGCACCTTTAGTCTTCCATGAAGGTAACTTGTCTTTTCTGGAATACAAGATAAATATGAGGCATTGACTTTAACTAGATAATATTGCAATTGTTACAGTATAAAATTGCTAATTCTATATATATATATATCGTGGATACATGTACAATGCATTGTGTATAACACTCAAAGATATAATTTCTATATCACTGTTACAGAACATAAAATAGTTAGTAATAAACTATTAATGGACATATAGTGATATAAATCATAATGTATGGAATATTATGGAGTATGTTTTAGTAAAATGAGACTTCTAAGACTTTTCTATAACACGGTACGAGCTAAACAGCCGAATGTAAACAAACGTCTGTAGATTTTTAAATGAAAATGCGTGGGTGTCAGGCAAACTACAAATTTGTGAATTAAAATATGGATTATCAAAATATTTAATTTATTAAATGAACATGCAATTTCTGAATTCTTGTACTCTTGGTTCTTTTTTGCTCGTTGTATTTTGCAATGTACTATTTGAACTGTCACCTTTTTGCACGTGTGCTTACATTTCACTTACCTTTTCAGAATCTTGTAGAGGACGTAGATGAACGCCAGACCAAGATAGACAAGGAACGCATAAAATATGGCTAAAAGAGTAAAAATGTTGATCTATAATCAAAATATTGTTATAAAATATATTTATGAAAATACAAGGTATAAATTTAGATAAATAGCGTATTGAGATTTGAAATTTTACCGGAATTTTACATTGTAAAGTTGGGTCTCAACACATTTCACTCCTTAAAGGTTTTACTCACTTAGACGATTGATCCTTGAAACGTTTCACACCCTTGGACGTTTCAACCACAGACTGTAATTTATCTTAGTGTTTAAGGGGTGAAATATCGAGGGGGTGAAATGTCCAGGTGTGAAATCTCTTTAAGGTGAAAAGTCCATGGGGTGAAAAATTTAACGGGTGAAACATCCAGAGTTGAGACCATAGAGTGAACATTCTGAGGTGTAGGAACTATATATAAAATTGTATTTAATTAACTCACGCATATATGCATTTGGAGGCCTGTTGGATATGATCATACGACATGATGCAGCGTCCATATCTTCACTTACAAGTAGCCAGTAGTCCCCATTTTCAGCCAATCGCTCGTTATTGCTATTAAGCAAGAAGTAAGGAAACAATATAACGGGGGATTAGGGTGCATGCCATCATAGGAAACTGCAGCACAAGAGAACCAAAAAATATCAATGTTGCCATGATGCTAACACGATTTATCAAGAACATTATTACTTCATCAGAAAGCTTATTATATACACATTCAGAAACCAAATAAATTAATTTAACAACATTTTACATCTCCCACTAGTAATGGCACTACCTGCAAATCAATTCACTGTACGAACTGTTAACATATCTTCTGAGTTGGTAGAGCTCTGATTCCCACATCGTGTCTACTAAGTAGCTTCCTACCTGGCCTGCTCCTACTGTCAGACCAGGTAAAAGAGGACACTACAAAAAACGAGCATATGGATTACAACAACGTGAATAAATATGCCTTACATATTTAAGTGACATCTATTAAGGATGAAATACATCCATTCTACATCTGCTGTCTTTCAGTCCATGGTTATTGAACACCTCGCAACAGTGCGATGATGAAGAACCACGGGGACAAAGTACATCTGGCAATGGGGAGAGTGGTATGATGAACCGATATCTAAATGAGAAGATAATAGAACTGAGTATACCTTCCAACATTCTGACGTCTGTCTGACAAACTCAACGGTAAAACCATTCGGTGCTCTGATGTTGATGTGCCCTCTATCATAGCGAGTTATACTTGGTTTGGAACTTGCATTTTCTTTGTTCCAGTTGTTAATCCATGTCCTATCGGCGTCTGTGACGGACGGATCGTCGATATGAACTGGATCCCCCGAACAAGATGGTGAAATGGCAACTGTATCGAATATAATCAAGAATGGTTCACAATATCAAAGTGCATATGGAAATCATCTTGGATTTCCAAGGTATGATGTTGAAAATCAAACTGGGAAACGAGTATGTATGGAAATAAAGATGCGGATAATAAGAAAGGATAATTTGAATGTGTAATGAACATAGTGAGGGATAGCTCTGGGTAATTAGATAATGAGGGATAAACATTTGTTAGTAGGCTATAACTGATTTTTAAATTAAATTCATGTTTATAATAATGGAGATTTGTTTAAATATCATTGCTTACACTCTAAAATTGTCCTTGTACAAGTGGGTTTTTAATTGTTCTTAAACATATATGTATGTTGTGCTTTTATATGGCAAAATGATAATATGCATTTTCGTGCAGTTTTCAGTAGAAGACTAGAAGGCTGATATAAGGTAAATGCGAGTATTTTATCCAAAATCAGATCCAAATACTTTGAAGACAAACAACTCAGTATGTACTCCTGTTTGTTTACTAAATAAAGTGACTTACCTAGGATAACAAATGTAATAAGAATAGAATTTCTTGTCATTGTGATAACATTGATAGCTCCTGTATAAGTAACATAACACATTAACTCACAAATACTACAAACTCCGATCCTTTTGTTAAATTGTACAAATACTCTGAGAACACCTCTGAAATGTAGATACTAGCTACTCCAAATACCTGTGTATAACTTTAAAACATATAAAACATACACTAAACAAGATACTTAACTTGTTGTTTGACAGGTGGTTGAAACTGTCTGGACTCCGATCGAGGCAAGTATCTTATGGATGCATTAACATGCTCAAAGTGTATTAATACATATAATTATCATATTCTCTTTGATTGCTCCCACTTAATCTGCATACCACTAATTTATTTGAGTCAAAGGAAGGTATAGCTCATGATTATTCAAATCCGTTTCTACAGGTCGAATAGAGCATGTGAAAAGTAACTCAATAGTCATAAACGTAAGTAGTTTATACAAACGTCAACAATCATGACACTAACATGTTAATCATTGATCAATTTAAACGACATTGAGGGAGTTGCACTGCTATATATACATGTACAAGTAAATTGTTTATATTAGATCATATATCACCTATTGTTTCATATGTATACCCATAGTTCTACATGTTCTAACTCGTTCTCAAAACGTCCTCAGATAGTTCAACTAGTTGTTAAAACGTCCCTAGTAAAAAAAAGTAAAAAAGCCCAAGAGTAATGCATTGTATTACATGATCTGCTATGAAAGCAGTGAAGGACCGATCTTGAAGGATGACCTATCGAGTAAACAAAGGACTATACAGTTCCCACTTATCTTTTAGTTGTCTCGTGGTATATCCCATGATTATAATTAACGCATTGTTATTTATCAGAATGAATGAGTGAGCTGTATTCAAAGATTAATTGCGTGAGATCCGGAGACGATGAGTCGGGCAGAAATCGTACAGAACGATGAGCGTGTGCTTGGAAGTAACATTAGTTTCCTTCCAGAAACAGCCGATGATACTGATCTACAGGTAAATATTTATTATACCATACGTGTACAATTTGGATAACGCTTTATCATTTTCCTGAAGATCGATTATTTAATTTTTGTTTTATTCAGGATCTGACCATATACAAAGCTCTTCAAGATGCCGCGAATGCAAAACCAAACCATGTTGCCTTCATTTTCCATCAATACCAAGACCATGTCACGTACAGACAACTTCTGGACAAGGTAGGGTCAACATATCTACGTTTATCATTCTCCGTACTTTCAGGTACTTACTTGAAAGATCCTAACCATATGTTAACTGCAAAATAGTTGAATGACACACAAAAAGCTTAAATAACTACTTCTAACAATTCGTTTTCCATAGTCAATTTCAAAACAACAAATCAAAATGATTACCGGCATTATATTGTAGGCAAATGCTCTTGCGAAAGGATTTCTTGCCCTGGGTGTTAAGAAAGGCTCTAGGGTGTGTGTTATGGGGCTCACTGACAGTGACTGGCTCACGTTGTTGTTTGCAACTACGAGTGTGGGACTAATATTTAACACGGTAGGATTCGCGTGTAAATTGGTCACCGAAAAGCAATCCCTAACCTAGGATGGTCCTAGCCCTAACTCAGTTTAAGGATTTGTAAATTTTAGTAAACACTTGCCATTTTTGAAACGCCAAAACACTTCACAACTTTTAAAGAACCATATTGTCACAGTCATAAAACCAAGCGACATTTTAGCTATTTTACACATGATGTAGTTATAACAATAAAGATTAAAAAGAAAAGCAAAAAGGATTTGATCCAAATTACAAGAAAATGAATGTTATTCGGTTTATCCTGTTCTATACATGTATAATTTGCTTTCAGCCATATGCATATGAACCAGTCGAGGAATATATATTTGACATCCTTAATAAGGTATGTAATGAAAAACTTACTTAATAGAATGCAAAATGAATAGCACCATTTCCTTTCGTGTTTTCCCGTTGATGAATGTATAACAAAGGGTAAAGAAATATACAAATCACAAAACTACCATAATCAAGAACAAGATCAAGACCTTCATTACCATATGAAATTCAAATGGTTTTAGATCGAATGCAGTGTCGCAATCGTATCGTCTTGGTACCATGTTGGTGAGCAGGGGGTCTCTTCAGAGGCTGTTCTCCAACATTTTTCATCAGCAAATTCTCTTGGGTATGTACATGGGCTAAATATAAAGGTTCGGTACAAGATATGATAGAACTACTCTGTATTTAAACAATGACTGCCCAAAATATGTACATCACATTTATAAGGTCACGATTTTAGATGTCTCCCCAAAGGTGGAAAAAGGGCGAACACCGAACTTACATTTAATTTTTGATATAATCAATTGTCTAAGTGTACCTAACATGCAAACATTTGCCTTTAGGATCCCCAGCCTTCAGCATGTATTTAGATGCACTCAGAGTAGCAACACAAACCTCAGGTCCTTAGAAGATTTGGTCAAAATGGGACACGCAATATCTGATGCTGAATTAAAAACTGCTCAAAATGCAGTTAAATGTGATGATCCGGCCTACATAGTTTTCTCAACAGTCAGTCACTTAAATTACATGTAAACCACCATTATAATAAATCACCCATAGTGTTTCTATGTAAGTTCATCTATCTGGGTTATATAGCTTTAAACAACTTTATTCATTTCTTCAGAGAAAACAATTGTATTATATCAAGACTTTGAACTTGTATCCACCCATTGCAATAGATACTAGAGGCAATACCATGGGCAATGCAACTGGTTGGTCAACATCAGGACATATTCACCATGTAAAACGCACATTATAAATGTTTGCACATCTTAGGGCACTACTGGGTCACCCAAGGCGGTATGTGTCAGCCACTTCAGCTTGGTCAATCAGGGACACTTTGAACTACAGAGAAGAAACCCCAACAACATGGTAAGTCGATAGAAGCGAAATATTTGCAATCTACAATATTCTGAGAATCTCCTTGAACAGAGCAATATTTGGTGCTAGTGGCTGTCTTTATGCTAATTTCCTATCTGACCCTTTATGACACACCTAACTTATATTACTTACATAGAATACATAGGAAGAACGAACGAACAGTTTGTACTTTGATTGACTTCAAAATCTTATCCTTCAGTAATATTAGCCTTTTATAGTAGCCCAACAGAACCCTTGCTTGGAGGACATTTGTTCTTTGTACAATTCCGTGTCCGCTGTTGTGAACCACCATGTTGAATACACGTGTGTCTTTGCGTCTTCTGAAGCCAACAAGGAACACACTGGCGGAATGTATCTGGAAGTTATACAGCAATACAAGTATGAATAAATATTATCAGGCCCGTAGCCAGGATTTGCCAAGGGGGGTTCAGTTTTCAAAAATTTACAGGGGGGTTCACATTTGACAATTTAGGCCCAAATATGGTCAAAATCACTTGAAAAGTGCTCAAAATGGTGAAAAACTGCATGATTTGGAAAGAATTTTTGGCCAGGGGGGGGGGGGGTTCGCTACGGGCCTGATTATCATAAGGAAATACTTACAACGGTATCCACTCCCCATACAAAGACAGTTATACATATATCTTCAGAACAACCAACTCATTGTAGTTCACAAGGTATTATCGATGTCAATTTCAACCAAGCATTTCCCAGTTTGTGGAACAACACGAATACTTATCTAATTTATTTCTGCAGATGTACCTTTGCCGATCTTTACCCATTTATATGGCTGGGAATTTGGGAAGACGATCTCCTCAAAGACTACAATACTTCTGCATTGGTTGGAGGTACGAGTTATTCCTAGTTATACGTTTGAATTTTGAAAGATTTGTCCACGTTTTTCATTTCCGAACAATATGGTGACAGTCTTTTGTATGATAAAACCATCATTCATCCATTGTTTACAGGGTATGTTGGATCTCTGGGTCTGGAGAAAGAGACAATTGAAAAACTGAAGACAGTCATGCCCAAGCTTACGGTTAGTACAGTCTTTAATAGAATTCTGGTGTCTTCCATGATGCCCTTCACTCTATATACAATGACCTATTCATAGTCAATAAATGCCGCTTGGCACATAAAAAGGTGACAGATACGTATTCTCTTCCTACACCAGGAAATTGAATGATAAACAAAATATTAGAAAATAATTTGTACAAAATTTAGCACACGTATGGCTGTTGTGAGTACGTAGGCATCACATACACTGATCCAGCATTGCCAAGTGAAGACCTGACGAGTGTTGGCTCGCCTCTACCTCATACCACAGTAAGACAACAATTATATATTTGTGAATTGCTATGTCCATTTTGTTTACATTATAATGACAATCACAAGAACACATTAGAAAATATATGTACTACCTAGGCTACAATATATATATGTACTAGGCTACCAAATCAAAATGGACTAAATACAGGGTGGTCAAAAAATGGAAACCCTAATACCATTTCCTCATATCTTTTAAAAGTGACAAAGATATAAGGAAAATGCAGGGTTTCCATTTTTTGACCACCCTGCGAACATAAATTAAAAATGGAAACTTACAAGTAGTTCAAATCCACTAATACCAATTTGCAGTTTGATGTTTTCCATCAAATATATACCTAATAGTGTATAAAATATGAGTAAGTTTTCCTTTCTTCACAACAATACGTCAAATGTCACACGAAATACTATCAAAATTACAATGACTAAACACTGTGATTACAGATAACAAATGGCAAAAACGATATAACTTCTTATTTCTTACTCCAGATAAAACTCGTAGACGAGAGAAATAATATAATACAAGTTGGTGAAGTTGGTGAAATATGTGTCAAAAGGAAATTCAAAACCCTTTATTGGGGAAACATTTCACTAACAGATGAAACAATTGATGCAGATGGCTTCTTTCACACTGGGTTTGTAGCTTTGTTTCTTGTCACAGGAATAAATAAAATCATAAACGGATATTTAGAACGGAATAGGCTGAATTTAAGTCTTTCTAAAATCTGAAGAAGTTTGATATTATGACTTACGCCACTTAAAGAAGAACTCATTTTTTAGTGACATGGGTGAGTTGGACGGAAATGGCAAACTGCATTTCAAAGGACGGAAGTCTGAGAGTATAAGGTACAAACGATTGGGAGAGGTGATATATCCAAAACCAATAGAGACTGTTGTCCTTCAACTAGATGCAGTCAATGAAGTGAAGGTAAATGTGTATCAAATGATAATTGTTACTGGGAACAAATAATGACCAACCCTACAAAGTCCATTAAGATTTGAATGAGACTGATGTAATATGATATATTTCGCAGCACACCGTAAGCTTACAATTTTTTTCAAAAACTTATACTAATAGTATTATAAAGGCTGTTCACTTGGTATTCTCAATGGACACGTTTCAACTTCGTCTTCAATCATCCACATTAAACTATGCTTTGATTGTTGTCTTACAGGTCATAGGAATAACTGTCGTTGATCACCTGGGAGATGAAATCTGTGTCTGTGTAAGGTAAATGTTTTAATTTCATATTCACTGGCAAACGTACTGAGGGTGAATCCGGGGGGTGAATGAATGTCTTCGTCCTGTCCAAGGCCTCAGCAATCTGTTCATAGTAATAGTGTTCGAAAATTGTTTTTTTTGTATTATAGTTTGAAACAGAATACGAAGCTGACCATCAAACAACTCGAGGAGCACTGTGAAAGCAAAGTAAGTTACTAAAAAACTTGGTGTGTTAACTTATTATTCAATTTTTAATTTATTTGATTCACACATATCATGGGTAGATGCCATCTAAATTACATATGATCATTACATTTGACAGCTATTATCACGAGACCATCCAGATCACTACATCATTCTTGAATCTTTGCCGAAGGCTGGACTTCGAAAAAAGGTAAGTTATCATTTCACTGGAGGATCCAGGCATGCCCCCCCCCCCTTGTGAGCCAGGGAAAAATTGGACCTAAACATGTTATAGGGCCTCAAAAAATGGGCCTTATGTTTTCAAGGTATTATATATACAGAAGAATAATGTCTTATGTGTCCAATAAAGTTCTTGGTAGAGAAGAGAATAGTTACACAATAGTCACAAAATATGGGGAAATTACCGTTCGATGCATATTAATACGATACGAGTAACATGATTGATGATATACTTATAAATACGGAAAAGATACATCCAGTACACCCATTACATAAAATTACCTATTTATTTTTAGGTGGCTGTACCTCTACTAAAGGACATTGTAGTAAGAAAAATAAAAGATGGACAAGGCGACTATGCAAAATAAAACACAGAACTTCTTGGAGCTATGGATACAAATTACATTGTTTTATTACATTCTTTACATCACATATAGTATATAGCATAAATATATGAATGTATGTGATAATACTGATGAAATACTGTTACATTATTTGTGTGATAACAACTAAAATACGTGAATGAAAATAATACTGTGAAGTATAGTTGCATTTTGTGTTTATATATCATATATATATATACATCAATTTTTTCGTAAACATTGTCACTTTATATTTGCATGGCATTTATTGAATCTAATTCAAAACATTGCCGGGAAGCTGGTAATAATATTACTTCCTCACATAGTAAATCTAATACAAAAAGTACTAGACGACAGCGGTAGATCAAGATGAGTCCAGTCAACGATATCAAACGATATGCAATCTATATCAGGTAAGCCTTGGAGATAGACTTGGACTTGTCCCTCTTGCAGATAATGGTATGGTGCTGTCCAACAACTGTTCCTGGCCGCTGTTCAGTCTCATGATAGGTATCTTGCTGACTTGCCTGATGCCCAAGCAGAATGGTTTCCCCTGTATGCTGGCCTTGATCCCTTCTTGACATATGTCCTCAAATATAATACTGTTCTCTATATTCATTTGTCTGGAAACGAGAAAATACAAAATATAGTAAATATATCGTATATCATATATTTGTAGACAGGTAACACATAATTATTAATCAGTATTTCAAAAATGACTTAAAATTAAACTAAATGCCAATAAAGGTGCAACTTTTGTAGATTACAAGTGCAAAAAAAATACCTGTTCAATTGTTCATATATGATGGGTACAAGTGGCAAAACATCCATAGATGCTATGTCCAACATCTCTTTGTTTAGGGGACGTCTTCCCCAGAACATGTGGTCACTGATTGCGATACACTGAAAAGTAAACAAATGGATGCTTTGAATAAAAGTATCAAAAACTAGACTTTTGAAGATTGCAAGCAATCTCACGGAGGCCCTCTTAGGCATTTTTGACAATTTGAAGGTCAACTAAAGGACAAATTTCAAATCTGAGGTCAGATGTGAACTCCTGAGAACTTGTAGATGATTTTCAAAAAAAGATTTTGTCAATTTGAAGCAAGTTTAAATTTGACCTTGAAAAATTTCAAAATTGACCTTTTTCAGCTTTTGAACTCTTATATCTCAAACTGGGACAAAATTCCATTAGATAGTCAATTGCTAATATGTGTAAAACCCTTAGAGGAATGTGTATATTTCGACTTCGGATTAAAAATATTGGTTTGTAGTCTCGAACTTTGCGAAACTTAGATAGCACAGTTTGTGACCTAATTCCATGATCTTGACCTTTGACCCTGAAAAGTTTTCCTTTTTAAGACCTCAGGAGGTCTTTTGTAATAAGGCTGACCTAAATTTGAATCCAAAGACTCAATTTGAAAAATCAACTTTTTTTGGACTCCTAGGAACTTGTAGATGATTTTTAAAAAAAAAATTGGTCAGATTGAAGCAAGTTGAAAAATGACCTTTTTTGACCGTTTTTGACGTAAAATATCTCAAAAATGGTAAAAATTTAATGCTGACATATTGTGAACAATTTGTAGAGAATACTAAAATGTAGTTTCAGTTTAATTCATCGCAAGAAATAATGAAGTATAAGGACAAACTTGAGAAACTTGAAAAAAATTTAGATTTGACCTAGATTTTGACCTTTGACCTAGATTTTGACCTTTGACCTAATTTGATAACCCTGACCCTTGACCTTGAAAATTTTACTGCTTTAGAGCTCAGTAGGTATTTTATGATTAGGCTAACCCTAAATTTGAATCCAAAAACTCAATTTGAAAAATCAAACCTTTCGAAGGTCACTGAAGGTCAACTAAAGGTCAAATGTCAAATCTGAGGTTAAATATGAACTCCTGAGAAGTTGTAGATGATTGTTAAAAAAAGTTGGGTGAATTTGAAGAAAACTAAAATTTGACCTTAAAAAATTTCGAAATTTGACCTTTTTTCAGTTTTTGAGTTCTAATATCTCAAAACTGGAGCAAAATTTTAATAAATAGTCAAATGCTAATATGTGTAGAACCTTTAGAGGAATATATATTCTGACCTTCAGTAAAAAAAATAGATTTGTAGTCTCCAATTTTGAGAAACTTAGAAAACACAGTTTGTGATTTAGTTTGATGACCTTGACCTTTGACCTTGCAAATTTTACTTTTTTAGGCCTCAGAAGGTCTTTTGTGAATGAATATACCGAAATTTGAATCCAGAAAATCGATTTGAAAAATCAACTTTTTTGACCTTTTGGAGGTCACTGAAGGTCAACCAAAGGTCAGAGGTCAAATGTAAGGTCAGATTTGGAATCCTGAGAATTTGTAGATGAGTTTTAAAAAAAAAATTGGTCAATTTGAAGCAAGTTGAAAAAAGACCTTTTTTGACCTTTTTTGACCTTCAATATCTCAAAATCTAGGCAAAATTTCTCTAGACGGCAAAAGGCTAAGACTAATAAAATACTAATATCTATCTGTATGCAAAAATTCAGCCAAAAATAATGAAGTGTAGTGTCAGGATTTGAGAAACTTGAAAAAAACTTAGATTTGACCTAGATTTTGACCTTTGACCTTGACCTAGTTAAAAAATTCTTTCCCCCCAATTTCAGCTGAGGTTCCTAGTAGGAGCATATAGTAAGTAGTTGAAAGCTAGTTGGAAGTAGGAGAAAAATGCTTTGATAGAATAAGAAGAAGAATAAAGAAAAGCTACAAAAGCTATAGGAGGCCCTTTCAGGAGGGCCTCCTAATAACAGAAAAACAAAACCCATGCTGTGTACCGTTTACTCTCTGTGATGAAGTGAATTTCTACATCAACTCTTACTAGTATTTCATTCCGAGTTTTCACGAGTAATGTCGAAAGCACTTACTGATAGTTTGGCAAAGTGATCCTTTCTACCATATTTGTCACAAATGTCTATGAGATCAATAAGTCTGGATGGAAGGCCCTCTTGTTCCATAAGAACAGCATACGCAATCTGAAGGAAGATACACAATCATTTATATATCATATAACACAAGGTATTCTCTGCAACAATAACGTCATCGCTATAAGAAGAACGTGACATTCATTTTTGTGAACACCTACATACAATTTCATCCTATTTGTCTCTATGTGAAATTCGCGTTCACAATCAACAATTACACTGTACAAAAATCACTCTGGGTTCAAACATAATGCTGCCAATGCAGATAGAGTGGCTTGTTGTTTGTGTTCCTTAAGTTGAGTTCCTTAGTAGGAATCGTCACATTATTAATTACATGGACCTCTATCCTACAGAGGTCCATGTTAATTGGTAGCGTCGAACAAATTATGATCAAAATGTCATGAAAATGAAGATTGCATTAGTACAATGAATATTGCAATAGTCTGTACGTAATATCTACGTATTGCTATTGTAAATACTCACCTGTGTATCATACACCTTTCTTGGGGTGACTTTGTGATATTTCTTCAGTCCTACAGCATCATTGAGGCAGTCATGCCAAACCTTCGTAAGAACGTTTGACTCTAGAAGTCTCCAAAGTCCGCCATCAACAATGAAACCTGGGTTATGCTTGATGTCAAATACGTACACCTGTTGTTGCCATGTAGAGATGGTCAGCAATAGGATTTCACCTTGAAAAGAAAATATGTATAAAATAACATAATGCGCAATGGGCACCAACAATTGCACACGAACACACAGGACATGAAAACTAAATACAATTTCATTAACTGATTTGTAGTAAACCAAAACCATGGATTTTAAAGGAGTGTGAAATAGTAGTTTAACCATCAGTAGCATCCTTGGTTCGAGGGTATGTCACTTCATTTCATACCCGATATAGGTTGCAACTTAGTAGTGGTGAACAGTAGTTCTTGTAATACTAATCAAATTCACTGTATAGTAATACTTGGTAAATAATTAATTAAAATCATGCAGTTCAAAGTGATCGGTGATCTCTAGTAAGACTAAGTAATAAGTAATTAGACAATAGTTCAAGACCATGTCTATTGATCAAGTCCAGTTCTTACCTTTCTTATCTGCCCCTGCTCTCTTGCATGCTACTGCTATAAAAGGAGGATCTTTCAGTAGGATGGCATGGACAATCTTCTGTGCTTGTTCATTGCCCCTTACTAGCTTGATTCGTACCATTGTGGCTTACATTGCAGGCTGATTAGGGTTCCAAAACGTTATTATGACTAGCAAAGCTCTGTAAATATAAAACATGTACATTGTAAGAATGTTGTATCCAAATCATGATCACATCGATCGTTCCTTCCTTCTATTACCATTGCATATTCAGTTCCCCGGGATTCAGCCTACTCGATCGTACCTTACCCTACTAAACCTTGACTTGAAATATATTGACTTTCACCTCATACGCAGTTGGTATTAACAAAAAATGGTTCATTTCAAATGTAGCATCAGATCTAGCGAGTAACCGTTCCAAAAATGGTGTCAATTCATAAAATACAGGGTGACCGGAAAAAAAGGAGACCATTGAAGTAATCAATTTCTCCTAAACTAGACAAGTGCCATCAATGAAATTTTGCATACACTGGAACAGTTATATGGAAATTTGTTACTGAAGGTTTCAATACAAGCATTCAACTGGTTCAGGAGCTATGATCATTTACATAACATGCTCCAAATAGGCACAATTGAGACCAACGCAGAGTTGGATTCATATGGCAAACTACCCTTACATGTTCTGCCCTCTATGGCATTATTATGGCATTACATATAGCAGTGATTGCCTTCTTTAGGTCAACAATAGTCTGAGGATTGTTTTGGTATAGATTGTCTTTCAAATATCCATACAAAAAGAAATCAGCAGGATTCAAGTCTAGGCTGTAATGGCAATGAAGGGTTATCTGACATGTGGTTCATCATCCTGTTGCCAAAGTGCTGATTTACCAAATCTTAAGAGTCACTTTAGGTATTGGGCATAGTGCCATGTTACTAAAACCCCTATATGGCACAATTAAATCCCATATGGAAACCAAGGGCTGCCCAAAACCTCCTTAGGATGATACTGTAACTGAGTGGGACCACTGAGTCAGAAGCCATAGGTCAGATAAGCTTCGTCTCCATACACCTCAAATTTGAATCCACCTGATTTCTTTTTGTGGGGCAATTTGAAAGACAATGTGTACCAAAACAATCCTGAGACAATTGCTGACCTAAAGGTGGCAATAAATGCTAAATGTAATGCCATAACAAGGTCGGAATATGTAAGGGTATTTGCCAAATGTATCCAGCTCTGCGTTGGTCTCAATTGCGCCTATTTGGAGCATGTTATGTAAATGATCATAGCTCCTGAACCAGTTGACTGCTTGTATTGACACTTTCAGGAACAAATTTCCATAGAACTGTCCTGATGTATGCAAAATTTCATTGATGTCACTAGTCTATTTTAGGAGATATTGCCTATTTCAATGGTCTCCTTTTTTTCCGGTCACCCTGTACCTATATTCACGTCTATTTTCCAAAAATCCCCGATAGTTCACAGGGAGTACTCTCATTCAGAATTCAAAAACGTTTTTAGATTTATGATGTGGTTTATTTCCTATAAAAGTGAATATCCATAATATCTATTATTATTATGGAGAATTTTTACTTAGATAACTTCGCCATAAGATAGAATATGAGACGGTAAAAGAAATGCATCAGTCAACTGTACATATTGCTCGCAGCATTTTGCTATCACTCCCGGCCATCACCATATCTCCAATTCTGCCGTTAGTCATCCTATTAATGGTAAAAGGTAAGGGTCGCTCCGGTTTTCACTAAGTTATGATTTAAGTTAATTAGACGAGATTTGGGTACTTAAAGGTAAGAGTCAAGGCGAACTTTACATGCGAAAAACTCCTTTCGAGGATCTCCTAGACTATATACTGACGCTAATAAGGCCAATGTGGGCATGCCATGCCATATTATTTAATGACACATTCTTACACAGATAAAACAGAGCAAAACTGTATCAGAATATTTCAAAATATTAATGAAAAGTTTACAAAACTTACCTGGTTTCCCCGTGTAGTATAACGGCGTTTTTCTTTCAACTGCTGCAATTAAGTCGATTATGTCCGTTGGTTAAACGAGGAAATCCAATAAGCACTGATTTGAATAAGATTTACATGTCCTACCAATTACTTTAACACAACAAAAGCTAATGTTTTGCCATTTAAAGGGTATAATTGATACGTTTCCTGATCCTAATATCTAACATATTTTTACATCCGATTTGTATTTATGTTAATAGGAAACCAAAGACCACTTAAAACCACAACAAATCGGAGTTGTGACCAAAAGACCGCAGTACACAGCTTTGTTAATAAGAATATACCACATAAATATCCACTCAATGCGTATTTGCGATAAGAGGTCTCTGGGACTGTTTTGAAAGTAACGGTACTAGTGACATCTATCAATACAATGTTAATTTTTCTGTTTCTGGCCTAAGAAATCGTGTTTACCGAGTCAGTCTGGACCCCACGTATTTCACATTCGAACATGACTGTATTCACAAAGTCACAAAGTCAACATTTCACTCGGGGTATATTCGCGAACATTGCCCCTGGTAATGCGTGTAATATGTGACGTCATAACGACGGGCCGTAGTAATGGCGGACAATGAATATTCGAAACATTTTGGTGAGTTTTCATGTTCGAATCGTAATATAGACCTCAGAGCAGGTGTAATATCGTCAAATACACCCCTTGGGGCACAAAAGCTTTCGAACCCCTCACTCCCTTTGGTCGTTCAGGGTACAGAAAACGTTTGTGCCTAGCCCTGCGGGGTGTATTCGACAATATTACCCCTGTTCTACTGTCTGTATTTCTTAATTCAGAAGCGATGTACTTCGTCTGGACCCCGTGTATTTCACATTCAGACGCGAGGTGCTTCATACTTCAAATCAAAACAAAGTGTTTTTCAAAGTGGAACATGCCAGATAGACCAGAGTACTCATCCATGCGTTCTGGGTAAGGTGCATGATCAATTAAAGACCTATGCATTGAGACACCAAGACCGGATCAAGATCCTCTGGACTTAATTGCAAGTTGAATCGTACCAGATAATATTCATATGTCTACTAACTTTATCAACGAAGAAGATCCAAATCCTCCGCTGTCAGGCTAATTATTTGACGATTGTAATGACCGATCAAATTACTTACATCGAAACTGTAATTTGAATTTCCTGAATCCTCCTGTTTCAAGTTGGTCTCAGATATATCTAAGGTCAAGGCGTGATTATAAAAAATTGTGACGGGACATCACTGATTGTCCGGGAGAGAAACCGAGACAATGCACGTTTTAAATGTTTCTGTTGGAAGTAAGTCTTCGAAATGAATATTAGGGCAGCGGATGAAGCGCACAGGCTACACAGACAACAATAAAAAATCATTTTGAGATATTTTAAATAACATAGGTTAACTTTAATACAATAATCACTTAATCGTCATACAATACATTATTCTAAAAATAGGAATTAATAAATATAATTCGTGCTTTCATATATCATGTGAGGAACGACATGTCTACATTACTACTTTGTCTACATTAGTCCTTTTCACTGAAATGAAAGATGTACACTCGGAATTGTAAAAATGTTTTATTTGGTCCCTTTCACTTTTCAGTTGTTTTTTATGAAAAATAGTCAGTCACAATTGTGTTTGAACTTAGTCCCCTGCTCACTCTATGGGTGATAATCTGGATATTCTATAGCGTTACTGCTGGAACCATTAGGTCGTTGGGTTTTCTCTACAATCCGATCAATTTGATGGCTCATATTTATGACAAGGGTGGCAATGGTATCAATATCCACGTTAGTCTTTCTGTCTGTTGACAATGAAGTTATTAAATCTCTTGGAACTTGAATGTATTTCACTGTGTCTTGTGTTTGCTCACGCTTGAGCAATATCTGCATCGTTCTGTTCAGTTCTTGTATTTGTTCCTCCAAACGTTCGCGTCTTTCGCTTTCAATTTTTATTAAATCAAGCAATGGTGTTTCGCTATGTGTTTTGAACATATCAATAATATTATCTTCAATATTATTAATATCATTTTCCAAGACATCAACTCTGTTGGCCAACACACGTTTCTCCTTTTGCAAATGTTCAAGCTTTATATGGTTATTTTGACAATAGGATTGAAGTTGACGTAGTTCATCGTATATATCCGTGTCCAGGCTTTCCAAATACTTATCCTTCTCTCTTCGGTCTAAATCACAGCCACAAGTGGACGTTGAGGGGTAAAGCTCCTGAAAACTAATCGTGTCCTGCAGATACGCCTCCGTTACGCACATTAGAAACAATATCCAAAATCGCACATCAAACGCTGACATGATCAGATGGAACCACCAAGTAGAACTGTTAACTTTATTCGTAAAACAAATCAATTGAAGAATCATTTCATTTCTTGTAAACCAAACAAAACTAGGTGATGATAAACTGTCTATGAAAAATGAGCAATGTATATAATAAACTTTTACAAGAACAATGTTTGGTTTTCCGCTGATATGGTCTGCTCCAACTTGCGTTAATTGAACATTATCGTGAAATTATCTTTTTGTTTACTAATTAATGGTTGGCTACTTGAGTCAGGTCAGATTGCGGAAATGCTCAATGCTGCTCGGAAATGAAGATTTTGATAAAACCATGGCCTCAAAAATCCCGCAATAAATAAAATAGAAACAAAGTAAAATAGGCCGGGTAACTGCGGTTAGGCCACCATGATTAAAAAATTACAGTATTTGAAATGTGAAGTGATCCTCTCATTCTAGAGGGCCTCATTCATGATAACGTGATACAATAATTACAATCATATTAATTCAGTGCTAAAAATACGCAGAGTGCTCAAAACAGATTTTCACTTCACGGAAAAATCACCCGTACAGTGTATGTAGTATGTAGTCCCAAATCGGCACTTATTGGTATTGCGCACTAAATGTCAAAATATTTTCTCCGTTTATATTACCGAAATAGTTCGCAATTGAAGGACAACTTGTTTTGCTTATTTTCGCAACTAATTTGGGTTTTAATTGTAGTTTTAAAAACAAGGCATTGGCATAAATGTCACCACCTAGTTGCTCACAATATTATTTGTTCAATCTTAAAGTCAGATTTGAATTTCTGATGATTTTGGAAAAAATGGTCAATTTGAAGCAAGTTGAGAAGGTCAAATATTTTTTTGACCTTGAGAATGTCATTAAAGGTCAAATCTACAGTCAGATTTGAACTTTTGAGAATTTTTAGGTGATTTGAAGTTGAAAAAATACCTTTTTGACCTTTTTTATCTTGAGATTGTCAATGAAGGTCAAATTTCAAATCTAAAGTAAGATTTGAACTTCTGATAACTTGTAGATGATTTTGAAAAAAATTGGTCAATTTGAGGCAAGTTGAAAAACGACCTTTTTGACAATTTTTTTACCTTTTTGACCTTGTAATGGTAACCGAAGGTCAACTCTTAAATATGATTTGAATTTCTGAAAACGTGTAGATGATTTTGAAGAAAAACTGAAGTTAGTCTAAACAGTATTTTATTGGAAGATTTAAGAATTGTTTCTGACGCCAACCACCAACCACCGTCACAAAAAGGAGACCAGACCAATATGTCACCCCTTTTTGGTGGTGACATAATAATGAAAATTCCCTGAAGGCTGACATTTTTAATTCAAGGTTCCAATTCATCAATAGTATTGTGACATTTTCTACTTTAGCTGTAATATTAAAGTAATGGTTCAGTCCCATTTGATCTACGGCAACCGTATCGCGATCGTTACTTCCAAATTTCCAGAGAATTATGCAGCATGCCCGGGATAAGCAATACGATGTAGATTTTCTATTGAGTTTGTGAATCTACGGCCGCTGTACGCCCGCTGTAGCGCAAATATGACTGAGGCTTAAGTTGTTTGAGTACCAACGTTGAATGAAAGTAGGTCAATGAGACAATATTTGTTTAATCACTTACTATCACTGACCCAAATGCATTAAAACAGGTTGCAATAAACATGTATCTTTCTGCAGTGGTCCTAAGAAGATACAACGTTGCCATCTTTAAATAGAGTTAAAACAAAATGTGTAGTAATAAATATTTGAATGGAAGCACTTATCATACATGCATTTAAAAAAGAAGCACATGGTTCGATTTTTATTAACAAATTTTCATGGTCAAGGCTATCTTTTGACTTAATGAGAAATGCAATCATATTATATGACGAAATTTGGGTTGCATTCTTTGGCACAATATACCAGTAAGTTCATTTCAAAGGGCAAATCTTGGCCCAGTGGTCTACCAAGTAATATCTTGGACAATATCATTAAAAGGTTGAAGTAAATTCAGGCAATAACGCAGATGCGAGTAGGTAGATACCAGTTTCACCACCATGTGGCTCGTTCGGGTCAGATAGCATGGCATAGTAGAAAGTTCCCTTAACTTAAATTACATCTGTTTTGGTGGTTTAATTTTCATATAACCCTTATGTATCTAATAGTTATGCAAATTAAAATATGTCCAGTAAAAGAAAATGTTAGTTAATGAAAACACAGAATGAAATCTCCTGCTAAGGGCTGATGTGAAAAGTCAGTCCACCCCAGTGGGGATCGTACCTACGACCCCTTATGTAGCTTAGTAGTTATGTTAATTAAAATATGTCCAGTAAAAGAAATGTTATCTGTCCAATTCAAGAAAATACTGAATTTGACTGAATTTTGAATATTTAATGACGTAAATCAAGATTATTTCTACTCGCATCTAGTCTATTATGACCACTATGGCCCAGCATTATGGCTCCACCTTCAAATCAATGTAGTAAAATATAAGCCTTTTAAACTAGTACTAATTTCCTGAGAATAGGCCTCATGAGGTGGTGAGAATACTATAATTTCCTGGAAAAATATCAAACTGACACTGATTTATTCCTGTGTCAATAAGATCCCTCCCCTTATAAAATTAGGAAGCCTAAAATATATGTTTATGGTTCCCCATACGGATGTAAGCTTGCAAAGGGAAATGGAGGATCTACCAAGTTACATCTTGAACAATTTCCTCAACTCAGATGACAGTCAGCCCCAAGAAATATTTCAGATTGAAGCAATTTCCCATTCAGTAAGTGAAAATGTCTCAACAAGGCATTCACATGCCAAATGTCACCAGCTGCCATTTATTACAGACCCCGAACACCAACAACCAAATGCCGAACACTGTCCATAAAAATTTGGAGACCATAAATTATGTCACAACTTGTGGTTGTGACATAAAAATGAAATCAGAACCAAAATTAGTGTTTAACTTATCAAATTGTGACATACAGTATGGTCGGTCGCATCCTTCAATTGATTCCGTTTGAGTAGAATCCTTCCATTCTCTGCAAGGCGGTGATGACCTGATTATCAGAATGACCTAACCATTACCAAACAAAAATACATGTAACGCTTCCTAGTCAACTCGTACCCAAGACAACTCGTACCCAAGACAACTGGTACCCAAGACAACTCGTACCCAAGACAACTGGTACCCAAGACAACTCGTACTCAAGCTTATTTTCAGCATTATGGGTGCATATTAGGGAAAAAATTTAGTTTGTAATGCTTTCATGTTATAATGTGAATCAAATAAGCCTCAATATTTTTTGAATTTAGACGACATTTTTCTCAATGGATCAGTAAAGCATTTTTTATTAAATAAAAGAAGTGCTTGAAGCGCTTGTTCTCAACATTTTTTTGTCAAACATATATATAAATAAATATAATTACAACATTAGATCTGACACTTGTTCCAAACACTCATAAACATACAATATTTTGAAAAATGATTATAAATATATGTCTCTTCACTCGAACATCCTGAATCTGTGACCAATATAAAATAATAGTCAATATAAATTGACACTCAGCTCAAAATGTCACAAAATTAAATCAATTTATTCCGAAAATTCTTCTTCAAACTTTAAACTATTCTGAACAGTATGTTACAATTATAATATGTATATCTATTCACATTCCCAGTTCAATGCTTGATTCAAAACAAAATATATACTTGGGTACGAGTTGTCTTGGGTACCAGTTGTCTTGGGTACCAGTTGTCTTGGGTACGACTTGTCTTGGGTACGAGTTGACCAGTTACCCATGTAACTACTTCAAGAGTGTACCATGTTGTTTATTCTACTCATTCTATATATGTAATGATGTAATGTAACACATGATTGCATGTTCAAAATTAATACTGAAGTTTTACTTTTATTCACATGGAATTTTATCTAAAATACTTTTAAAGCTTGTTTTCAAAATTCAAATATTAGCACAGGTAAAATCACAAAATGCAAAAAGCCCAAAATATGTAAAATGAGAAATTCTATTTCTTTACAAAGCAAAATGTACATGTAGAGGCAACAAAATTAGATAGGCTTTTATAGAAGCATGTAACTCCCTAAAATCAGTTGTTACAATTAAAATAATAATGATCTACAATTTATAAAGTAATTGTAAACACTACAAACCAAAGTGATGCTAAAAACAATTATAATGTCATCAAAAAGGAAATATCAAAACATCCAGTAAAATGACTAGGCTGGGTAGGCCACTTTATCATAAAAAATTCAGTTTCTACTTCGGTTTACAAATGAGTAACTGTGGTTTAGTCTTCAACATACCACAATGGTTCAGTCTTCAACAAACCACAATGGTTTAGTATAGTCTTCAACATGCTAGAATGGTTTAGTCTCCAAAATCCAAAATGCCCACTTCAAAATAAATATCCATTTGCAAATTGATTGAATAATGAATATATTTGTGGTAATCTTAGACTAAAAGCAAAATCAAATCATCTAAAAATGATTCAGGAGTTTCAAATATTCTTTGCAAACTCCAGTGGTATTATTGAATCTACCATAATTTTACCATAGACTTTTTTGAAAGGTCATGCGCAGGCCCGTAGCCAGGGGGGGGGGGGGGTTCGATGGGTTCGAGTGAAACCCACCCTGGAGTCAATCATGCAGTTTTTCACCATTCTGAGCACTTTTTAAGTGATTTCGGCCATTTTTGGACCTAAATTGACACAAGTGAACCCCCCTTGAATTTTTCAAAAAGTGAACCCCTTTGGCAAATCCTGGCTACGGGCCTGATGCTATTACTACTAACACCACTTGTCACTTTATTTAATACTTTGTTAGGTAAATTATAATTGTGCTGATCATTCACTGTCAATCAAATCAGAATTATCTACCATTTCATAGTCACGTACAGAGTCCGAATTTAAACATTCTACAGAATGCAGCATTCTCAATGGTGCTAGAGTTTCATGTTCATAAGCTTCACTTTGAGTTTTGCGTAACTTTTGGTGATGATTCTTACGGTTTTTACTCTTCAGCGTTCCATTACTTGAAGGCTCTGAGGTTTTATTTGATTTTTTTCTTAAATTACAAGGAATGTCAAGATTCTCTATTGAGATTGATAGAATATCACAAGGTCTAGCAGAGTTTAGATCTGATTCACTTTTAAGCTTTCTTCTACCATTTATAACTTCCATTTCATGGTCTTTATTGTCTTGTAAGATATTCTCATCAGATGATCCATCACTGTATGAAAACAAAACAGGCTTTTGAGGCTTTGATGATGCTACATCATAACTAAAATGTCTTTGGAGTCTGTAGCTGATATTTTTGAATAATGAATTTGAACGCCCCTTGGGCTTTTGACTGTTTTGATTATCTGTTGCTTCTGTAGGCTGAATGAACAAATCACTATTATAAATACCACATTCTGTGTCCACAATGTTACTGTTGGATTTCTCTCTCTGGAATACACTGCTATCACCTGTTGAAATAGAAACTTGGTCTCCCTGACCCATTAAGGCAAATGTGTGATCTTCATGAACATCTGCATGAACATTATCAACTAAAACTTCATCCAAAGCAATGTCATTCATATCATCTGACTTTTTAGCCACACCACGCAGTGGTTCTAATTCCAACTGATTTGGATAATAGACATTTGGAGATACATGACCACTCATCTGAGTAGGGGCATTGCGACCGACGATCTGTGAAGCTTTTCTATAAGGCTTCCCCTGATCATGAACAAGAACAGAATTACGACCTTTCTCAATAACTAACGCAGGCAATGATGCCGTCCTGTACTTATGGTGAAGGAATGGGGCTCGGGGTCTATGTCCTACATGTCTAAAGCTACTATTATGTAGAGAGGAACCGTTGGAGCTGGTGATGGTGGTCCTACTAAATGATTTTCTCAGCAATGTCCCAAATCTTTTGAACAGATGTGAGCTGCTGTCCATCAGGGTATCTGAAAGCATAAGTTAAATAAAGTAATGATTACATGAATATTATCAAAATGGCCCAAGCCTCTGAAATACATAGGATTGCATGGATATTATGAAAAGGGCTTGGTGAAATAAAAATAATTAAAATTGCCTACTTACTTGCACCTTATTTATCAACTATAAGTGAGCATTTTTTCAAGCTTCAATATTTATAGAAAACATGGTCATGGAATATTAGAATTTTGTAAAGGTCAGAATATTATGCAGATCTAGGAAATAAACCCTATAGGCCTATTGATTTTCAGTCAAATGGACCAGGGTCTTGTAGATGGAGTTAAGTCCTGATGGTATACATATTGTGTATCTAATGTGCCCAGTGACATAATGTATTAAGCTTATATGAATCATTTATTTATAAGACCATGGTCCTATATGGGAGGTTAAATAATTAATGCATACGATCATGCAAAATGCAAATGGAATAACATTCTCAAGAATGACATATCAAAAAGGTGTCTCTTGGGGTCTATCAACAACTATACATAGAAAGCAACTAATTGTATTGTAACCTTAAACCTTTTTAAAGTACACATTGTACTATACAATAGTACAGTACAATACAATCATAGGCCGGCACTAGCACATTCCATCAAACAACAAAACAGACGAGCATGCATACCATAAAACAATACAAACAGACAAGCACATTCCACCAAACAACAAAACAGACTGCATTCTGTCAAACAATGGAATTAAACTATCATGCATTCTGTCAAACAATGGAATTAAACTATCATACTTGGTATAAAACAAAAGTCATGTACAGCCTAAGTTATATTACTTTGAATAGGCAGGCCCAAGAGTATAGCAATTCGTTAAACATGTAAATAAGAACCATAAGAAAAAGTAAGAATCTCTCAGTCAAGGAATAATTGGTTTTGCAAGAATACAGGAGGGAGGGGGCTCAATAAAGGGTAAAGCAACAACCTGATGAGTCAGGTTCAAGATGCCACTATCAGGAAGCATCGTAAAGAATTAGACGAAAAGAACATGGAGCATCTCAACAAGAAAAATCGCCCTCTCTTTTATGTCTAAGCATAAAAATATGAAGCTAATTGCCACATGGATTTCCCAAAGACTAAGAGAGACTTACCAGTGTTGTTGCTGTGTTGTCTGATTTTCTTTCACGAAAAATAATTATAAATAAAAATGGGAATGACACTGTGGGGATCAAGTAATATTCAATACACATTATGACGATCCATTTACATGCAAAATATGAACTACATTTTATGGTAATTATGGGATTAAAAGATAACATCAAAGATAATGTAGCATTTTTACAATCATTATTGTTTCAAGAATAATTGCACGAGGATACTCGATTATAATTATTTTAGCATGCAGCCATCTTACCAGTTGTGGAAGGGCCTGGGTTGTTTTCTGGTATCCATTCTATACGAGAAGAAATAGCTCTATCAATTGTTTCATAGCGGCAGTAGAAATGCCCTTTCTGGGCAATTACGCCGTGATTAAAAATGTAAATTTATTTAATGATTTTAAGAAATAAATTAGTATTTATTATAAAAAAATATTGTTTCATAATGATATCTTTTGAGGATCAGGCAAAGCCTTCTAAGTTATCAAAATATGTAACTGATTACATTTCATGTTAGTCCATCCATCCCCCACTATCCCTTTAGCACCCCCCGCCCCTAAACCTCATAGCACTACCCCATAACCTCACTATGCTCTCAGTCTGTAGGAGGGCTACTTGGGGCACTACAGGGACACTCCAAGACTATCATGACTATTCAGACTATCATTACTATCGGGACTACCATTAATAAGCAGGGCCAACCAAGCTAAATACTGTGTTCATTTGTTCAACCAAGGGCGAATGTAATGCTGGGACTATACTGCAGTTACAAATTTTTATCAAATATCAGTTTTTGAAACAATGGAGTAAACAGTGCAGAAATAGGTGACTATCTACCCTAGTACCCTGTATATGGAACAAGGCATTAACATGACAAAATGTCACCACCTTGTTGCTCACAATATTATGAGTTCAAACTTAAGTCAGATTTGAATTTCTGAGAACTCTAGATGATTTTGAAAAAATGGTCAATTTGAAACAAGTTTTTTGACCCTGCATGAGAAGGTCATTGAAGGTGAAATCTCAAATCTAAAGTCAGATTTGAACTTCTGAGAACTTAAAAATGATTTTGAGTCAAAATGATGAGAATTTAGCATGTCTGCAGCATTGTAATGCAACTGTTGACCACATCAAGAATGAAACACCTTGACATGTTTACTGTATTTCCAGCCAAACGAAGGCACTGAATGCCCAGTGTGAGAGAAAATGTGGAAATACCACTGTGAATACGTAATCCAAAATCAACACAGCGGGATATGAAGATTATCTACTATGAGAAGATATTAAGGTGTATTGGTTAATTTGAAGCAAGTTGATCAAATTTTTTTGACCTTGAAAATGTCAATGAAGGTCAAATCTATATTCAAATTTGAACTTTTGAGAACTTGTAGATGTTTTGAAAAAAATGGTCAATTTGAAGCATGTTGAAAAGAGACCTTTTTTGACCTTGCCGTCACAAAAATTGGAGACAATAACAATATGTCACCACTTTTTGGTGGTGACATAATTATATATACAGTTGGAGCAATCAACCCCAGTACTCCAGTACATAGACCTAATCCTGGGTAATGCAGACACCCTTGGTTAAACTTAAACATGAACAAATCCACACAACATTCATTATAACACACAGTACTCCTCTATCAAGAGATGATCTCTTGACTCTGAACGCTTGCTGGAACTCCTGGGAACCCTGTCTAGTGATACGTTTCCATTCTAAAATGATTAAATTTAATGAAGAGTTTATTAACAGTTTAGCTTCTGTCTTCTAGCCCATTATATACGAATACAAAGTAGATTGTTTTGTTGCTCAATATTGCATTTAATATTCAATTACTTATCCCTATTATTTTAGCATCATATGGGACAGAATAACTCTAGTGGTATTATGATATAAGCACGCTGGCGATTGCTATGGTAATCCATTGTTTTGGGTAGGCGGGTCACCTTTTTGTAAGTGGCTCTTAAGATTAATTTTTTAATTGCTTTGACAATGACATGCATTTAGTGCCAGGGAAAAGTCAGACTTAAAGTTTTGTAATTTTCTTCTTACTAAAGAGTACAATATAAAAGCAAAAAAGGTTCAGTAATTAAATGCAAATTGCTTCATACATAATTAAAGACTATCAATACATTTACTCAATTTCAGGCAGCAGACTATTGATTTGCTGACAAGAATAATACTTTTAATGTTTACAAAGTTTATGAGTTAAAAAAACACAAAGGGCAACATTCCAAAATCAAGTAACATGTAAGCCTGTTTATCATATATGAAACATATTGACCCTGTATATTGAGAGCCTCAAAGGACCTCATACACCCTCCATTGGGATCTCCCCATGGGAAAAAATAATTCATCTGATTTTTCAAAATGAGTATTCTGCTTCAATTATTACATTTATATGCACACTAGTATCTTGTTGACCTATATTCAGCACTGTATTGATGTATAGGTCAATTATTAGGGTCATAATTCAATCATGAAGTGTAGAGGCATAGATTCCAAACCAGGAAGTATTTTTATGTCTGTCAAAATCCATTTACATCCTACGCATCCCTGCATCTTATCCAAATATGTTACTACATAATGAAATATAATAGTATAATCTTTGGTTTTACAAACTTGTATGATATTTGATAAGTGTAAAGTTGTTTTTGGAGCATTTTTCTATATCCATTTTGTAGGGAAAAAAATGATGAAAAATGTACAATCTTTTAATTTCAAGTATGACCTGAATCGATTGCAAACTTCATATTTGCACATTTGATGAGATAAACCATTTGTGTCGTATTGTGAAATTATTAAGTTTGCAATCGATTCAGGTCATAGTGTATTTTTGGTATTTCTGTGATAATCAATGGAAACCAATGGCCTCTATTGGGATCTGCTGATATCCTCATGTTAAGTCAATGGTGCACAGCCCCATTTAAGTCAATACAACCTTACTGAACGAAATGATCCCTATCTCAGCTTATGTGTGTCCGAGCACTTTAATATTTTCCAAAGTATTATATGACATTTTATTCTTCATGTTACACCTACGAATGATTCATTTTGACCATAGGGATATTTGCCAATAATTGCACCTTGTCCTTATAATATTGGGTCCTGAAAGTCTAGCATCCAGCTCTAATTCTCTATTGTAAACAAGATAACTAGAGAGGCATTGAATAAGTTAAATACATTATCGCATTGAATATTTAGATCAAATTGGCATTTTTAACTTCATTGTACATATATGTAAGGATCCATCCTAGACATACATTAAAATGATGTCTGCATTGACTTATTATAATAATTGTAATTTCTGTTTTCAAATGTTGCCTTTTGTTTTTTCCTCAACACAATTATCTTAATCACCATTTTAAACACAATTGTACTTGCTCTTCTGGTGCTATTTTTACTATAATGTTTTTTGGCTTTTCATTTAGAAATTGGAATGTTCTTTCGAATTAGTTTTGCTTTAACCCCTTGACACCCTCTTCTTACACGCTACACTTCCACAAGACTTCAGAAACGAGGTGGATCTACAAATACCATACATGCTTACATCCCACCTTCCGGCATTTAAGGATGCAGTACCGGGTCGGTTTTCACGTCTGTTTGCGCAGGTTTGACTTCCGGTTTGAGAAAGCTAGCTCCCCAGAACGTCATTTTCGCATTTAGTCTTATTTAAAAATTATAGTTTATTTCGATAATGGTGTTTGCAGAAAAGAATTAAATTGCAAACATTTCATCAAGCATATTTTATCCCTTTCACTTTTATGGGAAAACTTGTTCTTGAGTCGCAATTAGTGGATACGAAAACCAGGGTTCGAAAGGTGCCAGCTCTATTGAAAACTCAAAAAAGTAAAAAGATTCATTTTGGGTGGGTAAAATAATTTTTTTATTTTGTAATTACAAGAGGGTCAATCCTCTTCATATTGCACTTGGATGATGATAACATCATAGTGATACATTGTAAAAAATATGAGCAAAATCTAATGTCTGTCTACGCTGACCTGGTACTGCATCCTTAACTCACCATTAACTGAGGATCCCTGAAAATTAACGATTCGATTTGAACCCAAAGATTAGTCTTGCTTCAAGGCATTGTGACACACTACTTCTACACACATGGTCTCAACAAGACAAGATATAAAGCAGATGGAAAAAATGGATACAGAGATGCAAGACTAATTTCAAAAAAGAAACCCCATCCTAATCCTCACGTATGCCCTTCTTTGGAAATACCAGTTAAATGATGAAAATGTAACAGCTCTACAGCATTAGTGACTAATATGTCATGATATGACATCTAAAGAGTCGATAAAAGATATATATATTCGACTGTAAAATAACCAGTCAAAATAATAGGAATTTAGCATGTCTGCAGCATTGTAATACAACTGTTGAGCACATCAAGAATGAGGGAAGCACCTTGACATGTTTACTGTATTTCCAGCGAAACGGAGGCACTAAAGGCCCGGTGTGAGAGAAAATGTGAAGAGAAATACCACTGTGAATACGTAATCCAAAATCAACACAGCGGGATATGAAGATTATCTACTAGGAGAAGATATTAAGGTGTCATGTGATGACACATCATCCACAAACAAATCTCAGGGTTATCTGTCAATGTACACAAGCTGAACAAATCTCCCAAAATTTACTCTTATCAATCTGAAAACATATTTAAAAAGACATGTCACAGATAACAACTAGAAAAACGGATTCTGGCACAGCAGTTCTCAGATCATCTCCCCATGGCGCTTCTTGTTAATGCTATAATTCTTTGAAAATATGTTTGGAATAAAGTGTAGGTTTTCCCACAGTATAAGATGGGAACTATCTGCCGATACCACTCATCTAGGTGCAACTGAAAACAAAATAATATAAAAAAGACTTTAGATATAAATATAGTACCGTAGGTATAAAAAAAACACCAAACAGCCATAATGATATCAGGGGATCATAGAAAAATATATCAGTTCATGTAGCGTGAAGGAACTTAACACCTGTATGTGTGGTTCTTAAAGTATAGTCTGCAAAATAACATTTTCAATTTTCCTGAACATAGGCCACACAGAATATAAGATGTTTTATTTCAAAAAGAACACACCATGCGCTGGCAATATTTAATCAGATATCTCAAAAGACAGCTTTTAAAAGAATTGTCCCAATTTCAGTATCGTTTTGTCTTCAATTTTAGTTCAGGGCGAGTTTCTGTTCAATTAAAGAAAAGCTAAAAATACAAAAATAACTATGTTCATTTATCACCTATTGTTCAACTCCCCTCTAAACATTCTGTGATCATTTATCCTAACTTTGACCTCATTTTCTAAAATAGGCCTCATTTTTCATGCACTGTGTCTGACGATGACATCATAGTGCAAATAGGTAACATGGTAAAAAATCATCCCAGTTTATCGCCCATTTTAAAGTTAATAGTACAGATTATACTTATACTACTCACTTATACAGCTATCTGTATATCGATCAATATAAAACAGATGTAAAGATTCATGTACTGAAATCAATATCTTTAATGTGAACCATTGTTATAGAGCACAAAAAAGCCTGATTGTCAAAACACATGTGTAAAAAATGTAAATCAGAGTAAGTGGCATTTTATACTCCTATAAACTTAAACTTATTTTAAGAGAACTGTACCATTGAGACCTTTGTGATCGTATAAGCATCCATTTTGGCGCACTTAGTTTGCCCAGAAGAGTAGGTATTTAGAGAAGTTTTGTACAATGGGTTTAACGCTAAAAGTATCCATGCCCATATCTCATTTAAATCATAACTGCCGCGCATCAATCTGGTGAATGCCTTACAGATTTTAGATAAGTTGAGCTAAAAAGTCCGAAACCTCTTTATATAAATGTAAATTTCACTATGAAGTTACATATTCAATTAACATGTATGCTTACCGTCAGTGAGCTGATAACTGCTCTTGGAGAACATAATATCTTTGTAACCTTCTCTGAATGCTGGACTCCGGAATGCGTATATGATGGGGTTCAGACAACTGTTGAAGTAACCGGCCCAATAAACCTGTAAAACATGACATAAAATGGAATGCGTATATGATTGGGTTCAGACAACTGTTGAAGTAACCGGCCCAATATACCTGTAAAACATGACATAAAATGGAATGCGAGTATGATGGGGTTCAGACAACTGTTGAAGTAACCGGCCCAATATACCTGTAAAACATGACATAAAATGGAATGTGTATATAATGGGGTTTAGACAACTGTTAAAGTAACCGGCCCAATATACCTGTAAAACATGAAATAAAATAGAATGCGTATATGATGGGGTTCAGACAACTGTTGAAGTAACCGGCCCGATATACCTGTAAAACATAACATAAAATGGAATGCATATATGATGGGGTTCAGACAACTGTTAAAGTAACCTGCAAAACATGACATAAAGAAAAAATAGTAATTCTTACTTCTTGGTTTTGGACATAATATTTTGGATCTTTATATCACAGTGGGGCTAAGTTGTGCATCCTCCGAACACAGGAAGGAACTTAGTGGATGATGTCTGGAACCCTGCGTTCGGAGGATGAAGTTGTGATACCTTTAACTCACTTTTCTCTATATGACATCTCACGCTCATAATATATAAATGTTTTCGAACAAGGATCAATCCCTGTATAATGCATATACAGAACAAAATATTGACATTTTTGTTTTTAACACCAATAATATCTTCATCCTCTGGGTCTTGTTTAATGTGAAACATGTGTATGTTCAACACCTATAAGCCACAACATGTGTCCACTGTCGGTAAGTGTTCATTACAGAGAGGGTAATTTATACAGAATTCAAACATGACCGTGCTCTATTCGAATTTTTCAACCAATCAGAATGCAGCATAGCCAATATAGAACGTTCTCTAATTCTCCATAGATGCACGACCATGCTCTATTCAATCTGCAATTTGCATTGTTTTGAGTGACGTCACATCTCAGCTGCACATCTGGGGCTCTGTCCGGGGATAGCATGCGTATTCTTCCTTCATGCCCGTTCGAGAGACACGGCTTTTACTAATTTTTATGTTTGAATCGGAATAAATAATGATAGGCCATTCAATATGGTGAAATTCAGCACTCGTTGGACAGAATGTTAGTACAAATGCACTCACCTTCGGTTTGTGCTTTGTACAACATTCTGTCCAACTCGTGCTGAATTTCACCATATTGAATGGCCTATCATTATTTATTCCTTAAGTCAGTTGAGTATGAGGTGAGAGTGCCATTAGAGACAGGTGTTCACTTGAGACAGGTGTTCACTTGAGAATGGTATCCACTAGAGACCGGTTTTACTGAATATCCATGAATGTAATGTTTCCTATGCATTACAAATGAAAATCGCACATTAACAGGGGCTTACTGCAAGACTTCATGGTTTATATATTGCATTAAGCCGATTTTCATGGTTTACATATTGTATTTAGCCGAATATGTCATGATCGATCTGCTGTTGTTGATGATTACCATCACACTCACAGACATGCGATAATAACATTGCGGTAATTGGAATCTAAATTATAGTAATTGTTATAAAGGAAATTACTTACTTACATTTAAATAATATGGAAAGTACTAAAATATTCAATTTACTAATGACGTCTGTAACAATCAAATTCTCTAGATTTACTTGCATCATTCGCAGATTAAGGGAAATCACGTAACATTTCTATATTAACAATTTACCTACAGTTTTACTCATTACATATGATTGATTATGTCATTAGTTGATGAAAACACACAAAGAAATCCTGTGGTCATAGAGAAGCATTACATGATAATAAAATCTAAACTCCTAAATTCTTTTAAAAAATGGGGGAATCCAACTTTATAAGGGAGAATGTTGATTATCAGGGAGAATCTGAGATAAAAAGTCAGAATTGACTTAAAAAGGGAGAATCTGATATTCAAAAGGAGTATCTGATATTATAAGGGGGAACTTGGCAAATATAAATTAGAATCTTACATTATCTGGGGAATCTGGCATTCTAAGGAGGAATCTCACAATTATAAGGAGGAATCTCACAATTATAAGGAGGAATCTCACAATTATAAGGAAGAATCTCACAATTATAAGGAGGAATCTCACAATTATATTTGGGAGAACATGATATTTGGGGTAATCTGGAATTACAAGGGAGAATCTGACATCACAGTAGAGACCCTGAACATCATATAAGGGAGAATATGGGGCAATATGCAATAGATACAAGACGGGGAACAAGAGATGCTTTCACTTTAACAAGTCAAAAATAATTTAATTCATCCCCCATCGTGAATCTTGTTTTTCTTAAGGGAAAACTAACTTTCTTTGACATCCACCTTCCGCTTTCTACAATGTTTACAAGAAATAGACCCTTGAGGTGAATTACCCAAATGCGAGTAGTTAGTTACCAGTTTCACCACCAGGTGGCTGATTCGGGTCAATTAACATGGCAGGTATATAAGAAAGTTCCCTTAGACTTGAATATTATCAATTTAAGTGGCTCAATTTTCATATAACCCTTATGTGTCTAATACTTATACTAATGAAAATATGTCCAGTAAAGCAAAATATTATCTGTCCACTAAAAGAAAAGATATTTCATTTTTTGTGATTTTATAGCATGGGGTCTATGGGGAATCTCCCCGAGCTAGAAGTCACATTTTCGAAGAAAAGTAATTTTTCAAAGTTGATAAACACTTTTTAAAACCACATTTCTAGATGCAATTTTACAAGTAGATTTCAAATATGATATTACTTTGACTGAATTTTGAATTTTTAATGACGTAAATCAAGATTATTTCTACTCGCATCTGGGTTATTTGCTTGATGCCTCTAGTTCTAAGAAGTTGTCAATTATTCAATGATCATCACCTGATAGACAGAGAGGTTATGCAGTTCATAAGCAATGGCAGTCTTAACAAACAATATACAGTAAAACCTGTATAATCTAAACACCATTGTCACTGGACAAGGAGTGTGGGGGTTAGCAAGTGTTCACATATATAAGGGTTATGTACTGGGAGGTTTTGGATATGGGGTTTATCAAGAGGGAGATATGCATATGTGGAGGTTAGCAAGTGTTCACATATACAGGGTGATCATTAAATTCTGGGAATTGGTCTGCCATTTCAAGATTTCTCAACCATTTGAATTGAAATTTTTAGCAAATGTACATTGTATAATTCTGAATTGACAAGCAATGTTTTATACATATCACATCTACAATTTATTTTATTGTAATTACAAAAAAAGCGAAAGTGGTCCGCGGGTCAGCAAATTTTGACTGATGTTAATCTGAAAAGTTTCTCAATATTTAAATTGGGGTCAGTGGGAGAATATGAATTTGGGACTGAGAAAAAGTGTTCATAGTGGGGTTCAGATTAGAAAGGTGTTCAGACATACAGATTTTCCTGTAGATGTGATTTCTATTTTCAGTGATATATTTTGTTTAAAGTGAATAAATGTTTAGTCGATGGATCCATGTTGTTTAAACCGTCTGTACTTAAACACTCTTAAAAATGAATTACTTGAGTATTTCCCAAGTATTTCCCGAGTATAAAAATTACTTAAAGTTAAATACTTAGTTTTACTTCATTTTACTTAGGTTTAACTTATATTGTCATTTTGAGTTTTTTAATTGCTTAATTATGTAAAAGAGTACTACAATTACTACAGTAAGTATTTCAATTTCTCTCCTTGCATTAGTAAATTCACCATAAATGAATTACTTAAAAATTACTTTTATTCAGTAGTTCAAGTTTATTTAAGTAATTTTTGACTTAAAATGAGTAGTACAATTTCTCAATATAAGGAAATCCAAGTAATAATTTTTAAGAGTGAATACTCTAGTAATAACTGTAGTTGCACCAAGTGTTATCAAAATACAGTTTTTTCCGATTCTAACAATTTTTGTGAATAGATTTAAAATAAATTTTCAGTTGTCATACACATTAATAATCAAGCAATAATTTATACAAATGTACCAGGTATATTTCAATTGCCTTTAATATAAATTACATGCTTGGAATTTGTTTTTGTTGAATCTTTTTTTGTTCCATAAAGTGATACCTGATGTATTAATAAATTGTCAATGATTATCAAATTAAATGATAAAACACAACTTTAAAGTATAGCTATCACATAGCATTAATAATAGTGCCATACCACACTAAGTAGCTGGGCATTCTCTTCACATGTAGTTCCAAATTCATCAAATTGAAACAGTAAATAAAATGTAAATATAAAATACTTACAATAGCATTCAGGTTATGTGGTATCTTCGATTTGTCCTTGATGATGGAGGCGTATATAGAATAGAGAAAGTATGGCAGCCAACAGACTACAAAGCACGCAACCACGATAAACAATGTCATTGTAATTCTCTTCTGCTGGGCTAGGATTGTGGCCTTCTCTTGATTCGTATTCTTCTCTAGGCGTACCCCATAGCGCTTGATCTCCCGGAAAATGCAGATATATGTCACTGTCATGACGATGAATGGGATCAGGATACCAGTGCCAGAGGTCAAGATGGCATGGATGTAGGTAATTAGGTCATGGGGATACTCAGGCCCACATTGGGTTGCAAATGGTTTGTAAATGACCTTGTTCATGGCATACAGAGTGGTGAATCCTATCATGCCACCCCATAACCATGTCGCACCAATCATCATTAATATCCTACAAGTTGTCATTACTTGACTGAATGGTTTCAGAATCGTAATATATTTATGGACACTAATATACATCAGAGTATGGATTGAAGTCACAAAAAATAAAGGCATAACGAAGCCATTTATCTTACATAAAACATCGCCAAAGATCCAATGTCCTTTGATGACAGTTGTTAATGAGAAAGGCATGTTCAGTAGGCCTACGGCTAAGTCTGCTATGGCAAGATTTCCCAGGAACAGATTTGTTCTTGTTCTCATTCCTTTGTGTTTCATTAGCACTATGAGGACCATCATATTTCCTGGAACTGTCAGTATGATGAATATTATCATTAAAACTGACAAGATAATTGTTGCTATAGGATCCCAATATGGAGGAGTCGGTAATTGTGTTGAATTAGAATAATTCTGGTGCATGTCGAAAGTCACATCCATTGTAGTATTGTTTGATAAATATCCAAAGTCTGCCATTGTAGTAATATAACGTATGATTCGCAAAACTTTGCCAAAGTTAACAGTTGTAATATGTTTTTTCACGATATACTTTACATCATTTTAAACATGTTTACTCTGCATTTTATGAGAACCTTTTGCCAACTGTTAATATTCAATGTACTGTATGTACACTCCATGACATTTCTAAAGAAATGCAATATGACCTTCCACTTTATAAAATGTCAGATCAATAAAATGTCTTTTTAACCACACTTTTATAGTTCCTTCATTATCCTTGGTTTCCATCTGATCATATTTCCAGTGTTCCGTGTTGTTTTACTTAGAATTCGTCCACAATGATCTAATGGTGTACTCAAATCAATAACTTTTTATATGGCTCCTATATACATATAAAGTTTAGTTGTATCCTGTATGTATGAAGCGTCATATAAATCTACCTGAATATCAATTAATAAACAGTTCAAGTGGATCCTGTTTGTTTGTAAATGGATAAGGTGCCTCGGTCTTTGTAGCAATATTCTTTTACCATCTGAGGTGATCTGTTTTAAAGTTTGTTTTCTCATGTGATTTCCATTTAGGTAACTTATCCCATTTGTGTGAGGTTTTGAAAGTCCTTGTTGAACATGATTGTGTACAGCTGAAGACATCTGGACATAATGTTAGTTCATCTGGCATGCATATCTTGGGACTTTGCTTAATTGCATGGACAAGGTAGACATTAAATATTGATGGTCCATAAACAGTTTGTCAAGTTCAATATCTAATTGTTCTAAGCATTTACATGCGTTCTCAGAATAATTCCTATAGTTTCATTTTAGACATTACACCTTTGTTGTCATGGGAATGCTATTTACTTCCTGGAACTTGATATTTATAAAAATTTGGTGGTTTTCCAACCATCAAATTATTGGTGTCTATTAACAAATTATCTTCGCATTTCCGTTCATCTATCACTTATTGGTGAGAGTAAATCCATGTGCTACCAGTTTATATTAACTCCTTATTGATGTGAATAAAACTATCAATGAACAGATGACTTCTATTATGTAAGATGATAGGGTGAAATTACTTTCCTGTACTTCATGTAATCTGATTTTCTGTACGTAATCTATTACATGAGAGATAAAGACACATCTGTGAATGTGTATGTGTAGTGTATATGTATATGTAATTAGTGTCCCAATACAGCTTAGGGTCAATACAACCTACTTGAGATTTGTTTTGCTCATCGTATAGGAAAAGTAGTACTTAATACACTAGTTCGCTACTTTGTAGATGTATGACACGTATATGTGTACATGTATTGGCAATTAATGTTTGGTGATAGCTAGTAGGAGTGTCAGGGACCGCTGACAGATTATTATTTTGAACCAAAAAATTGAATTATATTTTTGGCGGTCTCAGTAAATCAATGGGGTAATCAGGTCCTACGTGCTTTTTACAGGCCCAGAAATCAATGCTCGCTTATAAATGTAGCAAAATCTTTTTTCGTTCGTGGGATATTTTTTTCACCATATAACCGAACGGGAAGTTTTTGAATAGGACTACATGATCTGAATGGATGTGAAGATTCGATGGGCTGGGATTTGAGAAATTATGATTTGAACTTTGCCTATTCTACATGTATTCCAATGGGTGAAAAAGTAAGTTGCTTTCTACCTAATATCAACCACATTTATTAGTGAATTTCGAGAAATATGTCGAATTTAGCCATATTTCGCATATCTTTCTATGGAACCATTTAAAGTTTTGCAAATTAACCCCTAAAATTCTGGAGACGACGATCTAAATTTTGCTGAGTCAGCAATTTTCGTTTTTTCATTGAAAACAGTACTTTTCAGCCTAAATTGCTACATTTCTGCTCTCTTATCAAGTAATTTGATGCAGTTCTTGCCAAATTAAAGGAAACACACCCCAAACGTTCCACAGTGTGCGAAGTTCCAACATTTTGACCCTTTAAACCCACGAAAGACCCAATTTTAAAGGGACGTATTCAGTAAACCTGCACAAAAGACAATGCTACTTGAACTAGCCATCAGAAGTTCATGAAAAACGAAAAATCAATGATGTTCAGTTTAGTAAAGTAGCAAATAGTCCTACTTATGGGAGAATATAAATCACTTAAGCAATTTGTACAACTTTAAACAGCTGTTTTAAGTAGATTAGTATCGTTATAGGCAAAAATCCCCCAAAATAGCCCAAAATTTGTCCAAAAATTCAAAATTTTCATGCTCAAGGCTGAATTATTTTGCCTATTTTGCTACATTTATCAGTGCAGTGACAAGAAGTCTTGTGGATAGCGCAACTTTTCCTGAACGTTTCTCTAATAAGATATTTTAATGACAAAAAATGACATTTAGTCTGGAATAAATTGTCACAAAATATAATGACCCCAGGGGTCAAGAGAACCCTATAAAATCAAAAGTGCTGAGGGGATTTGAGCAAAAATGTACATATCACTTCATAAAACCCCGAACTTTAAAATTCATATTGAATAAAATGCATATTCAGTCAACCATGACACTAATAGGGTCAATATAACCTACTTGAGATTTGTTTTGCTCATCGTATAGGAAAAGTAGTACTTAATACACTAGTTCGCTACTTTGTAGATGTATGACACGTATATGTGTACATGTATTGGCAATTAATGTTTGGTGATAGCTAGTAGGAGTGTCAGGGACCGCTGACAGATTATTATTTTGAACCAAAAAATTGAATTATATTTTTGGCGGTCTCAGTAAATCAATGGGGTAATCAGGTCCTACGTGCTTTTTACAGGCCCAGAAATCAATGCTCGCTTATAAATGTAGCAAAATCTTTTTTCGTTCGTGGGATATTTTTTTCACCATATAACCGAACGGGAAGTTTTTGAATAGGACTACATGATCTGAATGGATGTGAAGATTCGATGGGCTGGGATTTGAGAAATTATGATTTGAACTTTGCCTATTCTACATGTATTCCAATGGGTGAAAAAGTAAGTTGCTTTCTACCTTAGCTGGCTTGTGTAGACTTATTCTGAAAACCAAAAACCAAAATGTTAATTTCTCTAAAATTAGGTTTCTTATACATATGTCAGGCCCATAGCCAGGATTTGCCAAGGGGGGGGTTCAGTTTTGAAATTTTCCAGGGGGAGTTCACATTTGACAATTTTGGCCCAAATATGGCTAAAATCACTCGAGAAGTGCTCAAAATGGTGAAAAACTGCATGATTTTGAAAGAATTTTTGGCCGGGGGGGGGGGGGGGGTTCGTCCAAACCCTGCAAACCCCCCCTGGCTACGGGCATGTATGTAAATCACTTGTTAAGAATCCAAACTCAAGACTCCAGACACTTGCTCTGTTGCTCATGTGTTCGTAATTCTTGTTACTGACAGTTATCAAGGGAGTTCAATTTGATTTGCTGACTTTGACATTTTATTTAATTAAACAACTTTCAACATGTGTTTTAATTGCAAGGAGATGACATTCTCTTTTTGATAAGATAGGCAAAATGTAACCTGAATTGAACCTGTTCTCAAATGTGTTGTTATTTTTTCTAACATGAAAATTAGTTGTTTGTTTATTGATCTGAGGGTACCCTTTGCATTCGTTTGACTTCACTTCTTAAAATAGAGCTTCGTCTTCACTCTTTCAAACTAAAATAAACCTGTGAACACACCGCGCCAATCAGTGTTCGTCGGCCAAATTTGACCGATGTTCTTTATATGGTCATTCCTTCTGACGTCATCATTGAGCCCGGAATTGACCAATGACATGCGCATATTTAATTAGAACGCATTTGGCGTATGTTTCTTCAAGCTCGCTGGTTGGTGGAAGGTCAGCGCATAGGTCAAAAGAGATTTACCCAAACTGTCACCGGTACCCGTCGTGGAGGCGGGGCTACTAAACTGCAATATGGTCTCTACTAGGCAGAGTGTAGTTTAACTAGACTCTGCACGCAGGGTAATCTGAGGGGGTTATGTAGATAAAATTAAGTGTTAACTCTCGTGGTAGATAATATAATAAATATATACACATATACTCTGGTTAAATGTTTCAGACAATACATCAGAAAACTACAGTAGAAATTGAAATAATTCTCCATTTTCCATGGGAAATTGTTATCATGTCTTTTACATTTCATTTTCTCTATACCAAAACATTTCAACAGCAAGAAAAATGAATACGGAAAAACATTAGAGATATTAATCTTTATTATATCACTATCTAGCTAGCGACAGTATGATTGGTCAAAATTGGGTCACATGTCGTGGGATATCTGGCAATATTCAATGGCAATGCTAATCAGATAAGACAACCGTGAGATATCTAGCGATATCCCACGCTCCCGGGAATTTTCAAAGAATTTGTTTTCGTTCAGTGTAAATAATTTAGTTCAGTTTAAGTCAAAATGGCAGACGCACCAAGTAGATTCGTAAAAATATCTGAAGACTTAATGACTTAATAATATTAGGGATGTTTAGCTAGACAGTGATATCACGGGGGATAAGCAAAACGAGGGCGAAGCCACGGACTGCAACTCGCGTAACTTTACACCGCAGCCCAGCGCCAAAATGGAGGGACATCCGGCAGTGCCTTCTGCTTCTTCCGACAAAATAGAGAAATCCATGTATTTTAAATGCTATCGTAGTGTCTAATCGGTGACCAAGATATTACTCTGTATCTACTGTTGGTCTGTAGATAAGAAAATAAGCAGTTGTCCAGATCAAGCTAAAACAGTAGCAAAGTTCTGATTTTACCTGTAAAATATGTGCATATTATTTAATTTACTATACATTTGAAAGGAGTTTTAACACGTTTCTGATATCTAAAGGTTAGTTGAGGCTCCGAGTATAATTCGTGAAAATGATTTGATAATAGAATGTGTTCATGAGGAGAAAATTAGATTCAAACTGCGCATTCATAGTGGACGCAGTCCAGTAAACAAAGCTATTTCAACAACGCAACACAGCCTCCATTGATATTCTAAGTAACGCAGTCCAGCCGCGAACACGAAATAAATAAGATAGTGTAAACTATATTAATTCCTACGCTATTATTGTTTCAGGAAAAGAAAGTCAGCATCCAGATTATCATTCAAAGTTACGTTGATTAACATATTTCTATTACCTGAATCAATGTCCCAAATTGCTATATTGTATCGTTTAAGACCTAGAAATATGGCAATTCAATAGCGTATTTGGCAGAACAGTCGAGCGCAAGATGACAACGTAAAATGTTTATTACAAACCAATTTGTGGATAGGGTTAAATATATAGATAATTGGATAGTGGTGAGACTTTTTATAAGAAGTAGAAATGCGAAACAATTAACTTTTTGATGATGCAATAAAAGCTGTTGGGGAAGGGTACATTAACTAGTATTTAAGATATCAGGAAAATATCAAATAATTGGAGAGTTGGTGAGTTAATGTAATTTTGGATGATCTTTCCAACAGTCCATCAATATTGCTAGCTACCATAAATTCATGATTTCAGCTGTATTTGACAGCTTGTATATATTTGCAGAATGGATTGAGACACGATGTAGGTCTATTAAAATAGCCCTTTATATTCAATTTTGTCCAAAGTTGCTCCATTTCGGCCACACCTGTACACACATTGTGCTATCTACCTTTGGCTGTGATTGCGTTCAGCTTCAGATATAAAGCAACACTGAGTCGCGGACTGCGTTGGGCAGATGGATGGACTGCGACTATTATAAATTCCAATTTTCTATGTAATTGTACGTTTTCCGCTTACCAAATATCACACGAAGATGTAATTGTAACAACAGAACATGAATAATTATATTAATTCGATGTCATTTCTGATTCCTTTGTTTAAATCGGTATATTAGGGACAAATATTGACAAAATTACATTTTTTGTGGCAGATTTCGAATTCATTTGTGTTCATGCTAAACTATTGGACAGTCGAGCACCAAGAATGCCATTGCAGATGGAGTATGAATATGTTGATCACCGACTGGAACATACTAGCTATTCTGTAGAATATCCAAACCAATAATCTACCCCAAATCCTAACATGCCTTCCAAATTAAGTTTGGACTTACCGCCATTGTTCAGCTATAATGCGTTGTAACCTCGTTTTGAATTACGCGAGTCGCAGTCCGTGGCTTCGCCCTCGTTTTGCTTATCCCCCGTGGATATAATAAAACAAATATTTCACTCTATTTTCGGTGAATACCTGTAGCACTTTCACAAGGTGATATTCCACTTGCCTTTCGGGCTTCGTGGAATATCACTTGTGAAAGATGTACAGGTATTCACCTCAATAGAGTGAAATATTTGTTCAATACTAAAGGTTTCTTTCCAAATAGTCAGCTCATCTTTTATCAATCTGCTTAATTCCTCTTGCAATTCTATTCTAGCAAAGTACTTTTTCTATTGTTTTCTATGATAACAGGATACTTATTTTGTCATGATAAAGCTTTTTGAATAATTAATTGCTCTTAGGCTATTATAAAAACATGGCAGCCACAGAGTACCAATTATTAATGAGAAGAAATGAACAGGCTGTCGCTATATTAGAAAAACTGAAAATCATGAGTTTGCAAAAATAAATTCTCTTTCTACTTACAGTTTCTGAGTGCTCATTATAAATAAAAGTGTTCATTAAATGAAATTATCCTGAATATTGGGTTTACTTCTAAACTGACCTCTGAATAGTTAAGACAATTTTACAGTTCAGTGGCCCCACTCTACCACTGGTTGGCATCACAGCCTGAGGTCGGGGTTTTCTTTTAAATATTTTAAGAAGCTAAGTTTTAATGCACATGAATTAAGAATACCCTGAGACTGTAAATTAATCACCATGCATCATGATAAACCATGAAATCTCCAAGCCTTGGTGAAGCATAAAGATGCTAAAATGATCACTGTGTAGTCACCTACCTTAGTTTCCTTCATTTGCCGCTCTTCAGATTACCTTTAATAACGAAATGTTCCACTTCGCCATTCTCATTCGATTATTACTAAATATGTTGATGCTGTTAATTATTTCTTAGCTACTAGTTCGCTGACCTGTGTTCAGGTTAACAAGTCTTAGCTGTCTGATTCTAAAGGTTTCAAATCTTCAATTGCATCACAGCTGTGGTGGTTCTATTATGAAGATTTCAAAACTGCGTGTTCATCTACAGATCTGTTACTTCAAAAAGCTACTTAGTGTAACCACTATGGGATATGTCAGGCTCAGCACATCAGGATATTGCTTGTTTAAAATAACTGGGAAAATTGACATATCTAATAGCCCTTTTCCCTATGGGTTTATTGCATGATCAATCCAAATCACCACCTAGGATTAAGCCTCATTTTATGCACTTTATAAAGTCTGTTAGGTTCTCATTTTGAGCTCATTAAGATCAATCTGGTTATTCCATGATAATTATCATTTGAGTATGATAACGTGCTATACATGTGTTCCAATGAAATGGGAGAAGCTGCTGGTTCTCTAGTCTATAGTTGTCTATTGATTGTTAATATCCTAAGAACATTCTTGGTTTGGCGCCCTTGTTGTCTGGTTGCTGTGACCCAATCGTGTCATGATATTTCAACATTTAGTATTTTCCACCTTCGTTCACTTTCATTCTTTCTGAAAATAGAAGTTTAAAGTAATTAGTTTATTTGATGCAGGTGAAACATATGGCAGGTACCAGGGGGAGGAGGGGGGGGGGGTTCTTTACCTATTTTGAATTGTACACTGCTTTATATTTTTCCTCAATACTAGTACATGTCATTCTAACCAGATTTTTAATCATACCCCCTATTCCTCCCATTTAATCCCATTTTGATATGGTTCAAAATGAGAAAAATAGGATCAGAAAGTAAAATAATGTTATCTTTTATATATACATAAATAAACAATATATGCAATTGTATGATATAATAATTGTATACTTTGTAGGTCATGATTCAGTTTTTATAGTTTTTATAGTATATCAAAAAATCCCCTGAATCTGAAAAGTACTAAAATGCCTTACTATAATAAAAATATTTCCCTCCCTATTAAAATCTGTCTCAACGAGGCATCAATGTGATAGCATCCAAGTTGCAAACATCAGATAAGTCATTGCAAATCACTACAGAAGTATAACATTGACAACAAGGCATTAACATGACAAAATGCCACCACCAAGTTGCTCACAACATTATTGTAGATGATTTTGAAAAAATGGTAAACTTGAAGCAAGTTGAAAAAAAGACCTTTTTGACCATTTTTATCTTGAGAAGGTCAATGAAGGTCAAATCTCAAATCTAAAGTCATATTTGAACTTCTGATAACTTGTAGATGATTTTGAAAACAAATTGGTCAATTTGAGGCAAGTTGAAAAAAGACCTTTTCTGACTTTTTTTTACCTTGGAAAGGTCACTGAAGGTCAAATCTTGAATAAAAAGTCATTGAACTTCTGAAAACTTGTAGATGATTTTGTTAAACCAGAACAACGGCAACGCCAAAGCGTAGCGAATCCCATCGAACAGAAATGGCTGGCATTTTTACAAACGAAGCGCAAATATCATAAAACAACACACCAGAAAGGCCACCATTTTCAAAATGGTTGCTCACTAGCCAAGTTGCCATCAGAAGAAATAATATGCTTTTAAGTAGCCACCTCTAAAATTTTTGAAAAATCGCACACGTACTTGTAAAATAACACACATAAAAATGGTGGCCATTTTTCAAAATGGCCGACTACTCCCCAAAGTTTTATTAGACAATGTGCCATGCTTAAAGTATTCACATATCAAATATGAACAAAATCGCTACACTACTTTTCGAGTTATAGTGAAATACGTTAAAATGGCGGCTATTTTCAAATATTGTTTTCAAAATGGCCCCCTTCTACCAAAAGTGTCATAGGACAGTGTGCCAAGCTTATAGTATTCACATACCAAATATGAACAAAATCGCTCTACTACTTTTCGAATTATAGTAAAATATGTTAAAATGGCGGCCATTTTTCAAAATTTTTTTCAAAATGGCCGCCTTCTACCAAAAGTGTCATAGGACAGTGTGCCATGCTTATAGTATTCACATACCAAATATGAACAAAATCGCTCCACTACTTTTCGAGTTATAGTAAAATACGTTAAAATGGCGGCCATTTTTCAAAATGGCCGCCTTCTACCATAGTGTCTTTAGACAGTCTGCAATGCTTATAGTATTCACATACCAAATATGAACAAAATCGCTCTACTGTTTTTTGAGTTACAGCAAAAATCGTAAAATGACGAGAAAAGGCCGCCATTTTTCAAGATGGCTGCCATGTGCTTCTTTAATATCTACATTTGTAGCATTATTAATGTCCTTTATAATTTTCTTACATTTAAAACATATTGCTATTACAGTTTTACATATTGCACCTAAATTACTGTAAAATCGTCACTAAAATGGCCGCCATTTTGAAACGAGTGGCCATTTTGAAAATCGGCTTTCGAGCAGAACTTCTACCCCCATAGGGTATATGTGTACAAAATATGAACAAAATCGGGCCAACGGTATTTGAGTTATTGCCCGGACGGACGGACGTACGTACGGACAGACGGACGGACGGACGTACGTACGGACGGACGGACGGAGGCGTTCCCTATATCCCTCCGAACTTCGTTCGATGGGATAAAAATGAATTCAGTCTAAAGAGTATTTGAAAAGTTATTGGAAATTTTGTTACATTACAATTTGTTACAGACGCCAACCCCCAACCGCCGATCACCAACCGCCGTCAAAAAAAACGGAGACCATAACAATATGTCACCACTTTTTGGTGGTGACATAAAAATGACATCACAGTACATCGATGTACTAAAATAATTACTCTGCCATTAATATTTACCTCACTGATGAACATGTGTGAAATCTGGATAATACCAGTGCATTATCAGGAAATTATCATCTACAAACTTAAGGACATCTTCTCTTTTGATAATTATGTTTTAACTTTGTGAGAATTAAGTTTGGCATATAGGTTGACTTAGAAAATAATGTAGATTTACACATGTTAAAGCCTTGTCGATTTTGTAAAATATACAAGAGATAGTTTTACTTGACTTGATAATCCATGATACTAAAGTTGCATTAGTAGTGCGTTTCAAATTCATTTATAATTGTACTTCACATGAGCACCATCTATCCTTTAAAACCGTTAATTTTCTAGTCAATATTCTCATCTCAACTCATATTTGTAACTAACGTAGACAGTCATTTGTCATCAGAAACTGGTGTTGATCTGTTTAAAATTCTCTCAAAATTCTAATGTCACAAAATTTGAATTACTTGCAATTTCGTAATAATATTCAGACATAAGCCGTTGCTTAGCCTCGTCATGCTGAAAATTTAAAAATGCAGAATTTAGCGGGGAATTTGGGATTTCAGTCAGAATTTGACTTTATAATGCAGGCTTCTGCACAGATTTTCCAATTTTCTCTTGCAGAAAACTAGTATGTGTGCTTGTTAACCATATGGGTTTAAAGTCAATCTGATCATAACATTTCAATATGTTGTGTTTATCAGCTCAAGAACTGCTTACCATTTATGTGTAACACGTGTAAAGATTTGAAGGGGTTCCAATCACTCATCTGTCTGGAGATAATATAGTGCTGAGCCAATTTTTTTTAGTCAACACTCCTAGACAATGATGCGCCGAGGATTCCCGTCAAGGTTTATATATAGTGAACCCCTAGGTGTATGAATGCAAACTCCATGCAGTGTCTCAGAATAGACACTGCAGCGGGTAGATGACGAAATAACCAAAATTTGGAGAAAATGGTCCCCGTTTTAATCATAGATAAAGTCAATTTTCACACAACTTATCAATTATATATTCTTTTACGTTCCCCAATCATTACTTTGTCAAAATATTCAGAAAATCACGAAATACAATAACAAGAAATATCCGCGGTAGGATTTAGAGTTACAAGTTTTGTTGATACTGGTTCACCGCACGTGTGTTTATTAGTCAATATGCAAAATCCCACCGGTGAACTTGTCTAGATTTTACAATCAAGCGACAAGATCATGCGACAAGAACCAATCGTGTCAGTTGTTTATTACTACGTTGCCATACTTACGATTTTGGATCTGCCAGCCGCAGTGATATGTTGAAGACTAGCACTGCCACGGAGTTTGGTATGAAAGCTTACAATCACACATGGGCATTTTGTCCAGGTTGGAGAATGTTCTTTTTATTATTCCAAGGATGCTATTGGCTTTAGAGACTGATAGGTCAACATGTTGGTGGAACTTGAGATTATTGTCGATATTGATTCCAAGGTCCTTTTCAGTTTTGTTGATTTCAAAGATCTGGTCATTCATGGTATATTTATGTTGATCGTTTCCATGTCCAAGGTGCATTACTCTGCATTAGCGGTATTAAAAGGCAACTACTATTTATTTGACCACTTAGACATATTATTCAGATCCTTTTGTAGTGTTCTTTTGTCATCTTCGGTTTTAACTTTGCCATAAAGTTGTGCATCATCAGCGTACATGAGTATCTTGTTCTTTGTTGCTTCAGGTAAATCGTTGATGAAGGCAGCAAACAGGGTCGGCCCGAGGCAAGTTCCCTGAGGTATACCAGAGGTTACAGGGGCCCACTCTGATACTTTACCATTTACCAAAACTCTCTGTGCCCTGTTTGTAAGAAAAGATCTCGTCCAGGCTAGTAATTTTCCTAAAGATAAAACACTTATTCGATAGATAAGTTCATATGGTTAAAATAACGAAATGGTGAAATGTTACCGTGTGTCTACTTAGCAGTTTGTTGTCATCCCTCCTGCTAGGTAACATTGTGGAACTCAGGCAAACACGACGCTGAAGGCAGTATTCTGAGGTTATAAAATCTAGATCTTAAAAATTTCCTTGAAGACATGGTTGGGTGACATGTCATTATCGATAAAGTAACTAGTCACGTGATCAGACACGTGTTACGCAATCAGTCACGTGAGCTTGAAAAATGGACGATCTAAATTTCCAAAAATTCTGCTAAGATCAATATCGACATGTTGTTGCCTTCGTTGTCGTGTTTGGCTGCGGTCCACAATGTAACCTAGCAGGAGGGATTACATAGAACAAACTGCTAAGTAGACATACGGTAACATTTCATTATTATGTTATTTTAACCATATGAACTCATCTATCGAATAAGTGTTTTATCTTTAGACCTACAGGATTGTAGTTCAACAAGTTAAACCTAGTCTGGGCCTTATTTCTTATCTGACATTTCTTGTGGCCCGCCCTAGGTTTAACATCCGTGCCTATTCGGCCCTTGATGCAAAAAATTTTAATGATGGCCTATGGCAGCGCATAGAATTCTATGCGCGTTTTATTAATAACTGATAGTGAGAATTTGCAACCAATGAAAGCATAGCACGGAAGTTAAACCCAACCACGACAACAAGAACACTCAGATTATAAATGAAAGCTGTGGTATTGGGTTTAACTTGTTGAACTAACAGGATTGTAGTTTTACCAGTACTATTTTTTTCATGGCCTGAGTTCGTCGCTAACATGCTAGATATAAGAGTTGGCTGACGTTTGGGAGACTGACTTACCTTCTAAAGGTTAGAACCCGAATCTTAATGAAACCATATCACCTTTGTTCCGTCAACCATGGAGCATTTGCCACAACATCCAAGAGGTAAATCATTGACCGTGAAAATGAATGATTTCCGGAAGTTTCAATACGAAAAATTACCGAACATATGTGAAAACCGAATATTTGTTTGTTGTTTTCACGATTTACAGGTTCGTTTGTTCTCCAATTGCAATGTTTTGGTCTAAATTATAAAGCATCACCAACAGGTCTTACTCTATTAATCGACTAATACAGCAGACGGCTCATATTTCTACGTAGCATTTCGTTCAGACCAACAGTGGGAGTGCAGATCACGCAGTTTCGTTCGTTGCGTACTTCACTTGAAATTGGTAATTTTAAATATTGGCTACTTCACTTACAGTTGGGGACAAAAATAAATGACAGGTCGATTTTCGATCACCATTTCCTAATTATGGTTGTCTGAAAGCCCATAATTTCCAATATTGTCTAGATACATATCCCTTAAAATTTGTATATTTTACATTTTGTATAATCTCATCCACTGATTTATGGCCTCTTGTAAATTCTCTTATTTTTAACATGGGAAATCCTCACTTCAGCAAATCCACCTGTCATTTATTTATGTCCCCTACTGTAGCTTGGCGGATGTAGAACATTGCTTAATATTCTTTTAATTTTCACACCAGACTTGCTTGGTTGACACGTCAACAAAGTAAAGTTCAAGGGTCAATGCGTTATTTCGTGATAACTACAACGCCTTCCCGGAAGTCAACATTGATGAAAAATGAAAAAGTCGGAAAAGCATTTACACTAATTTCTATCAAATGCTGTGTTTATGCATCATCATCGACGCAACAAAGGTGATATGGTTTCATTAAGATTCGGGTTCTAACCTTTAGAAGGTAAGTCAGTCTCCCAAACGTCAGCCAACTCTTATATTTAGCATTCTTCTTCTTAGTCCTTTTCAGTGTTCCTTATAAGGTGTTCCGGGATCACTTTGGCATTATTATGCTGCCTTTGATCACTTGTTGCTGTTTTTAAAACTCATGTACTAAAAATATCACTTGTACTTTTCACTTGTGCTTATTTAGCATGTTAGCGACGAACTCAGGCCATGAAAAAAATAGTAGTCGCTGTAAGGCACACTATCGAACGCTTTACTAAAATCAAAACATGTAAGAGGAAGATATAAAAATATGACTTACGAATATCAATTGTTACCCATTAATGCAGTAAGGTGAGGTCAACAAGAATAACTTTCAAAATAAAGTTTTCAAATTTTCAATATTATTCAACTTTTCAACTTTCGTGCACTTTCCCAGTACGGAAGTAGCTAATTAACTACGAACAAATAGTTTTATTCAATGAACGCCCCTTAGGTCGACCATTATATTTCATTCAAGATAGGCAATACATAAAGGTTTGTCAAATAAATGTAGATGTTTCTAAATATAAATCCTGAATCCTTCTTCTTAGATTGAAGCCTCCCTTCAATCTATCATGAAGCCTCCCTTCAATCTAGATCGGAGGAGCCGGTCAACTTTGCAATAAATATGAATCGGACTTTGTTCTTATATTTGATGCATTATATTGCATGTACCCCTTTTAGTACCCCTCTGGAAACTATTGAGCTAGTCGCCATCTTGGAAACTGGAAAAGTTGTAGAAAGTTATCAGCTAACAACATTCAGGTTTTATGCAGATTAGAGACAAGATTGAGCATACATAAACTCATTTGCAAATGTATATGCAGTTATTTTATCTAAGGACGTGATATTTCAAGAGATCGACCGGTAAGTGGAACAATATAATCTCAAGATTGTTTTCAAATGTTGTCCCATTTCCTGGTTTGGCCACATTTTTCAACTTCCTGTTTCATATTTGATGGATATCAGAAAATTATACCAGGGCAGTTGTTGTATATAGCCTATCATAGAAGAAAACACATATAAAACAATTCATCATTTTGTGGTTTGATCAGTGAAACAGTTTGATCAGTGCTGCCTGGATTGTGGGATATTTATTGTAATAGGCGTCAGCCATGGAAATCTTACAGATCTGTCAACGCCACATACCCTTTGCATTGTTCGACTTCATTTCTTAAAAGCGAGCTTCGTCTTAAATAGACTCTGCAAGCAGGGTAAACGTCACAGTATTTGTCTGCAGTTGTTGTCATTATATGCTTGGTATGTTGAACCACTTTTAAGTTTAGAAAAATTGACTGATTTTTATATTATGTTTATCTTCCCTTGTCTTGTCCCGTAAACAAGTTTGACATTTGCTATTATTAAATTTATCTAGACTAACATTATGACTAGGGCGAAGGGGTGTAACAACGATACCATTTTGGGGTAACTTCAACATGTGGGGTAACTTCGACACCTTGTTGTTTATTTGTTCTAATTTCCGATCTAGGTAACCAAACCCGTCTGGCCCAGTTATCTACTCCTGACATCGTAGATCTGGGCCAGACGAGCTCCAATGCAAAAAAGGGGTTGAAGTTACCCCGTCATTTATGTTGACATTACCCCACACATCGATGTTACACCCCTTTGCCCTAACTCTTCAAGTTATGCAGGGACCATTATCTAATATTGCAGCTCTTATGTCATTGTGCAATGAATAAATATTGTTCATTCAAACATGACCATGCTCTATTAGAGAATCTCTCATACATTCTGATTACGGCATAGTCATTCTCTTATTTTTCGATAGATGAATGACTACACCAGGGAATATGTATTAATTGTGATATTATATGTAGGGCTCTGTCTGGGATGGCCACTTAGATATTTTGATGCGAGAATGAAACCAAATCTGTTCTTTCATGGACCTCTTTCTTTCCCAATTCTTTGAACAAAGTTTTACTTCATTTTTATGTTTAAACTGAAGGATAATGATAGGTCATTCAATATGGTGAAATTAAGCATGAGTTTGACATAATGTTGTACATACAAAACATTTCATTTTATGCTGGTATAATATATGACACATAAAGCTGAAATTCAAAGTGTCTGATATAAAAGCAAACAGATTGTGGTACCCCATTCTAGCCCTGTGTCAAAAAGTGTTTTCTTTCAACACATGGTCAATGATTTTTCATTGAGATTAGTGCAAAAAACTCTTGTAAAATCCATCATAGAAGAATATACTGTTAGGTATGTCCTAAATCCATTCATCTAATGACCCTAGTTAAAAAGTATCATCACTCAAAAACGACTCCTTAAAAAATAGGAGCTGTAAAGACTGCATTGCTGGTATTCTTGAGGTAAAACCTACTAGGAACAATACATATACACTGTATGGTACTTACTTATCTGTAAACATTACAAAAGCTAAATAGATTAAGTTTTCTACATTTTCTTGTCTTACATATTATACATGTATGTTTTAACTTTCCAAAAAGTTCTTGAAATTCTTGAATTGTTATTGATATCAAGATAACTATTATAAGTTATAACTCATTAACTGACTACAGTGATTGCTTAAGTTATATAGAATAGTATGCAATGCATGTAAATTCAGAAAGCTGAATTTCTCCAACAAAAAACAATACAGAATAACATGAACCAAAAATAGACTTGTGATTAATGATCTTAACTACTGAAAAGGTTAAACATTAGAACTTTTACTGATAGAGTTTCTGATAACCAAAAGAAAAAAGATAGTTTACACATAGAATATAAGCCATGAAACAGTTTAGTGTTAAGTAAAAAATCTTGTTTAATTGAGATGATTCCACAATCAAATTCCACATCAAAATATAAGACGCCACACATTTTGATAGCCACACTATAAAACAAACCAAAATATACAAATGTTAGTCCTTGTATGAACGTTTCTATTTTCTATTTCAATATGGCCATTTGATTTCTTAGTTTTTAGATCCAAAGTACTCAGTAGAATTATGAGTCTGACTTTAGGCAAAACATTTGCCGTAGTTGTATGATTTTGGGCTTCATATTCTGATTGCCATTGGCTATTTGAAAGAGTGTTTTTGAAGTCAAGATCTGTCAAATGGTAAACTAATTAGTTTGAAAAGTTGAAAAGTATGAAACTTGTAAAACAAGTGTTAAAGAGGACACATATTAGATTTGGTATTTACCTTCAGAGATAAACTTGGTTGCTAAACTGTCCACCATAGGTTGCCATATACACTTGCACAATGTAAGTAGTCAAGTGTTGACTAAATGATAGTTGGGGGTTATTTACAATATTTGTATAATAGAGATTTTCAATTATATAACAGTACCATGTTAGGAATGTTTGTGGATAATTTATGGTATGATATGCCCTGACCTCGTGTCTCACTTACATTGTATATATATGTTTCTGATAGTAAGAGTTAACATAGAAGTTATCCCCTTAATAAATAATCTGGACTTATCTTCTTAGAAAATGCATCAATTCATCTGAAAATTATGTGATAATAGCTCAATATTTATTTCTATATAATGGTGTGACCATTTTTGAATGATTTCTGAAATTGTAAAGTAGCAGGCAGCATTTGATTTTCCTATTTATTTTAATAGAATTATCTGTTCTTTTGAGAATTGTGCAAAAGTTTTCACTAATTTGACATTAAAATTACAGTAAAACCTGTCTAATCTGAACGCCATTAGGACCAGCTAAAAGTGTTTGTATAAGAGGTGTTCACACTTTTAGGATTTTGCAATCGCTAGATTCTGGATTTTTAAGAAATGTGAACACATTCTCAATAAATATTTATAGTTCTTTTGACCACATAGGTTTGTGGCATTCCAGTAGTTTTGAAAATCTGACTCAAATGAATCAAGTTATTCCAGAAAGGCCTATTATGTTATGATATCAGGGTTTTCACTAGGCTTTTAGACTCGGGAGATTCTACTCTTTCAAAGTTATAAATATGAAAAGAGAAAGTTTGCGAGAATCTAGTTATTTGAAAATTGGTTAAGTAAATTGATGACTATGGTTACTAGAAGAAGGTTACTTAAGACGAATTGCCATCCTCAGACAAAGCTCCACATGTTCTGTCAATCAAGACAATGCAGACTTTTTAATGAATGGTTTTTCATCTTTTGAGAATTAGAGAGTGGCTATGCTTTAACTGATCGGATGAGAGGCTATATACCTAATCATGGTTATGCTTGAATTTCTAACAATTTTTCCTGTTGTTAGAAATTATGATGAAAACTTTTGTTATTCACAATATTTACATTCATGTCCACAACGTGGTGACATATTGCTATAGCAGAGGTTTTATTAGCAGCAAGCAACAGGCAATTTTCACCAGTTATTTTCACAAAATCGCCTGTTGTTTTTAGGGACTTTTCCATGCTAAATTTGTGATTTCCATTAATTTTGCCTGTTGTTTTCATTTATTTAGCCTGTTGTGAGAATTTCTAGTGAAATCCAAATGGTGTTTGGTGGTTGGTATTTGGCATTCAGTGGTCAATGTTCAGCATCTGTAACAAATGGCAGGTGGTGACATTTTGCAAGTAATGCCTAATTATATTTATGATTGTTTAATATTTCAGAGGATCTCTAGGGGTGAGCTACCAAGATGCCACCCCCACCGCCACCCCCTGGGCCTCCCCCACCCCCTACTTTGAAACAGGCAAATACAGAAAAGCCAACACTCAACAAGAAAGAACAAAACAACAGAGGGGCTCTGTTGGGAGATATTGCCAAGGGAGCAAGACTGAAGAAAGTACAGACCAATGACAGAAGTGCACCAATTGTAGATGGTAAGCCTACAAGCTTAACTCACTTCAAATTTTAGCTTTAGGGGTTAATTTTAAGATACGTAGAAACTAGGAGTCCATTTATGTAATTTTATATACGAGTACATGTCCTTATAGAACGAGTCTTAGATTCTCTAGATTTTGATTTCATGTCAGTGTTTTTTAATCCCACCTGTATGTTTGTGTTCTTGTCATATCATAGTTCACCATCTTAGTATTGGATGTGCTGACTAGACTTCTTTTCATTTATTTATACATTTTTGATCATGCATAAATCATTTGTAGGCATTCAAAAAAATAAGACATCAAAATTTGCAACTGTGGCAGGCCATGAAACTTATCAAAGACCTAAAATGTGTTGGAAAACTGGTACAAGCGTAAAACAGTTTTCATCCAATTCTCATTCATTTTAGCATGGTACTTTCATATTGCGCATTCTTGTCATATATTGTCTACCATCTTAGCATTGTATTGGATTTATTCTGACTGTAGATCTTCTGATATATTATATCCCATCGAACAAAGTTCGGGGGATATATAGAACGGGTCTGTCTGTCCAGGCAATAACTCAAATATGTTTGGTCTAATTCAAATTGGTATCCAGTTTCAAAATGGCCACCATTTTAGTGTCAATTTTATAGTATTTAATATAATAACATTAGGTAGCATCTCAAAAGTTCATTGTAGGATTATTAACTGTATGCACAGTTAATCTGAAATATCAATGTTCTAAATTCAAAATATTCAGCTGGCTATCTTGAAAAATGGTGGCTATTACAGGTATACGACTATTTTTGTTAGAAAGGTTGTAGAGCGATTTTGCTCATATTTGATATGTGGATATACATAAGCATCATATACTCTTTGGAGCTGGCCATTTTGAATAATGGCTACAATTTTTATGAGTGTTATTTTATGTTTTTTTTGCTGTAACTCGAAAAGCAGTTGAGCAATTTTGTTGAAATTTTATATTTGACTTAGATGCATATTACCCTTTGGCATGTAAGCAGCCATTTAAAAAATGGTGGCCATTTTTATGTGTGTTATTTTACGTTTTTTGCTAATGGTGGCCATTTTTATGTGTGCTATATTACGGTTTGTTATATATATAACTGGAAAAGTAGTGCAATTTTATTAATAGACTTAGAAGCATATTACTCTCTCTAATGACAATTTGGCTAATAGGCAGCCGTTTCCAAAAATGTTGCCCATGGCTGTTCGATGGAAGTTGCTACATGTTGGCATTGCAGTTATCTAGTTATATATATTTTTATCATTCATAAATCATTTGTAGGAATTCAAAAAAATAAGACAGCAAAATTTGCGACTGTGTCGGGTCACGAAACTTCTCAAAGAGCTGAAATGCCTTGGAAAAATGGTACAAGCTTAATGCAGCTTAATTAGACCAATAGAATAATATAAGAAAAGCAAGCTGTCTGATTAGATGCGAAATATGAAATGTGATATATAATTGCTAAACTTAGTACATTGACATTATTTTTCCCATAATGCTTTAGCTTCACAATAATCTTCATAATCTCATCTTTCATTTAAGCCCACATTTAAATAAGACAAAAATATGATAATCAGGCAGTTTTGACAATTCAAAGGTTGATTATAAATGGGTGATTTTGCTGGTTTGAATAGGGATAAGACATTGGTTTAAAACTGCATAATCGGGGAATTTAAGGTGACTTAAAACAGTAATCCACCATATAAGTTCATCGATATAAATTTTATATAACCCCTGGGAATGGTATCTAATTATAGATATTTTTAGCTTTTGAAAAATTATTTTGGTTTGGTTTGGTTGATAGTTTATTAAATGCAAGAATCTGCGATATTTTGAATGAAAACATGAAGTTATATTTGTCATCCTCAAAGGCACAAATACTCATTAAAATTCAAAATTATGCACAAAATTAAATTCAAACTTCATATTTACAGTCAAATGTATATAATGCTTTTGCACCTTCTCTTGCCAGGATATTGAGGTCAAGGTCATTTAGAGTTCAGGATGCTACTTTTAATACATGCTTTACATCACAAACTTTGAACAGTGTATATACCTTACTTCCATTTTTAAAGTCTATTGTTGTTGATTAAAAAAATAATTTTCTTTGTGATCAAAAGGTAGCATAATATATATCAGCCGTTGAGGTTTTTAAACATTTCACTTCCTTCATGATATTATAGTGACTGACTGATATGCAGGATATAAATTGAGTCCCTAATATGAATTAGACAGAAGTTAGACAGAAGTGCATGTGTATTTGGGTGCTGATGTGGTATAACGACTCATAATGGTGATATATCACTAGAAGTAGCATTTGAGAAACAACTGCCAGTTGCATCAACTATCTATTCATATTTAGGTGCATGTGTGTTCATTCATTCATGTATATAAGGAAATACTAAGTTATTGTATGGTAAACACTGTCAATCTCAAACTGTACTTAGAGTATAGATTGGGCACATATTTCAAAACATATACTATCTAAACAGATGTAAACACTGTAAATGATCCATACTGTTATTTGTGTTAAAATAGTGCCAAACAAGTACTGTTTTTGGTTGGTGGTTCTAATTTGGGTATAGAGCATGTTTGGATGATGCTTATATTGGTATACAGGCTTCATACTTTAAAAGAGTGCATCAGCTTATGTTAGTTAACCATACATTACAATATTACACCATTCTTTCCTTATTGTGTCACATGTGTTGTTTGTTTTCCTATTCCTTTCTTTTATATTCATGTACTCAATTTAGGAGATAATAGTTGTTCCTGGTTTTTAGTTACATTCAGAATTCAAGGCTGCATGGGACAGTCTGCTGAGGTCCAAGAGGTACAAGAAAGGTCCCTGGTTCAATCTAGGAGGACTTTGATGGCTGTTATAGGAGGACCTAGACTCTTGGGACCAAATACACCATCACCACCTCATGATCAGAGCCAAAGTAGTGCATCATGTGCCATAATAATGTTGCTTAATGATTTCAATTGTTTATTTTAGGGTTTACTTGTATTGCATTACATTTTGAGACATTTCTAAATTAAAGGATACATTGATGTTAATCAAATGCACAGTGTACAAAATCCTGTTTTGGCAAAAAACCACTAAAGGTAGTCCCTTCACAACCGAAATTAATTAGATATTGTACAAAGTGCAATCAGTTAACCTTTATTATTAATACCTGTGTTAAAATTTGGATAGGTTCCGTATTAATAGTACAGATGTATTTACATTTTTGAGGAAGTTTAACTCCCCTTTAATAAGATACTAGATGTATTTCCTTACTGATGTGTGCCAGTTCACCATGATTAACCAGTAATTTGTTAATAGCATGGAAATATCCAAAATGCCACAAAAATAAACAATGAACATTTCATGATTAGATTTTGTTATGATTGTTTTCTATTAATCAATTGTTCAATATTATAAAGCACACTGGGTGTTTACTAAATGTTAAACTTGTTTGAAATATAAACAATCGGTTGCGTTTGTCAGAAATATTCTAATGAATCTACAGGAATTTGTTTAATTGATTATTCAAGAAAATGTATATAAGTTCTTGTTATAATACGAAAAACAATTAATTCATGCTAGCTTCACCTTTAACTGTAAGAGTCTTGAAAATAGTTTGCATCCAAAGTTGTGTATGTTTTTGCTTCCTAGCCTCTCCTGGGATAAGGAAAAGTACGTCTGAGAGAGATATCCTAGATTCCCCTCTACATAGCCCAAAAGAAGGACATAGCCCTAAAGGACACAGATCCCCATTGAGTCCCAAAAGGAGCCCATCATTTATCCACAGAGAATTGATGCAGCAGAGGCAGAAATTACACCAGCAACAAAGTGAGAATGTAGAAAAGCATGAGAGTTTGAATGGTCAGTTGAATAAACAACAAAGTGGAACGATTGGACAAACAAATGGAGATGATCAGCAGAGAATATGGCAGCAACAAATGAAAGAACAGCAGTTGAAGACTTCAGCAGCAATAACAGAACAGCAGCTGAAGTTAAAATCCAAACCAAATTCACCTAAACATGACTCTGAACAGGTCTCTGTCAAGCAGCAGACAAAGATATTACAACAGTCTAGTGATACACAAATACCTGTCAGACAACAAATAAATCAGCATCAGAATATAGAACAGCATTCACCAGTTGTAAAGCACCAAAAGAAACAGTATGAGACACCTGTTAATAAACAGCGTATGAATCACCCCCCTCCCAGTGTAAAACAACAAGTGAAGCAGCACGAGACACCAATTAAGGAACAAACCAAGGGTCAGGTCTCTCCAAATGTAAAGCAGCAAGTGAAGAAACATGAGATACCAATTAAACGTATGGCTCATCCCCCTCCAAGTGTAAAACATCAAGTAAAACAGCATGAGACACCTGTTAAGGGACAAACTATGGGTCAGTCCCCTCCAAGTGTAAAACATCAAGTAAAACAATTCAATCAGCCTATAAAACATGAATTAGAACAGCAATCTGTACCTACAGTTAAACAACAAATTAAACAACACCAGGGTATAACTAATCAACCAGAACAGGGTAACACAGTGAAGGAGCAAGTAAAACGGCATGAATCTCCAAAGATGTCGCCAAAATACAAGATGAAATGGGATTGGATGAGTGAGAATAAAAACACTTCTAAAACTGAACAACCTTTAAGTCCTGCAAGATCTCCAAAATTGAAGAAAAAATGGAGTTTTTCAATGTCAAAAGATACAAATGATTCTGAACGAAGTCCAGTTAGTTTTTTCAGCTCACCAAAGATGAAGAATAAATGGTCAAGTTTGCCACCATCAAATGGGTCTCCCTTTTCAGATAATGACACTATTGAAGATTCTGAACAGCGTCAAAGTAATATTAAGTCCCCAAAACAGAAGTCAAAATGGAGTTGGTCAATGGCAAAGCAAACCTCACCTAGCGTTGATAAATCTGATGATGTCACAAGTCCAGTGATGTCTCCTAAAACACAGTCAAAGTGGACTTGGGCAATGACAAAAAAATCTCCAGAAAAGCAAGCTGTAAATAATATTGATTTGCAGCAAAGTCCTGTTAAATCACCAAAACTCAAAACGAAATGGAGTAAAACATCTCCAAAAGATGTAGCGCCAAAGAAACCCTTTATATCGCCAAAATCTCCAATTAAGAAATCAGATATACAATTTGTTGAAATTCAGCACACTACAAATAGTTCAGTATATGAGGAACCTAATGTATCAGTTAGGCAACACCTTCAAAAAATAAACTCTCTGGACAGAAACTCGGACAATAAAGTATTTCTTGATGCCCCTTCTGGATTAGAGACACCGACCAAAGGTTTGGTTTATGAAGATCCCAATGTATGTGTAAAAGAGCAGGTTCAATACCTTGATAAAAACACTGTCAATAAAACTTATGTTGATCCCTCGTTTGTAAAGGAATCTCTGAATGAGAATACAACCAAAACTTTGGTTAATGAAGATACCAATGTGTGTGTGAAGGACCAGATTAAAAACTTGGATAAAAACACTGAGAATAACACATCAGTAGATCCCCCACTTGTAACTCAAGATGAGTGTCCACCCGAAACTTTGGTCTATGAAGATCCGAATGTATGTGTGAAAGAACAAGTACAACATTTGGAGTCCCCTGTTAAAAAGCCACCAATTTCCCCCAGGCCAAGACCCAAACTACCACCACAGAAACCACCCAGGGATCTTAGTAAATCAAAGCTATCTCAGCCAAGAATCACCAAACCCAAACAAGATATTCACAAAATCTCCGCAGAATGTGAAGAATTAAAAACTAGGCAAGAATCATCTAATGAACAGAATGAAATACCAACTGAATGTGGAACAATCCTTCAACAGCATGAAACTAAAGAACAGCCTGAGCTTGAACAGCACCAAGTGTTCAAGAAACAGCAGAGGATACTTTCAGATTCTGAGTCAGATCACTCTGATAGAGACGCTGATTGGGATGATGACAAAGATCATGATTCTGATGCCAATGCAGCTACATGGGACTCAAGGCTTACAGGTGGTTCTGCTGAGTCTGCTTCTAATGGGGGAACAGACACATGGAATGAAGCAGCCAATGGGGGTACAGTCGCATGGAATGAACTACATGTCTAGTTAATGCAATTTATGTAATGTTTTATTTCCAAAGCCTAAAGACAGCATGGTGGTAATAGATAATTTGTTTATGTTCATAACACATTTTGCTTTTTGCAATTTTGCATATATGAGGCTAGTACAATAAAACTATATTCATTTAATAATTCTCTGTTACATCTTTTACCACCATGTATAATATTGTTTGAGTATTGAAACTTCCAAATAAGACAACTTTGAAATATACTGTACTGTGTGTAAGATATTTACATGAAATGTGGAGTCAGTCTTAGTTGGGAGTGATTTTTTTTATAAAAACCATCATTTCAAGTGTATGTTGTATAAAGTATTTAACCTCATGTCTTGGGTACATCTTGGAACAACAATAATATTTTTCTGTTTTGAGAACTTCGATATGTTTTCTGATTTTATTGAATGAAATTGAAAGCTATTCAACAATGACTCATTGGTTTAGCATAGAAATAACCAAGACAAGATGGTATTAACTTGAGATGATGGTGTTTATGGTTCAATGTGCAGGTGAACTGAATGTGAAGATTCAAATACATATTGTCTCATATCTCCATGTATCATGTATCATACTACATTTACTTATCATTGACTGTCAATATTACTGACCCCACTTTTTATAAAAATGAGTTAGTTTGCAATAATGCTCTTAACTTTAATTATTTGTACATCTTTGTGTACAACTAATATGTTCTGTTTTTTTATGAACAGAACATATGTGAATGTATATGAACAGAACACATGTGAATGTATATGGACAAAACATATGTAAAGGTATATGGACAGAACGTATGTAAATGAATATGAACAAAACATATGTGAATGTATTTCATCCTCACAATATCAGTTGAAACAATTTGGCAAAACACATTTCTTCAGAACCTCTCAAATGTTATGTTTTGATAAAACTGAATAGCTGCAAGTTTACAGAATATGTTTGGGTTTCCTTTCTGTCATGTTATTGTCACCGTGACCTCGTGTTTTGCTAAGTATTCATCTGCACTTCTCCATCTGTGTAAATTTCAGCACATTACTACTAATAACTTACATTTTCTTTTTACAGTGCTGTATAATGCTTTTATCGTTGTCATTAGTGGCCTATTTCCCCCACACCCTTGATAATATCATGAACCTAGATGATCTGTAATATGACGGTATTGTTTTCATGAAAAGTTATATTTTGGGTTTCTAGGGCTGTTTTGTTTCTTTTCAGATGTTATTTTGCATATTAGTATGTCTTGAAATGATTGTTGTACATAGAGTTTTCTGTGTAATATGAATTGTATTGTCTTGTGTTGTTAAGTGTTCGTCATCTTCTGTGTGTGCATACACTTGCATAAGTAGCACTCGTGCTATGGAAAATTATGCTCTGCTTCTCTATGTTTAACTTATCTGACAAAAATACAATGTTACTTTTCTTGAATTACATATAGAATACCAAAATGTAGGTGTTTACTGACAAAGTAAAGTTTTAATAAACATTACTCACATTTTCTGTAGAATTAATTAAAGTAAATTCTTTCAACCAACCACTTTGTATAAAATCAATTAAGTATTAGACTTCATGAAAGAAACCCATTGATATTATAGCACTGATCTTAACACTATGGTTTATGTTATTGAATATATTCATCTTGAAAGTAAGTTTTAAAAATGGATAAGTCAAGCATATTAATAAGTTATAATACTATGGTTTATGTTTCAGCAAAAACTAGTTCACCTCCAGGACGTGGTGGAGGTGGTGCTGACCCACCCTCAGGCGGAGGGGGAGGGGGTCCTATTGGTTTAGGGGGGCTGTTTGCTGGAGGAATGCCTAAACTCCGCCCTGCAGGTCAGAGAGGAGCAGGTAAGATTAACAGAACAAACGGTTGAAATATTTGAATAATTTCATTAACAATCTCACAATATTACGTTCATGTATGCATTTATAGTCTGAGTCTTAATTACTTAACTTATTACGTCATACACATTCATGATCTAAATATAAAGAAAATTCATATCAGATTACAGGTACTTATTTAGTATCTGATTAGATTAGATTAACTTAATGATTTAAAAAAAATGTTTATGATTAAAAGTACTTAGAGGGTAGGAATGTCAATCCCATGATACATTTGTATGTTGCATCATGGGATTGATTATCACTCTCTTTAACACTACTGCCAAAGAATAGAAACTTCCTGCTATATTTTAAGGACCTTTGGGTTAGTGTAAATATTATGCTTGAAAATATATGATAAGGATAGCTGGCCTAGCTTATGTATTTAGTTGTATGACAGTCATATAGAATAATGTCGATCATATTAAGTATTTTTACCAATCAATCAAATTGAATGTCAAATTGAATGTCATCATTTCCCCCTGTGTTACATGATATTTGTATATGTTTCCTCACAAATGTTCATATTCCCAAATATATTATTAAATATCCTGGATCATTGTTGCATTATTCCAGTCTTTCTAGGAGCTATTTAATACCACAATGTGTCAATTCTCATTAACTTAATAAATTCAGTAAGTGTTGATAAGTATATCAATCAGGGAAGGGGAGACTTCAGCCTCTGTTTGACTTTCAAAAAAGAACATTGATATTTTGACCCCTTCCCTTAGTGAAGACTGGAATAATGTAATTCAGGATGTTGTCTTCTCTCCCTCTAATATAAATTCAGTTGTTTTAATATAATTGATTCATAAAATAATTTATGTAGACCTTTACCTTTTGTCACTCACAAGGGATTTTCTCAAAGAGCGAAATATTAACTCATTTAGCTGATCTATTTTTCTGACAATTTATAGAGCTAGCAGGGAATTTTAATAAAATATGGAGAATTTTTGATTTGCATTTTCGTGACCTAGCACATCAATTCATACTTGACTTCATTTATATTTAGTAGCAATGTGAGAATTGGAACATAATAAGATCACTCAAATGCTAATCTACATGCTATACTTCATTCATAAGGAAGTAGTGATTTTAGTCGTAAAGTTGTCTTGAGAAAGTCCCTGAGTATGTGTGTGTATCATGTATTACAGGCGTTGGTGGTGGTGCTCCAGCAATGAAACCCCCGGGCAAACCTGCTAGCAATGGCTACTCTGCAAACAAACCTTCTGGGGGGGCTCCGCCTCCACCCCCCTCAAGCAATGCAAAACCTACAAACTTTGGTGCTCCTAAGCCAGCATGGGGCAATAATAATAATAACAAAGACACTATAAGTAGTGGTAGTAATGATAACTCCAGGACTAGGCCTCAGTTTGGGGGTGCACCCCCACCACCCCCGAGTGCAAATAATAAACCAAATTTTGGTGGTGCTCCCCCTGTGCCTAAGGCTACCAATAAACCTAAGTATGGTGGTGATGCCCCTAAGCCTAATAGTAATGGAAGGAACTTTGGAGGTGCCCCACCCCCTCCTTTACAAAATTCTAAACCATCAAGTGCTCAACCACATATTAATAGACGCAGTATAGATAGTGACCCTAGCAATAGTCGCCCTAGGTCAGGGAACTCTCTGCCCAAAAGTGGCGCAGTTGCTAGTAGATTAGGACAATTTAACCAAGCTCCATCATTGCCAGATAAACCACCAAGTGGAGGGGGTAGTAAACCACCTCCACCCCCTGTCAACAAACCAACAGATGATAAGCCAAGACAAGCCAAACCACCCCCGCCACCTAGTCGACCACCTAGCGGGATTCACAACGGGCCAGTGTCACCAGGAAGGCAGCCTCCTGCAGATGTACAGAAACGACCACTTCCTGCAGTTCCCCCAGCATCATCCCCAGCCCATGCAGCTAAACCACCCCCTCCCCCTGTCAGAAATACTGGTGGTCCTCCACCCCCTCCAACACGGGGTCCACCATCCCGACCTCTCCCAGCCAGGCCCTCTGGGCCCCCCAGTAACAGACCCCCTCCTCCCCCTAGATCGGCTGCTGGGTCAGCCTTACCCCCACCCCCTCCCCCACATCAATTTAATTCACAACCTCCTCCCCCACCCCCCAGTCGAAATTCTCTCCCACCCCCACCCCCTCCTAACAGGCAATCAGGGTCATATGGGTCACCTGGTAGGACAAATCAACCAAAAGGTATGTAACTTGTTAGTTTTACTGATACTAACTAAATGACCACAAACTAACATAATTATCTTACATTCCCATATTTTATCAAAATTTAGTGTATTAATTCCTTGTACCTGTGACGTTGCTGTTCTGACACGTTATGTTTTATTTTTTCACTTTTTTTCATTGAAATTCAAATAAAAACAATGCATATTTATGTGTTTACATTTTACAAAAATCCTTACTGTTTATTCTATGAATTCATTACTTATTTGTACATTTTTCTTTTCAGATTTTGAATCGAATTTCACTTTCCGTGGAGTTGAAGACTTCCCCTCCCCTCTTCCCTTTCAAACTTACCCTAAGTCTTACCCTAGCAAGAACCCCAAGAACCAAGGTACGGGTAAATCCTTTGTGTTTAACTAGTAGCACACACCTTTATAAATTGTCACAGGTCGTGTTCTGTGACACAAACAAGAATTGGTCGTTTTTAAAGCAAGCAGACATTCAGTAATGCTTGGGTCACATTTGCTCCAATTCATCGGCCGGCGCCCGGCTGATTGAGTGTTTTTTGTTTATAATTGTATTCAGTTTGGAACAAAATACTCAATCGCCCAGGCGCCGGCCGATGAATCGCAGTAAATGTGACTAAAGGTATTAACTAAATTAATGTTTGGAAATGAATTGTTCCATTCAAGAATGTTTCAGACAGATTTAGTAGGATATTATAGATGCATGATCAGAGTGACAATTTAGTAAAGGGGTGCTACTAGGCACATAGCAATCAGTGTCAACATAAGCTTATCTCCATCTTTCTTTAAAGTTTTCTGTCATTGCTAACTTTTTTTATTTCACTGCAGTTCAATTTTACTTCAATTTTTATGTCATCGACATTTTTCCTTCTTAATCATATGTCATCTCAGTCTATGCCATCTCAATTCTTTCTCATATTGTGCCATTTATCTTTATTTTATGCAAAATCTACAATCAGAGTAACGTCATTTTTGTTGGCTCAGATTTACCTTAATCTGTTCATCTTAATCTATTCACTGAACTCATTTGGATATATATTCAATACACAATTTTAAATCTTAATACATGTAAAGACCGAGGGAGACTTATGTTGATATTGAGTGTTCTTCTATACAATTGTAGTATATATATACTCTATATTTAAAGAATGGACAATGCACAAGTACATGTAGCTGAATATAGGCATTGTTCACCTAAACTATATACAGTATGATTAAATTATAAGATGGATTGAATATGGTTCTTATTTTGAAAAATACTTATTTCCTGAAGGATGAAAATCATATTTAATCCTGAAATGATTGAACTGTTGTTATTTTTTCTGGTGATGTGAATAAAAGCCTTATTTTTGAATGATATTTGAAATTAATATGATATAACAGTGGGAAATAATGGTATAATGGAAACTATTATTGTTTTTAATTTAGTGAATTTTGTTCTTAAAAGGATTTCATTTCCCCTCGATCATAACATAAATTATGACTTTACGAGGGGTGATCAGGAATTTCTGGACTGTTGGCTCTATTTTTGCCATTTTTTATCCTTTCTTAGTGATTTTTTCACACAATATAACCCAAATATATAGGATCACACCATGAAGATTTCATTGTTCTATGACATCTTTATCCTATTATTTTTGTTACCATGGTAACTGGTGACGCGACAAGGTGGAGCTCGGAAAAATATCAAATTTGAAAAATCTACAGTAATTTTATATGATGTTAAGACACTGTATTCATTGCTGAATATGTGACATACTGTATAGGTTGTATTATTTCAATATAAGTATATTCATTAATGTTCATAGTAACTATTATTGTTCTTCCATCAATTCTAATCCTTCAAAGAAGTTACCAGCACTTTGTTAGCATTTGTTATGCCTTTTCACCCACTCCTGAAAGACTTGATACAGACTGTCTTTGCCTACTTTGTAACAATTGGTGTGCGAATTTCTGAATGATCTCATTAATGTCCTCAAAGTGGATACCTCATAATTTGTTCTTCACTGTTGGGAAAAGATAGAAATCACACCAAGCTAATTCTGGGGGATACGATGCGTGTGGTAGACGGCCACAACCGATGGAAACAATCACATTTTGTAGGCAAAGAGTCAGACAGTCTGTATCACGCCTTTCAGGACTTGGTGAAAAGGCATAACAAATGCTTACAAAATGCTTGTATGTAACTACTTTGAAAGATTAGAATTGATGGAAGAATAGTGACAGTTACTATGAACATTAATGAATATACTTCATGATATAATACAACCGAACCTATTACAGTATATGACATTTTCAGCGATGAATACAGTGTCCCAACATCATATAAAACTACTGTTGATTTTTCAAATTTGTTACTTAATTTGTAACAATAATAAAAGAATAATGATGTCATAGAACAGTGAAATCTTCATGGTGTGATCCTATATATTTGGGTTATATTATGTGAGAAAATCATCAAAAAAGGATAAAAAATGGCAAAAATAGAGCCAACAGTCCAGAAATTCCTGATCACCCCTCGTATGTATATAACATGACATTCATAATGGTGGAATACTTTAGTAGGAGGGTATTGGGATACAATTTTGCATGATTTCAATTCTTACCTATGCACAACCTTAGTTCTCCAAAATTATAATTTTCATTTAGAGTTAAAACATAGTTTTTAAAAGCATGATTTGAATAAAAAGAAGTAGGCCTAACTAGTATTCAATCCCCCAAATCCCAAACCCTCGTCATTTGAAAAAAATCTTTTATTGGAGATCTGTTATTATTGCTGCTGGTAAGTTGAATTACTCTTTCCAATATCTCAAAAGTAGTTCCTAAATTAAATAAAATGTTCAGTTCATCTTGAAAATAATACTTCCAGAATCTCCAAGCCTTGTGTATTTGCATTTTTACTAACACTTGCCGTAGAATCATTGTTTTAATTTCCTAAAAAGGCCTAAATGTTAATTTTATTTTTGCTCATGTTTCAGGTAATCAAAGGCAGAGACAGGCCCCGCCACCTCCCCCTGCGCGATAGAGCTAGTCATAACAACCTAGGGATCAAGCCTCTAGCAGTGTACGGGATATGTCACTAATATGATGTCACTAATACGATGTCACATATTAGGTGGCAATAATGGGCTTTTATAGCAGGCTATGTAACAAGTAACATGTCTCTGAAATAACACAGGGTTAAACGGCCCATATCTGTATGGTGTACCTTCATACTATGACAAGAGCTATTGGTCATGGATGTTGAATGGAGTTGAATATATAATTTCAACATTAACTGAATGAGTGTATGTGTATGTGATCCAAACCTCACCATCGGACTGAAAAACAATTAACCCTCTCAATGCTGGAGACTACGAGCAGTATATTCTAAAGACTTCAGGTTATGCCAGATCAGGAGGGATATCAATGTCGGTGTCAAACTATGCTCTATGATCTTTAGATCTTATCTTTGGCTTATACGAGGGTTGATCCATAAGTTCCGAGTAGTTTGCTCTAAAAATCTTAATACTTAATGAATATTGTTCATATTTGGCCACAACCACCCCATATATAGTAGTTTTATTTTGCATTAAATTTGACCAGCAACATGGGTGTCTGGTTACCATAGCAACATGAGATTTTTTGAGCAAATGGTTCGGAACTTTTGGATCAACCCTTGCATTGTACTACTTATGATACACCACAATGTTGCAACACTATGTTACTTCACAATTGCACAGCTTTGGTTCATCATATGTTATACATGTAGCTCAGCTGTAGTTAAGATAATACTTGCAGTAATGGGGTATGGTGCCACAAGACACTAAGGGCTTTAAGCAATGAACCATGTCATGAATTGCACCTACACTAACAGTATATTATATACATTGGCTATATATTATAATTCAAGTGAAATCCAATATGCTCATGAAATGTTCAACCATTATAGTATGTATTAATGTACACATTGGTAGCAAATAGTATTTATTGCTGAAGACACATATAGTTCAAAATATTATGTTAGGAATGATGTAAGTCACTCAGTGATATTTGAGTGTTTTGCATTTGTTGTGATTCTTCATACATTCCAAAAATTTTCTTTCTTAGTTAATTATAGTGTAGAACAAAATATGCCAAAAATTATTCAGAAATTAATATTAGATAATAGAAAATTATGATTTTGTCAAAATACCAAAGCTCAAACCAATATTCTAATGAACTCTTTGAGTTCTAAGGGGGAACATTTTATTTTTATTTTGATAAGTTGTTGAATAAACTGATTTCCAATGAATTTAATGGGAGGCATCAAAAGTTCAATGTCGGTTTGAAAACTATATAAATCTAGTTAAGGGGGAGGGGGATCCAAGCCATTTTCGTTTGCTATCCAACAAATTTCAACATTTCAATTTTTTGGCAATTTTGACTCAGAATGCCTTTGAATGGTTTAAAAATAAACATTTTTACCTGATAATTTCTTCGTTCATCGAGATCATTCCAATGGATTCTATTCTATCAATAGTTGTTAAAAGCTGCAAATTACGATAGGAATTAATAAAAAACGAGATGGTTTTTAGAAATGATTTTTCAAATTCTCAAACTGGAAGTCTGCAGTCAACTTTTGGTATTTAGCTTTGGGGGGAGGGGGGTCAAAGTCAAAACTACATTTATTTAGTTTCCGATTCGACATCAAACTTTTGATGCCTCCCCTAATTAACATTTAGCAATTTTAATATCAAATGTGTTTCATAGTTGATTATGAATATTGTGTCTGTAAGTACTAGGGATCCTTCACCGAGACCATAGTTTATTTGAAGAATTATGTTGACAGGGGTATCATTGGTTGCATTTAGACTTATTCAAACAATGTAAAATGTTGTATGAACCAAGTAAAAACTCTGTTTTCTCAAATGAATACACTTGCTATTTTTGACCTCTTATATAATGAAGCGTTTGCCAGACTTACGAGAAGGATATGATCTTTGTATTAAAAGCATGAATTCTTGACCTTAACTGTATCAATTAATCATTGTGTCCAATCAACACATAATACTGTATTTGCCTAGTGTTATCAGGGCTTTATCTAAACTGGGTATAAAATTCCATTTTTCAATTTTAGATATAGAGGTTCTCATATGAGTACATGTGCAAGATCATCCATTCAACACCCATGTCTGCATGTGCAACTCATCTTCCATGTGTGACTTTTTAGGATGAAAGATAGCACTGTCTTGCATGGGATAAAGATGGCGCTATCTTGTTTAGTCATATGAGAAATGAAAGTCTGATTATTTACTTCTAATTCTTGGGATTTTCCAAATTCTCAGCTAGTTGCAAGTAGATTTCTTAACTGGTCGCAAGTAGATTTTCAACTGGGTGCAAGAAAGTTCAGATGCCTTTATCCTGGTTATACAAGTGGATAATGTAGTGTAGGCCTTTAGTTAACAGTTAACGAGACTGGTGCAATGCTAGATAGTATATTGAGATTTATGTTACTGTTTCACTAAGTACATCGAATGTATTGACCTTGTTATATTATATGCAAATTATGTGATATTCAACACAGAATATGAGAATAATTATTATTATTAATATATTATGCAATTTCTATATAGATTATGTTGTTCATTTTAAAAGTTGTAACATGTACATTGAATAATTAAGAAATGTGCATCGATATAATAAATGTTTGATGTGAAAAGTTGTACTTAAATAATGCGTAATTTGTGAAGCATGTATGTTGACTATAAATATAAAGCCCCATAACTTGATAACAGCATCTATGTTAACATGGATTTCTGTAGCATAACTGCATCCATTGATATGAAATATGATATCGCAGCAAACGAAAGTGCTAGTATTTTATACATCTAGCAAATCAGCATATGCATGGATGATGTGAAAAGTTCAAATACTGGACACAGTGGACAACTGTTATGGGGCATGGTAAAGTCTATTTGGCATATAAGTTTCCATTAGTATCTTTAAATCCTAGAGTAATGATCATGAAGTAGTTCTCAAAATAGTTGTAGAAGTAATTTCGATGCTAAGAATGTGAACCTCCTTTAGCCTCCTCTGACAAATATTAGGGGCATCATGGGGGCCTACCCTCCTTGAAGATATCTGTACAATGGAAGTGCAACGTGAACTATAGTATTAACACAAATATTTCCTTACATAAACAGTTTACATTAGTTGTGTGACTTGTAAGTCTCATGTTTTGCACTATGTTCTACTTAGAACTAAAATGTGTGATAAAAAGCTGTTTTTAACAAATAATATGGTGAATTCAATTTTTATAAAAAAAAAAAAACTTTTAAGATGTTTGTTTCATTAATAGAGTTAAACATGTGTAAAATCAGAACAAAACATTGAGATAACCCCTTACCTGCACATAGATGGCATTGTTATTAATAACAGAAATAATCAATACATGTATATATTCGATGTATATTGTGTACATTATGTATAATCATGTACATGTAGGATAATATATATATGAACAATTTTGTAAGCTGGTCTCTTGGTTATTATAGCCTTGTTGTATTATATTTGAAATCTCTATTTTATCTGTATATGATTGATATTATTATAACAACAATAAAAAAATAAATTGAAGCATTGGTCTTATTAGATTTGTCTTATAAGATAAAAACTGTTTGAAGGGTTTCTCCCCCAGACAATCAATGATGTCCTATTGTTATTGCTCATATAATATCTCACATACCATGGATATATCTTGAGAATAACTTTTGGGTATATTATTGTCGAAATATCGGAAATAATCAACAGAACAACCAAACTCCAGAATTAAACACAATCAATTCCTCGTCTAGCAAGGGGAATCCCCATTGAGTCACACAAGCGCCTTGAACCAGCAGCCAATCAGGTTTATGATAAACAAATTCAACGACCAATCAGATAACAGGAGGACTTTCCCGGTATATTCAAACTTCAGATTGAATTAATTTCTTCGAAAATAATTAGATCAGCCAGCACAATCGTTAAATTAACACTGAAAGAGGGGGATTTGGGACTTCTTCTTTAGTAGGTAGATGGGTATATATATGGTGAAACTCAATATGCAAAAAAGTCCAGAGGGGTCTTGATTGTGCTATCCTATGGCATAGAGCCTCTTTAAATGATTGTGACTGATCAAATAAACGTAGGTGAGGAATGCTCCAGACTTATCAGTAAAGAGGCAATCCAATACTGCAATGATGAAGCGCAACAAAATAGGTCATGATGAGTTATTGAGACATGGAACCACAGATAGTAAACAACCCCCCCCCCCCCCCCCCACTCTATGTACAAAGATAAAAGATAAAGAATTTATTTTCATTTTAGAGCATTTTACTACAATATCCATCAAAATACTTGTCTTACTTTTCTTGCTCAATCTGATAATTGCAAAAAGCGAGATTTGAACATAAGAATAAGGAAAAAGAGAGTTGCAGCTATCATGTTAATTATTATTACATAGGGGTTGTGCATTGTGAGGTTTTGGACACAGGGAATATCCCTATGGATATACAATATACCTTTCTAAGGGCCCATATATACTACTCATGCATTCCTTGCATTATGGACCTCTATTAGTTTTGTGCATTACTTGGCCAATATTTGGATTTAGTGGCCCAAAATATTTTTCCGCGCAATCATGTTTTTCTGATTTAAAATGTGGGCACCCCCTTGATAGATTCTAATTTCACCAGTGTGTTTTTACATATCACTTTTGTTACCAAGAAGAGTGTTCCCATTCAGAACATTGAGCTGAAAGTAATGGACCTTTGCTACTGAAAGAGGTGTGCTGCCACCTATCAGTCGATTCATAAAGTAGTTCGAATAAATTAATCCGCTACACACAATACTAAATTTGCAGGATTATCCAACATCTTTACATTCTAACATTTATAAAGTGATTAAGGAATGTTTCAAATAGTATTTTGCGTATCATACAGATTACTGAAACAATCACTAAAAAGAATTTTATTCTTCATAACTTCCGGGTGCTGTTAGGTCAGATCGCCATTTTGGAGGAAAAACGAAAATAGAAAACAAAATTTTGTTTTGAAAACATCAAATATTTCTTCCATTTCTGAATTGGTTGGACTAAAAGCATCGACTTGATATAAGCTGTGTGTCTAAGAACAGATAAAGATGAAATTCTGTTTGAAATATGGGCTAGTGATAGCCTTATGCATAGTGCTTGTAAAGACTCAAACTGAAAATAATACGACACAATCTGAATCGACTTCGAATACCCCAACAACAAGTAAGCCGTCAACAACGCAGACTCCTAAAGTTTCAACAGGAAAACCTGGACCACCAACAACAGTAAACCCTGAGACAGGTATGCGCTTTGAGCTGATAAGTGGAGATAAAATCAAATTGTCACTTGAATGACAGATCTGGAAAATATGATTCATCAACTTATGATTTATATGTATTTCCTGGCCTGACTTCGTCCGTAGAACTTGCTCTAGAAGTTCGAACACACATTTCAATGAAACCATATCAGCTTTGTTTTGTTCATGATGAAGCAGCACAGTACTTGTTTGTGTAAATGCTTTTTGGACTTTTCCATTTTCCTCGTGTTTACTTCCAGGCGGGCTTCCAGGAAGGCGTTGCCCCTATCATAATGTATTGACCTTGAACTTTAATTTTGTGACATGTCATCCAACCATGTCTGATGTAAAAATAATTAGAATATTAGCAAAGAATGTTTTGCAGATGAGTTTAGGACAGGGCAGGAGGATACCCCCATAAATGTGGGGTCAAATTGGCGTTTTTTCTTATTTTTTAATATTTTAGTGCCAATACTGCCCCACAAATGAAACCCATTATTCCTTATTGTGTATCTCCGAGGAATTTCAAAGCAAGTTGAAAGAAAGTTGAAACATGGGCTTTCAACTAGATTGAAAGCCCATGGTTGAAATTATTGATAAATAATTAGGTATTACTCGTGTTTTTACGATGTTCATTTCCACAAATGATTCTTCATCAATTATGATACTATTTGTAGCCTCAAGTATATTATGTTTAGTCTTTTATCGAAGATTTACTATGGATAACAAGATAATTTTTCCATTTTCAATTTTTGAGCATGAGCAGTAGCGTATTACATATTGAAATATGCAACGAAACGAAAAAAACGAAATCACAAATAATCGAAAAGTAAAATGGAGGAAATATTTGAAATTATCAAAAGCAAATACAAATTTACCTTTGCAAATTTGAAACAACAGCAACGTTCGACATGGCGAATTTAGCTCATGGAAGTCGCCATTTTCTGTAAATATCACAATGTAATTTCGTTTTGCCATCAAAAGTTTTACATTGCAGTTCCGATTTCAAAAATCTCACAAAAATTGGAGGCTCACACATTAAGCTGAATAGTTGCCGATACATAGCATCATTTATTTACATATGTTAATCGTTAATAACTTCGGGGAAAGTGACTTTGTCAAAAAAGTCAAGAGAAAAGGTAAGGAAACTGCCTATTTATATTTGGATTTTCTACTTGAATTACCAAGGTACCCAGGTACACGATAAGGAATAGGTTTCATTTGTGGGGGAGTATTGGCACAAGAATGATAAAATATAAGAAAAAATGCTAATTCGACCCCACATTTATGGGGGTAGAGGAGGATGGCCTGTCAAATATGACACCACTTTGACTGAATTTTGGATATTTAATGATGTTACTCAAGATCATTTCTACTCGCATCTAGTCATGTTGACCGAAATAAAAATCCCCACTCCCTATGTACCACCCTCCTCCTTAACTTCTGCAGAATCTGGAGAATCCAATTGTTGAACAGTTTTATAAGGCCCTTCCAAATAATTGCAGGGAAACATTAGTTTGAAACTCCCTTTATTGACGAAAATTAACTTATATTTCAGAGTGTGAGCGTGCTAACAGTACTTGTGAGACATGCGTAGCTGTAGCAAAGGTAACTAAATCCTTCTCACATTACACTATCAGTATCACTTGAGATGTTGATTCAAACTTGTGTGAACAGTTTATTTTGAACTCAATTTTATACATATTCTTGAATTTCACATTGTGTTGTTATTATGTCACTACCAAAAGTGTTGACATATTGTTATGGTCTGCGTTTATTTGTGACTGCAAAAGAGCAAAAACATTGGCATTTGCATGTTGGTGACGCTGCGCCTTTTTTAATAGATCTTATATCTTAGAAGCCCACCAGTTCAAAAAACCTAGAAGACCTAACATATTCCCTGTGTTATACTCCTATTCATTTAGCAATTCAATTGTAAAGTTTCTCTTGAAAAAATAAATCTCCCAGATTTGTTGGATTTTGTAGCGAAAATCAGCTCCTCCCCCTCCGTTCATTTCTTCAAATCACCGGGTGGGTGTGATTGTATTTATACAATAATTAAAATGATTCACTTCTCATTTTATATATTAATTACCCCTCTAAATCTTAAAAAAATATCCAAAAAGTATCCCTTAAAGGATTTCTTATATATCACTTTTTATACTTCTCTTTTAACAAAAATACTTAATTGTGTTTCATAATTTTCATTACTTTTGAATTGCCTTTTAGATTGCCTTGGGATGCTTATTGTCTACCTTGAAATAGTAATTGAAATATATATTTCAAGTAGGTTTGAACGAGGCAAATACATTTTGTTCTTACTTGTCACAAGAAGATAAATATTTTGACCTTAGTTGTACTGTTCTACTTATCACCCTACTTTCTCTCTATGGTATATTCGATAATGATGGCAGGCAAATTTAATGAATATAAAAGCAAAACATTTAGAATCTATAAGTATTATATGTAATGCACTGCTTATTATTGTCTCTAACTTTTCTGTGGTGTTCGGTGACATTTTGCATGTTAATGCTTTGTTATTTTAACATGAAAACAGTTGCTAAATTCAACCAGGCAATTGTGGTAAAAACAATAGGTGAAAATCACTTGCTGAAATGCTGATAATGATAACCTGTGACAACAGTGACAAACATAGCTTAGATATTGTCTGTTAATTGCCCATTGTTCTAACATCGTTTTCTCAAATGAGTGCAGAAATCATATTCTTACTAAAATAAACAGAGTATTCTATGATTAATATGTGATATGATTTTTATCCACCATTGGATATATCTGCAGGAGCAAGTATAGTTTTGCGAGGGAGTGCACTTATCAATATTCAAGACTGATTATGACATATCAGTTTATCTCCTAAAATCTCCCATCCTTGTAATTTTTTAACCTCTAGTTAGAACAATTAATCACCCAGCCTCATTTTGAATCAAATACAAGAAAATCTCAAAATTAATGGAGGTGGCACCATATCTCATGATTTAAATGTTGTATTTGGTGGTTTAGAGAAAAGTAAAAAATACAATATTTTTCCGCCCGATTACAAAAACATCATTTTTATTTCAACACAATATCCTATTTTGAATTAGTTTGAATTAACAATTTTGAAATCTAAAATCTCAACGTTTAAGATTCATGTTTTTCATGTTTGTTCATGTTTTTTTTTATTCTAGTGTCTATGGTGTAATACAGGAAAGCAGAAGTGCAAGCCATATCCAGTAGGAGATATCATCCCTAGGGCCTCTGCCTGTCCCCTTGATGATGCTAGGTGGGGAGTATGCTGGGGTAAGTTCACTGACACATTGCTTCCAGATTGGTAAAGATGCTTCATGTTATATTAAGTTCCTTCGAGTGTACGATCCTTACTCAGTTTGTTTATCTCGTGGTATGAGGAAAGTAGTTCTATTAGAAACCTGTTTGGGGACTTCGATGGTATGCTACAGCACCATCTTTTGATAGAATACTCTCATTTGCTGGCATATAATGCCCAGAATAATTTGGAAACATGCGATCATAACAGTGAATGGTAAAATATTTGGGATTATTTTCTGCGGATGGATGACCTTGGTAGTGGTGAATTGGTCAATGTACATAAATATGATGACACAAATTTTTTGACATGGAGGTGAGCTAGATGCTTTGCTGTATTTCTCTGAAATTCTTTGAAAATCGATGGGCTGCGATTTGAGAAATTCTAATTCGAACTTTGTCAATTTAACATGCATCTCAATGGTACAAAAAGTAAGGAGAGTTCTACCTTCTTGGTATATTTAGCAATTTTATAATTTGTTATTTCGCATCAAAATAAAGAAAGATGGCAGGAGTAATAATAGATGGTGAAACTTTTGCAACAAAAAACTTTGGTGTGCAGAAGTAATTAAGAGTAAAACTGTGAAATAACACTTATCTCCTTTGAAATTTGAAATGCACATTGATATTGATGCTCAGTGTGTTCTCAACATAAACTTATCTTTGTTTCATTTCAGTTAACTTCAAAGTGCTATTGATAGTCATGGGTGTGATCGGAGGCGTTATCCTGCTTTCTCTGGGCTGCTGTATATACTGTTGCTGCTGCAGGTCAAAGGGCAACCGGACAAAGTAAGTGCACAATCAAGACCATATAAGGAAATAAAAAATCTTGAGACCTAATATAGGATTAAATTCCAATATCATATTTGGAGGGAATGAAGTCAATTATTGTCAGTAATCAAACAATATATTTTCTCTTGATTGATCTTAAATCATGAATTTGAAATATATTTTGGTACTTCGCTCATTTTTTTGTGGTTGGCCCAGTTGTGAAAAACATTATGGCATTTGATGAAGCACTTTTCTTGCGTAAAACTAGTTATGAAAATATTGCACATCACTTATTTAGTTTCTGTTGTGTATATACCTAATAGTCACAGTTTAATCCAGTTATGGTTGAAACTGATTCACATGAAAATGTTCTATTTATTAATGCTTTAACACAGTGTAAAATACAGGTATTTCATGAGGATTTTCACAAAAATGTCAATTTTTATTTGATCTTTATTCTTCAAATGTGTTGTGTAGTGTCTTAAAAGAGGAAGTGGGAGTATTTGTGTTTTCAATAACGCTGTCCAAGCATTGAAAAAGCGCAAAGATAAAATGTTGGACGCGGAAATGAAAATGAATTGCTTATTGGACGCGGCACACGTCATATGCACAAAATCAACTTTGGATGAATGATTTGTTAAAAATCTTACCTTCAGTCTCTTTATTTTGTCACAATCCACAAAATAATCGAAGGAAATTCTATTTCTAAAAGAAATAAAATCTTCTTTCGAAGTTTTCTTCTCGGAAGTTTATTTCTGGTCTAAATATTACGAGGCATGTGATAGGACAAATAATTATCCAATACTCGATTTCCGATCAGTAATCAGTACGAGGGGGGACGCATTTTTGAAAATCAGTATGTCTCAGGGACGCAATCTTGGACAAACCTACTGAAAACACTTGAGTATGTTATGTAATGTCTACAGGGTGAGCTAGAAACATGCACATTTTTCATTTTGCTATAACTAATAAGACAGAAATATTTTCATTAGAGATATTTCTAAAGTTTACATTAAAATTGCAAAAAAATAATTGAATGCTGCATTCTCTAGCTAAAATATTTTTGACATCCATGGCTTATTGAAAAGGTAAGAGCAAACTTAAAAATGAGTAAGTTTTGTTGCCTACCCTGTATTTACATTTTTTATAAACAAACTTTATTAAAATATAAATGTCACCTGCATGGAGTATTCTTTTTTATTAATTTTAGTAGGATAATAATGCATGTTTCTGATTGTTTTTCATCTAGGTGTTGATGTATAGTTCTATATAAGTAATGTTCATTTCTTGATTGATCTTGAAGAAGGAATACTTATTATTAATATGTAATTGCATAACGTGTAGGCAATAAAATACAAAAGCTTTTGGTAATAATTGGCACTTTCGGATTTGATATAGGTGGATGTAAACTGGTATTGTAAACAAAGATTGGAAGAAAAACTAAAATCTTGTTAACTTTTCTACAAGATTGTTAAAATCCGACACATATAATATTCATAGTTGTGAATTGGTATGTTGTGAGGGCAAATGTCAGATAAAAGCCATGTTAAATGTCTTGATCATTTGATGGGGGGGGGGGGGGAATTGGCTGAACTGTTTGAAATGGTTGCAATGAAAGTGAAAACAGCTGGGGCGAATTGATTGAAATGATTGAAACGATTGAACAAGTGAAACAAGTCCATTGGAAACTGTAATTTCATTGTAGTGATTGAAATGGTTGAAAAGCCAAGGCAAAATGCTTCAAACAAAAAACATGTATGTTCTTTTTTTTTATTTATAATAATTTTGCTCATCTTTCTGAATTGGTTGTATGCTTGAAATGCGAAACAGGCGCAAACAGCACAACTTTAAATTGAATTGAATCGATTGAAACAATTGAAACATAGGAAATGATGCAAGTATCGAAACATAGGAAATGATGCAAGTATTGAAACATAGGAAATGATGCAAGTATTGAAATGTAGGAAATGATGCAAGTATTGAAACGTAGGAAATGATGCAAGTATTGAAACATAGGAAATGATGCAAGTATTGAAATGTAGGAAATGATGCAAGTATTGAAACGTAGGAAATGATGCAAGCATTGAAACAATTGAACTGATTGAAATGATTGAAACAATTAAACGCAATTTGCAACTGTATACAGGGCTTAATGCATTGAACCATATTCAAAATAAAAGTCACATGTGCACTCATTTGAACTGTGGGCTAATTAGACAGAATACAATAGGTTTTTTTCGAAAACTGTCGTATATAGAGATGGGTTTCATCTGACAGGTTTTACTGAAAATCCACAAATGAGGATGAAATACATATTGTATAATTCCAAGAATTTGATATGTTTGATGAATTTGGTTGCAGGTACCTTAAGGAAGAGGCAAAGATGGAGCGTGATCGTGAAGACAGGAAGTTGAGGTCAGACGAGAGAAGGGCAGATAGACAGAAGAAACATGATGAGATTAGAAAGAAATATGGTTAGTAGTGTTGCACTTTGTAAAATCTGAAAAATATGTAACGAATGTTTTAATGGAGCTCATTCTGTACGAGTGAAAAAAGACGAAGTAAAGCAAGCAAATAATTGCTTTTAAAAGTTCTAATATCTACTGATTAAGAGTAAGCATCAAAGGGAATGTCATGTAATGCATTGGTCACATTTGCTCTGATTTTCACAAGGGCGCCCGGCCGATTGAGTATTTTGTTCAAAATAATTGAATACAATATTGAGCAAAACACTCAATCGGCAAAGCACCGGCCAATAGATCGGAGCATATGTGACCCAGGCATAACCAGTGTTAAACCAATTGCAGATGTCATTGATATAATTGTTTAAATTATTTCAGATCAGACATTGATTGGTTCTGCATCACTCTTTAACTTGCACACATGTTCTATTTTAATATGAATGGTGTTTTCACTTTTGTTATTACAAAGTATTGTAATGGTGCCACACCCTAACTTATGATGTACTATTTATAACATTTCACACCTGTTGCATTCCTTGGCTAACTATTCAATATGATTATAGAAAAGTGTTGTCTTGCCTCTAGCCTCTGCATTGCCTCTTGCACTCCTCTTTCAAGTCTCTCTAAAATTTGAGGTATATGTAGGTGCAAAATAATTAGAGGACCAGGCTTGTACCATTCTATAATAGAAGGTTAGCTTTGAAGAATGATCTTATAGATTTGTGGCACATCAATATTTAATGGATTTGATTGTCATAATTGTGCATACAGGTATTGAAGTAAAAGGAGGTAAGTTTTGTAGAGGTAGACTTGCAATATCTATTTATTTTGAAATAAATGTTGTGTTTTTTTTTTACATTGACCCAGGAATTCATTTTTGGTATGATTGTAACTTACGATTCCAAGAAAATCATTGTTTACTTTTTGACGAACACTGACTTGCAACCAAATCATAAGTAGGTTACGACAGTTCCAAAAACGGACCCCTGTGTAATTTGGATGTTTTTATTAAGATACATGTACATGTAAACTATTTTTTATGAAGCATTTTAAATTATTTAAACCTGGTGTAAGTTGATTTTTCCCACTAAGGCATATGGGATGTAGTTGCTTTTGACATATAGGAACACATTTTTGATCACTTGACATGAGACATTTGACTTCTGTTCTTGAGCCACATGACTTATCCTGAGTCATGTGATTTCTTATCCTGAGTCATGTGACTTGATCCTGAGTCATGTGACCTCCGATCCTGAATTATTATTAGACTTCTGATTCTGATTATATGTAAAAAATCTTGTAAGCTTGCATTTTTTTATCATTAAAGTTTTAACAGCACTTTTGCTTAATTTTGTTTTTTAAATGTTAGCAATATAATTTCAAATTAAAAGAACCTTACGGTGTGTATTTACTTTTACTATTCATTTTTTACATTATTAATTAATTGTGGTAATGAAAATATGAGTACAGGGAAAATATTTTTATTAAGGTAGTCAATGATATTTTTTTAATTTTGTGTCTTTATCCGTGTTATATGTATACCTAGCCTGTTTTCCTGTCACAAGTTTAGATTACTTGCATGGTAAAACCATATTTTGCTGATTGAATACACAATATTGCATGTACTGAAAAAATAAAGATGACCATTTGGTGTTTAATGATCAATCCATTGGTACTTTATACATTGCTATATTCTCATTATCCACCTGGGTGTGATCTATTCAAAGCAAGGATAGGTTAATTACCTGTTTTATTTGAAAAAAGTCCTGATAAGTATCGCCCACTCATCCATCTGTCTGTTTGTTAGTGTGTGTCCATCCATCAACAAATTTTGAAATTTCCATCCATCTTAACTGATGCTTTTATCACTTTTCTGTGTCCATAATGGTCATGTACATCACTGTACCATGCTTTTATTTTCTTTAATTTTGGGGAAATTGGCTTTTTGTTGTCATTTTCACCATGTGAGCCCACTGTGACTAAATAGTGCCATTTCACAATCAAATCTTACATCTTAAAATATATGAAAAAAGCCTCAACTCTTATTAAAGAAATGCAAGAAAGATGTTACACCAGAGAGGTGGCATGACAGACACCACTAAACATCTTTAAACATATAACTTTTAAAGGCCTAAGTGCTCTAACAGATGTTTATGACTCTATCATGATGATATAGTGCATTTTATTGTTCTCTTGCAGGCTTGGTGAAGGATGACAACCCATACCAGAGATTTGATGCCTAATAACCCAGCGAAATATGCTGACATTTATTTATAATTTGGATCAACAACAAAACAAAAAACAATAGAATTATTAGAATGAGTGAAAATCTGCGATTTGAGTTGAAAAAGATTTCTACCACCAAAAAGTACACAATTGTTTGTGCAAATATGCTATTGCCTACAAAAAGGACCATTCTCGGTTTAGAGAATGAACTTCATCGGCTAATTTTGATTTTTTTATATCGTGTAGATTGAAATGTGATCTTTTGAATATTTATGATTTAATTAAGGTTGAATTCTTTCAAAATACAAATATTAGCAATAGCAATATCTACACCATGTAAAAAAATCTCCAAACCGAGAATGATCCTTTTCAACAATTGCCTTAAATGCCAAAGTTAATGCCACTTAAGATACATGCTTGGACAACATGTTTTGAATTCATCAATTGCCTAACACCATTTAGGCCTGGTCAGTATTTATTGAAAAGCAAGAAACAAGAAAAAGTGCAGTCCTAAAAATGATAGTCCACATAAAAATTCAAAATATTAGAGAGAAGTTCATTTATGCAAGAATGTACATGTAGCTGTAGATTAATGCTTATTTAACTGCAATAAGTGCATTCTCCCAAGTAGGTTTAATACTTCAGTACTTGTATTGAATTTGGTTAAGAGTGGAAATTATTTCCTCGGTTTTTTAGAAAAGAATTCTCTTGGCTACATGCTTGTACAATATTCGTACATGTATATTTGTGTTTAGCTAATATGCAGTAGAAGCAAAATGTTAAGATATTTTCTATAGTCAACTAAATATTAGATATGCTGTATGAAATGTATAATTTGAAATTCATATTTATTTTTGGCTATTGAATGGCACTTTGTGCATTCTTATTATTATTACATAAGGAGTAGCATTTAGAAGAGGGCTTACTACGTGAATTGTATTGCTGTACAGAAATGATTCCTTGCTTGTTTATGATTCATATATGATTGTAAAAATGTAAATAGAAAAACAAATGTGTAATATGATAATTCATTCCGAGCAAATCAGCTAAGGCCAGTTTTTATGCTTATGAATATGTACACATTTTAACTCATTCTGTTTGATTGAAATATTTTACTTTTGCCAAATTCATAAGGTTCTCACTGAATATTCCTTGAACATGGTCACTTTGACTTGCATGAGTTCAAAAATTAATATTTTCATTGCATTTTCACTCAAGTGTTGTCAGTTGTGATCAACATACTTCCGCCAATTGAATGTGTTATGTTATGGATTTATAGGCTTTGTTACCATGGTGGCCATTTTCAGGCAATAGAACCACCATGCTCCCTGGAGCAATTTGATGATTTTTTGTGAGATATCATTAAATGTATATTTTTTTTATAAATCACACAAAATCTTTTGAAATTGTACGAGTATTACCACATTTTCAAAAATATGCTGATAATTAAAGGAAATCACTTTTTATAGGTTTAAATCTAATTTTCTGAATCATTGTAAATATTTTTTTACTGCTTGAGATAATTCTCAATTTTGTGCAATGTTGTGTTCGTGCAGTGTAAATAGATTTGCTTACTCCAAAGACATTAAAATAGACATCTACAGTTCAGATTTTAACTTACAACTTATAAGATTCAGAAATATTTGGAAAGTCTATACACTATCAGTCATGAGTTATTTATTATTAAGATAATTATTAATGTCACCTTGTTGTAATTCAGTTAGACATAAAATCATTAAAAGCATTAATTGCACCCTATGTTTAAGTACCTTAAATTAGTATGGTATAGTAATATAATATAGTAATAGTATTATATTATCCTGGAATTTTGAGTAAATCAGAATTATTTAGCAACAATATGTTAATCACTTTTTCAAAACTAAGATTTAAGTAATAAAATCTATTTTGTATTTAAAATATTATTGTTTTGTTGGAATTTTGAAAGGCAGGACTAGTTAACTAGTTATTATTATTATTAACATATTGCCGTGGTAATAACAGGAAATGACAAAACAGAAAGTGACAAAACCATGCCGGATTTTGAATATTTTTTGAACCAAGATAACAGAGTTTGGTTTTTACCTCCAGTCAGTATAACTAGTTCCATGTATCAATTGCATGACCAGAATCCTAATGGACAGAGCAATATATTGGGCACATTTTCTGAAAAATAAAAAAGATTCTGTTCAGTGACCTTTCCTAAGCTCCTACTTTTAGCTATTTTTCAGTTACATTTTCAGAGGGCTGAAATTGTGATCCCGGTCATGTAAATGATATGTGGAACTAGTTCAAAACAAAACTCTGTTATCTTGGTTCAAAAAATTCCAAAAATGCAGCATGTTTTGTCACTTCCTGTTTTGTCATTTCCTGTTAAGTACGATGAGACATTGAAGATTGAGTGGTACACTTCAAATGCCAATTGCTGCCATGCCCATAACCACTGGTCTCCAACAGGAAAATAGTAACAGGGGTTAGGTAAAATCTTTAAATCCGGATTCAGAAGGAAATAGCTTCACTTTGGATAATATGAACTCAAATTACATTTTTGACATTTTAATGATCTACGTTTCCATTAAGATTATTGTTTTGAATTGTAAAAGATGATTTTTATTTGTGTGGTTTTGTTTCATTACTGTCCATGGGCTCATTAAGGTTAAAAATATGAATAATTTCTAAAAATAAAATTCATACTTCACTCAGAAGACCTAGAGAGGGAAATACCCCAGAGTTCAAAGAAAGCATACGCTTGTAATGTAAACCTGTATTGAGAAGACAAAGTCAAAATCGACAAACAAAAGATGTCATCAATGGCAGCATCAAAATCTTTGAAATACACTTCAACTAATATAATGTTAATTTATGTTAAATGCCTACACTGACATTAATTTGTCTGGTATCTCTAAGCTCTGGGGTTTCCCCTCCTCTTACCTTGAATGTACAATTACACTGACAACTAGGTGCTTTATGATATCTCAGGGATTTCATCAAGACTATCTGCTGGAATAAACATAGGCATATTCCCAATGTTTGATCATGAAAGATGCCATTATGTAAACTAAATATACTAGGGGACTGTCTCGTGTATTTCAAACTAAATACTACAGTAAAACCTGTGTATGTTGAACATAGGTGTTCACTACAGAGAGGGTAATTTATACAAAACTCAACAGAGAATAACGAAGGATTTCCACAAGAGACAGGTGTTCATTAGAAAGAGATGTTCACTAAGACAGGCTTTATTGTGTTCCATATAATCCGTTTTACAGTTTTAGTTGGATTGTTGGCAGGATACGAGTCCAAGTCACTAATAGCAAAATGCTAACAGTAATTGAGTAATTTGTTTCATAATTGTTAATTTTCCAAAAAATCTGTCAAGAATGTTTTGAGTATGCTTAATTAATAAGGGTCAATAAAGGATGGTTCAGAAGTTCAAGAAATGGATTACACGTTATGAGAAGACTGTTTCATGGATCACTAGTAGGTGACATACGAGTATCAATCATTATCGGAAATCACATCCCGATTCTTAGTCTTTAAGAGAAAGATATGAGAGGGACTGATAAACCAGAACTGTTATATCTTGACTAACAGGCATTGACTTTTGAGGTTATCATTTCCTTGATATACTTCCATACATACATTGCGGCTTAATTACACGGAAATTGAATATTCCAATCTTCAAATTACAATGGAATTATATTTGTCCTCAATTGGCCCAAAACTAGTATCTCCGATTTTGATTAATATTTAATGAAACAATCCAGTCATCATGATGTTACCCTCGTTCAGTTATGAAACCTTAATTTGATATACATGGATTCCTGAATAACATCTGAAAACAAAGTCATTCTATAGCATGACATACGTTAGTATGTTTTTGTGGTCCATAAAAGACACCAATTGCTTCAATAACTTAACATGTTAAAATCAATGATCAACTGAATTGTGTTATTATTGTGTCAAGCTGTATCCTTACTTTTGTTATTCTTAAGTCGGCAATTCAAATAACTTGGAAAAAATGAATCATCCTTTCAGGAGGGTAAGGCTAGTCCTCCCTTCTGATTATTTTGTGAGATTTCAAGATTTTCAGTTTCAATGTTGATTGCTTTGCCATTTTATATCCCAAAGATTGTGGTTTATTTACCATATAATTTGAAATAGTGACAGGTTGCACCAAGATAGAAACCTAGTGAGTGTAAATGGATTATCCTCCTCTCTCTCTTGTATTCTACTAAGTATCTGGGTTAAAGTAGCGGACATAAACTTTACCTTGAAGTCACCTAGGCTCCAGGTAGAGACCATGTCTTCTGGGAGGCTGTTCCAGTCACGAACAATACATTCACTGAAGAATTCTCGTTTTTTTCCAAATAAGTATCATGATTTTCAATTCAATTTCCTTTTTTATAAATGCTTAAAATATGTTATACATATATCTCACATCACAGGGAGATATGCCGAGTACTAAAATAGTACTCATGGCATTTTAGCACTAATTGAGTACTCATTTCAGCAAATATTAGTACTAAATGAGCACTTATGACATGAGTACTGATTTATTGCATGTTTTAGTACTAAATGAGTACTCATATGATGAGTGATAAAATAGCGCTAATTTCATTGATTTTTCATTACTCAATTAGCACTCATACTATGACCACTCATTAATTGCATGTTTTAGTACTAAACGAGTACTCATATCATGAGTGATGAAATAGCATTTATTTCATTGATCACAAAATTAGTACTAAAATAGCACTCAAGTAGTAACACATAGGCACTCTGGCACTCATGCCACGAGTGCTAATTTAGCACTAATTTTGTACTAATTGAGTGATTGGCATATCTATTATCTCCCTGTGTACTATATTCCCAGTATTTTTTGGGTGCAATTTAGTTTCGTGCATTTAAAAATTAATCTGTGCGAAATTATTGTAATTCTCATGTAACTATGATAAAAAACTTCAAACATTCAGTAATTTTCAACTAGCTGCAAGGTCATTTTAATAAAACTAGATGTGTGCAACACTTAATTGCTTCAAAACAGGGAGACTGTTATCTAGTGCCAAGACCATCTCAACGAGTGCAGGTGACTGTACAGTATTAATTTCTCATGCTATGGGATTATAGTATGGGAACTTGTATACGAGACACATTTTCCCCGGAAAACACTACCCCCATGACTGTACTTAGTACTACTGACTAGTAGGTCATAGAACACATTAAAAACCAGACATACAAAACACAGCGTATTGTCATACATGATAAATGTTTATATTTGATTTACTCATCTTTGGGAATGTGAATATATTACTATGATGTCAAACAGCAATATTTTAACACAATGACAGATTTGACTGTTCAAACTGACCAATTGATTTAATGCTTTTGACGAACGGTGTAATTGATAGATAGCGCAGTTTTAAAAAATCAATATTGCTCAAAAGAACAACGTAATACCCACGTATTCGTGCGTAAATCGACGCTAATTTTCGTGCTCCAAAAAACAGCAAAAGACACAGCAAACCTGGATACAAGTTAAATTCCGCATCAAAATATTGCAAATTGAACCACGTCAAGTAATCACCCTTCTTACAGGGGTTAAATAATTGAAAATATGATAAAGTATGTTGCAGCGACATCTATGAAATAGTTTAAAAACATTGTCAAGTGGCCAGTTTGAGATACCAAATCGGGTATCGTGTACTCTCATATGAAAAACATTACTGTTTGTATGGCATATAAAATGCATATCATAAATATTTTTAAGCCATCAATGCTCGCATAATCAACACAACACTGTTTGTATCAGATTATTGCCTTTCATTTCGACCTAGAGGTCACTTAAAGGTCGTCATAAAAGTCAACATGTTGTCCATTCTTGAATGCGTCCTTCTCCAAAATTTTGATTAGTCTTTCCACTGAAGAACTTGGCTCTACGAGTTGTTTTTCCGCATGCATCTCTGAAAGCATACAAAGATACATTATTGTACGGTAGATGTTATTATCTCAATTATTAAAATCCCTGTTTTAAGTGATCCTAAAATTTTTAATACATAATTATGTCACAATAATGTATGCGTTTTGTCATCCAGTGTTTGGAGTCTGTATCAAATGGCAGGTGTTGACATTTTGCATGTTATTATCCCAATGAACGATACTAGACTCGAAAGGGAGTGTGCTAAATTCATCACTCAGCGCGGGAATCGAACCCAGGATCTTCCGCTCTCAAAAAGTCAGACACTCTACCACTGAGCCATAAAGGCTAGCCACTACAGCTGAGAATGTAGTAGTGACTTGCTATCGAAGGTCATTACACCATCCCCCCTAGAAGACGACATCCCGTCGTAACTGATTCACAAGGGCAATCCCACTTCTGACACCAATGTAACGACCCTTGGGCACGCCCGTCGGGGAGCTGTAGTGTACCGAGCCAGATACTAGACTCAAAAGGGAGTGTGCTAAATTCAATGCCCAGTGGGGGAATCGAACCCAGGACCTTCCACTCTCAAAGAGTCAGACGCTCTACCCCTGAGCCATAAAGGCTAGCCACTACAGCTGAGACTGTAGTAGCCACTCTTGCTATCGAAGGTCATTACAGTATTGTTACATGATACTTTATGAGATCTCAAATATATTGTCTTTATTATTTGTGCCTTTGAAACTCTTAAATGGTCAGCCAAATGCTTAAATTGGTAGAAATTCTGATATATCTCTAGAATGTTTGTATTTTTGTGACAAATACAGACTCATATATAATGTAATATGGCCTAGCGTTCGTTGGGATTTGCTTCTCGGTGGAGTTGCCATTTTCTAGTTTCTAATGATTTGTAACATACACAATCACAAAAGACTTAGACATAAACCTTCATTTAGTACTTATTGAAATGAAGCTTGAAAAGTTGATCATGTAGAAAGTGAATTAAAAGGCTTTTAAATAAAACCAGAACAACGGCAACGCCAAAGCGTAGCGAATCCCATCGAACAGAAATGGCTGGCATTTTTACAAACGAATAGCAAATATCATAAAACAACACACATAAGAAAGGCCACCATTTTCAAAATGGTTGCTCACTAGCCAAGTTGTCATCAGAAGAAATAATATGCTTTTCAGTAGCCACCTCTAAAATTTTTGAAAAATCGCACACGTACTTGCAAAATAAACACACATAAAAATGGTGGCCATTTTTCAAAATGACACTATTATAAGCACGGCTACTTTTTGAGTTATAGTAAAATACGTTAAAATGGCGGCCATTTTTCAAAATGGCCACCTTCTACCAAAAGTGTCATTAGAAATAGACAGTGTGCCATGCTTATAGTATTCACATACCAAATATGAACAAAATTGCTCCACTACTTTTCGATAATAATAGTAAAATACGTTAAAATGGCGGTCATTTTTCAAAAATTTTTTCAAAATGGCCGCCTTCTACCAAAAGTGTCATAGGGCAGTGTGCCGTGCTTATAGTATTCACATACCAAATATGAACAAAACTGCTCCACTACTTTTCGAGTTATAGTAAAATACGTTAAAATGGCGGCCATTTTTCAAAATGGCCGCCTTCTACCAAAAGCGTCTTTAGACAGTGTACAATGCTTATAGTATTCACATACCAAATATGAACAAAATCGCTCCACTATTTTTTGAGTTATAGCAAAAATCGTAAAATGACGAGTAAAGGCCGCCATTTTTCAAGATGGCTACCATGTGCTTCTTTAATATCTACATTTGTAGCATTATTAATGTCCTTTATAATTTTTTTACATTTAAAACATATTGCTATAACAGTTTTACATATTGCACCTAAATTACTGTAAAATCGGCACTAAAATGGCAGCCATTTTGAAATGAGCGGCCATTTTGAAAATCGGCTTTCGAGCAGAACGTCTACCCCCATAAGGTATATGTGTACAAAATATGAACGAAATCGGGCCAACGGTATTTGAGTTATTGCCCGGACGGACGGACAGACGGACGGACATACGTACGGACGTACGTACAGACGGACGGAGGCGTTCCCTATATCCCTCTGAACTTCGTTCGATGGGATAATTAAATTTAAAAAGGGTGCAAATTTCTTTTTTTAATTTGGAATCAGTTGTACTGCTTACTTGGTGAGAATGTTTTTCCAAGTTTTGATAATTTCAGAAAGGAAAATTTATGTCCAAAACTGTTGATTGTATCAATTGTGTATCAATAAACCATCTTACTCTTAGTGTTATATACAATGAGAATTACAGGTATTAACTGATTCTTGGGACTAATCTACTGTTTAATTAATCCAAGTGATTTAGTTGAATAAGGGACCATGGGAATATACTAAATAATTCATTTTAATAATACTACTATAAAATAGGAAATATCTGTTTTTGAAAATAAATACTCGTAATCTACTAATAATAACACAACACATCTAGGACAATTACTTACTTATAAACATGTTTTTGACATCGGGGTCAGCACTGTCAGTCCGGGCAACAACTTGCATCTCGGTGTCTAGGGGTCCAGGGGCATATGACAGCACTCTAATGTCAGGGCATTCCTCTGCAAGTGTACTCCATAGCATATCTCTAGCTGCCTTTCCTGAGTATAAAAAAATTACCAATCATAAGTTGAAAGGCTTGGATTAAGTGTTCATGATGTATATGTTAATTATACATGATGTACATGTTACACTGTAATTCCTTGTTCACTTATGCAAATGTGATACAGTATATGTGACCTTTCCCCAAAGTCAGCTCATGAATATTATAATTAGCAAATCTGAAATCTCTGATGTCAGAGTAGGGCAGATTTTCGCGGCAAAATCTAAACACATTAGAAGTCATGAGAGAGGATAAGATGCATGGGCAACCTAAACGTAAACCTGTATTTATGCGTATAGGTTTTTTCTAAATGTTCCTTTTGAGCAGCAAATTCATTTCATTATTTTTCAACTAATTCACTTGAAATTTACATGGTAAATGAGGAATGTAATTTTGGGTTGGATAAACAGTCTCATTGTCATATGATGTCTCAATGGATAATTATTGTTACTATAGCAACATGACAAATGGCGTAGCGGGTCAAGCAAAATTGTAATTCATTTTTATTTTACTTGATCCAAAAGTATGGTTGATTAATTCCTAGTCTACAGTGTATGTGCTGGATATGTTTCTGTGATTTTTTATGTTTTATGTTTACATTCCTGACTTGTTTCTAAAGTAACATTTGTATTGTAATAAAAGAGTGTACTTTGCTCTATTTTATTACCAATTGTCAGACTCTCAAAGTCACAATCATGACTCATAATAGCAGGGAGTTTATCTTCCATTATGGCTTTGCTCCTTCCCTCTGCTCAAACTGCCCATACTACTCTTGAAGAATAAGGGTTCACACAAGTTGTTAATGTCCAAAATTCACCATATACAGTAATATTCACCAGATGGAATTAGGCTTTACTATATTTGGGGTGTTGAAGCATCATATGAAAGGTCATAAGTTTGACTCTGATAAGGGAGTGATTTCAAAGGCTTGAGCAAATCTTCAAGAGATACCAAAGGGAGGACTGGAAAACGTCTTTATGGACTAGGTTTGTCAACAATGCATGTGCATCCAGGCTAATAGTAACCATTATAAATGAAATTATCCTCTCAGCACTGAAGAATACTTTTGAATAAATGACTTTAAGAGTACTGTCTGCCTCTAGTACAAGTAGTTTGATGCAACTATCTAGGCTAATATGTTTTAGCAGGAAATTTTCAGATTAATATCAGTCAAAATTTGCTGAAAATTTCACTTAAAATTGTTTAGAAATCTTGAAATGGCAGACTTATTCCCAGAACTTAATGATCACCCTGTATTTTACTTAGTTTTGACATCATTTGATATGAGATCTTTTTCACTCATTAGGCGATCTAATAGTAATTGAAGTTTTGGCGCGAAATGTGCCCTGCTTTGACGTCATTGATTTTCATCGACCAATCAGCACAGCGGTCAAATGAGTATACATGTACTTTGGGGAAAGGTAAATAGTAAGATTCTAGAGAGTTGCCTTTAATTCTACAGTAAAGGCGAGCTATTATGACATACTTGCAAGATAGCCAAGATAGACATAAATTAATCTTGAAATTTTCAAACTCTTCCTGAGAAGTCGTTTTTATTATTTCACATATGCTTGTGCACTGTAATTATTACAAAGACATCAAAGAACAACAAAAAACTTTAGTTTGAGAAAAAAAGTGCCGTTTAAAGAATTTGAGAAGTTTTTTTTTCTAGGAGTAGCCCGTGAAAAAACGCAGATTCAAAATATCTGAACATTTCAGAAAATATACTTCAAACATATATCAAAAACGAAGGAGCAACGGAAATTTGAAAAATTACCCGATAAAAAATTGGGATCAAAATAAGGAAAAAAGTACACTTCTCAAATTGTTTTTTTCTATTTTTTAAATTTGTATGAGAGATTTCAAAATTCCAAAGCTCCTTCCATTTTGGGCTATATTAAAGGGATGTTTCAGAGAAATTAGAAAAAAAATGTTCAGGGACCTTTGCCGTACTACTCTTTTTGTCAATTTTTCTGTCACATTTTCAGAGGACTCAAATTCCCATTCCAAAATGTTCACTGTTTCTATTTGCATTACCACAGTGAGCCTGGTTATATAAATGATAAGTGGAACTAAAAAATTGAGAGAAAATCCAACCAAAAGACAGTTAATTTTGATGGTCAGATTATACTCAAATGCCATGTGCTTCCTGGTTTTGGCCATCTTGGATTTTTGATTAAGTTATAAGTTACCTTAACTCTAAATTAATTACCAAGATTTGGGAAACATTAAATATACAGGATTTGAGAATATAAAAAATATCATGATTTGACAGATATCAGATAATTATTATGTTTATATTATATATCGTATGATATGACACATATTGAGCCATAGGATAGGTTCAAAAAGTTTTACCTGAACAATATAGGCTCCATGACTTGAATGCTTGTATTGCACAGAGTGATGACAATTGTATGCAAACTCTGTGCTTTACCTTATCCGCTGCAAATAAGTCCAGGAACTTAGAGTTTAACACTAACATAGATCCGACATTGATGTTGAAGTATCTCTGTATGTGTTTAGGGTCTTTGAAGTCTATTACCCTTTTGGATACATCGCCCATAGATCCTGCATTGTGAACGATCATAGCTTGTTCAAACTTGGTTGATAAAAAAACGTTGCTGGTGATAATTTTTTGGAACAGATTGTCATAATCCTGCTCATTGTCAGAACTCAAATCTTGAGGGCAAATCAAAACATCAATTTTGGTATTGGATTGTTTGATTTTTTGCTTTGTCTGAGCTAAGCCTTCCTCGTCTCTTGAAACCAAAACAATCATTGAGTGGTCAACAAACTTTTCCGCAAATCCTTTACCAATATGATGTCCAAGTCCCCGGCTCGCACCAGTTATCAAGCAAAAAGTGCGACGATTGAATATTTTTCCAACTTCAGCCATGATGGTATTTCCCCTAATTTATTCCTTTCAAAACGAGGCAGGATTCCCAATCGAAAGTGAAAGTACAATTTTACTTTCAAAATGTATGATACATAGGACATTTCACGTCATCTTATTTACTCCCCTCTAAATAATTATATCATATATGCCGAGATAATGAAATCATATTGATCAAATATGATATCATTATGCGTTAAAATGACATAATCAATCCCCTCATTTCAAGATCACATGACTGGTCATGTGATATTCCAGCTCAAAATGGTAGACGAACTGAAGATGCACGTATTTTTTAAATTTCTAAGTATTTTCCTTTTTTTATCTCATTGTTCAACAACGATCGAAGGTACATATACAGCACCGTATGTCGGAATAAACAAAGTGTCCATTGAATACACTCTTCCAGCATTACCTTATCCATACGATGGATTAGAGCCGTATTTGGATGCTGCAACTCTGAAGGTTCACCACAATGGGCATCATGCTGCATACACAAATAAAATGAATGCTGCACTTAAAAAATGGAGATCAGATGTAAGTTGAATATTTTAATTAGTATTTCCACATGGAACTTTTACACTCTTTTCAGGTTTTTAGTCGAATTTTCATCTAGGTTGTGGAATCACTAGAGTCAATTTCACTGCTTCATTTCGTCAGTAGAACGGCAAAAATAAGAAATTTGGAGACCATTGTGCAATAATATATGGAAAAGTATATTCATAATGTACATGAATGACATTTGTATATCTTGGATTGCTTCTAGTTTGGCTTATAAAGTGTGTGGCCTCTTATATTTGGATGTTTCTCTGCCATGTTATTTTCAATAAGATTAACATGGCTGAAATTCTTCAAATTACAAGACGGCACAGGCTTATTGCACAAAAAACTAAAAAATCTGAAATATACAAATGTCATTCATGTATATTATGAATATACTTTTCCATATATTATTGCACAATGGTCTCCCAATTTCTTATTTTTGCCGGTCTACTGACGAAATGAAGCAGTGAAATGGACTCTAGCTTTGGAAAAAAAATTATACCATGGGCTTTCTAGAGTTTTGTACCCCCATAAATGTGGGATTGATTTTTCAAATCACCCCCAAACAACCCCACAACTACTTGTGTACTGAGATCTTGGGGTATACAAAGCTGTATTTTATCTAATTAACCACTCATCCTGCTTCTTTTTGAAAATGTAACTTCTAGTTCAGGTTGATTCGCCATAGACCCCATGTTACAAAATCACAAAAAATGAAATATATTTTCTTGTATTTGACAGATAACATTTTCTTTTACTGGACATATTTTAATTTGAATAATTATTAGAAACATAGGGGTTATATGAACCACTAAAACAGATGTAATTTAAGTTAAAGGGAACTTTCTACTATACCCGCCATGCTATCTGGCCCGAACCTGGTGGTGAAACTGGTAACTACCTACTTGCATCTGCGTTATTTTCTTTATTATTGCAGTTCAATCCACAAAAATTCAGATAATGGAAATCGTGTTGAGACAATTTAAAGGATACATGTTGTGTGGTATGAAAGATACTGTATTTTTAGCAGTGATATCTCAAGCAGAGAAAAATTGGAAATTTTTCATGACCCACGCAGTTTACAGATCATGACCATGAGGAGCCAAAAATAGTTGTACATGTACATACATAATTTTATTTTTAACATTTTCACAAATAATCATTTTACCACTTTCTGAATTTTTGTGGATTGAACTGAAATAATAAAGAAAATTGATTAAATAGAGAAATGTGCCAATTTTTATTGGCCCACCCTGTAAATGGTCATTGCCTAGACCATCCGTTATGGTCGACTTTAAGGGTCAATGGTCTTTAAATAGATTACTCATTTGAGTCATATCCAAAGGTTACTTGCCTTTTAATGGTTGACAAACTAGTATTCAGACTTCACATGTTAATAGTCTTTAGATAGGCTCCTTATTATTCATATCCATGGACTGGTATGCTTCAAATGTGAGCGGATCACTCATTACAGAATTAGTAGATTGTAAATAAAAAAGTGGTGTGTCTTTCAAGCCATACCCATAGGACAGGGGTCTTTGGATGAATCTTTCATTAGGGCCATATTTATGGATCAGAGGTTACGTGGAATTCAGGTATTTGAATAGATAACCCTTTGAAACTAGTATATCTGTAAAGCAATGTTAGCTTTCTTGGTGATCTTGAAGTCTCTCAATGAGAAGTGTGTGTTCACTTTATATATCCCAATAAATGTTAAGAAATATTCAAACAGTGAACATTTTCATTTTCCCATATTTATCACCTGTTTATGGTCGGTCGGCTTATGTTTATGATTAGGGTCATTGATAACTTACTTTTGATATGGACCAGATGATGTTTTCATTGATGCATAAAAACTTGCCGAATATTGCAACATGGTTTTTATTACAAATATTTGGAATGGAATGGAATGTACAGTGTGTACATAAAGTTTTTTCAAAATGAAAATGAAAAAAAACGACAGTATTGAAACTCATAACTTAGCTTTCAGGCTTAATTAACAAGTTTTATTAAAATATTCACCTCCATTATTTTAATCAACTTTACTCAATTGAATTTTGCCCAGAGCAATTTTGAATTCAATATACATACATTATAATGAATAATAAATCATGATACATTGTGCCATAATAATCAAGATCCCTAGACTTTTGATAGTGGTCTTGATGTATCTTGAAACCTGGGAGTAATTCAGATCCTCTGGAGAGGGATTAAGACGTTGTTTCAAATTAACTATTTAGGTTAAAATTACCGTCACTTGTCTCATTAGAATACAAAGTGTTTCATTCTTCATTTTTTATAAAAATCCTAATAACGCCAAATAAGATTGAAAAGATTTGTATTCTTACATTTATATCTTGCCTAAGTGTTAAGGAGTCATCAGGAATTTGTTACAAATTTTACAATTGTAACATTTCCACCTTTTGATTAACTGCAAATCGAGTAGCTCTACCATCCAACAACCCTTGTAAATTAAATAAATCAACTTTTTAGAAGCAATTTGAATTTTGAACAAACACCCATCTTGCTTTACCAAGGTATGAAGATTTCAAGATGAAAATCACTGGTAAGAGAGTATGCAAACAGCAGATCTATAAAAATGTTTAATACTTTCCGGTTAAAGCTACAAATAGCCTTTTACCACCTTCCTTCCCACTAAATGAAATTAAAATTATGTACATTATACTATAATATACAATTAATTATTACCAGCTCCCACCTCCCACACCCATCCCCATTTTTTTCTTCTTCATCAGAATTCTATAAAAGAACAGCTATAGACTTGTCAAATAACATGAACCTGTGAACCGGTATCTGAATGGGTGATTAAAGGCAGAATCTGATCTATAGGAGGTGACAAAATTACAAGCAACATGTATAATTGACCTACCAATCTATTCCTTACAATATCAAATACAAAAATCCCAAAAATCCCAAAAGATTCACAATATGTTATAAATTGGTGAAGTTATTAATGATTCAAAGTGCAAAAATGGGTGAGAAATGTTTAAATTCTCCCAAATAATAAGAATGGTATATAGAAAAATAATATACAATTATTGACCTCTCCAGAGGTTTACTGTCAAAATTATATCCCAAGACTGTAAACCGAGACCGTAGGTCGAGGTTTACAGTCGAGGGATATAATTTTGACAGTAAACCGAATGGAGAGGTTTATAATTGTTTTGTTAGTCCGAAGAATATCTTAGATTTTTCTGACCCTTGAAGTTGACTTGAAGTTGGATCCAGACCCTCGAGACGTTCATGTTGTATTTCAGTATATCGGCAGTAAGTTCACTCAATGGAGTCAAATTACTCTCCTGGGCGAAGTCCACTAACAGCTTTGTACAAAGTTTTAGATTTTTCTTCGTATTTTGACTGTCTTTACTCTCTAAGAGACTAATAATATCCTCATCTTCAACATTTTTGAAATGGCTAGTGCTAGCGGCGGCCATTTTATCGTCTGATAATGACGTCATTTTAGTGGAATGCTGGGAATATTATTCACCGGCAATGCATTGCGCGGTGTACAGTTAAAATTATTCACCGCTCGTTGACCAATCAAAATCGAGTATTTCAACTGAGGTACTAACAATACATATTGTAAAATGTTTTAGTTTTCCTGGAATAAAGTATGTACTTTTTGTGATTTTTAGAAAATAGACATGACAAGGAATGACATGAGCCAAAAATATTCTAAAATTGAAACAATTTTTTGTTGAGCCTGCTCGCTAGATCTTATTCTCTCTTTAACTTGTTAGCAACTCGACAATAAACTAATCAAGTTATTCAAATGGGATTGTTGATAATTGATACAGCCTAGAGTCAGGACATCATTCCAATAAAACTATTTTTACACCTTCAAAATTCTGATTTGATTTCAATGTACTTTCCCCCTGATACTAATTACTGAACAAATAGTCTGATTAAAATACCACTGTATATGCTAATGAAACATTGGTTGATTCCAGGATGCCGACAATGACTTGGCAAAGGCTTCTATCTATACAATACTGGGCAATCTTGGGGATGTTCCACTCGAACATAGGATGGCAATACAGAACAATGGTGGTGGGTAGGTATTAATTAACACAATGTTAGGAACGCATGGTTGTCTCCATGACAATGGCAATCACTTCAACACCCAATCAAAATAGGATTCATTGAATAAGTACCTGGCATTCCTTTCATAATGAAACTCTCATTAAAGGTCCCATATAAAGTTTAATCCACTTTGGTGCATATTGTAGTCTTCCCCATATGTTAAAAAAAATCGTTTTTGAAGAATATTTTGTTCGAAAAATTTTGAATTTATTTGAACTGAATTTCAGATGTCACCCTATCTTTTGATAAGAGAAAACTCTTACCATTGCATAGCATTCATCCTTAACTGTTTTTGTTTAAAGAATTAAGAAATTGGTTGATAAAGAAGCAAAAGTGGTTCAGAGAAAAATGCATTTCAAAATTTTTGTTTTCAGAGAAACTAATTCTACAGTAACATTTGAAAGATAATATAATTTTCCTTTCATATCTTCCATTCATATCTTTATTAGACTATCAACATAAATAAATTTGAGTCTTCTGTAATAGTTTCTTCCATTTTTATGTAAAAGTTCTAAACTCTGTTCGATAAAAGCTGTCCACTCCTATCCTTGCTACACATGCAATATGAACTAGAGAAACGCATGTGCAAATTGCAATTACAAATAAGTTAATAAATATATAAAAGATGTCGCTTACATTAAAATTCATTTATTCCATAAATATACATTTATTTAATTTTGAAAGTTAGCATAGTAAGAAAAAACTGAAATACAAAAAAATGTTTGCACCCAAAATAATCCTTCATCATGATGATGTCACTTAGGGTGCAAACAAAGGGCTAAAACATTATCATTAGATGACATTTTATATATATAAATAGTGTCCCCTTTGTTTAGTCGTTGTATAGGGGAATATTTAATATTTAAAAATTGTCAACTTTTATTTGAAATACCTTGGGAAATTTGAATATTTGAGAAATAAAAAGCTGAAAACAATGGATGGACAAAAAAAATATTTTTTCAAAATCTCTAAAATAACTTTTAAAGTCGTAGTAAATTCAGTGATGATACATATTTTCAAACTTTGCATGGGGCCTTCAAGGGCCATGACAGCTACTTATCAGCATCGAAATTGTATATTTATTTCTCTTATTTAGAGCCTAATGCACAAAGCTCCATATCACACTTCTATTAACATATCCTGTAATAAATCATAAATCTGTGTAAATACCATAATGTGTCAAACCTTTTATTCCCTCTAGGGACCATAGCCACAATAACCCATATACTGTCTATTACATTAATTTTATTAAAAAAAACTTCTACGACTTCCTCCTCAGCTGTCAGATTCAAATCCCTCCTCCTCATTCTCATTAATTAAATTATCCCCAATATTAAAACATTCACACCTTAATTGACATTCTCATCTTCGGAAACAATCACAATGGAAATTGGGAATCAAACTGCTGTGCAAGAACGCTTGAGCCAACAGGTCCAAGAACTGTTGGTTAACATGCAACAGTATGCCTATAAACCATAATTCACTTATTATATACACTTGTAAAAGTCTGACGTCTGGAACTAAGAGCAACCAGCAAACTGTATGAAAAAGCAACAGATCCTAAGTGTATCCTTGTATTTTATTGAGTTTGCTATTATGTAAATGGAGATAATACTATCAGCTAATATTAGCTCATCATCAAAATGCCATTAGTATGCATTTCATTCCTAAAATGTTGCACATCAGCTCTACAGTAAATTATGTTATTAGACTCCAGATTGCAAATCTTGAGTCTATTGTTTTTGCAAGTTTTCTTTCTTTTTCGAGTCAACTTTTCTCAGCAACTAGAGGAGCTGACTTTAAGCTGCTTACATGGTTAGTAAGGGAATCCCCGGGATGAAAATTGTATCTATGTCAAAGGTTAAGATCTGGGTCTATTTATCATTTCTCCTTGACTAAGGATTTAAGCCCCGAACTCACTGCATTGTGTGCTGAATCATTCCATTGAATGTGTTGTTTCCAAATCTTTGCTTGACCACGAAACTGGAGTGGAATGAAGCAGCAACAATACATTGAAGTCTTCACGGTATTCAACTCAAACGCTCTTACATGCATGACGGAGCATTTCATTCATGCGGAAATGCTGCGGAGCGAAATAAAATGGCGGCTAATGAAGATCCCACTATGACCGTTAGTATTGTTTTTCTAGTTTCTCTTACATATCATACGTTATGGTGACATATTAGGTACCATTCGATGAACAATACCCTGAGCAAAGATCTTATTTATTCAACTCCTGGTGGTACTGGTAAACTGTTTTTTGCTTGATCAAAGCTACGTAGTATTTTTATGAAAACGTCAATCTTTCTGTCAAAGTAGTCGATCACAAACTCATATATTCTCATCTGCTAAAATCCCAGTCCAAATCCATTACTTGTTCTCGAGAAATCGCTTGTTTTCCTCGAAACACTCCGTCTCCGTCCAATCGTAAGAGATTCGATTGAACATAGCGATTGAAAAATAGGCATGAAAATCCACATGCTAAATCAATGAAGGAAAAGCAAGGGAGTAAGAATTTGTTCCACCGCGACTTGCATCATGGGTAATATTTTGTCCATATAAGGAAATACTTTAAGGAAGAGCAAACCGCGAGAGAATTAGAATTTCTGAATTTGCAGAAATACCTTAAAAGGATGACATATTGAGGTATTTGAATGCTGATAGAATTAGGAATAAGCAGAAAAAATATTGAAGCGATCATGCACTATTGATGAGCATATTTTATCATTCTATTCAGGCTGTTCAAACGTGACAATACATCAGCTGTTTCAGTATTGACAGCTAATACATACACCATTAAAGAACAATGGTTGCAATGAAATATTTATGTTATTGGTCTGGAGTAATTTTTTCATCGAGATAATTACATTAACAAGTAACATTATGTAAACAATATGTTAAATGCTTTTACAAGGCATTAATCAGTAGCCTATAGATCAGTTTTCACGACACACTGATTGTTGTTTTTAACCCATCCTATTAATTCTTACTCTTATTTGTTGTAGTTATGTGAACCATGCCATCTATTGGGCTGTTATGGGACCTGTAAACAATGATACAAAACTAACAAATGAGGCAGTTGCACTAGTAAGAGAGATAGCTGAAGTGTATGGCGGCTTTGAATCCTTTAAAGATGTGTTCAGCAATGCAGCCAAGACTCTTTTTGGTTCTGGTATGTGTAATTTATAGTAATGGATTGGAATTTATTCTACTAGGCCCCTCATGTAAATTGTCTGTTTAGTAGTGACTAAAGCCTTTAAGTTATTTTTTACTTAAAAACTTAGGCTTTAAAATACAAAAGACATGTCAGAATGACAAAAAAGGCAAAAGATCCTAAGAAAGGTTTGACCAAATATGGAGTACATTGCATTTGGCACTAGTGTGTGTCAACATCGGCATAGCAGTCTAATAACATGCCTTGTGATTTATCCAAAACTTGATCATTTATCTTAAAATTAACCTTGAAAAGATACTTAATAATGCTAATTTTGCTGACTCTCAACCCATCCATTTTATTTATTAGCCTATTATCAAAGTCACTTGGCCTCTTATTGTGCATTTGTTATATACCAAATATCCAACCCATCAGCTGAAATAATGATTACCCAATTAGCATTTGAATAGATTTTATTGCCCACTGCTGAGAAGTCTGATAGCCACCAGCTACCCTTCACTGCTAGTTGCAATATTTCCTAGCGAATACACACTTACTCTCACCTTTAGGATAATCAATGTTATGCTCCTGAATAAAGATGTTCACATTGAAAAGGCAAATTGATTGCAGTAAAACTTGTGTACAGGGTGTCCCGAAAGTATGGGGCCCCCCTAGGCAGACATGTACCAGTGTTGTTAAAGTATGTGTCATATATCATTTTAAAGCTTATCCAAAGTTACATTGATACACCAAGTATCATGGTTCAACTCTCAAATGTGAAAAAATTGCAGGCATTTCAAAATTTAGTGTTTGGTCAAAATTAAGTTCAATTTTACACCAAATCACTAGTCAATGTGTCCTCCCGGGCCATCTTAACAGCAGCAATTCTTTTCGGGTCGAATGGATATTGAGTTGGAAAAAGAGAACGATGAGTGTAGAAACTCTAGGGAAACTCTTCTAAAGTGCCTTACCAGGTTTAAAGAGGATTATAAAATTCCACACCCCTATTTGAAGGGCTTTTAAGGTCATATCTGAACATAATTGCTGCTGTTAACATGGCCAAGGGGGGACGCATTGACTAGTAATGTGGTGTAAAATTGAACTTTATTTTAACAAAACACTAACTTTTAAAATGACTGTAACTTTTTCCCATTTGGGAGTTAAACCATGATACTTGGCAAATCAATGTAACTTTGGATAAGCTTTAAAATGATATATGACACATACTATGAGGACACTGGAATATGTCTACCAAGGGGGGGCCCCATACTTTCGGGACACCCTGTACAATGAATACCTATGGAGCCACAAAAATATGTTCACTATAGGTAGGTGTTCACTACAGAGAGGCAGTTTTATACAGAACTCAGTGTAGTATGTGCTGAGAAGAGGTGTTCACTAGACACAGGTGTTCACTAGAGAGAGGTGTTCACTAAAACAGGTTTTACTGAATATCACTTTTGTTTTGCAACACAGTGATCCTTCCATGGATCTTAATTTGCTGAACTTGTAATATGCGTACTAATCTATATTTGCTGAACTTGTAATATGCATACTGATATATATTTGCTGAACTTGTAATATGCGTACTGATCTTAATTTGCTGAACTTGTAATATGCGTACTGATCTTAATTTGCTGAACTTTTAATATGCATACTGATCTGAATTTGCTGAACTTGTAATATGCATACTGATCTTAATTTGCTGAACTTTTAATATGCATACTGATATATATTTGCTGAACTTGTAATATGCATACTGATCTTAATTTGCTGAACTTTTAATATGCATACTGATCTGAATTTGCTGAACTTGTAATATGCGTACTGATGATGATAATGGTAATAATGATGCAAACTTTGGGAGAAAAGACCAAAAACAGACCCAAGTTCATTTTAACCATTCACCTTTTCACATGACACCTTGTCCTTTTTGCTTAGAAGTCTATCACTAATTATACAAATCTTGTTACTGCAAAAGTCTTAAAGTATTTCAACTCATAATACAAGGTCTTCTAGGCATTTTGTTACATGCAAGTCAAATGAAATGTCTTTTGAATTAACTGAATGACATTCCTATTGATGTTACAGGTTATGTATGGCTGAGCAGACTTCCTAGTGAGACAAACCCAAGAGGGGAACTGATGATAAGCTCTAGTCCAAATCAAGACTCGCCTATTGCCCAGGGTCTTAAGCCTATATTAGTCATAGATGTATGGGAGCATGCATACTATTTAAAGGTATTCGCATAGGAAATTACCACATTCTTCAATTTAGACTACCTCATCGGTTTAATTTAGCAAAATTATCTATTAAGGTATTTGGATTATGCAAGTCAATGATTCAGGTTCATATTTGGGATTATTCATTATTATCCCATTGAACGAAGTTAGGAGGGATATAGGGTCTGTCCAGGCAATAACTCAAATACCGTTGGCCCGATTTTGTTCATATTTTGTACACATATACCCTATGGTAGTAGAAGTTCTGCCCGAAAGCCGATTTTCAAAATGGCCGCTCATTTAAAATTGGCGGCCATTTTAGTGCCGATTTTACAGTAATTTAGGTGCAATATGTAAAACTGTAATAGCAATAAAAAAATTATATAGGACATTAATAAAGCTAGAAATGTAGATATTAAAGAATGTGAATACTATAACTGACACTTTTGGTAGAAGATGGCCATTTTGAAAAATGACCACCATTTTAACGTATTTTACTATAACTCGAAAAGTAGTAGAGTGATTTTGTTCATATTTGGTATGTGAATACTATAAGGATGGCACACTGTCTAATGACACTTTTGGTAGAAGGTGGCCATTTTGAAAAATGGCCACCATTTTAACATATTTTACTATAACTCGAAAAGTAGCGATTTTGTTCATATTTGGTAATATAAGTGAATACTATAAGCATGGCACATTGTCTAATGACACTTTTGGTAGAAGGTGGCCATTTTGAAAAACAGCTGCCATTTTTGCTATATGCTTTGTTTGTAAAAATGCCAGCCATGCTCAAAGCACAGCCACTTAAACATGTATTATTGTATTGTATTCTTTGTACAAATGAATAACTTAATAAATAATAAAAAAAATAGGGATCAATATCTAGATTTTCAATCATCTTTTTATAATATTTATTCTATTTTCTCAATTCATTTGCACTAGAAATTAGACTGTTTTGAGATGAAAAGTGATGACATATAGTTATAGCCACCATTTTGTGAAATATAGTTCTAGCTATCATTTTGTTATAGCCACAATTTAACATATAGTTAAAACCACCATTTTGTGACATATAGTTCTAGCCACCATTTTGTAACAAATAGTTAAAGCCACCATTTCGTGACATATAGTTATAGCCACAATTTTGTGACAAATAGTTAAAGCCACCATTTTTGACATATAGTTATAGCCACCGTTTCGGGACAAATAGTTAAAGCCAAAATTTTGTGACATATAGTTATAGCCACAATTTTGTGACATTATAGCCACCATTTTGTAACAAATAGTTAAAGCCACAATTTTATGACATTATAGCCACCATTTTTGACATATAGTTATAGCAACAATTTTGTGACATATAGTTAAAGCCACCATTTTGTGACAAATAGTTATTGCCACCTTTCTGTGACAAATAATTAAAGCTACCATTTTGTGACATATAGTTATTGCCACCATTTTGTGACATATACAGTAAAACCTGTCTAATCCGAACACCCATGGGACCAGCCAAAAGCGTTCAAATTGGCAGGTGTTCAAATTTCGAGGATATTGTTGATCAGGGGGGGGGGGATTTTCATTGTTCAGTCCACTATATTGAACACTTAATACTAAGTCAGAAAACAATACATGTTGTTGATGAGTTTATTCTACAATAGGCCTGTAGCCTATATGCTATTTTTATTTACATTTTGAACAATTTGATTATTTTAGTAAAAATAACTTATATTTTGGTATATATTTTGGTAAAAACTTTGTAATACACTGACAGTATAAGTATATGATAGTCTCGTACAAAATCTTAAGCTTCTCAAATGACTTATCCCATATTATGGTTATATAGCACTGCTTTACTTTTGCTTGAAAAGTACGCTAAAGGTCCTTCATTGTTGTTTGTTTTTTGGCACTTTTAGCATTAGCAATATTTGAGTAGACATCCTCTTCAAGTAAAAATAAGTTATTACGAAGTTGAATTTTTTCTCTTTCTCGTGAAATCTTGTCTGCAATTGTGTCTGTGTTGTCTTTGTGATTATAAAACATTTACTGATTGAATCTTAGCTATCATAACAGACCCATGGGATATAAAACATCTAAGACCTGTTCATAATCCAAATCAAAAACATCCAGTTAATTTACAATAGGGATAAACCAATTATCTCCCAGATTCTCACCTTTCTCTTAATCCAAATCAAAAACATCCAGGTAATTTTCAATAATGATAAATCAATTATCTTCTTGATTCACACCTTTCTCTTAATCCAAACATAAAACATTCAGTTCTTTTCTAATAGGATAAACCAATTAACTCCTGTATTCACACCTTTTCAAATCATCCTGTTCATTTTCCACAAATAAGGGATGTCACAGAGACTAAATAAGTTAATTAGGACAGTATTAGTTCTTTGATTACATTGTACCATGTATATGTAAAGATAAATAACAACTATAACATTGACTCAATATGTGGCTATTATTGAAATGTCCAGACATTTGATTTCTGATAAAAATGTTCAGGTTAGACAGGTCACTTTTTCATATCTGGTTGTTCACTGTTCAGATTAGGAGGTGTTCAGATTTCAAGGTTTATTTAACATGGGAGTCAATGGGAGGAAAAAATGGGACCGAAAAAAAGTGTTCAAATTGGAAGGTGTTCGGATTAGCCAGGTGTTCAGATATACAGGTTTTACTGTAGTTATAGCCACCATTTTGTGACATACAGTTATAGCCACCATTTTGTAATCAGCACTCAGCAGTTTAAATTCTGTAACAACTTGTTACATTTTTGTAACCATTCACAATAACTTACCCAGTGGTGACAATTTGTTACATTAATGTCTGTTTTATTTCCAGCACCAGAATCTGCGGCCAAACTATATCACTGATTGGTGGACTGTTATTGACTGGAACAGAGTTGCAGAATTGGATGATTGGTGGCGTAACGAAGCGGATTTAATTGAGTCTCACGATGAACTTTAGGTAGAATCATATCTGCTTAACAGTTTAATGATGTATTAAACACATTGAGGGAGTGAAACTGCTATTAAGGAATCTGAATATTGCTTCAACTGGGACCAATAAGACATAGATATTGAAGATTGGATTAAGTTTAAACATAACCTGGCATATATTTTTTATTACACATGAGTAATAATATGACATGTTTAATGGGTGGGGTTATGCTTGGGCTTATTGTGAATATTTTTAAGAGGTGCTACTTAATATTTATTTTTCTTATTATGGATATTTCATCCATTATTTATTGTGATTTTTATATCCCTCTAGTTACAGTAAAAGCCTTTGTGACTTTGTGAGCTGTTGACCCATATTCTTAAAAGCTTTGTGAATCTCTTGTAAAAGCTGTAATTAATCATGGGTAAATAAATCAAATTTTAATAGTTTTTTCAAATTAATATGCTGTTGCAAAGTGCTTTGCGGGTTTTTGTCACTTCAACTGGTGTTATTTTGGTGCTATCTATAACATATGGGAATTTGCGATTTTAGGCATTTGGCTGAATTACAATTTGGTTGATTTTTTAGATCAAAGCAGCCAATCAGGCTGGGCTCTTTTTTATAAAAAAATGGAATTTTACCTTGTATTTAATGTAATGAAATTGTGTTCAATGACAAAGTTGAATTCTTCATTAATTCTCTGCAAATAGTAAATATATCTGTTGCTTGGCGTAATATAACTTAGTTTGGTTCATTTCCTTATGGATTTAAGATACTTGTTTCGTGTCACGTATCATGAATAGTGTTAATTACCAATTGTATATCATTAGAATAATACCAGTTAACATGTACTCTAACAAGTTGGAATGCTGTCTTATTAGAGTCTACTAAACACAGGCCTCCTACGTCTTGGCATATATCAACTTACAAAGGGGCTGAATCATTTTTATGTAACCACCACAAGTGTTGACATATTGTTGAAGTCTCCAATTTATTTTTTGTGAAACAGCAGTTGGTGATTGGTGTTTAGTGGTTGGTGGTTGTCGTCTGTAACAAATGACAGGTAGTGCCATTTTGCATGTTGCCTTGTTTTGCTGGTACATGAGTGAGCCCATCCTCCGCTCACAGGGCTTCAAAATCCAGAATATATTCTTTCTTTTTACCCCCTGCGATAAGCAGCTAGCATTTCCCAGATTAAGAACTTGCAATCTGATTGGCTGTCGCAACACTGCGACAGAAATCATGTATAAGTCATAGCGCATAATTAGATCACCTGATTCAGTTTAATCGGGCCCTTCCAAATTGGTTATAGCAGGGGGAAGAAGGAGGTACGGATTCTGGATACCTGCTTAGGAGGATGGAGTGACCGAGGTTTTATGCATTGGGTGGGGTTTATAGAACTTCAATGTCCTGTAAGGTTAAAGTACAAAGGGTAAGAGGGTCTGAGTCTGAGTCTTGAGTCTTTGTTGAATTCAGCTTTGCAAAAAAGTTAAAGGGCTAATTTTCATAGCCTCTAAGGACCTTTCCTAGAATCAATTCAATTTAATTTTATATTAGAATATGGAATTGAGAGCATTTCCATTCATAGGGGACTTGTTAACCATGAAGGTATTATTCATGTCATTAAGAACAGATTGTTGACTAGTACTAGACTGCAAAGTTGTATCAACGCAAGTCAGATTAACATGTAAAAGGTATCATTTAAGATGGCTAAACCTATGTCCTGAAAAACCTATGTCTCGTCATCCAGGTAGTCAAGAGGTTAAGTCATTTCTGAGAACATTAAACATAGTTCCATGTAATTATAGAATGTTTTACTTTTATGCAAAACCAAATTTCCGAAAAATTACCACTAGGGGTAATGTTACTGGGGGACAAAACTGGCTAAAGTAAGTGTCATTGAAAGTTATCAAAATATTATTAGTATTCATATTGATGAACATATTCAGGTTGCAACTCATACCAACTGTATAAGTATTTATGTGAAATAACTCTGATTTTGGAATATTTATTTCCTTTTAAAGAAAATGTAATGTATTCAAATAAATGTACATCCTTGATAGCCATTTGAGGAAATCATGAAAATAAAATCCGTTGACAATGTCAGTCATCCTCCAAAAAAAATATAAAAAGTAGAGAATTCCAGAGGGAACATTAACCTAATTGTCAAACAGTTGTCTATGCTGCATGTTTTAACTCAGATCGCTGAGATCTGTAGCAGACAAAAAAAACAATGTATCAAGTAATAGAATCAGTGATTAGTTTTTAGCTTTAAGCCCATAAATGTAATGCTACTCATACATTCTGTTAGCTCATTGACAAGTACATCACTGTCTGACAGTCAGAGAGCATATACCCTTTACATTTGTTCGACTTCACTTCCTAAGACAGCTTCGTCTCCACTCTTTCAGTTTACAATAAATCTCTGATCTGACCAAGCCAATCAGATTTTGTCGTCGAAATTGGGACAACTTTTGATATGGTCATTTGCTCTGGCACCCCCCCCCCCCATAGTTTATGAGCATATTTAGCATGTGTTCCTTCAACTTCGCTGATTGGTTGAGAAAGAGTCGGAGTGGTAAATTTGGAATGATTTATTACCTGGTCTGTCACAGGCACCAATCTTTGGGGCGGGGCTGCTAAACTGTAATATTGTCTATACTAGGCAGAGGGTAGTTTATAATTAGACTCTGTACCCAGGGTAAGAGCATTCTGATTGATTTAGAAAAGAGGCCTGACATTGAAAAATTGTGATATTTTTTTTCGAAACTTACTCTCCATTGGTCTTTATCCTTTATCTAGTTCCTTTAATCAGAGCTTTGATTGGTTGACAGGTTTTGAGGCACAGTGTAGAGGGTGTTATCACCATTACAAATGTGCTTTACTGGATAGTTCCAACACGGTCCTGTGTATAGAATCCATGCATTAGATGCCACATTATAGTGATTAAAATTATTATTTTTCCCACTGGAGCAATAAGTAGAAATAATGTACCCTAAGTGGTATTCTTGCAGAAATGAATATTTGATGAAAGGGAATACTCGTAGAGGCTAGTATTGAATACTGCAGATGAAGCTATCTTTTAAGAAGTGAAATGACACTATTGCAAAAGGTAAAGGCTGGGTATTTAGAAGTAATACATAATTATATTGAGGATCAGCGAGAGTAGATGAACAATTCAAAAGGGTGGGTGTTGTTTCCACATCTATTTAATTAAGGTGACAGGTTGGATATTAAATTAGAACAGCCAAGTGGTTGTTGCTGCATTCAGCTTTTGTTTCATGTGACAATTAACAGTTTATTATCCCAACGAACGAAGTTCGGTAGGGATATAGTGAAGCCCTCCGTCCGTCAGTCCGTCAGTCAGTCCGTCCGTCCGGAAGATAACTCAAATACGAGTTGACGGATTTTCTTCATATTTAGTGGAAAGATGTATATTGGTGAATAGTTGTACGCAAAAAAAAAATTTTCAAGATGGCCGCCGCTTTAAAAATGACGGGACTTTTTCGCAAAAACCATAAATTTTTCATTCTAAACCAAAGTAATTAATATTATTATTTGAAATTTTGGTAGTATATTCGCAACATCTATCTATTTCACATATATTCTGTGTTTTTCATCCTGACCCCCAGGGGCCGTGTATGGGGGGTCAGGAAAACAGTAATTTTCGCTAATTTTTAGATCTTTCTGAAGTATAGCTTTATTATACTCAAATGAAAGGCAATTAAGAGTAGATTGCAAATATTGTATCTTTTTCTGATTCGAGCCTCGTAAAATTCAAAATGGCCGTCTAATGTACGATTTCGCAATAATTTTTCGATCCCTTCAAAGTATGGCTATATTATACTCAAATTGAAGGAATTTTGGAGTAGATCACAATTATGGTATTATTCTTCAGATTTGTACCTCGCAATTCTAAAATTTAAATTTTTCAATTTTAACCAAAGTAATGAGTATAATTGATTGGAACTCGGTAATTGATATTTCGTTCGTTGGGATTTGCTACTCCGCGGAGTTGCCATTGTCTAGTTTTCCACCGGTTCATCCATTTGTGTTTCCAGGCGATAACTCAAATACCTGTTGACGGATTTGGTTCAAATTAAATAATTTTATAAGCTTTAATAACCTAAATACCAGAATACCAGTTGACGGATTTGGTTCAAATTTTATTTCCTGATGCCTAGGGTCATAGGAGCTCTGGTGCTCAAAAATAAATTTTCAACATGGCCTCTAAAATTTCAAAATGGCCACCATTTTTCATAAAAAAATAATTTGATGAATCAAATACCAGTATGTGGATTTGGTTCAAATTTTATATGCTCATGCTTAACATGCTTAGGGGATATATAGGACTCTATATCTCTAATTGAACTTTTAAAGTCATGAAAAATAGTAAATGAGTGATAAAAACATATTTTCAAACTTTGCATGGAACCTTTAATATTTCTAGTTTACCAGGCCCCTCTTATCTGCAGCTTGCCTAAGGCCTCATTGTAAAGTTAAAGACTAAGTGACGTGGGTGTAGCAATACTTATAGCAAGTTCAATGTATCAGTGACTGAATGTCTCGGTGACTGTCATCAGAAGTAGCTCCTAATGGGATGTAATATAAGCATTGTTTTTGTCTTGGCTAGATATTGTTACATTGAGTGGTAAAGCCAACTTGCCTTTCTTAGTTGAGACGTTTAATGACATACAGTTGTCATAGGAATATTGAAGTGGAATAGACCTATCTGATGTATGTGTCATTCTAATGAACAAATGTCTTAATTAGAATGTATTGTTTTATTATCGTCTCTTAACCTGATATGTTGATATACAAAGTTACATAGAATCCCAAAAATTGAATACATTTTTCATTTTTTTATTTTAATGTGCCTTGGTGGTATTTTAGTACCCTTTGCATTCGTTTGACTTCACTTCTTAAAAGAGAGCTTCGTCTTCTGTAGTTTAACTAGACTCTGCACGCAGGGTAGTATTTTAGTGACTGGTTTTGTAGCATATAACTTTTTCATTTTAAAGTAGGTGTGGTAACTCAGAAATAATCAGGCCCGTAGCCTGGATTTGCCAAGGGGGGGTTCACTTTTTGAAAAATTCCAGGGGGTTCACTTGTGACAATTTTGGTCCAAAAATGGCCGAAATCAATTAAAACGTGCTTAGAATGGTGAAAAACCGATAAAACATATTCAATAAACACTTTTTTTAAATATTCATCAGTAACAAACAGCAATGAACAAAAATCCAAATCAAATTTAAAATACTTCTTCCCTCATTAGTCTTACCCTCCACAGTCTCATCGCATGTTTTAATTTCCACAAATGATTATGGTGCGCAAATTTGCCCCAAATGGCTTCAAATCTAATTGGTAGCGCTTTTAGGCCTCAAAGGAAGTTTCTGTCATACTGGATGACCAATTTGAGGTCACCTTGTTCCATGTCATATTAGTGTTAATCAATTGTTAACCTTGTTTTGTACGAGGTAATCTAGTGACAGGCGTGAATGAGAGACCATGTTTCTCCACTGTGATTTATAAATGCCACTGGGACAGAGCAAATGAAAAAATATATTCAGATGTCAGAATATATTAACTTTTACATTAGAGAGCTATTGTTAGCTTTGGATATGTCATTGTGGGCATTAGATTATTGCTTGCTCTGTCATACAATCCAGAATTGTCACTTATCAATTTTAATTGCAGCATCTGCTGAAGTTCACTTGAGGCAATTATCATGTTACCATGGAGATGTTTTGACACATTGTTTTAGCCTCCATTTACCTGTAACAACTGTAACACTTTCTGAGTTTTGACATTTTGCTGTGTTATATATTTATCCATACTTCCTCTTTTTTAAAGCATGGTTTGCCGCGCCTATTTTTCTGCCTTCTATCTCTTCCTGCATCATAACACCTGAGGTCACTTAGCAACATGATAATGTTAAACCAGTGTTTTTACCTTATTGTCCTTCATAAAAGGATACATGTGACACATTTTTCATGTCATTGGAAAAGTTTCTCAATGAACTTGTCATTTCAGAAACACATGAATGTTCTCCATCTGAACTTATGTGGCAAATACAGTGAATGTATTTTCACGTGTGTTATTGTAAAAACATGTGAAAATTTATTGTGATTTAATTCACTCATGTCTTATATTATTATAGACTTGAATTTGGGCTGTTGCCCTCATCCAGAGTCTTGGTGCGAGACATACATGTTAAATCATCTAAAATTCACACTGTGCTTAGAATTCCTTTACATAATTACATTACCCCACTATTTGAATGGTGTGATAAATCTGTATTATTTCAATGCCATTCTGGGCCATGAACAGAATATTATTTTTCTATAGGTCCCTTCCAAACTAGCTTGGTTTAGCTTATCTAGAGCAGTGACTTGCGTCACAGACTAGGCCACAGGGTACAATTATTAGATCAAGCGACAAATGTAATGGTTTACTTTTATTCATGGCACACGTTTCCCACATGTAAATAATGCACCAGTCACAAAATATCTCAATAATCAGGACATAATATTAGTATATGCTATTTGATCAATGTACTAATAGACTTCATAATTCCCTTAGTGAATTGGATTTTCACCTTGATTCATGAATAAAGGTATACGTTTCTGCCAAATGATCAATAATTAACTAACCAACATTTATGATGGCATTAACTTCAACAAGTTACCATGTTATACATGTTACACGTTACTCCTTTCTAGAACCCATGGTACTACATGTACTTTCAGATCAGACTGTGTTGTAATATTGACATGGCATCCCAGGCCCGTAGCCAGGGGTTTCAAAATTATGCAGTTTTCACCATTTTATTAAGCACTTTTCAAGTAATCCCCCCCCCGCTCTGGAATTTTTGAAAATTGACCCACACCCCTTGGCAAAATCTGGATACAGACCTCAGCCATTTTTTCACCATTGTTGCAATAAAATGTACCTCGGTGAGCAAGACATATATTCTTAAATTAAAGTCAGTGTCAAGTTATTCAATTAAAAAGAACTAATCAATATCAAATCAAAAATTGCATTTATTTCCTCCAAAATGTACATATTGTTTGGGTTTAAAGCTAACAAAGTAGACACAGAAGACTTTGCAAAATGTCTATCAAAGCTTGGCCATATGTCTTACAGTTTATGAAAATTTTAAAAAGTGGAGTATGACAATAACTTTCATCATTTATTGATTACACATCATTATGTGAGCCACATTTTGTTACTCTTTTTATTCTGCCACCTTATAAAACCACCAGCAAAGTGGTTCTGGGGTAGCCCTGTTGTTGTATGTTGTTGTTACTCAATATAATTATGTATTACTACTAAATACCCAGCCTTTACCATTTGCAGTAGTGTGATTTCACTTCTTAAAAGATAGCTTCATCAGCCGTTTAAATGTTTTACACCCAAGGATAATTCCAGAATGAATTAAAATGCCCAAAAAATGTTAAAAATTGAATTTTAGACACAGGGTGGGTCAGAAGACCATCATGTTTTAAGTTGACAATAATTGTTTTAACCATGCATACATTTTTATTTTTTCGATGAAAACGCAGGAACTAGATTTGCAATTATTTTGCAATCCCAAAAAGGACAGATAAATATTAAGGGTCTCTGAATGCAAAAATTGACCAGGGGGCTTAACTGGAAAAAATACAGTTATCAAAAGAATTCAAAGCAACAAACTGATGCAGCATCAAGAAAAAAATGATTGAGAAAATCACTTGTGCACGGAAAGCTACTCTGCGGTCTTGAACCAGTTCATCATAACACTTGCCTTTTCAATGATCTTTAGGGAATCGCAGATTGATATTTCACTAATCATCCTGACCAAAGTAGAACATTTCAGTTTGGTCTACAGGCCTATTTTTCTTGATCTTAAACCAATCCATATAATATTCTTTATAAGTCTCAATAAATGCTTAAATTTTTATCAGAAATATAAATTACAATAGTGTAAACTGTAAGCACCATATATGATTTGTGTTTCTGTTTGTCTGTTTAATATGTCCATCTGGTTTCAATTTATGGAGCATAACTAAAATCACTGCATAGTTAAATTAATTAATTTGATTTAATTAATACCATGTAATCATTCTTCTTGTTTTTTGGTATCTGTATTATTAATTACTGCATTACCTATGAAAATATTACTGAATTTTATGTATTATGGAAATGTTATGAAATAAAATATGAACGCAAAATAAAAAATATGGACGTTTTTTACCCATCTTATATATTTCTAGTTCTAATTTCTAATAAAGCATTAGTAGCAGATGTAAAGTTATGAGTTTTCCCATAAGTATTCACAGTCACTAAGTCTCATAAAATCCACTTTAGATCTCTCTTTTTATTTACTTCTTAAAATACCATTCACTTGTCGTAATGGATGAAGAAATAATGAAAAGGAGTGGTATCGATATGGTGAACATTTTGAACACTCGTTTCTCCTAAACCAGTCATCAAAACATTCTGAAAATTTTACACATCGTCAATTTAATGGTCATCTTTTGGATGGTAACATATTAATTTGAACCTATATATATACTTTTCTCTATATTGTTTTAGAAAACACATCAGACACTTCTTTTGTTCTTGGTATCATTTGTTCGGAATGAAATGAAACATCTATCCGAACCTCATTGGAACAAAACGACATAAACACAATGTGTTCAGTTCTCCCAATATTGTAATTGTACAAAGGAAAGTTTGGTTGATTTTAAAAAAGTATCTTGTTAATAAAATAAAATGTTTATCCTCATTTTTATCTATTTTGGGGGGTTTTGTTTAAGTTTTTGCATACTTTTTGTAAAATCAACCAAAATTTCCTTTGTATAACTGTAATATTGAGAGGTCTAAGAAAATGTTGAATATGCTATTTTGTTCCACCAAGGTTCGGAAAGACATTTTATTTCATTCTCAAGAATTGGTAGAAAGGAGCAAAAAAAATTGCACTAAAAAAACAAAAAAAATGTTAACAAAAACAGTTATATAAAATATATATAAATAATTTTTGCATCAAATTGTTGCCAATCAGTCAACATTACATAAAGGACCATGTTTTTTACAGAATGTTTTCAATACAGTAATTGGTCTAAGAGAAAAACATTATTGAATTCAGTTCACCATATCGATACCTATCCTTTGAAACATCTACTTATATATCTTCCTTTGTTTCATGAAAAACATCACTATAAAGACACAGGCGCATAGCAATACTTTTGCAACAGTTTTGAGATGTCCTGTCTTATTGTAATTCAGTTGTAAAAACATAACAAAATATCACATTAATGCAATGGTCATTTTAATTTTGTATGTCAAAAATTAAAAAAGTTATTCACAGTCAGTGTGGATCATGTTCGTATCAGCGTTCCATTTTCAGTTCAGACATAGGTGAATTTTTCGCAAAATAATAGCTTCCAATTGATGTGGGCATAAGCCTTGATTATGAAAGGATCAGCGCCGTTGTGAACTTATGTTGCACCCGGGTCCTTTCCAGTTTCTAGGGCAGATACACATACAGACGAATCCCTTCTCAACTTTACGAATTTTTGGCCCACGTCCTCCATTTCTGCAGACAGGCTTGAAAGGCGGACATAAAAACTTGACAGGTAGATATGAAGGCTTCCTTTTTGCTGCAGTCGAAAAGAAAACCGGATCTGAAATTATCAGAACAGTGTACGTTAGATTGATAGAAGGTATTCAGAAAAACGTCAAATAATAGAATGAATCAATGAAAGAATTACCATTGCAATGTCTTTCTAATGATCCTAATTTTATTTTCTAAAAGAGGGTTTCGGTATCTGTGATTTGAAAATTATCGAAACTTTCATATTTGTCCGTATTCATTTTGAAAAGGGGATACTTTTTATTATTTAAAGGTATCGCCAAAGTACTAGTAAAATCGAGTCAGAACTGTAGGACTTAGACATGCAATAAGAGTTTACATGCAATAATGACATGGAATGATGACTTCCTTATTACAAGTTCAGCCAATCAGTGAACGATAACTACAAAAACTATTTTGTACATTCCTACAATACCGAAAAATTCTCGCATTGCTCGAGAAACATAATTAGAAAGTTAAGTCTTGCCAAGAGAATGCACATGGAATTAAACATGAAATACTACTTTGTAATATTCCTTAAATAAACCTTTTAAAACCTATATTACAATTTTTGCTTAAAACATGACAACGTACAGCAAAAGTGTACAACCGTGTATTTTGTCACTGTATGTTGTCGATGGTTAGGACATGGGCTTTCAATTAGAAAGTCGAAAGCCCATGGTTAGGATTATACTTTAACTTCCTATTTCGATCAAGTGCAATAGTTGAAAGTGCAATTATTAGCTTAAATCAAACTATTTGAAAGAGTACCCAAGTTGTGGACCATCCTTTAAGATCGAGCTTCATTGCTATAGAAGCTATGAGAAAGCATTGAAATACCCTTGGCCCAAGGGTGGCTGACTTGTGGACGTGATCAGCAAGTTTATGGGTGACACTCGGGATAATTAATCAATAGAGCTTTGTCGTGATCTCATCACATTATATTTAATGGAATCTGAATTAGCCGTTGTCAATTTGAGATTTACACCAGAATAGCATACTTCTCTACCAATATTTTCCTTCCCAGATATTATTTCAGATATTTTTTGGTACAAGGGACAAATGAGAAAGCCAAAAACGTAAATTGCAAAACGCATACAATATGCAATAGAAACAAAACACTATATCCAAAAGATGATCATCTTTAAACGCACAAAGAAACAACGTGGCTGTCTTAAACCATCATGATAAACCATGTCATCTCAAATCGTCTCAGCCCTGAGATTTCAGGTGAAACAGAAAGATGCTATGAGTATCAGAATGGTCTTAAACAAATCCTCCCCATCTTGCAAGAAGCATTATCACGATCCGACTGTACTGTTAGCATGATTTGAGACCGTGGATTTGAGAGCGTTCAGAACTATTTTCCGTTACAGAAAGACACAGAGCTCAGTTAAAGGAGGTGCATATCATTTCAGTTGGGGGACCAGGTCCAAGAAATTCATATTTTCACGTATTTTTCTTCATGCTTATTCACGTAAAATTTTGTTTAGGCGATGTTGTTGTTCAGCACCGTGCCTGGCTATGTACCCTATGTAGCAAGTAGCACGTTACCATGTGAAATTCAGATTGAATTTGACACGTTTCGCCTGTTATGATTTGAATAGATGGCTGAATAGAGATCGTAATATAGGCAATCAATATGTATTCTATGCTTAGGAAATGAAAATGGATAAAGAAAAATAAAGAGTCTTTCAAATTAAAAGACGACACTTGAGGACAGTTATGGCATAAAATAATACTTTTGTAAGTGAAATGAGGGCCTAATTATCCATGAACTACATACAGCTTCATTCAAAAGACTTCATTTATTACTCAATCTTGAAAGAAGTGAAATACCCTTGGACCAAGGATGCATGAGCTACTACAGACACATTTGTTGCACAAATATCGTTTTTCTGAATATTGAAGGACAACCTTATTTGGTTTACTGAAGAGTTTAGGGGGTCACATGAACCCTCCGAACCCCCTCTCCCTGCGACACTGTCCATGCTAATACTTAACAACTTCCGAAACCATTGAACATCCGTAAGTAGGTCAAATCCCCGGGGTCAAATCCTCAAATTTGACACTCATCATTGAGGGACATTTCTGATTTCTATCCTAATATGGTAGCTACATATAATAATACATAGACTTTTCATATTCAGCAAAACACTGGAAATGTTTTCATGTAGTCAATATTGATCCGATCGTTTAAAAACTCCCAGTTTAAAGCTGCCATCTTTAAAGATTTCATGCAGAGGAGTGATGCCATCAACTCTCAACTGTAATAAGCCGTATATAACGTATAGGAAAGAAGCACAAATCACCTTCCCGACAAGTTGTCCTAACTTTCCGTGCAAAAATATTTTCAGAGCTTGTCAGCTTAGAATAAAAGAAGAGACTTATTAAAAATATTTTCAGAGCTTGTCAGCTTAGAATAAAAGAAGAGACTTATTAGAAGAATTAAGTCATAGACAAAATTGAAAATAAAATTCAGACCATATTAGGAGATAGATGGTCTGGCAATGAATACCCCTTTAAACCCTGAAGTTCTCGTTTGCTCAGCTCAGAGACATATAAAACATATATATAAATACAGTTTTATATGTCTCTGCTCAGCTGTATTGGCTAATTGTTTGTGGAGCAGAATTAAAAATCTTAAAGTCACGCGGTACAAACTTCGACCGTTAATTTGAATTTTTGACCTACCGGATGTTTGAAAACCAAGGATTACGAGTCTCATACTGCACTGTTTTTCTTCAAACTTGTTCCATTCAAAGGATCACAAAAATCCCTTTCTGATGGTACATTAGTCTCTTAAACAGAGTCCCTACTTCCAGCGGCATTTTGGTCCCCAGCTGTAAGAAGGCCTTCTAACAGCTGGGGACCAAAACGCTGCTTGAACGAGGGACTCTTTACAATAAAGTAATGCACCGACAGAAAGGCAATTTTGTTTTGCTTTTAATGGTATAAGTTTGAAGAAAAACGGTGCTGTATGAGACTCGCAATCCTTGATTTTCAAGCATCTGGCAGGTCACAAATTCAAATTAACGGTCGAAGTTTGTACCGCGTGAAAGTTTAAAAATTGAAAAATACATCTATGACCAATGCAGTTAGGTTTTTGAATGAGTCAACGGGGGTACCATAGAACGAACATTAAACTTGTATTAAGGGACGACCAACTCTGACAAGTTTGATATCAGTAGTAATATCGACATCACATCCATTTTTAATTTTTAGAGTCCATGTTATAAAAGATAGAAGAAGCATGTTAACCCATAACGAAATTTATATTCCAACTGACGGCAAAATTTCCCATTTCCAATTTATTTCAAGCGACCTTTTGTTCCATGGGGCTTAGGTAATTATTCGCGACAATGAAAAACACCATAAATGACAGAGTATGGCTTTCAGAAAGAGAAATGATAATTAAAAATCTGCTATCGATGGACATTTATGAAACGATATATCGCGATTGTTAAATTATGTAATATGTGACGATGGGAGAACGCCCTAGAAGGCAAAGATATTGGGAGGCGTCTTCAGATAAGTAGATCATTGAATCACTCTAATTGCAATTTCATTGTATTCTGATTGTCCATTTTGAAGAAGCACTTTGAATACAAACTAACGTAGATGTAGTTTATTTCTGCAAATGCGGTCTGTATCATCTACATCAATTTCACTTGAATCCGTTGCTGACATTTATTTGTGGTTAATTTTCGTCTTGGGTGCCACAACTACATGCTCCTACAAATGAGGGCGCGTTTATGGTCAATTTACCCCATTTGATATCGATATTCTTTCCTATCTATTTCTTTCTATTCTTTAAAATCATTGGTCATTAGATGTTTCTGTGTGTCTCTTGAATATTAACGCAATGTTTACCAATTGTTAGAATTGCCGTATTAGCTCACGCTGCAGTACTCAAGCGGCGTGCCAACTATGCACGCCGTTTGAGACACTTACGCCTATAGGATTTCAAAATGGCAGGTGGGAAGTCTCGTTCATTAGACAATACCATTAAGTCATCCTCCGATCATAGGGCTTCAAAATCCATAATATATTCTTTCTTTTTACCCCCTGCGACAAGCAGTTAGCATTTGCCCGACTAAGAACTCGCAATCTGATTGGCTGTCGCAACACTGCGACAGAAATCATGTAAGTCATTGCGCATAATTAGATCACGTGATTCAGTTTAATCGGACGCTTCCGAAGGTACGGACTCTGGAGTCTGGATACCTGCTTAGGAGGATGCCATTAAGTATGTGGAGACTAAGTTACTTTACAAATAGTAAAGATTTACCTGTGAAACGAATCTCAGTATTCTTTACATGTGTCAGTGCTCAAATCCGAAATAAATACTGTACTGTACTCGAATGCTATTAATCTGACTGTATTTTAAAACCTATGTTCATTGCACATTGATTTTGATATCACATGATAAAATCATATACAAATGAACGCATTAAATGAGAAAACAATGCAGTATGAGTATAAACGTCTTTAAATAAAAATGACGTTTGAAAACACAGACTCCAACTCGTATGATGCAATATTGCTAAGCGTGCGTTTTTGATCGAAGTATAGGCAAGATGGTTTCAGTATCGCACCGTGCGTGAACCTATGTTTAAGGAAATAGCAAAAACAGAAAACAGAGCAATTCTCTGATGGAACCACCCATTGGAACTAAATGGGGTAATTGAATCATTAAACGTAAAATCCATCTATCTGTTTATAATCCAATCATGATAAACCAAACGCATCATTTCCATCTAGAACTGGATTGTTATATTAGAGTATCAAACATACTGGATGCCTGAGAAAGTATCTTTTTGTCCCCTGGTCCTCATGAGAGAACATAGCCTTCTATCAGTTTCTAATTTCTGGATATTGCTAGTTTGGAAACAAAAACAGGTGATGAGTAACAGAATATTTGCTGACTGTCCCAAAAGATAAACGAGAAAGATGCACTAAGTTTGGTCAAAAAAGTACCGTGATCTTGTTCATTAGGTTAATTCAGCATTATTGATTTTAGTACAACTGACAAGATTGATATGGACTGATGTGTTGTCCTATGGGATCTTGTTCACTTTGTTGAACGGTGGATTTCACTATTATACAGTCACGCCTAACCATCGACAAGGTAGTAGGTACAGTGACAAAATATACCGTAGTACACTTTCGATGTACGTTATCACTATTTAACCGATTTGAAGCAATACAATGATGCAGGTGTGATGTAGGTTTTAAAAAAAAATTCTTGGGAATAATTGAAAGATTTCATGTTTAATATCGTGTGTATTCGTTTAGGAAGACATTTAAATTTCTAATAACGTTAAAAGATTTTCGAACAGTGCTCGATTTTTTCGTAGTCAATCTACCCACGAAAATTGATCGGTTGGAAAATGTTGGGTTTTTCACATCTCCTTTGATCATTTTTTCCCCTGTTGCCTAAGAGTGTCGATTATTTTTATGAGAATATGTCTCTCTATGCTACACAATTTAGGACGGATGGGGATTAATAAATATTCAAGTATTTATTGTAATTTAAAAAAATCAGAAATGTGCGTTGTCAACTCGAATGTACGTAATATTAAACAATGTAATGATTTCATTTCAAAATTCATCAAGGTTTTTATGAGTAACAAGTGATCTTTAATGAATATGTTCAAGTATCCGTTTTGCTTTTTCATTCTATGAAAGTATTGTTGTAGTGGTGGTTAATTTGCGCCCATTTTGGTGTTAGCTTCCAGCCCAAACTCCCATCCAGTGTCTCGGAATAGAATATGTGGAAGACTAGCACTGCCACGAAGTCTGATTCCAGCCTGTTTGATTATTTGGCGTCTGTACCTTACGTTTTGTTAGTTACATTGATATAGATCTACTTATCTATACTAGCTTCTTGAATATGACTTTTTAAAATCCCGTTTATGATATATTTGAAAAGTTTCAATAGTTCAATCAAATTGAAGTAATTCTGTAATTGTTCTGTTTCAATTTTAAATGCATCTGACCCCCTCTGTCTGTTAGTGTTATGAAACATACGTTGTATGCATTAAGGATAACTGTGAATGGAATTGAGTGAGTTGAAATTGACGAAGTCTGATTCCAGCCTGTTTGATTATTTGGCGTCTGTACCTTACGTTTTGTTAGTTACATTGATATAGATCTACTTATCTATACTAGCTTCTTGAATATGACTTTTTAAAATCCCGTTTATGATATATTTGAAAAGTTTCAATAGTTCAATCAAATTGAAGTAATTCTGTAATTGTTCTGTTTCAATTTTAAATGCATCTGACCCCCTCTGTCTGTTAGTGTTATGAAACATACGTTGTATGCATTAAGGTTAACTGTGAATGGAATTGAGTAAGTTCAATGGGACATCGTACATTCGAGTTGACAACGTACACTTGTGATTTTTTAAATTATAGCCAAAATGTTAATACTTATTAAATCTTCAACAGACCTTAATTGTGCTTTTTAAAGAAACATATTCTCATAAGACACTCTTAGACAACAGGGGAGGAAATGATCAAAGGAGATGTGTAAAGACACAACATTTTCCAACCGACCAATTATATGGGTAGATTGACTACGAAAAAAATCTAGCACTGTTCGAAAATCTTTTAACGTTATTAGAAAGTTAAATGTTTTCCTAAACGAATACACAAAAAATCAAACATGAAATCCTTAATGCATTCCTCAGATTATTTTTTAAAACCTACATCAAATCTACTATACACCATTGTCTTTGCTTCAAATCGGTCAAATATTGACATCATACATCTAAAGTGTACTATGGTATATTTTGTCACTGTACCTTGTCGATGGCTAGGCGTGACAGTACTTTACTCTAAACATGCACTGTGTCTCTGATAAAGCCTTCATTTTTTAGATTTTGATATAATTTGGAGAAAGCGTCAAAGGTGTGTCATCAGTCATGTCATGTTTAATTTTCTTCTGTGGTATGGTGTAACGTCGAAGATTAATTTTGTTCTGCCTCATTTGTGCAACTTATGAATTGACCCTCGTATGTTGGTTAATAATTCATTTCTGCTAGCTCTCCATGGTCATTTACACACTTGAAAGTTGCAGTTCATTAATGTACTATAAAACTGAGTAGCCCTTTATACCTTTCTGGTGCCCTGGCATTTTTAGACAATTCAATAATGTTAAAGGAACTATATCGAGATTCGGAGTTGTCTGATACACCCTAACCCATCTTATCATTTTCAACTCCAAGGTAGTTATAACAATGAAGCAATGGAATATTTCAAGTTCAAGATGACCTTACCTATAACTGGGTTTTCAAGGCTGTCTTCAAAAACACTACGGGCATCCATGGAGTCCTCCAAGAAACTATCATCGTGATCCATGTCCAAGTGAAACGTAGCTACGTATGTAATAAGTGCCAGGAGGGTCACAAGTTGCACTAGCAACAACTTCTCCATTCTGAAATATTCATCATTGTGTTTCTTAAATATCAACATAGTACATGTAATATATCTGTCATGACGATTCCAATTCGTGGTTAACGATTATCCCGGGGTTATTTTAACTATTAAGAGGAAATTGAGGGATTTATGGATGGCTGTTTTTCTTGTTTGTTCTACAATATTGCAGTTGTGAAAATCCTAAAAAAAAAAGAAAAGAAGATGGTTTGACACTGCAATGCGGCCATTATCCAACAAGGGTCAGTCCTGGATATCCCCGCCTTCCTGGCAAGGGTCAGTCTGGGATATTCACCCTCTTGGTAAATGGTTTAAAATGAAATTTTAACATTATGTCATCCTTAGTGGTCAGAAACAAAAATTTCTGGTGGGTTGGTTGAAAAAATTATGGGATGGGACGGCTAATTCGGTTAAATTGAATTTATAATCCATCGTTGCAAAACCTATGGCTAATGTTATTGTAGGCCTTTCTTATGATGACATTTCATTATTTTTCTCAGAGACATTTGTTTACTTTTGCATTCATTTTAAAAATGAAGCAATTCAGCTGTAAATGAGAAAGTAAATAACAAAAATGAATATTATAAGCCCCAGGGAACGATTTTTGACTTTTTATTTTTGAAATTCTAAGCCGGATGAGCGAAATATAAAATTGATGTACGGACTACTTTCGAAATGCTATTTTCATAATTCCCTGCTTTTTTCTGGGAAATGATAAACTAAGGAAACGCCTATATCAGAACCAATCAGATCTCATCTAACAACCTCCCGGGTGTCAAATTAGCATGCACGACTTATCTAACCCCGGTAAGTAGGGGACATGTATCGTAGGCCGCGGATCCAATATTTCGTGAAAATTAGATTTTAGCAGGGGTATTATAAATCGCAATTTGCATTTAACAGCACATCCTGTCTTTGTGACCCGTGTTCTCACAGGTGTGACTCACATTTTAGAGAACTTGAACTACCGTTGTGAAAAGTAAAAAAAAAAAATGAAAATGATCTCTCAATAGAAGTACCGCATCTTGTTTTTAAGATTTGTGTATTCTACACTGATTTTTTGTGAAGTTGAAATCAGCTATGCGATATGACCATATTATTAGGTTGTCCCCAGCTTGATTCGCAATATTTCAGTTAAAGACCCAGTGGAAAGCGACAATGGGTTATCCCGGCAGTTTCTCTGATCGATCGTTTTCCCTTGTTACTCTTCTTTGGTGATAAAATCTTTAATTTACAACTATGAATTTCGGTGATACCACGTCGTATACCCTACGCGCAAAGTCTAGTTATAAAATACCGAAGACGAAGCTCTCTTTTAAGAAGCAAAGTCGAACAGATACAAAGGGTATTATACTTTAAAGTTATTTGAAATAACAATTGTCATTTATGTCACCTTGTATATGGATGTCGTATGTCTGAATCTTAGCCAAATAACACATACTTGTATTATTTCACAAGTTAATTTCCGTTAATTAGAGTTGCAATTTGCGTTAATTTGCTAGCTTGATTAAGGCCATTGATACCACTACACGAGGTATGTCCATCAAATCTCTTTATCTCTTCGTCATCCCCAGCTATTCAGTATCCAGGTTTTCTAGAGCAAACCTATATGGGAAGCGGTGTATGCCGCAAGAATCAAGATGCTTCAACATAATTTTGTTTCCCAGGAGAACAATTCTCGAAACATTCTAAACTATGAATTATTTTGTGGCATCTTGATTTCCATTCTAAGCTTGTTCCAACAAACTTCAAATTAGAACTCTTATAACCTCAAGAGTGGACCAATAATCTTCAAAATTCAAAAATCACATAGTTTTTTAATCTTAGTTACAAAATGAACTGCTTTTCTGATTAATTCATGACATACGTGTAGATAGTAAACTTACCTTTTTGTTTCTGTCTTCTGCAGAAAAGCACCAACAACTTACTTTGATATCTCGATGTTCGGTATATTATTTTTCAGTAAATTATTAGTCCCTCGATATTTTAAACACAGTTTTGATTTCACTAATGATGCTGACCTACGGTATAATACATGTCAGCGTCAATCTATCATGTCATCTAATGTTTTTGTTGAATTTTCTCTTCTTTTGTATTGTCCGTGTACTATATGATTATATATATATGGGTCACTGTTTGACGTTTCTTTGACGTGTATTTTTCTGAGGGACGGCCTGTGTTCACAGAATCGTCTCATTTGTCACTTCTGATATTTCGCATCTAGATCTCCTTCAATTAATAGCATGTCTGAAATGTATAGTTCTTCGTTTAATCTAATATTGCTTGATATTTTCTAACCAAGAACCTGTTAACGCTCCTTTTATCCGGACCTCTACTGGAAAATGATTCTGTCCAATTTGCCGTTCATGTGAACGAGCCACCAGTTTTATGTATAACATTCAAATGATTGCTGTGGATTGTTGCGGGTCCATCCCACGATCATGGCTACAGCTCTTCAATTTAATTAATATATACCGGATTAATTTCACCAATGCCATCGTATCAAGTGAAACCTATTCATACCAGACTGTTTAGACTACAGCGCTGGGTATACATTTTTAATACTCCTATAGTGTTCCATCATTGTCAATTTATCAGAGAATATGAAGTAAAGTGAATATGTTTTGACATACCTCTTGTATTTCGTAATACATTTGTATAAATAACCATGGTTACCAGTGTTGCTAGGTTCTACCATTTTCATACCATTTAAATGTCTTTAAGAATTTTGGAAATGGACACGTTCAGATATTTCACATTGCTCAGATATCGCGATATTACTATCGTGAATTTTAGGTATCAGTTATATAAATCTTTTGTTATACTGTCAATAGTTTTACCTCACCATACAATCTATTATTTAAATGGTCTAGATCCGTGTGGTCACCACTATAACAAGTTCATTTTATTTAACAGACCATAGTTCGTAAGAGAGCGGTAACCATACACTTACTTAAACATAAAAGTGGTCATATTTAAAATGAAAAGATAATGGTTTCTGAATGATGAATTAATGGCAGTTTGTTTAAAACGAACTCAATGCAACTTTAGTTTTATTCTTTTAAAAAGCTAATTATCTTTAATTTCTTTTTGTTTCAAGAATGATGTGTAAAATACTCGATTCTGAGCAAACATGGTTAACCACACTGTACCTAATCAGGCGATGCAAAATCTAGTTGGCGATGCGAATTTTGGGTTGAAATTGCTCAAATCGATAGCTATTGAGCTTTTTTTTACTATTGTGATATTTTTTCCAGTATTTTTCTCCGTAAAAACAGTACAGCATTGTACAGGAAGGTCATCAAAGGTCTTGTTACCTTATCGTGTCAAGGGTCCCGTCTGATCCTATAGTCATATAATCAACTTCTACACCATATCCTATAGACTGTGCTATACGAATTGTGATATTTCATAAACTAAGGCATATTCAGGGTACTCAATTAAAAGTCATCCATTTATAGAGGACACCAAATAAAAGGGAAAATTTGTCTATAGTTATATTATTCATTCTTTTACGACGAACTAAACATTCATCCTTGCTCCATAGAAAAGAATTTGAAATTGCTGCTTTATTACAGTTTACAGCCTTCATTCAATATTGTCATTTTAGTGATAAACATTATTTCAGTGAATTCGAAAAAATTAAAAACATTCATCGGATATGTGCTACCTCTAAACAATCGGTGCGGATATCGTCACTTTTCGGATATCCGCACCGCTTGTTTCGAGGTGGCACATATTAGTTTAATGTTTCCCATTTTGTATAAAATCACACAGAAACCTTTCAACTTTTAAAATGCAAATATGATTAGTATCGATGGGTCATCTCGATCACCAATATTGAATGAATGTTGTTTACGCTGTGAAACAGCTGCAATTTCAAATTATTTTCTTTGTAGAGAGTATAAGGCCTATTCACTGTTGATCCGCTCGATTACGCTGGTTATCGAAACGGTTCGTTTCGGAAACAAAATGTTGGAACGTCGAAGGTACGATTTTTCTTCTTCATATCCAGAAAACAGCGGTCATAAATATCAGGAGACCTGTCAACGCTACTGACAATTTCAAAATTATATAATAAGGCCCATTCCCTTACATGTGCCACATAAGTGGCATCGTGGTAATCCACGCCCTCTCCATCTCTATCCTTCTGGATCTGCGATGCAACAGAGAAAGATGCTATGAGTATCAGAATGCATAAGTGGCTAAAATCAAGTTATATTGTTTGTTTTTTTCACTATTGAATTACGCATACTGATAACTGTATTTTATTTACAAGTAGCATACATCTTGTGTATAGGCCAAATACTCTGCTCAAGTTTCACCAGGACTTGCTAGAGCCCATCTTATCAGTAGCGTTGACAGGTTTCCTGATATAGATATTTATCTCGGAAAAGCACAAAACCAGTGCTACAGCATTGATTTCATTCAATGCACCATAAAGTCATGTCTCCTCTTTACAATGGTATATCATTCATTGATGTTTGGTCGTGGTTGGACGAGTAATCATTCCATTTGCAAAGTGGACCAAAATTGGCTTTGGACCAAGTTATAAACATCGCAAAAGTCAGTGTACGGAGCCCGATGCAATACTGCAAGAAAACATAAAACCAACGCTGACTGCATCCTTTTCATTCAATGTACCAAAAAGCCAAATTACTCTTCTTTGCAATGAATATCATTCATCCACAGGGAGTCATGGCTGGCCGAATAATCATTAATTTTGCAAAGTGGGGCAAAATTCAGCTCGGACCCAAGTTTTAAACATTGCAAAACTCAGTACAAGGGGTATAGAGGCTATTGGAAGAAGGTGTGACAGGTGTGGCATAGACAGTAAAGTGTTCATACTCATACTCTTGCAAGAATACATCCTATACCCCTCCAAATTGCCACCACTTCCTTGCACATAAAGATGCGCTCAACTGTCCACGTCATGCATGGTTCAGCCCTGAGTCATCTGTGGGTTAAAGCAGAGAAAAGCAGCCCATGTGAATTCTTTCTCGAGGTTTTGCAATATCTGGTGGAGGAATTGTGAGCACAGATGCTCCTGAGATAGCTCCAAAAGAAAAAGTCGCAGCAATTCAATTCAGGGGAACTTCCATTGGCACTTAGCCATTGCACTGATTTTTGCAATATCTAAAACTTGGTCCGAGGCCGATTTTGACCAACTGTGCAAATGGATGGATTTCTCACCCAATTATTACCACATGTGAATGAATGACATATCATTGCAGAGGAGAGACGTGTGTCGGGAAGCCCAACTGTTCTGGGCTACCCAAGTGTTCTGACACTTGCCCAACTGTTCTGACACTTACTTGCCCAACTGTTCCGAGATCGCTTATTTTATCATATCTTATAATTCACAAGAGAGGGTTCAAAGAATAAAATTTGGGTGAAAAAATGCAAGGATGAAAAAAGAGAGTCCTAAAATGTTGGCTCGTTGAAAGTTTTGACCCACTTCTTAAAAATATGGACAAAGGCCCATTTTCCAAAAATGGAGGTATGTTCCTGAAATTGAGACCCAGCCTAATTATATTGATATATTCTGTCTAAATATTCTGTTGCTCAGGAGTGTCCCATGATACAAACGTCGAACAACCGGGGATTTTACCTTCCCAATGGGTACCCTGTTAGTTTATAGCCCCCCCCCCCTTTATATGAATAAATGGAAAGCCTTTTGTGCACGAGGTAGCCACATTATGAAGTGGTTTCATTAGCTTAATTTCAACAGTCATCTCTGTAGAAACCTAAAATTGATATTAGAAATTGAAAATCACCGTATCGAGTGTACACTGTATTTGATGAAATAAGTAAACCCAGAATACTTGGGCCAAGTCAGAATACTTCGGCAAGAGTCGGAATACTTGTAGCCCAGAACACTTGGAGCTTCACAGACGTGACTGGTACATTGATAAAATTGATGTAGTCATCACTAGTGATTTTACGAGGAACTAATTGTTGCGTTTTTTATACGCCCTGTATAATATGCTGTAAAATATAAGATTTTAAGAAAGAACAAAAATGTCACCCCTGCTGGGACTCGAACCCAGAATCCCCGGTTTAGGAGACCGATGCCTTATCCATTAGGCCACAGGGGCTTTGACGACGCTAAGAAGTGAACATTTAGATTAGTATATACCTAAGTGAAATTACCCGCGTTTAAACATTGAAACTTGTTTTTCATTATGATTTTAGTTTTACCTTCTCAATTATATTATTTTTCATTTTTACGGTGAGCTTGATCTTGCATACTTCTTAGGATTTCTCACTACAATAGTGATTTCTTATATATGATTCCCTCACTTTCGTGTATAGTTTGCATTTAGACAAAATCATCACACATCCGCTTTCTGGTAAAATACATTTCTAACAGATTTCATTGATTATATCCCCATTTGGGCGAACTATGGTTGATTTAGCAGATCCTAAGGGTCCCGTACAAGAGGGTATCGACAATACAATTTTTATTGTCCCTGGAGTTATCGTAGGCATCCTTATAAGTAAGTTTTACTAAATTTATTTTTGAATAATTTTCATGATTTTCTGCACTTGCATAGGTTCAGGCCTACTGCCACCCACTGACTGTACTGGACACGTACCCCCATAAATATGATGTTGATTTTTCTACCCCATGAATGTTATGATGATTTTCAAGTCATTTATGAGTGGCTCAAAGATCTAGAGGTCACAACTAAATGTTGATATTTTTTTAAGGTACATATTTATGTTATATTTTACTTTTTACATGCTATTATTGTATATTCAGTCAAATTTAGACTGTGGTAACAATCATGATTTGCCAGTAGGGTGTGGTGGGAGCTAAATAGAGGGTGGTGCTGCGCCACAGTCTAAAAGCCTGGCGAGGGCCCTGTATCTCATAAAGATCGCTATGAAATGTTAAACTGACTTTTTCTGACAAGTAGCAAAAGCTTTTTCTGAAGTTTTCCAGATTTCCATTTAACTGTATATTTTAAAGGATAGATGGTGCTGACTGTGGCAGTACGCTAAGCTAAAAAGTTAGAGCTAGGTTACTAAGAAGGAAAGTTGTATTGTAAGCAAGGATACCCAAAGAACCCCATGAAGGGCCCAAAAAGATTTGATACAGCTTCCTGTGCTCCGACTCTGGAGTTCAGGCCCTAGATCTTCTATAGGCTTATTAGAATAGTATTTGTAGGTTGATGTTTATCTTCACCTGCAACAGATGTTTTTCTTTTATAGGCTGTCAGCTTCTAGTTGTATGATGTGAATATTTTTAATTTGCAATACATTGAAATGATATATGGAAGATATATCAGAAGTTTTTTATTGTAATACATGTATTTTAAAAGTTATTGTATCAGAACCAGTTTTAAAGGCAGATTTTGAAGTCTTACTTTTCTAGCCTCATTATTTTCCTATTCATTCATTGTTTTTCATTATAGATTTGTGTTCACAAATAAAAAAGAGATAGATTTAGAATGCATTCAACATATCTCAAGTTTGTTACTGATGTCCCCAGCAACTGCATGCTGCTTAGTGAAAATCTGTGAATTTCTTGCATTCTTTTGAAAAATGTTATATTCAGTTGCAAAACAGGATTTAGCCCCCTGTTTAGGGGTGTCCAAGATCACAGTGTATAATATGCATGTCCCTATTGAGATTAGGGATAAATTCAACCTATCTTCATATAGCTTCAGACTAAGATAGAAAATAATTGAGCATAAGTATCAGGCCTGTTTAAATTATTTGAAAATTATCAAATGTGAACCCCCTGATTTTTTAAAAGCCTATGGGATCGACCAGGCGTCCGTTGGTCCTATCATCGCCATTTCGCCAAATTTTCTGTAATTTATACTAGATAGACACTTTGTTGAAGTAGAACTTTCAAATAAATTGTAGTAGTTGCTGTATATGCAACTTATGTCCTCTGAAGATTTCAAAGCTCTTGGAATTACATTTTTTGGTGTTTACTCTATAAAATTTGACAAAAAGTAGGACTTGTCATTTTCAGGAAACTTTCTCATGTATAAAGTCAATGGCAGGTTTTCTGATTGACAAGTTCCTCAAAGTTTGCCTTATACTTGATCATTTCTTGCAATGAATTAAATCATAACTAGATTTAAGCATTCCCTACGTATTGCTCAATATATGTCAGCATCAAATTTTTACCGTTTTTTGAGATATTTGACGTCAAAAAACAGTAAAAATAAGCTATTTATCAACTTGCTTCATTTTGACCAAATTTTTTTTGAAAATCATCTACAAGTTGCCAGGAGTTCAAATCTGACATTAGTTTTAGGATTTGACCTTTACTTGACCTTCAGTGACCTTCGAAAGGAAAAAAATTTGATTTTTCAAAATGATTTTTGGAAGTAAATTTTGGTCAGCTTAATCACAAAGGACCTTACCGAGCTCTGAATAAGTAAAATTTTCAAGGTCAAAGGCCATCAATCTAGGTCACACAACTGTGCTATCTAAGTTTCTTAAAGTTCGAGATATATATTCCTCTGAAGGTTCCAAACTGTGTACGCACAGAACCGTGGGTCCTTTATTTTGAAAAGTAGCCCCTCTTAGCAAAAGCTGTCTAAGGGCCTATAGGTATCGACTCTATAGGTATACTAATCAATTATTTGTCAAGTTAGATGTCTGACTATACGGGATCAATGTAAAGAAAATAATACATTTGTTTTTATGGCTGATGTTGTGCGATTAATTTCCATATAAAAAAGGAGACTACATCATATAACATAACGAAATTTTTTTATTGTATAACAAAACGTGGTGGTGACATATTAAAACCAACAAAAAACTAACAATAACAATAATTTGATATGATACTAAATTATCATTGCGTGGTTGCTGTCTCAACATTATTATTACTTTATTTTTGAAACTGAAACACAAGAACCACTTATTAATTTAGAAAGTATTACCAAAGTAGTTATGTTACAGGTTGATTTGACATCCTGATTGTGTGTCTGATAAAATGTTTCTTGGATTCCACGAATCCAAGTAACTCGATACATATACATGTAGTTTTATTATGTCACCAACAGAAGTGGGGACATATTTTTAAATAGTCTTCAGTATTTTTGTGAAATGTGTTCGGTGGTCAATGTTTGGTTGTTAGTATTCGGTGTCTGTAATAAATGGCAGGTGATGTCATTTTCAATGTTTATGGTTTCATGTTATCCACTCCATTTGATTTGATGAGTATTTTAAATTGGCCAATTTTGGCGAGTTAAAAAAATCACTAAATTAAATTGTCACCAAAATCCCCATTAATATGACATGTTTTTCAATCAGTGCACTTCCGGTTATAAGAAGGATACAAAGATAGCTGGGTTTTCTCTTAAACCAATTATTGAAAACATTCTGTAAAAAAACACGGTCTTTTATGTATGTTGACCGATTGGCAACAATTTAATGCAAAAATTATTTATATATATTTTATGTATTTTTATTTTTATAAATAACTGTTTTTTGTTAACATTTTTTGTTTTTTAGTGCAATTGTTTTTTGTTCTTTTCTACCAATTCTAGAGAATGAAATAAAATGTCTTTCCGAACCTTGTTGGAACAAAATAACATACACAACATTTTCTTAGACCTCTCAATATTATAGTTATATAAAGGAAATTTTGGTTGATTTTTAAGTATGCAAAAACTTAAAACAAAACCCCCCAAAATAGATAAAAATTAAATTCAACCTTTTATTTCATTAACAAGATACTTTTTTAAAATCAACCAAACTTTCCTTTGTACAATTACAATATTGAGAGAGTATATTTAATATATTTCAAATTATATTGTTACCATCCAAAAGATGACCATTAAATTGACGATGTGTAACATTTTCAGAATGTTTTGATGACTGGTTTAAGAGAAACGCGTGTTCAAAAAGTTCACTATATCGATACCACTCCTTTGTAGAAACAACAAAAAATATTGAAGAAAATATAAACAACAATATTGAAGAAATCGTTCATCAACAACACTAACAATGAGTATTTTGAATAGACTAGGTGCGAGTAGAAATAATCTTGATTTACGTCATTAAAAATTCAGTCAAACTGATGTCATATTTCGAATCTACATGTAAAATTACATCTAGAAATGTGGTTTTGATAAGAGTTTATATCAACTTTGAAAATTTAATTTTCTTTGAAAATGTGACTTCTAGGTCGGGGAAATACCCCATAATGTTTGTTGTAAAATCACAAAAAGTGAAATATATTTTCTTGTGTTGGGCAGATAACGTTTTCCTTTACTGGCCATATTTTAATTTGTATAACTATCAGATACATCAGGGTAATATGAAAAGTGACCCACTCAAACTGATGAATATTCAAGTTTAATGGAACTTTGTAATACCCTGCCATGTTATTTCCCCCGAATCAGCCACCTGGTGACGAAACTGGTAACTACCTACTCGCATCTGAGTCATTGGGTTGGATGGGAGGATGTATGGGATATTTGAAAAATCGCCAAAATTAATAAATGCCAATAGACTCCAAAACACAAAATCGCCAAATTAAGAAGCACCAAATTTAAGACTAATACAGTGAAATAATTAATAGTGTACACTACATTACAGTCTGTTTTAAGCATTAAAAAAACAGAATTAAACTTATTTAAGTAATTCACAGAAGAAAATATAAAATATTTTATAAGTACATGTATGATGTTTAATAAGAAGAAATGGACCTGTCTGTCATAGATCTATGTGTTAATTTTAAGTAAACTGTTTGGACGGAAGTGAATTCATTCAATAAATAAAGACATTAAAAGTCACATGTTTTATCGCAAGCTGCTATATTTTTGTCTTGTGCAGATGGGTGAATGGACAGAGGGGCGCCACATAAATCAAATATCATCCTCAAAATTTCAGGAAAATCACCTATCTGTTCAACTTGAAATTTTTACCGATGCAAGAGCAGACGACTAGCGCCAAGATCTGATTAGGTTTTGGCATGCTGGGTAAATTGACCATTTTGCTCTTAAAAGTGTGATATTTATCACTCTGTATCTTGTTTCATCAACTTTTGACTCAGTTTTTTTTCAATTTTTGGGTTGACTCCAGTTCTCTATGAATTGCATTACAATATATTGCTTGACATCGCATCACAATGCATTGCTTGACATCTTTGCATTTACCTCAAAACTGGTGTTTAATTATAGAAATTACATTTAAGTTGTATTTTTACCAGAAGCAGGCTATTTTGTATGAATTTTATGACTTCTGTATGAATTTTTCAAATTTTGATCTCATTTTAGTTTTGTGATTGAAAAATAGTATTCAATATTGAATAACCCCATCACTATTATACAGGTAGTAAATTATCCTTTGGTATATTTCATTAATACAAATGTATAGTTCCTATGTCATCAATCAAAGAATGTAAGAAAGCCTCAAGGTACATGCCCAAGCTCTAATACTAGTATGTATATATTAAAAATTAAAAAAAATTAACCAATTATGACATATGATATTAGTTCATGAATAACCTAGGGTAGTTTCAAAGTTAACTGTTCAAAGTGTTCAATTAATAACATGTAATTAGATGACACATTGTTTATGAGCTAGTGGTATACATATACATACTTATATAGTGCAGTCTTATCATAGTGTGTGCGTGGCTGAAGTTATTAAGGTAAGGTCTGTCATTTTCCCATGTCCCCTGCATAAAGGTTCAAGTTTTTTACAAAATATGTAGATAGCCATAAAAAATATTCATAATTTTTGGTAGAGTTGTCTTAATGCTAGAATTATTCAATATATGTAGGATTATCAGGAGTTAAACATATAATGCCCAAGACTGGAATTAGGATTAAATTTTTCGATAAATTTCAAGTCATAAAAGGGCTACTTCATATTCAACCACGTTCTTTATCACACGCATACAATCAAATGTGTACATACTGATTAAGACCTAGAAAGGTTTCTTCAACTTTTGATCTGCTTTCAACAACATAAAAATTGCTAAACAATTCAATCATTTTTCTGAATATACATATAAATCATGGCTGAATTACCAGATGGTATGCCCAATATTAGTGATGAACAATTGCAGAAGCTTATGGATCAGTTGAAAGAGATGACTGAAGAGGCTGAGGCAGGAGGCAGCATCCCTGGGGGCACACCACCACCCATCGGTCGATCCACATATGGTGTGATGGGCTATGATAATATGTACTTATTCTTCACGGCCATTGTCATTCCAGCTGCTGTCATAGGTAACCATGGTGGTGTAACATATGGTGGTGTTTCAGTAGTTAAGTTTCTTAACAATTTATTGCTTGGCAATGAAATAAAATGTATAAATGGTAATGATTTGGTACACATGCTTACCTGGTTCACATTTTGATCCATAATTAAGAGTTTTATTATTTCCATATATCTACAAAAACTACAATTGACTATTACTAAATATGGTTTTGATAACATGATCCTAATGACGTAAGTTCTTGAAAAAGTTGAAAAAGAATAAAAAAAGGTAATCTACGGGTACAATATCCAAAGGAATAATATACTCTGAGTATGTACAAAGTTGAAATGACATGGAAACCTTCACTTATTGAAAATGGATAATTTATCGTTTGTGTTGATTGTTAATGCTCTCCCCAAGGCAACAACAGATAGTGATGTGACAAAAATGTTGTGATTAATTACTCTGGGGATGTCATCAAGAACTTGAAGTGGGCTAGAAATAATGCATTTGTGGAATATTTCTCTGAATATTTTCTAGACACAGTTGCATGTGTCTATTAAAGAATATTGGAGACATTTAGATGATTTATGGAATGCTTCATCCTCATAGTTTAGACCCCCTCTCTTTGTTGGTAGACTCAAGAAGTATTGATAAAATCCCTCATGTGCTATTCATCTTGTCAAGAAAAACTGCTTGTTGCTTTATCTATACCATCAAACTTTATTTCTATATATGCATTATTACTAAAACTGGGTAGAGACAGTATCAAGAAAATAGCATGGGGAAATCAGTAATGGATGATCTTGAAGATGTTCTTGAAGATGATGTGTTCGAACAAGATGCCTTCTCAGAGGAAACCAGGAATCAGATTAAAGATACAGTTGAGGGACTTAAAAGCATTAAAGAAATGATGAAGAAACTGGAGGATAGCCTCCCAGATTATGATGAAGAAACTATGAAATCATATGCATTTGAAGATCATGAGAGGCCTGGAGGAAAGTGGCCGCTGCTGAAGAGCAGCTTCAGCATAAATCTGGTGGCCTTTCTTTTCCTTGCTTTCTTATTAAGTGAGTTATTCATTAAAGTGAGTTTCATTTGGTGTGCATAGTGAGAATGTTGAACAAAAGATGATTCTGATGTGTATGAATGTACACTGAGAAAATCAGGTGTGATTTGCAACTGGTGCTTCTGGGTTATTGGTTTATTTCTTACATTTACCCCTTATCTAACCTGATACTAGATACAGTTTTTGTTTTCTTTATTTTTTAATTATGTCTTTATTTCAGGTAATTAAATTTATTTCAGGTAGCCTACATCATGAAAAATCAGAAAATGATAACAGAGTGATTTCAATCATTTTATTTACATTGTAATTTGTATGAACTATCTAATGAATTACAAAAGTTTAATTTAGTTTTAACACTGGCTGTCTTAGTTAAGCTTTAGTCCTTTTTTGTCAAACCAAAAGTGATATGCTTATTTAGTAGGCTATATTAATATTTAGAGATCTAACATACTCTGTAGCCTCATCTTAGTTTAGTGGCACATTCTTATTTTTTATTCTGTACATTGTACAGTACAATAAAAGTAAATATTTACAAGTTTTCTATATGCTTTGGAGTAAAGGATAAAGATAAAAGGGCTAGGTTTACTCTATGATTATAGTATAAACTCTTTGGTTTATTAAGCTGTGCTTTAAAATCATTAAATACTTAAAATATTAAATACTTAAATATATGTTATGTGTTTCCAGGTTTCTTCCTCTACAAATTGGTATCTAGTCTACGAGAGAAAGAGCGTCAGAAAGAGGAGAAACGTGCCATGAAACAACAGAGAAAAGAGAAAGAGGCTGCCAGGAGAGGAGGCAACAAGAAATCTCGATAATGTTAAGACTTAAACATTTAGGAAATTCATTCACCGCAATTACCAACCGAAGATGTATATTTACTTACTGAGGAACATGTACTCATATCATATAGACAGATAGATAAGCACCATATGGTGTATATTAATATATTTCATGAATGTAAATTTAACTTATTCCATTATATATAGATGGCATCATTGTAAAAATCAACCATGTGCATTGTAACGTGTAAATGTAGACTTGTTGGTGTATTTAATTGAAGGAGTGCAATACTTCAGTATAAAAACCAATCAACAATCGACAATAGGACCCGTATGATATAAGAATACAAGTATGTAGCACCCAATGACTGTGAAACTGCTATAGAGTATGGAAACATGAGCAGATTGAACAGATCATCATAACTCGCACATTAACATATTTACGCACACTGACGATGCAATTGTGTACTAGGAGAGAAACTTGGACATTGCATTTGAGTAATTCATGACTACTACGGAGGTTACAGTAAAAAATAAAAAGCATCTAAATTTAAGATCTTGTATCAGAAAATTACTAATACAATATTGTATCGTTGCAATGCAAAAATGTACAGTTGTGTATTTGGACAAATCTCGTATTACTTAATAATATAAAATGGCATCTCATTGTTTTTAAGATTTTATATTCCAAAATTAGATAATGATGAAGTACTGCAATTTAGGATTTATTTAGTAATATATTTCTACAGTGTAAAATGGCGATCCCCATGACATGCATAAATGGTGTCCTGTATTGAAGCTAAAAAATCAAAATTCACAATTCCTGAAATTCAATGGGACTAGAAAAGAGAGAAGCTGAAAGTAGGTTTCAGTAAAGATGTCTGTATCTTTAGTTAATCATATAAGAAACTAATATCATGAAATATTTAGTACAATACATTTATTCATTATGAGTTTCTTTCTGAGTTATTTCTAAATAATACTGCTAAATCTTGTCTAAGAATATTCAACAGGCTTAATTTGTAAATGACCATGATAGTAAATTCTAAAGATTTTAATTACATTTTAACTGCATAATTTATCACTTGTAATAAAACAGTACTCAAAGAAGATGAAATGGGTAGTTTTTGAAAAACAACATAAATATTGTAACTTTAATTGTGAATTTAATAGACGCACAAGGGTTGTGTAGATGTAATTAAACAGCTATAACGAGAAGTTGTATATGGGCATCTTGAATAATATAAGATCATTCCAATAAGGGCAGAATAGGGGCCACACTTTCTAATGATATAAAGCATTCGGTTGCATCTTTCTGTGTAGGTCTAATTTATTATGGAATAATTGCATTATTTTTAATGCCATTTTTCTTATGGTGGTTTAAGATTTTGCTGATTTTTAAATAATACTAAGGGGAAACGTGAGACTGGGAATTTAATTTATTGACAAAGATTAGATAAAACCAATGAAATTCTGCTGTTGCAATATGACAACAATACACAAAACCCAACGTGTAACAAAATTCAAACTAATCAATTACCAATCATTATAATGTTCCGAATTATATATGTGATATATTTTTTCAAAGCATAAGTAGATATTATTTGAGAAGTAAGAATGGAAATTTTCTTCATATTTTTCTTTTTGTCTTTATTTTACTTTTTAGTTTGTTGTAACGTTTAGTATGCAATGAAGTTTTAATATGGGTTTTATCTCCTATGAAGTTACAATATGATACTAAGAGATAGACTCCAGCATTTGTAGTCATATATATGTATCTCCCTAAGGATAAACACCATATCCAAACCTGACCATTAACATTACAAATCTAATCTATCATTCTAAAGTTAAGTAAAACAATTATTTCAAAATTTTAAATTGTGTGAATTGGTGTGTACACAAATGTAACATTGACATTGTTATAGCTGTATGATTGAATAATTGGTTTTACTGAATATTCAATGTAATGATTGTCCATTATATTAATAATAAAATAAATATGTACCAGTTTTAATTCTGTTATGCATTTTTTATTGGCACCTGAATGAGGAATTCCTTAGTTCAAGTTCAGCCATTTATAATCTAATAAATGAGAATCACGGAACATTTGGAACTACAATAAAGTCTGTATATCTGAACACCTCTCTAATCTGAACACCCTTTATTGAGAATAGAATACGTTTTCCTTGGCTACCATGTTAAAAAACCTGATTTTTCAAAAATAAGACCACAGAGCATAAAAATGTTAACAGGTTAATACCATTATTGGTAGAAAGCCCTGGATTTACGTAGCATTTGCCTATGCCTTTTTTCAAAATTAATGCCACAAAGTACATAATTCAACAGAGGATTTTGAGTAGACGTTGCTCTTGACCATGGTGTAAGGTCGTTATTCACCTGTCTGGATGATATGAGGAATATCCCTCTGATGATATCAATATATCCCCATGTCACTGCGTTCCCTCAGAAAATATTGATATCATCCTTGTGATATTCCCCATATCAAATCACTCCTGATGAATAACTTCTTTTTATCCAATGAAATTATTATTATTAAAAAGTATTCTAATAAATTGCTTTTGTAATCTATGGATTTTCATAAGATATGAAGGTGGAACATTTCCCCAGATTATAATATTGTAGTTGATATAAGAATGAATGAGGGAATTATATATTGTTTTTAGGGCTTTGAAATCTAAGTTATGTTTCACTCTATGAACTACTGCAAGAGTCTTGGAGATTTTTGTTTTAGCATGCCTTATATGAGGTTTCCAAGAGAAATATTCATCTATAAGAACTCCAAGAAAATTACTAACATCAGTCCTTTGCAAGACAGTGTTGTTCATGGATATTTTAATTTTGTCATAATCAATGACTTTTTGAGGAGGTTTAAAAACAAGATAATTAGTTTTAGAAGGGTTAAGAGAAAGCTTGTTGCATTTGAACCATTCACTTATTATAGAAAGTTCATGATTTATGGTCAAGTTAAGTTGTTCAAGATCTTTACCAGAAATAATATATTTGTATCATCTGCATATAAAAACATTTCAGCAGCATTAGAGGACTTTATTTATTATATATATCATTACTATAGACTGAGACTAACATAAAAAAAAATTTAAATTTTATATTAGTCTCAGCTATAGATAATAATAAAAAGGAGGGAACCTAAAATTTTCCTTGAGGCACTCCAAAAGACAAAGAATTAGTGATGGAGGAAAAAGTACCGTCAATTTCAACAACTTGTGTTCTGTTTGAGAGGTAACTTTTGAACCAATCGAATTCCATAATGCTCTAATTTTTGTAACGAAATATCGTGATTTAAAGTATCAAATGCTTTGGATAGGTCACACATAATCCCAATACAATATCACTTATCTTCCATTGCCCTTCTTACAGATTCAACATATTTTAAGACTGCCATGAATGTAGAGCTATCTTTTTTGAAGCCATATTGATGAGCATAAAGAATATTTTGTCTTTCTAAAAAATCTACAATTCTAGTGGCCATGCATTTTTCATAAAGTTTTGAAAATACAAATAAAAGAGAAATTGGTCTATAATGAGTAACAAGCCATAGGGTGAACAGAATCGCACCCTTGAACAGAATACACTTTTCGGGATGGAAAATTCAAAATGGCCACCTTAACATTTACCCAGACTGCCTAAAAACTAATCAGTTCTAAACTTTCCATAGAAACATCTCTAAAATATCAGGATGAATCCATGAAACCCTCAAGAGACACGTTTTAAGGTATTACTTCACAGTGTATCAGCTTTTTGTCTACAATTCAGATTTTCCTGAAAAAAATCCTGGTAAAAGATATACTGATGTATTAAAATATGTGAAAATTGGAAAGATTGATCATTTAGTTATTTCTAAAAAAATGTTTTAATTTAACATTGCTCTCAATGGGAAATTCTTTTCTATTTTTTGAAACAAGCCTTTTAGGACAAAAATCCAAAATGGCCGCCTTAACATTTACCAAGAACGCCAAAAAACTAATCAGTTCTAAACTTTTATAGGTAGAAACATCCCTGAAAATTTCAAATGAAAATCCCTCAAAAGGTTTGGCTGAAACCTTGACAGACAAGATTTTAGGATGGAAAATCCAAAATGGCCGTCTTAACATTTATCCAGAATGTTGAAAAACTAATCAGTTCTAAACTTTCATAGGTCGAAACATCCCTGAGAATTTCAAATGAATCCCTCAAATGGTTTGGCTGGAAACCTGTAGACAAGCCTTGACAGACAAGATTTTAGGACGGAAAATCCAAAATGGCCGCCTTAACATTTACCCAGAATGCCGAAAAACTAATCAGTTCTAGACTTTCATAGGTAGAAACATCCCTGAGAATTTCAAATGAATCCCTCAAACGGTTTAGCTGGAAACCTGTAGACAAGCCTTTGACAGACATTAAGATTTTAGGATGGAAAATCCAAAATGGCCGCCTTAACATTTACCTAGAATGCCGAATAACTAATCACTTCTAAACTTTCATAGGTAGAAACATCCCTGAGAATTTCAAATGAATCCCTCAAACAGTTTGGCTGGAAACCTATAGACAAGATTATTCGGGACGCCTGCCCGCCCGCCCAACCGCCAAGCAAACTGATTACAATATAGCACCTTAGGGTGCGATAAAAACGTCCATCCTGTCTTTTTTATGGATAGATTTCACTTTGGCAAATTTTAAATCATCAGGGAAAAACCATGGTAGAAAGATAAGTTGAGGGTACTGTTCAGGTACTGTTCAGGAAAGGCATACTACTTTGATTTCTTATGTCTGTTGGATTTAGCTTTCTTTAAGCATGTTCTTATAATTTCGTCTTTAGTAAGTTTTAAATGACATCTCGAGTACATCAATGAAACCTTTTGACCCTCTGAAACATTACGAGTCCTTAAGAGTAGCCAATTTTGGGGTTTAACACATTTCTGAGTGATTCAAAGATCACCATGGATACGGCCACATGCAACACGCATGTTTCAGAGGGTCCAAAGGAACATTTTAACAAATTTTTCATTGATGCACTCGAGATGTCATTCCACCTAACTTTGGGGGCATTTCAAAAGGCACCCCCTTGTGGTAGCCCCAAATCTGCCACTTAAAAGTTACCTTTTTGGGAATGTTAGACCCACATCTACTAATTACAGCCCTCAACCCTTTTTGTACTCGAGATGTCTTATAAATGTTTGCTAGCTAGAGTATAAGATAAGTATTCCATTTATTTAAGATACACAAAAACTACACAGCCATCTTCGTTTTATTACCTACTTTTTATATGCATTTTGAGACAAAGCACTATAAAGTGTAGAAAAAACTTGGGCACTAATCAGATCTCATGAGTTATCATGAGTTTGCTCAGCGGTGTGTCTTTACGTTCATAGGTCTAATAGGTAAAGGACTATGTGTAATGGTGATTCGAAGAATGATCAGCTCAACGCGATGGCAAATAGGCCTATTACAGTTCCATGATGTCTGATTAGTACCCGTGATACGTGTCATATTCAGAAATATGAAAAATCAGAAATAAGTACAGTAATCATAATTGGTCTTGAGTTATCATAATTGCATTGCTTAAACATCCCCAATATTTTAAATAACTACATATACCAACATATACATGGATATTACTTCCTACATGTACAGCACAGAGCCAGAATGCAAACATAACTGAGGTTGAGATGGGTATTTACCCAAGGATAAACCCCATATCAAACCTGTCCATTGACCATTACCAATGCTGTATGCAGACCCATATAAAGAAAATAGACTAATTTTATCATAAAACAGTCTTCAGTCTCTTGTTTAATGGGAGCACAATTGCCCTGTTACTAAAACTGATACTGTGCATGTAAAAGTACCATGTAAAGTATTATAAACTCCACAAAAATCCATTATTCAGTCTGATACACATGATGAATACACACTTACAAATACCTGATTATAACTCTTGTATAGAAATAAATAATACGATAAAATAAATATATTTTTTTAAATGCATTACTAATTAAAATCTTGTAGTAGCCATAAACTCTGCCTTCAAAAGACCATGTGCAGTATGGCAAGTGATTTTAGACGGTTGTATCTTTCACCATGAGTACTTTCTGCGCATAAATACAATGGTTTTTATTAAAACAATATGTTTTCTTTCTTGTGAAGTTTCCATGATAATATAAATATCACTCGAACAATTCGAAAAATTATGAAAAGGGACCCCATGTCAACATTTTTTTTCAAAATATTGAACCAATTTACTCAAAAGAGGATCTTCTTTTTTGATTTTTATTGCATGAAAATATTATTCAACAAGGGGTCTAAAACACCTTCAAAAATTGAATGGTATTGAACGTCTAGTTTTGAAGATATCAATTTTCGATGACCAAAATTATGCTGAAAACAATGGATAGCACGAGTTTTCCCTATGGGAAAATAACATGGGATATGGGTTTTTTAACTTTAACACATTTCAATACCCATCCCCTTTTCAGAAATTGTTAAAATAGTGACGAGGAGACCTTCGATATGTTTAAATTGAGAAAAACAAGATCCTCTTTTTAGAAAATAAGCCTAACATTTTTTAAAAAGTCCCAAGGTGGGGCCCTTATCCATAATTTTTCAGAGAGTTGGATTGATATTTTACCATAATGGGGACTTCAAAAACATATTGTTTTAACAAAAATCAATGTATTTATGGCCAGAAAGTACTCGTGGTGAAAGATATGACTGTTTAAAATCACTTGCCATACTGCACATGGACCTTTAAAAGAGAAATATAGGAATGACAAGTAGAAGAGCTTTGTGTGTGATAATTAAGAAGTAAAATACAATCATCAATATCTATATGTCAAAATGGTGGCAACACCAGCCACTGTGACATCATCATCATGCGAGAAACAAGCTAGTTTTTGTTTTATTTTTAGTTAATTTAAGAAAATCGAGCAATGAATTTCACTTAGTTCATTCAGCACCTTTATTATCAAGGTACAGTGGAAACTGTACAGTGGAACACCTCTCTAAGTGGAACACTACGTAAGTGGAACACTTTTTTGTGCTCTCAAAGGCGTTCCACATACACAGGTTCTACTGTATATGTAACCACTATATAAATGGCATTATTCATTGATTATTGATTTGCTCAGCAAATAGGAACATATAATTCAAGCCACGTTTCACAAAACTACAAAGTTGTCTGTAAACAAATTCATGTTTTCATAAAATAGTTATCATACATTTTTCACACACTTATTTGTAAAGAAGTAAAATTAAAGAAGTAAAATTAAGTGTATCACTTCGAGTAGATGCCTACATAAAATATCAGTAATTAGAAATACAGCGAAATCTGTAAAGTGGAATACGTCTAGAAGTGGAACCCCTCTTGAAGTGAAACACCTATGTTAGTGGAACACTTTTCAGAGTCCCAAAACCAACTGACTTATTCATGTTAAATGAACCTCTATAAGTTGAACACCTCACAAGTAGAACACTTTTAAAGATACCAAATGTGTTCCACTTAGACAGGTACCAAATGTGTTCCACTTAGAGAGGTTTTACTGTAATCTAATTGTCTAACACTATAATACTGTTCAATATTGGTTATAACATTACAGTAAGTCATATAAGCTAATAAAAGAGTCTCTAGAATTTGAAATTATTAAGTACATTTCTAAACTGATTACAAATTTGGCGCATCACATTAAAAGCTTTAAATTTTCATAACATTGGAACAGTAAATATTTGTTCAGATTGCAAATAGGCCCTACTGTATAAAGTAATATAAGATGTCTTACATTTCGTCTTCTAAGAACACCTTTTTTAGCTAATGACTAAGTCAATATTTTATGTGGTAATGCGATAATAATCGTTGCAAAATTGATCTATGCAAAACCTTTTACTAGAACCACTAAACCATAAATAGCAGCCCAGACAGAAATGTTCAGATGTCAGGGGTAAATTTTTCCTTTATTTTATAATTTTTTAAAATAAACAGTATTACTGTTATCAATATCACTGACAAACAATTAAATAATATTAGGTTGTAAGAACATTTTCAAAAGTAACACTAAACAAAATTTCCCATTTTTCATTTAAGAATCTCTTAAATGACAATCATTGTATTGATTGTACAATCATTTAAAAGTGAATGTTACTATCTATATTTTAGGAATTTTACAATTCTTGTATGATATGTTATTATAGAAAGATTGACCCCTTATCAGTCTCGTTTGGGCTACTATGTAATAAGCTCAGGCTTTGAATAATTGGAAAAGATGTAATCTCACCCTCAATATATATATTTCAGTTTTCACTCATAAATTCCAATTTCTTAGTATTTCTACAAGGAGGATTGGCTCCCAGAATCGAAGTCGTTATTTTCCAGCAATGAAAACTCCAAAATGTCATTATTTTCTGAAATTATAACCGATTATAAATTCAACATTTTTCGTTTGGAAATAAGACCAAATGCACAATTCAAATGTTGAACTGAACAAAATGCACGACATCCCCATATATGGGACAGAATATTGATGTTGCACTCTGGGAGCCAATTCTCCTTGGTATTTCTAAGTATATTGCAGTCCCTCCTTTCTACACCCTTTTCTATATGTAAAGATAAATTCTTAAAAAACTGTTTAATGGATAAGTACTGATGATATAGGTAGTTCAGTCAATCATCGATGTCCATCAAATGAAAATGTTTGAAACACCTTGGTCACTGTGTCTGATTGCTGAATCAACAAAAATTGATTTCAAAATAAAACGTATGGCACGTGGCTTCACCAAGCAAAATCAATTACTGTATTTCTTAAACATTTGAAGCTATTTAAATAGGTATTTGATCATTTTCTGAAGATTAGATCCTATTTATTCTGACAAATTTTTCTGACATGAGGTACACTTTACTGAACCCAAACTTTTTGATCAGAATGGTAAATGTATTACTGACATGAATAATACATTTTTAGGTTATGTTGGAAATCCCAGACGATCTTTATTATAACTGTAGTGTTACTGTAAACACCTCATATTCCTGGGGATTCGATGAAATTTAAATGAGCAAATTTTGAAAATCTGCGAAAATAGAAACAAGCACCAAATTAAGAACAAATACAGTATATTGATGAACATCCTTAAATATTTTGATTAATCTCAACCTTTTAAAATGGATAATATTAATACTGTAGAAATAATATGAAAACTTATTATGCAATACTTTGTACATAATATATGAATCTCATTAAACTATATCTACCAGTAGACTGCATTGCTAATCTTGTATACATACAAAAAATAGTTTCTGTAAAATTAACATGTAAGCCAGATAAACAATCATTACAATAACAACAGACATTTATGAAAAATTCAAAATATTATCAAGTTTACTGAAACATTTGTTCTTGAGAGATCTGCATCTCTAATATAATTATTTCAATTGCATTTCAATCTATCACAGGCCTAGATACTGTATAGCTTTTAGTTTTAAAACACACATCATCACAATAAAGTCCTACATTCATGCCAGGAAAATCATGTCGACCATTTTGTCAGTCTTGTAACTGAGCTCACATCTGGCCATCTTCCAGAGCTGTATGCAGGACTTATAAAACGAGTTGGGTTTTTCATCAAGCACATTATACGATAAAACCTGATCAACTATTAATTTAGTGTCAGTATACCTTAATCTGACACCTACTAAAATCTTGGATGAAAACACATTCAACTAAAATAGTTCAATAAAACAAGTTGAAATCAAATAAAATGTAATTTAAAAGGCATAAAAATTAAATTAAAGATTGATTTTACCCAGTAGGATACATGAAAAATCCCATACACTTCTTACAACAATCTATCTAAAATGCATACCAGCTTCGGGTATTAAGTGGATTGTTTCCTCATATATTGGGAAAATGTCAATGATTCAGCAAAATATCTTGCATGATCTTGCATCTGAAAAGCTCTGCCTCCATCTTCCAATCGAGTAAAATGTCACAATGACAACAAATATATTATGCTTTTGATTGTTAAAAATTTGTGCATTATTAAAATACTTCCTCTGTTCAGGATATTATATGTGCATGGTGAACTTTTTTTTATAGCTATTTGACTAAAACAGAAAAAATGTTATTTTGACTCCTGCATTAATTGGTACCATTCTCCACAGTCTTGGTACTATTGCTGGCACTGGTGGTACCATTGGTGGCACTACTTGGCTCAAATAATTCCCTCATTTCCTTCAATGTCTCATTTAGTAGATTGGTAAACCTGAAACATTCAAAGTATGTTAGTTAGACGAAGCAGGGATACCAAGCTTCTAATTCAGCATTCTAAGTTGACCATAGTATAAGTTATTGAATGATTTAAAGTGCAATACAGGATATATTCTGCTAGAGATATTCCGTATTGGGACGAGACAAAGTCAAGTGCCAATACAGAATATCGAGAGAAAGGGTCAGCGTGGTATATTTGAAATGATTTATTACCCGGGCTGTCACATGCACCACTTTGGGGCGGGGCTGCTAAACAGTTATTTAGTCTATACTAGGCAGAGGGTAGTTTATAACTAGACTCTGCGCACAGGGTATAGCTCTGGTGACCACACAGATAATTAAACTCAGACAGATTTTATTGATAAACTTATCTTAATACTGTTCATATCTCAGCAGATGAAATCTTCAAAATACAAAAATTACATATTCTATAGTCTATACCTGAGAGCATTTTAAAAAGTAACTAATACAATTTGGGCAGATTTTATTGATAAACCTATCTTCAACATCATTCACTCTGCAGATGAAATCTTCAAAACATAAAAATTACATTATCTTATTTACCTGAGAGCATTTGTTTTTCCACTGGATCCTTTACAAGAGACATGAAAGAATATCTTCTGGTTGCCAGGGATCATATACGAGACACCATAACCATCATCAGAGACAGGCCCAAATCCCCCACCGGGAGAAACCTGGAAACAAAGCACTCAATTAAAATATGCTACAATATACGAGACACCATAACCATCATCAGAGACAGGCCCAAATTCCCCACCAGGAGAAACCTAGAAACAAAGCACTCAATTAAAATATGCTACAATATACGAGACACCATAACCATCATCAGAGACAGGCCCAAATCCCCCACCAGGAGAAAGAAACCTGGAAACAAAGCACTCAATTAAAATATGCTACAATATACGAGACACCATAACCATCATCAGAGACAGGCCCAAATCCCCCACCAGGAGAAACCTGGAAACAAAGCACTCAATAAAAATATGCTACAATATACGAGACACCACAACCATCATCAGAGACAGGCCCAAATCCCCCACCAGGAGAAACCTGGAAACAAAGCACTCAATTAAAATATGCTACAATATACGAGACACCATAACCATCATCAGAGACAGGCCCAAATCCCCCACCAGGAGAAACCTGGAAACAAAGCACTCAGTTAAAATATGCTACAATATACGAGACACCATAACCATCATCAGAGACAGGCCCAAATCCCCCACCAGGAGAAACCTAGAAACAAAGCACTCAATTAAAATATGCTACAATATACGAGACACCATAACCATCATCAGAGACAGGCCCAAATCCCCCACCAGGAGAAACCTAGAAACAAAGCACTCAATTAAAATATGCTACAATATTCTATTGAAATTGAAGAGTTATTAATATGAAATGCTACCTTTATCTGACACATCAATTAATAATGTACCCATACCTAGGCTTGATATATCAGATTCCAGACAATCAGAACACATTATATAACAAGGCATTAACATGCAAAATGTCACCATCTGCCATTTGTTACTGACATACGCAGCCAATATAATTCGGCGCCGTTTCGGCATCGAAAAAATTTGGAGCTGTTCCGGCACCGTTTCGACACTGAAACCTTTCGACACCAAAATTTACCACCGACTACTCAGTCCACCGGAATTTGGCAACGAAACGGCGTCGAAAATCAGATTGCATTTTGGGGGTGTAGAACGTCATGACCATAATGTTTAATCAACAAAATATTATTGTTTTTAGATTCACTGAAATTACCCTTTTATTGATTTTATCTCAAATTGGCTATTCTGTTCTCCTCCCTGCTATCATACATCCACACTATGATCATATGAATGATCTAACTGTTGTTATTTCTTATATTTTTATATTATGTAACAAATACTACAGGGCGTCAAATAAGTCTGTTCTTCCCCCTTAACTTTTTTAATTCAGGGATAACATAGGGTTGGTATATAGCATCTTAAAGGGAATTCAATTTGCTGATCACACACCAAATCTCAGAGTGATTGGTTTAATCCCCAATTTTTTAGAGTACAGTAAAACCTGTCTAATCCGAACACCCATAGGACCAGCCAAAAGCGTTCAAATTGGCAGGTGTTCAAATTTCGAGGATATTGTTGGTCGGGGGGAGGGGGGGGATTTTCATTGTTCAGTCCACTATATTGAACACTTAATACTTAGTCAGAAAACAATACATGTTATTGATGAGTTTATTCTACAATAGGCCTATAGCCTACATGTATATGCTATGTTTTATTAACATTTTGAACAATTTCATTATTTTTGGAAAAATAACTCTTTAATTTTGGCGAAACTTTGTAATACACTGAATACGTATGATAGTCTTGTACAAAATCTTATGCTCATTAAATGACTTATCTCATATTATGGTTACATAACACTGCTACTTTAGCTTGAAAAAGTTCTTCATTGTTTTTTGTTTCTTGGCACTTTTAGCATTAGCAATATTTGAGTAGATATCCTCTTCTATTAAAAAGAATTTTTCATGAGTGCTCATTCGAGATGATGTATAATCTTTCAAAATATCAAGGGCATTCAGGATGTCAGATGTATATGCCTTTTTAGGAGGCATTTTAGTGATAGGATATTACGAAGTTGAATTTTTTCTCTTTCTCGTGATATAATCTTGTCTGCAAATGTGTCTGTGTTGTCTTTGTGATTATAAAACATTTACTGATTGAACCCTAGCTATCATAACAGACCCATGGGATATAAAACAGTTAAGACTTGTTCATAATCCAAATCAAAAACATCCAGTTAATTTAAAATAAGGATAAACCAATTAACTCCAAGATTCTCACCTTTCTCTTAATCCAATTCAAAAACATCCAGGTAATTTCTAACAATGATAAAACAAATATAATCTTGTCTGCAAATGTGTCTGTGTTGTCTCTGTGATTATAAAACATTAACTGATTGACTCCTAGCTATCATAACGGACCCATGGGATATAAAACAGTTAAGACTTGTTCATAATCCAAATCAAAAATATCCAGTTAATTTAAAATAAGGATAAACCAATTATCTCCCAGATTCTCACCTTTCTCTTAATCCAAATCAAAAACATCCAGGTAATTTCTAATAATGATAAAACAATTATAATCTTGTCTGCAAATGTGTCTGTGTTGTCTCTGTGATTATAAAACATTTACTGATTGAATCCTAGCTATCATAACAGACCCATGGGATATAAAACAGTTAAGACTTGTTCACAATCCAAATCAAAAACATCCAGTTAATTCAAAATAAGGATAAACCAATTATCTTCTTGATTCACACCTTTCTCTCAATCCAAACATAAAACATTCAGTTATTTTCTAATAGGATAAACCAATTAACTCCCATATTCGCACCTTTCCTGTTGTTTTCCACAATTAGGGATGTCATTGAGACTTAAATAAGTTAATTAGGACAATATTGGTTCTTTGATTACATTGCATATGTAAAGATAATAAGAACTATAACATTGACTCAATATGTGGCTATAATTGAAATGTCCAGACATTTGATTTCTGATAAAATGTTCAGATTAGACAGGTCAGTTTTTCATATCTGGTTGTTCACTGTTCAGATTAGGAGGTGTTCAGATTTCAAGGTTCTATTAACATGGGAGTCAATGGGAGGAAAAAATGGGACCGAAAAAAAGTGTTCAAATTGGAAGGTGTTCGGATTAGCCAGGTGTTCAGATATACAGGTTCTACTGTATTTTTAGTGATGTCCATATTTCACCTTTTTATTAGTCTGTATGTCTCCCCAAGCAGCCCAGATGGCCTCAATTCTACGAGGATATGATCCTGTATAAATCATTCAGAACGTTTAATTTAAGGTGTTATCAACTATTTTGTGATGAAAGATGCCCCTGCTTCAAAGGCTCCCCTGAATGTTACTCTGTAATGATATTGAGAAACATTGAAATCACCCAATGTTGGCATTGTCACTGCAGTATCAACTTTTCACTTTTCATTCACTATTATCTGGTAATTTTACTTTGACATAATCAAAGGTCAACTACAACCTTACAAGAAACAGTGTAGCAATTTTATTAGGAGGAGTTTATGATTGATTTTTTGAGAGTGATCAGCATTTTCCATGAGCTTCAAAATGATATATGGGAAAGTATGATGAATTTAAAGGTAAAAAGTTAAGGGGGGAGAACAGACTTACTTGACACCCTGTATAACACATTAATTTGTTACTTTTAAATAAAAATTGTTTATTCAAGCTCAAGACTTGATACTGTGTATGTGCTATGTATCACTCATTAATTTATGCTAGCCTTAAACTTTCTTCGACCACCAGTCTCGATTCAAGATAAGTAATCATTAACAAACAAAGCATTAAGTCTGGGGATTAAATACTGTACTTCGGGTATTGTGCATGCGATTTAATTTCGCTTTGTTCGCAAATGTAGTATAAAATCGCGAACATTTATTGTCGCGAAATTTGTCTTTTAAATCCCCGAGGATTTGACCCGGGACTTTTGATATGTTTCGTTCGGTGTGTCTTCAATTTTATATCAACAATTGATGTACTTGCTAAGCTCATGCATATGTAAAAGGCATGTAAGTATATTAATATTATCAATATGATATAATATTATACAATATAATAATATTATCAATATCAATTTTATATCAACAATTGATGTATTTGCTAAGCTCATGCATTATGTAAAAAGGAATGTAAGTATATTAATATTATCAATATGGAGTTTACAGAGCTGGAGGAAAAAATTCAACTTGTGCAATCCGCGAAATGTCATCAACTAAAATCCGCGAAATTAAATAGTCGCGAAATTGCAATTTTGAAAAATCGCGAAATTTTATAGCATCAAAATTTACCAGGAGTACAGTACTCAAATCAAGGAAGATGTAAAAATGCATGACAACATCATCCCTACTCATATTAAATCCAATTTCTGACTTACCATATTTTTGAACCTAGGGAGGTCACAGCTGGGGGTGTTGATCATCTGTTGCTGTGGTTGCTGAGATGTTGACAGAGTCCAAGGGATAGTGAGGGCTGTCTTTAGGAAGTCACTTTCCTGTACATAGAACATGAAGGCATTCACATATGGGATAGAATCAGCAGAATTATATGAACCTTTAATGATTAAAGAATACACAGCTGTATGAGAGGACTTTGGCAATAATGTCTTGTCCAATCCTTTTCGTTAAATTAAAACCACTATAAATCATTTTACTGTAAGATCATGGAATGAAAACATAGACAAATAAAATATTCTTAATTAATTACATAACAATAGTCTTAATTACAAAATGTACAATTATAAATTCTTTGGGCCTTGGTCGATGAATATGTTACCTTGCCCATGCCTTTACAGACTACAAATAGACCAAATAGATGGCGATCTATGCCACCACCACACATGGCGTCACGGTAGAGTTTTTGGTGCTTCACACAGGCCCGCTGCAACAGCTTGATCTTCTCCTCTGATGTCTTCTGTTTGTCAACCATGGCTCTGGTAAAGCATAATAAGAAGTCAGAGAATGTACTAGTATTTGACTTGTATTATGTGAAGACATTGAGATGTTGTGAATTGTACAAGCAGTGACCTCCTCAGGATTTTTTCTCACAATTCAGACCAAAATTGGTCAAAATATATCAATTTTTTATGAATTTTCTCATTTTCAAGTGGGTGCAAATGGCTTTTCAGGTGGGTGCAAGCCTATTTTCAAAATCTCAGGTGGGTGCTGCGCCCACTTGCTGTAATGCTGGGGAGATCACTGACAAGTGTATATGCTTTGTTAAGAATGCTTAATGGTCTCACTTGAAATCATACATGTAGGGTATGTAGGGATACCAGACTTACATCAATTGATTGGACTGTATGAATGATATGTGTATTATTTATTTTATGATTTAATTTTTGCCAGAAAATAAAAATATAGAACTATTACATAAGGTTTTACATAAATTATTAAATTTATGTTTGGTTTATTGTATACCATTTTATAGTTAACATCATGGAATGTATTCTAAATAAACTTCTCCATAACAAATTGAGACAAGCTAAACTTTCCTATGATATCGTTTCCTTTCAAACAACTTACTTGACAAAATCTTGAGACTCTACTGTCAGGGAACGAACAGTTTCTGTGCGTCCTAATAGATATAGACGTGTCATGGAGGATTCATAGACCAATACAAATTTCCCAGAATCCTTATAGTAAGCCAACTGAAGCGCCATCTGAACAAATGCATCTGGGCTGACCTTAAATAATGCCGGTAAAAGATGTAATTTACAATCGAAAAAATAAGAAGAGAAAAATCGATTTGACAAACAATCCCCATTGCATACTCGAACATTTTTGTTGAGAAAAAAACAATGAAATGTATTTTTAATCAATATTGGTTATTTATGAGTTTATATTGGTTACTCACCTTGCATTTTTTAATGAAACCTTTTCCATAAGCATCATGGTCAGAAACAACCAGTTCCAGGTCATCATTATTCTAAAAACAAGAAGCAACAAGGCATTAACATGCAAAGTGTTACCACCTGCCATTTGTTACAGATGCCAACTGACAAACAACAACCACCATCCACAAAAAGTTGGAGACTATAACTGAATATAAATGAGGATTCTTATATCAAATACATTTTATATGTCATTTGAAGAATGTATTCTTTACTTTATTGCTATTTTTACTGTTATTGAAAATTGTATGTTGGATGTACGTTTGGCCCTAAAGGGCATCAGTACTAATAAAATCCTGTTATATACATAGATTCTTTGTTTTGCGTCCCCTTGCTTGCACGATTTTGAGTAAATCAGAAAAAACAAACACATCCAAATAGCAATCACAAGGGTCTGAAAGTACCATCGCATTTCGTTCAATCAGAATCAGAAGAAATGGCAGATAATTTGATGTGCGTCAAAATTGACAGTATTATTGATTACTTTGGCATACATTGTGTATTTTCTTATTTTGTACCCTTGAATAATATAGTTTATTATATAATAATAAACAATATAGATATGTGCTCGTAATCACTGCAAATTGGTATGCCATCCCATTTTATTCCCATAAAATGTATACATTTCTCAGCAAACAAGTTTGTGTTTGTTTTCCTTGTACCCTTGCATGATTTGGATATTGCAAGGACGCAAAACAAAGAATCTACTTCTTATGGCCTAACTATAACTACTTGTGTGACATAATTAAAATGGCATTAATCAAAGTCTTGTTTGAATTGAAATGGAGGAAAAGTATCAGGATTTACATTTCAGCATGTAACAGATGCTAAAGAACTACAGGGAGGGCACATCATATATGCCAGTGATAATTTGTGACTAGTATATGCCAAGTCCTTATTTGACCTGTTCTGGTCAAAATACCTAAATATTACACCCTGTTAGCAAGGTGTAGACAGATTTCACACATTGTCAGATTTTTAACAAGGTGCAGCACCCAGTTGCTTTGGAGATCACTGTATCTATGTGTATCCAAAACAACATAGACATGGTCAAATATATTCCAAAATATGATAGATCAAATTCAATATGGTTTTGATTATGAAGATTGCGAAACCTTTGAAGCCAAATGAGATACAAGAACCGTGATTCATCATATTTCAGAGAAACAGGGCCCTTGCATATTTTACTTACCTTCTGGCAGAATGAGATAGCTCTCTGTATGGTTGCCTCTAGTGGCTTGGGAACCTCCCAGACCAGCCTCTCAGGCTGTGTTACACTTGCTTGGGTCACTCTGGAGTCTATGTCAATACACCGACCTTCAGAGTCATACAGAGCTGGGGACTCCAACACCCTGGAAGAAGCATATGTGGGCATACATGTTCAATTCCTACCAAAGTTCTAAAACTGAATTAATGGACCAGGCATTTTAGGGATTGCAATTCTGTATTACTTTAATTCCTGAACAACTTTACTGTGAGATATCCCATATAACAGAGAAAACTTACATTTATCTTACACTATCATTATTTTTCAATGGCTTAAATATGAACAATTTGGCAATGTACGGTTTGAATCATTAGCTTCAACTGTAGATACAAACAAGCTCTTTTGACTCACTCATTGGTCATGCAGTATTCACCAGCATGCGCTATGACAGGAGCATCAGCCCAGGAGTGCTCTACATTCATACCAAATCTGCCATCGCTGAATATAACCAAAGTGAAGCTCTTGTCAAACCATATGCTCTTCCCATCCCCATGCAACAGGTACTTGCCACGTTGACTAAAGTCTTCAAAGGCTTTCGTTTCCAATATAACCTGAAATAGATGGAAAGTCAATCAGTCAAATTAAAACGGGAGCCAAATTCAGTGTATCTACAGTAACACAAATATTTGGTCAGTTACTTTCAAAACAAGAGGAAAATATATCATATTATAAATGAAATTCATATTTCATCCTGAATACATCCTCTGTACGCAGGGCTCCAAAATTCAGAATACCTTCTTTATTGTTACAGAATTCTGGACACCTGCTTATACTATTAGGAGGATGTCCTGAATACATAGAGATTATCCTATATCACCCTATGCAGACAGAGCCTGTAGGAAATATTGGGTGGGGAGCAAATGAGCGGAGGGTGCGGAGCTAACGGTCATTTTTGAATTTAAATTTGGGATATTTCTGGAACTAAGCCGTTTTGGGACTTCAAATATACCAAGATATGTGTATTTGACACCAAATATCAATACAATTGTGAAAATAGTAGCGCAATTCATTCTATAGCGACGCAGTGTGCCTTAAATCTTTCCCAGACCTATATATTTTGAAATTATCCTTTTAATACTGAGTCCCCAGCATTCATAAAAAATGGTGTTCAAGGTACACTATCTATACAAATTATTTTTGCATCTTGGAAGCCAGGCAGTATCAGTGTGATTTTATAAAAATTCGGAAATGTTTTTTAGATATGAGCCCCCTCTAAATATTGGGTGCGAAGCAGCTCCATAAACGTAGCTCCGCACCCAATATTTAGAGGGGGCTCATATCTGAAGAACATTTCCGAATTTTTATAAAATCACACAGATACTGCCTGGCTTCCAAGATGCAAAAATAATTTGCATGGGTAGTGTATCTTGAACACCATTTTTTATGAATGCTGGGGACGCAGTATTAAAAGGATAGTCTCAAAATATATAGGTCTGGGAAATGTTTAAGGCATACTGCGTCGCTATAAAATGAATTGCACTACTATTTTCACAATTTTATTGATATTTGGTGTCAAATACACATATCTTGGTATATTTGAAGTCCCAAAACGGCTTAGTTTCAGATATACCCCAATTTTAAATTCAAAAATGACCGTTAGCTCCGCACCCTCCGCTCATTTGCGCCGCACCCAATATTTCCCACAGGCTCTGTCTGCATAGGGTGTATATGAGGTTCAGGATATTGGGATTATCCCGAGGCTAATATAATATATTTGCCCGAGGGCCACAGGTCCCGAGGGAAAATATATTATATTGGCCAAGGGATAATCCCAATATCCTGAACCGACTATAGGATAATATGTTTATCCCATACCAATCTTGGTCATCTGGTTCACATTGTTCAATCGTGGAAATATTTTAGAATATTCATGTCCAGTTTTGTTTTCTTGGCCGTTGGCGGATTTTCCTGTTCTCTCAAATATTCCCACATTTATTTTCTGATTGATTAAGTGGATACTCCTTCCCTTTTTTAAACCATCAAATAGATCCCGGTTGTCTGTGTTTTATACATTGTCGTTTACAGTCATTACGCGAACGTTACAAATTATGAACAAATATGCGAGCGGCGATTATGACGTAGCGGGCAGATATACTATATCTGCCCGCTCGGAGCGGGACGTAAAGCTATATCTGCCCGCTGATGAAAATATAAGTTTTTACAAATCGGCTTTATGTACCTGTAACACGTCCAAGTATGGGATAAAACATATTTATTTGTTGAAAACAACTTTATGACTCTTCAAGGTAACAAAAGTAAACAACACATTCAGTTGATACTTTAAAATGTCACTACCTCATTTTAATTGCAAAAGTGTAACAATCGTTACAGAAACCAAGTGCGGATTCCAAAACCCCGAGGCACAAAAATGGTAACTCAGCTATTTGATGATATACAATAGGATTTTGGCTGATAACTGTGTTTTTGAATCAATATTGTATTTTGGGTATTTGGTATTTGGTATTTTTACGGGTGAAAAATATATCAGTTTTCTCAGGGAAAAGCCGTACCATGAACATTGCTGAATCAACCACATCCATAGACTCTTTGTTGACTCCCTTGGTAAAGTGCTGCTGCCGTGTCTTGGCCCACTCTGTACGATCTATACCCGTCAAACTGGATAGTGATTTAGCTGCCTCGCTGTAATCACCTACAAAACGGAGAGCATTTGCATGAATGGAGCATTTTCGAAATACTGTATATGGAAATCTATATAAATTTTCGATCAATATCTTTTTTGCACAAAATATTACTGGGTATGGGAATAGAGGTTAACTAGTAGAGGAAATGTACTGCAAATATTCATTACATCATTTTTATCTTATTTTTTTAAATATCTGACTTAGAATTTAATTGTGGCCATGATTTAAGAAGGTTATCTATTGTGAGAAGACGGACCTTCGTGTTTGTCTGCATCCTCAATTATCCACTGGAAATGTTTCTCCATTGTAGATGGCTGCAGAGGCTGACCTTTCTTGTCAAACATATTCACTTTGTATATCACACCCTTCCTCTGGACTGCAATGTGCTGAAATGAATTCACAATGTTAAAGTTTAAGTAACTAACACAGTACTGTCAACCCCCAAAGATTTTCTCGCGGGACAGATTTTTTAGACCCAGTGCCCAAAATTCGCGGGATTTTGCGGGACATCTACTAAATTCGCGGGATTTCGCGGGACATTTAAGGGATTTGCTTGATTGCGCTTATAGGCCAATTTTTTTATCAAATTCGCGTGATTTCGCGGGACCATTCGAGGGACAAACACCCTAATTGCGGGACAGTTAACAGGTTTACCAGCAAAAACTTCATAGAGGGACAGATTTTCGAGAAAAAGTGCCCTAAATTTGCGGGACATCCACCTAAATTTGCAGGATGTCCCGGGACATTCAAGGGATTTGCGTGATTTGGACTAATGTAAAAGCGTGTAAAAGTACTTGAATCAAACTTTCAGATACTGATTAATCAGTTAATCAAATATAATGCACCGTTACATTGTAATTTAAATAAACGTAAACATAATTTCACAAAATACGCATAGAAATATTATTAAACTTTATTGTAATTTATCAAAAACAAAAACCATGCTTGAGGTGTGAGTATCGTAATCTAACACGAAATTCAAAAATTTGGAACAATACTTTTAGCACTTCTCTGCTTCTGGTGTCGTGACCAACTACTACCATACTGTAGGCATGGGCTTTCAATTGAGAGCCGATGATATAGGGGTTCGATTAATCTACATCAAATTATAGGGAATGAGGTTACTTTTCTAGATAGGGTTTGTAGAAAAAAAAAAGGGTACCGGGTAGTAAATCCTCCATGCTGGGTTCAAACTTTTTTTTTTTTTTTTTATTCCTTCATTCTTATTTATGTACATGTAAATATAAATATGTACATGTGAATGTAATGCAATTAATAATATAAATAAAATTTACGTAGACAAACTTGGTACCCGGTCGAAAAACCGGGTACCCAAAAAACGAAATATACGAATATACAACATAATTAGATCATTAGAAAACGTGTAAGATTTGTTTTGAATTTACAAAAATGTAACTTCCTTCAAAATTGAGCTAGAAGCTTCAAAAAAAAGCATTTTAAGCCTCTTTTCTTCCTCTATCATCATGGTCATATTTCCATTGGTAATGAAGGGGGAGGGGGTGCGATCGCACCATCACACCCTCTCCTGGCTACGCCAATGACATTGTAAGACGATTTGAATAACAAGACAAATCAATTTTACTCTATTTTCAATGAGTTCGTATGTTGGTACGTGAACATAACCAATGAAAATATGGTCATGACGATAGAGGAAGAAAAGAGCCTTAAAATATGCTTTTTATTTGAAGCTTCTAGCTCAATTTTGAAGGATGTTACATACATTTTTGTAAATTCAAAACAAATCTTACACGTTTTCTAATAATCTAATTATGTTATACTCGTATATTCGTATTTTTCATTTTTTGGGTGCCCGTTTTTTGACCGGGTACCGGGTACCAAGTTTGAACCCAGCATGGAGGATTTACTACCCGGTACCCGGTTTTTTCTACAAACCCTTTCTAGATATCAGCGTCCATTTATTGTAACTCGCGTTTGCTAACATTTGCTCAGTTCTGAGATGAAGGCCACACGGATAGTAAAAAGGCCAAGGTTGGAACTATTTGTGACCTACATCCCTATTGTCGTAATTAAAATGAAAGTTGAACCCTTCCTCTTTATTTTGATACCAAACAACAGCATGCTAGGTACTTAAAATTAGGTAAACTTTACTCCTCAAAAGTGCAAAAACTTAGCTTCTTATATAAGATAAGATAATCACCATATAGGGGATTGCAACAATTTCCGAAATTCGCGGAGGTCGAAAGCCACATTTGCGGGACTTCGCGGGACATTGCGGGACACGCGAATTAGCCTTATTTTGATCGAATTCGTGGGATAATCCCGCCATTCGCGGGACACTTGACAGCTCTGCTAACATTTGATATTTCTAATATTTAAGTCAATATTTAGTCAAGAATTTCAAATTACTGCCCAAATTATTTTGAGTCGAGCTGAAGAGTAAGTCATGTTTGATTGTTCTTTGGAATGTGATGACACGAAATCTGTTCGTGACAGAATAATCATTTTTATTCTGTAGACTGTACTTTAGTAAATTGTGTTTGTTCTTATTTTTGACTGCGCCTTGTGAAAGTAGTTTGATATTTCTGCCAGTAAGTAGTGAAATGAGCTTTTTTTTGATTTTGGATTGTGTTTTAGCAAAATGTATTTGATTGTTCTTCTTTTGGATTATATATTTGATTTCTCTTCTTTCGGATTGTACTTAAGTAAAATGTATTTGATTGTTCTTTTGGATTGTGCTTTTAGTAAAATGTATTTGATTGTTCTTCTTTTGGAGTACATATTTGATTTCTCTTCTTTTGGATTGTACTTTAGTAAAATGTATTTGATTGTTCTTTTGGATTGTACTTTAGTAAAATGTATTTGATTGTTCTTACTTTGGATTGTGCTGTGGAGAAGTGTACTAATTCATCTATGTCTTCACCTGGAATTCTGTAATAAAAACATTGAGTTAATTGAGTATGATTATGTAAACTGCCTTCATAATTCAATCAAAAATTATATAATAATGATTCAAGCTGATTTCAACAATACATTGATTTTTTTGATTTTTTAAAAAATTTATTGCCAAAAAACATATTTACATGCATGGAATGCAATTATACAAAAAAGGAAGAATTAAAAAAAATACATTGATATTGGAGGTGTCAGGGGTGGACAGTGATTTTGAGTTATGTTTGGCTCATCTATTGGATAGGAAGATAAACACCATTTGAATAGTGACATTTAAGATATTTTGGATGCATGTACTAATTCATATATTTTTGCTATTTCAAGAGTACCACAAGGCCAAGCCTCTGGCAATTATTTTACCTTACTGTTGAGAACATTCGTTCATATTGTGCCATACATAGAGGTATAGTGTTGCGGATAACCAAGGGCAGCAGTTCTTCTCTGTCACAGAGTCTCTTGAAGGAATGATATTGGTAACACACACCTGCTGCACGAGACACCTGGAAATGGAAGGAAGAAACCTTAAATTATTTAATGGAATGATATTGGTAACACACACCTGCTGCACGAGACACCTGGAAATGGAAGGAAGAAACCTTAAATTATTTAATGGAATGATATTGGTAACACACACCTGCTGCACGAGACACCTGGAAATGGAAGGAAGAAACCTTAAATTATTTAATGGAATGATATTGGTAACACACACCTGCTGCACGAGACACCTGGAAATGGAAGGAAGAAACCTTAAATTATTTAATGGAATGATATTGGTAACACACACCTGCTGCACGAGACACCTGGAAATGGAAGGAAGAAACCTTCAATTATTTAATGGAATGATATTGGTAACACACACCTGCTGCACGAGACACCTGGAAAATGAAAGGAAGAAACATTAATTGAAGGGATGATGTTGATAACACACAATACTGCATGAAACATCTGTAAAATAAAGGAATGAATTACTCTTATTTGATCAAATATAGCTACATGAAAAACTTGCTAACTAGTTCTTTAATATGTCTAAGTCTAGAAAGTTAATCAAATAAATAAATTATGATGATTTGAAAATACCCACCTGTTTATGTGTGGGCTGCCAGTAGCTCTCATCCAGAATGTAGTAATTGCTGTTGATTGCAATAGGGCTCCTCCCCATGAGATATACATACTTCTCCCTAGAAAACAACAAAAGGCAGTTTAGGCTTTGTCTTCATTGATATTGATCATATGGGTTATGTGTTAGAGATTTTGTTTTGAAAGACACTGCCACATGTGCCTTCTGAGAACTCATACAGCTATTCTAACTATGTAACAATTATATTATTCATTTGCCATGCTTCTTCGAATCAAATACAGTTATAATTAAGAAAACAAAACAATAATTGAACAATTTGTTAACTTCAAAATAATTAAGCCTTTTAAAACATAAGCAACTTTTCTTCAAGTCAAGTTCTCTGTTTATAGAAATACACGGAATAATTAAAATCTTTGGAATCAATTGTAAGACTACAGTAACAATTATTTAGATTATTAGAAAACAGGAATGATAATGATTGAATGTGCACCAAAAAGGTTCGAGAGTGACAATTTTGACTCCTTGAAGAGTAAGTTTCCTACCACCATTCCAGGAGCCAGTTATCAGACCACAAAGATTTCAGGAAAAGAAGGCGCTGATATTTTGGTCCAGGTTTTTTCCCAAACTCCTAGTAGGATAGAGAACAGTGTTAGCACAACAGATTTAGTGCATCACAGAGTATAGTATAGTGTTAGCACAACAGAATTTAGTGCATCACAGAGTATCTTGTTACTGGAATTTCTTTTTATTTGGCCCACTGTACATTCACTTTATATAGGCCTGTTTTGAAGTACTTTTGAAGAATGCCAATAGAAGTACAGTACTAGGTTCTATTACAGATAAATATCCAGGGCCAAAAAGCAAGAAAATACAGTAATACACAATATACTGTAGTATTAGACCAAGATAATACAGAGCTTACATGATGGTCCTAGCACTACATCATATAGTGTCAGCACTACAGAAAATAGTCCCAGCACTACATCATATAGTGTCAGCACTACAGAAAATAGTCTAAGCACTATATCATATAATGTCAGCACTACAGAAAATAGTCTAAGCACTATATCATATAATGTTAGCACTACAAAATATAGTCTCAGCTCCACATATTATCGTGTTAAGCACTACAGAGAATAGTATCAACAGAAAACAATAAAGTGATGGCACAACAGATTAATAGTCCTAGCACCACACATTATAGTGATAAAGATAGAGAATATAGTTCTAGCACTACAAGGAAGAGTGTATTGGCACAATAGAGTAGAGTGTGACAGTCGGCACAACACTGAATTAACCTAGAAACAGAAAGAGAGAATAGAAATTAATTATGCATGCACAGAATGTTGTATTGAAGCACTGGCACAACATGTTGACAAATGTTTGTACAGTTACAATATGTAATTGCTCTGTCACTACATGTACATAACAGCAACTGTAACAGGTTAGGTGTAATTACTGAATGAAAGGTAACTTAGTTTACAGAGCTTGAAGATTCACCGAATAATGGAATTCAAACTTGTGAAATCCGCAAAATTTAATAGCTACGAAATTGAGGTTTCTCAAAATTCATGAGATAAAACTTGTGAAGTTAACCAGGAGCACAGTATGTTAACTTCAATTACATTCAGGTCTCTTTATCTCTGTGAATAAGGTATTATACATTTGTGAAGGAAAGTAAAAATGGTGCCGTGGGTTAGTCTATATAACACTCCGGAATACTACAATCAGGCAGAAAATTAGTCTATATCACATACCACCAGTCAGAGTACCAATTCTGGGCCCACCAGCTCCTGAGCTTTATAATGGATTGGTAGCGGAGGCCCTGAGATCTGCCAAATTCCTAGTTAATGCCATGCAGAAAGATAACATTATCTTAGTACTTGAAGTATTAACAAGAGACTCAGCACAAAGATAGCACATTATAAGTGAGTTGTTCTAATGTGAAAATATTGCTTTGCTTTTATCAAAGCTAAAATACATTCCAGTTGCGAAAATCAACTAATTCTAGTATCATCAACCCAGACCCGGAGTCAGCTTTTGCCAAGGAAGTGTTCACTTTTCAAAAAATTCAAGGGGGTTCACTTTCGCTTGAACCCCCCCCCCCCCTCCTCCCCTCCCTGGCCACGGGCCTGAACCTAACTTTGATATTTTTGAATGAATATTATAGTTAGGCCATAAGAAGGAGATTCTTTGTTTTGCGTCCCCTTGCTTGCACGATTTTGAGTAAATCAGAAAAAACAAACACATCCAAATAGCAATCACAAGGGTCTGAAAGTACCATCACGTTTCGTTCAATCAGAATCAGATGAAATGGCGGATAATTTAATGTGCCAAAATTGACAGTGTTACAATTACTTTGGCATATGTATTTTCTTATTTTTTACCCTTGAATAATAGCTATGTTTAAATATATTGTATAAAATGTATAGATATGTGTTTGTGATCACTGCAAATTGGTATGTCATCCCTTTAAATGTCCATAAAATGTATACATTTCTCAGCAACCAAGTTTGTGTTTTTTCTTGAGTTTGTGTTTGTTTTCCTTTTACCCTTGCATGATTTGGATTTTGCCAGGACGCAAAACAAAGAATCTTGGACCTTATGTGGCCTTATTAAAATACATGTATGTCCATGTTTAAAATAACAGTTTATCCAGCCGTCTACTAGACTACTTTTGAGTTTTTCTGTAGTATCCACTGAATTTTGTGCCACCTATTGATAGTCCCTATTAACATTAGAGGTGGCTCTGATCTTGCATCAAGTCTTTGAGATACCTCCCTCCTCAATAACCTTGAACATTGGAACATGACTTATTGCAGGGGTCATAGGTCACGGGGGTTATAAAAGGGGAGGGGAGGCAGCCTTTCAGTGGTATTTTGCACAGATGGCAAAAGCCCCATGAAAGCTTTCTTAAAAGTCATCCTAAGATGTTAACATGTAAACATGCTATTAGTAAAACTTAGTTATTTTCACTTGCATCCGGCCTATTCAGGAATTGAACAATGAAGATTTTACAATGAATGTCAATATTGAAAGCTACAGTATTGTATATATAAGTTTTCAAAAATACTGAAAAGAGCATTAAACATGAATTATTCATGTTCCAATTGTTAACTAGGAGACATGATTATTCATCTTAAGCTAATAGAGATGTCACATTTGTTATTTTTATTCAAACTTTCAAGAATAAGAACTACAAAGAACACATTCAAGAATGAAAACTACACAAAACATACCTTTGATTGTGCTTTGAGCTTTTTATATTCTTCAGAATCCTCTCCATAGAGTGGTTTCAAAGACTCTATGAACATCTTCAGTGTGTCTTTGAGCGGAGGAACAGGCATACGTGGCAGGCTCTGTTGACAGCTGTACATGTAGGGCCTGGGACCCGAGACCAGGCGCACTACAAGACCCCATAGTATAGTCGTGATGGACTGGGTTCTAGGAGCTTGGTCTGCATGAAAAGAAACAAATATTTTTGAGACTTTTTTAGTTTGAAAACCAACATAAGCTCAGTTGAGATACATCTCTTTGAAGCTTGACACGTCTTTATTTAGTCTTTATTCAGTGTGTTATACGACAAGTGTTTGAACTTATCCCATTTTCTCACTTAGCTTTAAATCTAAATTATCATGACTCACTGAACCTTGTGAAACCATCAGTTGAGCTCTATATACTTACACATCCATCCCTTGTATGAAAGCAGTAGACGAAGGGTGTATCTTCTTATGTATAGAAGGGCAAGGAATGATATAAATCCAACACTGGTAGACAGTACAACAACCCTCAGGTAATATGGAATTCCTGTAAATACAGAAAAACAAATATAATGGGTGTTCAATTAATATTGACTTAGTCTTGCTTAAAATACTATAGTATTGCCAGGTAAAGAGAGTGAAGGTGATGGGGGGGGGGGTGGATACAGTCTTTGAGCAAGACTAATATTGACTCCATTTAATACATTCAAATCAACATTCCTGAATTTTCCAGATACTAAAAGACATGATATCGGTTTTTGGTTGGCAGAGCCATTCGTTGCTATTCAAAGAACACCATCCTTAATATAGCAGTATAAAAAAATATATTTATAATCATCAGTTCATAAAATATTTAGACCCTGGCATCACATAAATATCACACTGCATATACATAGTAAAACTTGACATGTCTAAGTGGAACGAACACATTTGTTTTTTCTAAAGAGTGTTCCACTGGGAGGTGTTGTCAGAGAGGTTCACTTATACTAGAGCAAGTTGGTATCGGGGCTCTGAAAAGTCTTCCACTAACAGAGGTGTTCCACTTCTAGAAGTGTTGCACTTTACAGGTTTCACTATAATATATCAAGTGTCCCAAAAATGAATCGCTTTTTGACAAGTGTTTTCTCAGCAATTGATTAATCAAATTTATCGAAAATTTATATAAAGTAGCCTTAGGATAGCATTAGCAAGTTGTACAAATATGAAATAGATTAGTTTCATAGTATGTGAGAATTGACAAATTAAAAAATGCATGTAAAAAATCCAATATCAGAGCTGTGCAATAAGACTTCTTAGCATTTGTGCCCTACATCCAACAAACATTAAAGGATGGGATAATTATATCATGGAAGATAATATCCATGGAAAAATACACAAAAGCATTTCTGCTTGAAAAACAGCTTCTTCCAGACTGAAATAAGTGGTCTTTCCATTGATATTTGATTTTTCAAATGCATTTTTGAATTTGTCCATTCTCACATAATATATGTAACCAATCTGTCTCATATTTGTAAAACTTGCTTGTGATACCCCAATGCTATTCCATAGAAATTTTCATTAAATTTGAATAATTAATAGCTGAGAAAACACTTATCAAAAAGTGATTCGTTTTTGGGACATTCAATATACCCTGCTTTATATTTTACAATTTGATATTGGTATAACACATCAGAAATGGTAGATAAAAAATAAACAAATTAAAAAAGACAGAAGCAGTATTAAACATATACTTTAAATAATGTAGGATAGATGAAAAAGAGAAAATGTGACATTTATCAGAACAGTCCCGTATTATAAAGTAGCGTCAAAAGGGGGAGGGCGTTGGAGGCGACCGCCCCCTCCCTTTTTCCCAGATTTTTTAGATTTGAAACCGGCCTAGAATTGAAAGCTCTAGAGCTAATTTAAGTCAAAGTGTAATAATGACAGAAATTATAATTTGACAGTATCTAGTCTACATCAAGCATCTCATTTCTCATATTATATTTAATTCTATACCATGTATACTTTCTCAGGAACCCATACAGTATGTAAATACTTTGAAGAATAAGCGCAAAATGTATATTTTAGTAAAAGAAGTTTTTTAGTCAAAGTCAAGTTAAGTTTTCTAAAAACACATTTTTCCTGTTTTTATTATTGGGAATTTCTGGGGGCGTGCCCCCCTCCCCGATTCCCCTAGATTGCGCCTTAGTACTTGACCTTTCAACTTTCTGCACTACAATATAAGGGAACAACAAGTTACAGCTAGTGTACAATAATAAACATGTTTAGATATGCTGGCCAATGTTTAACGTTGCACAAGATTAATTTCTAGAACTACTCCACAATTAGAATTTATCAGAAAGACCATGTTTATAAATGGGGTGAAATATGACATTTATCTCTATGATGTGATAATAAACTTTTAAGTACATTTACATGTACTCGTATTATACAAAATGGTATTATATACCCAATAGAAGCTGAACGAATTTTCAACAAAAACTGCAAAACTGTTTACATGTTTAGTCACTAAAATACTCTAATTATTGGGTACTTAGTGTACACCCCTGGTCCCACTATTACATAACCTTTCTTCAATAATTCAATAATTCGGATTTCCCAAATAAGGTTCCTCATCTCACATTATTATTCCTGAAGATGAATTAGGAGGTACACCAGTTTTTCTCTTTATGAGCTTATTCATAACAAATGTGAATCGATAAATGGTTTAGAAAAATTGAAATACAACTATAGAATAAGCTTAAGGCAAATCTGCATGTTGAGAATTTTTTAGAAGAAATCCGCTTAATTTTCTAGTTATTTATACATTCTAAAGAAAATTAACGTCTTACTTAATAATCTGGGTACACTAAAGCACCTTTTATGCAAAAATGAGATTTGGGTCGTGTTTTAAATGAGTTATGTTCATCTGAAAAACTACATGGTCATTAAAATGGTAAAAGGTGCAGATTGTCCTTATATTAATCGTATAATGAGTTTTTAAGATAGCCTGAATATATGACCTGGTGGGTATGCCAGGGACAAGGCCAAGGAGTGACTTACCTGAATTTAAACCAAATTAATAATACTTCTTAGTGTACCTATCTACCTAATGTATATAACATTGTTCTAAGTTGAAGTATGTCAATATATAGGTACTGATATAGATTCCATATTTCATATGTATAAGGTGAGCCCAAAATTATGACCCTCCAATTTTATTGACTTTAGTTGGGTATATCATGGGCTTTCAACTAGATTAATTGAAAGCCCATGGGTATATAGAGTGTTCATTGGAGCAAACAGTGGTATACTGAAACTACATACATGTATACACTTTAGAAATCATATTTTTCCTCGAGGCTTGCTCCTTGCTCTAAGCTTAATCATTCAAAATGATTTTTTTAAAACTCATTTATTAACATTGAAACATTTATACAATTTTTTCATAATATACAATGGTTACATTGGTACTTATACAGGTATACAGAACTTATTAGTTATAGATTTTACTATTTCTTATTTTCCAAATGTCAAACTTGTGTTTAAACACTAGCAATGAACGTTATATACTCGTAATTACAAATATGTATAGTTTTTATCAAATAGACAGGTCATCATTTTTCCAAGAAAGTGTCTGAATACTGTAGATTTATAATTTGTATGAAAGCAATCAATATATAACTCCAAAGTGGCAAAGACAAAAATCCCAAATTTAAACAAAGTTCATTATGAATCTCATGAGAAATCATAACTGGACATTTATAAAATGTGATTTCTCTTAATCTTGGAATCATAGATATAACTTGAGTTTCCTTCATCAGACACTCCGGAAGATGGTTCCAAAATAAGAGGGTTATATTTTTGGGTCACCCTGTATATATTTTAACAGACATGGCAGAGATAACTTTATCTTTATATATTTGTTATTTTCTAATTTAAGAACTGAGGCATCATAGCCCTGGTTTAAAGTACAAGGTACAATGATGTAAATAGGTTTGAAATCAAGGTTAGATTATAGATCATAATACCAAATCAACATGAATTTTCATAATTAAGTTTACCATTCCAAACAAAGGTTTTTTGATCAAAAATTCACTCTATCCAAAATTCACCAAAATTATTATGAGATGGTTTTAGGCAATGACAGCTTGCATCAACACTGTTCACACTTAGCTAATTTCACACACTCTGTTTCTAGGTAACAGAGCTTGATTGAACTCCACCTGTCCTCTAATTAGCATGATTTTCAGCAAAACGAAACATGCAATACAAATAAAGACACAATGGATTTAAAGAACCAATCTACCAAAAATTAGCAGAAAACTGATTAATTTTGATTCTACTAATGAGCATATATGTCATATTACAATTTGTTATTTTGTTTTGGACTTGGGAGGGGGTTAAAAGTACATACACTAGATATTTTCAAACACAAGATATTTTCAAAGATTGACATGTAGTAGCTGGTCATATTGAGAGATTGTGTTCAGTTTAATGAGGTGCTCAAGTTTAACTGCTATGAAAACACAATAAGGGATAAAGTCAAAACAATGAAGTTTTGATATACAGGGTGATCACTAAGTTCTGGGAATTTGTATGCTCCCTTATCAGGGGTTTCATAAAGCAGTAGGCAACAAAATGCATATGGCCCAACACAATTAACAATGTTAGGGGCAATCACATTTATGTTGATCTGCTTCCAAACTCCACAATGCAATGCATGAGACCCAGATTTAAAATATTAAATATATCTACTAACCATCATGTATATGAAGTTTCTCAGCAGCTGCCCAAAGTCTTGATGTGATAGGTTTAGCAAACTCCCAATCCCCGATCAGCAAAGTTGACATTGTCCCGACAGAAACACCAAGATTCCACATTGAAGTTGGCCACATTCCATTTCGTATTAAGTTTCTATAAAACACATCATCATATATCTATCAGTTAAAGTTTTATACATTAACTAGATTACATGTGAGACTGAATCTGTTCACTTGATAGCTCGAGTGGAGAGACGCCACATAATCAGGAGGCTGTGGGAGTGATTCACACAGTAGTCACTTTTCATGATCACATCAGCTCTTAGCATAGGATTCGATCCTATATTTCAGATTAACTTATACATTTACAAAGGTCGTAGCCAGGGCCTGTGTAAAATCTTTCAAAATCATTCAGTTTTTCACCATTCTGAGCACTTTCTAAGGCCATTTTTCGACCAAAATTGTTACAAGTCAACCCCCCTGGAATTTTTCAAAAAGTGCCCCCCCCCCCCTTGGCAAATGAAATAAAACACCATAGGTCATTTGGGGAACCCATGAGCAAATCTAGGCTGTTATTATGGCCATGAATGAAGCTATCTAGGATACAGGATAATCTAGGTCAATTTGCCTCGATGACCAATTGTTGTTTCTCAAACATTTCCTCTCAATATCAGGAAATTTGGGTGTTGAGCAGGGAAACTTTGTACGGAATCTCAGTCACAAAATATAACGAGTGACAACTTACACTTCCTCCGAGTGTAACTCATTTCAAAAATAATACTGCAATCATAAGGTTCAATCATAGGCTGAAGTTTATTAAATAGAGTTTGTTATCGCCTAACTGGAGTTTAGTTTTTTCTCCAAACTTTTAAATTGATGTGTCCTCAAAATTATCAAAAGCCCTTATCTTCACTCTAGGTCTTCAATTAGACTCTAGTATATATATGTTAGTTCCATGTGCTTTCTAAATTGAAAGCCCATGATTCTTTCCATGAAGAAGACTCCAAATCACATTGCAAACATTCTACATGGTGGTTCTACAAGTAGAACTCAATGTACGGCCTTCTTTATTATTCTGATCTTTCTTAGATAGCCATACATTGCTAGCCCATAAGACAAGTCCGATAAGAAATGAGGCCCCAGGCTAATGTTGTTGGACTATCTACATGGCGGAGTTATCTACTTCTTGTCTGTCTTGTCGAAGGAACACAATATGATAGAGTGTATATACATCATAGCATAGTCATTCAATGGTCTACATGAATGCAGATTCTGAGATTGGCTGAACTTATAAAACTGAATTGAAGTGAAAATATTTTTTTCAAACCTTGTCCTGTAAAATCTCCTTATTGTGTTTTTCCTCCATGCTACAATGAAGTCCCAGCGTGGGTTTTTGCCTTCTTCTATTTCTCCAACCCTGGGCTCTGTCACTGCACTTCTTGCTTCCGCCATTCTGCTGAATATAAAGAAAAGGCAAAAGAAATGCGTCTACAGTTTCCAAAGTTTATTTTCTACAGCTGAGCTAGCGAATATAATTTTAAGTTTCGTATTTTCTTGAGCTGCACCGGTCGAATAAATCACAGATTTCATCTCTAAATATAGAAAAATGATAGGTTTAGACCATAAATAAGGTTATAATGTTATTTATCAATATTTTTAAGGTTATTAACTCCTCTCAAAAGAGAGAATCCGGGTTGACCTACTTCCATTAAACAGACGTCACGTGATCAGGTGCGGCATGCTCCTGATTTCCTGAAATATCGTCGTTTTCTAGCTCATTTGTGAGTATGGCTTTTATTGTTACACTTCTAAGGCTCCATAAAGATGTTATCTTTGACATTCTATGATCTACACTGTAAACATAAGCGATAACGTGTCAAATAAGATGATAATTGTACGCAAAATAATGGACATTTTTGTTTTTGGAAAATTGACGCCATCTTGAATAATTTCCCCCGATTTCAAATGATGTTTCTTGAAAACTAGACCATGTAATATGTACAATGAATTTATTATTCAATAGACTGATGCATTTTACACCATTGAAGTATCAACTTCATGTGAAGCAGGGGACAAAGAAGCATGTATCAATTGCACATAATGTAAAAATATTTGCATCCACCATTTTGATTTTTTGCACCTAAATTAAACCTATTTGTTTGTATGGTTCTCAAGTGAATCTACCGAATCAGCTAAATTTCATCTATTTTTCAAATGTCTCTTCACCGCGAGATATATTTTCAATGATCGTAGATGCTGCACTGCTTTGTTCAATCTTATTTTGTCCTATTATAGTGTTCATGTACATTTACGCATTGACATTACACCATGATTCATGATTCATGATAGATATTAAAGAAGCACATGGCAGCCATCTTGAAAAATGGCGGCCTTTACTCGTTATTTTACGATTTTTACTATAACTCGAAAAGTAGTGGAGCGATTTTGTTCATATTTGGTATGCGAATACTATAAGCATGGCACACTGTCTAATGACACTTTTGGTACACTGTGGCCACTTTGAAAAATGGCCGCCATTTTAACATATTTTACTTATAACTCGAAAAGTAGTGGAGCAATTTTGTTCATATCTGGTATGTGAATACAATAAGCATATGGCACACTGTCTAATGACACTTTTGGTAGAAGGCGGCCATTTTGAAAATGGCCACCATTTTAACGTATTTTACTTTTGCTCGAAAAGTAGTGGAGCGATTTTGTTTATATTTGGTATGTGAAAACTAAGCATGGCACACTGTCTACTGACACTTTTGATGTGGCCATTCGAAAAAATTTTGCTGCCATTTTTGCTATATACTTTGTTTGTGAAAATGCCAGCCTTGGCTGTTCGATGGGATTAGCTACGCTTTGGCGTTGGTGTTGTCTAGTTGGAATCATGAATCATGCTAAAATTGATAGTTTATCCATACATTTAAGAAAATAAGCATGTCAAAGAAGATGTTGAGCCAATTATGTACGCCTTGAAAGCTCAGAAATCAAAAGGTAAAATTTTTCCAGTTTTCTCTCTACAGGCCTTGTTGCCCTAAGGTAGTTCTGCACTTTTAAAAAATCTATGAAACTAATTTGGGTAAATCTCATTTCACCAAATTAAAAGAATATTTTGATTTTGACCTTATTTTTTATGTAATATGTATAAATATCCACATGAAATATTAAAAAGTATACTGTTACCTTAAATATTTCATTGAATTATGAAAATTACCTGAAAATACTCATTCCTGTTGTTTATCAATTAATTAATAAACAGTTGAATTAATATACACTGTATCTACCTGAGAGGAATCAATAGAATGATGATGTAAAGATTAATAAACGAGTATGATGTTCTGTTGATTTTCTGATTGATTGGGAAATGTTGAATTCCAAGAGCTAAGAACCATTATACCTAGCCTTTCAGTAGGTTCATTTTACTTTGAATTTTGTTCATTGCCAATGAAGGTGAGCAATACCTCTTTGGTATATACCGTATACAGGCCTGTCAACTGTCCCGCAATTTGCGTATTTGTCACGCATTTGCTGAAGAATTTGAAGTCACGCCAGTTATTTTTGCGTGACAGAAAATGTCACGCAAATACGCATTTTACCTGGTAATTGTCAAGCAAAAATATTTCTGTAGAAAAATTTCTAAAAAAGATCGTCTACACAGCAAAAATACGAACGCCAGAAAAAAATGTACGCATTTCGTTCAGACTTTTCACGCGAATTACGTATATGTCACGCATTCCGTTCGAAATATTTCGTACCTCCCTTGAGGTGTTCAAAATTTGGCAAGATGTAATAAAATTTAAACCAAGGTGTTCAAAATTTGGATCAAGGTGTCCAGATTTTGAGGGGAGGTGGTCAACATTTCCAAGTTACTCATGTTAGGTGTTCCCAAGTTGACAGGCCTGCGTATATATACGGTTGTAATTAACGCATAATCATGGAAGGCAGATCCAGAAACCCCTCCGTGAAGGAGCCCTGTGTTCTTTTATGTGCACTCATACATAGGCATACAAGTACATACCACAGCCTTGTTACAAGTCGTGGACCATTCAGTTAAACACCCTGAAGTACTTTATGCAACAAGCAAAGTGCCTGAACAAATCATAGGACTCACTTTAGGTTCGAACCTTAAGGTTTTAGGTGGTATTAGGTTTGAACCTAAAGCAAACCTACTTGTAGATTCATTTAGGTAGGCATCAAATCATAGGATTCACTTTAGGTTCGAACCTATGTAAAGGTTTTAGGTGGTATTAGGTTTGAACCTAAAGCAAACCTACTTGTAGGTTCATGGCAGGTTTTGTGATTGACAAGTTTCTCAAAGTTTGCCTTATTCACCTTTCCACAAAGTCAGCTCATGAATATTATAATGAGCTGCTTAAAAATCTGTGACGTCAATGACTGAAACTTTTTCCCGCGAAAAACAAATGCAATTGAGTTAACATGTAAATCCTCGGTTGATTGCTGTAAGTTTTACCTCTTCAAAAGTCTGAAAGTGCAAGTAATCAGTAAATTATTGAAAGATTTTTATTGAACGTCAAATTGACATTTATTTATGCCTTCTAAGCGATTTAAATATTAAATTCCTGTTCATAATGAGTAAATAATTTGAAGAGAATTACTCCAGGTCAGTTTTCAATCATGATAGGTTCTGGATGTGAACAGGTGAAATTATCATAATCATTAGTTCACCAACATTATAACATGTCTCTCATGCATAAAAATATATAGATTGACAATCTATTTTAAGTTAATCTTCAGTGTCATTTGATGAATGACCTGTTCAAATTAAAAACATTTGCTCTCATTCATTAAATCATTGACTTCACTACTTCCATAATTCAATCAACTAAACTATGACTTCCTATTTATTTCTGCAAGTCATATCAGATCGTATCTTGAAAATATTATACTTGAAAACATTTGGACTATAGAATTGATATCTTAGAAGAGCGTGACATATAGAGATTATCCTACATGAGGTTCAGGATATTGGGATTATCCCGAGGCAATTATATATATCTACCCGAGGGCCCAAGGTCCCGAGGGAAAATATATTATATTGGCCAAGGGATAATCCCAATATCCTGAACCGACTATAGGATAATATGTTTATCTCATACCAATCTTGGTCATCTGGTTCACATTGTTCAATCGTGGAAATATTTTAGAATATTCATGTCCAGTTTTGTTTTCTTGGCCGTGGGCGGATTTTCCTGTTCTCTCTAATATTCCCAATATACGTCCAATATACGTCCAAGTATGGGATGAACATGTATATATATTCCAATGTATATTTCCCGCTGCGTATCTCCCGATCCAAATATCCCCGGGAAAATGTTTTTCATTCAGTGTAGAAACAGTCAATTTGTTATATATCTTGCTAAAGCAAAACTGTCAAAATAGATCCAGCAGACCGTAGAATTTTTCTTAACCAAAATGATGATGGATTTCTCAAAAATAATGAGAATGAGAACGCTTAATAGAAATCAAACATGGATATGGGTGTCCTGATTTCACTTGTGAAACCTCACTTGTCATTGGATAAATTAGTTATGTGATGATCGGTTTTGAATAATGATCTCTGGAAAGATTTCAGAAAAAGAGCGTATATCATTTCATGTTTATTGATGATATATTGACATTGCTGATCATTATTGACATCGCTGATGGCGAATAAATACCAAAAGGTAACGCTTTGCGCGAATGCCACTCATGGTGAATTTCTGATGGAACTTCTTACTACGACATAATAACCATTTAACAGGATAGTGTATGACCACTATCATATAATTTAGCCGATGTTTGTAACTTCACAACTTACATTTTTTGTTTACAATCACACGAGACACGTGAGCCCGGGTATGTGAGGCTGATCTGAGAAGTCTTCATAAACAATAGTTCTGTCAAAAAATGATTAAATTAAATTACATAAGATTCGGAAAGAAAGTGCCCTGTCCATATTTCATATTTGCTTAAAAATAATTAGTGCGTTGGGCAAATATAATCCCTTTTATAGCAGTTAATTCAAAATATTCCTATGCTGGCTGTACTAATTCTTCAAAACTTTCCATCATTGACGTCATTGATTTGACTCATTTGCATACAACCAATCAGCGCGCCGGAAATTATCGATTTTCTTTACTTTGTGGAAAGGTGAATACTTGATCATTTTTTGCAATGAATTACATCATAACTAGATTTAAGCATTCCCTACATATTGCTCAATATATGTCAGCATCAAATTTTTACCGTTTTTGAGATATTTGACGTCAAAAAAACAGTAAAAATAAGTTATTTTTCAACTTGCTTTTGAAAATCATCTACAAGTTACCAGGAGTTCAAATCTGACATTAGTTTTAGGATTTGACCTTTACTTGACCTTCAGTGACCTTTGAAAGGTCAAAAAAGTTGATTTTTCAAATTGATTTTTGGATGTAAATTTTGGTCAGCTTAATCACAAAAGACCTTACTGAGCTCTAAATAAGTAAAATTTTCAAGGTCAAAGGTCATCAAACTAGGTCACACAACTGTGCTGTCTAAGTTTCTCAAAGTTCATACAAATCCAAATCAATATTTTTGTTTGAAAGTCAGGATATACATTCCTCTGAAGGTTCCAAACTATGTGAGCACAGGACCGTGGGTCCTATTTTTTACATTTAGTATGCTAAGTGAGTGTAAGATGAATCATTCTATTGAGCCTGAAGGGCGAGTGAAATATCATTTTGTGGAAGTGTCAAAGGTATTCATCAAAAGTGATATTTATTCGAATCCTTTGTTTAAATACTATGCTAAAATGATATAATAGAAAAAACGATCATTCGAAGTATAGGATGTTTGCACCTTTGCCAATAACTTTGTATCGGATCATAATTGGCATTTTGCGGTTTAATGGACAAAATGTCTACCAAAATGACAACATTTCAGAGGTTGACAGTTTCACCATTCATGTAAGTCACTTTTATGGGTAAATATCACATTTGTTCTGTGCACTAAGTTCAAGCTGATATGTTATTATTTGTTATTAATGTTTTTGCAAATATTGTCTCTTCAGACTTGAGGAAAGATGCGTCGCACACCAAGACAGAAAACCACACCTCAAAGCAGGGTGCAACAGCCGAGACCTATACAACCTAAGCCATCTCCAAGATCTGAGGTAAGTTCATTGAGTAATCTACTACGATCAATGAGGATTTTTACTTTTTCAAATGCAGTAACATATGTGGATAGCTCTCTTGTAAGAAGCAAAGTCAAATTGATGTAAATTGTACAGGGTGGTAAAAAAACGGAAACCGTTACGCTATTTTCCTCATATCTTTGTCATTTTAGGAAATAACTCCCTGATATTTTACACATTTGTACTTCATTCTATTTCCTACCAGCCTACTGTATTTATGACCATCAGACTATTAGTCAAAATGTTACAGCACTATTGCGCTGTAGGCAAACCTCCACATGGCGTCCAAAATGTCCCTACCTGACTTCCTGAGTTCTACATGTTGGGATACAGCAAAGATAAAGTGTATGAGAATGACCTCAGGACAATTGCAGACCTCAAAGTGGTATCATCCGTGTCATTCGGGCCATACCTGCTGAGGAATGCATTCAGGTCATTTACAACTGTGCAGGGGTTTGCCTCTAGCGTGATGATGGTCACAACTGAAGCATGTTATTCAGAGTGATGCAAAATTGTGACTATCAGTCTGATGGTCATAAATTTGATAGGATAGGATGAAATTGAATAATACATAAATGGGTAAAATATCAGGGAGTAGGCAAAGATATGAGGAAAATCCAGGGTTTCCATTTTTTGACCACCCTGTACTATTTAGGAGTAGGCCTAGATTTCAGTCATTTAAAGTAATATGGTTCATTCTCTGTTGTATGATATAAAAGATAGATATTCCATGTCCATCCTAAAAGGGAAATACCAAAAATCATTAAATCATTACAAAATATCCATTTTAGTCAAAATGTGCCAATTTGATGTGACGTGAAATGAAATGTCACTATTCTGTTCCTTGATTAAAGTGGCTTTTTTGAGGGAATTTATTTACTTGATAATTAAGGATAAGTTATTTCAGAGCCCTGATATTGAGATCATAGAGGAGAAGAAGGCACCCCCTAGACCCCAAGTTCAAACACTTCGACAGAAACCTGGTCCTAGAACTATCCAAGTCCTCGGTGACAATCGTGGTGAGCTCCAGGTGCTTCCAGGTCCCAGAACTGTACAAGTTGCTGGTCAGGGCCCCAGAAATGTCACTCATACACCATCCCCAAGGGGTGCCCAGCCACCAGGCGGTCGGCCTCAACAGAGGGCGCCACCTCCCCAAGGGGCCAGGCCACCACAGGGACGACCTCAATCTCAGAGAGGACCACCCACTCAAGCCAATCCTGAAATTATGGTGATTGAGGGGAGAAGACAAGTTCAAATTGCCCAACCTGATCCTAAGAGAGGGCGTGGAAGACCTTCTTCTGTAGGCAGAAACACACAGGGAAAGTTCAGTAGCCAGGAGGCTGTACCCCCACAACCCAGGAAACAAAGAGTGCAGGTATGTATATTATTACTATGGTTTTTTAATACATTTAAGAGAAAGTTAACATTTTACAGGATATGCCAAAAATATATCACCAGCATCTCACTTTAACACGTGGTACAGGACAAATGTATGATAGAAGCACTACAGAGAGAAACACTGATATACTGTTGTGAAAATAAAACAACTGTTGCCAAGTAAAAAATGGAGTGTAATCAACCTTAGATCAATTAATTAAAAGATCAAAGGATCTGGTGGTATTTCTCGAAAGTTAGGTATTGGCAGTCCTCAATCAAGTTGGACCCAAAAGTACATCAATACTGTAAACAATCTTGTATGCAGTTTGGAGGATAACTAAGATAGACAAAACATACTACATCACCGCGGTGCTTAAAATGGATTTATAAAGGAAATCATGAATGATAAATGGAATGACTTCACCAGGATAGTGCATCCGCACACAGGGCAGCCGATACCAATGCATTTTTGAAGAAGAATGACCTGAACTAATATGGCATGATGACCACCCCGCTAATAGATCCTATGCAAACCCCTGTGATTGTAGGGTTCGGTGAGGTCTCCATGAGATGTTATAGACAATCAATCTCAATTATTGCCCAAATAAAGTTAAGAAAAGTTTGAAGAAACTTAGGCAACATTTCATTGATACTGCGCATCAGCATGGTGATCAAGACTAAATATCAGTAAAAATGTTGGTGGACCAATTGAAAACCTCTTTTAGAACAGATACAATGCAAATTGAAGGACTTATCACATTATTTTATTGCTCAGGAATCCTGCCACTATAAAACTGCAAAATTTGCTGTTCTAGTTTGGGTCAAGTTATTAAAGCATATTTAAAAAGTGTTTTTTTTGGGCCAACCTTTAATATATGGTTCAATCTGAATGTATTTTGTACCAAAGTCTTATCGATTTTTCAATTTTTTGCTTTGAAACCATCAGAGTGAGCTACCTCAATAATTATACCTATATATTGGGAGTTTATCAGTATTTGAATGATAAGCTCTCCCCCCCCCCCGATAAGGGATTAGTTCTTGGAGTTTATCAAACATATATGTTTTAGAGATTCTGCTTCATAATACAGTTCTCACATAATGATCAGTCATTTCTCCTGGCACATTCTGCCACATAGCTTATTGATATGGATAAAGATCATAGGGATAAACACAAAATTGCATTGGACAGGTTATGTAGACTTTGCGGTGAAAAAAATGTGGTTTACAGAAAATATATATAAAGCTCAACCATGTTCATCTGTTCAGGATACATTACAGACACGTATGCCATCTATTTAGTTGGATACTGATGCCCCACTCTATCATCCATCAAAACTTTGTCAAAAATGCTATCATGCAAAACAGTATAGCTATAGACGTGTATTTAATGAAATACTAGAGAAAAATTTAGCTAACTAATAAAAGATGGATATTATGATAAAAATTTAATGACCGGGAATTGCTTGAAATAAGTTTCAGTGCCATAGCAGACACCATACAGAATTTCTTAACAAACCAATGAATGAGAAATTTTCACTGCTTGAAGAACGACTTTTGAAAAGTTTGCTGAAAAGAAAACTATATACAAGATGACTTGGAAGAACTTATCGTCAGCATCAAAGGAGGAATGGAAATTCTGCTAATATTTTTAATTTCTTCTCTGCCTTACCCCTCTTTCTACTATATATACAGCCCTGGGATACTGTACATATCCTTTTGCAGAGCCATATGGTAAAGTGTACTCTGTTGGTTCATTTTATTTTATGGCAGTATAGTGTAGGAACTTGATACACCAGGATAGTTCATTCAAACTCTTGCAAATTCACTGACCTAGTTATTAGACACCAATATCTGGAAAAGGATAATTAGAGTCATAAAAAAGCTTTATTTACAAGGAACACTATGAAAAATATCAAGAAAGAATATTAGGAAGGCACTGTTGTTATGGCCAAATATTTTACTCATAATCCAAGGCTCCAAGGTCATGATAGCCTAACAGTTAATATAAACCAGATGTTGAGCATGCTCTGTAAATATTTCCTGTTGTTGATTCATTCATACTGTTATTCCCTGGATATATGATATTAAGACATTATCAGAATGCACGAAGAAAAACATAAAAAAGCTTTAGAAAGTCTGTGTAGATTTTGTAGTAAAAAAGTCATTACTAGCCGAGGAAGAAGTTCAAAAAGTGACAGAAAGATCACTAAACCAGGATTGGCAACTTATGTAACCAATCAAATAAAAGAAAAATGTGGAATAGACATTACCTCCGATGAAAGCTTATTCCATCCAAGACATTCATGTAATAAATGCTACTGTGCAATTAAAAGGAAAGGAGTAGCGCTTACAGATAGTTTCAAATAGGAAATAACTATGATTGATAGGCAATGGAAATTAATAGGTACAAGTGTGAACAATTGTTGGGTATGCCTTCAGTATTCCTATGAACATGAATTCCGCCTGAAAGGTAAGCCAAAGGTACACTACAAAACAACAAAACGGGTTAATGAGCAAGATGAATTATCTATTCCAATATTATGTAATGTGCCCAATAAAGATGTTTGTCAGACTGAAAGTCAAAAGCACCACGTACCTGAGAAGCCAAATACATCGGACTGTTCCACACAGCAATGTATACCTGGGAAATATGAAACTTTGCAGCAAATTGTTGAGAAACTGAAAGATCAACCACTTTGTACATTAGAAATTGAAGGATGTTCTAGTATAACTGAACGTTACGATTCTGATGGGGTATCAACCTGTCCTGCGACTAATCATGGGAAGGTAATTCGAAACAATACTTCATTGGTTATGGCTTTGAAATCTAAGCATTAATAGTGTTAGATTTAATGAAAGGGATATAATGTAAAAGTATGCAGGCAGAGCCTTGCAACAGTGCTATCTGATTCAGTGTTATTTGATACTCTGCAGTTCTCTCATTAAATAGCTTTCCTATTTGAACTCTAGGTTAATCAAAGTTTTAGTAATCTGCTATATTTTTATATATTATAGAAGAAGAACATGTTATTTAAAAGTGTTATGAACAAGGATACATTCAGGTCGGTGGTTTTTGTGAAAACATCTACAAACAATGTGACTATTTGCTTTGGAATTGGCTGATCACATAGTATATGAATGGGATCAAATTTCTGCAGCTCAGTTAGTGAATATGGAGAATGGCTAGCGATGGGAAAGATTCAAAGTGTAAAAACTGTAAAAATAGTGAAATCTCAAGATTTGACCTAGATTTTGACTTTGACCTAGATAAAAAAAGTTGATTTCTATTCCCATCATCCCAGACTAATTCCTTAGTTAACCATGTAAGCAGTAAAGTAAGCTCTTCTAGTTAGCAAGAAAACTGTGAAAAGGAGAAAACATACAAAAGCACTAGAGTACCATGATGCATCTTGTTTTACTTCACTTGAAGTGACCAGTTGACTTCTGGTACAAACATATCCCGACTAATGTTAAATATCAGTTCCATGATATTACATACCTTCTTCATTCTTCTTTTTCTATAATTAGTGCCTGTATTTTTGACGTTTTTTGAATTGTTCCATGGGTGTGTGATATTCAATCTGTCCATGTAGTAAGAATTCCACACGAAAAAAGTTGAATTTACACTGATATTTTAGCATAAATTAAACATTAAATCATTTCATATTCAATTTATTTTACTTAAAGAATGCATCTTGGTCACCAAAAAAGACAAAATGTTTCAGCAGATGACAGAAAACACAATATCTTTTGATTCAAGGAAACTGTAGCATCATATCCCTTATATTGCCATTATATATTTTACCACAATCTTTCTGGAAAATAGCCATAAAACATGGCAAAAAAATGAAATTAAACATGATTTTCTTATTTTTACTATTTTCCAGGTATTCCGACAGAACAGGCCCAAGAGCTCCAACCCAGTCGATTTAATGATGGAGTGTGAGGATGAGGAGCTGTCTCCATGGCAACTGGATGCCAACAAGCGGGCACAGGAGGAATACAAGGAGGCTCAGCAGGAGGTTAAGAAAGCAGAGAAAACTGCTAAAGAGACACAGAAGATTCTTGAACAGCAGGTAATGTTTTTTTGCATATCATCCTCATAATTCCTCTAAATTGAAATTTTGATAGTTGAAAAAAAAGAAAACATTAAAAGTATTGTGTATATATTTGCCTTACACACTGCTGAAGTCTAGAGTTAATCAGGATGATACTGTGGTGAAATATGAAATGGAGTGATTACATGCATAGAAAATATTCCATTCACAAAGAGAATATGTCCTCATGAAATATCTTGTTACATAGCGATTGCTAACATATACTTCTCCCTGCAGGCGATAGATGCTATGGAAGAAGAGGAGAGGAAACAAATGGAGGCAGAGACTGCAAGGAGAGAGGCTAATGAGGCTAAAGCTAAACTGGTTGTCATGGAGGCCCAGCAGAAACAGGCACAAGAAGCCCTTAGTATGTTCTCCATGTTGTTTGAAGTGGATCTGGGATACATAGGCTTGAATTGAGTTAAAACATATGTTGATTACATAATAATAGTACTGAATATTGTTTAAAGATAAAATGTTACATCGTGATTTAGTAGCCATAGAAATAAGAAAACTCTCATGCCAAGTGACTTTAACAATTCAATGTTAAGCAATATTGTCATATCTTTTTCTGCAAAGTCAAATCATTGCTATTTGATGGGAACTTTGCTTGAAAATGATTGAACACTAAACTTTTGTATTTTCTTGCAGAAAAAGCTCAAGAACTGTCAAATCGTCCAGTGCCAACATCTATCCAAGTGGTTCCCCCACCCCCACAGTTCGCGTTCCAGCAGATGATTAATTCTGCGGGTCAGATCATCACTGTCCGAGTGCCTGTCCGCCCCACACCCCAGCAGAACATCCCTCCTCCAGTGTCACCTGCAAACTTTGCCCCCCAGCTCCCAAGGCCTCTTGTACCACCAACTCCCATGCAACCGTCATCACAAGCACAGCAAATTAAGGTAAAGCATGTTAATTTACAGTGTTAGGAGACACTACATTCACAGCTGATTTCAGATCTTTTTCTGTGATACGAATCACCTTCATACATATGTGAAGTATTTATTTCAAGAATGCAATATTTTTTTCATTTTGAATTTTAGTCATTACATGTTGTATATTTTGTGTAAAATGAGCCTATTAATTCGCAAAAGTAATGATGTTGACATGTTTTTGAACAAAATTGCACATTTAGTAGACAGTTTCAACAACTGATTGACTTTTTTGCAGTCAAGTCCAACTCAGTATATCCAGCCTGTTCCAAAGGTGACTTACAAGCCAATTTCATCTAAAGCTTCCCAGCCTCCACCCAATGTGAGCCAAATTCCAGTTCAGCTTGTCCAGGTAAACATCTCTACAGTACCTTAGGGGTTTGGTCAATTACATCTATTTTTACTCGGGAAGGGTCGGTCATGGTTCGGTTCGGTACGATTCTCAGTTCTTGTCTCTCAGTTCGGTCGGCACAAAAAATTGGGATTCATGTTACACTGCACAAAATAAAGTATTTCCCCGGGAGTGATGAAATCGTTCTGGACTCGGTTCTTGGTGATCAGACAGTCCCAGTAGAACTTTGGGGCCATAAACAGTGGTAAATTGAACCGAACCATGACTGACCCTTCTCTAGTTTTTATTTTTATTTATTTACCATAGTAATGGTTACCGACAATCATAATATCGAAAATAACATAGAGCTTTCAGAATTGTGAGTTATTTTCTCAAACTGCAATATTGTTTTGCTGTGTAGCCACTTAAAACAAGATCACGTAAGACAACACCTGATGTCAACTTGAATGACGATGTTGAGGTAACCTATGTTAGTGGAACATCAGGACTTGGGGTGAAGCGAAGTTCATTCTCTGCAGGCCTAGAGTCGCCAGGCACAAAACGCGGGAAACCCTCGTTCAATGTCGATGACAAAGGTAGTCATTTTTCTGCTTATTTTATGACATCATTTGTTACGTACATTAGATTCATACAAATTGTTCTGCTAGGTTTGTGTTTCAATAACACGCGTGTATTTTCATATACATTCACAGTAGGGCTAGCATAGAATGTACAGAGTGTCAGTACAAATGTACTTATCTTTGCTGAATTTCATCATTTGATATTGCTATATCTTTTGTGCTGAATTTCATCATTTGATATTGCTATATCTTTTGTGCTGAATTTCATCATTTGATATTGCTATATCCTTTGTGCTGAATTTCATCATTTGATATTGCTATATCTTTTGTGCTGAATTTCATCATTTGATATTGCTATATCTTTTGTGCTGAATTTCATCATTTGATATTGCTATATCCTTTGTGCTGAATTTCATCATTTGATATTGCTATATCCTTTGTGCTGAATTTCATCATTTGATATTGCTATATCCTTTGTGCTGAATTTCATCATTTGATATTGCTATATCCTTTGTGCTGAATTTCATCATTTGATATTGCTATATCCTTTGTGCTGAATTTCATCATTTGATATTGCTATATCTTTTGTGCTGAATTTTACCATTTGATATTGCTATATCTTTTGCACATAAATCTGTTTGTTTTCCAGGTTTGCTGGTTCCTCTTGAGGAGTACTATTATGGGAAGAAGGAAGGCAATCCCTCATACACTGAAGCCAAGGGAGAGTTCAGATTTAAGGTAATACATCCAGATTGAAGCCACAAAAGAGGGTTCAGATTTATTGAAGGCATTACATGTGTGGTTGAGATCAAGAGAGAGAGAGAGTGCAAAAAGCGGTTCTGTTTGTTAGACCATATTTATTCATACATAGCTTTGATACCTTTTGGCGTAGAATAAATGTTTAGATTTTTTATTATGCTTTAGAGATATCCTTGATCTACAATAGTCTAACCTTTGTTCTTTGCTTTCAGTGTTATTTCTGCCACAAGATGTTATACAACAACATGCGTATGATGTTGCATGTACAAGGCCACATAGATGCTGAGAAGCAGCAAAACCTTGAGCTGAGTGACCTTACACAGTGCAAGCATTGTTACAGGCAATTTGACACCCCATTTGAGATGCAGATACACATCGAAAAGGTAACTACTCACCAGATATAACATATAACGTTGTCAGTATTTCCCAAGGGGGTTGACTCTTCAAAATATACCATGGGGGTTTTACATTTGACAGCTCAGAATGGTGAAAACTGCATGATTTGGAAAGAAATTGAGGGTTCAGAGGCTAAAATCATTATCATACAAAAAATATTAAAATTCCATTTTTCCATCTTATGGCTTTCATTTTTGTCAACTGTGTGCTATCATTTCAGAAATTATAAGGGATGCAGGAGACTGTAAAATGTTGACAGCTATCCTTTCAAAAATTATGCCATAAGTGTTTTCCTTATTTAAAGTCCTAATTTTATTTTCTCAAAAAAAGAATTGAGATACAGTGTATCCGATCAAATATTGAAGTTTTTAAGATTGGGAAATGTCCAAATTCATCAGAAATCCAAATTCATCAGAAATCAAAATATTCCCGTCTCTTGCTATATAACCACTTTAATTGCAGGTACACCAGAACAAAGACAATGTGTTGGTTTGTCGTATCTGTGAAAGGGAGCATGATAATCGAAAGACACTCACCAACCATATGAGAGTCACCCACAACTGCTGTGAGATGCCCTACATCTGCAACCTCTGCAGTTTCCGGTCCTCTGTTTACAGTGATGTCATAGACCATTTTAAAAAGGTAAATACACAGATTATAAGATGAAAAAGATCACAAGCATTTTTCACAAGATTTTTTCTCAAGTGGGTGCAAAATTCTCATTTTCACAATGCAGACCAAAATTGGTCAAAATATGACCATTTTTCATGATTTTCTCATTTTCAAGTGCATGCAAATGGATTTTCAGGTGGGTGCAAACCTGTTTTTGTAAAATTTCAGGTGGGTACTGCGCCCACTTGCTTTAATGCTGGGGAGATCACTGATAAGGTTCCAAGTAGATTTTTTCAGTTCAGTAAATGAATGCAAAATTAACGTGAAAGGTACTGAATCAAATTTGGTCTGAAATATTGACTGAGGTAGGTTGAGAAATATATTGTATAATGCTATTTATTGTTCAGTTTTCACAGCATTTTTACTGCATATTCATTTAGTATGCTTACTGTTGTTTAATATTACTTTATCATTGTATTTGTCATGTTTTATTTCAGCGTCATGACAGCTCAGAGTATATCATGTGTCTGTACTGTCTCAAGTCCTTCAAAATCAAGTTCTCATCCTCCAATGGTTGGGGTCTCACACAGAATTACTACAATCATCTAATGGTAACTATTGCATTTAGCTTCTTATTATGTCACCAACAAAAGTGGTTATTACATATTGCTATTGTCTCCATTTTTGTGACGGTTTTGGTGGCCTCTGTAACAAATTTGACATTCTCAAGGTCAAAAAATTAATATTTTGAGCAACTTGGTGGTGACATTTTGTCATGTTAATGCCTTGTATCTTCATGAAGTAGTCACATAAAGATTTAACATGAAATAGTATGTTTTACATGTCTTGTGCTAGTATATTACGTATAAGGTTCTTTCGAGGAATTTAAGAGAAAGCATCATTTTTATTCATTTTAATTTCTTTATTACCCATTCAGAAACATCTAAGCAAAGCTGGTCAGAAGCGCTGTAATGCTTGTAAGCTGACATATCTCAACAGAGCAGAGTTGCAGAAACACAAGTCTCATGATCATCAGCCTAACCACAGGGGCATTGGAGGTATGAAACAATCTCTTATACTGTCATCACTTGGCTAATCTCCAGTGCATCAATCACTGTACCACTGTTCCACAACTGGTTACTTTGACGGAACGTCAATGTAACAAAATGGATGAACTTCCTGGTTATTTAGCCCCTCGCTTTTGTTGCATTGATGAAAGTCTGGTATAATACCAATGTATGTTACTTTGACAACTTACGTCTATGTAACAAAAGCGATGGTCTAAATGCATGAATAACAACTTTATTTAAAAACCATATTCCAAACTGAGAGCATTTCTAAAAGCTAGACTATATTATCTAACTTTGTGCCAAATGATAATCCGCAATATGACTATACATGAGTTTAAATCGAGAAAACAAAAAAACTTGTATCCAGGAAGTTCATCCATTTTGTTACATTGACGTTCCATCAAAGTAACTAGTTTTGGAACAGTGAATGTACTTTGTATCATTTTAAATACTTTTTCGGTTAACTTTTTATGGTGTAAAATAGATCACATATGGGAAATGGAAAATGACTTATAAAGTTTCTTATATTACAGTCAAGGGTCCCTAAAGTTTTATTAACAAAGAAATCTCAGAATTGTTTTTGAAACATTGTTTAATTCTCTGCCCCTAGTACTGAGCCTTGTCAACAGCAGCAAGGCCAATTCTGACCAGGACATAGTCATGATTAAAGTACCCGACAAGAAACAGAAACCCAAGTCTCTGAATGCTAGTGCAGTTACCAAGGTGCTAGATTTCAGCCACATGTACTGGAGGAAGTCCGTAGATATTTTGAAGTGTAAGGAGTGCAAGCAGCTAATGGGGACTCTCAACCACTTCAGGTAGGATTTTGTTTAAGTGTCATGTTATTCATGGATTGAGTACAAACCCTCTACAAACTTAAGATCTGCAAATCAAGAGGGACATATCATAATTGACCTTTTGCGATCAGAATCCAAGTATTTTGTTTATGGATACTGTTGTCATGCATTTCGTCTGCTTGGTATGACGTTATATTAAAATAATATAAGACCTGATGGAGAGTGAAATATAAATCAATATAGCAGAATGAAGATAAATCTCTCAAAATCAAACAGCTACAGCAGTGTGACCAGCAGTGTGACGTCACTACTAGATACAATCCACCCATCGATCGCAAATCATCGATTAAGAACTCTTATTTTTTCCTCTTTGTATTCTCTGTGACCAAAGTCCTGGCAGGTGGATGAATTATGACAATTTTTATTATGACTCCCACCCACCCATATTCTAAATAATATCAGTAAAGAATAGAGGAAGTTGATAAAGAGGTGACTTATGAGTGGTGGATTTTATTGTTGCACCCATAACGAGTGGCAGATATTTATTATTTACATGAAATTGCACCCTCTTGAGAACAAATTTTGAGATTTTTACAATATGTTAAAGGTATAAGTAAATTAACAGTATCTGTGTAACTCCTTCATGCTGACCTCCTTAAATGCAAAATTTTATCGGAAAGGTTTTTCGTTTCTTTTTTAAATTAATTTTAACCTTTGTATTTTAGGAAGTATGTTGAGTGTTCCATGTGTCGATTCGCAACAATCTGTAGTAATGCATATGCTGATCACATGATCACTTTCCATTCCGGCAAAACCATCAAACCCGGTAAGATTGCAACGGACAGGAAGTACAAGAAGATGTATTGTTTATGTGGCTTCACAAGTAGCTATGCAAATAAAATTGGTAAATATTTTATGACATTTTAATGGTTATCCTTATAAAAAATAGAATAGCTTTTAAACTTTAGAGATGTACATTTTAACTATAGCAAGCATTGATTAGCTTCAAAGGAGGACGGAAAGTATCGCAACAGATTTTTGACAGTCATATGTTGGCTATTTTCATATTTCTTATTTGCCCCGAGTGCCTTGATTTCAAGTTACTATGGCAACCATTTCTTATCTAATGTTTCTGTTATTCTAATTATTTTTTGCTGGATAGATAAAACATTCCACGATGCACATTCTGTGAAACTTTTGTAAGAAAATATTGAAAAAATTAGAGAGACATTATGAGAACTTTATGATCAACCCTCATAAATATACATATTTTCAATATTAGATACTGATCATCTTTCTCTGAACTAAATATAGTTGAAGAATAAACAATGAGATCAGAATCTAATACGTTATCTTTTTGAAAATATGTTCATGTCATCTTTAGTGCATGAATGACTGAATGAAATCAGCGCATGAGCTTTATGAATTGATAAACGAAGGTCGAAGTATTTATTCAGCAGTAATACTGTATAAGTGGTAATTTTGCCTAATCATTTAATTTGCCTATTTCCTAATTTTTGCCAGGTTCGGAAAATTAAATGTCGGAAATATTGTCTTTATAATGTTATCCAATGGGAGGTTTCTTGTCATTAGGAAAATTTAAAATTAGGAAAATGATGAAATTTGACCATTCGGAAAATTAACCACTCGGATTAAATACCACTTATACAGTATTACCCTGGGAATATTACATGCTTTAAATACAATATACTATTTAGCTTGATATCCTTCTGGATATATAAAATGATATAAAGCATTTAATTACAATATTTTGTTATAAAACAAATATTTCACTCTATTTTCGGTGAATACCTGTAGCACTTTCACAAGGTGATATTCCACTTGCCCTTCGGGCTTCGTGGAATATCACTTGTGAAAGATGTACAGGTATTCACCTCAATAGAGTGAAATATTTGTTCAGTATAAAAACTCATCACTACGACACAAAAATATATCACTTTCGAAACCATGTAAACTGCTAAGATGACGTCATTTATATCCGGGATTGCTTTGCAAACTCCACACAACAGACTGTCCCATCTTTTCTCCTGCTTTCTCCCGAAGCAATTCATACATTACTCGGAGATTACTGTCAAACGTTCCAAGTTTTACAATTTTAGCATGTTTATTACGATCTAATTCCTGCCAGTATCAATGAATAAATCTATTGACCAACAGATTGGAAATATGTATTCCAGCGATACCCTCATTTTGACGAAAGAATGGTACAAATATGTCCACTATTTATCGAGATATCGTGTAGAAAAATTGAAGAAAGACATCGCTTAAGAAATATCTATTTCTAGACTGAACTGTTCACGCTCGCAAGTGGCATCTCCAACTCCATATATGGGCAAAAAGGTGGAGTTAACAATAAGCAATGCAGGGATTGACACGATTGACACGAAGAAGTCTCGATGAATCTCGCTTAAACTCCGCCCCTTCTTCGTGAAAAATCACGTGAATTCCGGCTTTTGCTGGGACATATCCGGGCATCTCGGCTTCGAACCCAATCAGAAGTTTCAATTTTGACTGGCGCCGCATACATTATCTCAAGTCTCACCCAATATTTTTATGTATACGTTAATAATGCTTTTTCACTACACTACTTCTTGCTGAATCTAATGAAAATGTAACCAATCACATAAAGAATGTCACCTATTATATTAAAGATGATTTATTATTCTGAATGTGGACACATATATGTTTTATTTATCTGTGTTGCAGCAAATCATCTAGTTCTGTGTTCCAAGAGAACATGCTATAGCAGGAAACAACAAGTTAGGATGATTGAATACGAGGATAGGGTAGAACCACCCCCAGAACCAGGTAGGACTACAGTCACTAGAATTACCAGAATTCTCTGCCCTCTTATTTGTTTTTTTACAAATGTACCAATTTACGTATGGTGTCATAGTAATTAAGGCACTTAGCACATTGGGATCTCATTTACCACTACGTTCAAGTGATATCAAGTGAAAGTGCTAGTTCTACTTCTATAGAAAATTGATTGCAGTTTGAGTAGCCACTTAATTAATACTTTGTTGGGTCATCCCAATCGAGAATCAAGTGTAAACTAACAAGCACAAATAGATTTGAGTGCACCTAGCCTATATTTCTTGTAAAAGTGATACACACAAACCTTGCTTTCACACTTGATGTAGCATTTCACTATATAATTTTGTGCATTAAAACCTGCCTTTAGACTTTAACCAACCCTCTATACTTCTAGTTACCCCTGTTTCTAAACCCAAGTCTATATTTGACCACCTTGGATTGGTGAAGAAACCCTCTGAATTGGGGAGTCCTACAACAGAACAGCCTAGATCACAACCAGGACCTCTCAGTAAGAAGACCTCTGGTAAGATGATAAAGTGTTCACATACATTTGTTTTGTACTGGCTGCGATATTCAAAATTTAAATGCATTGTAATCATGGGTTTTCTTTAAAGATTACCCACAGGGACATTTTGATTCAAAATCAAAATAGATATTGCAAGTTGGTTTCAAATATGAGTGCACTCCAAAAATGAGTATAACATATGTGTGGCGTTGCCACTTTGCAGAGGAAGATGCAACTGAGAGTTCTGGTGAAGTTGTTCATGGTGTTATTGAAGAATTAGTTGATACAGTCTTCCCAGCTGAAGCAGCAGCCCAGGATGCCCTTACTGTCATCTTGGACACTGTTGATAGTAGTAAGAAGCCTGCTCTTTTTCATGGCTCAAATGACTTTATAGTTTTGCTTGGGTGACCTTTGTTATGCTTGGGTGACCTTAGTCATGCTTGGTTGGCCTTAGTCATGCTTGGTTGGCCTTAGTTATACCTAGATGACCCCAGTCACACTTTGCTAATCGTAGTCTTCCTTAGTGGCTTGGGTGAGTGTTCACCACACTTAGGTGATCCCAGTCATATTGTGCTTATCATAGTCATGCTTAGTGGCTTGGGTGACCTTATTGCTTGATGATGGTGGTGACTTTAGTCATGCTTAGGTGACCCCAGTCATACTGTTCTAAATGTAGTCATGCTTAGTGGCTTGGGTGACCTTTTTGCTTTGTAATTGTAGTGACTTTATGCATGCTTTTGACTTTAGTAATGCTTGGGTTGTAGTCATGCTCAGTGGATTGGATGACCTTTTTGCTTTGTAATTGTAGTGACTTTATGCATGCTTTTGACTTTAGTAATGCTTGGGTTGTAGTCATGCTCAGTGGATTGGATGACCTTTTTGCTTTGTAATTGTAGTGACTTTATGCATGCTTTTGACTTTAGTAATGCTTGGGTTGTAGTCATGCTCAGTGGATTGGATGACCTTCCTGCTTGGTGATGGTAGTGACTTAAGTCACTTTTTCAGGAACTTCTTTTTCTTTATTAGATGGATGTTGTGTTCAAGTTTCATAACACAAGAACGTTTCTTCAGGTATATTCTGAGTGCCATGTAGCAAGCATACTCTTGGATTTTAATTGTGGTTGAGCCTTGAATCTATGTTGTAAAACCTCTCATTGTTGTTCCTTTATCATTTGAGTGTTTATTTATGTTCACGTTTCATGATCTTGGGCATTGTAAGATCAGACCTTCTAAGTCATTTATCTCTTACAGTCACATCTGAGATGCATGCTTATCACTGTTGAAAATTTGTTTTTGTTTGTAAAAACAGTAGATTAGCACGTATGTCAGCATAGTGCCATCATGGTTCCTTGCCATATACTCCCCATGATCATGGAATTGCCTGTAGGTAAATATGATAGGACCCTAAATTTGCCTGCTTTATCTTTATTCTTGCAACTTATTTGAACTGTTTCATCTTTCAGATTTATGTACTCCATGTACCAAAGAGCTCTACCCAATGATTTTTTAAATAATTTATATAATATAGAAATATCATTAAATTAGAATCATGTAAATATATGTATAGTGTATGTAAACTTCACAATTGATGTATGATTCTACAGTATAGTAGTTCTACAAGTAAAGTACGAGAATTTGTTCTATTATGGCTTGAATCTAGGTATTCCCCCTAGTTTAATACTTTTGTATATTTTAAATATGTAATATACATAAAATCAAAAGTAAAGTACGAGAATTTGTTCTATTATGGCTTGAATCTAGGTATTCCCCCTAGTTTAATACTTTTGTATATTTTAAATATGTAATATACATTTTGGTATTCTGATTTTTTAAGCAGTCAGTAGGAAGTCAGTAAGTTCACCAGTCAACATGGTCAAGGATAGCAAGCCTGTTGACAAAGATGAAACTGTGGAAGAGGAGGATTTCACAGACCCCAATACAGGTACAAAATTTTGTAATTATTCACCTTTCCCTTAAGTCAGCTCATGAATATTATAATAAGCAAAATGTAAAATCTCTGACGTCAGAGTTAGATAGATTTTCCGCCAAAATCTCAACAGTAGAAGTCGATGTTAATCCTGACTGAGTTTTATGGTCAAATCATAACGATGGAATGTGATGAAATTTCATTGATTATACTTATGTCTATGTTCGTTCTCCCTTCTTTATACGGTTCTTGGGAATCCAGTGAATGGAGTAATATTGGTATGAACGGTCAAGTGATAACTACACATTTTCCTGATATGTACCTCCAAGATTGAATATCCTGCAGCTTACCACTGCACTGTGAACTAAACTCAAGTAATATATTTCCTCGATATGGTTAGGTTAGACAGATATTAACTGAATAAATTGAGGTTTAATTGACAGTGAAAATGAGTTACATCTCAATTTATACACAATTTATTTCAGTTTATAGAAACCATGAGCTTAATTTCTTCAACAATGTATATTTAAATGAGAGTACTTTTGCTATAGGAGAAATGATACCTAAAGAGTTAATGGGAGTCAGGAAGTGGTCCACCATTAAGATGAAGGACAAAGCCTCAAAGTCATCAATCTTCCTTGGTACAGAGGACACCGATGCAAAGGTAACATATTGTTTATTGGAGGTTAAAGGCAACTGTTTTAGGTTAAATCTACAACACAGGCACTAATAATGATAGTCCAACTTACAGACAAGCAACTCTGTAGTTTAGTTATTTTTTGTTTTTTATGTAGTATTTGAGTCTGTGGCTCGGTCAACTTGACTTGAAGAAATTTATTGGTACCAAGAGAAAAATTTCTAATCTATAAAATAACTCTTTTTCATGAAAACAGTTTGATGGTATTATTGATAAAAATCCAGTACTGTAACAGTAAAACCTGTCTGAGTTGAACACCACTGGGGACCATTCAAAAGTGTTCAGATGATCTGATGTTCACATTTTAAGGTTTCTTAACACTAGTATGTGAGTCAATGGGAGATAACAAACTTGGGCCCAAGAAAAAGTGTTCACACTGAGAGAGAAGTTCAGATCAGAGAGATAAGTTCAGACCAGACAGGTGTTCGGGTATGCCGGTTTTACTGTTGTTATATGCTCCATGTCTGAATCGCTGAATCCTTTTCAGGACAATGATAAAGATGTTACGAAGGACCCTACGCAAGATGATGCCATGGACTTTGAAGATAGTAATGATGCAGGCATGGCTGATACCGTCACTGACATTATATCATCATTGGAAGACAAAAACAATGAAATGGAACCTCACGCCATTAATGAAAAGGAGGAGACTTATATAAACAAAATTGCTGATAATGCTGCATCTAGAATTCCTGAAGCTGAAAAAGGTGCTATTGATAATGCTACTGAATCTACAGATCCAACTATAGATGAAACTGTAAGTGAAAAAGGTACTATTGATATTGCCATTGAACCTACAGAACCAATCATAGGTGAAACTTTGAGTGAGAAACAGCCAGAAGAAATTATGGATGATAATGAACTATCTATGAAGGAACATTCCAACGAGAAGAAAGCAACTGAAGACCCATCTCCCACTGAAGAATTAGAAGATATCACTAAGACATCATTTGAAAACACTGAAGCTTCTTCAATTTGTAATACTATTGAAGAAAATACAAATAAACCATCTGATGAACAAATATACAGTGTACCTAGTGATGAACTGGGAGTTAATGCCTTAGATGATGATACAAGTGACAGAAATGGGAGTCCTAATGTGGGAGGAAGCATGGAGGATGAGAATGACACTCCAATGTTTGACCTTGATAACGTGGATGTTATTCCAACTCAAATAGAGGATAACAAACAAACTGTTGATGATTCCGCAGAAGAAAAGGTACTTGAAATGCCAAAGGAAATTGAAGCTGACCAAATAAAAGACACAATAGAAACAAATGAAAAGGAAGATAATAGTGTAAATAATCAAGACATTCCCGATGAAAATGCGTCGGAACAGGTTCAGGCTACAGAGGGAGAAAAACAGGAGAAAAACACTGAACAACAGGATAACATGGACAACAGAGATAATATAAAAGCAGATGAGCAAGACAATGTAGATAATAATGAGCCTGGTAATGTAACAAACAACCAGCAGGATAGCATAGAAACTAATGATAGCAAGGAGAAGACAGCCATTGATAATAGTAATACAAATGTTGACAATGGGACAGATGATCTAAGCCAGGTTGATACACATCAAAGTACAAATGTACCTGGAATTGTTGGTGCTAGTGAACTCTCCACACCAAATAGTTTACTCCAACCAGACATAAACATTCCATTTGAAGACAAACACCTGAACAGTCCTGGTACACCTGTCATGGATGAACCAGAGGATGCAGAACCAATAGAAGACCAAATTACTGACACTTCCAATACTCTGGAGCAAGTGACTCAACTCGAGCCTGAAGACATCTTGGAACATGATACTCCTAAAGGAAAAGAGACTGGTTCTGAATTAGAGAAAGAACCTGATGCACGAAAAAAACCATGAATCCTCACCTGCCATTGACAAAACAAATGGATCATTAGAAGAGAAAACTGACACTCAAGGTCAGGAGAGTAATATCAACGAAGGAAAAGACAGTGAAGAATCTAATAAATCACAGATCCCTCCAACTCCTCAGGAAATGAAAGAAAAATCAACACATAAACCAATTCCTGTAAAGTGGGATGATAAACAGCGAGACGACAGAACTCTACAGTCTCCAGAGTCAAGTAACAGTAAATATCAGGTAACTTAAGTGAAGCAGTTTAAATATAGCTAGTCAAATATATTGCGCTTAACTCAGGCAGAAAAGACACAATATGAATAGTCTTGCTGCTGAAGCCAAATAATTCCATCGCTCTTTCTTAGAATATTAAATTTTTAGAAATTTTGTGAAATTAAAACATGCATCTATTTTTGAGAAAGAAAAAATTTTATATTAAAAAAACTTTCGAAATCTAAGAATCTACTTGGAACAAAAATTCAATCTAACCTTTCAGGATAATCGAGACAAACCAAGAGATGATTACAGAAAGCATTCAGATGGTAGAGACTCATACAGAGACAGGAATAATCACAGGGACGATTCACAGGGATACAGGGACAGGTCACGTGACAGAGATCACCATGGTAACCACAACTCTAGCAACTATCACCAGGGCAATTACAGTAGCAACAGGTAATTAATCATTTTCTACTAAGTCTCTAATGTCATATTTGAGTGGCTAATTTGGCAGCATTTGTACCTGCTATTCACCACATTGTCTAGAGTAAATTAATCAAAATTCTGATTCTACTTGGCCTTTTATATTAGTAATATACAGGCCAAAAATTATTGCATCTTTTGATTTTTTCTTTTTTTAGTGCTTTGTATTTTAATTTGGAAGGTTCTAGTCTCATAATGATTAAATAAAGCGTGACTTTGAATAGTATAAATGCTAACTTTTTTATTAGTTCTAATGTAACTCAAGTCACTCATGATTTCAATTAGTAATTGAAATAACATTGGCGTTTATTGGAGAAACACATTGAAACAATGTCAGGTAGATGACTGAAACTTAGGGTAGCTTCACAACTCCAAAAACATATTCACGAGGATTGTGTGTGGCCCTCATGTGCATCATGTCTTTGAAATTTACAGCAAAAGGTGTAATTTATAACATTGCCCCCTATGGATGAAAGGAATAATGTTAAAATAATAATTTTATCCTTGATTGTTCAATAGTTAAATATGTGGAATGGCAGTGAACAAAGAGCAGAAAGAGTAAATCTTGATTATTTAATTAAATGTTTATCATTTTAAATTTTGTTTTAAGATATGTTTTTGAAGTGTTCATTTGTTTTGTTAACCATAATTGAACTAACATTTTTTAAAGACGAGAGAGCTAATTAAAGGAGCATTGTCTGTCAACATTATTTAAACTTTTGTACTTGTAATTAGAACTACTTAAAGCATAATAATTTTCTTTTAAAAAGATATGTGTAGCTTTGAAAACGGGTCCAATCCCAACAAGAAAATGCAGCAAACTCCTTGAGTCTAGATTTACAAGTCAAAAAGTAGCCTGGCCCAGGCTTACATCGGTTGATTATCCCAATTCTACATCTCGAAAAAATTCCAATGAAAACTATCTTCTAAACAAAATTGTATTTTAAAGTTTATCCTTGTCATGTCACACTAAATCCATTTTAAAAAACATATCACAAAGAATTCATTTGGCACAGTGAACCTAACAAGCAAGCTGTAAAGGCCGTCCCATGTATTAATCTGTCTTTGTATTGCTTGGTATGTTTTGCAAACATGATCTTTTAACATTTGTAATTCTAAAAATTAAAGCAGGTTATATGAAATGTAGTAATTCACATTTTCCGACATTCATTTCAGAGGGTATGACCAGAACAACTGGAACAGACAAGGTGGAGGAAGAGACAGAAACCATGGCAACCAACATGGCTACCATGGTAACCAGAGGGGAGATTGGAACCGTAACCATGACAACAGGGACAATAATCGCAATAGAGACTATAACAACAGACAACAATATGGTGGATATAATAACAGAGGCAATAACAGGGGAGGATATCACAACAGAGGGGGTGGATATTATTAATATCTAGCCACCCAATACAGTGGCTTCTCTCTAACATTGGTGGTTACAATATGGGTCTAATGTACCCATAAATTAAGAGAATTGAGTGAAGATATTGAACTTACATTTGTGTTCAATCAGCATTACAGAATTAATTTTAGCTATATATAAGACATACTGTAATAATGATTAGTATTTAGTGATGTGATGATGATGTATTGAGTATGTTGCAACTTAGATTACCTTGCACGGTATCAATAATTCCTGGTCACATATTATAGAATATGATATTGTAAGATCTTTTACGGTAATGAATATATTGTCCAGGTCAAGTCATAGGCTCTGACTTCAATATAGCACAGCGTCATTAGTAGCAGATTCTTTCCATATATTGTACAGGGTGTCAAATAAATATGTCCTCCCCCTCAACTTTAACATCCACAAAATGTTGCATAACTTTTCCGTCTGTATGATATCTGAACTGTTCTTAAGCTGTTAAGCACCTTAAAACTAGGCGCCATGGAACAAGTTTCAGATGACTAGCTCAACTTTGTGCACTTTTATGCACAAAAGTTCATACTCTTCAAATCAAGAGGGAGAACATATTTATTTGACACCCTATTTGGCACCCTATATACAACAGTCAACTTAGAAAATTCATCATATGATCAAGTGTAGTGTAGTCACTAAACATCTGTTTTATTTTAATATGTATATTAATTGTCACTTGTAACATTTGTTATTGCATGCCATATTTTCATAAAATTACAATAGTGTCAATGTTACATAGTAGGCTAATCCTTAGGAAGAAGTAGCACTTCATGGAAATATTATATACTCATCAAAGATGTAATTTTGATAATGGAAGGATGATGATCATTCCAACAATTCATTTTATGTCAGTAATTTAAAGCATCTGACAACATTTGCTAATTGTAACCATGGGCATTCAATGTAGATTTATTTCTATCGAAAGCCCATGTTGTAACATAGCATTAAGTTTTATATAATTACACGAGATCAGCTTCATATAAGTTAAGTATGTATAAAATAAACTGATAAACTGATAAAGATCCACACGAAAGGGCTGGGTAAATTCCAATGTTTCTGTATATATAGATAAGATAATTGACATGAAATTGATAAATGGGTTTCATTCGTTTATTGAAATAAACATTTAATCCATTCACAAATGATGAGTTGCTCCCTTATTACATGTACCTCTCTTATCACTTATGCATTTTAAAAAACATTGGCATCCAACCTGGCCCATAACATGTGTATGATCTTTACTTATTGTAGATCTCAACTTTTGCCCAATACATGTACAATCGCAGATTAATAATTGTAATTTGGAAGTATATTTAGTAATTGTTTCAATGGAGTTGTATACATGTATGTAACCGTGCTTCTAGGCTTATCTCATGATAGTATTAACAATTTCATTTGTATAATTGATCATTATATTTTTATATACGATAAACATTACAAAAAACATTTAGTTTGTTTTGTTTTCTCAGACTTCATTGGTCATTAAGATACATGTACATTCATAGTTCCAGTCATTCCTTATTCATGGATTTTTGATTTTCAAAAGATTTTTCTTGATGGCTGTGTGTGAATTAATTTAATTGGGAAATGTGTCAACTCATAGTTTCATAAACGTATCTTTCAACACATTGCCCATGGTAAAAGCAGCTTTTGGGTTATTTTTGCAAGGTTGATATTTTTGTTCGTACAAACTACCACACCAAGAGTTAAATCAAGTAATTCAACTATGCCATGTTCCAGTTCATTAAAAGTTCAGACTAGAATTATGTTTGGTTCATCTTCTCTCTGATCCAATCTATAGAGTAAAACACTCTTGTGTAAACATGGGTAGCATTCCAAGATTGAGAACACGCACACACCTACATGTACTTCTTCAACCATAGACCCAATTACTCCACCCGACCAGCTTCTTGGACCTCAGCTGTGCATAGTGACGAGACCCCATATGTTGAGGGAGATCAATTCACTGATCCCGACGGAAGAGATTACAGCAATGAAAGCAGGACAGTCACACTAAGCTCTAGTGTCATGACATATTGGGCCAATTTTGCTAAAACAGGGTATGTGTTATTGCCATAATATTTTCCTAGTTTGGGCAAAACCTCTAATTTACAAAGGAGGGGAATTGAACTTAAACTTTGGTTTAAGTTTCAATATCATTGTTTTTGGATATTTTCATTGAAATTTAATTTAGGAAAATTTTGAAGCAAAATAGGCCTAATATAAAATTTTAAAACATACTGAATTTTTTGCCATCTATTGAATAATCTTATTTTTCAGTAAGCACTTTTAGGTCAGTTTTAATCAATTACAGAAACCCCTACAACGAGGGCCAAGTTGTCTGGCCAAAGGTGACATGTAATGGTATAGACCATCTGGAACTGGTTGGAACTGGTATTACTGCAAGAACCAACTATCAGCCAGCCAGGGTGGAGAGAATATATCAGCTGGACACAACCCACAATGGAAATTATGTGGGCTTTGGCCTTGGACATGTCCATCATAAAATCCATAGGCCCCGGGAACATGTATAAAATAGCGAGTCGACATCTGTATTACTACTTCTTCTAGTAGAAGAAATCAGATGTCGACTCGCTATTTTATACATGTTCCCGGGGCCTATGATAAAATCCTATTTTAGTTTTTATGTACAATAACTATTCCAGTATATCGTAATAAATAAAATATGATGGTTATTTATAGATTAATAATCGATCATAAAAATAGCAGGTGTGTTTCACTTGTATCCTAATAATAGTGACATTGAATTTTCGCCAACGAAGTGATAAATATTTAATAATTTTTTTGATGGAGTAATCGGCTATGAGCTGCTGGAGAATATGAGCTGTTAGAACGGTATAAATGTTTATTTCAATAATAAACTTCTGGTGTTGAGCGTTGTATATTTGGGTGGCCTAATACAATACCCTTTCCAGAAAGATATCCTGAAGCTATCACATATTGAATTAATCTCCTCTGATAAAATGAGATGAAGGAAGTTAACATATCCATGCCAATCCCATCCGGTGTTATAAATTCCAGTATTCATTGTAAATCATGTCTTTCTTGTATCGTCCACTGATTGTTTGTCTAGAGATTGTGTCCATAGCCATCATGAGTCCGTTATTCCCACCAGTACTGCTTAATCTGAAATAATTAGACGCTAGCAATTCTACATACGTCACTGACACACTTGGAAGAACAACATTGTCATTATTGTCTTTATGATTGTACTTTGCTGGTTCATCGGGCTCTACATCTGCATTGATATTATCATAAATCAAATCAAGCCCAGATTTAGCGCATGCCTTTAATAGTTCTTCAATACATTTCATATTGCTGTATTTCAAAGCGACATCCAGTGGAGTTAGTCCATCATCGTTAACTTCATTAATCGGATCTCCCGTTTCGATTTGAATAACTAAACATTCAGCGTGGCCTCTCTTTATTGCTTGGTGCATATCTTCGCAGATGTATGTATCCATATGTTTGCGTTTACTCATGCAATGTCCCATACTGATATTATAGTTTTATCAGAATTTAATCCCTCATTACCCTTTGCATTCGTTTGACTTCACTTCTTAAAAGAGAGCTTCGTAGTTTAACTAGACTCTGCACGCAGGGTAATCCCTCATCACACTTGCCACCAATTATATTACAGACGTACAACTCGTGATGTTTCTGTACTCTATTCCGGTCATATTGGCTAATGATTTGTTCATTCTATACTCCGCGCCTCTATTAGATTCAGTGGCGTATTCTGTAAAACATTTTTAATTATGCATTGTAATAATGATATCCGTGCCAATAGGGGACACATAATCAAAAAAATTGCCGCACTCTTTTTTTATTAGGCTGCTATCCAGGACTCTTTAGAAATCAGAGCATTTGGTGTCTTGTTAAAAATGAATTCAATTAAGTATCAGTATCATTGGTAAGATTGGGTGTCAAATATAGTCATGTGGTGTTATCTTTGACTAAAAACAGAAATTGATCCAAATTATTGTAAATTCCCCTCAAAATTATGGACTACTAGTAAGTTTTAACAGCAAGCGTTCTTCCATGAGTATCAAGGAGTTCTTATTTCCAGATACCGAGAGTAAGGATCTCTAATTCATTAGTAAGCTTTTCAAATTTTAACAATGGGCTCCTTTGAAATGATTGAAGTCTCAAATTTAAGTGATATATTATGAAGATATACTCACCCCTTTAGTGAATCATCTGCATGGTAAGAGGAATATTTTTCCAAACGGACGAACTTGATCAGCTGGAACATGTGCTTCAAATCTTTTTTTTTATTTTGCTGATCCTCAGAGGGCAGCTGCCAAAAACGCGGATCATTGTGGTTAATGTCTGGACATTTGTGTTAAAAGAATGGATTCTTGTAGTTGATGATATTCATGGCTGAGTTTATGTTTAGTACTTTGCTAATATAAGCACGTCACTTTTGTGACAGGCCAAAATGGGGTGAATAAAAATGTTGACTTTTGCCAAAAATAAAATACTTCACAAATAGCAAGCACATACTTGGGACGGTGCAAGAATTTTAATTAAATATCTTTAAAGAACTGGTCTAGTATTAACAAAAGGTTTTATTTATTGTAGATAAATTGTGGTAGAAATATTAATCCTTCTTGTAAAGCGATCGTACAAAGTCAATGCCAGTTTATACCGCGGGGTGAAATTCAAGTGAGCGTCCGTCAATCATCATGTTGGCATATTCTGACATTTGGCCTCTTTGGTTATACTTTGAATATAATTTCAAGTATACAATGCCAATATTTTTGCCCTCGATTTTACATTGGGGCTACAGTGATTACTCTGAAGAAAATATAATATATCTACCCGAGAGTGTGGGATGCTACATGAAATAAAACAACAATAAACACAAAAAAGCAAAATGTCTTTCTTGATGTCTGAGAATGGCATGATTTCCTCGAGTGTTGTAAGCACTCATCATGTGGGAACAGGGAACGATTCGTATAGTTCCACCACTGTTGTCATTGGCGCTGGCTTGCAACCAGACTATAACTTCCACAGTCTCCGTTGTGGTTTAGCGTAACATACTTTTATTTAGAAACGTTCACTTAACAAAGGTTAGATTTCTCGGTTCATCGGTTCTTTGCTTTGACCATAATATATGTTTTTTCTTCAGTGCGTATCAAAAACGCAACAGATTGTTATCTCGGAAAAGCACAAAACCAATGATAACAGCATTGATTTCATTCAATGCACCATAAAGCCATGTGTCTCCTCTTTACAATGATATATCATCCCTTGATATTTGGTCATGGTTAGGCGAGTAATCATTCCATTTCCAAAGTGGGCCAAAATAACTTGGGACCAAGTTATAAACATCGCAAAAGTGCAATATTGGAAGAAAACATAAAACCAATGCTGACTGTATCCTTTTCATTCAATGTACCAAAAAGCCAAATTACTCCTCTTTGCAATGGAATATCATTCATTCACAGGGAGTCATGGCTGGCCTAATACAACATTGCAAAAGTCATTACAAGGAGCATGGGGCTATTGGAAGAAGGCGTGACAGGTGTGGCATAGACAGTAAAGTGTTGATACTCATACTCTTGCAAGAATACATCCTATACCCCTCCAAAGTGCCACCACTTCCTAGCACACAAAGATTCACTCATCTTTCCACGTCATGTATGGTTCAGCCCCGAGTCATCTGTGGGTTAAAGCAGAGAAAAGCAGCCCATGGGCAATTCTTTCTCGGGGTTTTGAAATATCTGGTGGAGAAATTGTGAGCACAGATGCTCCTGAGATAGCTCCAAAAGAAAAAGTCACGACAACTCAAGTCAGGGGAGCTTCCATTGGCACTTAGCCCTTGCACTGATTTTTGCAATATCTAAAACTTACCCTGCGTGCAGTCTAGTTAAACTACGAAAAAAAGACGAGGCTCTCTTTTAAGAAGTGAAGTCAAACGAATGCAAAGGGTATCTAAATCTTGGAACAGAGCCGATTTTGACCCACTGTGCAAATGGAAGGATTTCTCACCCAACCATTACCACATGTGAATGAATGACATATCATTTCAAAGAGGAGAGACGTGGCTTTATGGTACATTGAATTAAATTGATGTAGTCATCACTAGTTTTGTGATTTTACCAGATAACTACTTATTGCGTTTTTTGATACGCCCTGTATATTTCAGAATTAGGAAACATCCTGATCACATAATCTTCTGAGTAATAGTATACACATTTTACTGAATGCCATTTTCAACAGATGAGCCAACATCTGCATTTGAAAAGAAAGCTTCAAAATCTTTACAATTTGGAGGTAGGCCTGGTGTCATGTTTACCATCTGATGAGAATGGCTTGTAAAATGCCACCGCAGCAACCCAACCTTTCCCTTTAACAAAAGAAGATCTGGGTATCCTGGCAACCAGTTTGTATCCATGTCGTTCATAACTGTCTAAGATTGGTTGGTTTATTTCAAGCGTGTCTCCCAAAAATCCCTGGTAACCAAGCTCCTTGGCAATATCCTCAGTTATTCTTCGGATGTTTCCACCGATGCCAATATTTCTGAATCCATCTTTCATAATAGCTGGACCAGCGGCGAATGGTGAATTTGGTGTTCGGGAATATTTACTTGGTATACAAGTAAACATGCCAACAATAGCGTTGGTTGTCTTCTCCGTGATACAAAATACATGTCCACGTGCCATTCTATCCACAAAATACTCAAACGTTGGGAAATCGTCAATTCCAAACCCAACTCCGTCATCAGCAGCATCTTTGATGATATTATACACCTCGATATATTCTGTCTCATCAGCGTAGCGAGCTGTAAATTCTCTTCCGTCCAGGACACTGAATTTTCTTGGCAAAGAGGTGACCTTATTAGTCCATGGATCCATTTGGCCTCGTTGATCTAAAACCTCGTTCGTCAGAAGTTTATCAATGTCATCAGCTGACAAAACACATCTGTCGCTGTCTAGTTTGTATTCATCGCCAATGGGCGTATACATAGCAACACTATTCACCCAACCACGTCTGTATAAATATGCACTTTTGGGGATGTAACCAACAACAGTCATGCCATACCTCCCCGCATTTTTCCTCACAGCTTTATTAATTGCAAATGTTTCTCCCAAGATGCCATCAAACCCAAGTTCCTTGGTGAACTCAGTATGGATCTTGGTCAGTATTAAATGACATTTTCTGTTGCGATATTCGGGATTTACTACTGCATTTCCAGCTGATAAAACACCATTTGCAGATCTAAGCAGGCGAGAGGGGTGCACACTTACTACACCAACAATCTTCTGGTTGGCAGTGTCTTTCAATGTAAAATATGGATCCTTTTCACCATTTTAACAAATGAATTGAAGTCTACAAATTCCTCATTGCTGTATCCATCCCCTTTCTCACCGGTATCCTTAAACATTTTAAAAACAAATGCATAATCCTCCTCTTTAAGATAATCGATCTCAACATCGGTGCCGTCCGCCAGAGTATCCTTCCTGGGCAGATTTTTAATGCGAGCATTTGGTGTTCTGCGAGATGTGGTAAGGGTGGTAGTACCAAACATTTTGAATCCTTCAATATTTGAACCACAAATTGTACGGGGACCAAGTTTATTGTGATATGTCGATGAATCATCAGAAGCACCCTGAAAAACATAAATCAACAAGGTATACTTATTATTTATTTTGAATAAAAATTCCAATTCGATAATTTCGGTTGATTTTTTTGTACTTCGTTAAGGATAAAAGTTCCTAAAATTAATATAAGTGAATTGTTATCTTACTTGAACGTCATTTTATCCATGGTTACAGAATTGATTTAGGAATTCTTAACTCTACCAGATTTCTGATAATGACAGATCATTAGTTGGAGGTCAATATCTCATGAAAAAGATAAAGATGTCACGATGAGAACCGGTTAATTAATCTAAACATTAATGAGTTGTGCAATTTATATATTTGTCTGATTGGCCATACTAAATAGTCACGGCGCACAGTTAAGGATTGCATACGTCGGCCAAAGGTTTTTAGACAGATACTAAGGCAGACTCAAGGCGGTCGCAAAGGGACTACATGTTATTATTTTCCCAGGAGCTCCTGAGGGCTGTCACAAAGGCTGTAAAACTGGGGTCTGGGATACGCCTTATTGGGACATTCAGGCGACCGGCATTTCTCGATTTCGGGGAACTGCGGCCATCGTACATTCGCTGCAAATGTGACTATAAATTAGCGACTGTTATTTCGTTCACCTCTTGTTGCCCTGCGAGGCCTCCCTATCGTTCGTCATTCTTACACTTTTGCAATTAAATTTCATTCACGTTTGATATTAGTATCTTTCTCCATGTTTTCTATGTTCACCAGTGACATACTAACCTTACATGTTTTTGTTGCTGTTATATCAGAGTTAGCTTGGATTTCAGTTTGTGCATTTTGGGGTTGACACTGAAACGATGTCATAAATTAACAGCACACGTGTATTCTATGAATCATATATATATATCTTTTTTGGTTTTTAGCTCTAAAAATTTTAATAGAAGAAAAATATTGAATCACAAATTCATTTGGGGTAGAGGCAACCGCATTATGTTTGCAACATTTTGCTGTTATGTGGATAACAATTTTTATTGCAAATTATCAATGCATTTCTAATGCATTTGGCATAGACTTTGGAATGTCACATTTTGGAGAATATAGATTATGGCACGATCAAGGGTAACAAATGATGCGGTTTCTTAGAGTAAATGTAGATCATGTCATGTCATGTTTACCATTTCATGAGAATGGCTTGTAGAATGCAACTGCAGCAACCCAACCTTCCCCTTTCACAAAAGAAGACCTTGGTATCCTAGCAACCAGTTTGTATCCATAACGTTCATAACTGTCTATGATTGGTTGGTTTATTTCAAGCATGTCTCCCAGAATTCCCTGATAACCAAGCTCCTTGGCAATATCCTCTGATATCTCTCGAATGTTCCCATAGATACCGATACCTCTATATCCATCTTTCATAATAGCTGGACCAGCGGCGAATGGGGAATTTGGCGTTCTGGAATATTTACTTGGTATACAAGTAAACATGCCGACTATTTTGTCAGATGCCTTTTCTGTGATACAGAATACATGTCCACGTGCCATACAATCCACAAAATACTCAAACGTTGGGAAATCGTCAATTCCAAACCCAACTCCGTCATCAGCAGCATCTTTGATGATATTATACACCTCGAAATATTCTGTCTCCTCGGCGGAGCGAGCTGTAAATTCTCTCCCGTCTTGAACATTGAATGTTCTTGGCAAAGAGGTGACTTTATTATTCCATGGATCCACTTTACCTCGTGGATCTAAGATCTTACTCGTCAGAAACTCATCGTTTGGCATAACAAGTCTGACGTCGTCTAGTTTGTATTCATCACTTATTGGCGTATACATAGCAAGACTGTTCACCCAACCACGTCTGTATAAATATGCACTTTTGGGGATGTAACCAACAACAGTTATGCCAATCGTCTCAGCACTTTTTCTCACAGCTTTATTTATGGCAAATGTCTCTCCCAAGAAACCATGAAATCCCAACTCCTTGGCGAAATCGAAATGGATCTTGACGATGATTAAATTACATTTTCTGTTGCGATATTCCGGATTTACTACTGCGTTTCCACCTGCTAAAACACCATTTGCAGATCTAAGCAGACGAGAGGGGTGCACGCTTACTGCACCAATAATCTTCTTGTTGGCGGTGTCCATCAATGTAAAATATGGATCCCTTTTTACCATTTTAACAAATGAATTGAAGTCTACAAATTCCTCATTACTGTACCCTTCTCCTTTCTCACCAGCATTTTTAAACAGTTTGAAAACAAATCCATAATCCTCCTCATTAAGATAATCGATCTCAACATCGGTACCATCGGCCAGAGTTTCCTTCCTGGGCAGATTTTTAATGCGAGCATTTGGTGTTCTGCGAGATGTGGTGGGGGTGGTAGTACCAAACATGTTGCCTCCATTATTGGATCCACAAATAGCACGAGGGCCATTATTGTTGATATTTCGATTAACCGGCAGGAGGCCAACTGGATACTCGCCCTGAAAAACATAAATTCAAGAAACGGGGTTTACTTAATAAAGTTCCAAGTCCAAAACAAGAGTTCACTGACTTTGACGTCATTATCACGGTTTGGGAAGACCTCGGGAATGACATTTTGCTTGGAAATATCAATAATTTCGCACAATATATCTAATCTGAAGCCAGATCTGATCCAATGCGAAGTTATTGAAAACGGCTCTGTTAAGGTCTTATGTCCTGTTTAATATGGAGCAATGTTCTCAATTCTTTGAATCAGTGATAAAGATAGTCCTTTAGTCCTATTTATTTTAACAAGCGAAATTCATTGGAGTTTGAATGGTCCTTCATGCACATTTCGAAAATAGAATAATTGGAGAAACCATGCAATATAAAACCAGGGAAAATATCTTTTAGGTAAAGATTAAAAGTTGGATTGGATCGAGCGGATTGGATTCATGTGAAAGATAGATTGGATCGGGGTTCTTCAAATTATGGAATTTCTTTTTTCTGTTGATCTCCCTCACGGCAAAATTTCCATTCCACAAAGTATTTTGTGATCACTTTGGTCCCTTTGAGGGATCTGAACAAACCAACAACAAATACATACTACAATTAGTTGATGGATACTCAAAGTATTAAACTGATTTCCCTTGTAAATCGACGTTTGTAAGGTTCGTAGATAAAAGTGGTTAGTCAAATTGATGTATGTATGTTCTTACAAAACATTTCTGCTATGTTCTGTTTTTAATGAAAACAGATGATATGGATCTTCAAAGCATAGTGACATGAATAAGATTGTGTATCAGAAAGCCGGTACAAGATCACCCTTCTATCCCACAAAAGCAAAATAATATTACATACATGTATTCTATTATTTGACATTGTGGACGTGAGAAGAGCACCAATCTTCTTAGAGGGAGACCAATAGGCTAGAAAAAACCTAAAGAAATTCTACATTTTGAAGATTCCCGATCCAATCCACCTTTTACATGAATCCAATCATCTTGATTCAATCCGTCTTTTAATCTTTTCCATTTTTTCTATCGTCTCTTAGTAGTAGCGTAAGTAGGTAAGTAATAGCGGAGTTAAACAGACGTCAAAACTCCAATACTCCATCAGGCCCGTAAGACACTTTTCTCCAAGGGGGGTGCGGTTTTTACTAAAGAGAATATAAAATTGTCAATTTTTTGCCACGTAAATCAAATCGCGCAAGTCAGAAGGGGGGGGGGAGGTCGGTTACTCCCTATATTGGTGATTTTTGGGCACTTTTAAAGTGTTAAGAATTAACAAATGCAACTTCCAAACGTTCCAATTGTTTTGTGGGGGGTGTGAGGAGTGGTCAACTCCCCCTAGAAAATTTTACAGTTTTGAGATGCTATCTGGTGCTTTCTGAGCACTTTAAAAGTGTATGAGTCAATAAGAAAAATGTGATTTTTTTCAAATTCTTTTGGGGGTGTCAAAGAGGATGAGAGGGTGAAGTGGGGTGGGGTCCCAGAGGGGGAGCAAGGGGTTGTCCCCAAGAAACATTGACCATATCAAGGTGCCATTTGATGATGTCTGGGCACTTAAAAAATGTCTGGGACAATACATGAAATTCAGAATACTTTCTTTTGTTTTGTGGGGGATGTGAGGGATGGCTAACTCTCCTAGAAAATTTTACAATTTGAAGATGATATTTGGTGCTTCTGGGCGCTTTTAAAGTGTATTAGTCAATAAAAACATTGAAAAACAATCACATTTTTTTCAAATTTGGGGGTGTCAAAGGAGAGAGGGAGGGGTGCCAGAGGGAGAGGTGGGGTTGGGGTGCCAGAGGGGGAGCAAGTGTTTGTCCCCCATATCTGTCCCCCAGAAACATTTACAATATCAAGGTGCTATTCTATGAAGTCTGGGCACTTTAAAAGTGTCTGTGCCTAAAAGTGCCTATTTTCCAAGAAAATTTTACAATTTTAAGATGCTATTTGGTGCTTTTTGGGCACTTTTTGGGCACAAAGTGTATGAGTCAATCAAAAATTTGAAAAATCTTAATCTTTTTAATTTTTATTTTTTGGGGGGGGGTGTCAAGGGGGGGGGGGGGCTGCCAGAGGGGGAGGTGGAGTGGGGATGCCAGAGGGCGAGTAAGTGTTAGTCTCCCAGAATCATTAACTATATCAAGGAGCTATTTGATGATGTCTGGGGAATTTAAAAGTCACATAAAACAAATTCAGAACTTTTCCATTGTTTTGTTTGGGGTGTGAGGGGTGGCCCGTTCCCCCTAGAAAATTTTACAATTTTACGACACTATTTGGTGCTTTCTGGCCACTTTCAAAGTGTATGAGTCAATTAAAGAATTTGAGAAAATCACAATTTTCATCCAATGTTTTTTTTTGGGGGGGGGGTCAAGGGGTGGGGGTGCCAGAGGAGGAGGTGGGGTGGGGATGCAAGTGTAAGATGGGGAGCAAGTGTTAGTCCCCCAGAAACACTAACTATATTAAGGAGCTATTTGATGATGTTTGGGCACTTTAAAAGTGTCTGAGACAAAACACTAAAATGAATTTAGAACTTTCCCATTGTTTTGTGGGGGTGTGAGGGGTGGCCAATACCCCTAGAAAATTTTACAATTTTAAGATGCTATTTGGTGCTTTCTGGGTACTTTCAAAGTGTATGAGTCAATGAAATATTTTTCAAAAAAAAAATTTCAATTTTTTTTTCTAATTTTTTTTTTGGGGGGGGGGGGGGGGTGCGGTCGCACCCATCGCACCCCCCCGCCCCATCTGACGGCCCTGTCCATAAGCTAACTTCAACAAACTCCAAACGATTTGATTTAAAAAACAGGAATCAGAAGAGCAATATCAATACTAAAGGTTCTTAGTAATACAAACTTGTACATGTAATAAAAATTATGGTGCTTCAACCATGCCAACAGGACATATTTCTCGACTTCCTGATGTTTTGGGCACTACTAGATTTCAGGTGTGCCTGCAAAGTGCAAATGAATGGACGACATTTAAAGACCATCTGGTAACGCTCATAAAAGGGCATCTAGTTGGGATAGTCATGGTAAACAGTAAACATGGTAGAATTATTGTATGATGCTGATGACGCTAGGACGCATCGATGGAGTACATGTACGTGCAATTGCCTTCAAGGAGGCTATTGAAGGTGGAACTGCCTTAATAAATAATATAGATCAGACTGGTAGGAATCCAAGTTATAAATGACAAACATATATGATATTTAATATTACATAGAATATATATATGTATTGGTGTTATCAGACTATTCAATCTGCTTTAATGTAAATTGTAATGTAGGTCACAATTTCGAGGTAGTAACAACACACTTTGGATGGAATGTCAAACTTATGAGGCTGTTTCACAGTTCTGAGGTAGCTGTACAATTTTAAGGAAAAAATGTTTTTTTAGAATGTCGCATTTTGGAGAATATGGATTATGGCACAATCAAAGTACAATCAGACTAGTATGATATGAATGTGATTATCTTGGAGTGTCGATCATGTCACAGTTTTGAGAATGTGGCATGTCTGCCATTGGAAGAGAATGGCTTGTAGAATGCCACCGCAGCAACCCAACCTTTCCCTTTAACAAAGGAAGACCTGGGTATCTTAGCGACCAGCTTGTATCCATATCGTTCATAACTGTCTATGATTGGTTGGTTTATTTCAAGCATGTCTCCCAGAATTCCCTGATAACCAAGCTCCTTGGCAATATCTTCTGATATCTCTCGAATGTTCCCATAGATACCGATACCTCTATATCCATCTTTCATAATAGCTGGACCCGCGGCGAATGGGGAATTTGGCGTTCGGGAATATTTACTTGGTATACAAGTAAACATGCCAACAATAGTGTTGGATGTCTTCTCCGTGATACAAAATAAATGTCCACGTGCCATGCTATCCACAAAATACTCAAACGTTGGGAAATCGTCAATTCCAAACCCAACTCCATCATCAGCAGCATCTTTGATGATATTATACACCTCGAAATATTCTGTCTCCTCAGCGTAGCGAGCTGTAAATTCTCTCCCGTCTTGAAGATTGAATGTTCTTGGCAAAGAGGTGACTTTATTATTCCATGGATCCACTTTACCTCGTGGATCTAAGATCTTGTTCGTCAGAAACTTATCAATGTCACCATTGGACAGAACGAGTCTGTCATTGTCTAGTTTATGTTCCTCGCTAAAGGTACCATACATAGCAACACTGTTCACCCAGCCACGTCCACCTAAATACGCACTTTTAGGGATATAACCAACAAAGGTCATGTCAAACTTGCTTGCATTCTTCCTCACGGCTGTATTGGTTGCAAATGTCTCACCTAAGACTCCATCATATCCAAGTTCCTCAGTTAATTCAGCATGGGTCAGAGTAATAAGTAAGTGGCATTTCCTGTTGCGATATTCCGGATTTACTACTGCGTTTCCACCTGCTAAAACACCATTTGCAGATCTAAGCAGTCGAGAGGGGTGCACGCTTACTGCACCAATAATCTTCTTGTTGGCGGTGTCCATCAATGTGAAATATGGATCCTTTTTCACCATTTTAACAAATGAGTTGAAGTCTACAAATTCTTCATCACTGTATCCATCCCCTCTTTGACCAGACTCTTTAAACAGTTTGAAAACAAACCCATAATCCTCCTCCTTAAGATAATCAATATCTACATAGGTACCATCTACCAGTGTGGCCTTCCTTGGTAGATTTTGAATGCGAGCGTTGGGGTCTCTTCGAGACATACCTGTTGTAACGTTACCATACATGTTGTAGCGTTGAACAATAGATACTCTCATTGCCTTAGGGTCAAGTATCGTACTCTGTATATCTTGATGCAACCTCAGACGTCGGACTAAATGGTTAACCTGAAAAATATTTCAATATACGAGTTTTATACGAGTAGAATGAAAAATTCAAATTATACCAGTACTAGTTACCAGTCACCGTGCGTAATAGACAAAGCCTTTGGAAGTGATTATTCTGGTCAATTGTTGTGATTTGATAGGTAATTAAAAACCCTGATTAGTGTTTATTTGTCTAGCTACAAGCCCTTATGACCCCCCCCCCCCAAATCACCTCCCCAGAAGTGAGAGGCGTTTAATTAGTCTAGTAGGGAGTCACATTTCACATAGTCTTGGAGCTAGACCAATTATTTATTTCCAATGAAAATTAAAAGAACCAGAGAAACACAGGTGTGACAAAATAAAAACCTGACCTTTCAATGTGTTCCCTACCATCTGACCATCTCAAATAAATAAAATAACATATTGTCTCAAAAATTGGAAAGTTATCAAGTGCAAATATGAATATCCAATTGAATATTAATGGAAATATGAACAATTATGTTAGGCCTAGTATGAAATTTTTTAGATTTCTTGAATATAAAAGGGATTCTGCATATTAGATATGACGAAGAATATGACTATGAGCCGGAAATATACTCAAATTTTAAATGTTTTGGAAAGGTTTTATAATACCAATACTCTTCTCCAAGCAGTATTAAATCAAACTACAGTTAAACCTGCATACTTGTACTCTAGGCTATAAATTGAACACCTATGGAGTATGGAGCCACAAAAAGTGTTCACTTTAGGTAGGTGTTCACCACAGAGGGGATTTTATACAGGAGTCAACATCAAATGTGTCTCAAAGTGATGTTCACTAAACACAGGTGTTCCCTTGAGAGAGATATTCACTAAGACAGGTTTTACTGCATGTGGATTCATTTCTTCAGGAGCCACAAGTTTGAACCAAGCCTCAATACACAATTCAAGAATTAATGTATTTCCTATCAACATAGACTGTAAATTATAAGGATGGGCCAAACAACTGCTCAAAAAATAAAGGTTATTGCTTTATTTTCGAAAGAAATATTAACAACAAATATATATAAGAGAATTTTCAATCATGTACTATTAAATAAATAAAAAGATATGGCATCATGGCAAATGTCCAATTATGACCTGCCATCTATAGTGTTCAACAGCTCATTAAAGCTTTGAGCATGAGTCAATGAATGATTTGTAAACTGTCACTGCTGCCACCCAGCCTTTTCCCTTCACAAAAGTAGACCTGGGTATCCTAGCAACCAATTTGTAACCATAACGTTCATAACTGTCTATGATTGGTTGGTTTATTTCAAGCATGTCTCCCAGAATTCCCTGATAACCAAGCTCCTTGGCGAGATCTTCTGACATATCTCGAATGTTTCCATAGATACCGATACCTCTATATCCGTGTTTCATAATAGATGGACCTGCTGCGAATTGGGACATTTGGGTTCTTGAATACTTACTTGGTATACAAGTAAACATGCCAACAATATCGTTAGATGTGTTCTCTGTGATACAAAATATGTGTCCACGTGACATGCTATCCATAAAATACTCAAACGTTGGGAATTCGTCGATGCCAAATCCGACTCCATTATCAGCAGCATCTTTAATCATATTAAACACCTCGAAGTATTCTGTCTTATCAACGTATCGAGCTGTGAATTCTCTCCCATCTTTGACAGTGAATCTTCTCGGCAATGAGGAGATCGTGTTGGTCCATGGTTCGAGACAACCCCGTGGTGCTAAGGTTTTATTCAATCCCATTTGTTCGATTTGGTCCATTGACAATGCATATTTGGAATCATCTGGGTGGCTTTTGTTTCCAAAAGCCGAATACATCATGATACTGTTAACCCAACCGTGACTTGGAAAGTAGGCACTATTAGGAATATATCCTATCAGTTTTGCATCAACTTTTTCAGCATTACGTAAAATGGCCTTGTTTGTTTCAAATGTTTCGAACAAAAGTCCTTGGTAACCCAAAAAGTGACTAAATTTGGCATGGAGTAATGTCATTACAAAATGGCAGTTTTTGTTTCGATATCGGTGATCTATAACAGCGTTTCCAGCTGCAAAAACTGCTTTTGAGGATCTGGTCAATCGGGTTGAATGCACACTAAACACCCCAATGATCACGCCATTGGTAACATCAACCATTGAGAAGTAATGATCTCTACTGACCATCTTTTTAAATACTTCAATATCTGAGAATTCCTCATGAGCATACCCATCACCAGCATCCGCAGCCCCTTTAAACATACTGTACACGTGAATAAGATCAGTTTCTTTCAAATAATCTATGGAGATCTTTGTACCATCTGACAGGGCGGCTATTTCAGGCAAGGGCTCAATGGGACCTGGATTTGGACTGGTTTTGTGATACTTCTGCATTTTGGATTTTCTAACAGTAGCTACATTTATAGATCTAGCACCAACAGATACATATGGATTAGTGAAGCAATATGTCTGTGAAAGCAAACAAGCGGGTATAGAATGTTTTGTCCATGAAGTCAGGAGTGTATCCAGGTTTCTTTGTGGTACCTGAAGAAATACATAGAAATGATTCAGGTTATTATATTGTTTGGTCACTGTTTCAATAGAAATGTTATGGCAAGTATCTACTGATGCAGTTTTGAAACCTAGAATCAAGTATCAACTAACTGTATCATGAGTAAGACTAAGGCAAATAACAAAAGCAGGTCATAGCGCGTTTTGCAAAAATAAATTACCGTTCGTAAATAACATGCATTGTTGAGAGTAATAAGAAGTGAACTTCGATCACGAAGAACTTTAAAAGGCTCTTTGCCAATAATCATCGACGAAAAAGTAGAAAGATGCTTATGTTAATTGTATTATTATCCGATACAATCAGTTCGGTAAGTGTTAGTTGAATATCGACGTATAATATTTGCAAACGCAACCACAGGAGGAATAGGCCTTTGATAAACCTTCCGCCTTCCGGGTTCAAAATAAATAGTAACCGACAGTAAACAGGGACCCTCGCCCTGGATCCGACGCCTTGATCCGTTAGCAAAACGAAGAAAACAACTTACCCTTGTGCTGCCAAATCGCATATAAGTACTGGCGTTCCAGCAAATACGTCTAAAACAGGGTATAGATCGAGCAACGTTCATGCCGCAGGTCACGACTCACGACCTTCAAACTACAGTGAAATACGCAACGACACCAAAATATACAATCCACGCACTACTATCATATTCAGTGGTATCGCTATTACGTAGACGTAGATTTTAGTCCCTCAGGCTAAATGTTGCTGGAAAAATGGTAGGATGAAGCGAGAGAGTCCTAAAATGTTGGCCCTTTGAAAGTTGTTAACCCAATTTTCAAAACTATGGACCCATTTTTAAAACTTGAGGCCAATATTTCCAAAAATGAGGCATATTCCTGAAATTGAGACCCAGCCTAAATATATTGATGTATTCTATTTACATATTCTATTGCTCATGAGTGTTCCATGTTGCAAAAGTTGAACACCCGGGGATTTGTCACTCCTCACAATGGGTACCCTGTTAGTTTAAATTAAGCCTTTCGTGCATGGCACGAGGCAGCCACATTCAAAGTAGTGGTTTCATTAACTTTGATTTCAACAGTCATCTCTGTAAAAACCTAGCATTGAATTAGAAATTGAAAATCAACAAATCGAATGTATTTAATAAAACCAAGAATACTTGGGCCAAGTCAGAATACCGGCTTCAAGAGCGTACTAGGCCTACAAGAGTCGGAATACTTGGGTAGCCCAGAACACTTGGAGCTTCACAGACGTCTATCTCGAGATAGACGTCCCGTGAAGGAAAGAGCGACATTTTCGGGAAAAATGCATTTAATGGAAAGATGGCGGCCAAAGACAGTAAGAGAATACTAAATAATCGCTAGGCTTACATCAGAAGGCTAGAGAATGCGTGCCGCCCGTCCTTCCGCCCTCCATTCAGGACCCGCAATTTAAGTTGTGATGGCAACGCATTGATGTATTAAATTGAGGGTTTTTATATCAACTTGACGATTGTTGAAGATCGCCATTGAATTACTCTAAGTTTTACTCTAATATCACGGGTTGCAGGGGCGGGGGGGGGGGGGGGGTCAACGAAAGATTTGTCCAGCTTGATGGAGCATGCTATTTTTCATAAATAATACCTTAAGAAATTCCCTTATAACTTGAGTTTATGTTTCGTTATACCAAAGAGAATAACTACTCCAGGCAATGAGCATATCGTTTGCGGATAACCCTTGCCCGTAGCCAGCTTTTACTAGGAGGGGGGCTTTTTTCCAGGGGGGGGAGCTTTTTCACAGTTTTGACTGAAAATCATGCGAAATATTCTCAGAATGGTGAAAAACTGCATGATTTTGAAAGAATTTCTGGCTAGGGGGGAGCTTCCGCTCCCCCAGCTCCCCCTCTGGCTACGGGCCTGTAACCTATACACTTCTGTCAGAAGTTCAATAAGGCTAGGAGTGAAGCTGTTGAAAACGGCGCCAAAGTATCATACTCTAAAATGTACAATTTCTCGTTTTACTTTTAAATGGCACGATACAGTGACATGACCCACATGATAATATTTATTATATGTTTGCATAACTCTAAAGGTATTAGGCTAATCATGCGATCTAGATATATTGAGTCTTATAAAATATAGGGCCCTAATGTTTAATTTTTGTCCAGCTTGATGGAGCAGTTTCAAATGTGAAATACAAAACTGCTCCATCAAGCTGGACAAACAAGTTAAAAAATAGAAACATTATAAAGACCCAATACATCTAGATCTCATTAATACGAGTACCTTAATTCAGAGTCATGCTGGAAACATATAAATATTATCATCATGTCTCTATAGCATTCTGATACTCGTAGAATCTTTCTGTTTCACCTGAAACTGAAACATGGGCAGCCAGGGCTGAGAAAAAATGAGATTTTATGGTTTATCATGATGCTATGATATCGGTTAAAAAAGAAATTAGTCTAAATAATGGTACATTTTAGATTATGATACTCTGGCGCCGTTTTCAATAACTTTTACGCCTAGCATTATTTGACTTCAAACAGAAGTGAAGGTTCTCCGCAATTACACTCATTGCAGTAGTTAATTTCCTTTATAACAAAATATCAGTTAGAAAATAATTTTTTAGTTTCTTATGAAAAATAGCATGCTCCATATGTTGGACTTTTTCGATGACAACCTGTGAATATTTAGATGGTACCAAGCTGTTATAAAAATGAAATGGAAGTCTAATCATTGTCCATTTTTGTTTTTTCTTATATTTTCTAATTTCAGATGAACTGAATTATGATTAAAGGGATAGTTGGGAGACACGCCTCGAAACAATTTTGGGCCCTCGCAAGACGATGCCATTCTTCGAACCGACCCGACCATAGCGCGATGGAAAGGAAGAAGCGATTATATTACCCATTGTTACCTGATCTTCCCGGAAAGATTCGAAGTCCCGAAGGTGATATATTCTTCACTGATATCCCGAACGACTCTCAATTGGTTGAAGCGTATGCACTGTTCCAGGCCACTGTCAATAAGGACGATGGATTCGGCGTGGATGATTATCCGACACTCGACTACTTTATTGACTATATGTGCCACGACTCAATTGTGCCTTTTGTCATGTATCAAAAGCCAGAGAAAAAAATTCTTGGTTTCTTCAGTACCTGTCCAAGCCGCTTTTGCCGAGGTGTCAACCCAGTGTTCTGCGGGGGAACGACAGTGTTCCATGATTCAATGAAGGACCATGGAGTATATAATCAGATGGCCGATCTTTATTGGGAATATGCTCAACATCTGGGATATGAAGGATATCTTGGAGAGACATTTGTAAACAATAAGAAGGTTATACATACGCTGACAGAGCACCAAAACTTCAAGATCCTTGGAGAGCTGCCTAAAATATCTAGGCTAAAACATTCCGGTTGGGTGAATAGCTTAGCTATTGTAAAGCTCTTAAGAGAAGGAAAAGATGTAAGTAAAATAATGGAAGTTTTTACATACTCCAAAATTAAAATAAAATGGGAGGCGTCCACTTCGTTAGTCTCATCTCATCACATCTCCAGTTTTTGTAACATCTTTGTTTTTAACACTTTTGATCTTGAAAGCCATTTTATGATTATTTCAATCCTCTTCCGAGATATTCACGAAATGACCAATTATGTATCTTTTTGAATTTGTCCGTACATCTACAATGACCTTGTTTCTTGTCATGACATTTTTAACTTCCAGGAGAAACCTGGATACAGCGTTTCAAAAGTGATTGTACCAGATCCGAATATATCTCAGATCACGTTGAACAACCACGCCAGGAAGATAGACAACTTACCAAGGCAATGCATCACTCACAACGGAGCTCAACTATCCATTGACTATGTCATGGAAGAGGACATTGAGCCTATTTATGATATGTTTGTCAAAGCACAAAATGAAGGCGATGGTTTTGCAATAGATGAATATCCAACGTTCAACCATTTTGTGTACAAGCTGAGAAGGGGGCATATCTTCAGCATAAAAGTAAAGGGGAATATTGTCGGTGCGATGGCTGTTATCCCGAGTAGGTTTGTACGTTCACTATATCCTATTCTTGGAGATGGGCCTGTGATAGTTGATGTACAATACAGAGGAAATGGGAATCTCATTAAATTGATGCGTTTCCATGATTCCATTAGCAAGGAACTTGGCTACGTGGGTTCTTTGAGAGACACATTTGCAACGAATTATGGTCATTCGACGCTAAGCGAAACAGGAGAGAGAGGCAGCGATCGTAAATCAGACTCGGAGGTTGTCGCTAGGATACCACGTACTGGTTACGTTGCTGGTAAAGGATGGACGGATTCATATATCACGTATAAGGACTTTAGTGATTTTAAAAAAGCTTCCATGCTTTAAATGGTCATCTTTGTATAACATGCTTTTCTTGACAAATAAGCAGACGTGTCTCCGAATGTAGGAATCAAAGAGATACTCTAAAGAAGAGTATAAAATGCGAGAAGTAATCTCAATTAACAGCTTGCCAGCGTCTTTCTCACATGCTAAAGCTAGTTTTATTTATTTGTTTTTACATTATATTTGCACACAGTGATATAGCCACCCTGGGGACTGCGTATAGCTTATCACAAGCTAAAATGATTTTAAAGAGTATGCATGGTCAAATACTTCAAGCAAATCTTTTTGAGACGTTTATACACATATGGAAATAACTGAATATTGAATTAGAAATGTCTAAAATCCAAACCCTACATTTGGAAAAGAAGGCCATTTTCGGAATAGAATGAGGGGTTTGTTTACAATATCATTTTACCTGTAAAAGAAGAAATGGAATATTGCAATAGTATAAAATAGATGCTTATATTAATAAAACCTGTTTTTCTTTTGCATATAATGATTTTTGTTGAAATAAAGTTATATTGAACTCGATCAAAAATAGGTACGCCAAGGACAAATAGATGGAGCTACATGTAATATACTCTAGTAGCTCATGCTGGTTGAGTATGCACTTCTATGTCCAGAGATTTTCTCTTCAGAAATCATCTATGTGAAGGTCATTGATCAATTTTGGCTTGGTAACATATTTGCCACTGAAGGCGAAATAGGTCAAATGGCCACGCCCTTTTTTACGGAAATACTCCCCCCCCATTTTTGCATCTCCGGAACCGTTGGACATAGAAGGTTGTGTGACCACTCAAAATGTCCGGAATGGCCACATTATAGGGGGTCAATAATACATTTGTATTTAAAAAAGTCAATGGTTCTCAAGATATTTCCCAAAAACTGATTTTAGAATGAAAACTCCACTATTTTCTCCTTTGATCCTGTCCCTAACTCCGATTTCGTTACTCGGCTGGGAAAAAAGGTTTGTTGGTATCATTTTGTTCCAGACACTCTCTAGAATAAATTCATCTTGGGTGGAATAAAAATGTGTGGTAAACGAATTCGCTATGGGCAGTTAAAAAATCGCCATCTATTCATTTTCAAACAGGGGGTAGGGGTATAAAATAATTTTTTAACACATTTTAATAGTAAAATGACATTGAAATACTAATAAAATCTTATCAAAAACATTATTTACAATCAGTATGAATTTTCTTGTGTGGATTAGGGTGAAAATAAGGGCATATCTTGAAATTCACTACAGGGGCGCCACATATTTCTGTTCGTGTACTAACTTATTTTAGATTCGTTAAGGTACGAAATGTACTGAAAAAATTCATTCTGAAGGACCTATACATGTTCATACCACATACTTAAAATTAGATCAATAGCTTATGTACCAGCGGAGAAAAAATTTAAGTCCAGAGTCCAGAGATTTTCTCTTCAGAAATCATCTATGTAAAGGTCATTGATCAATTTTGGCTTGGTAACATATTTGCCACTGAAGGCGAAATAGGTCAAATGGCCACGCCCTTTTTTACGCGAATTCTCCCCCCCCCCCATTTTTGCATCTCCGGAACCGTTGGACATAGAAGGTTGTGTGACCACCCAAAATGTCCGGAATGGCCACATTATAGGGGGTCAATAATACATATGTATTTAAAAAAGTCAATGGTTCTCAAGATATTTGCCAAAAACTGATTTTAGCATGTTACGCACAACAGTTTTCATCTATCCTGCATCATTTAAGACTGAATCCGCAGCTTCTATCTAGTCAGATCAGTGAAGGAAACAAACTTTTTTGGTTGTTGAGTTGAAAATTAAAATTTTTTAAATGTATAATCATATTCCTACATCTTATTAGTATAATATTATGACAAAGCAAGAGTACATACACCATTTTGAGTTTATTTGAGATACATATGCTCCATATTTTGGAAGTTATTAAGGTGACATATGGTCACCCCTGGGACGTCAGAAGCCAAAATGAGAATTAATAATTTCAAAAATGTACAATCATTTTTCTACTTCTTATTACTAATATTATGACAAAGCAAGAGTACATACACCATTTTGACCACATTTGAGATACATATGCTCCATATTTTGGAAGTTATTAAGGTGACATATGGTCACCCCTGGGACGTCAGAAGCCAAAATGAGAATTAATATTTTTTTAAATGTACAATCATTTTCTTACTTCTTATTACTAATATTATGACAAAGCAAGAGTACATACACCATTTTGACCACATTTGAGATACATATGCTCCATATTTTGGAAGTTATTAAGGTGACATATGGTCACCCCTGAGACGTCAGAAGCCAAAATGAGAATTAATATTTTTAAATGTACAATCATTTTCTTACTTCTTATTACTAATATTATGACAAAGCAAGAGTACATACACCATTTTGAGCACATTTGAGCTAATGCATATGCTCCATATTTTGGAAGTTAATAATGTGAGATATGGTCACCCCTATCCTGCATGATACCAACATTTTAAATTTCAATAAAATTTTTCTCTGCTGGTACATAAGCTATTGATCTAATTTTAAGTATGTGGTATGAACATGTATAGGTCCTTCAGAATGAATTTTTTCAGTACATTTCGTACCTTAACGAATCTAAAATAAGTTATTACACGTACAGAAATAGGTGGCGCCCCTGTAGTGAATTTCAAGATATGCCCTTATTTTCACCCTAATCCACACAAGAAAATTCATACTGATTGTAAATAATGTTTTTGATAAGATTTTATTAGTATTTCAATGTCATTTTACTATTAAAATGTGTTAAAAAATTATTTTATACCCCTACCCCCTGTTTGAAAATGAATAGATGGCGCCTCTTTAACTGCCCATAGCGAATTCGTTTACCACACATTTTTATTCCACCCAAGATGAATTTATTCTAGAGAGTGTCTGGAATAAAATGATACCAACAAACCTTTTTTCCCAGCCGAGTAACGAAATCGGAGCTAGGGACAGGATCAAATGAGAAAATAGTGGAGTTTTCATTCTAAAATCGGTTTTTGGGGAATATCTTGAGAACCATTGACTTTTTTAAATACAAATGTATTATTGACCCCCTATAATGTGGCCATTCCGGACATTTTGAGTGGTCACACAACCTTCTATGTCCAACGGTTCTGGAGATGCAAAAATGGGGGGGGGGGAGTATTTGCGTAAAAAAGGGCGTGGCCATTTGACCTATTTCGCCTTCAGTGGCAAATATGTTACCAAGCAAAAATTGATCAATGACCTTCACATAGATGATTTCTGAAGAGAAAATCTCTGGACATAGAAGTGCATACTCAACCAGCATGAGCTACTAGAGTAATATAGATTTTTCATGATTTTATCACTTTATTCTTCAAAGAACGATTTTCGGTTTGGAGAACCAAATTCATCTGCATATTTTGACGTTGTCAATGTCGCCAAAGATTTTCATATTTTTACGTATTGCTGTAGGTTTTAATGTCCTCTTTTGTATAATTAGTTTTAATGATGGTAATATTTTTAATTTTTTCATAAAAATATTAGCAAACCCCCCGGCGTCGTTTTCATGCATAATTCTGTTAGACACGATTTGATAATATATTGTTTTTCAATATTTTTGATAAGCATATTCAAATTATTTTTTCATGATATGCTTATGACATGTCAAGGTTCACTGTCTGTTAATTTTTTAAATCCGTTCAACAGAATTATGCAACATGTTGTTCAAAAAATGGTTATAGGCAGATGAATTTGGTTCTCCACGCCGAAAATCGTCTTTGCATGGTCCTCCAAACCGAAAATCGTCCTTTCAACTAAATATTCAACACGGTTTCGAAATATGATTTCAACTCAGCAATACATCGAGTGTTACTAAATTGTTTGGATTATATCTGAAGTGAGACTAACATACCTAAATATTTTATTCTCAAGATATACACAAAATAATTCATTCATTGCTATCTGCCGTCTCTTACGAATTGCCTTCAGTGTTTGCTAAAACACTAGGCAGCCGCTGCTAGAACAGATACATAGGCCTACAGTAATTTCAGCTACTTTCCAAAGACAGTAGTAAAAATCAAACAGTTTTTGTGATATATCGGCACTCTGTATTTTGCAGGCAGGCGACCCATGTGAGCTCTTGTATTATTTTCGTGGGGGTGCCGCAAGGATCCAAAATTTCATCTTTCATTCCGGACAGAAAAACAGAAATTGATAAAACTTGATAGAGTGGGAGTCAATGACCCTTACTTTCAGCAATTTTTAGAGCGTGCGTCCAGTGCAATTAATGTGTACCCTTTGCATGCGTTTGACTTCACTTCTTAAAAGAGAGCTTCGTCTGTAGTTCAACTAGACTCTGCACGCAGGGTAATTAATGTGTGGAATATTTAATTCAATATTGATCAATAACATTTTGCGGATTCCTTGAAAGTAAAAATTTGACAATTTTTTGCATATCTTTTGCGTAGTGTTGAATTGACACCTTCATACGCCCCTGTCTAAACATATGCAGTTATGGTAGTTTGTCTCAATTATGGTAGGCCTAGTGGTACCGGCGTCTGTGGTTGCACTGTAAAAAGTTCTCAGAGTGAAAATATATCACCAATGAAGGGATTTATATCATCAGAAAAAGTTTCAATACCAATCGCTCGTATAACATGATTTCAAAATTTGGGAAATATTGTCCAGTCCGAAATACAACTGTTTTAAATTGATTTCATTCTGATTAAAATTCTCCTTTTTCATACTAGGCCTACATGATTGTAGCTATGATTCTCAATTCTCAATTGTATGATACTGTTATATAACCCGTGAAATAGCGTGTTCTGACTGGAATTAGACACCATGCCTGGATTGTCCAAATAATGGTACCCTATAAACCCTATAACCAGCACGCCTTTTTACCCAAACCATTTTTGAGCACCCTGTAGAGTGTAGACCCCACTCCCAACGCTCTTTTACCCAAACCCGAGTGGATGCGTAGATTATTAGCCTTATATTAGCCTTTTGCGGATTATTGATGTAGGTGCATGCCCTAATGCTGTTTATTTCAATATCAATCAACGTTTACGATTCTATGACAACCAAGGAGGATTGGCTCCCAGAATGCAACACCGATATTCTGCAAAACAATCACCTGATAGCTTTGTTGGAGAGTATCGGGTCATTCTCCATGCAGTCGTACAAATTATACAGACACGAATAGCAAATGACGCATGCGTGGAGATTAAAGAATATCGAGTTGGAACCCTGGCTTCCAATCCTCCTTGATGACAACCCAACTTATCTTAATAATTACTGGAGTCTTACCTTAGACTAAAGTCAAGGCTATTTAGTGGAGTTGTACCCGAAGGCTGGTGCGGGATGAATTATTTGAGAAATCTCATTGGTCAGTTTTGGCGTGTGAAAAGTTTGCCAACAAGTATTTTTTAATTTCTCAAGTTTATCGTAGTTTTTATGAACACCAAGCAAAGGTATGTTATAATCGTATACGTTGATGTTAAAAATCTTCTTCTCTATCCTTTATAATATCGTATAAGGTATATTGTGATGTGTTTTTGCTGAAAACTTGAACTTCCGGTAGATCTAGACTTGAAAATATTTTAGAAATAGAATAGGCTAGATCCCAGCCAGAGTATAATGTTTCAAGTGGTGAAGATAAATAATGACTAACACTATGAACAATACATTTTGTCACATATGCCATAAATTGTTACCTCAGTGAATTGAATTGAGTGCTCTATTTTCTCCGTCCCGGAACCTACAATAATATATAGAATTTGTGTCCATAATTGTGGATTATTGATGTAGACATGGGCTCTACCACCTGATAGAGCCCATGATGTAGATAATGACAAATAGGAACTTAAAATTTTGAAGTGATATTCACATGTTAATGCCGACTCTTCAAGTGTTGAGGTAATTTTGGAGCCTGATTACGCCGCAAAGAGGATTGGCTCCCAGAATGCAACATGACACATGCCAGCTTTCAATATGCCATTTCGCCATTTTGAAACCTGTCACGAGTAAATAAGGTTAACTGATGTTGCATTCTGGGAGTCAATCCTCCTTGGATCACAAACATGGTGATCCATGAAAACATTCGTTTGATTTGGTAGGAATTTATCCATCATTTGCAGGTATGAAGCTTTGGATTCATTTACGAGGGGTGATCCAAAAGTCTTGGACACCTCGCTCTTACTTTGCTGTTTTCCAATTTAATTACATGAAACTTACAGATAATAAAGATCAACATCTTTACAACTTTGTGTATAAGTTTCACCATAAAATAATATGTTTTAGCTACTTTTTTAAATATTTTTTGATATCAGGTCCCTGCCACCCGGAACGGTATTTAAATATGGCAAATTACGTCACAACTGTAAATATGGAAAATACTTTAGGTGCAGGTGCACAACCTAACACCATCTCGTGATATGAGAGAATTTCCAATTTTTCAGTCTGAGTGTCATCTGCCACCATCATCTTCACATATTAGATATACTTTTTAACATATTTTCAATGAATTTGAATACATTTTTCATGCCGCTTTACCCATGAATGGAAGACATTTATGAAACCGCCATTGCTTATGTGATACAAATGCTCCTTGAGTGCCACTCTAAACCGCATCCAATGAGTAAAAAACATTTTATTTCAGCCCTCCTTTCAACTTCAGAAAAGGAAGAAAATCACACCGAGCCATAACTAAACTGTATCACGCAGATGGGAGCTGCTCAAGGTCAATAATATTGAGAATATTTTGTAGTATTTTTTGTTTCACTTTGATTTCTTTCATGTTCGGCATTTCAGCAGCCATCTTGGAGCAAAAATGATACCAGAATGAGGGTTGCTTGCCTGATGTCACGTTCATGGAATTTAATATATACGGCCATTGTCATATGTGACATTATAATCAAAACACAATTAACTGGTTGCTTGGTAACAAAGGAAGTAAACTAACCTGGTTAAATATTCAAAATTCAAAGAAAGGTAGTGGTTAAAACTTGCGAAACAAGTCATATGGCGGCAACATTTAAGGCTGACAGTTGCCATCTGCGAATACCGTTCCGGGTAGCAGAGTCCCTATATTAAAAACTATTTAGAAAACTACATAAAATATATCATTTCACCATGGAATTAATACACAAAGTAATTAGTTTATTGGTCTTTATTATTGGAAAGTTTAAAGTAATTTTATCAAAAACCAACAAAATTAGAGCAGGGCGTCCAAGACTTTTGGATCACCCCTCGTATTGTGCTACTCAAAGTGAACAGGAATTATTTTACTATCGCTTGATAGAGTTAGAGACATGAAACTTAGAATTTAGCTCATTGTGACAACTTCTGATGGTTGAGGTTTATTAATGTCTCCGATTATAAGAGTAACTACAGGAAATTGTAACAAGTAGAATCAGGTCTTCCTTCCATCATGACTACATGTAATTCGGGATCATGATTATCAAACCGAAGGATTAGAAGCACTGGGAGTAAGTCACCCCCCCCCCTCTAAATATTCTCTAATATACTTATAGGCTACAGAATATAAGAGTGAGGGTTGACTTACTCCACATGACTAGAAGTCATCACAAAATTTTGAAATACACAGGCAACTGATCCATCACCGTTACTCCAAGATCAATTCGGATCAATAAAAAGTAAAAAATAAACAAGCAAAAGACCACAGTATATTTTTACATGGAAATATATATTCATATTTCATTCGCAAAATGTTTGTATATTTCAACACGGGATTGATTTCAGAAATATCCCTCAAAAGCCCTTGGTTTTATGAGTAATAGCCATGGATAGTGGGAAGTCCTCCATCTAGGAGGTATATATTATACACCAGGTAACGCAGCTTCCATCCAAAATAAAAAATATGTATTTTTAAAATAAATTATTTGTCTAGTTTTCGTTAAACAAATATCCTGAGACACATAGGGCCTGTAGAAAACACTAAACAGAAAAATAAAAAAAATATTCATACCTCCAAATCTGCTTTATTGGTCAGATAATGCACCAAATCATAATGGTTGTTCAAAATAAAAATTTAAGGGGACGGAGCGCCGTATCTCGCGAGAATAAAGCAAATCACGCACCATCTCGCGAAAATAATGCAAATCATGCAAAGGCGCATGATTTTTTCGACCAATCAAATAGCTTGAAATTTACCAAACCATTTCGTCCAGTGTTTCAAACATGCGCAGTAGAAATTGTCAATTTACTGAGCGGACCCTTCAATGGCCTGGAGAAATTTTACTCACGATAATTGATGATTACTGAACACATAAAGGCATAAGAGGTGAGCGACCCAGTTATTTTTGCGTATAAATGTTTCAAGAATAGCATGATATCAAATAATCTGTACATTATGCTACGATTCATTCAAAAATTGAATCTAGAGGACAGGTGACCATATTTTTTTCATATTTTTTAAATTTTTAGCTGCGTTACCTGGTGTATATAATATACCTCCTAGATGGAGGACTTCCCACTATCCGTTGTAATAGCTGTTTCAGCCATGTTCTTTTTTGGGACAAAAAACATGTCAGACAGGGAGAATTGGCTCCAAGCGCAGCTCAGTATTTTCCAAAGAGCTGCTTTTCAATATAGAAACGTTTAAAGGCCCCATATAAAGTTTAAACCACTTTGGCTTATATTGTAGTCTTACCCAATGTTATCAAAGTGTGATATGTGAAACTTTTTTTTTTAATTTCAAAAAGTGGTTTTTGATAGACTTTTTGTTCCAAAATTTGTGAATTTATTTAAAACCAACTTTTAGAGGTCACTCATATCTTCTAATTAGCCACAATTCATACCAATGTATAGCATTCATCCTCCCATGTTTTTTGCCGAAAAAAATAAGAAAATCGGTTCATAAATAAGCGAGAAATGAACTTATCAGTGCATGAAAATGGTTCTGAGAAAAATGCATTTCAAAATTTCAGTTCTCATAGAAGCCAATGGTACAATGATATCTAAAACATAATTTATTCTTCCTTTTAACCTGGTTAGACAATCAACATTGTTTTTTTATGAAAGTCTAACATATTTAGAAAAGATTGACATCGAAAAAAAAATTTCAATTTTTTTCAAAAAGTTTTTGGTACCTTAGTGACATCACTAATGTTTCAAAATATTTTTGATATGCTAAAACATTGAAGTGGCCCATTAAATATGGCATTTTATTATTGAAATAGTGTGTCCTTTGTTCAATCTTTGCATTGGTGTTAAAAAGATAATCTTTTTCGAAATGCATTAAGAAATATTTGATGATTAAGAAATTTCAACTTTTTTTGAAAAATGGCGGGAAATTTGAATATTTGAGAAATGAAATGCTCACAACTTTTTTTTCAAAATTTTTTTTTTGTTCAGAAATCTCTTAAATCACTTTTTAAGTCCTGACAAATAGTAAATGAATGATAAAAAAATATTTTCAAACTTTAGACGGGGACTTTAATTGTAGTTTTTCTGAAATTTTAACCAACTATAAATTCAAAATAAACAGTCCAAAAGATAATATCTCACGATCAGTGAGTTTTTGAATTTTGCATTCGGAAATAAGACCAAAATTCACGATTCAATTGTTGAAGTGAACAAAATCACGACATGCCCATATATAGCAAATATATGGATGTTGCACTCTGGGAGTCAATCTCCTTGATGTCAGAGAAGCATTAAAATACAAGAGACCAAACATTTTATTAGCAAACCACAAGCAATCCAAGATACAAACATTTACGATTCAGAAGGTTTTATTGATGCATGACTCAACTGAAATGGACAATACAACATGGTTTTCTCAAGCTTTGTAGAGAGGATGTTAGATCCCAATGAACAGCACCATCTATATATTAGTACACGCATCAGCCAGAACAGATGCATACAAGTTAAAACTTTTTTCCAAGCCCACATCCCTTAACCTATTGTTTTAATGTAAAATTATGTTTAAATGCCTCAGTTTGTTTTCATCCTCTCCTCAGAGTTATAACGCCAATAATAAGTTATATATAGTACAGGGGCATACACAGGATCTTCCAAGGGGGGTGTGTCTATATTTAAAAAAAATTCCTATCACCATAGCACTTGAGCCTAGCTTCTCAACCCCCTTTTTGAGCAAAATTTACGAGGAAAGAAGAAGATATTTTAGGATTTTATAATATGGGCTCTATGGGGAATCTTCTCTACTAAGAAATCCTATTTTGAATAAATTAATTTCAAAGTTGATAAATAGTTGTTAAATCCACATTTTTATATAGTCTATGTAAATTTTAAAAAATGTGTCTTTGACTAAATATATTAAGCATTTTTAATCATGAAAAATAGATATTAGTTTTACAGACATCTACTTGTAACATTGTTTATTGCTTCCAGCTGCATGTGAGGTGCTGTGTTTGAGCCATGGACGGTGCTAAGCCTGAGGCAGGAGATTCTGATAGACAGAAGAAACTGAAGGCTGCCAAGGAACGAGTATGTTCATTTTCATGCATTTGTTACAGATGAAATCTTGTGATTACATATAAGGCTATCATTATGTAAGGATTGTTATGGCTTTAGGGTTTAATATTAATGTTTAATTAATAAAATTAATCCATCAAACTTTTTAACCTCCAGCATTTCTCTTATATAGAGTATCAACAAAATCAGACAATTGTTCATATTTTGTCCAATTCTCAAGAATGTATTTTTATTTATATATACTATGTAGACATAGACATAAGCAATTGATAGTTCAGCATGTTTTCTTGGGGTAAAAGTCTTGAAATCTCATTGTTTAGTAATTATTATGTCACCACCAAAAGTGGTGACACATTGTTATGGTGTTCAGCTGTGCCTGTAACAATTTGCAATAACTTATAAGGTGGTGACATTTTGTCACGTTAATGCCTTGTCATGTTAATGCCTTGTCAATCTGTGCTTCCATTATTGTTGACATTATCTGTTTACACATTCTAGCTGGCGAATTTTCAAAAGAAGAAGAAAAGAACAAAGAAACGATCAAGCGCAGCAGTACAAGATCCCAATAGCAGTTGCGATGAGACGTCATCAAACACGAGTGAAGTGCAACACATGACAGATGATGAGACTTCACTGATTAGTGAGACATCACCAATTGATGAAACAAAACACACGGCAGATGACGAGAGATCATCCAATGATGGTGCTACTGAGGAACTTCCTCATGATTTACCCACCTCCGGTGATGTAAGTTATTACCACACACACTTGGGTGCTATATTGTGATCTGTTTTTTGAAAAATGGCTGCCATTTTTGCTATATACTTTTTGTATACTTTTTTATGCCAGCCATGGCTGTTTGATAGGTTTTGCTACACTTTGGCATTGCTGTTGTCTAGTTCATCTTGTTATTCTATCAGATTCATTTGTATATCTTTAGACAACAGTTTCCTAGTTTTATTGATTTCGTAACCCCAGCTCAAATAATTTATCATTGATTCACTAGTCAATCCCTACTCTAGAATCTCTAGGAACACCCCCTCCCCCTGTTTACTTCACCTACATTCGATACCACTAATTATGATTGAAATGCCATCTATTTAATGTTCACTTTTCTGCATATTTTTTAGGTGGGTGATGTGAAAGAAATTGAGACGACTCTCCAAGAATATAACAACAAGGTATGTTATTAAACCAACTTGTTAATATTACACATACTCACCAGCTTCTGAAAACAAACTTTAAAAAATGAAGAAGAAAATTATCTTGTGCTGATAATAGGGTTGAAGACCCCAACCTTACTGATTTTTTCCTTAAAAATTTTATCTTTAAGACAAGTTAAAATGTTGTCTAATGAGGTACATTGAATTTAGAACTAGAATAATCCTGTATTCATTTTTGCCTCCTATATAAAATGTATTCATTCAGAAAAGGAACAAAAAATGTTGGAAGTTACAATTTGGTTCTCTTAAAATTGTTATGTACATGCATTCACTCAAACCTTGATATTTTGTAGATTAAAGAATTTCAAGGTGCCTTATCCCAAAGAGATAGTGTCATACACACCATCTCTAGCAAACTACAGCTGAGTAACTCCCGCCATGCTTCCCTTCAGTCAGAGTATGAGGCCCAAGCAAATCAACTTGTTCAGCAGGTTCAACAGCTACAGCAACAAATATCTCAGGTATGGTCTTTTATATGTCTGTGATCGCCAAGTATTGAAACAAGTGGCTATACACCATCTTGAGAAGCTTACACCCACTTGAAAATCTGCATGCACCCATTTGAAGAAAAAGGGTAAAATTGACATTGTTTGAGGAGCTTGGGTCAGAATAGTGTAAATAAGAATTTGTGCACCCATTTCAGGAAGCAATCTTAAAGAGAACACTGTATAGACCTATGAATTGGTTTATTTAGTAATAAGTAATGTTTCAGGGAAATAACAGGGGGTGTAAATGACTATCTACCAGGGCAGGGCAATTCAGATTTCATTCCCATTCTTAACAAAGGTAGTCATGACAGCTTTGAATTATTAATTCTCAATAGCAAAGCCATATATCAGTTTTAAAGATGGTGTGAGAAAACAATAGTCTCTATGTTCAGATAAAGTTTAGATACCCAGAGGCAACCAGAGATATAGCCAGGATCTGAATTTAAAAAGGCAAGGCAAGTTTAAGATAAAGAGGATATAATCCTTATCTAGGACTTCAGGCCCATAGCCAGGTTTTGCTAAGGGGGTTTACTTTTTAAACAATTCCAGAGGGGGTTCATTTTTGACAATCTTCGTCCAAAAATAGCCAAAACCAATGCCTGATTTTGGAAGAATCTAAGCAATAGTTCCTCTTATGCAGTGGAGGTCATGCAAGATTGAATATAACTTTTATCTTGGCACTTTTACTCCAAAGGATTAATTATTAATAGAAAGTGGAAAATTGTAGGTCTGATTATGCTGAAGCCTAGAAGACAGCCTCTTTTTCAGAATTAACACACAGAAGTAGAATAAGTAACTATTTTCAGATGTGTCATGTAATTAAATACTAATTAATAATTTCATCAATACAGTTCAAAGGAATAACAAGACTCACAGCGTTACTTTTGGAGTTTGTATCTATTGTTTCATTATTCCTGTATTTCTGTATCTATATTTGGGCATCTTGATTTGATTTTTAGGCACTTTCCATTTCAAAGAATCTCTTCTAATTTTTGTTTTGTGTACGCTGAGTGTCAGACTGTCAGAGCCCCCCCCCCCCATACATCAAACTCTGAATGGAAGTATTATATTGATACTAGTATACAGTGTTGATGCTGTCAAAATCTTAATGGACCCTAAAATAGCTGGCATGGTCTTTAAAGGGAGTTACAGTATTTAATAAATGCCAGATGCTTATGAAAGCATCACATTTGGTGATTGCTATTTTGATTGGATAGCTGGATTTTGATCGATCATATTCTATCATTTTGATGAGTTAAGGCTCGATTGAAAAATTATCTTTTACTTAAAAAGTTAAAGAAAAAACTTCCAAATATTGGAAAGGGTGTTATTATTTTTCCTTGTAAATGTATTGCCTCCCTATCCTACATGTAATTGCAGTATCAATTAAAATTGAAAATAATTGAAAATTGATTTTCTTAAAAATTTTGGACTTAATAATATAATAAAGACTTTGATGTAATATGATACAAAGTAAGACTAAGATTGGAGATAATGATGTTGAATAAATGTCATTGAGTTGAGAAGTTGTTATAGAATTTAATATAAGCACTGAAAGGAATCTTATGAATTTTTTATCACTCGCATGAATTACAAGAATACCTTTAATTAATTAAGCCTGGTATCTAAATAATAAATCGCTGTAAAATTATCATGCAATTTCTCTTATATGGATATTAAAAATCTTTCAAATCAATATTGGCATTGTTTAGCGTTCTGCACTTTTATTGTAAATCTTGGACAATCAGTCAGGATTTCTTGCTTCCGAAGTCTGATCAAGTGGAAAATTTGGGATTCTCGTTATATTGATATTTTCTGTTGCGAGTTGAAAATAATCAAGGGTCGTGATCTTCAATGAAAGGATATACATATCTAAAGCATGAGAATAATATATTGTCTATGGGGTGATGGGTGCAATATTTTCTGTTAGCAGACTAGGACTTCATCTTTAAATTATGGAGGAAAATTATCGGATTAACCTATAACTTAGGAGGAAATGTTATAACATCAAGCATTAAAGGATAGTATTTATATATCAAAATGAAAAAATGTGGAATGGAGAAAGAAAAAATGCATGTGGTTTGAAGAAGCCAGAAAAAGTTGAAGGATCTGAATTATGATAGAGAATAAACCGGATGTCTCAAAAATATTTTTTTTCAAATATTAAGACAAAGTACCAGGAAATTTAAAAAATCGAAATGACTAGACAATCAGTTGAACATGAGATTAATATTTAGCAATAAAGAACAATTGTTCTGTAATTGATTGTCATCCAAGACAATGACTATAAGTTGACATAATTCTTGGACAAGGTCTTCAATTCTGCAAATAAACAAAATGACTCTATAGTCCATGAAACAATAAATCGAGGATTCGTTAAAGTTGTTAGGCGCTGATTGAGGTTTTCAATCCATGGTTGCATTGCACATCTGACACCATGTTTAAAATCAATGCAATGCAACTTATGGGCTCAGAGGAGCAGGACGGGGTGGTCATACGCTGGTTGCCTAATGGCATCATGATTGAAGATGTCAAACATAAAGTAATTATTAATAAATCCTAAATTTCCAATGGGTCACAATCATTTGGTTTTGGATTCCTAGATCCAGGATGTGTCCGTGTCATAATTTGGACCTTCTGGTCAAAAATTGATTACGGACCAGTTGTCATATTATTATTTTTTCCTTATGAGCTGAAATGATGATTGTTTCATTGTAAAATTCACTAGACAAATTGCCAAAGGTCAATGCCTATGTATAAACCCTAATGACATATAAGCTTGCTGGACAATCATTTAATTTATCACCACCAGACTTGAGTCAATCAATTTATTGATATTTAAATTCAGTATTAAATGTCATTGGATATTATGGGGAAGCAGTATTGATCGAGGTCAGATTTATAGGTCAAGGTCACTAGAAAGATCACCAGTTTACATCAAGCATGGTCAGCCTTCGTTAGTGGAAGGCATATGTTTTAATGATTGATAAAGCTGCATTGAATTTCTTTCATTTGTACATTCTCATAGTATTACAAAGTTTTATATCACCAACATAAGTGGTGCCATATTGTTATAGCCTCCAACTTTTTTATGGACAGTGTCCGGCAGTCAGTGTTCAGTGTTTGGAGGTCAGGGTCTCTTACAAATTACATGTGGTGAGACTTTGCATGTTTTAATGCCTTATTTATCCTTTCAGTTACCAAAAAAGATATGTCAGCTCTTAATGGTTCTCGTATATTCCAGCTTGAGGCACTGAGGTCCCAGTATGAAACGCAGGTAGAGCAGCTCCGTAATGCTTTAGAGAAGGAGAGACAGCAGCAGTTGGGGCTCATCAAGACCCTCAATGAAAGGTCCCACCAGCAAGCGGTCTCCCAGATACAGGGACAATACCAAAAGGTACACTTGACAAATCTCAAACCTTTTCTTAAAGGGATACAATGTATTTATAATTCAGACTTTGACCTGTGGGATTATTTTCACTTTGGCTGAATATTCAAGTTTCCAATCTCTAGCATCTTAGATTAGAATCTCACCTATTGGAGATTTCAATTGATTTTTTGATTTCAAAAAATTAACATGGGGAATTTCGAGTGATATACCATATTCACCCCCCCACCATAGGCCCTAAAAAATAAAGATAACCGAATGGACCTATTTTCCATGCTCAATTAATTAAATTTTCTTTCAATCCTTTTTATTTTCATTCAGTAACAGGGAAATATTCCCTGGGATTGTTACAGCATGGCTAATAAGTTATTTATAAGTTCCCTGCAGAAGTAGGAACATTTATTACACCTGCATTCATTATTTAATATGTTCATTCCAAGCGTGTTCCATTGTGTAATAGAACAGCATAGTGCTATAATGCTGGCGTCTCGTGAAATACAGACTTCTGTAGATCTTTAGATCTTTACTGATATTTTTAAACCTTTCATATCAGTAGATCTTTACTGATATTTTTAAACCTTTCATATCAGTAGATCTTTACTGATATTTTTAAACCTCTCATATCAGTAGATCTTTACTGATATTTTTAAACCTCTCATATCAGTAGATCTTTACTGATATTTTTAAACCTTTCATATCAGTAGATCTTAACTGATATTTTTAAACCTTTCATATCAGTAGATCTTTTCTGATATTTCTAAACCTTTCATATCAGTAGATCTTTTCTGATATTTCTAAACCTTTCATATCAGTAGATCTTTTCTGATATTTCTAAACCTTTCATATCAGTAGATCTTTACTGATATTTTTAAACCTTTCATATCAGTGTATCTTTTCTGATATTTTTAAACCTTTCATATATTGCTCTCCTAGTAGCTCCATGACAAAATCAGATTTGAGTTTGTCCGGTTTCACCTCTTTAAGTTTTAAAAGTAAATTGAAAAAAATGTGTTTCAAAGTTGGTTAATAATGTAAGATTTAGTATTCTGGTATATGCCAGAGCCCCTCTTATCTGCCGTTCACTTTGGAAGGATAAAAACAAAGCGGGCACGGCTATCGCGATGAAGATTTATGATGATTTACAATCAGAATCAAAGAAACTCCCCTTTTAGTCTCTTTCAATGTAACAAACAGTATAGACCAGTGCATTAATGGAATAATGTACTGTAGACCATTCAGCACCTTGGTATGTGAAATTAAAAACGTGCGTAAATCCCATCCTCCACATGGCGCGAAATATTGTATCTGCCAATCTAACGACATTTACAGTTTCCTCTTACCTCATAAAAATCTCTGGTTATATGTTCTTGTGTATTAGAATTTAAAATGTTAATATTTTTTTGCGTTTTGTTAAGGATGTGGACGCCTTATATAGTCAGTTGGATGCTGCTCACCAACTGAAGTTTGCTGAGCTGAAACAGAAGCTTGAAGAGGGACACGAGGCTCAGTTAAAGGCCATAACAGAACAACATTCGGTAAGTTCAACAAAAAAAATGTTATTTAAGTTTTTTGTTATTCTTACTTTTTCCATATTTTTCTTATTTTCCGATGATCATGAATGAGATCGTTTCATAACTAACTATATATCATTTAGCATAAAAAGTATTAAATCAATTATTTTAGCCTCAAAGTCACTTTCAAAACTGATAATCATGTTATACCATATCATACAAAGCACAGCCAGAAAAGCCTAATTTATTGGAGAACATTGTCTTAAACAATGTCATTGTGCTTACAGGTTGAGCTGCAGAGCCAGCTAATATTTTGTATGTATTTAAATACTGGAGAGCATTCCTTGTTCACAGGCTTAATTGTATATTTATGTTGCCATGGTGTTTACAGGTTGAGCTACAAAGCCAGTTAGATTCAATGAAGACAACACTGGGCGAGGTCCATGCCAGCCAGATAGACCTCCTGAAGACAGAGCTTGAGCTGGAGAAGACAAATGCTCTTGTGGAACAATGTAATAACCTCAGAGAGCAGCATGAGAAACAGCTTAGTGAGAAGGAACAGGAGTGGGAAGAGAGGCTCCAGCAACAAGTCAACAAGTATCATGTGGAACTCATGCAGAAGACTGGTGAGTCAACAATATGAGGTCCTTAAATCTTTTATGCTCTTTATCCAGACAGATGTTCCTTAAAGAGGCTATATGCCATAGGATAGCACAATCAAGACCCCTCTGGACTTTTTTGCTTATTGAGTTTCACCACATATTCACCCATCTACTTACCAAAGAAAAAGTCCCAAATCCCCCTCTTTCAGTGTAAATTTTGCGATTGTGCTGGCCGATCTAATTATTTTCGCACAAATTAATTCAATCTGAAGCTTGAATATACCGGGACGAACTCCCATGCAGTGTCTCGGTATAGACACTGCAGCGGGCAGATGAAGAAAATCCCCAAAATTTGGTAAAAACAGTTCCCCTTTTCATCGTATATGTGGTCAATTTTCACACAACTTATAAAATATGTATTCATGAATGTTCCCCAGTCATTATTTTGTCAAATTATCTCAAAATTATTGAAATATGAAAAGAAATCACCGCGGAAGGAATTCTGAGTAAAAGTTGTGTTGATAATAGTTTACCGCACGTGTTGTTTATTAGTTAATACGCGCAATTCAACCAATGAAGTTGTCTAAATTTTACAATCACGCAACCTGAGCATGGGACTAGAACCAATCACGTCAGTTGTTTATTACGACATTACCGTGCTTACGGTGAGATACCTGCCCGTCGCAGTGATATATCACTGCATGGGAGTTTGATACCGGGAAAGTTCCCCTGTTATCTGATTGGCCGTTGAATTTGTTTATCATGAACCTGATTGGCTGCCTGGTTCAAGGCGCTTGTGTGATTCAATGGAGATTCCCCTCGCTAGCCGAGGAATCGATTGTGTTTAATTTTGGAGGTTGGTTGTTCTGTTGATTATTTCAGCATTTCGACAATAATATACCCAAAAGTTATTCTCAAGATATATCCATGGTATGTGAGATATTATATGAGCAATAACAATAGGACATCATTGGTTGTCTAGGGGAGAAACCTATGGTATAATGCATCTTTAAAAAGACTTTTGATTCAATTGTTTTCCCTTTCGATTATCCATGAAGTATTAAATGTATGGGTTAATTGACTCTCCTAAATTTTCTTACTTGCATACACATTATCACATCTGGTGGTTTATTTTATTTATTTTTTTATTTTATTTAATTTAACTTTTAACATATGTACAAATACATGAATAATGCAGTTCAATTATAAAACAAATTGATCTAAAAATAGTATGAACTTCAAGTCAAAAATAGCTTGCAACATTGTATTTTTCGCTAATGTATATGAACATTCAAATTGTAATCATGCTTCATTCTTCGCTAGGCATTTCATACTATTTTTAGATCTGGTGGTTTATATATTCTAGGGGCTATTCATTGAGCATGAGCCACCAACAACACATAAAAATGTAAAAGGCCTGTTGATGTATATATTGCCCACCTTGTCAGTGTTGAACTAAATGCTCTTTATCCGTAATAAAATTGTATGTTTATGTATGTAGAAAGTCTCTCATAAGCCGGAGCCGGCTGAGCTGTTGTTTTAATCAATTGTATCAAAATGTATTTTAATTTGTACAGCGTGAAACTCTAATAAATACCTTTACTTACTTACTTACTATGTTTCTAGCTGCCTTGGAAGTGAACAGCCAGGAGGAGGTAGAGAAGATACGTCAACAGCTGAACACCAGCCACCAGACAGTATTACAGGTATTTACCTTCCATTGATTGTCTATATTAAACAATCCAGAAATAAAACTGGGAAGTTGATATATTATTGCACACAGTAAACTTTAAGGAGGTTAGAGACCAATGTCTTTGAAAATCAAATTGACTATTCTAGCTCCATTGAAAAATAAGGGGAACTGTTTTTTAAAATTTTAAAAATTGCCATTTTTTAAAATGTCTCGTTGATAATGGTGAATGAATGGTCTTAACTAGACAAGACTAGTAGCCAATGAAATAGACTACATGCTCCATGTAGAATATAACTGACCTAACTGTACATGTTATTTTAGGAACTGTTAACAGAAGCCCACCAGAGCCATTCTTCCACAACTACAGCATTAACAAGCCAAGTCATACAGCGAGGTGAGCAATCAACACATTGAACTTTTTAGCTAAGATTTCACCTGCTTGGGTTATAATCAAGTCTTGCATCATTCTACCCTCTTCGATGATTTCATATTGCTTCTCGAAAAGAAAACTTTGTCTACACTCTTTGATTAGATATACAGTGTGTCTGTTATGTCTGTTTACATTTTGCTCAGACTATGTATTGTAATTGTACAAGAGTCTTTATTGACACCCTGTAATTCTTAAACCTAATCTTACCCAATCAGATTGGGATGGTAACTTTGCACTTGTTTTTCTGCTCAATTAAACAGTACACATTCGAATAAAACCACATACATGAAAATTAATTCTCAGTAACTTTCATAAATAGTTTTCATATTCAAAATTAGTATGTACATTACACTTTTTTTGTTCATTAGTCATGAATTATGTCATGTCACCAAGAATCGTATCTTTACTCTGGGACCTACTTAAAAATTGTCCACCCTAGATGCTTGAATTGGTAAATTGAAATTCTATTTTAGATGCTGGCCTGATTGAGCAGCAGAGAAAGGAGTATGATCAGTTAATACAACAGCTAGAAAAGGATAAGACCGAGATGAAGAGACAACTGGATGAAATAGCCGTAGAAAAGGGTAAGAATGATTTGTCCACAAAACTTGGTTACTTTATTGGACTATTGTAATAAATTATGATGTTGATAACTCCAAAAATAATGTGATCTGTGCTTTGAAATTTGATTATCATATAACGGGTATACTGTCTTGAGTAGAATCTGATTTGCGTAATATATTTTCCTAATAAATAGATTGTCCTTGAGAAATCATAATGGAAGGTACTAAAGGCTAATTTTTATAATTCTTTTAATGGTGAAGTAAAAGAAAATGTATTTCCAAAGAATGTGTTTTTCATTTGAGTTATGCTCTTTCATGTCCCAAATACTTTGTATTTCAGATACCATCAAGTCTTCCCTTATCAAAGACCATGAGTTTGAAATGGATGAACTGAGAACATACTTTGAAAAGCATGTGAAAGAAAAAGAGCAAGATTTTGAAGAGGAGTTAAAAGCTTTACAAGCAAGGTATGACACTATGTGTTCATCAATTGTAGTTTTATTCACCTGTTTCTTCAAAATTTACACTAAATGTGACACAAAAATTAAACCCAACTAGAAAGCACTCTGATTGACCAATAGCAGAAGATCATAATAAGAAAAACAGAATTTTAATGTAATGAATTGAAAAATGATTTCTTTGAATGTTTAAGGAAGGATTCAGTACACATGTATAATGTCCATAGCTGCCGCAAGACTTAGTACTTACTGATGATGTTGTTGATGTTCCATGTAGCTTATGCCCCAGTTACATTTGATCCATGGCAACTGTACAGCGACCGTAGCTTCCTAAAAAGGAGAGAAATATGCAGCATGAAATATATAATAGGGATATATAAGAGTACGATGTATATCCTATATATCGATTTTATGATGCTGCGCCCGCCATAGAGCAAATATAGCTGAGGCTTTATTAAATGTTTGAATTGTTTGTAGATATGAAGGGGAACTGTCTACCCTACGCTCCCCTAGAGGAGACACAAGTCTTGATGACTCTGTGGACCCTGCCTACAAGGAAAGAGAGCGCATGAAGCAATCAACTATGTTAACAGCCATATCTGATCTTGACTCATCCGACCCTGAAGCCCCAGCCATGACGCAAGATAACTTAGCCCGACAGTACACTCAGCGGGTAGAGATTGAGCTCCAGGAGGCCAAGCAGCAGCTGAATGACTTGCGTATTGACCTAGAAAACCAACATGCAGCGGATATAAAAGCCATTGAGGAGAAGTTTGATCTGAAGCTAGAAACTGAGATAACTAGAATTAAGGCTGAGATAGAGGCCCAACATAGTAAGGAGCTCCAAGTACTGACTGTCAAACACACAACAGAGATGGAAGAAACTAGAGAAAAACATATGAATGATATGCAGAATGAGATCACGAGGATAAGACTTCAGGCAGTGTCAGACTCTGAGGAGCAATCCGAGACTAATCTGACCCAACTGAGGACTGAACTTGAAGCAGAGTTTCAGGAACGATCTGAAATTCTTAGCGAAACTCTCAAAGTTGAGTACGAAACACGAATATCTGACTTGCGCAACGAAACAAATGAGGCAAAAGCCAAGGAACTTAAGAACCTGGAAGATGAATTAAAGAATAGATATGAACCAGAGATTGATAACTTAAAGAAGGAAATTGAAAACTATACACAACAACAGATTGCTAAAGAAGCTGAGTTAATTGAGAAGTTTACAAATGATATCAATGCTATTAAATCAGAACTTGAAGCTGCATGTGAAATTAGAGATAAATATAATGCTGAAATTGAGACAATGAAAACAGAGCTTTCCATATCAAAAGAAACATGTGAAAAACTAACAAAAGAAGTTGAGTCATTAAAGGTGGACTTATCATCAGACAATGAAACAACTTCCAAATATGCCACTGAAATTGCATCTTTGAAAGAAACTCTAACCTCTAGTCAGGAGAAAATTGAGAAATTAACAGAAGAAATAGAGTTAGTTAAAACTGAACTGGCCTCTATGGAAGTGAGTAGGGACAAAGCTTATGAAGAGGTATCTGCTCTTAAAGCTGAACTCTCGACCAATTTGGAAATGCAGCAGCAATATAAAAATGAAATTGAAGTTTTGAAGCAAGATTTGGATAAACTCAAAACAGGTAAGAATCTTGTTTATCTTGTTTGTACCAGTAATCAGTTTTCTTTAGTAGGACAGGTAGAAGTAAAAAACAATCAAAAATAGGGAGTTTAAGCTTGCATATGAAATCGAAACGCCAACCTATACGTATGAGCGATCGCCCATACAAATGCATCGCTGAAATATTTTCCGTTTACATTTAGGTTGTGAAAAACATTGCAAGCTTAAACTCCCTAATATCTGGTTGTTAACCCGAAACCTAGCAGATGGTGAAATTTTGCATGTTAATGCCTTGTTAATTTAAATTATATTATAAATGAATTGTTTTCATAAATCACTGAAAATGATTACAGTATCTACATTATTTTAATGAAGCTGATTGCTGATTTTTATTCATATTTTGAACAAGTATTGTGTTAAAAAATTGTATTTTAAGAAACTTTATTTGCTATTTTAGAAAAGGGTGCTGAAAGAGTAAGGCTAGAACAAGAACAGGTATGGCTAAATGTTAATGTCATAATCTGTTAGTATCCTTAGGTTGTTAACGCAAGTTAAATTATATTTCATTGATACTTGATATTGCTCTCGATTTTCTTGGAGAATACAATAATAGTACCAAAAGGTAGTATTTTTATTCTAATCAATGGTTGTTCAGTGATAATGCCTAAGTAAACAAATTTTTTGAGTCCGTAAAATAGTAATTAAAATATGTGCTTGGCACTGCATATCTGACCAATGACCATGTATTAAATACAATGCAGATACAATGTAACAAAAACATAAATGAACAATTGCCAACAATTGATTTGAAAACCCTTCAACAGCACAGGCTGTGTTTCCATTGCAAATCAAAGTGCTCAGCCTATCACTTATATTTCAGAGTAAGTTTCTATCAGAACACCAGCAGTTACTAGACACGTACACTAGTGAGCAGGCTGAGAAAATGGAGACTCTAAACAAAGAGCACCAGGAACAGCTGGACCAATTAAAGCAACAATTACAATCTGAATATAAAAAAAATATAGAAAATCTCGAAAATGATCATAAAACTACTCAGGAGAAATCAGAGACAGACTTCCAAAATCAACTAAAGCAAGAAACGCAACAACTCCAGGCTATATTCGAGGAGGAGAAACAACGACTACAGCAGCACTATGAAACTGAAGTCCAGTCGCTGAAATCAAACTACGAAAATGAAAAAGAAACAATCATAGCTGAAAATACAAATGAAAAGGAGAAAATTCTTAATGACTTTGAATCAGAAAGACAGAAATTGCAAGAGTTAGTGGAACAAGAGAAGCAGAAGTTGACATCCACGTTTGATGGTGATATCCAGAAGATTGTTGGTGAAAAGGAAGCCGAGATTGAGAGCCTAAAGGAGGTGATTCAGAGCCTACAACAAGCTCAGCTTGAGACTGATGCACGCTTCAAAGCTGATCTTCAAGATCTGGAAGATAAACACATTGAGAAAATAGAGAATGTCAAAATTGAAATTAAGGTAAGTTGCAGCGATATATTTACATGACCTTGTCGAGAAAAGAAATTCTCTCAAATGAATTTGAGTCTTTTCATCCCAATTCTTTTTATAAATCATGGAGAATAAAGGCATGTTTTGAAATTTTAAATTCCATTGATTGTCTTTTTTTATCTTAATATAGCTGTAGCAGATTTGATCCAGTCATTTTTTATGTCACCACCACAAGCGGTCAGCGTTTGATGTCTGTAACAAATGGCAGGCAGTGACATTTCGCATGTTAATGCTTTTTTAATCTTGTCTATATCCTTACATGTTTTCTTTGTCTATTGTAACAGGAAGGCCTTGTTGTTGAGCACATGAGGAAGTTTGAGGAGATGTCTTTAGAGTTGGAACAGTCGCACAAGGAGGCCATGGATGAACTGACAGCAACCTTACAATCTCAGCATGAAGGTATTAAGAATTAAGTTACTAAATATGCACCCCATGTCATTATTTAACACTGTATTCAATGAATCCATGTATATGTATCGTACAAATTAAAATTGAAATAGAATATGATGGAAATAAATTGAAAGGTTATTTACAGAAAACATGAATAAGCTGAAAGAAGAGCTCTCCAAGAAGGAGGAGGAGCTATCTGGTCATGTGGCTTCACTTCAACAAGAACTTGTGAGCTCTACTAGCAGCATTGACAGCTTCAAGAAGGGTAAATAGAATAATGTAGACATAATTTCTATGGCTGGATTAACTTGTTTTTTGCGCATGTGCAATCCATTGTATTGTTATGGGTCTTCCTTTTGAAATGATAAATAGAAATTGAAAATTGAATTCTAAATGGTGTACCATGATTACACATTTAGTATATTCATCGGTTCATCCTAGGGAGTAGCCTTCTGCGCATTACAATATTGAAGATAATTAAAAATCTGGGTTTCCTATGCAAGCATGATTGAACAACATCAGTTAGGAATAAATTGTTTTGATGACATTGGCCACAGTTATATCCTCTTTTTTCCGTGAGTGGCATCATCATCTGAAACAGTTGTTACATTTTCATAATTGTAACCACATGTTAATACCTTGTCATTTAGTATTACACCTAATGCTGATATTGACAATTGACAATCTTTTGATCATATTGTTAAACCATGGCATTAGAACAAGTCCTCTTAATGCTTATATATTTTCAGAGAGCACAGAGTTAGAAGAGATACATCAACAGGAGAAGCAGCAACTAATGACTGAATTCCAACAACAAATTAAAACACTGTCCAGTGAGAGCTCTAAACAACTTGAGGAGCAACAGAGTCTGATATCAGCATCGCAACAAAGCCTGGCTGACACTCAACAAGCTCTGGAAACAGTCCAAAAAGAATTAACCGAATCCCAAACAAAGCTCAAAGAAGTTGAAGATGTACACATATCTGAGGTGGAAAAACTGAAGAGTGAATCACAAGATGCCATTGAAGCTGTAACTGAAGCGCAAACTGCTGAATTGGAACAAGTTAGATCTGAACACGAGGCTAGTGTTGAAGCTAAGGAGAAAGAAGCTGAGAAGGCACTGGAAGATAAGGATAATGAATGGAAGGAGAAGTACCAGTCGCTTCAAGGACAGCTCCAACAAGAGCATGAGCAAGCTATCAAGGTAATGGAAAAATTACTTATTAGACAGTGGTACCTTTCTGTAAACATTCTATGATGTCATGAATTGGGAAAATGTGAAAATTAAGGACATACTGAATCAGTGACCAGATTTGGAGATTTCTTAGAAGAGGGTTACTGAAATGTAACCAAGTGAGACAGAATCTGAGAATCATATTTAGAAAGCTATAGACATACATCATTATATTTTATCATTACAGGCTCTGACCGATTCCTCTAAATCACTAGAAGGCAATCTGCAGACACAAAGAGAAGAAGATGGCAACCTAATTGCTTTACTTCGGGCAGATCTCGACCATGTGAATTCAGAGAGGTACCAATTTTGTTATACTTTGAACAATTTGTCCTTGCAGATGCAAAAGCAAGACGGTGCTATTAGATCTGTTTAGGTTTTAGGCATGCTGGGTAATCTATTAGGCATTTTATTTATTTTTTACTTTGGAGTACATAATCGAATTGACAGAGAAAATATTCATACCTATGATGTGATAAATAATATGACTTTCCAGAGATGAGGTGAATGAGACGAACAAACATTTGCTTCAAGTGCTCAGTGACATGGTACGAAGTAATGTGGAGGTGGAGACATCTATTAACAAACGTCTGGCAGCTCTCCTACAGGGGCAGTCTGTTGCACCCCCAGAGGGAGGGGAGGAACCACCCCAGGGGGCAGAAGGAGGTGAGATGCTCTATTATTTTGAGAGTTATCATTCAATGAAAGTTAACTGTAAATACTAAAAGGTTACCTGTAAGTGTTTCATTGATGTAAACATACAGTTCTATTCTGTATTTCATATGACCTTCCTCCTGTGTTACTTAATATCTAATTTTTGATCTTTTCTTTGCTATTGATGTTTTAGCTTCTATATATGTACTGTATTTTATTCATTTAATTCATTTTATTCATTTAATCTTTCTTTGTCATTCGGTAAGTTCTGAGAATAAGGCTCTTAAATCTCAAGTATTGTGGCTTCTCATTCAAAATTTCTGCAGGAAATAATGGCTCTTATCCTATGCCAAGTAGAGTTTTAGGGAGATAAGTTGGTAAGATATATCCCGTATCCTGATTTTGAGGTTTCCATATCCTGAACCTCCATATCTCCCGCCATATCTCCCGCTCCAGGGCATATCTTCCCGCTTCAAAAAAAAAATTTGAAAAAATTGAAAAAGAAGAAATGTGAAAAATGTGAAAAAATAAAAAATTGAAAAAAGAAAAAAATAGAAAAAAAATTGAAAAATTGATAAAATTAGAAAATGTGAAAAAATTGAAAAAATAAAAAATAATTGAAAAAAAATTGAAAGAAAATGAGAAAACTCTACTTGGTATAGGATAAAGCAGTTATGTACGGTCGGTTTGGATATTGGGTTCATCCCTCGTGAGATATGCACATCTACCTTTGGTCCCTACGGTCCCTCAGGTAGATATGCATATCTCCCTCTGGATAAACCCCATATCCAAAACCTCCCAGTACATAACCCTTATGTATCAGGTTGGAATGTCGAACTTCTTGGATAAAAAACTAAGGTCATTATGGTTACTCAAGTTTTGGATAGGGGAGGCAATTATGTGTAATATTTGTGGTGTAAGTATGTGTTAAATATTTAAATTGATAATAACCCCCTTGTCTCTGTATGTGTAGGAGGGGATGGTCCAATGAACACAAGTGGTCAGTCTGCCCAGTCAGATGAAGGTCTAGAACTGTCTCAGATGACTGCATCTATGTTCTCTGGGACTATACTGGAGCCAGAAGAGGAAACACTAGTTAAAGGTAGAAATAATGAATCTAGTAATGTATTCAGTTACATTCTCTAGTATAATGTATGTTGAAGATATTTCAAGTAGTACAGTACTGTACACGAATGTTGTTTCTGTAGAACATTGATTTTGATATGAATTACCATGCATACTATCTTTAAACAATATCTTATATTTTGATGCAAATTTGAAAATTGTCAAAAAGCAATCGTTTGTAGCCATTCTTAAAAAGTCCAATTAAAATGATCAATGCTGACTACATGCAATGTTGTACTTATACCTAGTCTTGCTTAAAAGACCCTGTACTCCCCCCCCCCTTTATCCTTCTCTCCAGGTATATGCCAGGTAAAGATAGTGAAGGTGACGGGGGGGGGGTGGATACAGTCTTTGAACAAGACTAACCTATACCCATATTATGAATTATTATTTCACATATGTTTCAGACTCGACTGTTCGAGTTGATGCAGCTGTAGAAAGGTTGATGGAACTTCTATCCAATGCAACACAACAGCTGCATGAAGGCAGAGATGCTCAACAACAGCTGATGGACCAGCTACAACAGTAAGCTATTTTAATATTTGTACGATTGATAGGAAGGTCAACTTTAAAATATTGAGTCCATCTCTTTCAGCTTATAGGCCTGCCTAATAAAATGTACAAAATATTTGAAATTTTATGAAGCTTTTCGACTATACCATATTAACTAAGTCTGTTCCAAACATCTATATCTTTAGTTCAAGTCTAAACACCAAATCATAGGAAATGGCCCAAACGGACCATTTTTATTATGAACTGTTCCCAATTCCTATATAGTAGACTAAATCTTCCTTCTTTTTTTCAGAAAATCTGAAGCAGACCGTGAGGTAGTCAAGGAGCTGAGAGAGCAGTGTAGTAGACTAGAACAGCAGGCTTTAGATGAGGCAAACACTAGACAGAATCTTGACATTGAAATACAAAAGAGCACAGGTATTTACTGTTTTAATTTAATTTCAGTCTGTCTTTTGTATTTTATTGTATGTTTAGGGGATATCCTGTGATTTATGAGTCATAGATATTATAAATGAATGGCTATGTTATTTTACTAGCAAGTGTAATGAGATTCCAAACTGACACAGCCCTAACCATAACCCAAATTTTTAAGGATGCTATGGCCCCATCTAGAATAACTAGCATTCAAGAGCAAATGAATTCAGTTACACTTTGAATAATCCCATTTATCCCAGTAATATATACTTAAATGATGGATCATGATCTCACTTATTTACTCTTACTTATCTGGTTTCCTATCACTGATTGTAGGTTTGTTAGAAGGCAGTAGAGAGGTGAACTCACAATTGGAGGGTGATGTACAAACACTAGAAGAACAGAAAGCATCCCTTGTTGCTGAACTAGAGACAGTTAAAGCTCAATTAGAAATAGTTAAAGCTCGAGTAGAGACAAGTAAAGCTCAACAGGAAACAGCTCAATCTATTCCCCAAATTATCACAACAGACCAAGGTAAATAAAAATACTATCATTCATTTTGTGTTATAATGCATTGGAAAAGTTTTGACTATCATATATTTAGCATATTGTTTTAGTCTTATCTAGCTTATAAGCCAGGAAAACAAATTAATCCTTTATCATATTTAAATAAACTGACTTCACAGCTGAGTTCTCTTTTAGGCTTGTTTGGTGAATTAATCTTATTTTCATACATACATATTGTAAGAGATTTTTTGCATGTGACTCTTGTTTGCAGTTTAAATCGAGATCTTTAGCCCATGCCTAAAACCTTGAGGATACTAGAATTAAGTCTCTTGAAGTGAACACCTCTACATGTTTTTTTTGTTTTTTTAATTAATTTATTAACATTGAAACATTTATACAATTTTTACATAATATACAATGGTTACATTGGTACTTATACAGGAATACAGAACTTATTGGTTATAGATTTTACTATTTCTAATTTTCCAAATTTCAAACTTGTGTTTAAACACTAGCTGGTTTCTATGGCATTTGCTCTCAAAATCTCCTTCATTGCTATAAAGTAAAATTTCTTGTTTTCTTCTACATGTTAAAGTACATGTATTTAATAAACTGTTCCAGATGTTGTTGATGAGTTGACGAGACTACAGCATGAGAAGGAAGAACTGGAGCTACAACTAGCACATGAGAGAAGTGGAATGCAGGAACAGATCAGACAACTTGAGCTTACCATTGAGCAGGTAGGTCAACCCAATATAGTCTTTGGCTTTTATAGTCATGTGATGTAGTGCTATTTTAATAGTCTTTTCTCGTAGAAGTGAGAAATCAAGGGGAAAGGTCCAAAGATTTGATGTGAGACTATTGGGTTTGATGAAAGCTTTTTTGAGTTTTTATGTCACCACCAAAAGTTGTGATATATTGTTATAGTCTTGTTTGTGGATGGTGTTCATTGGTTGGTGTCTGGTGGTCATTATTCAGCGGTAAGCATTCGGCAGTTGGTGTTTTGCATTCAGAGTCTGTAACAAATGGCAGGTGGTTACATTTTGCATGTTAATGGCTTGTTGAAAAGTGTAATTTAAAGAGTCTTGTACAGACCTCTTCCACATTAAGTTGTATTGATTGAATCAATCTGTAGTATCTATTATAAGTATCTATATATAAAAATAATGTCTCCAAAGAGTTTAATGTTTGTCAGTGTTGTGAAAGGTGGAATATATGGGGTATAAACTCGGGGAAGGACTTTTAGATGTTTTAGTTTGTATTTCATTTCTATTATTTACTTTCTCTTAACGGCAATACTTTAATTTGAAAATCTTGTTGTGTCGTATATTTTATTTTAATTTTGAATCTTGACAGTGTTTGCACTATTCAGCTAGCTTATTGCTTTCACACTTAACATACACTCTTCTCCATGAGTTTGGAAACAGGAAGCCTCCATTGATTGTTTGTTAAAGCCTGTATTTCAGTCATAAATTATGTCAATATAGTGTGCAAACTTTGGGTAGACATTGTCATTCCCGAATGCCTAAACGTGTCAGGAATACCTAGATACTCGAATGATCTTGATTGGACATCATGGTGCAGAGAGATCGTAATTTTACTGAATGGCTCGAAGAAAAAATAAACAACTTAATTGGTCCCCTTAATCATCAAACAAAAACAGGCTTTCACACATGATTTAAAAGGGAGCTTCTTGTTTTCAAAACTTATGAAGGGGAGTGTAAGCAAAAAACAAAACAATTATTTTTTGTTTGCACAATTAATTCACATCTGACCATAACACATTGGTTTGTTTGACATATATTTAAAGGGACAAAGTGCGTAAATGAAGTCTCACTTTGATCTTCATAGTATTTCCAATGGATTAATAAATACCTGATCTTTCATTTGACACCAAAAACAGCTCAAACACATCAGAGTTGACACTAGATCATGAAAAAATATTTTTGATCTATCAATTTATATATGTCAAGTTTTTAGCAATGCCATAGAAAGATGGCATTGTTGTTTGCATTAATTATCCATTCATTTTTGATGGGATTTCAACCATGCGCCATCTTTTAATCCAAGAGTTATTTAAAAACATAACTTTGTGAAAAGTTCACTTCTTTTGATTTCTGAACTTCAAATGCTGTTTTCTATGCGAGTAATTTTTTTTTCATTTCAGTATTGACCCAAATTAAAGTTTTATCATATTTGATTGACTGTGTGAGTTACATGTCTCAAATGATATTTTGTCCCTTTTCCTTCAAAAATAGGCGCATTGCCTGTTTAAGTTAAATTGTTTTCATAATTCAGTTTGACTAAAAAATACTAGCTTGTGTGTTATGGTTGGACACCTTGCAATAACCACCTGAGTTCTTCTATTGCTACTGCATTGTGTTGTGTCGCTGTTAAACATTATCAACTACATGCATTGTGTATAAGCATAGAAGTAATTCATTGTCATTGTTAATATTAATAAGTAAATACACATGTGTGATACTATCTATCTGTCCCAGTTCAAATATAAACAAAACATTTGCTCCTGTACAAATATACATTTGATATATACTTAGATACACTTAAGAAAATAGGTAGTGCTTGGGAATGTGTATTATGCACCATTTTGAAGCAGTAATAGTATTTATATTATAATTTCACTGATAATTTTGAGAAAATAGAGAATTATTCTTTTACTAATACATTTAGTAGTCTCCATAAATAGTATAACATTGAAGTGTTTAAATCACAAAGAAGAGGGTTTTTATTTTACCCCTGGAAGTGTTTAGTTTGAGGTGTTTAATTTACTAGGAGCAACAGGAGTCTTCTGAACTCCTGGAGGAGAAACTACTTCAAATAGAGGATCTTCAGAGCCAATTGTTGTCTGTCAACAGACTGCTAACAGCTAATAAACAGTTTATAGAGGTAAACATTATACTAACCCTAACTGAATCCTTACTTGTTAATTAGTGCATAACAGCTAACAATTATTTTTGCTTTCAATTATTGCATAATATAAAGCATGGCATCCCCTTTAGTTAAAGACTCGAACTCCGATCTCATATACACTCCAAAGGAGTGGTATCGATATGGAGAACTAAATTCAACAATGTTTTTCTCTTAAACCAATCATTGAAAACATTCTGTAAAAAAACACAGTATTTTATGTAATGTTGACTGGACAACAATTTAATGCGAAAATTATTTAGAAATATTTTATATAACTGTTTTTGTTAACATTTTTTTGTTTTTTTAGTGCAATTATTTTTGCTCCTTTCTACCAATTCTTCAGAATGAAATAAAATGTCTTTCCGAACCTTGTTGGAACAAAATAGCATATACATGTTTTTAGACCTCTCCATATTATAGTTATACAAAGGAATTTTTGGTCGATTTTAAAAAAGTATTCAAAAAATTAAAACAAAATCCCCCCAAAATAGATAAAAATCAAGATAAACCTTTTATTTTATTAACAAGATACTTTTTTAAAATCAACCAAAATTTTCTTTGTACAATTACAATATTAAGAGACCTAATCATGTTGTGTTTATGTTGTTTTGTTCCAATGAGGTTCGGAAAGATGTTTCATTTTACTCTGAAAACATGATACCAAGAACAAACAAGTGTTTGATGTGTTTTCTAAAACAATATAGATGGAAGTATATATATATATTTCAAATTATATTGTTACCATTCAAAAGATGACCATTAAATTGACGATCTGTTAAATTTTTAGATTTTTTATGACTGGTTTAAGAGAAACGTGTGTTCAAAAAGTTCTCCATATCAATACCACTCCTTTGGAATAAGCCTGTAGTATGCACCATGGAGATGTTGAAACTAACCCTACTGTCTGTAAATACTAAATCTTAAAAAAAGTAAACATTATGCAACATGGCAAAGCAAATTACGAGAGGTGCATGATGTGGTATATGTCTCTCATGATTTTTGGTAGAACTAAATACTTTGCGAGTTTACAGAAAAAAGTGTGTCAGAGTACATGTATGAAAATGGTGCATATTTGGAGCAAACTTTGGTGTATTTTTGGGAATTCCTTCATTCTTAGATGTTTAAGTTCTTTGTTAGACAGGAATAATGGGCACCTGCAACTTGACCAAAATATTATTATTCATTATATAAATTAGCCTGAAGCATAAACGAATAATCTTTGGATTAGAGAAAATCAAAAAAAGTAGCAACTTGCCCCTTTCAAGCATCTTTGGACGAGAAAATATGCAGATAATTTTAATCTAGCCTTATCCAATCAGATTGGGTCACTCAATATTCAGCTACCCAATCAAAATTGCAGTTACAGAATTGCAAGCTTTCATAAAAAGGCCAAACCAGCTACCTTTGGGTCATTTAACTAGCATCAAAATTCTCTGTTTTATTCAGAGGGCATCTATAATCACTAACCTCTGGTATTTAGGGTAATAACTTATGTAAGTGAATCGCAAAATGAAAACATACGTAATACTCTGAAAATTATTGCCTTGGAAACAAAGTACATTTTCTGGTGCCTGTTCTGTTGTATTAATCGGCATAGCATGAAGTATTGATGTTATTGCATTCAACATCTAATCCTGTCCACCTACTCATGTATTAATATTTTGCCTTCCGTGACAAAAGTGCATATATGCATACTTTCATCATATATGAATTAATGCATGGGGATGATACAGGAATGATTTCAGAGAGCAGCAACTTCTTATATGCTCATTTTATACCAATCCAGTAAAACCTGTATATAGTGAACACCAGTGGAGCCACAAAAAGTGTTCATTGTAGGTAGGTGTTCACTACAGAGGACTTTATACAGGAATCAATGTGAAATATGTCTTGAAGTGGTGTTCAGTAAACACAGGTGTATTTACTAAGACAGGTTTCACTGTAAATGTTTGTAATGTTTCGCTTTGTAAAGTTTAGTTATTTGTATCTTTTACATGTATTTTATTTTATTTTCGGGTTAATTTTACCTTATTTTGATTATTATAGACGTTTACAATTTTTTAACATTTTCAGTTAGAAACAATTTTTTGTGTATTGTAGTGTGTATTTGTCTTTTTCACATGTTATAGCAAGCTAGTTGATTGCAATATATGAACTCCTGAAAGGTATTCTTATCAAAAGATATTATTGATCCCCTTGATACAATAAAAAGGGCAGTTATAGAAAAGCCTTTATTCTGATTAGGTACTGAATGGGGTATTGTTTTTTGGAATGCTTGTTTGGCTCCAGACTGGTAATTATAAAGCACCCTGAGTTCAGTTATAGAAAAGCCTTTATTCCGATTAGACACTTTCCCTGAAATATCGATTTCAAATGAATATTGATTACTAGCAATGCAGCTTCCAGCATCTCTTAATTGCGATACCGTGCCTGCACAATACAGTGTCTGATCTAATATAAATAAATAGATCAATTTGCTACAATGTGCTATAGATATACATAGATCACCCCAAGGCTTCATTTAATTTACTATTGATCACTGTGTGAAACGGTATTAATTTTACCTGTGTAGCGACATCAGGCACGAATCCAATGGCTTGTATTATCCCAGAATTGACATATCCTTCGTTTCTGGTCTTTATTCAAATAATATCCTAATTTGTTGCCATGGAGATGAATAACAGCATGCTATCTGGATTAATTCCAAGTTAGTGACTGTCAATACATACAGAAGAGTAAATAATCTAAGTATACACCCTATAATTGTAGGAGCAGACAGTAGAGCGGGAACAGGAAAGACAAGACTTTGAGGGGCAGAAAGGGAAATTGAAGGAAGAGCTTCAGTTGAAGAGGCAGAAAAGTCAACATGATGATTCCCTCCAAGACCAGGTCTGTTCAGCATTTTATTTTATTATAGATGATGTTTTGTTATGGTCTCCGTTTCTTCTGATGGTGGTTGGTGGTCTGTAACAGATGACATGTTGTGACATTTTGATTATTTAGCACAGAGGGTAAATAGTTATTCAAGAACCAAGTTAACAGAGAACCAGCTTAAAAATTAAGGGACTAGTTACACTATTCAGGAACCAGCTAGATAGGCTACATGTATATCATTCAGGGACTAATATGACGACAAACCAGCAAGACAGTTTAGGGACTAGTCACTAGGAACCAGCTATATACATGTATATCTTTCAGGGACTAATAAGGCAACAGACAAACAATTGAGACAATTTAGTGACGATTTATATTATTCAGGAACCAGCTATATCATTCAGGGACTAATATGACGACAAACAAGCAAGACAATTTAGGGACTAGTCACTAGGAACCAGCTATATACATGTATATCATTCAGGGACTAATAAGGCAACAGACAAATAAGCAAGACAATTTAGGAACTATTTATTCTTTTCAAGAACCAGTCAAATAATCTTTAGACAGACAAGACAACACAGGAACCAGTTAGACAACCCATAAACTAGTTTCACTATTTAGGTACTAGCTCAGTGATTCAAAAGGCATATTGAAAAATATTTTTGTAGTTACAGGTATTGTACATTAGAGCATCTCTATGGGTTTAATTTTATAGTTTTATTTCTGTATTCAGTTTTATATGTCATCTTGATCTATGCATGTAGACATGTTACCTTTCACTTGAAAGAATCACACACAAGTAATGAGGCTATTGCGCTCTAGTGACATTTCATTGAGAGTCTCATTAAAGAGGTGACAAGAACTTGAGAGGGTAAAAAATGATAGAAGCTGTCTTCTCAAAAAGCATGCTCATATTTCCCTAACAGTCTTAATTTTATTTTGTGGAAAAAACAGAAGGTTTATCCCAAAATAGAATAAAAACTTATATTTTTTAGAAGATATGATATGAAATGAAAGCAAAAAACATTGTGTGTAAAATTAATGCCAGCTTTTTGAAATTTACTCTGAATTTGTCTCTTCTACCAGCCGGGCAACAAGGCCCCTCAAGTCCATTGTTAGCATTAAAATCTGTGACATCACGATATATTAATCTGCTGACGTTCAACAAAAATTTTCTTCGTCAGAAATTTCTGAGATCTCTCATTTCAAATAGCTTGTAACGCGCAAAATGTATGATCATAATTTCTGAAATTACACAGTTTAAAGTCCCCATATAAAGTTTAAACCATGTTGTCTTATGTTATAGTCCCGCCAAATGTTATTACATGAGTAATTTTACATTCTTCGGGTTGTTGCTCTTATTTGTTTTTTTATTACCTAGCAACTCTTTAACAAACTTTTTAATTTTGATTTAGATTTCTGAGCTAGAAAATGAACTGTCATCTCTACGTAAGAGATGTACCAATGCTGAGGAAGACCGGGACAGGCTTCAACAGGAGTTGGACAGTAACATTAAGATCTTAAAGAGTCTCAGAGTGGAAAAAGAGAACACCGATGTTACATTGAGAGAAAAGGAAGCAGAATTTGAGGATCTTCAACAGGTATATTCTCATAGTGTATCAACTATCTAGTGACGACATATCATCTAATGTAACTAATGTATTTCACATTCTGGTATCTAAATGTTCTCCGGAGTTTGGCAAGTTTTCTCAAGTGGGTGTAAAATTATTTGGAATCACTATGTGAGTTCAAGGAATGACACCATTTTCCATATTTTCAAGATTAGCTGGTGAGCATTAATATCCCAAGACATGAAATTACAGAACATGGATAATACTTCAGGTATTGTTTCCTAAAATGAACACTCCTGCACTCGATGCTGTGCATCTCGTGCAAGTTTTGGAAAGCAACATCTTCATGGAATGGTCATTCCACATTGCACTGAGTCCAGGGCTTAAATCCTTAAAAAATTGACTGTTGTCTTCCAGAAATTTGACTCACTTGTCGACAAGCAAGCCGATCATGCAAGCTCTGAAGAGGATGATAAAAACAAGCTGGAACACATGGAGGAAACAATAGGCACACTAAGGAGTGAACTGGACAAGGCTGAACAGATACAACAAGACCTGGAGGCTGATAAGAAAGCTTTACAAGATCAGGTTTATGAGCATCTGACGCACGTTTCACAATTAAAGGTAAATAACATTCTAATGCACTCTAGAAATGGTTCTAAGCAAACATCAAGCCCATTTTATCTAGACTGACTCAAACTAGCTTCAGTGAAATCTGTAATCCTTTGTATTGCATTGACATGAGCTACCTTTATCGCTAGTTTTGGTTATAGATAATGCGCTAGACTGATATTTGAATTTTTGTTTAGTAATGGCAATACAGGTAACATTTCATATGTGCATTTTATCACTAGACTGCATGGGTTTTGATTAATTTGGAGAGCATAATTCTTAGACCAGGTTTAGATCTACTCATTGATAATTTGCCTTTCCTAGTAGCAAACCCCAAAACCTGTGTACAAATGTAGTGTGTTAGATGAAAGCTGACTACAATAAGATTGCTTTTAGAATGAGCTACTTGGGGTTTATTAAATATCAACAATTGTTGGAGAATTAAATCACTTTCAATTTTTGGGAGGGGGTAAATAATGAATTCATTTCATTTTGTAAAACAGTTATTTACACGTAATATCAAGGAAATGGAAATAGATATTTTTCAATCTATCATTGTGGGAGTGGGGTAAAAACCAAAAATAAATTGATTTAGTATTTTCACAACTGTTGATATTTGGACAACGGACAGAGTCCCTAAACTGGTGTGTGTTTTTGTCTTGCAACAGTCTGAGTTAGATGAGTTTAGACATACAAGAGAGATGGGTCAGAATACAGAGAAAGATCTTGAAGATGAGAGACATGCCCTGAAGGAGAAGGAGAGAGAGGTGAGACATACTCCAACCAGATATGTTACCAACCACTGTGGTAACTATCAATATGACTGTCAGGAATTTCACTAGAATTTTTGACGCAACAGGCAAAAATATGGGAAATAATTATTTTAACATGAAACAGTTACAAAATTACAGTAAAACCTGTCTAATTGGAACACCTTTGGTACATCTAAAAATATTCCACCTGGAAGTTGTTCCACTTAAAGACTCTGAAAAGTGTTCCACTAGCAGAGGTGTCCCACTTGTAGAGGTGTTCCTCTTCACTTGGTTTCACTGTACTCAAAACATTATAGCCAAGTAGCTAGTAACCAGTGTGTTTCATACATAGATGTTTTTGAGAGAAATTTTTGGAAATAGCATGATTTAGATTTTATATTAAGCATCATTTGATTCAACAAATTGACCAGAAACTGGCATGTTTGTCATTACCAACTAATAAAAGTAATGATGTCCAAATCAACTCCACTCAAACTTGTTTTTAGTATCATTTTTTTTATTTTTAACTCCACTCTAACTTGTTTTGGTACCATTTTATTAATATCTTCAGTTGCACTCAAACTATCCCCATGGCAACCAATGACTTACTGACCATCCCCATGGTAACCTTCAATTTGGTTTTTATTAAAGGTGGCCCAGCTAAGTGAACAATTAGACCAGCAACAGGACCAGTTGAGCCAGCGTATAGAGAAAGCTGAACAGCTTGAGATTCAATTGGAAATCCTCCGTACGCAGTACAACAATTCTCATACTGAGAAAACGGACCTGGAAGAGAGGTGTAACCAACTACAGACTGATGTTGAGAGGCTTACACAGCAAGTGGAGGGCACCTCTATGGATACGCTGGCCCAGAACCTCATTCATGAGAAGAATATCGAGATTGAACAAATGTCTACTCAGGTATGTACAGGATACAACAGATATTTTATGTTTCATAAGGTTTTAATTTTGTCAACTTTTTTGTGACGTTGATTGGCATCTGATGTTCTGCATCTGTCACAAATGGCAGGTGGTGATATTTTGCATGTTAATGCCTTGTTTTGAAAATTGAAATTATCTTAATGTCAGTGTCTTTACCAAATCATGTACATATTATTCCATTTAAGCTATTGTATTGGGATTTCAAATATATTCATTTTACTTGTGTAACATAATTGCTTGTAGTTGTTCATATCTTTGGCCCCATGTAGGTAATACCCTCTCAATTTAGACACTTCATGTCATCAGTATTTTTGTTGGCATGCGTAACAAATGCCATTTGCAATAAATTAATCCTCAGTCACATTTGCTCTACGGCAGGAATACAGTGGCCGTAGCTTCATGAAATCGATATAGAAGATCTACATCATACTGGTTATCCCTATATTTCATGCTGCATGCTTCTCTCGAATTTTGGGAAGCATCGGCTGTTAACTTTACAAGTTCTTTCGATTATTGTTTATTGGTTCTGGTGTTTGACTTATTAATTGATGAAGTGTTATAGTTGATTGTGGAATTGTCCTTATTATAGTAAGTTGATGTGTGGTTCAAACTCCCTAAGTTCAACATAACAAGTCAGTTGTGCTGTTCAATCCAAGTATATTGTATAAGAAATATTTTATCTTTTAAATCACTACAGTCCAAGCTTATTCTTTTAGTCTGTTATCAGTAACTTAGCTTCAAATTCTTCACATCAGAGCTTTCACCAGAACTTGGGCCGAAAGGCCCCCAATCACCAGAACAGTACTAAAGCATATCAACCGTTCTTATATAATTCTCTATGTTGCGCTAAATATAGCCCCAGCCTTAAGTTTAACCAATGGAAGCATCAGGATCTGAAGCCAAGTTAAAGATGCAGACAACATCAAAATTACATATAAGATTATATAGCATACTACATACAATCATGCGAATAATCATAATCCAGTACCCTTAAATGGTAACATCGACCATTGTATGGTTGCCATAGATCAAATGTGACTGAGGCATTTGTTGAATTGAATTTGCAGCTTGAAGAACTGGAGAACATCAGACAGGAGCTGTCTACTAAAATGACATCACAGGAGGATTCTGAGCGAGAAGTAATTGCGCTGAGAGCACTTGTGAAAGAACTGCAAGAACAGGTTTGTCACTCTTCATTTTACTCAATTCTGGACTGTACACATTATGTTTTAATGATTAGCTTATGCTATACCTTTGGACAATTTCACTGGATTTGAATCTGTGGTCTGCTATATTGTTCATTGCATGTGTTTAAGACAAGTTTTACGACAATAATTCATATATTATGCGGCAAACTAATGAGAGTTAATGAATAAAAGGAATCGTGTGAATGTAAAGACATGAATTAAAAAGTCTAAATAAAAAGCAAGCAAACCTGTGAAAGTCCTGCGGCTTAATTTCATGTTTTAGCTTTCGATATTGTAATATGAATGGCTATAATGTATTTGTTGAACAGAAAGCCAAAGAAGACCAAGCCAAAGAATTTGTTGATGCAGCATCGCAACAAGATAATGTGGACACTCAGCAAGACCAACTGGACACACAACAACTCACTGCAGACACACAAGACACAGTAGACACACAACAAGACAATGTGTCCATAGACAGTGTACTGCTGGAGAGAGAAGAGAAAATTGAGCAGTTGACTTTACAGAACACACAACTACAACAGGAAATACAGAGTCTTAAAGATTTCCAGGTAAAGTATGAGAAAATAAATCGTCATTTAAATTGACTATTTTTTTATACTTTTATTCATTGAAAATGACACTTACCTTCATATGCTATGCATTTAAAATTATTACACCTTATTAGATATAACTACTACATAATATAATTCTCACATTCCTCCATTATATATCAAAAATGAGGCCTATGAGGTTCCATTCATTCAATTTAACACCTCCATATACGATATCAAAATGACATTTTCAAGCACACATCAAAATAAGACTCTTCTCTCTTCATTTTGTGACTAACAATTCTGTACACTTCATATACACACATATCACTCTATTCATTTATAACAATGCCCCTATTACACTTTTTATAGTTTTTTTTTTTTTTAATAAATTTATTTCTGATTTCATATACATATCCATACAAAATAGTGCATATAATACTATACAGAAATATACATGATATAAAAGGATATAGGATTCAGAGATAAACATTTATTTGAGGATTGATGAAAGCCATTTAACAAAAGGAAGTTCACTTTTTATAGTTGACACTTCCAACACTTATTTCAGTAGAACCTGTCAAAGTGGAATACCTTTGGAACCTCTAACAATTCTTCTACTGGGGGGGGGGTGTTCCACTTATGGAGGTTCATTTAAACATTAAGTCAGTTGGTCTTGACACCTTGAAAAATGTTCCGCTAACAGGGGTGTTCCACTTCTAGAGGTGTTACACTAGGTTTCACTGTATACTGTCAATATGTACTTGTAGGCTAAACTGCAGGATGACTTTGACACTATGCAGCGTATGGTTGAGGAGAGAGAGGCAGATATAGACTCACTGACACATACTGTGGATGACCTTCATGCCATCAAAGACACCTATGATGCACAGATTGAGAAAATGGAGAGAGATCTCAGGGAGAATGACAATGTCATTGAGGAAAAGGCAGAGGAGATGGAAATGTTAAATGAAAAATTGGCTTCACAGGTTAATAACAAATTGTTCAAATTTTTGGGAGAATTTATGTCTTTGCCTACAATTTGTAATTGATTATCAGGATAACTGTGACCATGCAACAATTTGACTCAACTTGAGGATAGTGACATCATTTCATGTATTACATACCTAACAAAGCATTTGTATTGATGTCAATAGGAAAGTTAGCAGGCTATATTTTTTACGATATTGCCTGATTACCCCGAAATAGCCCCCTTACCTCGTTTTTTCATATTAGATTCTTTAATAACCATGGCAATATCACAACGTCATGTTTCATTTCGATCTTAAAGATTCATACTTACATACATACATACTCGCAAACAGATATGTGACCTCATTGATACAAAGTTGCCATGGGAATAAAGGTTGTGTTACTGTGACATTATGCCTTTGTTCTTGCCCAAATATAGAGCCTCCCAAGGTCGGCCTATATTGGGAGAACTCAGGCATATTTCACGTCAGAGTGATATAACCTCTTAATATATCGCAGATCCTAGAATATGCAGCAACCTCATTGGGCCAAAACTTTTTAAAAATCAATATTTTAAGTAAATAAAAGGCTTCTTAAATTTTGTGATAGCACCGACCCCATCCAAACAAAAAATTAAAACGGGCCACGTAGAAATGTAATTCTAAGATCTGTGATATATGGAATTTTATTTTTAGGAGCAAAATTACTATTAATTATGTTATTAAATAATAATTAATTAAATGAACTTTTAGGAAATGATGCTTGAAGATGTTGATACCCTCCATGCAGAGTTAAACATCAAAGATGAGGAGTTGGTGAGATCTGATCATAAACTGAGTACACTAAAAGAAGATCTGGATTCCAGCACTCGCTCACAGTCCAACATGGAGGACATCATAGAACAACTCAAGGTATGCTAACCCTTTAGATTTTGCATAGTGGTCTTGTTTTAAAATGGAATAAGCACGTTAATGTGTTTAGTCAGCAAGAATTGTGACACTGAACTTCTGAATAGATTTTTGGCATATGATAATGCCAATAAGAATGCATATGATAATACCAAAAATCAGAAATTCACCCCTTCATTTTATCATTCATGTACCTTTGTACAAGTTGGTCAGTCACAAGCAATTGCTTATTGTGGTGAGATAAAGTGAAAATATTCCTTTTTTGATAGGTTTTAATAAGTATTCTTCAGAATACATCTGCAAAAACATTACTTTAAAAGCAGATGTGGAAAGAATATATTTATTAGTGTATGAATATTGTGTTGTTGTTTCAGAACAAAGATACAACAATTGATAATCTTCAACAACAACTAACAGATCAATATACAACAACAGATAGTTTACAACAACAACTGACTGACAATAATGCAACAATAGAAACTCTCCAACAACTTATAACAGACAAAAATACAACAATAGATCAGCTTGAAGAACAGCTGAAACACAAAAATACAACATCAGAGAATTTACAACAACAAGGTTCATCAGACAACAATGTGGACATAGACAGCATCCAACAAGAAATAATTGACAAAAACACAACAATAGAATCCCTACAGAATCAATTAACTGACAATATTACAACATTAGAAACATTACAACAAAAACTGACAAACAACGAGAAAACAATCCATGCACTTGAACAACAGATTACAAACAACAATGCAACAATTGATAGCTTCCAGTTACAGCTAATTGATAAGAATGCTACTGTTGATAGTCTTGAACAACAGATGACGGAGAAGGACACACAGCTGGATGAAATAGTGAGAGAGCACAACGAACAACTGGCTGAGGTGGAACATCGCCATAATTTAGAGAAGGAAGAGCTCAAAGAACGTATTCATGACGCAACAAATGCTTCAGACAATGAACAGGTGAGTTGCAATATCGTTGGGACAAAGTTAGAAAGTGCCGGGTTGTTAAAATCCAAATATATTTTAAACAAAGATAAAGAGGAACGTTTAAAAGTGCAATCAGTTATAAGGAAGCAAACCCCAAACATCCCAAACAATAATCTACTGTACAAAGAAATAGTGTCTTATGCCCTCCCCCTACATTCAGAGGTGATTATTACAATCAAAAACCTTAGAATATAGGCCATTTTATTGATACTTTAAAATTCATTACAATTTATGTTTCAAATTTAATCATGAAATTCATATGAAACTTTCAGGTCATTATTGGTATGAACTATATGACCAACTGTAGGTTGACAATTGCTAGAAATCACACTTTTGAGATCATTTAGAGTGTATAGGCTGTTTATCCATAATTTAACTTGTACAAATCTATAAAATGAAACAATGTGCATATTCAAGTATATGTAAGGTCAAATGGTTTTATTGCTATTTATTGACTTTGAGTGCATGTATGACTTATCTGATACTTTCAACAATCAATCTGCTTTTAATACTTTAATAGTGCTCTCCTCAACATTGAGAAGCTGGGTGCTACATCATGTTGAAAATTGGAAAATCTTAGAGAAAAATCGAGATGGATCACTAAAGAAATTAAATTAGAAATTGATCTTTAATAAGAGACTGTCCACTCTTTATGTGAGGGAAAAGCTGTAACTCATATTCATATATTACAGGCGTTATCTGATGTACGTGCTCTATTAGAGCATGAGAAGGAAGCTGCTGTAGTTAAACTTGAAGAACTGGAAGCCAAACAAGCTGAGACTATGCAGGATATCCTAACACAACATACCAAAGAGCTAGAACAATCAAAGAAGAATCATGAAGAGACTCTCAAAGAAGTGAGGAGTTCTTATGAGCAGAGACTCGAACATGAGAGAGCTGCACATGTGGAACAGATGGGTGATTTGAGGGCACAGTTTGATTTAGAGGCTCGTAGACATTCTATACAAGGTGAGTTCTACATACCTGTTGTTGCCAAAAGTACCACAACTTAAGCATTTTGAGGCTATGTCACAAACTTTGGAGGTTACGTTGAGTCAAGATTGAAATGCAGTATACTTTATCAAATACAAATGTCACTTTCTGGAATCAGTGGATTGAAATTTTAATTTTGTTTTTGGTCTAGTAGAAAAGTTGAAAAAAGGAATTGTCGGATGGCAAAGATATCGAGAATGATTACCTTTTACAAACAACTTTGTAATATTGAGTGTTGGCCATATTATGAATAACATGAGTAAACCAATTAATACAAATGACTGCTGAGTATAAAAACTCAAATTTTCTTTGTAGGAGATGATTCCTCATCTGTTGCAGAGCTAGGTCAACGAGTGCAGCGAGAAGTTGTTGCCACGGAAATATTGGATAACAAACTCATCAGTCAACTGCTACAGAGTGAGCAAGGAGGTCGCAGAGATAGCAGCCCTGGCTCTGAGATTTCAGATTCTGGCTCTGTTACCCCTGAGAAATTACAGGTTTGAATTGCTTACAGTAGTCCCACTTCCAAGTTTTCTATGTTGAGTGGTTGAAATGAGTATTTCTTTTTAAATACTGAGAATATGAATGGTGATGACTGACAATGAAGATATTTACAGAAAAATTAATATTCATTTTCCATAATTGCCAGAATTTAAAGTGAGTGTTTTAGCACTATTCCTGTTATTATTTCAGAATATAGTTCAACGCCTTCACAATGAAGGTATCCAGGTTCTCACTTTGTCTGAACTTGAGATGTTACGTGACCACCAACGGAACTCTATGGGGGCGACCGTTGCAACACAGGGGCTTGACCTAGATGTGCAACAAGAGGCATGGCAGAGTGAGAAACGTAACCTACAACAGACTATAGAATCTCTGAAAGCCCTGCTAGCTGACCTTAAGACACCTGACATGGTAACTTTTACCTCTCATACATATGTCTCAGATTCGTAAAATATGTTTGCTCCACATTGTCAACTTTATTTGATTGATGCAAACTGTGGCACACAAAATTATTTGTGTATACATTAAAAACTGTTAAAAATTTTTTAAGTGGGTCACCTTTTCTACATGAAATTTTTAACACGCCAAATTCAATAAATAGTATGCCATGTATTTTGAGTGTTAACTTGTTACTATTGTTCCTAGGATGTCCATGGTGATTGGAGGGGTGAGCTCATCAAGGCCGTGAACAGTGTGTTCACAAGAGAGCGGGAACATCTCATGTCAGAACTGAGGACTGCTGTCACCAGCTCACACACTGGCCAGGCTGGGCAGGCCCAAACACACGTAGAGCAATTGGAACAAAGAGTCAAAGCCTTGGTAAGTATTCCAGTGTATTGTGGATGTAATATTTCAGATAGAGATTAAAGCAAGAGATTGTATCCAGAGTTGTCTATAATGACTGGGGAGAGGGAGGGGGTAGTAGTCATCTTAATTTATTGAACATTGCGTTTTCACTTACAGTTTTATAGTCTCCAACTTTTTTGGGGACGGTGTTAAGCTGTTGGCATTTGGCGGTTGGGCGCGGTGGTGAACATTCGACATCTGTAACAAATGGCAGGTGGCAACATTTTTTTCATGTTATTGCCTTGTTTAAGGTGTGAAGGTCATAAAGTTTGAACATTTCATGAAAGCATTAACATTAATTTTTATTTAGGCTTTACATCAAGAAAGCTCACTAGAACAAATCTTTGAGGCAGACCGTCGCTCGCAATTAGCGGAGATCCGCGACCTGCGGGCTCACTTGTCCACTATCCAAAGTGAGGCTGATGACCACCAGGAGGATGTACGCAGACAACTAATCTCAACCGAGGAAAGCCTGAGTCAGAAAGAGCGTCATTGGCAAAGACAGAGTGAGTTAGCTGACTTTCATAAATCAATTTCGATTTCTCTTACATCAAGTTGTTCATACAGTGAAACAACCCAAGGGTACAATAATAAATGTTTTAAAACAGTAAATGAGCCAGGCTACAGGAAAAGGGGTCTAAATCACAGATTTTTTCAATATTCTGATTTTTTGTTTATCTTAAAAAGCACAAAGAAACCTTTCAAATGAGCCATGGCTTATGTCCTAACAATTTTTCCTTGCATATATAGACCAAAAAGTCGGATCTGAATTTAGCACATTTTCCTCTTAATCGTGGGCACATTTTTGGCTCTGTAGCACAATTTAAATTTTTGTGATAAGACCAGTTTTCCTATGGCCAGGCTCAAATAATAAATATTATGTAAAAATCTCTATTTTCAGTGGAGGTGATGGAGTACAAGATCCAGCAGGAGAAAGTAATCAGTGAGGACCTGAGAACCAGCCTTGATATTGAGAAATCTCACAGCATTGATATCTCAAACAAACTCAGCAGAGAGAAGACTGTTAATATGGACCTACAGAATGATCTCACTGATTCACAGTCCAGACTGGAGGACCTGAAGACAATACTAGACAGGGAGCATACAAAGAATGAGTCACTCATGTATGTTTTTGAGCTTTTTGCCAAGAGAAATATGTTGTTAATGATCTGTGTATATTCCACGCTTTAATCTCTGAAAGTGAGAAAACTATGTCACCTCCAGAAATGGTGACATATCTTTATGTCACCACCAGAAATGGTGACATATTTTTATAGTCTCCAACATTAGTACTTGTGTTCAGCGGTCGGCGTCTGTACCAAATGACAGGTAGTGACATTTTGCATGTTGATGCCTTGCCTTTTATTACAATTCGCAGTGTTAATGTTATGCTTGTTTACATTATTCCTTGCTGATTTCACTTTTTTTCACTATATTCTGAATTTCAAAACATGACCTTGATAACATTTTCTTTGGTATTTCTACACATTAACAACGCTCGTCTCTATTTGTTTACTTTTTTCATCATGATAAAACAAGGTTTTTAGTGAAGGATTTTTCATTTAATAATGTTTTCTTTAGAAAAGAAGTTTCATACTGTTTGTAATAACATATTGTTTTACTCTGTATTATATTAGGCTTTAGAAAGTAGAAATAGTCTTTCAATTGTGTTTAATACTCAAATAACCTGCACGTAATGTAACTAATATGTAAATTGTATAATTAATTTTGTATTTTAAGACATTTGTATGTGTTCTGTTTGTAGATCATCAACATCTGTGTATGTAGTTTTTGAGTAGTTATTGCACTTGCTTTCACTTTGTCAAATATATTACAATAGACATTTCCGATAATTCCTGCCATCTTTTGATCCGTCAGAGAAACTATGATATATATTAGCTAGATTGATGATGTCATAGGTTGTTGGTAGCAATCCATGCAAAAATAGGATTATCTTTTTGATAATGTTGAAAAGTACAGCCTATGACATCATCAATCAAAGATGGCAGGATTTATTGGAAGCGTCTATTCAAGATCTCACAACTTCAATAAATACAGAGTCTTGTCATTTGATCTTTTGTGACAGACAATACACACACTTTTGCCTACCCCTGCTCGTTCAGTTACAAGAAAATGTTCACATGTAGTTTGTCTGCTCGCTTTTTGTGCAAAGTTTTTTTGTTTTTTTTATTTATCATGTTTTATTCAATACAATAATATATGTTAAAAGAAAATTTCCAAAAAGGCGACTTTGTTTAACATTTTAGGTCGCAATGTTAATTAACAAAGTTGTCTGTTGAGTTTCACATTTGTATGTAACTAATGCTTCATTGCTGCTTTAGTACTGTCCCCATTCCATGTTTACTATTTTAGATTAGTATTTGTTGAAATTGTAGGTGTACCCAACATTCCACCACTATCTATCTTTTCGAGATTTTGTTTCATACCTAAAAATATCAGTAATCCTCTCTCATGTTTCAACATTGTGTTTTTAATGTTATCCCAACTGGAGATATAATATTTTCTTGTATCTATTCTAAGGGGTCTCCTTGAAGAGGAGCAGACGTCATTGTTGCACATGCGTGAGGCATTAGAACTAGAGCAAAGCAGTAAGCGTGATCTAGTGCAGCAAATGCAAGAGGAACGTCAGCAGGCACACAAAGAGCTCATCAACTACCAGGAACTTTACAAGGTAACTTATCTGCAAAGTTTATTATGGTGCAACTTATATATACAGTATATATACAGGGAATGTTCATATGATTTGCCTGATAGTTTTCAATTTTGAAAGAGCAACAACAAGATTCCACTCTTTGAAGCATGCAACAGTGCCTCCATTGAATTACCAGCAAATTGTACTGAAGACCAGCATGTATTTGAAAAAATGACAATATGTATAGTTTGATGAGTAAATAATACCTGAAATCCTTATGTACTTGTACTGTTTTGTATTGAAACGGTTTATTCAAATTTTAACATTAGTATGAAAATTCTTGTTTGTGCTTCCAGAAAAGCCAGGAAGATGTTGTCATGGAGACGGAGAGGAGACAAGGTCTGGCGTCAGAGCTGGAGAGCCAACGTCAGGCGTGTGCTACCCTGGAGTCAGAAGTTGAAAGCCTCAGAGCCCGAGAAACTGAACTCCGAGCACAACTAGATGAGGTCATTAACACAGCTCAACATATTGACACTGAAAGGTAAATGCTAGTTAAGAAATATTCAAATGCTTATGGTTATATGATGAGTGTGGTCAAATTGTTCATAAAGAGTATGGAAATAACCCAGAATTCATTGATTGACGTTATCTTTATATGTGGATTGGTTCATCTATGAATTCTGGGGTATACCCCCTGTCCTCTTCTTATATGAACTACACTACTGCCATCTTTATATTGTCCTAAAATCTGGAAATATTGTAGTGTACTCTATTCTGTTGAAACAACATTCTGAATATATGACTAAAATTATTTGCATATCTTGAAGGTAAATGGATAGGCTACCAGTTAGTCAATTGATTTATTAGTCAAAGGCTTGTTGTTGGTCAGTATGTGTCGATTTTGATAAAATAGAAATTCTTCCAATAACAAAACATCAAAATTGCTCTTCTAGAAAAAATATAATTCATCTTTACATTTACGTTCGGTTTCAATCACCTCAATTGGGACCTTTTACAAATGCAGTCTATGTTACAGGCTTCAGATGAGTTCTGCCCTAGAGGAGATCAAGCAGGGCCAGTCACAGAGAGACCGAGAATCAATAGAGAACCTACAGTCAGCTATAGACTTAGAGAGAACTAAGAATTTGGAAATCACAAATGCCTTAGAGCGTGAACGATACAAGGTAAGACTTTGTATGTGCAAATCTAACACTGTGCAAAAGAAATGTCTCAGCCTGAGTTGATTCCTAGCATTCATTTTCTTGGTTCATATTCTTGGTTCACATATTCTGTCTGTAGTCCCCCATTAAACTTACGGTCCCTCGGGTAGATATATTGTATTGTCCTCAGATATACCCTATATCAAAAACCTCCCTTTAAATAATCTCTATGTTCTTTTATTCAGCATCAATACAGTAGTGATATTTGACAGCTGGGAACCCCTGTCCCCTATATGTCTTTATGATAAACATCTCTATGGTATATTACGTAGCTGGGGACCCCTGTCCCCCATGTGTCTTTATGATAAACATCTTTATGGTATATTACATAGCTGGGGACCCCTGTCCCCTATGTGTCTTTATGATAAACACCTCTGTGTTATATTACATAGCTGGGGACCCCTTTCCCCTATGTGTCTTTATGATAAACACCTCTGTGGTATATTACATAGCTGGGGACCCCTGTCCCCCATGTGTCTTTATGATAAACATCTCTGTGGTATATTACATAGGTGACTAGCCTGTCAGAGCAACTGGAGGTTGAGAAGGTGGAACTTGTGGAGTCTCAGGAGAGAGAGAGGTCTACTAGGCGTAAACTGAAGGCCAGTCAAGATGCCATAGAGGTGAGTGGAGCTCCTTTTGTCAGTGAATGACCTTAAAGAGAGAATCAGATATAGCAAGCAGCCAAACAAAAAATTGTTTCAATTTTAGAATATTTCTGGCTTGTGTCATTCCTTTTCATGTCTATTTTCCAAAAATCTCCATAGTACACACTTTATTTCAGGAAAACTAAAGATTTTTACAATAATGTATTATTTATTATTGGTTACCATTCTTATTATTTGGGAGAATTTAAACATTTTTCACCCATTTTTGTACTTTTAATCCATCATAACTTCAACAATTTATGATATATCTGGAGATATTGTATTTGAGATTGTAAGGAATAGATTGGTAGGTCAATTGTACATGTTGCTTGTAATTTTGTCACACCCATAGATCTGATTCTGCCTTTGAGCTAGCATCTGAAATGAGACCATAAAAGCCAAAATGGTTTCAATTACTTTTGGAACAAATGGCTTATTTGCGGTCATTACTTCCACACTGATTGTTATTTCATAACCTCACATGATTTTAAACCCATGATCTATATTATCAGGTCTGAATTAACCTGTTCTGCTCTTAATGCTTTTGAAAATTATTTGAGAGTGGTTCGGGATACTGAATAGTCCAAATAGGCTAGAAAATTGCTAAGAATTTAAGATAAAGGTATTGGTCAAAAGCAAAATATGCTGTTGAAAGATTTCTATGAGTTCAATACAAGTATTTTGTATTTTTTCTATCAAGACTGAGAAGGTTGACTTTGCTCACCAACTGGATTATGAGCGCCAGAAGGTGACCAAGCTTGAGGCAGAGTTTGATAGACTACATGAAAGCTTACAGGCAAGCAAGGAGAGGGAGAGAGAGAGGGAGAATAACAGAGAAGGAGAGTTACAGCTAGAAAGGGAGAGAGCCAGGGAGAAAGAGAGAGAGAATGAGAGACAGAGACAAACATTGGTACGTGGAATACAATGAAAACAAATACATGAGGGAAATTGTATTTGTTTTTATTTTATGAAGAAAAATCAGATGTATCTCAAAAGACAGCACTAAAATTAATAGAAATTTTTTTCTTTGCATGATCCTTTATTTCCTATTTTAACTCTTAAGAGTCTGGGGCATTTCACTGGATTTAAACCTGTGGTCTGCTATTTTCAATAATGTGGGTTTTGGATGAATAAACTCACTCACTTACTCATCAACAGACACTAGAGAATTTTGCAGGTATAGTCACTGATAGACTGATAAGAGTTAATGTTTATATTGCAGATGAAATATGAGTATGATATCCAGCATTTGATATTAATGGTTATATTGCAGATGAAATATGAGTATGATATCCAGCATTTGATGTTAATGTTTATATTGCAGATGAAATATGAGTATGATATCCAGCATTTGATGTTAATGCTTATATTGCAGATGAAATATGAGTATGATATCTAGCATTTGATGTTAATGCTTATATTGCAGATGAAATATGAGTATGATATCCAGCATTTGATGTTAATGCTTATATTGCAGATGAAATATGAGTATGATATCTAGCATTTGATGTTAATGCTTATATTGCAGATGAAATATGAGTATGATATCCAGCATTTGATGTTAATGCTTATATTGCAGATGAAATATGAGTATGATGTCCAGCATGTGGTGTTAATGCTTATATTGCAGATGAAATATGAGTATGATATCCAGCATTTGATGTTAATGCTTATATTGCAGATGAAATATGAGTATGATATCCAGCATTTGATGTTAATGCTTATATTGCAGATGAAATATGAGTATGATATCCAGCATGTGATGTTAATGCTTATATTGCAGATGAAATATGAGTATGATATCCAGCATTTGATGTTAATGCTTATATTGCAGATGAAATATGAGTATGATATCCAGCATTTGATGTTAATGCTTATATTGCAGATGAAATATGAGTATGATATCCAGCATTTGATGTTAATGCTTATATTGCAGATGAAATATGAGTATGATATCCAGCATTTGATGTTAATGCTTATATTGCAGATGAAATATGAGTATGATATCCAGCATTTGATGTTAATGCTGATATTGCAGATGAAATATGAGTATGATATCCAGCATTTGATGTTAATGCTTATATTGCAGATGAAATATGAGTATGATGTCCAGCATGTGGTGTTAATGCTTATATTGCAGATGAAATATGAGTATGATATCCAGAATTTGATGTTAATGCTTATATTGCAGATGAAATATGAGTATGATATCCAGCATTTGATGTTAATGCTTATATTGCAGATGAAATATGAGTATGATATCCAGCATTTGATGTTAATGCTTATATTGCAGATGAAATATGAGTATGATATCCAGCATGTTATGTTAATGCTTATATTGCAGATGAAATATGAGTATGATATCCAGCATTTGATGTTAATGCTTATATTGCATATGAAATATGAGTATGATATCCAACATTTGATGTTAATGCTTATATTGCAGATGAAATATGAGTATGATATCCAGCATTTGATGTTAATGCTTATATTGCAGATGAAATATGAGTATGATATCCAGCATTTGATGTTAATGCTTATATTGCAGATGAAATATGAGTATGATATCCAGCATTTGATGTTAATGCTTATATTGCAGATGAAATATGAGTATGATATCCAGCATGTGATGTTAATGCTTATATTGCAGATGAAATATGAGTATGATATCCAGCATTTGATGTTAATGCTTATATTGCAGATGAAATATGAGTATGATGTCCAGCATGTGGTGTTAATGCTTATATTGCAGATGAAATATGAGTATGATATCCAGAATTTGATGTTAATGCTTATATTGCAGATGAAATATGAGTATGATATCCAGCATGTTATGTTAATGCTTATATTGCAGATGAAATATGAGTATGATATCCAGCATTTGATGTTAATGCTTATATTGCATATGAAATATGAGTATGATATCCAACATTTGATGTTAATGCTTATATTGCAGATGAAATATGAGTATGATATCCAGCATTTGATGTTAATGCTTATATTGCAGATGAAATATGAGTATGATATCCAGCATTTGATGTTAATGCTTATATTGCAGATGAAATATGAGTATGATATCCAGCATTTGATGTTAATGCTGATATTGCAGATGAAATATGAGTATGATATCCAGCATTTGATGTTAATGCTTATATTGCAGATGAAATATGAGTATGATATCCAGCATTTGATGTTAATGCTTATATTGCAGATGAAATATGAGTATGATATCCAGCATTTGATGTTAATGCTTATATTGCAGATGAAATATGAGTATGATATCCAGCATTTGATGTTAATGCTTATATTGCAGATGAAATATGAGTATGATATCCAGCATTTGATGTTAATGCTTATATTGCAGATGAAATATGAGTATGATATCCAGCATTTGATGTTAATGCTTATATTGCAGATGAAATATGAGTATGATATCCAGCATTTAAAGTCTCAGGTGTCTGCGTTGCGGAGACAGGTTGCCGAGGCGGAAGATAGTCAAGATAACATGAGTGGATCTTTTACATCATCCATAGATAACAGACCCCCTGTGGTAAGTATGGCTATACAAACTACTATTGCAGTATTGAGAGCTCTTTTAACAAGTGATGAAAAAATTTGAATTTCATGTTATGGATATGTAAGCACATGTGTCAAAAAGAGAAAAACACGTTGCAAAACAAAACACAGCATGAAAAATAAAAATGTAAGAGCAGTACCATTGTTATGAAAAGCAAATCCAATAAAACAAATTAACTCCCCCCTCCCCTCTATTCAGAAGTCCAATCCAAAACCACAAAGATCTTGGGACAATTCATTCATACTAAATGAGTTTGATAGAAAAATAATGAATCAGATCAAGAAAATTAATTAAAATTTTGATATAAGTGAGTCTCAATTGAATGAATGAATGAATGATGTTCATGTTATTTCATGGTCTACCTTGTATATACTGTAAAATAAGATATATTCTCTCTGTCCCCAGGTAAAGACAGGAGGTGCTACAAAAATCACCTCTCACCATAGAACTGAACTAGAGTCAACACGTCAACAGCTACAGCTGCTCGTGATTCGATATCAGGAACTACTTTCTCGCGTGACCGATCGTAAAGTGGCGGGACCACATGAGATATCGGGTGGGCAGGCAGAGGTGCAGGATCTCAGTGAGAATTTAGATGGTTTGATGTCTGATCTGCGACAACTAGAGACATCTATATCTAACACTGGACAGGTGAGGAGTTTTGGGCAAATCTCATTTTTCTCAAAAGTGTTGCAGCAGGAAATGCTACAGACAGTCTCCTTTTGTTAAAGAAATATTTTTATGGTGCCCTCACAAGGGTTTAACCTTTCTAACGTCATAACGATATATACTTTCTATAACTAGCTATGCCCATGTTCTTATTCTTATTAGATGGGTTCTAGAGGATGGGAGGCAACTTTTGTATTTTAAGAACGCATTCTCTTAACATTTAGTTTTGTTGAAATTCAGGGTCAGCTAGTGGTATATGCTAGTTACTAGCTATGCTAGTATATGCTAGTTACCACATTGACTTTGATAGTGTAGCACTTTTGACTGAACTTTTCTGATTACATGTTCCTAAATAAATTATGTTTTATCATAACAGGAGACAGAATCAAGGCCAGTAGAGGGTGGGGTTCATGAACGTGTCCTGAAGCAGAATGCAGAGCTGACTCAGTTCATTGCACACCTTAGTGAAGAAAAGCAGGACTTGCGACGTACACTTGGCTCTCTAGAAGAGGAGATTCATAGATACCGTATCAAAGAGGCAAACACTAGTCAGGTAAGACCTGTGCCTCGACTTATTTTCTTCAATGTACTTCTACTCAGTTTTCTCCTTGTGCCTCTACTTGATCTCCCTCCTGTACCATATCTTAATCTGGTGGATTTAGGTTTTCTGTAATCAAAACTTGGAAAAGTGTTTTCAAAAAATTAGGGTTTTTATCATAGTTGAATGATAGTATAATTCAAAGGTTGATATTGCTTTTTTGAGGACTTATTATATTTTGAGAAATGAATTTGAATTGTGGACAGTATTAAAACATAAAAGTGAAAGGTAAAAGTAGTCAGTGTCATCTGTGAAAATGAACAGCTATGTGGTAGGTGCTGTCTATAATAATATGATTCACATTATATTCTACACTGATCTCTCATTAAGTGGAAGGTCCATTTTGCGATGTACAGTATGAATCATTTTTCAGTATGCAATTTTCAAACAACAAAAAATTCCTATTTCTGCTTAAACATATTCATTCTATAAACAAGGTACATGTAAAATTATTTTATTGGCCTAAAGCCTATGTTGTTCCATCTACACTTTGTAGCTTACATCTGGACTGTTGGTCAATGTGACTGGATCGGTAAGATTTGATATTTCTGCATGTTCTATGTGTTCACTTCAGTCACCATTTGTGCTTGTCAATACCAATGTACTGAATATGTCAATCAAAGCCATCATGCAAAAATAGTGAAACATGAATTTCAGTATAGCTGTGGGTTTTGCTTGATAATTAAATAGATGGATAAATATGTCGGAGACAAGTATATGATATTTCACATTTACAAAACATCTCATCTCAACCCTGTTAAATCTTTACATTTAGATGAGTCACACTCAAAATACATTGCTTCTATGTTATTACTTTTGCATGGCTTTCAATAAAGAAACACAATAGTTTCACTGAAAAAAGGACACCATTTTATTTTTACTAAGTGCATTCCAACTTGAATACCAGCATTTTTCATTTTACTTTCTAATATACAATGATCAATGTTCATTTGATGATATTAGTGAACATGGGCCAACTTAACACATATTAAAACATAATTTGTATAAATTCAACAACATTTGTCAAAGTAAGCGCCATTTTAGTGAGAAATTCTATGATTGATATATCCGTCACTCCAGGTATTCAAGAGATCAAGTGGATTATGGCAGTTTCTCATAAATCAGTGTATATTATATTGGGGCAATAATACTGCTGTGTTATGAACATGTGCAGTGTACATTGTTTACTCTGTGTATTTCACAATCCAGATATTGCCACTCCTATCCCCTACTAACAGTTGTCCCTCATTGTCCACTGCTACAGCTCCAGGGCACTGTAGTCCATCTGATGATGTCAGGAGATATTTGATAAACTTGCCATCTGGTCCTAACAAATGTACCCTGTGGTTCGAACAGTCAGCCACTATGATATTGTCTGCTGTATCTGTACAAAGACCCCAAGGGTTGTGTAGTTGGTTCTGTCCATCACCATAAGTCCCATACCTGAACAGCTCATTACCATCTCTGGTCATTCCCACCACACAGTTTGCACTGCGATCAGATACTATCACCACATCTTTGCTATTGACAGCTACCCAGAGAGGGTTAATGAAAACCCCTTCTTTAGACTGAGTCATGATGTTACCAGTTGCACTATCAACATGATATACAGCCTTTGCATGCATGTCACATATAACAAGTTCCCCTCTTGAGTTCACTGCAATACCTCTACATTGTTTCAATCTGGGTAACTTTAAATCTCTAATGTGTGTGCCATCCTGGTGGTATATGCTGACTGTATCAGTTTTACTGGTGAGATATATCTCTTCATCATTAGTATCAACATTGATACATTTTTCACCGAATGTCGTTTTCAAAGTAAAGTTCTTGTCATAGAGATATGATGGGGTATTGGAACCATTAGCTACCACTTTATTACTGTTTGTAACAGCTAAATCGCATACTTGATTAATCTCATTTAGTTTTTTCGTCTTTAAAACTGTTGGCTTAACATGTTTTATTGTTGATCTTTTAATGGAGGTTGTGTCTCTCAAATTCTGTATGTCCACCTTACTAAACACAATTCTATCATCATATACCTTACCTCTTTTAAATGTGAATGTAATATTTGAGTCAAACTCAGATGCCTTGGTGTTAGACCATTCGTTTGATTTTGTAGTGATGTCTTGGGCCATGTTAGCTAGTTGGGTAGCATGTCCATGTTGTTTCAATGTATGTAGCTGGCTCATTGTGCTTTCAGTTGTGGCCTTCTGCATTTCTAAGTGTCCTAAATGAGCAATTGCCTGTTTGGCACACATGGCCCTTTTCTCAGCCACTAGGTTGATATTCTTTGTGTATTTATCCCGGACTGCTTGGAGAGCTATGTTCATATCATTGTTAAGTTCATGAGTCACATTATCTGCTTCTTGCTCCATTTTATCTTTCTTGGTATGGGTGTTTTGTACGGTTTGTTCAAAGCTCTCTACCAACTTGTCACCTTTCTTGAGGAGGTCATCTATTAATTTCACATTGTCTTCCGCAGCCTTGTTGACATCCATGCACTCGTGGTTAGAATGGTTAATCACGTAACAAGTTGCACAAACTGCACATTGATCCACTTTACAGTATATCTCAAGTGGATTGGTTTTATGTGTTTCACAAAACACTACACGCTGTTTTACAGTTTTTAGTGCACTCTGTTTATCTTGAGCCTTGTCACCTGTAAGGTCAAGTATTGTGTGACCTTTTAAAACTTTCCTATGGCATCGATCACAGTCCTTACAAAATTGTTCATTGCATTGTAGGCATTTTGTTAGAGCATCAGTCTCTATTTGTTCACTCTCCTTACATACTGTACACTTGGGTTTGTCTCCAATAATATCCATAGATTGAAAAAGATCCACTAGTGAACTAGTGGTGAAATTGACCTTAAATTTTGCCACTCCCCCTGTAGGTATTGTGTGAACTTCTCTACATTCTGGGCAGCTTAAACAATGTTTCTCTCCTAGTTTTGTTTTCTCTAATTTATCCAGGCATTTGCAGCAATATGTGTGCATACATGGCAGTGCCCTTGGGTCTGTTAATGTCTCATAGCACAACTTACATTTCAATGTCTCTTTGACTTGTTCTTCCATTACCGTCGCCATCTTAACTTTGTATCAAACATCACATCACATGATGTTTTAAACTTCCTTGTCTCGCTCTCATGACATAGTCAATGATTAACTAGTATAGTACACTGTTTGTAATTTGATAAAAACATTTAACGTTTTAATGCTTTAGTCAATATATACAAAGTGAATAGAATTTTATGTAAAAGCTGTTTAATGTTAGAATTTTGCTTTAACAAAAGGTCAATGTAGCCTCATAGAGTAAGGAGCGAATGTCTCGTTTTTCACCAAGTCAATCATCATTTCAATAAAAACATAGAAACCTGACCCTAGTAAGGATCAATTTATGACCTCAAAAGATTCATATTTAAATGTATAACTAGAGTGAAAAGGTTCTTAAAGTGTTAGTGTTATAGTGTTTTACTTGTGTAAATAATGGCAGATTTCACTCTTGCAAATATGACATGTGACTCTATACCATGAACCCAAAAGACTAGTAGTATTTACAAGATGAAGCTCTCTTTTAAAGAAGTTTAATCAAACTATTGAGAAACACTTGTGCAGAAGAAAATGTACTCAATACATTAATGGAAAAATAAGATTTATGGTCCTTCGATATTGTCTATTCATCATTTGTTTATATTGTATGTGCATGCATCAATATTCACTATGTGTTTTCTTTCAAATAGCTTGAATTCTATTTACATTTAAAAGCCTAGTAAACTAAAAAAGAATTTTGACAAACATAGTTGGCCACGAACTGTGTAGTACATTTTCATGGCAGTCCCTGTTTAAACACATCATATTTGCAGCTACGTGTTTGTATTGATTAAAATATTTTTTCAAAAAATTGAAAGGAAGGGTGTCTTCGATAGAAATGACCTATATTTTAACAGTAGCTGTCATATATAACATGGGTGAGCTAAATGTATGTAGATTTTTTGAATTAACCTTCAGCTCATCCCAGATCAAGAGTGATGAAATATATTTTTCAAATACACATTGCTAGGTTTTAAATATTAAAGCTAATGATAAAAAAGAGAAAATACATATTACATATCCCCTAGAGACCAATGGGCCTGGGATTCTTGAGAACTTCAAGAGTAGGCTTAACATATACATTTTGTATTTATTTCCCATGTTTGTCTTTAGTCATGCCCCTTTTAAAAAGTTATTACCTGGCTTTCTGTTTTTGAAATATTTGAATTTCCTGCTATTTTAACATAAAAAGCCAAAATTCTTAGATCATCAAAAACTCCAATTTTAATTAATAAAGCACAGTATTTCTCTAATTTGTCCCTTGAAAGATCAAGTAAAAATTGCAGTTTCAATAATTTTATTTAATTTTTCCGCAGTCTTGAACTTTGTCCTGTAAAACCTACTTTTGAAATTTCAGATATCACATTGTGATAATCTTGGACGCATGTTTGTACTGATTAACTCTTTTGACCAGTAAGTCGACTAATTCATCCTATCGGTAACTGCGGCAAGTCGATTATAGTCAACTTTTATACATGTACTATGCCGATAAGTTTTCCGTTGTATTTATAGATGTCAGGCTATGTCTAACCTTGTGTATTATGTTTGTACAGGACGAAACATAAATGTAACAGGAAGTTAATGATATTTCGTGACCTTTTCATAAAATAAACCAATGTTTTCGCTAATATTATTTGAAATAAAGAAAAGGGGATTTAAAATGGCTGCTGCTAGAGCTCGAACTCTCATTAGGGCTACTGAGGACAATTTTGATCAAATATTCAATGATTTGGACAGTGAAAACGATACTTGATGAAACGAGGTGAAAATTATGATTTGATTTGGATTTTTGGATGATATTATTTTATTTTTATTATTACATTGAATATTATTTAATTTTATTCTATTTTTCTCATTTATGATATCATGATCAACCAGAACAAAGGCAACGCCAAAGCGTAGCGAATCCCATCGAACAGAAATGGCTGGCATTTTTACAAACGAATAGCAAATATCATAAAACAACACACCAGAAAGGCCACCATTTTCAAAATGGTCGCTCACTAGCCAAGTTGTCATCAGAAGAAATAATATGCTTTTCAGTAGCCACCTCTAAAATTTTTGAAAAATCGCACACGTACTTGTAAAATAACACACATAAAAATGGCCGACTACTCCCCAAAGTTTTATTAGACAATGTGCCATGCTTAAAGTATTCACATATCAAATATGAACAAAATTGCTCCACTACTTTTCGAGTTATAGTAAAATACGTTAAAATGGCGGCCATTTTTCAAAAAAAATTTCAAAATGGCCGCCTTCTACCAAAAGTGTCATAGGACAGTGTGCCATGCTTATAGTATTCACATACCAAATATGAACAAAATCGCTCCACTATTTTTTGAGTTATAGCAAAAATCGTAAAATGACGAGTAAAGGCCGCCATTTTTCAAGATGGCTGCCATGTGCTTCTTTAATATCTACATTTGTAGCATTATTAATGTCCTTTATAATTTTTTTACATTTAAAACATATTGATATAACAGTTTTACATATTGCACCTAAATTACTGTAAAGTCGGCACTAAAATGGCCGCCATTTTGAAATGAGCGGCCATTTTGAAAATCGGCTTTCGAGCAGAACTTCTACCCCCATAAGGTATATGTGTACAAAATATGAACAAAATCGAGCCAATGGTATTTGAGTTATTGCCCCGATGGACGGACGGACGGACGTACGTACAGACGGACGGACGGAGGCATTCCCTATATCCCTCCAAACTTCGTTCGATGGGATAATGATGTAATTGCTAGTCTATACCCTAGAATTTGTATGTTTTAATGGTTTGAAATGGTAGAACAATATATTGACAGCATGTACTGAAACTTTCATCAACATTTGATTGCTAGTTAAAAAGTTATGACTGTTTGAATAAAATTAATTACTGATCCTAGCAATGTAACAAATTTGCTAATTACCAGTCAAAAGAGTTAACATGTTTAAAGGCCCATGCAAAGTAACGTGTATTCCTTTTGACTAAGCTATTCATTGAAAGTTAAAAGAAGGAGTGTCCAAACCTTACACAGGGCCTTTAATGTCAATGGCTGTAAATCATGTCAATCACATTGTAATGCGCATGTCAGTTACTATAATACATAAAATTCTGCATGAATAATTGTATGTACAGTACATGTGCATTATTTATTACATACAACAGAACTAGTTCACCAAAATGCAAACCTTAAATGTTGAAATGCAATCTTTAATTTAATTTATCTTTTGAGACACCATTGACTTTCAAAAAGTAACACTACCATATGCAGCGTCCTCCTAAGCAGGTGTCCAGAAACCGTACCTCCTTCTTCCCCCCTGCTATAAGCAGTTAGCATTTCCCCGATTAAGAACTTGTGATTTGATTGGCTGTCGCAACACAGCAATCATGTATACGTCATTGGCGCATAATTAGATCACGTGATTCAGTTTAATCGGGTGGTTCCAACTTGGTTATAGCAGGGGGTAAAAAGAAAGAAGATATTCTGAATTTTGAAGCCCTGTGATCGGAGGATGCATATGCAGTACTAGTAATAGTGTATATTTTGAAACACACACACATGTAAGATGATGGCAATACCTGTTTTACCTGAATGAAGTGTTCACTGCATTCAGAGATATGTGAACAAATGTTATATGTCATGCTATGATGTAAAGACTTATTATTTTTGGCAGCTAATTTATCCGATTTCATTATAGTTACAGAAAGAGATGAATTCGGCGGAGAAGTTGGCAGATGAGCGTGCCCACTGGTCCAGAGAACGTACCTCCCTCACACTGGCTCTACACCAGGGGGAGAAGGAAATAATCAAACTGAAGGCAGACTTGAGACAGAAAGACTTGGACAATGAGAGATTAAAAGTGCTGCATTTCTCCCCAGCAAACAGTATACCAAATGATGTGGATAAGAGCAAGGTACAGAACAGTTCAGTACAGTACAGTAGAGTACAGTAGAGTACAGTACAGTACATCTTAAGCTTGTTTAATACCTGCAACTTTAGTGTCATGGATACAAGTCTGCCTAAACTGCTTAAGTGACTGCTCAGCCCTAATATACAGCATCGATGCTTTCTATATTCCAGATCCAAAGATTATATGGCAGATATCTCCGAGCAGAGAGTTTCAGAAAGGCTTTAATATACCAGAAGAAATATCTACTGCTGCTGCTTGGAGGATTCCGAGATGGTGAAGAAGATACACTCTCCATGATCGCCCGTATAGGAGGCTACACTTTGCAGACGCCAGTGGCAGTACCACAAAGACCTGGTCTTACAAGGTTTAGAACTGCTGCCAGGGTTATTATTGCTGTGTCTAGGTATAGTGTTTATGTTTTGAACTAGTACAGGGCTGGGTCTAGGTATAGTGTTTATGTTTTGAACTAGTACAGGGCTGGGTCTAGGTATAGTGTTTATGTTTTGAACTAGTACAGGGCTGGGTCTAGGTATAGTGTTTATGTTTTGAACTAGTACAGGGCTGGGTCTAGGTATAGTGTTTATGTTTTGAACTAGTACAGGGCTGGGTCTAGGTATAGTGTTTATGTTTTGAACTAGTACAGGGCTGGGTCTAGGTATAGTGTTTATGTTTTGAACTAGTACAGGGCTGGGTCTAGGTATAGTGTTTATGTTTTGAACTAGTACAGGGCTGGTTCTGGGTCTGGGATCAGTGTATGCTCCAAGATGGCACAATAGGCTTCATTTTACAGCCCCAAATAGCAGTACAAATAATGAATAAACAGCTTTTCTGTCATTTCTGTTCAATGAAGAATTTTATTCTTAGCAAGTTCCATTCTTTTCAACATAATTTAAAACCTGGTCTGAATGACATTTTTCATATGAAATATTACTGCGTTTCAGATTGCAGTTCTTGGTGCGTAAATGGAGAAGGGCCACCAGGATTGGCTCACCAGCTGTTATCGGCAATGTAAATGCCTCTCCAGGCACTAGCTACATTCCTCAGAACCAGGGCTACTCCCCAGTGAAGTCAGGGGCCAATAGTCTGTCTGGATCCTTCCATTCTCACGTGCCAGTCTTAGATCTCAGTAGCGGAGACCGCTACCAAACACATTCCCCATACGCAACACCTCCCAATGAACAACACAGGTAAAGTGGAATTTATTAAATTTTACAAGCTTGAAAAAATATGGAATTTCATGAAATTCAGAACATCTTTGACCTCTTGGCAAAGCTAATAGTCTGAAAAGCAGGAAGTCTGGCTTCAGGCTGAAAAGTAGAGGTCTTGGGTTCAAACCCAGGTCACAGCACTTCTTGTGATTTGTCTTTGACCTATGACTGCTGACCTATACCGGCGATTACTAGAGTGCTGCTAACTCGATAAAAGGCTGCGCTGGCTAGAATTGTCTATGGTTCTAGCCAGGATAAAGATACCAGTTCTTCAACTCGACAATGGGAAGAACTGCTCTACCTTAGTGACTAATATGATATGACATCTAAAGAGTCAATAAAAGATATATATATATATCGTTAATAATTAGAGGTGGTACAGATGGGGGTTCATTCGTTTTGCATCTAGATACAAATGGCTCAAATTTGATACATTTCAGCTGTGTGTATTGTAAAGATTTTAATTTGAATTCATTGTGTTCATGCATAATGCTTTCTATACTAACTCCTTTCTTATTTCAATACAATGTAAATATTTTTCAGAGAGAGTCACATAACAGACCGCACTGGAGACCAGTCTCTAGATGACTATATGGGACGTCTAGAGAGCCTGCAACATAGACTAGCTACAGTTAACAACAGTAAGCATCCTTTTTCCAAAAATGTCCGCAGTTTGAAAATCAACATTATTTCTCTTTGTGTCTATTATCTAGTCTTAGAGTTGAAGGAAGAAACATATAGAACCAAGTAATAATAATTGTTAGGGTTGTTGTCCAAATGTCAATGTTTTTATGGTTTCTCGTATAAAGAAAGCTAAAAATGTTAATTTGCTTTCGTTTCTATGCCAAATGTCAATATTTTACAGTAACAAAAACACCATTCCCCTCCCACAGGAAATAAGCTTTCACAACTGTTGAAACATTTGGGCACAATTCCTTATGATTCTTTTAAAGTATTCAAATGTATTATTATTTTCAGCTCCACAAACAAATGGTTATAGGAGGTACTGAGCCGAGTCCAACAATCACAAACATGCACAAAGAGTGACTGTTATCTGCTTATATATTACAACTATGAGAACTGTCCAATGTTTTACAATTCGGTGCTGTATTTTATTGCTAATGACGATGCAATGTTTGGGAGATTGTTTAACACACACACTGGTTGTTTCCATAGTGACATGAGAGAACAATAGTTTTCATACTGGCCAATATATTTATTCTGAAAAAAATTCTAACTTAGACTTTTAAAGATGTGGTATCTAAAAAGAATGTTGATGTGACAAAAATGACACATGATGCAGGAATCTCTCAATAATTCAAGTCTCTCCCTCCCAAATACATCCATGTCCATCATATTCATTTTGGGTTTCATCAGAATTTGAAGGACTTCATTCCAAGGAATCTTCTTAATTAATGGTGATATCTTTTACATTGCTATAAAACAGAGAATGTAATTTGCATAATTATTTTGGTGCTACGTTAAGAAAAAAGACATTCACTTTACTTCACGATTGGAATAGAAAATTTTATCGACACTGCTGAAAAAGATTTGACAATTTATTAGGGTTGTTAGGAATTATTGTAGGTTTTATTCTGGAAATATTCGGGATTTCGATCCGATAATACAATACTATTTATGTAATTTAGTTAAATGAAAATTTTGGTATAAAATGATAAATATTTAGCATTATAATGTAGTATGAATGTCATACATGTCATTATTATAGCCCAGGGCTATTAGATAAGCTACTGATATGGGCACTATAATATGGTACTACTAGCTTTTATGTGATGATAGACACAAATTAAGTTAAAAATGTATTGTTCTACAAATCAAATGTGAATTAAATATACATATGTATGCATAATGTGTATATTTTGTATATTATAGAATGGACGTATGTTATGTATTATAGCAATTTATTTATTTATTATACAATGTTCTTATACTTATAGTTGGGTACTTTTGAATCACAAAATTGTTTCATAAAGTTATATGCCACAGATTATATTTGTTTCCAAAATAAAATTGCCCCGTGTTATTTTCACGTGTTTATATTCATGCTTTTCATTTCAACCATAGTAATAATTTTTGACTCTTTATCATTTGGACTATTTCATTGAATTCATACCTCATTTGCCATTTCTCAATAACAATTAGATTATGCTCTGGTTTTTAATCTCTTGAATGTGAGGCCATACTCAAAATTTGAATTGTAAAGAAAGGTATTGCACTAAGAAAGGCAATTCTTGGGATAACGTGAAAAATTAGACTTATCTGTGCAAAATAAATTTTCCACATAAAAATCAGTTATTACAATATATTGGGTGCAATATATATGTAAAATGTATTAGAATTAAAGGTATGTTTACATTTAGACACAAGTTCCTACAAACACATTCAGGCTAATATAATTAAGAAATATAGACCAAAGAGCAGGTGTTATATTGACGAATACATACTGCATGGCTAGGCACAAACATTTCTGAACCCCGCATAACCGAATACATACCGGGAGAAATATTGCCTTTGTTCACAGTTAAAAGAAGGCGTGGATACAGTCATGTTCGAATTTTGAATATGATTTTGTCAATTGATGTCAATTGACCCTTTAATTACATAAAACACAGTTTTCCATTGATTAAAGAAATTTAGATGTGACAATATAGAGGTTTGCATAAAGTTTTTCTAGCCAAACACATCCATATATGTATTATTGTATAATTGTATTATGTTTTGGTTACTACCATATTTTGGAGAGCAATACCTCATTGGTATATTCAGTATTTTACGTATCTTACACTCAAACACAGAGACAGAAACCCATCCTTGAAGGAGCCCCGAGTTCTTTTAGATGCACCAATAAAAATGATGAACAAATTGAACAGAGATATGTGAGGCAAAAAAACGTTATGCAAAAACCTCTTTTGTATCAGTATGGATGTACTTAATCAGTTAATCTCGCCTTTGTTTATTATAGAACTTAATTTTATAGAAATGGTTTATTTATTCTCATTTTTTAATAATTGCCATGGCATTTGTCAGGTGCTTTTACCATATATAGACATTGCAATGGAGTTTTGTGCAGAGTTATGATAAAAGACTTATTTGGAGTGACAGATTTCTTAAGGTCTGGGATATACTTAGCAGTTATGTCCCTATCATTGAATATATGCCTAAGGTCTGCCACCAATATAGCCCGAGCTTGCGAGGGTTATATTACGACAGACCGAAGGCATATATTCAATGATACGGACATAACTGTTGTATTACATACTTTTATATCATGGCTACGTTATATCAATGACGCCACGTGTCTGTGTGCGAGTGAAATTAGGAAGAAATGAAACATGACGTCCCGATGACGTCATAAGATTGTAATGGTAAAAGGTTTGGCGGCTATACAGGAATATATAGCCGACCTTCAGCTCCATTGACTTTAATACAAATGCTTCGCTGGGTATGTAATACAGTAGTGTATATATTCAGGGCAGATTTCATGGCAATTATTACGTATTATTATTATATTCAGCTTAAAGGAACATTCCTTGCCAGACTATTTCTCTCCTGATATGGTAGCTACAATCATATATATACTTTACATATTTAGCAAAACACGGGAAAATGTTTTCATATGGTCAATATTGATCATTTAAAAATATAGTACTCATTCCCAGTAAGCTGCAATCTTTTCAGATTTCTTTCAGGAAGTGATGTCATCGACTCTCACCTGTTATAACCTTGTCTATTACAGTATAGGAAAGAAGTACAAAATCACTTCTAAACAAGAAGCCCTTATCTTCTGAGTAAAAATATTTTCAGGAGTTGTCAACTTAGAACTAAAGAAGACATCATCAAAAGGATTTTAATCATAGACCAAATTGAAAAAAATATTCAGCTGGCTTAGTAATTCTAATGGCTCCTTACCTAATGTTATATGCAAAGTTGAGAGTCGATGACATCACTTCCTGAGTGAAATTTTAAAAGATGGCAGCCTACTGGAAATGAGCACTACATTTTTAAGTGATCAATATTGACCATTTCAAAACATTTTTCTGTTTTTTGATAAACTTGCAGAGTATGTATATGGTTTTAGCTACCATATTAGGAGAGAGAAGGTCTGGCAAGGAATACCCCTTTAAGTCAGCTTGATATAACATGGCCATATACAGGAATGTACTACGTAACAATATTATAATTATTATTTAATTTTGCAATTGTATATTATGAATTAACCGATCCATCCATTTTATCCAGTCGGGAGAAATATTTTTAGTAAAAGTGCCTAGAATGGCGACAACCAATGAAATGTTATCTCACCTATGATCTCTTCAAAATAAAAATGTAAAATTGCACCTGAAGTTTTTTGTCATTAATTCCACTTGGGTGTTGAAGAATAGTTTGAATATTTTAGGAAGAAGCTAAAATATAACCAATACTGACAAATGGGTCAAAATATGCTGTGGAAGCTCACAGTCTGTGTGCCACAAATTATCTGTGTGATCAGTCGTAATGCATTCAATGAAGTGTGGAATTGAACTGTGATTGCTGTGGGGCCACAATTTGTCCTCAAATAAGCAATACAGTAAAACCTGTCTAATCCGAACACCATTGGTGCCAACCAATATTCTACTGATTGGAAGGTGTTCACACTTCAAAATATTTAACATGGGAGTCTATGGCAAATTTAAAAAATGGGACCAAAAGATTAAGAGGTGTTTGAATAGGCAGGTTTTACTGTACATAATTGAACTGAGGCACTGATCCATAGCAGACCCATTTAAATGGAACAGAACTGCTCAGTTCAAGCCAGTTCTTGTTGCTTTGCATGTGACTGTATTTTTTATAGCACTTGGAAAAAGTGCTATATTGTAATTGTCCGGGTGTCACATAATTCAATTCTTGTTTAATGATTGGGAAGCACAAAGGGCAACATTAAAATTTTATATCATGTTATATATTTCATCATATAAAGATCATTATTTGCATTTCAGTTACCCTAAAATTGTGTGCTTAATAGTGAGCACATTATTATTTACAGCTACATGTGTTAAGTGAGGATAAGCTCTGATTTTTTGGGGATATGATTTGTGATGAGGCAAATTTGGAGGGATTTCCCCAATATATATTTTGTTAGACAAAATTTTGTACTGAGAAAAGAATTATCTTTTATCTGAATTATCTGAGTTGTTGATTGAGGTTGATAATTCTCCACTTACATCACTTGGGATAAAATTGTTAGCTTGTGTGTCTATTTTATGTTGTTTGTTAAAGGCCCCATGTAAAGTATAAACCACTTTGGCTTATATTGTAGTCTTACCCAATGTTATCAAAGTGTGATATGTGAAACTTTTTTTTTAAATTTCAAAAAGTGGTTTTTGATAGACTTTTTGTTCCAAAATTTGTGAATTTATTTAAAACCAACTTTTAGAGGTCACTCATATCTTCTAATTAGCCGCAATTCATACCAATGCAAAGCATACATCCTCCCATGTTTTTTGCCGAAAAAATTAAGAAAATCGGTTGATAAACAAGCGAGAAATGAACTTATCAGTGCATGAAAATGGTTCTGAGAAAAATGCATTTCAAAATTTTAGTTCTCATAGAAACCAATGGTACAATGATATCTAAAACATAATTTATTCTTCCTTTTAACCTGGTTAGACAATCAACATTGGTTTTTTATGAAAGTCTAGCATATTTAGAAAAGATTGACATCGAAAAAAAAAATTCAATTTTTTTAAAAAAGTTTCTGTTACCTTAGTGACATCACTAATGTTTCAAAATATTTTTGATAAGCTAAAACATTGAAGTGGCCCATTAAATATGACATTTTATTATTGAAATAGTGTGTCTTTTGTTCAATCTTTGCATTGGTGTTAAAAATATAATCTTTTTTGAAATGCAATAAGAAATATTTGATGATTAAGAAATTGCAACTTTTTTTGAAAAATGGCGGGAAATTTGAATATTTGAGAAATGAAATGCTCACAACTTTTTTTTCAAAAAATTTTTTTTGTTCAAAAATCTCTAACATCACTTTTTAAGTCCTGACAAATAGTAAATGAATGATAAAAAAATATTTTCAAAATTCCGAGGATTGTAAAGATATCAAAAGGAGATTTGATAATGTCCATTGTCAAGATTTCAGCAGCCAGGGTCGTGAATATCACAGCTCATAGTGGTGTCATCATATGCTGTCCCTGGGGCACATTCCATGATTGTTATCTTCTGCAAATGGGGCCACTCACAGTTCAGGAAGCGACACCTATTGGTGGCATCCGGAAATAACTTTCCAATATCATTAGGTTGGCTGCACTGGATCACTGAAAGGCATGGAACAAAATTTTGCAAAATAAACGTTTAAATAAAATAGACCTTTCCAATAAACCTTACCACTTTCTGTTACACTGATATGAAGAAACTGAAGATTCATGTTATACTGGTATCACCGTGGGTGTAGGTAACAATCTTTTCAAACAAAAAAGTATCAACTTATGGCTTATTTCAAAAACCAAATATTTTAACCTTCCCATGACATCATGAATCTGACCAAAATACCCTAGTTTTTTTGGTATAACAAAGTTTTTTTTTGGAAATGTCTATTTAACCGCTTATCATATATTGAGGAAAACTAATTCTATAATATATCACAAGAGAAAATTATAGGGGCCATTCATATTTGTTGAGCTAATTCTAGATTTTCTCATTTAAATGTATCTATCTGATTTGGTATCTGTTAACATGATCCCTTGCTAATCCCACTGTTGTCCATGCAGTCCTTTGTATTCCAGGACCTATTTTTAAAAAGATTATACCTTGTGTCTGAATTTGTTGTGTAGATGCCTGTGTCTGGGGGTTTTGCTGTTGCCATGCCTGGTTGCTTGTTTGTTGCCATGCCTGGTTGCTTGTTTGTTGCCATGCCTGGTTGCTTGGCTGTTGTTGCCACACCTCAATGCTTGGCTGTTGTTGCCACACTTGGTTGCTTGGCTGTTGTTGCCATACTTGATTGCTTGGTTGTTGCTGCCACACTTGGTTGCTTGGCTGTTGTTGCCACACTTGATTGCTTGGTTGTTGCTGCCACACTTGGTTGCTTGGTTGTTGTTGCCACACTTGATTTCTTGGCTGTTGTTGCCATACTTGATTGCTTGGCTGCTGTTGCAACACCTGGTTGCTTGGCTGTTGTTGCCACACCTGGTTACTTGGCTGTTGTTGCCACACCTGATTTGTCTGAGTAGGTTGATTCATCATTGTTTGTGAACCTTGACCTGACTGCCACACTTGGTTGCTTGGAGTTTGCCATACCTGGTTGCCTTGAGATTGCCACATTTGGTTGTTGTTTGGGTCTTCAAGAATGTTTTCCTTTCTTGCATCGTCCCATTGAGGATCCTCCTCAGGTCTATGTTTGCTTATTCTCCCATTTTTGTTTTTCACAGTAGCTTTTTCTTGGACCCTCAGGGTTGGAGCTTCATATTTAAAGGTTGGGTCACGTTTTCCAAAGAAAGTATTTTGAGTAGGAACTATATGCCACACGATATCCCCATCCACAGCTCTGTATTCAGACACTTGTTCTGATGCCTGGCTATCAATTCCATTATTTTCCTTAACATCATTTCCCTTAAGGTATGTCTCATCCTCTTTCTTGCTAGGAGTCGTGACTGTTTTGTAGAGTCGTTTGATTACATCCTTTACGCCAAATTTGTTCTGTGGTGGGTCTTTGTATTTCTTTTGGTCTTTTACATCATTCCCAGTTGCCCCTCCTGCCCAGTATAAGTCATCTTCTTTCCTATATATCTTTTGATTTTGATTATCATTGTGTTCTTTAACAGATTCAGGCTGCTTTAAAATTGGATCATTCCTGTTGACAAATATCCCATTATGTCCCAAATACACAACATCTGAAGGTTCTTCACCTTGAGTGGCTTTATTCCCATTAGAGTCAACGCTGCCCCATTTACTCGCACCATCCTCTTTCAGGGTGTTGCCATCTTCTAGATGGGTGAGACTGATCCTGTCCCCTGGGCTGTAATCCACTATGTGTGTCTTTTTACTTGAGGCAGGTGGTTCTTTATAGACAGATGTGGGGACTCTGTCCATGAACTTGGAGGAAACCTCAGTGTCTGCAATACCAGAGATAACACAAATGAAATCATTTTAACAAAATCATAATTATTCATTGATGTTCAACCTATTTAATAAGGCTAACGATATAAAATGATGCCGATGATGCCAATATAGTTCAAGTAGGCTAACACTATTAAATGATACCAATATGGTTCATTGAGGTTCACACTATCAAGGATGATGCTTTAATAGGCTAACATTATATTGAATGATGACAATTCGATGAGGCTCACACTATTAAATGATGCCAACACAAGTCAATGAGGCCCACAATGCCAACACCATTCAATGAAGTCCACACTATTAAATGATGACAAATCAATGAGGCTTACACTATCAATGGTGCCAATACAAATCATAATAAGCTTCACAAAATGATGCTAAAATATTTGAGGAACTCAAGAATACCAAAACAAATTGCTCACGATATTCCAACCAGTTCACATTAATCAACAACACGCACCCATATTATAGCAGAGCTGGTGTGTGTCTAGGAGACATTGCTTGGACTGACTGTTCCAGTATGTCCCAGGGGCACACCTATACACATAGGGAAAGTGGTAGACACACAGCAGGAAGCCACACTGGGGGTAGAGGGGGTCATCCAACACTGTCCCAGCACTTGTCTTGGCACAGGGATCTGTAAACAAGGAGACATCAATTTCAAGAATGCCAGTCACTTTTCATATACCCTTCACATGATCTCAATAATGTCTGCACTCTTTAGATGGACTATGAAACATGTCTTCAGAAAATCACTTTATTTTCAGCCTAGGAGTAGCTGGCATTTGTTCAGTATTCAAACTCTCATCAAAGGGAATGAAATCATCATTTGTGGTCATTTGTAGTCAGAGTGGGGTGTGACTAACTGATAAGGGTTAGATGATGAAGACTGGAAACAAGATGCAACACTAAGAGAACAGAACACCCAACAATTTGAAGTGAACCTCAAAAAGTACCCATGATATAAAAAGTATTCACGAATCATATTTCAACTCACAAAACAAGTTAAGCAAAATAGTCCACCAATCCATTATCAATCATCAATCCATTTTCAACTCAATGTATGGCTTTTGAATATTGTATATTCCACATGACAAGCTTTGGGCAAATAATATTCATACTTTTTCCTGAAACTGGGTCCAATGGTATTTTATCATCATTATCTTTTTGCCTGAAGTGAGCCTCATCATATTTCAACTTACAAAGCAAGAAAAGCAAAATAGTCCCCCAATCCATTTTCAACTCAATGTATGGCTTTTGAATATTGTATATTCCGCATCAATATTGTATATTCCACATGACAAGCTTTGGGCAAAGCCAGGCGAGGCAACAGCCTCACAAAATTTTACTTAAATTGTCCAATGGTTGTATTTTATCATCATTATCTTCTTGCCTCACCAATTTTCTGACCCTGGCAAAAAGATAACTTACAATAGAGAACATTTCATTTTAAAATCTAAATGAATTAGATGCACTTACTGGCTGATTCTACATGAGAATGTAAGACATTCTGTAGAATTAAAATCCACAATCCAAGCAATTTTTTCGTTGTCTCCATCCTTTCTTCCAGTATTATCAGAAAATAAAAACTTTGTAAATCTTGGATACATACAAGAAATGTAGTGTGCCCAAATAAGGTTGTGAGATATTTTGTATTTTAAATTATTTATCCCTGTATCACGGGTGTGTTATCTCTTTATCTCATGATTTTTGAAATTTAAACTATTTGTTGCATATTAGTACTAAGAATTATGAGTACATATGTGTTGGAGTTATGGCTTAAAATATAAAATTATATAAAGTTTCAGTATTTGAGATCTCATCATTCGAGAATTAAATGATTTTCATAATAATCATAATACTTTTTCCCAACCCCTTAAAGACACCCTAATTCAAATTTTGATTTAAAATTTTACTCATGTTCGAGACAATCTGTTATTCACTCAGACATTACAACGTGTGTTATCCTAAGAGGATTGAATACAAATGAGGTAAACTAACCATCACAGATTTTCTTGAAATGATAATATATGTTAAAATATCATTAGACTATTTACAAATAGGAGGTGACCTCATGATGGCTTTTTAATTACTTAATTGCATTTTGGAAAATTAAAATTGGGTGTTAAAAACATAAATGAATATTTATATGGACTTTCCAACTTAAAATATTGTAAATGATAAAAATATCAATATCAAAGTGGATTAGTTTCAGAGATTGAAGAGGTGAAAAACATTACAAGTGTTAACTTTTGATTTTTCAGATTTTTACTAATTCAAAATTGCAGAACTAAATATTTTAATGAAAATCACAATTTCCAAAGTAAACATTTGAGATAAGATGCCAACATGGAAAATAGTGTGCATTTATAAAACAATAAAATACATTGTTTAAATATAACTCATTTATTGCATAGACTAGTATCTACTAAAACTACTTTATATAAATAACAAATATAAATGCACATGATATGAATTTCATAACAGGTTGCATAATTTGGTACATGTGATTTGCAAGTATGTACAGTACATGTGATTTACAAGTACATGTGATTTACAAGTACAGGGGACATACTGGTACATATTGCAATAGTCTCATAAAAGAATAACCTTATAATCAGTTAAAAGTTAATTCCCACCCAAATAACGGAATTGAAAATAGTGAAAATTAAGATGTCTTTTTATTATTCATTTTTGCTCACAATTTAGATAACATCCATGAGGGAAAACTGTTTACTTTATAACAAATACAATATGAAATCCTGATTTAGCAGCTATAAAACTTACAGATACAATACATTGAAATCCTACTAAGTTGGTCATGGGAAGTCATAGAAAATGAATATAAATAACTATATAACTATTTATATTATTAATATCAAATGTCTATCAATAAAGGAGATGACAATCAATAGATGGCGTTGGCAGCCCTTTGCTGGGTTTAACCTTAAAATGTGTAAAATTGTTAACTCCCACAATAAGTCACCTTTTGAATCACTTATCAAAGCCTTTTGATGTTTAGCAATTTAAAAAATTTCATCAAATATGTCATAAATTTCTGTACTATTGTAATTCATACAGCGGTATTGTCCAATGTTTTCAGAGATCATCTGATGTCATTACAACGCACAGTCACCTTTCTAGACTAGAAACTTGAGTCAGTTTTGAAAAACATTTGAGTAAGTTGTATTTTCCTTGAGTCCTTTATTCATTGATGATGTATGCCTCTCTCTGAGTTCCTCAAATATTTGCCTGAAACACAAAAACTTTTAGTTAAAAATGATAACACTGATGAAAACAACAACACATTAATTTGAACATAACATCCATTTAAACTAGATAACGGCAACTCCGCGGAGTAGCAAATCCCAACGAACAAAATATCAATTAGCGAATTCCAATCAATTATACTCATTACTTTGGTTAAAATTGAAAAAATTAGATTTTAGAATTGTGAATTCCTGCAAAGCAGCCATTTTGAATTTTCTGAGATACAAATCTGAAAAATATTACCATAATTGTGATCTACTCCAAAATTCCTTCAATTTGAGTATAATATAGCCATACTATCCAAAAATTATTGCGAAATCGTACATTAGACGGCCATTTTGAATTTTACGAGGCTCAAATCAGAAAAAAGATACAATATTTGCAATCTACTCTTAATTGCCTTTCATTTGAGTATAATAAAGCTATACTTTAGAAAGATCTAAAAATTAGCGAAAATTTCTGTTTTCCTGTCCCCCCATACATGGCCCCTGGGGGTCAGGATAAAAAACACGGAATATATGTGAAATAGATAAATGTTGTGAATATATACCAAAATTTCAAACAATAATATTAATTACTTTGGTTCAGAATGAAAAATTTATGATTTTTGCGAAAAAGTCCCGTCATTTTTAAAGTGGCGGCCATCTTGAAAAATCTTTTTTGCGTAAAACTATTTACCAATATTCATCTTTCCACTAAATATGAAGAAAATCCGTGTACTAGTATTTGAGTTATCTTCCGGACAGACGGACGGACTGACTGACTGACTGAATGACTGACTGACTGACTGACGGACAGACGGACGGACGGAGGGCTTCACTATATCCCTACCAAACTTCGTTCGTTGGGATTATAAACAGCATACTGATTTATAAAAACTATGACATTGATTTAAACATGATAAAATTGATTTTAACAAGATGAGATTTTTCAAAAAATGACATTAATACAGGGTTTAACATGACAAAATGTCCCCATGTGAAAGTGTAACAACTGTTACATTCTCTTTGATGTTATCAGCTTATATATAGCAACAATCCAAGCACTTACTTATCCATGTAAAAGAAGATGTACCCTGATCTTTGTTTCCCTGTTCTGACATCTTGTTCTTTAATCTGTTTCACAAAGGAGTCATCGCAGCTAAACCAGCATCCTTTCTCCATATTGTATACATCACTGATATAGTGACCTAAAACATTTTTTTCATGTAAGTAAGCATTTGTAATATAAGTAAGTATAGATAATTAATAAACAATCACTCATCGCAGCTAAACCAGCATCCTTTCTCCATATTGTATACACCACTGATATAGTGACCTAAAACATTTTTTTCATGTAAGTAAGCATTTGTAAGTAAGTATAGATAATTAATAAACAATCACTCATCGCAGCTAAACCAGCATCCTTTCTCCATATTGTATACACCACTGATATAGTGACCTAAAACATTTTTTTCATGTAAGTAAGCATTTGTAAGTAAGTATAGATAATTAATAAACAATCACTCATCGCAGCTAAACCAGCATCCTTTCTCACTATTATATACATCACTGATATAGTGACCTAAAACATTAGATTTTTTATGTAAGTAAGCATTTGGAAGTAAGTGCAGTTGATTAACAAGGCATTAACAAGCAAAACAACGCCACCAGCAATTTGTTACAGATGTCAAACACCAACATTCAAACTCCAAACATCATCCACAAAAGGTTAGAGACTATATAACAACAATATGTCAAAACTTGTGGTGACATTATAAAATCTCATCGTCACCTTTCATATTGCGAATCAAGTATTTAAGAGATCCAGAAAGATGATATTGAAGGTGAAGATGAGTCTTCAAATCTTACCATATGAGGAAGAGCTTCCCACATGTGAGACGACACACATGAGTCTGTATGAGGCATTCAAGAAACCTTTCATTGAGTTCTGTGTGAGCTGATTGTGTTCCTCCTCTGAGAGACTGTACACTGGAGTCTCTTTATTACTATTTTCCTCAAAGCTATCATCGTCAAAGTCAATATAGGACAACTCTGAAATTGATTAATAAGAACATTAGGATTTAATATATGTTTTACAGGGATGATATAATCTACGGATATTGGGCTGACCTTTGTTAAAGTGCAATTTTCGGTTCGTTTTTTCATACAAGAATCGATTCCATGGATAATATTGGTAAGTAAAAATAGTAAAGCAAGACTCCCTGTTACTGTGGTTACTAAGAATGTGACATTCCATCAGAATGTGCAACCATGGTAACCTATATTTTATGATGTGATCTGATTGGTCACAAAGTAACAACGTATATCCTGCTATGTAAAATGTGCCACTAGGTTTTTGTGCCACTGACTTTATTAAGGTATTAGATCAATTTAGGAGATTTATTGATCAGATTTATTGGAATGACCAAGCCTAGGTCAAAATAGGTCGTTTATATTGATACTTTATATGGCAATTTGTGATATCTCTAAGGATTTCATAGGTAAAATATAAAACCTTAAGGTACATTATAAAATTTTAGACACTTATGCCAATCTTCAACATCTTAAAGTAATTCAGAGAACATACCTTTAAGGCTTTCTTTCTTGACTCTTTCCAATACATCTTCATCAGTCTCTCCAGGGAACCTGCCATTCTCATCCTGTAACATATAACATATTCAACCTGTTTTCTTGAACTCCTGAGACTTGCTCTAATGACTAAAATGTTTACAGAACTCTCCACACAATATTTTTCAAGTGGTTGCAAAAGTTTCAGTTTCACAAATTATCTCATCAAAAATGGTCAAACTTTCAAACAGAAAAATTCCCAATTTTTCTAATGTGCAACAGTTTTCAAGTGGGTGCAAGCCTATTTCTGAAATCTTAAATAGGTGCAGCATCCACTTGTTTCAGTATCTGTTTATGGGATAATTTCTTGAGGTTTGGGAAGTTACAAAGGTTTTTGTGTGTCATGTCATCAAAAAAAGAAATGAAATAACCATGAAGAGTAAATGCAACAAAATTGCATTTTACTTTTCTTTTTGTTTGCAATATCTTTAAATTTTGATGGAAACATTCGTTTCAGAATAAAGTATGACAACTCAACATGATTACCTGTTTTAAAGGGTCTTCTACTTTTAAAGGTTCCTCGGTTGGTTTCTCAGCATTAGTTTCTTCTGGTTTCTTTGCTACCTCCTCCAAGTGCTGAACCATACCCTGATCTGTAACATACACACACGCAGACACTTCAATTATAGCAAAAGTTAAAATTAACATTTTTGAATCTGGCTTGTTAAAGCGATTTTTCTACTTCAATTTTCTATTCTTGGGGGCAATCTTGAACAATACTTATATTTCCAAAAATAAATCTCATCCAACTTGTGTCTTGGGATAAATTTGTTTCTATGGATGTATGGCTGAGAGTACTCCCATACCAGAAGAAATGTTTGTATCACAGTTTGAAGTTCAGACCGTCGAAAATGAACTTAACCTACCTAGTAACTATTTTCAAAATTGTTTGATACATCTGAAGTAGATTGTTACATTGTATACATATATAATTTGCATATGTTGAGATTGACAAAACTGATATGAATCAGATGTTAATGGTTACCTTCTGGGTCATCCAGACTAAGCAATTTTTTATCAAAGTCATCATTCTCTATAACTAGATCAGGCAGCTCCTCCCAATCACTTTCCATTTTTGCTCTCTTGGCATCATTATCCTCTGCAAACTCACTAGATTTCCTCTTGTGAGTACTTGAACTATGTTGAGTAATGCAGTCAGGTATTTCAGCTTTGAATTGAATTTCATTGTCAATGTCAACTTCTTTCTTCTCACAAGCTGAACTTAAAGGCAAGTTAGCTTCATTTTCATGTGCAGTGGAAGGGGTCTTTATTTGAGTAGTTTGTGTTTGTGAGAAGGAGTCTTCAGACATTGTCCACTGGTTAGGAGCATGTTCCTGCATACTTTGCTCTAAAGCCAGTTTTATCTGATCTTCTTCACTCATCTCAGCCAACTTCCCCTCCAGTGAAAATGGTATGCCGTCACACTCATCTGTAGATTTAGCCTGGAATTTTGTACAATAATCAAAAGTTTAAAAAAAAAATCAAAACGGCTTTCATCTGCTCAGTACTTTTATAACGTACACTCCCCGCCATAAATTTGGTAACCTTTTTTGCCAAAAGGCCTATCTGTATTGTAAAGCCTATCAATAATTGAATTTTTATTTTCATAACCTGCTGAGAAAAAACAAATTATACAGAGATGAAAATAAATAAGTAATAAATGAACCTCAACATAGGAAAACCAGTCTTATCACAAAAATTAAAATTGTGCTACAGAGCAAAAGATGTGCCCAAGATTAAGAGGAAAATATGCTAAATCCGTCTTTTTGGTCTAAATCTGCAAGGAAAAATAGTTAAGACAAAAGCCATGGCTCATTTGAAAGGTCTCTTTGTGCTTTTGAGATAAATAAAAAATCAAAGCCTTGGAAAAAATCTGTGATGAGACTCCTTTTCCTGTGCCCTGGCTCAAATATGAATGTTGCAATGTATTCACCTCGTGACTGGGGATGGAAGCTGGTGTTTCCATCTGACTCATCTCTATAGCTCTGGCAATATCTTCCTCCTCTCTTAGTCTGTCTGCCTCTTGCTTTTTGTGTTCTTGTTCACTTGCCCAGATACCCTGGTTTTTTAAATATGAAAATTTATTGATCATTTTATACACAACATGGCATATTTAAGCACACAGTACTACATATATCTAGAGATTTTTTAAGCTATATTTTGGAAATGTGAATATAGAAATACATGTATTGCGAGAAAGATTTTTCCCATTTCTTGGAGAAGTGTCAAAGAACAAAAAAATTCCAAAGGTACAATTTTCTTGTTCTAGAACTGAACCGAAATGTTGAATTTTTGTTCTGTGGTCCGGCCAGAGAGCCTCATTCAAGAGGTCAGAACAAATTTAGGTATCCTTGACACCTCTTATTTTTAGCATGTTTCCATCTGTAAATAATAATACATGTACATCCTGAATGAATATATAAACATCAAATTATGCTAGTTTACTTTAATGATAAGATTTTAAATGTTTACCTGTTCAAGATCATCAGACTTCTCTAATTCAGCACCATTTGTATTGCTTGATAGAATGGACCTGAAAAATCAAACATTCCATACCATTTTCACTCAAATAATTTAGTTAGGGGATGCAATAAAAACATTAGAAATTCAGTTGGTGATAATATTATTTCTGATAATATTATTTCAAAACATTATCATTTTATTTAACAAACAAGGCATTAATATGCAAAATGTCACCCCCTGCCATTTGTTACAGACACCAACCAACTAACCAACACCAACAGACTACCAAACGCCAGACAGCAACAGCCGAACATCATCCACAAAAAAGTTGAGGCATTAACACGCAAAACGTGACCACCTGCCATTTGTTTCAGATGCCAAACTCCGAATGCTTAACACCAATTACCAAACCCCGAACACTATCAACAAAAAATTGGAGACTATAACAATATGTCACCCCTTGTGGTGGTGACATAGGGGAAGGGGGTGTGAGCTCTTGTTAAATTAGTTTCACAAAAGATTTATATCTTGAGATAACCCTTACTTGGCAGTTTCGGGATACTGTAGCTGCCTTCGTGGTGTATCACTGCTGACTGAACTGTTCAGAGACACATTGTTGTAATTGCATATACTTTCCTCTGCTCTGGAAAACATGAGTTGAATTATTAGTAAATCTTGTGAAACATTACCGATCTGCAAGACATTTCCAATATATCCCGACCCCTATTTGTGAACCGAGAAAACTAGGATATATTAGCTAGATTGTCATACTTTACGCAGCAATGTTTGTGAACAAAATTGATAGAAGTTTTTGAAAACTAGCAATATTTCAATCTGTAACTTTACAGTGTTCAAAGAAATAATATATCAAGTTTTTAAGTATTCTTATAAACATGATATATATCAAAATGTCACCACCTGCAACTGGTACCAAAATTTAACAATTTGTTACAAAGACAAAACTTATGTCAATTTGATATTTTGTGAGGTCAATGTCATACTGTATCAAAAATAAGAGTCATATATTCCTTCTCGATCAATACCCTGTCTATTAGTGATAATGGAATCTCTCAGATAAGCCTTAATTAAGCTGTTTCCTCCTGTTCATGCTCCAATTGTTTTGATGAGTTTAAATGATAAAATACATATTCCTGCATACATTTTCACTTGTTGAGCACTTGTCAACATTACCATTTATTTATTATTGAGGGATTTAACAGGGGTCCACAAAAAATAAAAAATATTAGATTTTGATATTTTTGAAGTTTACAACAGATAATCTACTTATGAATCGGTTGTTGGGATGGTTATTAGCATGACATATTGATTTTATCTGTTTAATTGAAGATAAGATCACCTGTCTGACTATATTTTGCATTTAAAATGATTAAAATTAATTGTTCCGTTTAGTTCACTTTCTTTTAACGTCATCTTGTTTTTGTTGATCCGCCAATTGTTTTGATATGTTTAAATGATAAAACATATATTCCTACATACGTTTTCACATGTTGAGCACTTTTCAACATTACCATTTACTTATTATTGAGGGGTTTGACAGGGGTCCACAAAAAATACAAATATTAGATTTTGGTATTTTTGAAGTTTAAAAAGGATTATCTACTTATAAATCGGTTTTTGAGAAGGTTATAAGCATGACCTATTGATTTTATCTGTTTAATTGAAAATAAGATCGTCTGTCTGATTATATTGTTCTATTTTGTTCACTTTCTTTTAACATCATCTTGTTTTTGTTGATCCACCAATTGTTAAATGATATGTGTAAATGATAAAACATGTATTATCACATACATTTTCACCTGTTGAGGACTTTACCGTTTACTTATTATTGAGGGGTTTAACAGGGAGGGGTCAACAAAAATATTAGATTTTGATAGTTTTGAAGTTTACAACAGATTATCTAGTCATTAATCGGCTTTTGGAAAGTTTACTAGTATAACAAATTGATTTTATCTCGATGTACATTAGATGTTCAAGAGACCAATAAACTTATTTATTAATTATTGAGGGGTTTAACAGGGGTTCACAAAAAAATATAAAAAATATTAGATTTTGATATTTTTGAAGTTTTTTTGGAAAGGTTATTAATATTAGTATGCCATATTGATTTTATCTGTTTAATTGAAACTAAGATCGTCTGTTTGACTATATTTTGCATTCAAAATGATAAAAAATAATGGTTCCATTTAGTTCACTTTCTTTTAACATCATCTTGTTTTTTGTTGATCTGCGTTGTTAATGATATGTTTAAATGATAAAACATATATTCCTACATACGTTTTCACCTGTTGAGGACCTGTCAACATTACCGTTAACTTATCATTGAGGGGTTTAACAGAGGTCCATAATAATGAAAAAATTTGATATTGACACTTTTGAAGTTAACAACGAATTTTCCACTAATGAATCGGCTTTTGGAATGGTCATTAGCATGACATATTGATTTTATCTTTTTAATTGAAAATAATATCTTCTGTCTGACTATATTTTGCATTCAACATGATTAAAAATAATGGTTCCATTTAGTTCACTTTCTTTGCACACAATCTTGTTTTCGTTGATCTGCAAATTGTTTCTGCCTATATTCATACATAGGTTTTCACCTGTTGAGCACTGAAACTGAGCACTGTTTACATTTTAAAACCTTGGAAAAAGCATTTGATCACATATAATATTGCATTTAAATCATAATCTAAGATGAGTTAGGAATTTATTCCCACTATTTATAAAAATGGATTTTAACATCAATAAAGCATGATATGATGTTGGGTGAAAGAATATATGATTTTTGCGATACGGGCTCTACAAGCATCTCGACAAGCAAATAACTTTAGTAATAGAAAAGCCTTTACCCTGATTATTTTATTTAGTAGAAAATAGACTGTCCTATGAGGCAATGCTAGAACCCAAACTTTCTCTTGAAATTAATAAATACCGTCTCGCCCAATATTTTTTTCTCGAATAGGTATTCAGCCATTATCAGCTGCTGATCATCAATATTTTTGTTTAATATTGCCCGCAGAAATGACGTTATTAGAATTATTGCTCAGGTCGATATAGTAACAAATGCCACCTAAACTAGCACTAATACCACTAAAACATGCCCCGCAAGTTGGTAATAATAGTAATTGATCCGAGAACTATCCACAAAATATTCTTTTTTTATATATTTTTGAATTAATCTTGAATTAAATCTTCAATAAATGAAAATCTGAACCACTTTAAGATATTCAAAAAATTCAGTGTGCCATGTTTATAGTATTCACATATCAGAGATGATCAAAATCGCTCCACTATTTTTCGAGTTATAGTAAAATATGTAAAATGAAAGCTATGTTTAATATGGCCGCCTTCTACCAAAAGTGTCATTAGACAGTGTGCCATGCTTATAGTATTCACATGCCAAATATGAACGAAATCACTCCACTACTTTTCGAGTTACAGCAAAAATCGTAAAATAACAAGTAAGGGCCACCATTTTTCAAGATGGCTGCCATGTGCTTCTTTAATATCTGCATTTCTAGCTTTATTAATGTCCTATATCATTTTTTTCATTTAAAAGATATTGCTATTACAGTTTTACATATTGCACCTAAATAACTGTAAAATCGGCACTAAAATGGCCGCTATTTTTAAATGAGTGGCCATTTTGAAAATCGGCTTTCAAGCAGAACTTCTACCCCCATAGGGTATATGTGTACAAAATATGAACAAAATTGAGCCAACAGTATTTGAGTTATTGCCCGAACGGACGTACGTACGTACGGACGGACAGACGGACGGACGTGTATCCCTCCGAACTTCGTTCAATTGGATAACTTTTTAAAATTAATTCAAATTGTTAGGACATGATACTAAGCTTATAAAGTAAAAATTTGATTAGTTACACCAACCATTGTGATTTTAGAGCCCATTGTTATCTCATTTTACAGTTTAAATTGTATAAATCTTCTTGCTGTCAACGTATTTATAATAGTCTACACTTATTTAATGCCTGTTTATAATGATAGCGAACATAACTGTAATACTGAAATCATATAAGTAATAAAGATCCCAAAGTGGAGGTCAATGTCCCCTCCCCCCATTTGTGACATAGGGTTATACGAATTAGGTTGAAAACATCAGGATGAAACCTGTTTTCATGATTAATACACCTCAATGATGTAATTTAATCGTAAAAATGTACTAGCTTTTCATCTAAGAACTATCCAGAAAAATATTTAATATTTGTAAAATGGACCCCTGCTGAAATCGTTCATAAATGAAGTTCTGCAACTTTGTATGGTGCTCAAAAATTCATAAATGGTCAATGTTATAATCCTAACTAAAAAAGCAAATTAAAAACATTAGGCTGCGACAATAAGCTTTAAAAAAATTATCCAGTGTTTGATGAGTTATACCCCCCACTGTGAACATGGATCCCATTTTGATCTAATTTTCAGGTGAAATTTTACATTATGCTCTCGATATACAATAATTCATGCTTTTTGTACTTATTTATTGTCTATTCACAAGAAATCTTTTAAAACGATTATTTCTTTAAAAAATGGACCCCTGCTTAAATCTCAAATAAATGATAAACGGTAATGTTGTGTGATCCTCAACAAGCAATACCATATTCAGTGATATTAAATCTATCAATATAATCTATAAAAATGATTGGAACTTGAACAGGAGGTAATTTCCATATATTTGTCAATTCCTTTATCACTATATTCCTTTAGAAAGCTATGTCACTGTTTACAACTATAAACATGTCAAATCGTTCATATTTTCCTGTTTTAAGTTGCATGTACTACCAAGTTTCATTGAGGATTGAACAAAGGATTAAATTCAGACTAACAGGATTGAATATTTAGAAATTATATTTTGTATGTTTTTCCCAAGGAAAAGTTAAACTCATGTAATAGAACATATTTTGACATACCTTATGTTGAGAGGCTGTGGTTCCTGGACATCCCGCACACAGTGATACTGTAAACTTATATACCTTGGGATACCTATCTCCCGTCCTATCTTTTTCTGACCAGCTTTTATAGAATTGTAGTTATACCTCTTCAGATGAAGGATCAAGATTCTGAAAATATATGAGAAAGGTCTTGATCTTTTCAACCATGCTAGTGTTACAACTTAACTATGGAACTAAGCCATATAAGGTTGCTTGGATTTTTGAGGCATTTGCAGCTCAAGTGATTTTGAATTTCCACCACATCGCTACCAAATTAAAGTGTATATTAAAATTCTTAGCTATATATAACAATTCCTATCTTAGATTAAACCATTCATTCCATTCTAACCCCAAAGTCACTTAATTTACAATATGGTAAAAGGAATACTTTAAACTCAGTCACTTTTGCTCTATGGTAGCAATAGCTTCACAAAATCGAGATAGAAAATCTACATCGTACTGCTTTTACCTATCCGTACAGTAGCCGTAAATCAAATGTGACTGAGGCATTTGTTTCAAAAATTTTTTTCTTTTTTATGTGATAAACTATTTATTTCATGATATTCAATTATAGGCCAAGCTTGTTTCAAAAATTAAAGATAAATGGATCATGTGATACCTTGGTAGAGTGAGAAAGTTGTGGCTGACTCTAGCTTGTGTTGCTTTACATTCCTCACATTTATACTCTAAATCTTCAGACTGGAAGAAGCGCTCCAAGGCATCTTGTAGTGACCACTGTTTGTCTCCACTGCAAAGCAATGTACATTCATAATAAAATACAACTCATTTATTTATATCTTATTATCATTTTATTTCAGTTAACAATCTACCATACAAAATGGTACATAACTGAACAATATTTGTATATTCATTTATTTCAAGAAACATATCAAAATTAGAATCGGGGGTCACAAATCATCATGCAGATATGAATTCCTAAATCATTTGTTGTAACCTTAGACAACATAATGTTAAAAGAACAAGTGATTAGAAATTAACTTTACAAACTGTTAATGACCATCTAATTGATATCTAAATATTATGAACAAAAACAAATTTGAATGTTACCTTCTTCGTGGAAGATCAACTGAGAGATCGTGAAAGGTTTCAGCTTTAAAAACCTGCTCACCACACCTAAAAATACAAAAGTTATGAAAGTAACTTAAGTGTACCGCGTTCTTGTTTATATAACAATTTCCAAAGAGAATGCGGCGTAGAAAAGGCTTCAAAACTGAGAGGAGTCTTTAAAAAACAAGAGTGGGAATGGGATACTATATTATAAGTTATTGAATGATTCTGAATGATTCTGTCTCGATATTCTGTATTGGCACTCGACTTCATCTCATGCCAATACAGAATTTCTGAGCAGAATATATCCTGTATTGCACATCAAATCATTCTATAACGTTTTTATCGTGTGATACTCTGTATTGCTACTGAGAATGTCCCCTCCGTACCAATATTTTCTGTATTGCGACTGAGATGATCAATGGGGACAATCTCAGTAACAATACAGATTGGTACAGCACAAGAACTGACCAATCAGAAGGCTTCATTTTACAGATCATACGATAATATGGTTTATATGGCCTGGATCTATTACTATTTTATTTCAGATGTTTCCCACCGTGCTTTCTCACAAAGACAAGTGATATACATTCATTTTTATTCCTATCCTGCTTCTTTTCAATTTTATCTAATGCTGGGCAGATCACTCTTAAGTTTTACAAAATGTTGTCTTCCCATCATGAATTACAAGTTTGAAGTACAGAGACCCATAAAATGAGAGCATTTATCGAAGAAATTATACTAGTGATGATTATATACAGGTACAGTGTAACTAATGTTGAATATATATTAGAACTGTTAAAATCTATTTAAAGGTGCGTTCTATTTAAGACATTTAATGATATGTTCAACTTACTTGAGACATTTAATGGTGTGTTCTATCTGGAACTCAAAATTGTCTGTGGTAGGGTTAGGGTGATGACTAGACTCCGGGGGTGAGGATAGTTTGACACTGGGGCTGGGGGTTGACTGCTCAAGTCGCAAACAATCTTCCTTTAGTTGGTCTATAAGCTGACCAAGAAACTCATGGGCATCCTATAACAGAATTTATAGAGTTTATGAGTTTTATTTATAAGTTTTTTTCATTTTATTTATGCTTACAATAGAGAGGACTTGGTCTCGTACATTATCTGTTGTGTCATTTTTATGTCAAAACATTATACTTCATTTCTTATCATTATCTTAATCAGTCCATCATGCATAGCAATATTTTTTAAATTACAGTCTGAAAAATACAGCTCAGATGAGTTTCTACTAATAGCAAGATTCTTGTCTCATTTTTTCTAAATAAATATGTTGATAAAGGCACATTTTTAAATCTTACGTGTTGAGCATAACCAGAAAACCTCTTCGCAGATTTTGTGATTGCCTGTTTAACATTTGATAGTAGACCTTTCCTCCTTTCTGTGGACAGACCTAGTTTTTTCTGTGCTGCAAACAGGTGTGCAACAGTGCTGGAATGAATTTTAAACAGCCATTTTACTGTTCAGTAAACACAATATTCTTCCCTAACAATAGTCATGATATGTATTCACAATCTTGGGTTTAAAAATTCTATAGATTTACAATCTCACAATGTGTCATGCTCAAGAGTAACCGTGAACTAGGAAGCATACAATTTTGAACTTTCTGAATTTCAGAGAAAATTGAAATGTGTAACTTCATGTACATAGAAATTTACAGAGCATGCCCAAAATCTAATTAATTCAACAAAAAAGTGAGGTGCATCCACTCCTACACCCACAAGCCCAACAAGCTGATGACAATATTGTTCCTTTCTTAAGTGAGATAAATAATCCAATACCTATATAGTGATGAGTTGTCAAGTGTTCTGGAATGTGTCTTATAGCCTGTTGACAGGTCTTTAGTGAAAGACTCCAGGGAAGAAAGGGCTTGAAGTATTGCATTCATATAACATGTGTTTCCTATATTGGAGAACCTGGAAATATACACATACATGTATGTATGATAAACTGGTTTATTTTGATACAAGAGGGGGAGAAACCCCAGGGTTCAAAGATGACATTCGCTTATAATCTAAATCTGTATTGAGATGACATCGTCGCTGATTGGTTAAGCGAGTCAATCGTTGATTGGTTTAAAACTAGGTCAATTTGAAAACTTTGAAAACCAAGATGGAGGGTAAACAAATATACGTAAAGGAGGTGTGCGAAGGATGAAATCGTATGTCATCAATTGAATCATGGGGTTTTCCCTCCTCTTTTTTGATACCATGTCATCCTTCAAGATCGGGTACACTGTCCAAGCTCATGAAATGAATTGGAATACCTTGGACAAAGGATGATACCATGTTGAATATGAGATTCAAGGCAAGGATTTCATTTGAATTTTTGACAACACTAATGAAACCGGCAAAGATATTAGAAAAATAGTCTTAATTTTAACAATAGCAAAAGTCCTTACAACAACAGGTAATTTAGGCAAAAACCCATGTTGTGTGCTGCATATAAAACCTCTGTTAGTGAATGATACTATAAGGCCATCAAGTGATCAGTTTATATGAAATAATCAAGTCCAGTACTACTACTAACATAACAATAATACGCACACAGGTTCATGTATGTAAGTAAAATGAATTTACCCCAATTTCACAGCTGATTTCCCCTCAGACTCAGGTTTCTTATTCCATTGTGTCGAGAAATTATTGGCAGGTTTGAACCTCTGAGATGAGAGTGGATGAGGAAGGATACCAGGTTTTCTGCAAAATAAAGACAAGGCATTAACATGACAAAATGTCACCACCTGGTTGTATTTACAAAAGTGTAACCAAGTGTTATAGACACTGAGGCTAAATGCCCTCACAAAAAGGGTGATGACACATTGTGTTAATTGTGTTTGATTGTGCCAGTTTTAAGAGATTTATACTACTGGACTTCAGTGCTCAATGCTCATGTACCGTCGCATGTATACAGATTATTATTCAGTCCGTAAATAGATTCTTAAATGTGAGATCAAATTCTGTTTTGTTACGGTTGAACCTGAAAACATCTATCTATGGAGGCTCACAGAATATCAAGGGTGGCTATAACAATATGTCATCACTTGCAAAGGAAATGTACATGGATACACATTTCATCCTTTATAAACTTGGAACACAAATGAGATAAAAAGTCACAGTGAATGCAAGAACAAAAAATGCAGACACACTGTATTATCTCAAAAGGTGTCCTTGATGTAGTGTCATATATACAGAGTTATACAAAAAGGTTCAAAACATGACTGCCACAACTTGTCAGCTGGCAATGAGTCCACTATCCAACTGTAAACCAGTTTTCTTATTTTTCCTATTAGAATAGTGATTGCCACAGGCAAATGTGCATTTGTGAGATTTGAACGGTGCACAATAATTACATACTGCAATCAATGATGTTTAATACATTTTGGTAAATTAGTTGGAAAGTTTCAGTAGTAATACATCATACATGCACACTCACCGACTGTATGTTTTAAGGGGCACCATATTCCCAAAGAGAGGCTGCCTTCCAGCGCTAGCACTTCCATAAAATGATTTCATTGGTTGAGTTGTTTTGGACGGGGTTTCGTACAAGGATCGTTGGGTATTGTTTATCTCATTACATACACTGAAATGAAACAGAACACACAGTGATAAATATCACACTTTGAAATGAGACAGCAAGTCTAAAAAGCCAATCAAATCTTGGTACTAGTCTGCTCTTGCAACTTGCATCTGTAAAAATTTCGTGAAAAGTTTCATACAAGGATCGTTGGCTACTGTTAATCTCATAACACTGAAATCACCCAGGAAATTACCCAGCAACTCTAAAAGTTAATCTAAGAATTAATTTACTCTTGCATCTGTAAAGTTTCAATTTCTTGCCAAAGAAATGACAAGATTTTATTTGTGCTGCCTACCAATTTCATTGAGAACACATATCATAAACAGACACACACATTTTAATTGCATGCTCACACACTTGTTTCATCGTTCACTTCACAAATGTTTCATTAACATAAACATTTTACTGTACAAACATATTTCATTATCTACATATATTTTGTATGCAATGAGTACTCACTTTTCCATCATTTTGTTCTCTTTCTCCTCAACAGAGGGCTCTGAGTGGTGTCTAGATTTCACACTACAATAAATAAATGGCAAACAACAAAACCAGTTATCTAACAATGGGGAGAGTAGAGGATTCAAGCATTCAAGCATTCAAGCATTATAAAATGAGGGAAATTCCATTACAAAATGATGTTCAGCTTTTCATTATAGTTATTTTATTTAGGATGTTTAAAGAAGTTTTGTTTCAATATATAAAAGTGTACAACATAGACCCTTTGCTTAAAAATCAAGTTTCAAGTAGTAGCAAGCTATACAGTATGTATTTAACCCAGATTTGAACGTCATCAAGTTGTTAAACAAACTTAAATGGATGAAAGACCAACATTTTGCCAAAAGATTTTTAATTTATTTTATATTCATGCACTTGAGATGAAATACATTTTATTCAATGGTTTTATATACAATGATGTTGAAATTTCAAAAGTTATGGGAAATATAAATTCAAAATTGGTATGGTTTAACCAACCTCTTCCCATATAACAAAATTTAAAAATCTTGATTTGCCTAGAATTCCATCTGAAAATCAACATATTTCCCTTAAAGAAGCACCATTACCCCATTCCCTTAAAAAATAACTTCTAAAGTTCATTTACGACTGTTGACAATAAGACACTATCCATAATTTATAATACTGTATCAAATGTTTCTGCATTATTTCTACTTACTTTGTATAGCAGGGTGATGATTGTGACTCCCCCTCTTCTGGCTCCTCAAGATCCTGGGGGTCCCTGTAAGAGGTAACTGTGGACACAGGGGGTGACTTGGCCGCACATATTGCAAGGGTACTTGGTCTTTCTGAAATAAAGAACAACATTTAATTACATTTGGTCAAAATTCAACTATACACAAAGTGTCTTATTATTTTTTCTAATATGCTGTAATAAGTCACTAAGATGTAAAATGTCACCACCTGCCATTTGTTACAGACACCAAATACCGACTGTTAAATGTCACCTGCGGAACACCATCCATAAAAAGTTGGAAACTTTAATAATTTGTCACTACTTGGGGACGGGGTGGTGACATAGTAACAATTTGTCATCACTTGGGGTGGTGATATAAAAATCAACACACTAATGAGTAGTGGAGCAACGATTGACTCGTGGACTCGAATAATACTCGCCAAACCCTGTAAATACGATTCATCGATTGGTAAATTCTGACTCGAATTGAAAAAAAAATGAAAAAAAATGATGAAGAAAATGTGATTTACCCACCTTTCAACCGCAATTTACGTAAAAAACACATCCAATGTACAACATTTCTGTACAATGTTTAGCAATGATGCCTTCCTTAATACATAGCATTGTAATATCATACCTTAAGTTTGGAATAATAAATCAAATACAATAAGCTTTCTCATGTTTGTTTTTATTTATCGATTACATCCGGTTGCGCATGTACAATGCAATCTTTAACTAGGTCAAACCAATTAGTGTAAATTGCTAAATTTTTAACTTTCAATGCAAAACAAGAACATATAAAGTGTATTGAGTTATTCTATATGAATAAGTTGATGAGTATGTTTGAGTTATTCAAGGTAGGTTGAGCCGAGAACACTTGAAAACATTGCTACCGGAAGTGAAAGTTTGTAACTTTTCGAAAGAAAGTTTTTTCTGAACTTTTTTCCCAAATCATTCATTTTAATCGCGAATAAATCGAGTGTTCAAGAGCCTCTACTCGAGTAGGATAATTCACACGAGTCCCACCACTACTAATGAGTTGATTTAAAAGTTGATTCAGTTGAAAAAAGATTTAAAATGTTCAAGTATGGGTAAGGAATTGAAATGCATAGTATTCTTGAATATTATATTGCTTGTTCTAAACCAGGCACTCAAATTCTTGATGATACAAGTCACTTACTTTTTGGATTTTTCTGTGCCTCCAACACAAGCCAGTCTATGTGTTCCTTGAACTTTTCAGCATTTAGATGGAAGAAACCTTTCGTTTTATTTGGACTACATTTGATGGTCATTCCTTCCTTCTTCAGTTTGACAGTTAAGCGATTATTTCTACCATATGTACCACCTGCTACTACATCAGCCATCTAGGAACATAATATCAAATTGACATTATAGCATATATATCTGATTATACATTTATAGAATGACTCAAAATAGTTAAAAGAAATTTTTGAGAATAACAAATTTAAAAAATAAGTGATATATTAAAAAAATAGTGCCATTAAGGGAAAAAGTGAAAATTATTTTCCCTAGGGAATATCCACTGACCTGTTCGTTGCCGAGGCTGCAGACCAAGGGGAACATTAAATGTTGTTACATATATCAGAACAGTCTAAATGTGATCTTTTACTTACGTTATAATTATGTTCATGTATCTGCTTAGCTATTAACAGTTTAACATGAATTTTCTGAGTGTTGCCGTCAACTATCAAACATCCTTCTCTCCAAGTTTCTTTGGAAAATATTGAGGGTTTTGAGATTCCATCCATTTTAAGTACAATATCGTTAACTGTACATACAGGTCCAAACGATGACTTATCAGGGGCTTTAACAGGTGTACTGTGGAAGGGGAACTTGTTGGCCATCATATTGACAGACTTTACTTTACTTTACTGGCTTTCTTGGATTGGTAGATGCAGTTTTGGAAACTGTAATTTTTCCTTTGAGTCTCTCTGAAAATAATTAGGTGACATAATATATTTTAACATGAGAGATTATTTAGTTCTGATATCACGTTAAATAATTTTTTGGCTTGCATATAGCTGTTACATGTCTCTAATCTGAGATAGGGATTATGAGTTATCTATGCGGTGCTCCCCACCCCTAATGACTTTGACTATCGGAGTTTTAATAGTGTTATTAGGGGCGGGGATAGTCCCATATTAGAATTCATAAACTTGAGAGAAAATTTGAATTCTGAACCCAGCGCTACTTTCGGAGTTGATTTTTTTAAATCCCCACTTAGTATATGTTTGTCCCAGTATAATCTCATATGATGAACTGTTACACTTTTATTGTTGAACACACTGTAATTGCACAGATTCGATTGAAAAATCACGACTTGTTGAAATATTTTTTTCAAATGGACCCACTTCTCGAAGCATACAGGATTTCCGCCAGATGATAGTGTATGCTTGGAAAAATCAATAACCAGGGTGGTAAATCCATCACATTGTAAATATTATGAACCATTCTGAAGCCAAGTAGCATTGAAACGTAGTGGTGCAAGAATTTCTTAGATTACGGTAAGTAGTTCCGAGAAAGTAGTTCCCCGGAAGGGGTGTAACCTCGACACCATTTTGGGGTAACTTGTTGTTTATTTGCTCTAACCTCTGATCTAGGTGGAAGCCATGTTTTTTTCTCGCATGGATCGAGATCTCGCGAGAATTTAATTTTTCGAGAAATCAAACATGGCGGAAAGCGGAAATTCAACTTCTAATAAGTAAGTGTCGAAGTTACCCCATCTCTCATGTCTACATTACCTCACATGTCAACCCCTTGCCCTACCTCGAACCAAGACCATCTCTACATATAGACATACTGTACGCTGTACATTCTGGTCTTGCAAACTTCAATATAACCTAACATTATGTTTTGAAAGTAAAAAATATTGGCGCTAGCCACATTCAATCGATATATAACACTTTCCTGAATTTTTGGGCTTTGACTTGAGAATTGATTGAGGTAAGAAATACATGAAAGTGCACTGCCAGCTCAAATATTTCAGTCGACTCGTTTACAAAACAATGCAAATGCCAAATATAAAGATATTTCCAGATAATTCACTGAGTTCCTCTTATTGCAATAACAAATCCACACTTTTCACATGAATTCGATTGTCCCTTGAACTTGAAGCCCCATGACTGAGGCAAACAATTTGTTAAAATTTGAAAACTTTACAGTGAGAAATTATTCACTTTCTTTGGTCAAAATGAAATCGATCTAGAACTAACATATTGTATACGTTACCTGTACTGTTAGAATAAGGCAAGATCGACTGAATAAGTCTCTAAATTTCGAATTTTATTCAGGATAAAATATTTTTCATTTTTTGGAAAATAAATTCGCGGTATATTTAGAGACATCTATCGGTCGATTTCATCCAATCAAATTAGATATTACAAAATCTTCGTCCACTAACCAATCAAATTTCTTTTAACATTTCTGGATAATTTCCTGATGCCTGACAAAAGAGATTTTCACATTTTCTCAACATTTTTAGCTTTATAACTGGAAAGTTATTCGAACGATTGCTGATCTTCTAGTGCAAGTAGATGTATGCGTATACAAGTATGAATTCACAGTAATATCTGGACCGAAACCTGAATATGTGATCGGCTATGCAGGATTTTACCACCCGGTGTTTTTCAAGGATAGGGCCATTTTCCTGTGGAAATTCCACTTGAAATGTTCTGATAGACCATATCTTAGACTAATCCCAGAAAAAGTCTCACCACCGAAAATGGAATAGTGTTCATTCCTTTGTATACTATAGAATCTCATGATTACCTAGATAACAATGGGTAATAAGCAATCATGTAGCTGCTTCACAGGCAGCCCGAGAACTACGAATCGGAGTAAAAAGTATGCGTATGAAACCTCATACCAGCCACAAGACATTGCTGAAAATTCAACGCCAAGGCAAAAAACTACAAGCTCGTCAAATCTACAACATATAAGTGAAAGAGAACCTGATGGTAATGACTAAATGTATTAATTCCTTAATTTCACAAATGGGCGTGCCTTGGTCAGAAAACTTGCATGTACTGTCTTCCTAGATCTAAGAAAAGTCCATGTTTAGATCCCTTTCTAGTCCCCGTCCCAATAGTCAAGAAGTACCTGATTCAGGATATGCAACATAGTGTCTTAATGTTACAAAGATGCATAGTAGTTTATATGCAATAACTGGCCATTAGTCTAGAGCTACAAGCCCTTATGAGCCTCGTGTTGTGTTGGTGAAGTAGATAAGGGGGGGGGGGGGTCTACAGAGCTGCCTATGGTTTTCATCAGTCATGAATTCCAGTACATCAGGGGTATAAGATATATGTCTCAGTATACACATACATGCAGTATAATCAGCATGTCTGACAGGGCTGCAAACATGCAGTTTATGTACAGGGTTTACCTCAGGGTTTGCAGTATTGGCTATTTACAGAGAAGCTGCTGGTCTGAATTTATTAAGTCTTAACACATTTGAATCTGCATATCATTATCACAAAATCACTGTTTATTAATATATACAGTCTAGCTCTTATTAAGACAGGGTTAAATGTCTACAAGTAATAGACATTCATTTTTGGCTTGCTCTACCTATTAAAACATCAATAGGCATTTTGATATTCTTGATTTATCATATAAAACATATAAGAGGCAAGTCATTTGTCATCTGGCACCTACTATTGACGTTACCTTAGTTCCTGTTAAAAAAAAGAATATTCCCAACCTGAATAATGTTGAGATAATAAGGCTCGCATGGAACAGAAGAATATATTATATTTGGGAGGTTGTAGATGTAAACATGCTTAAAAGATGTAAAAAGAATGTGTTTGGTTTGATTCATATGAGAATAAAAAAGGCTGTGAGTGGTAAAAAGGTTTGGTTCCACAGGATCTAATGAATCACCATGTGTATAAATTATGTAAATTAAATCTCTGGTAGATTTTTAGTCGTAAATAACTGAAGGTCTGGAGGATTATGTTTTAGAAATGTTTTACTGATAGTGATAGTAGCTCAGCCCTAATTCCTATTGGTCAAAACATACATATTCATTCCGTCTTTCCTGGCACTGACAGAAGGATCAAAAGCTACACTATGAATTTTTTTTTTGCTTCAAACATTTTACACTCTCTTTCACTTGTTGCCATTTTTATAAAACATATCTCTAAAAATTTGAAATTTTCTTAAATATCAAACACTCCATTGCTGCCACTTTCAAAACACGTCTATAAAAAAAAGAAATTTCTCTTGTTATTGCAGAAGGTGATGATGACCCATCTAACCACCCTACAGCGAATACAATCTTCTTGACTAGATCCAAGAGTGAAATACAGAGAAGTAAGTCATGATTCATTACTGTAGGGAAGAGAGTTGGAGGGGGGGGGGTTAATAAGTGTTAACACAGATGTTACTCACCATTTCTGATTTACATGTAGGTGTGATCTTGCAAACATGCAATGAAGTAGTCCAGAGTTACAATTTGATTCACCATTCATTCATTTAAGTACAGTAGGTAAAAAACAAGTATGGCATCAACCACCATTCAGTTTTTGATAGGGTAAAGAAAAGCATATTTTCTTTATTATGTTTTTGAAAAATCCAAAATCCCAAACCTTAGACAAATGAACCTGTATCCGAACCTTCATTTCACAACTACTTGTTCCTTCCAGTCACAGAATCCCAGCGCCATTCTACACCAAGACATTGCATTGATATCTGATCATTTGCCATATTTTCAGATACTAAGGAGAAGTTAAGGCGGAGAAGTCAGTATGATAACCATGGTCACCATCATGTAAGTACACTGAGCCAATAATTGTGACATAGCAAGAGTTTGTAAAATACACATTATTATTGGCGCCCTAAGCTAAGCTGTCTGTGGCATTTGACTTGGATGCATTGTCGCTTTCCACTTGGTCTAGAGACCCCGTGGCGTAAAAGGTCAATTTATGTGTCCCATTCATATGTGGCGGTTCATGGCCCGGTGTTAAGTCCACTGACCCAATAAGAACGCTCTGCTTCGTCACGTGACAAAATATTGTTATATATCCAAATATTGCGTTTTATGGAAAGGTCAGCCTTTTTGAGAAACTAATACAATATACATAGACTGACAGCTACAGCTTATTTTCTATCATTAATTGTAGGTTCGTTTCAGTCATTATATTTTTTTATATAATGATGATCTACACATATTAAAACTTAAAATGTTTTTAATCAAAACCTTAAAAGTGAACACTGAAACCAATATACCAACTCTACATTTTCATATTGTATATGAAAAAATGTAAAAAATTAATATGGTCAACTAACGCCTAGGCATGGGTCTAATTGCAGTCATAACTATATCCATAAATATATCATAAACTTTGAAGAAATAAGTAGATATATCCACTTTATCTTTTTTTATTGCATCATATACATTGTACAATGAATCCTATAAAGTGGAACACCTAGAAGTGAAACACCTTTGTTAGTGGAACACTTTTCAGAGTCCCAAGACCAACTGACTTAATGTCAACTTAAATGAACCCCAATAAGTGGAACACCTCATTGTGGAACATATTTTAGAGGTTCTAAATGTGTTAGACAGGTTTTACTGTACATGAATTATACGAGTCATGCTGCACAGTTTATTATGACGCCCTTTGATAAATGTTGCACTATTCAAAGATTTCCTTTTGTTTTTGATATAAAAACAGAATGTGCTTGAGAAATTTGTTCAGTTATCTCTGGGAACAGGGACGCTCTGGGACAACGTAAAACAAATCAAATCAAAATTATGACATTCATTTGTAGTCCTATTATTTCAGTGGTTATTATATGATCACTGTAATAGGAGATGTAATTACTGTAATATGAGTTAATTATATTAGCCATATGTCTGGCTGTAATTGTGTATGAACAGACTCTATTGATTCCTAATATTGGATACTAAGTTATGATTGTGCTTATCTTTGATAAGCATTTTCGTTCTCTTGTTTGTTTGTTTGTTTGTTTGTTTGTTTGTTGATTTTATTTTTCCATCCACATTTATTAAACAGGTCAAATACAGCGTGGCACAAAGTAAATATTTTATTTGTGTCTTTTTCATGGTAATTACTGAATTTACCGATAATTTGCTGCATGATAAACATTGATAGGATGAACTACATTTATACATTCATTGTTCACGCCACATACCGGTAGTTTTTATGACAAAAATCTTGAAAAAAACTGTCATGTGTTAACCAATTTTTGTAAAAATGAGATTTTTGTCCTTAATCAACAAAAAAATTCAAGGTGGTGCATTGTACAGCACATTCCTATAAAATTCCTAAATTGTTTTTCAGCGGCACCACCATGATCATGATTACCACCATGAACCAGAGGGTGTAAAAAAGTACAGTTCTTGTTCCACTATATACATAGACAACTCCACAGTTAGTCAACCAAACCTTAAGAACACCATCAAAGCAGTGGCACTCGCCATTTACTTCCACATAAGAAATCGTGATGTTGAAAACCTAGAATTAAGACTGCTGGATATATTTGATGAGAAACTACATCCTTTATCTGTAAGTATGACTGCAATAATGTGAAAAAAACTTTCAAAAATTTTAGTAATTTTGTTCAAGAATCCTTTCTTGTTTTGCCTTTGTTTCTAAAATCCCAAATTTTGTGCCATATATAATTAGTGGATATCCTTATCTCAATGAAACCAAATGTCACTTGTCTGTTATGGCGGTTGATTTTCGGCATCTGTAACAAATTCTAACTGTGTCTGTAACAAATGGCAAGTGGTGTAATTTTGCACATTAATGCCTTGTTTGAATCCAAATGTACCATAAAGAAAAAAAATTGTGAATGAATATATTTCTGTAAAATGTTTGCCTCCTATTTCTAAAAATTCCTGATTTGTTGTATATGCAGAAAGATCCTGTTCCGCGAGATTACGATGTACGAGACCCGGACCATAAGACTATCTATAGATTTATACGAACACTATTTAATGCTGCCCAGTTGACAGCAGAGTGCGCTATAGTCACATTAGTAAGTAAAAGATTATTATTAGACATGGTAGAAGTGATGTCACAGATACATGAATCAAACAGAAAATGGAGTCATGGATATGTTTTGAACTGACCCATTCCAAAAATTATTTGTTCCATAACATCTGTAAAGTTTAAGCAGTTTTATGTAATATTCAAGAAATACACATGTGATCTCGAAAATTTAGATTAGGCCTCCAGGCAAATGTTCAAGGTAATGAGTCTTCAAAGAAAGATTTAATTATGAATTGATAAACAAAACTGAAATCATAAATTATTATAATTGATTGTTTTGTTACTTGATGTTTTAGGTTTACTTAGAGCGTCTTTTAACATACGCAGAGATAGAAATAGCGCCATCTAACTGGAAGCGTATTGTATTGGGTGCTATATTACTAGGCTCTAAAGTCTGGGATGACCAGGCAGTTTGGAATGTGGACTACTGCCAAATTCTGAAGGACATTACAGTTGATGATATGTAAATATACAACATATTCTTTTTATTCTATTATTACTTGGGTGCAGCTAGCTATGACAGAAATATTTTGAGTAGCATTTAGTAGCATATTGTCCTCTTCATATTGTTATAGTCTCCAACCTTTGTGTGGAAGATGTTCGCTGGTTTGTGTTCAGCAGTCGGCATTTGTAACAAATTGCAGGTGGAGACATTTTGTGTGTTAATGCCTTGTTGATTCTGGCGACACCCTTGTATTGTGGTAATCTTTTACTGTATATTTGAAGTGTATGTTTGCCTTGTAAAAGTCAGTGTAGAAATCCCGGGGTAGAAATACACAGAGTTTTAAATAGTCTAGCTCAACCCCTGCCCCCCCCCCCCCCCCCCCAACTACAAGTGTGTTGTGTTGGTGAATTAGATAAGGGTCCACAGTCTTAAAGCAAGACTAAGTAGAATATCTGACCAACAACTAGCTTGTAAACCTGACAACCTTCCTTCCACCTTTGCTGCCATCTATTTCTTGTTTGCCTTCATGAATCAATTTTGGCTAAAATCAAAATCCATCTATTTCAGATATTCTATCATACCATTCATACACTCTGTCTGTTCTGTAGTTTTGACCACATGATCATCAGAAAACTTATCAAAAAATATTCATATTCAAGGTCTCTAATTAAAAGAAGTGTTCATGTTTTAGTTAAATGTCAGCATTACATATTTCTGCATCTTATTCTTCAGGAACGAGTTAGAGCGCCAGTTTTTAGAGATGTTACAGTTCAATATAAATGTCCCCTCAAGTGTGTATGCCAAATATTATTTTGACCTGAGGGCTTTAGCGGATGAGCATGACCTAGGATTCCCATTAGAAGCTCTCAGTAAAGACCGAGCCTTAAAACTAGAGGTATGTTTCAGTACAACACATTTATTAGACGTTGTTTGTAAAATTGTATCTACTCAGTAGTACTACAATATATATTTAAAGGGAATGCGAAGTTTCATGTTCTAATTTACACGCTGGCTACTTATAACCATCATCTATCACTTCAGCTCACTCATGGGACATATCGTGTTTGAACTAACATATAATTCAAGTTCAAAGTACCCATTTCTTGAGAAAAGTTTCTTCTCACCCTCTGTTCAAGTGACGTCTGAGTTCCAAGAATCTTCCAGAATTCCATGAATTCCATGAATGAACTATCGTTTAATTTTTGAAGGGGTGATAAATATTCAAAATTATAAATAAACTGATTCAAATGTGATAATCCAGTTTACAAACTAATCTAAACATATGTAATTTCACAAAATGTAATAAATGTAATTAACAATCTCAAGTATGATGGTCAAGTTTACAAAATATAATGACTTGTCATGTCATGAGATTTTTTCGAATCATCCACCATTTTGAAATTTAGAGGATTAATCAGAAGAAAATGTAATTGGACATGATTCTGCTCAGCTCTCTGACGAAAGGAAGGAGGTGTAGATAAGTCTTCAGCCAAATTTATTATATATGGCTAAAAAACTCAGGAATACAGCCGGATGAGAAAAGAAATGGATTTTTCGACCGTCGGACAGCATGTGAAAAATATTATATTTCTGTCCGCTTAACATTGTTGTCGCATGTTCATGTCCATATCATATATTTGGAAAAGTTGTTTCAATATATTCTTCATAGAAATTGAATTGTTGCAATGTATTTTTTCAAATGTTTGTATTTATTTTCTCCAATGAGTTTAGGCTAGGTAGAAAAATCACAAAACTTATGAGATATTAGCTGCGCTATTCGGAAGTCATCGCATTATATTCCACTTGAAAAATATCCACTAGAATTATTTTATATAATGATAACACTGGGTCAAATAGGATAAATCTGTTCAAATCCTGTAAATGCTTTCTTGTATATTTAACTAATAAATGAGGTAAATGCATTAAAATATACAAAATGGCATTTACACATAAATGCATTACTGTGCATCAATGGGGATTTATTTAACTAAGATTAATGTGGCTAATGTGTTGGTGTATTTGTGGTGAAAATAAGTAAGTTATATCATCGGCTGAACGCATCCAACAAATAGTTGCATTTACCATATTTAGTCTATGTAAATACACGACATACCATTTAAAATATCAAAATCTATGCTAATGTTCATTAATGCGCTGATGAGCATTTACGGCACATCATTATTAACCTTAAGGTTTATGTCGGCAAATAGGCATACTGCCGCAATTGCTTTCTTACCTAATCATAAATGGTAGATTTCTTCAATCTGTAGTATTCTATTCAAATATGAATACATGTATTTGAGAATGAAAGAAATAAAACAAAAAGTAGTAATCCAATGAAACAGTAACACCCTAAAGTGTTTAGCCATTTAAATTCTAATGAAAAACGCAAACAAAAATCTAGAAATCGATGTTGTCTTAACGATACGTACAGTTCTACAGTGTTTTCGAAATAATGATTTTCAATTTAATGGCATACAAACTTTTGTTTTGCTATATCAGAAATAAGTGGAACTTTAAAAGCTTCAGTCACATTTGTTCAATGCGACCACACGTCGATCGTATTTCCCTGAAATCAGTAAATTTCTGCGACATACATAGGAAAACTACAGTCGACTTAAGGTCACTGCACCTTGCAGTCTACGTACACGACATATCCAGTTTTTACCTGGCGTAGAGTCGGAGTTATAACTTTTTCTTTCCTGATATCAACAAGCAGCAGCCAAACCGTAGGTCTCACGACGGCCGTACGTCGGGTTCACGGTCGACTTGCGGCTGCGCTTGGATTTCATAGGTTTTCATAATTGACCTTTCCGAACCATAGAACCCCTTGTGGATGCCTTCAAGAAAAACTATGCACGTCGTAGGGCCGCCCTACGCTGATCGTGCGTCATCATTTATCAGCCGTATGGAAATCGTAGTTTTTCCTCGTAATCAAGATACGTAGTACGGCTATCTTGGCAAATGTGACTGCTAAATTATCTGACTGCAGAAATACTTAGGCAACCGTAGAAATCCTACTTACCACAGAAATGATTGACCGTACCGTCCCCGTAAAAATGTGACGCTAGGCTAAGAATCCATGATAGTAATTGAATACGGTTTTAAAATTTAGTTTTAAAATTTTAATTTCTTTGAATACCTGTGTTAAAGATAAACATAAATGCACTGAATATTAAAGTACGAGCACGTATTTTTGTAATGAGACTAGCAAATTAAACCATTGCATTCTTGGAAATTCAAGATGGGTTGGTTGAATTAATTTTATTATGTTTTATTCAAATAGTTTGCATTCGCCTGATAGAATTAGCATTCTCTGTTCGCATTTAGCGCTAGACCTAATAAAAGTTAAAAAGTCACGAATCCCAGATTGTTTCAAGTGTAAATAAAGAATAAATCTAACCCGCATTCCATGTCTAGATAGGTAAAAAGCAATTCCGAAAATGCCGACGTTAATATTCTATTGAAATCGTTCTGTATTCTTTTAGTTCCTTTGAAATGATTTCTTTGGTTTTGGAATGGCAACAACTCAGCATTCATTTTTTGATTCAAAAATGGCGCCACAAAACTTTTGGAATGCCAAGGCATCAATCTGGCATCAATGACGTCATAACAATGTCGTAAAGAACCACTTTACGGTTGAAATGGCAGCTCCATGGTCCAGTTCATATGCAAAACCCGGGGCTCAATAACAATTTAAAGGATAATGATAGAACAATAAAACTAAGTTGGATTGAAAGATATATCTTTATTCTAACGTATTATCAAGTTTAAGGGACAAAACTTTGCATTCCTTTTAAACAGTATCTAAGAAATATAAAGTATTTTACTTTTGCAGAATTTCTGCTTGATGATTAATCTGAAATATAGGATCAAATCCTATGCTAAGGGTTGAAGTGATGTATTTGGTTCAAATGTTATGCTGATTGCTTTAGAGACATAGAACTCTGCTCAAAGAGGAATTTTCAAGATGGCTGCTGAATTCAAAATGGCCTCTATTTTGCATGAAAATATTGCAATTCTTAACAACCTGCTTGATTATTCAGACTGAAGGCCTTCTTGTCTCAAAAAAATATAAACTTAAAAAACTTTGAATGTTTTGGAATGTGGAACTAAGGTTTTTCCCTCGTTTTAAGAGGTATTTCATAAAAATCTGGATTTTGATACAAAGCAATTAGGCCATATTGAACAACTCTAGTATATTTCCCAGCCTTCCAGAAATGTACAAACTGCATTACAATTAAACATTTGATTACTTTCAGGCAATGTCTAATAATTACGAGGACAAGCTGAAAGATGTGACACATGGGGTTCTTAAACGTTCCCAGAGCCTTGATGGACTCACAACATTACCAAAGGGAAGCAAAGCAATATTGTCATGACAAACCACAAGACAATTATAGACCTTGTCATGACAGACCACAAGTCATTTTAAACAGATCAAAAAATCCTGATTTGAGATGTCCAAGAATTCCCATAAGTGTTCTAATCTACACATAGGTCATCCATATATAGCTTACACTAGAAATCCTTCATAGAAGGGATCTCAGACTTATTTATTAAAATAAGGGACCTTCAGTGAATACCAATATTTAACCATTAAAATCAGACACATGCACAAATAGCAAACATGGTGGGGGTGAGTCAGTGCGTAACAAAGGGTACTAATGATTATGTCTCATGAGTTCAGGATTTCACGGTGAGGGATGATACCCAAAAGTCAAAAAAGTCGTTGAAAAACAAAGTTTATTTTATTAGAGGAGGATAGAGTACTTGAAGGTTTCATTCGTGAAGAATTTTGATTTTCTGAAAAATCCATGTTAACAGCAAATTAACATTTTCAATGCAGGGAGGGTGTTACACTATAATGAAGTTAACTTAATTTTTCCATAACTCAATGTTTGGACACCATCACTGAAATATATGAAACAGAAGGGATTCAGAACAACCATTTATTTTGTACAGTAAAACTTCTGCATATGTGAACACCTGTATAAAGTGAACACACCTTTAATGTGAATACTCTCTCTCTCTGGGACTCAACGTAATATATAAGTGGTAATTTTGCCTATTCATTTAATTTGCCTATTGCCTATCTTTTGCCAGGTTCAGAAAATTAAATGTCGGATTGGAAATATTATCTTCATAATGTTATCCAATGGGAAGTTTCTTGTCATTAGGAAAATTAAAATTAGGAAAATGATAAAAGTTGACCATTCGGGAAATTAACCACTCAGATTAAATACCACTTATACCATATTTTCCCCATTGGTTATATTGTTAAATTGATAAACTCTCCATGGGTGTATTGTTTGTAGTATACTAGTTTTACTATGTTTAATGGTGTTCATATCAATCTGGTTTTTCTGTTTCTGCAAATAAATTGAGAAGGTATTAATCTAAACAATTTGAAAAGAAAAAGAAACAATGTTATTTTAAACTGTTCTTAAATTGTTTCTTCTGGGAAATTCCAAGATGGAGAAATAATCTTTAGAAACATTATTTAAATAGAGTTTATATTAGGCCAAGTTAACCCCCTCAATATATAATAAATTGCCTGTAGCTCCTGTTTATATTTCTGGGATTTTTGCAAGTGATTTTAAAAGTAGATGAATGCCATATATGGAAGAGAAATTGTGAGGATTTCCCTTACACAGGGGCAATATAGAAAAGTGCAGTAGAGAAATTGTTTTTAAACTTAGAATAGAATGATCGCATGTTCTACTTAATGAGAGAATGTAGTGAAAACTCTAGATGTGTATTTATAAAGATGGCACAATTGTCCTACATTTTAATGTAATGGTTAACACTTGATACCAGCATTCAATATTATAAGTTATTGAATGATTTGAAGTGCAATACAGGATATATTCTGCTCGAGAAATTCCGTATTGGAACGAGACGAAGTAGAGTGCCAATACAGAATATCGAGACAGAATATATCCTGTATTGCACTTCAAATCATTCTATAACGTTTTTATCGTGTGATCCTCTGTATTGCTACTGAGAATGTCCCCTCCGTACCAATATTTTCTGTATTGTGACGGAGATGATCAATGCTGACAATCTCAGTCGCAATACAGATTGGTACAGCACAAAAACTGACCAATCAGAAGGCTTCATTTTACAGATCATACGATAAAAAGCCTTATTGCAAAGGGTTGTGTAATGATATCTAATCAATCTTAAATCCCTAATAAGGTCAAAGGGTCATGTGACTATACCTAACCAATCATAGTAAGCTTGATTAGATTAGAGGGCCATGTGACTGTACATCAGTAGGTTTAGGCTGTATTTTTGTATGCCCGCGGTGCTAGTGAATTGCATAATATTTCAAAGAGGTTTCTCCTCGGGTATCACCTTAAGAACAATAAGCCCTGCAGTGCAAATTACATGCTCATGTGTTTTCAACAAAAATAGCTTATCCAAGCGCACCTACACTCACATAATTATTTTGAAAGCGACCACGGTTTATTGCAATGGAACTCCTGCGGTGCATTAGCAACGAGCAGACACGGTTGATACGTGAGCAGCCAACAAGGAGGTCGCCGCAGCATAATTAGCGGTTTAAGTGCGCTTGGATGGACTGCTTTTGTTGAAAACGTGTGAGCATGTAATTTGCAACTCATAGGCTCATTGTTCTTTTTCATGATACCTAGGAGGAAAACTTATAAAATATGATGCAATAAACTTGCGCTGCGGGCAGTTCAAAAATGCAGTCTAGGTCAAAGGGTCATTTGACTATACCTAGTCAGTGGTATCTTCTCGGGTGGCTCTTGACTGAACTCAGGCTGCAATTTTTCTTTGTGTTTATCGCAAATTTTGAAGATAAGAAGTAAAGTGGAAATAAAAATGTGTAATGGAATGGATAAACTAATGATCGGAGAAACATGATTTTAACCATCAATAAAAAACAGCTTTCATCCTCTACAGAGTTGATCACTACAACACGTATAACAGCATGTCATGATCATTTATCAAGGGGGAATTATTGAAATCGTAATGTACTGATGTGCTGTCAAGGTTTCTTTCTTAGCCCACTAGCCTCTGCTTTCCAAACAAAAATCAAAACCTTTGAATGTCGAATCCTAGGTTTTGGGCATGCTGGGTGAATTACATGGTGGCCAGTTTGCTCTTCAAAGTGTGATATTTATCACAGTGTGTCTTGTTCATTAATCATTGAATATATATTTAATAAGCAATTTAATTTAGCAATTATAAAATAAGTCTAAGAGAAATGTTTATTCCAAATGGACCTTTTGGGGTATATTAAGACCCTTGGTCAACAAGAGTGAAATAAGCTTGATTTTTGTGATATGAACATTAAAAATTGCAGCCTTGGAGCTCTTGAGCCTAGGTATGAAGATTGTGGTTAGGTTTTCATTTTCAAAGCTTACTTAATTTTTTGGGGTTTAGGGGGACCAGGTCAATATTTCAATGTTTCTCAAAAACATATTTGATTAAATTTCATGTTGACTCCCTCAAAAATATCCCCCTCCCCTATCAAACCATAATTAATTACATTTGTGGTGTATATCGACTTCATTGATTTATTGGCCTTGTCCCCTATAAAGATTCATATGTTCTTCGAAGTCATCTTTCACAAAATAGGATGAATTTGTATAGAATCCCATTTTTGGTGTATAAGAGAGAGGTCAAGGTCGTACAAGAACATGTTCCATGTTGATGGCCTGAAAGAGAAAAGTCAAGGTCATACAAGAACAGGTTCCATGTAGATGACCATGTCAGCACTTAGCTTCTTTCTTACTAGATGTTCCTGTTTCAAAGAGAACAGCGTTTCTGGCAGATCTGCCAGTTGAATGTTGTTAGAAGCTTACTATGGGGCCAAAATTACACTTGAAATCCTTGATAAATTGAATGGGAATTTTATTTTGTAAATTAGAATTCATTCAATTGAGGATTGTATTTATTGTGATAAGGCATACAGATTGTAATTGTAGAATATATGTTACATGTTTTAATACTGTAAAACAATGCTTAGTTTGCACATGAACTTTTAGTAGTTAGCATAATGATGGTCAATAGGCCTTGAATCAAGATTTGTTTTCATTACATTATGATATGGTACAAATTGAATCAATACTGAATTTAGTAGGTTTGATTATTAGTTATATTAAAGGGATTGATCTGTAACAAGCATCTCTGTAAAATAGAATCCATTATTTCTTGATCGCCCCTCGTATTAACGTGAAGCAACTTTAACTTGTTTTACAGTACTGAGAGAGATGTGTATTAAATATAAACAAATTGTTCAACATGTTTCATTAGATAAAAAAATGTTCACTGAGAATATTTTGTCAACCCTCATTTTGTTCAAATTATAAGTGAACATTTTTCATTTAAACAAAATAGGTTGGATACTGTGATGCATAATTTTATAGATTTTAAATTCTTACGTCAGTTCAGTCATCTATTGTTCCATTTTTAACTTACTATTTGCTCCGTTCAATGGAGTAATAAATATATGATTTGTAGCTTGAAAAGTCTGTGTTGTATCTTGATTTTGATTCTACTGAAAATGGATGTTCACCAAAAATGTCGCTTGATCCATCAGGAACTTAAAATGCTGGGTACTGTAAACCTAGAAAATTAACGGATTGCACAAATAGAATTACACAATTATAAATTTCAGAGGTTTGGCTTGATAATCTATTTCCCCAAATACACCGAGTTTGCTCCAGTTTCGGACAGTCGAAAGCTAAACTGAAAGTCAACATTGAATGAATTGTTAACCAGTTGTACACTTTGTAATTAATAATCACCTCCAATGTTGTGACAGTCTCTTTCGAATCTTATGTTGTCTATGGGTAGGGGGCTTGTATATTTAATTGTATTTCATACCTCCTGAGGTTCTAGGTACATAACGAGCGGGAATATATAGTGCAAAATTTTTTTTAAATCTTTTTTTCAATTTTTTTTCACATTTTTTCAAATTTATTTTCAATTTTTTTTCAAAATTATTTTTCACATTTTCTTCAAATCTTTTGAAAATCTCGCAAACTTTAAGACCAAAAAACCGCCTAGTACCTCAAGTATGTTTTGGAATTTTGGATCTTTGTAAGGTATGATGTACCTAGAACCTCAGTAGGTGTGAAATACATCTGTTATGTACGGTCGGTTTTGGAAACAGGGTATATCCCGCGGGAAATATGTGTATCTCCCTTGGGATAAACTCTGTATCCAAAACCTCCCAGTACATAACCCTTATAAATGTATCTAGTTATATTTATTTTTGTGAATATTTAATTTTGTGTGTTCAGTGCTTTTTTCATGTATGCTTCATTTTGCAAAAATTCAATAAGAAATCTCAGGCAATTTTCTAGATTTACAGTGATGTATTTTTATCCAGTTTAGTAATGTGCCACTCAGTAGAAAATTCAGTATAATTATGACTTTGACTGTTTTTACGTCACCACCAAAATTGTTATTGTCTCCGTTTTTTGTGATGGCGGTTGGCGATCGTCTGTAACAAATGGTGGTGATTTTGCATGTTAATGCCTTGTTTTTAATATGTTATTCAAATATCATGCAAGGTGTGTCTAATGTAGGTGCTTTTAACTAATGTATTTAATGATAAGGCCAAATGAATGCCATTCTATGTTTTGAATCAAGTCTTCCCCAGAGCTTCAAAAGTTTTACAAGCGAAACAGTATTTCATAAAGATTGGAAATGTTTGAGTAGAGCTTACTTTTTAGAAAGGCAATACCAAATTTCTGTATAGTGTTAAATACTTAATAGGGTTGCCAGTCAGGGAAAAATAGGGGAAATCAAAATTGTTTTCACGACCTGAAAATTTGAATATATATAAAATTTCATCAAAAATGGCTAAAATGGCAAGAAATTTAGAATTCTGAGAAAATAGAATTTTAAACAAGTGAAATTTTTTATTAAATGTAGTGGCAACCCTATTCACACCTTATCTTCATCAGGTTTGGGTATACTGTTGATGCGAAAAGTAGAAATAATTTTATTTGGCCTTATATTGTAGATAATGTTCACCGTGCTCAATGTTAGATTGATTTGTATGAATGAAATATCATGAAATAAACAACATAAACAGACATGTAATAAATATGGTGCACTCTTGTAGATGTTCTTCCTTTTTCTCATCGGCACCATCTCATATGTCATCCTTTTGCTTCCTTTCATTTGCCTCATTCCCCCCTACCTCTTACTAAATTACTAGTGTTGTCAAGTATTGGTATGGAATGGGTAATACAATGGCTTTTGTGGGCAACTTACTGGTATGTGTGGGCAACTCAATGGTTTGCATTTGGACCTATTTTATATGATTGCATAAGCCTCAGTCACGTTTACTCTTTGGTGGCCAAAAGCGATACAGAAAATCTACAATCTACATCGTACTGCCCTATATTTTAGGCTGCATATTTCCTTAGATTTTGGGAAGCTATGGCCATCGTACGGTTGCCGTAGATCCAATGTGATTCGGGCATAAGATGATGTATATGTACTCATCAATGATGCATATATGACGATTATGTACGGGCGCCTCGGTGACGTGTATGACAAACTCAATGATATGTAATGGGGATCTTAATAATATGTAACTGTAATTCAATACTATTTAATAAGGACAACTTTATGATATACATATGCAGTACTGAAATTCAAATGATGGACAGTTCAGTGATATACATGGGTAAATTACTACACAGTTGAAGGTAACATGTCTTGGTATCGTATCTTGACTCTGGACAATAATGTAAATTGCAAGACTTGCCAAGATAACGTACAGCGTCACATAATTTCCATGCAAACAATGACGAATGATACACTCGAACATTTCAACTGTAGCACTTGTGTTAATTCTTGCCTCATAGAATCTTTGCATTTCATTAACCATTGCCAAGAAAAATAATTCACCCTATGTTTATTCTGCCCTCTGAATGTATTTGATACCTTTCAAAAAAGATATAAATTACCATGTTGCACTCGGAGAAATGTTTTATTAAACAACTTCTGCTTGGCTGGAATTGTTGCTACAGATGATCTTCAAGTAGAACAAAAGCTAAGTATCTTTCAAAGACAAAAATGAGAAGTCGAAGGACAAGAGAAGTCAAAAGATGGAATTGTCTCTGCAGGTTTGAAACAACATTTTTCAAATCTGCGAGGGGGAGGTTCGGGGGATCTAGCGAGCTTTTCGAGTGATTTTGGGTCAAAGTTGTCAAATGTGAACCCCCTAGAATTTTTCTGAAAAGTGACCCCATCTCCCTTAAGCAAAAGCTAGCTATGGGCTTTGGACCCTTGAGTCCTTGACATGAAATTCTCGGACAAAATTTGTTTTTATTGACAAAATAAGTAAATAACAGACGAATTGTATGTTCACAGACAGAGAATGCATCATTGTGTTCTTTTAGTAGTTTCTCATTGGCATAGCGTAGAGCTCGTGTATGGGTGGCGGGTTACCGATAGCTTTAACAACCAGAAACAATTAATAATTAGATAACTTAGTAGTGTACATAATTATAATATTAATATATTTACAGTAGCATTTACAATAGTGAATATTCAATCAAAAAGCATGCGTGATTCAGATTTAATCTCTTGACAATTTTTCAAACTAAAACAGCAATATGATCAACTGAGTTAGAACTTGGAAGCGTGAGTAGCAATGCCACTGGATCTACAGTCTGATCGTATGTCTTGCGCAGTTAGCAAATGCAATAACTGATTCCTGAAAGATCTTGGAAGCGTGCGTAGCAGTGCCTGGATCTACAGCTTGTTCGTGTGCCTTTGGAACAATTTGTTCACAATGTTTCTGATGATCGTTTTTGCTTTGCTATGCGCCTTTCTCTTTGGATATGTGTGTACTTCGTTTAAGTCTTCGTTGAAAGTTACACATTTCTGGACGAATGTTGCCGATTTCTTTGGAGATGATGAGTCGGGGTTGACTTCTTTGGTATTGAGGTTGGGATGCGAAATGGTTCCTCTCAAGATCCATATGTCGTCGCCTTTGGGCTCGATGGGCTTCTCCAAGCGTTGTGTCTGAAGCAACCTCAATCTTGGCCCAAACTTTGTATCAGACTCGTGCTTGTGGTTAATGTCGACATGTTGAACAATTTCGTCGAGAGTCGCCATTACGTCGAGCGTTGTTGTATCATCCACTCTTTCGCTTATTGGTTGTGATGACACATTGCAGTTGGTGTTGATGTTGCGATTCGCAGCATTTGCTGACATGGCAACCTTTCACGCTTTATCAAGAGAGGCGTGTCCAATGGGGTCAGCACACATTCTGGCGTGAATAACATTCCCATGGAGAACATTGTCTTTAAATCCTTCCCTTTCCAAAGAAGAATCAACTGATTCCTTCAATGCGCTAAAGTATTTAGTAACTTCAGAAAGTCTATCGTGTGCACGAAACACGCTATCAAGATTCTTAATCGCATGCTCTCCTTTACTTGACGTTTGGAAACCATTTCTGCGAATGAGAGGCTCACACTGTTGTAGTAGTTCGGTGTTTCTTTTGGACCTCATGATCAGGTATGTGGGATAGTGCGTGTGATCAAAGTCACTGATCGCTCCCTCTCGAATACGTTCCAAATGCGCCCTAGGTCGTTGTATCGTAAAGTGTTTATACACAGGTAGAGGTTCCTGAAAATATATGTATTTCTAAATAAAGAAATTGGTAACATGAAGCATATTCTAAATGTTATATTTACTTAGTTAAAGATATGCAAATACTAGTTATGTAATAAATGTCTGTTTAGTTCAATATCTTTCTCGCTTAGAAAATGGGACAGTCTGTCAGTAAATACTTACCAAAATGAGCATGCGTCTATTCAACCTTGCAAATCGGATCATTAATTCAGAAGTTCCAGATCCTACACCAACTGTAAACCCCATTCCTCGAATTTTCTGAAGGTCAGGTACAATTTTATAGTTCTTCATATATTTTTCGAATTGTTTCAATTCATCTTTGAGTCTGTTGGGACACTCCAAATCTAGGTAATAACGAGAGATTAGAGGTGCGTCCTGCATTTCAGTCTCTGCTTTGGCTGGTTCATCTGTACCATCCGTGACATGCTGATTTGGTTCATGGTTACCATAGATCACTGGTTCATCAGATTTCTCTTTCCACTCGAAACAGGGGAAATGTGCTATACGATTCCCGTCCAATGTGTACTTAGGATTTTCTTTGACCATTTTACCAACGTTGCCGCCAAAGACGTTTTTGTTCACGGTCGACATAGTTCTTAGGTATCCTCTTCGTACCTTGCCGCATACTGACATATCGCTTGCCATTTCGTTCGTTTATTCGTATGAAGAGCAGAGAGAAGTAGAAAAGCCTTGCTGTTGAGTCAAAAACTAACAGAAACTAAATTTGGTTGCTATAAACTTTACTATTGTTCTCTATAGTGACGTAATGGCAAAAAATTTACATTATTTCTGTATTGTGACGTCATAATAAAAGTGATATTTTGATTTCTTACTCTACCGATTTCTATGCCAACACATATGACGCATTTGTGATTTCAATTGTTTTTACATTGACGTCACTGTACAAACTATGGTAACGTACGGCATGTTTTGAATTAATGATATGACAAAAAATCTAGCTAGGAAAGGCAAATTAACGCTAAATGATATAACACCATACCACGTGCCTATTACGTCTTTTCTGTAAGGTCTTCAATGGAATAAAAAGTAAATATATAAATAAAAATATAAAAATAAATTTGATAACATTTTGGCAAGACAGTTTCCTCGCCTGAGATCTGAATTTCAGATTGCAAAATAAAAATATAAAAAAAATTCACAATAAAAATTTAAAACCTGGCGGAGCTGCCATAGGATACCAGCCTCTTCCAGTAAAATATAAATGCGATTTTAAAGTGGGATATATAGAAATTTTTGATTTTGATTACTGATATAGATTCACTAAATGAAAATGTTTCCTTTATTATGACCTCCTGCAATGTGATTATAAATTATATTTATCCAGTTAGAAATGGCAATTGTCAGCTTTCATAACAAATATCGACCAGGAAAGCTCGTATGTCATTCTTTCCCTCCTGGAGATTATGATTTTAAGATAGTGAAAGGGCAAGAAGAATATACGTAAAACAAAACAGATTATGCTTGGAACAAATCAGATTAAGGGCAAATCCATCATCGGTAATTAAGATCATTAAACGTTGTAGTAAAATATCAGAATGAAAGGAAGTGTCTTAAGGATACGATTATGAATGTTAATTTCGACCGCACTACAGAACAATACTCGATTTGCTTTAAATTGATATATTTTCTGAAATCTTCCCCGTGTAAAATCCAAAATAAAGTAGAAAGTACATGGGCGTTTTCTTATGCCCGAGTGCTTTTGAATTGGCATAGCCAAATGTGCATGCAAAAGTATTTTTGGGCGTGGTAGACCACATTTTTTGCTGGAAACCTATATCAATAAAACGAAGTCATTTTCTTCCGTCCAGAACTTGTTTAAAGAGACAACAAACGATATAGTTGACTATGAAGTATAAGCTTTTGAAACAATTTTACGGTTTCACAATATTTTGTTCAATCCTCACAGTATCTTGTTGTTTTATCCATTGTCTATTTTCTCATTTTTTCACGAATTCTTTGGTTTAATGGCAATACTTCTGTGGATGCCCACTTTTTGAATTTTAAAGGATTTGAGTATATTAATTGGGATCGTGAACACATAACCAACTTTTATGCATTTTATCCACGGCATTCTTTGTTGCCACTTAAAGCTACAGAAACAACATTCAAGAATGGACAAGAACCCTGGACTATCCACAAATCCATGCACATATAATTTACCTTGCCTTATAATAATACCCCCTGTGCATAGAAGGTGTCAATATTTCGTAATTATACCAATACTGTCTCCCTATAGACACAGGAATGGTATATCACAGCTTGCAACTTCCCAAACTTTCCCACCTTTACAGGTAGAGTTGAATTATCGAAGAAATCGGTCCTAATTTAATTGAATGTGCTTGCTATAATGGCCAAAGCACTGGTGGATCAATGCGCCTTGGAACCTAAATCAGGATATGGTTGACTTAGTAGTAATCCCCAGATCTTAACAATAGGATTCTTTATATCACAGTGTATGTACCTCGTATATTCTACATAAATACGCCTCACATATTTCTTCAATTTATGTTTGAGTACGATACCCAATACGGCAAATGAATAGTTTCCTTTTTGCATACTTTTTCATTCTGTTTAGACACGGTGAATATAGAAGAAACCAAGACTGAGGAGTAGTCTAATGGGATCACCGAAAAGAAGAGCATCACTGCACATTCGTAGTCTACAATTGAAAGAAAAGACCCAATGCAAAGTTTGGAACTAATTTAACATCTATATTTCTTAATTCCTGGAATTTCAGGTTTTTAACATTTAAGTGATCCTTTTTATAAATCTGGAATTAACAGAAAGTCTTTTGAAGAATTTACACACGTGTGCATTTATAAATATTAAATGACCAATAGCTCAATAATTCGCACCCTTACCCCAAAATAATTTTAATTCATAATAAATGCAACTTATACAATCAATAGATTTGGGCATAAACCTTCATTTCTGTAATATTGAAGGCTGAAATAATTGCCTTTTAAGAATTACTTTTTTCAATTTAAAACTTCTCATATTACAATGGCGAGGGCTTATTTCAAACTTTGGTATTTTAATAACTTCACCGTCTGGTATCACCATTCTTATGGACTATCATATTTGGGTACCCTGCGCGCAGAGGCAAGTTATAAATGAAGTTCTCTTTTGAGAAGCGATGCCGAACGAATGCGAAAGGTAATATTTGGGATGGCGAAGAACACATTGGTCGGATAATTCTAGATTAAATACATTTCTGGTCCTACCTTTAATGCGATTTTTATCTTAGGCTCTTTCAGCAAGAAGCCATTTCAGCCTGTTGTAAGATGAAACACTTTTCATAATTCGATCAATTATCCGAAAATATCATACGACTCTGTATTGCTAAATGAACGGTGTAGCTAAGAACGAAGTAGAACTAATTAGCCAAGGGGAAAGGACAAGACACCTGTGTTCTTCTTAAGAGAGAACTACCCCGGGAATCTATTACAAAGAAAACGATGCAAGGTGTGACTCAACTAAAAAATATTACACTGACTCGCCTGATCTGGAGATTTTATCAAAAAGAGAAATTAATTTATTGATAAGAGGAGAAATTATGTAATGGACATCAGATGGACTCCATCCATTAACAATTGGATAGAAATGACAAAAGAAATGAAACAAAAGACACCCAAGCGATTATTGAATTATGTGTACTCATATTATTGATTTGGAACGAGCGCAAATTATTTTTGGTATTAAAAACTTAAGAACAAAAGGTGTAACCTGCGCTCCAATGAAATGACAACGCTGACAATGAAATAATAACGTACCTGGAAAAAGAGACGAATTATTACAACAATATTACAATTTCAAACCAAATAGACGGTGTTTTTGGATATTTGTTACTTATAATATTAAGGACACACAGCCTCTTTATCAGAATATTTGTTTTTTGAAAACATCAAAGACTGAGATGATGAAAAAGAGAGAATCATCAGGTAATTAATGTTTTTTTTATTTACTATAATTCACTATTAACACAATTACGTTGCTATACAATTGAATTGGAAATAACACGATTGAATACAACACGTTTGAAATCAAATATATCGAATTGATCTAAATTAGATCAATTCAGATTGTTTATTTTTTACAATTGTGTTACATATTAAAGGTCAATGATTTTCAACAAACATTTTTATGCTGAGTAGTTTACATTTCTTCAACTTTTTGCACCATGCAAAAAAATATATTTGAATATAGAAAAAGGTCGTTAGAAGAACAGGTCAACAGTTTTCTGGCTTGATAGATGGCGCTGAGCTTTGCTTTTTCTGTACTGATATTCTAAAATCGAGAATCAAAGATAGAGACTGAAGGTGTTAAAATTGTAGCAATTTTGAGACATTCTTTTGGAAAGGTTCCTCGCTTTCCATTGGCCCCCTCCCTTTATAGTTGTAATATTTCGTGCGCGACAAACGCGATAATCATACCTTAAACCCGAGCGGGAAAACACCAAAAGAGACTTATTAAGCGAATTTAGTGCTTGTGCTAGAATTGCAGACATAAATATAAGCATGGAAACATGACCTGAACACTCATATATATGTTAATTGCGCCAAATACGATGCATTAAATAATATAATTGTCATTTAGCAAAATTATACAAACGGCTATTTGGTCATCATGATTCACAAAGACATTCCCTGATTTCGAAAATGTTGACAATTTCTCTACTAGTTTCTAAATTGCTGACTTTCTCATATTTAATTGTCGCCATTCTCTAATTTCTGTATTCTTGACCTAGTCAAATTTTTAATTGTATGTAGACATTCTCTTTTTCTCTATTGTCGACCTTTTCTTATTTCTCAATTGTTGACCTTCTCTCATTTCTCAAACTTCTCAAGAAAGAAAGACATTAAAAGTGGATATACTCGTTTGTTTTTATTTCCATGTGTCGTTTCAGGTGAGCCTTGTCCAAGAAACTGTTCGAAGGACAGCGATTGTGTTTTTGTGGATAAAGTCCAGTCATGTTTATGTGTGCGGAATCTGAAGCCTCCTAACCGTCAAGGATATTGTTCATCTCAAGATATTCCGAGACATCTTTTTAAAGCACAAGGTAAGTGCAAAACAAGGCATTAACATGCAAAATGTCACCACCTGCAATTTCTTACAAACGCCGAATGCCGAACAGTTACACTAACCGCCGACCTCCGAACACCTAGCAAAGTCAGTCAACAGTCAGTACCGTTTGACTTTTATGAAATATTGTGGCATATTATTTTCTCCCTCTGGTCCTTTGGATACCCTTCGATGCACAGTCGTTCAAAGAACAGCTAAATATTATACTTTTATTTTGTTAGTAAATGATGGCCAACCTATAATGCCGACATGGGGATTGGTGGCCAATAATGTATTGACATTATTTCAATATATTTACTGTACATATTAGGTTTATACAATAAATAGAAATGTTTCATTTCAAAAATTCTCGGCATCTTGTTTCACAACTTTTTCAAGGCTAAGTGCGATCAAGAAAGTGAAAATATTATTGAGGTAATACTATTTGGATAGGGTTCAATTATAGGGGTAGTTGGTGACTATTGCATTGTGGGAATAACTGATTGTTGTTTAAAATTATCCATTTTAGCGGATCCCGTTAATGCGGAGAGTACTACACCAAGGGAGACGATAATTCACAGTAAGGCCAATTTTAGAAATAACCAGAATTAGAAATATACTTCTAGCGGTTGGTAAATGGTAATCCATTTGAAAAAAATATCTTTATCACTTAGGGCTATGTTGAGCTTACTTCATAATTTCAAACAACGTGAGCTTAAGCAAGTTTAATTGCAGGTACCCCAAATGGCAATGATACCGAAGACGACCCTCAAGGCGGGAGTGAAAAGGTGGCTGATAGTAATGAGTCTAAAGAAACGATAGATGAACAAGCAAGTCTACCACTAACGCTAGATAACCGTAGTGTGTTACCCAGAGAAACGTTGAAGTTAATTGGTTCCCTGGGAACGAATAATTCAAGGAACGCTACCAATAGTATGGTAGGTAGCACCCTAGGCCACAGAGCCTAGTACTCATCAAACTTTGGAAAGGATGCCTGATCACTAAAAGCTTTCTGGAAGTTTAAGCATCTGGGCACCATAGTTTTTATTGCTACCTTGATTGGTTCTAGCCTCCAGCTATCAAGGGACGTCCCATCCCACTCACATAATGTGAATGTCATGTATGAAATGTAAACGATCAATCCCCAGACCAAGCTATCAACGAAACCACACAATTCTTTCATTCTTTCTCACGAAACATCATTTCTTTAGTGCTTGTTTTGTCACCACCACAAGTGGTGACATATTGTTATGGACTCCTCCTTTTTTGTGTTGGCGTCCAGTGATTGGCGTTCGGTGTCTCTAATAAATGGCAGGTGGTGAAATTTTGCATGTTAATACCTTGTTTCATCCTCTGAACACAGGGCTACAACCATGTGGTCGGAAAGAAGATATTCTTGATCTTAAATTACTGCGGTCGGAGGATGGCTTGTTTACCTATTATTTTATCTGACTATCGTCATCCGTAGATTATCTTGTAATCAATCTATCATTTTCAAAAGTGACATATTGTATAAGTCCAAGACCTTTCTTAAAAATCAAGTCATTTTCTGACCTGATGTGAATGAGGAAATTTGAAACGTAAACAGGCTGGAATAGGCTATTTTATGGAGAGTCTGGAATTCCCAAACTTTTGGAGGGAGTGTATTTCAATTAAAGACAAATAGAGAATATTGTACCATTGGAGAAGAAAAACACGATACGCATGCTATTTTGACCACTCAAAACGCTTATGAAATCAAAGTGATTATGGAACTGAATTACCATCAACTGGAACTAAATCATCATTAATGTCATTGAGTTGAATGATCACACAATCGTACGTGAATTTCTATTAATCATGTTTTCAAGTACGATCCATTTGAGACTAACTTTTAAAAGACACCTTTTTTCGATGCCTTTGATCTATGGTGGTCACGTTTATTTTTTGTATGGAGCGTTTGAGTATTTAGTCTTTATGGCTATCACCATCCATCTGTCTATTCTGATTCTAGCACTGATCAGACCTTAATGAGAATAAAAAATGTTTTATAGAATAAACTTCAACTTGATTCGTCTTTTCCACAAAATCCCAAAATTAGTGTAATCAGATTAAAGGTTGGTCAACAAATATTACAGGTATTAATCAATAATATATTTGCGTCACCTCAACTGTCATCGATTTTCAATGACACTGTTACAAACTCGTTGGGGAGATTTTCATAACAATGAGTGGGAGTGTTATTTTTAAAGGCACTGCTTAGTCACAGGAACAGTCGCACTCCTTGGGAATTCTCGTCTTACAATTCTAGTCATTTTGTAGCAAAACGTGCCTCGCCATCTCTGACATGTTGAAATCCGGATATCCAATGTTATGGCATTCAGATTTATCATTTCGATCATATTGATTAATAGAGTCTAAGATAAAACATTTCTCATAATTAGATTTCCGGTTTTGCGAATTATATTTAGTTGCCGGTAGTCGATACATACTCTACTTGTGTTTTCTTGTAGGTTGATTATTGTTACGACCTCGGGTATTGTGAAATATCTCTCTTTCAAGACTGATATTATTTATTTGGAGGTTTTCATAAATGACAGCATCGAAGACACGGTTTTAGTTTTTCTATCACTACTTGGTGGTGGTGGCTTTTGACAAACATTATTGGAATGAAATAGACATTTTGACCTAATTAGATAAAATCAGAACTTTGTACCATATTGAAAATATGCCTCAAATAGCTTTTTTAGTCTATATTTTCAAATTTTACATGGGGCCTTTAATCCAGACAATTTGACATAATCAACAGGCCTTTTTACACTAACGACGTAGTTCACTCCAATTAGTTAATCACAAAATACCACATGGTCCATCTTGCAAGATCCATCGAGGTACTTCATACCTAGCAGGAAGGAACAAAGTGAATTACTGGGCCCCTGGGTTTGGAGGGTGCTCCATACCTGGATCGCAAATGGAAAGTATAAAAGCGAGCAGTATAAGAGTCTTAATATACAATTCCCTCAATAAGTTTGGCAATCAGAAGTACACCCATTCTGATACTCATAGCATCTTTCTGTTTCACCTGAAACCTGAAACATCTCAGGGCTGAGAAGAAATGAGATGGCATGGTATATCATGATGAGTACACCTTGGATAGCGTTTTAAACCGTTCTATCCCTCAAATAAAGCAAATCCGAAATTTATGACAAATTAAATGAAATCGACAAACATAATTTGTTAATATCTCCAAACGAGGCTTTTGCAAATTATCTCGCGGTCCATAGGTGGACCAGTTTCCAAACAATTGGAGGGAAGTGTATACATATACCATGCTTAAGTCCACGGTTTTTCAACTCTCCCAACCCAATACCTGTCGTAGAACGTTGAGAGCCATCCTGGATTCAGAATTGTCTGTCACGACCCACATCTTTGGAATGCCTGAGTGCTGGCAAAAACATATGGAATAAGTGTTATTGATTCTATACGCAGAACGTTTTGAAAACAACCCGAAACTTTAACCATTTTCATAGAAGGTGACTCCGAAAACGTTTTTTTCTTTGGCATTAGCTGCCTCAAGTGCATACACACTAATGGAACTTCAACTCCTTAATGTTTTCTTGCAGGGTGCACCAGTTTCTATGGGAGCAGAGATGTCGGCAATCCGTGTGATTGCGCCCTCTATAGCTGTCATTGGTTTCTTATTGATGGTTGTATTCCTACTGACAAAATGCAAACGTCGTAGAGTCTACACAACCAAGAGCGAGGTCGCTGGATCTCCTATCAGCTGGCTCAGGCGTCATAACGGGGCAATGATTATAGACGAGATGCAGAATGTTTGTAAAAACTCGAACTATTACACAAATAGTGATGGTGATGGGGAGACGAGGATTGGCGTGGAGATACCTATGGATCAGATTACGCTGTTGGAAAGTATTGGGGAAGGAGCGTTTGGAGAAGTATTTAAAGGTGATTCTTTTCTCTGCAATAGAGAGTGTGCCTGAAATACTGCAATGACATAGAAATATTAAAATGACCAATAGTAACATATTGTAGCGACCAATGAGAAATACAAAATTCTTATAAAATGGACATTGGTTCAGTGGTAATAGTTTTATTCAAAATCTGACCAACGTAATGTATCAAAAGGAACTTCTTGTTTAAAATCATAAACGTTCTGACAGTTAATAGGGAGTTTAAGCTTGCAATGTTTTTCACAACCTAAACATGAACGGAAAATATCGATGTATTTATATGGGCGATTGGTCATACGTAAAGGTTGGCGTTTCGATTTTATATGCAAGCTTAAACTCCCTAATGTGTAGTTTATTAAACATTGTTGACATTACGACATTTAGGGGATCTGCAGGACAACGAGGGAATCGTGACGCGTGTTGCTGTGAAGGTGCTTAAAGAAGGAACCTCACAAGAATGGTTTGAGGATTTCCAAAGAGAGGCATGCATTACAAGTTCATTCGACCATGAAAATATCTTACACTTAATCGGAACCGTAACAAGAGGTAAAGTTTGTGCTTTGTTGTTTTAACCACGTAACACGTCGTTCAATCCTCTGCACTGTCCAAAGATATCAACAAACTCGTTTGACAAATTCGTTCCATTGCATAATATTCGTTTCCCTTGTAAGCATGATTAAATATCACACTGAAAATGACCAAATAGACCATTGGCAAGTCAAGCTGGAGGTTTCGTGTGTGGGTCTCCAATAGGCCTATTTGAGCTAAAACAAATCACGTTCGGTGAAGACTTTGTAGCGTTGAAGCTAATAGTGAAGGCATCGTAACCCAGCGATCTTGAGTTTGAGTCGCCAAACGGATAAGGTACTAACAGTTACATGTCAAATTAGGCAAAAACCTCGTAGTCTAGAGATCGAGGTGTCTAGTCGCCAAACGATACAAACCGTTACATGCCAAATAGGCAAAAACGTCGTAACCTACAGATTGTGGGTTCTAGTCGCCAAACTGTATAAGGTGCTACGTCATATTAGGCGAAGACGTCGCAACCTAGAGATCCTGAGTTCTAGTCGCCAAACGGTGAAAGGTGCTATGTCAAATTAGGCAAAAAAAGTCGTAACCTAAAGATCGTGAGTTCTAGTCGCCACACGGTATAAGGTGTTATGTCAAATTAGGCGAAGACGTCGCAACCTAGAGATCGTGGGTTCGAGTCACCAAACGGTAAAGGCGCCTGCACCTTGAGGTGATGACAACGTAATCTAGAGATCGTTGGTTCCAGTCGGCAACGGTCTAGGGCGCTAACACGTCAAGTGAGGTGATGACAACGTAATCTAGAGATTGTTGGTTCGAGTCGCCAAACGGTATAAGGCACTTAAACGTCGAGCTGGGCGAAAACGTTGACATTACCTTGAGATGTAGCCGAGATCTAGTCGGTTCTGGTCGCCTGAATTCTCTGTGATTAATCATTTTCGTAATTTCTGAAGGTATCAATGGTGCCCCCATGATGGTATTTGAGTTTATGGAACTTGGTGACTTGGCAGAGCTACTCAGGAAAAATGATCCAATATTTGGGAAGGAAGAAGATCGAACCCTAAAACAAGTTAGTAAAATCAAGCACAATGTAAAAACATTGCACTTAGTTCTCTTGGTTAGCACTTAGTTCTGTATTAAATGGCTTGTATCGAAAATCCTATTATATGATTTCCAGGGAAGGTTATGAACTTAATTACACTGGAATTTGTAAAAAGTTAAGAATTGGTACCCTAAATGATAAAACATATCCCATATATTTCCTGTACCGACGTTAACAGAATTGCTCATACAAGTAAATAAATCGCATATCACCTTAATTGAACTGACTGTACTATGTAACTTCATGTGGTCATATTTTTATATTTTTATCTAGACTGATCTGATTGACATAGCTACTCAGATTGCAAATGGTATGGTGTATTTAACGTCAAGACATTTCGTCCACAGAGACTTGGCAGCCCGCAACTGTCTCGTGGGAAGAGGTCTTCGCGTGAAGATATCTGATTTTGGTATGTCTAGAGACATCTATACCTGCGACTACTATCGAGTAAGTAAAATAATATGATTTATTTGATGAACAACTATCATTACAATGTAATACTTGTCAACATGTTCATTTACCAGCACTTTGATTCGACTATTGTCATTTTGTATCTATTGTATCTAATGTATATATTGTAATTTAATAATTTGTTTTTTGTATTAATTTGCTCTCCAAATTGGAGGAAATAAAGAACCATACCATACCATACCATACCATACCATACCATACCATACCATACCATACCATACCATACCATACCATAACATACCATACCATACCATACCATATCATACCATACCATACCATACCATACCTTTGATCTTTTGGTTCATATTTACATTAAGAATTGGTTCATCTTTATTCTGGGATATTCCCCGTCTTTCACTTCCGATTAGTTCTCTAGTTCTTAACCAGGCCCTTAGAACTAGTCTAAGAACAAATTGCCATGTGACATGGCTAATCATCCTCCGAACGCAGGGCTTAAGACATCATCCACTACGTTCCTTCTTCCAAGAAGAACGAGGTACGAGTTCCAGAGGCCTGTGTTCGGAGGATGATGGCCAATACAAAGTACAACTATTCACTATTTTAATTTCTTCAGTCACGCTATGACTCTTCACGGAATGTATTCCTTAATACATCTGGTACATTTATCCTTTATTATTTAGGTCGGCGGATCTCGAATGCTACCAGTTCGTTGGTTATCACCAGAGTGCGTTCGATATGGCAAGTTTACGACAGAAAGTGACACGTGGGCGTTTGGAGTGGTACTCTGGGAAATATTTTCTTACGGGAAACAACCATATTATGGGCATGGCAACGAGGAGGTGAGGAAAAATAAAATCATTGATCGATGATTCCCAAACTAATTTTTCCAGATTTTTATCTATTTCAAATTATACATTTTATTCTATCAATCTATTGGATTGGAATATTGGGAGATTCAAAAGCAAACCATGATACAACGATTTATCAGAACCACACTTCATCAATTTTAGGTGCTCCATCTTGTTCAGGACGGCATCTTACTTAACAAGCCAATGACATGTCCTTCTCCGATGTACCACATCATGTTGTCATGTTGGAGGTTGGAACCAAAGTCCAGGCTAAGTTTTACGCATATTCATTCGCAGTTGGTAAACTATAGCAAGAAAATAGTGACCTATCATAGACTGGGAAGAGAGTCAGAGTTACTGGAGATACAAGAGGACACTGACGTTGCATGGTTGCTAAGTAACGAGCCACGACAGTCGTCACACGAAGAACAAGTCTAGAAATGATTTATTCTTAATGCAAAGGTTGTGTGTACCCGTGGATTGACAGGTTGTCAAGAACGAGCATTATTGAAACTCGTTCATGTTCTAAATATAGTGTACAATAGGTGTCAGAGCAGCAAGTTGACCTATATGTTGTTTTGAAGTGATTTACTGACCCGGGTTTACTGAATACCCCGAACGCAGAGGTTAGTTCTAACGTAGAGGAACTTAAGAGTATAGACGAAGCTGTTTCGTTTTAAGAAGCAAGGTCAAATGAATGCGAATGGTATCTACTGAACTAGAATGTGACTCTGGAGTCTGAATTACTACATGTACAACAGATAACAATTGTAACCGTTAGGTGTTCTGAAGTCATTGTATTATTATTAATGAACAGAAAGGTGGCTCTGAAGTATGGTGTCCATTGTGAGTGAATTGAATTGAAAAAAATTGAATTGAATTGTGCACAGTAGTTGTTATAACATGTACTATACAATATTTGAGTTGATGAATAAGTAATGATGTGTCTGTGACATAAGTGAACATTGTAATGTTTATTGTCCAGTCAGTTCCGGTGAACGCATCATGAGCATTTTTGTATAAAAGTAAAGTCCACACCATCTGAAATCATACACGTGCGCATCAAAAATGAATCTACGCAGTGAAATCTGTCTTCGGCAGTTTATTTAGAACCGTATGTAATGTCATAATTTACGTCCTAACACGCGTAATTTTACATCTGAACCGGGTAATTCACGTATACAATGTTACGCGGTAAACACGATACAAAAATATGTCATATTCCACAACGAATATGGCATATTCACTTGCGGTGTATGACAGATTCACCTGCGGTATATGGCATACAAACTAACCAATGAGAACGTGATACGGAAGTACGCAATTGTCAATTGCATCGATTGAACGAAATAGTAAAACGTTATTAATTATTGTAATGATTACTGAATCAACAGTACTGTGTATCGAATATATTACCTTAGCAGAAGTATCAGTCACCAATCTCGCGCAATAAACTTACTCAATCAATCCAGGATTCATATATTAGTACTCGACGCACTAACTATAATGGTAATACAGCGTAGTTTTACATTTAGAGTCGATTTTCGCAACCAATCAAATCAAGGCTTTCTGTATCACGTTTTCACCTGCGGTATATGTCATATTCACCTGCGGTATGTGGCATATTCCGCAAGTGAGTATGACATATTCCGCATGTGAGTATCGGGTATTCACTGAAATCAATGTATCGCATATTCACTGCAGAATATCGCATACTCACCTGCGGAATATGCCATATACCGCAGGTGAGTATGGCATATTCACCCGTATCACAAATACCGCGCAACCATGAATGTATGCCATATACCGCGTAACATACAAAGGCATTAGAAACGCATGTGATCATTGGGCATGTTGGCCAACCATAACTATTATCGCATTTGTTAAACAACCATGATCTTGGCTATGTCTCCGTGTCTGTTGTGAGATTGTGTTATTTCTTCCAAAAGTTTAAGCTTTTTAAGTTTGTAGGTTGTACAAAAAAGCAATGATGGTATGAAAGATAAAAATCAGTTAAATAAATAGATTATTGTGCATGTAAATATGATGTAATTAGTTTTAAAATTAACATGAGTACATCTGGTACAAGGGCCATTAGCATAGAGCTGATTGTTGATATTATTTTGGTCATTGTAATGCCACTGTGTCAACTCAATTTAAGATAGAAATTAAAGTATATGATAAATTGAAGTGTGCCAACACAAACAAATGTAATATTACATAATGAAATTAATATCTAATTAGATAATGGGTGTCGACCAAAATCGCAGTAATTATTCTTTGAATGCACCTGTCCAAAGAAATGAAATATTTAATCTGGTGTCATCACATGTTAGGACGCTCCACATAAGGTGAGGTATGTTTTCTCTCAAAACAAAATTACTATGGTTTTTAGGAAAGTTCTTTTCTATCAGTTATAATGAATTAACATTGCGAATTTGAATAACATCAGATTTGATATTTATCAACGATTAAACAATTTCTGACACTTTATTATTGCAGTGTATTCTTAATTTTAAAGGTGAGATGAAACTCTTAATAATACTTGGCCTAATGGCCACGCTTGCATACACGCAAGCAGAGAATGCCACAGAGAGCACTCCCACAAGAAGAGGGCGTATGTCCCGTAAACAGGACGACTACGGTAGCAGTAGTCACGGATATGGTTATCAGACGGGGCACTACGGGGGCCACAGCTCTTCTGGTAGTTACAGCGGTGGACATAGAGGTGGTTATGGGGGTGGACACGGAGGATACGGGGGCGGACATGGAGGGGGATATGGAGGAGGATACGGTGGCTACGGAGGGTATCAATACGACCAAGGCAACCAGCAATACGACCAAGGTTACCAAAGCAACCAGCAATATGATCAAGGTTACCAAGGTAACCAGCAATATAACCAAGGTAACCAGCAATATGACCAAGGTTACCAGGGTAATCAGCAATATAACCAAGGTAACCAGCAATATGACCAAGGTTACCAGGGTAACCAGCAATATAACCAAGGTAACCAGCAATATGATCAAGGTTACCAGCAATACGACCAAAGTTACCAACGATATGATGAACCCCAGTATGACCAAGGTACAATGGAGGATCAGGCAGATTACAGCCCCTATGATACTCCCAAAGAATCCTACGATGATGTACCTGAGTATAATGACTACCAAGTCAAAGTCAATTTCGCCAAGCAGGCTAGCTACAATGCACCCGTGTACGATGAGCCCAAATACAACGCTGGTTCATACAAATCTTTTGACTCATACAGCGCACCAAGCTCTAAGACATACAATGAGCCAAGCGACAACTCATACAATGAGCCAAGCTACAATTCATACAATGAGCCAAGTTACAACACGTACAATGAGCCAAGCTACAATTCGTACAATGAGCCAAGTTACAATTCATACAGCGAGCCAACGTACAATGAGCCAAGCTACAATTCATACAATGAGCCAAGCTACAATTCATATAATGAGCCAAGCTACAATTCATATAATGAGCCAAGCTACAATTCATACAACAAGAAATCAGCACCTACAAAAGAACGCTATGAACCAAGCTATAACCCACCAAGCTACAATGAACCACAGCCAAGTTACAACAAGCCTGCAAGTTACGACAAACCAAGAAAATCAACCTCATACAATTCACCAAGAAAATCTGCCAAATCATTCGACGTCGACTCGTACGGTAAGTGACTTTAATTTGTCCGAATAATTTCGTGACCCAATCCTAGTTGGCATAGTTTAGATTGACAGACTCATTCTCCCGGTGTAAAAGAAATTATGGTCACCCGGGGATTATGGCCCCCTTTCTTAAAGGCCCTTAATGGCCCTGATTGTGGATACGATAATAAGGGAGAGTTGTATTTAGGTCACCATGTAAATCAATGGAAACAGGGAAAGTAGGACCATAATTTGATAGGATCTCCCACCCTTTTACACCGGCTCATTGTTTGAGTTTGATATATCTCCATAAGTTCTATATCATTTTCTGCATAGTTAAGATTATTTTACTTGATACTATTTGACATATTTGATGATGGATAAAAAGACAGAATGTAGAAATACAGTTCACACTATATTACAGAGCCCTGCGATGGTAAAAATGACGGCGACTATGTCCTCTCTGCCGTATTCCGCAAGAAATTCCCAGACGTAAGCCCCGAGTGTGCCTTCGTCAAGTGTGCCAATTACAGAACATGGTTAACTCCATGTGGCTACGGGACTAAAAACAACAAGTACGGCAAAGGCTACTGTAGACATCTCGATCTTCTTGGCAAATGCGGCAAACCCCCAACTAAAAAATCTAAGAAGTCCCGTTACGTCCGAAAGAGCGCCGACTACCTTAATGGCGGCGAGGGTGGATACCTAAATGACGAGGAGAGTTATGACAGCGTCAGTCCAGATGAGACTGAGGAGGTCGTACGTACACCAAAGAGTCTTTATAGCTCATATGACGAGGTCACAATATAAGTAAGTTGTTTCCTATAGTTCTGTATGCCTCCACGAAAGTGTAGTTGCACACAGCGCAGCGTAAACACAACGTATACGATATACAAAACATAAAAATGAAAAAACATGTTCAATCGGACAAAGAAATAATTTTTACAAAGTAGGTTTCCAACTGTTACCAGAGTCGGATGCTCATCACGTATTACATTATCCAGTTCCACACTATAATGTCCATATGTCGAAAGAGTCAAGTTCTTTAAAATACGTGATAGAATTTCAAAATTCCAACCAGTTGTTAACATTAAAATTACAATTATAGAATTTGGAGGAAATAAATCAGGAAGAAAGACACCGGTGGACACATTTTGCATATTTTTGTGTGTCCCTCGATTAGTTACATTTACATAAGTTACAAAGACACCAAATAGGTGAACTTCAAGAAGTAGTCGGGTTTCATTGAATTTTGTAATGGCTCATAAATATGTCCAGAGGATTTAGATTATTTTGAGCAATTTAATAAAATTAATATATCCCCTAATATAATATAATATAATATAATATAACATAATATAATATAATATAATATAATATAATATAATATAATATAATATAAGAGAGATTTATGCATTTAAAAACATGATTTACAAGAGACATCTTATGAGCGTTTAATGTGAGCCTACCAAGCTAACATAATTTATACGATTGTATTCACAACGTTTTGTACCCTTTGCATTCGTTTGACTTCACTTCTTAAAAGAGAGCTTCGTCTGTAGTTTAACTAGACTCTGCACGCAGGGTAAACGTTTTGACATTATGAAAGAATATTAATTGAAGAATTGTATTTTCAGGATACGCTGATCTGAGACCGATCAACAGCATGAGTACTGCCATCTATAGTACTGGACGAACACTGCCACACAACATATCATTTTGTATATTATCAACTCACGTGAATTATAAATGGACAATAATGGTTTGAAATTTAGCATATAAGGAATGATGTATTATTGTTGACAGCTGAGGAAAACTCAATATTAATATTTCTATCATACCTTAGAAAAATAAATTTTCTGTGGGATTCAAATGAATAAACTTTTCATGTACTTTGAAATTATTGTCTGCCTTTGTTTATTTGTCACAACCCCGGAAACAAATCACCAAAATGACTTGAAAATTGCTCAGAATGGTGAAAAACTGCACGATTTTGAAAGAATTTTTGGTCAGGGAACATCCCCCGAACACCTATAGCTACGGGCCTGCAGGGGCACACCACAATGGTAACTGCAATATAGATACAATTGAGATCTCACAAAGTTCACAGACAGAGGACGGACACTTATCTTTTATTCCTAACCAGAAGAACGTAGATCCCTTCAAAAGCCAGATTCATAATATTTTTGTATAAAGATTTACACCGTAAGTACCATTGATTAAAACGTTAAAATTTGTTTTTGTTTTAATTCTAAGTCTTCACCAATCACAACAGATCGGGATTTTATCAATGAACGGGCTCAAATGAATGGGTCAGACAGCTCAAAATGGCCCTCAACGCGGGTTACATGTATCTATAATTTTATTTTTAGGCGATTGATTGTATTCTACACACGACCAATATGATGACCAGATGTCCATTAGGATCACATCTGCTAATTGAATCACTAATGATTAGAACATTACTCCAAGCACACGATTTCGATATGTTATACGGGGGGGGGGGTTATATCTTCCAACTGATTTTCTTTATCCCTTGGCACCTCTTCATTATCAGATTACAACATTTTCCCCCGGGCATTTACCACTGTCACAAATCGCTTCTACCTTGGAATACCATGAAATTGACGCTTTGAGATCAGCTTACTAGCACTGAATGACGTAAATTGCACGGGGCACATGGAAATAAAGATAAGTCCCTATAAACATCTGATTTGACATCTTTTGAATTTTTCAAAAAATTAATACTTCTCATCTTTCGCTCGTTGCAGATATGATTCTGTGTGCGTAAAGCTAAGGCAGCAATTCAGTTTCCAAAATACTTGTGAGTGCTAACATAGAGATCTAAGTTTGCATGTTTTTGAATACCTACATGCACATCAATTTAAAACAATTCACTTTTTGTCAATACGTTTACAATTACAGTCTGTTGCAATTAATTACATTTACATTTTACTATTTGATCTGAGCTAAATGCTAAATACGAGTTAGGTCATATTAAAGCGACGCGGACTTTATATGACTAAAAAATAATCTTGGCAACCCTATACTATAATAGTACAATAACGTCATTTCTAAGGGCAATATAGTGAAATATTGGACTCATTTCTAAGGGCAATATAGTGAAATATTGGACCAAGGGCCGAAGGCCCAAGGTCCAATATTTCACTATATTGCTCGCAGAAATGACGTTATTAGTATTATTACCACCGTTAACGACCAGGGCTGAAATAGCAAGAAAATCTTACGCACTGAACGATATCTAATTTCCCGGGGAAAATTTGCCGGTCCAGAATATATTCTAGACCGGTCCATATGGACCACCACTATGACGTCACACATTTCTCAGGTCGATATAGTAAAATGAACGCCTTCTAAACTAGCACTAAAACCCCTAGAACTGGCCCGGCAAGGTGGTAATAATAATGGCTTTTGATGCCATCATTTTGTCAGATAATATCAAAAATTCCCCGGGCTACCTAAAATAAAAAAACAATCAATTTTGAAGTGTGACATTCTAACTTGGTCATTTTGAATTGGCTATCTAAAATAAAAAAATCAATGTTCCAAAATCTAAGAGGTATGACTTTGACCCTTTGAAAAGCGATAAAGAGCTGAGGCGAATCCAAGCCTTGATATATTCAGAAAATATTCATGCATCAACTCTTTATTTTTATTGATGCTGCTCAGCTCTAAATTTCTAATTTTGGATTTTTTGGGGATCTGAGTTAACGGTCGAGCCCCTTTAACAAGCAAGTTTATTCTTTCTAACTATCAACCCAGGCAGGAAGTCATAAACTATAACACGGCCATTGGCACCTGGCACAAGGCACCACTCACCTCAAATTTATGACATTTTGAAATTGACATATTAATCAACATCAGTTTCCAATTAGCAAAATATAATTCTGTCACTCCAATTAAATTTTTACCAAGAATTTAATATTTGAAAAGGCAATTCAGGTAGTTGGACATAGCTATACACCAATGTGATAAAGGAAATTCAAAATAACTTAAAATATCAAATATCAACGTGATAAGATGAAAGCTCTTAATTTGAAAATAGTTTTTCTATTATTTGGACTATGTGTACTTATTACCTCTGTAAAAGGGTTATCAGGCACTCGTCATACAAAGGATGTAAAAGAGGAGTATGGACATGAGAAAGATAGAGTGAATGAACATGAATATAATGAGAGCAATGAAGCGAATAAAAACGATGAAAATGAGACAAAGGATGAGGATATGAAATACTTTGATTATTCCTATGGATATTGTGGATATGAACGTGATTCATATGGTGAGTAATTAAATAAAGAGTTTTACTAAAAAGGTTTTACAGTACCGACTCCCCACTTGGACCATAGTTAAAGCTTGTTTATATTTATACATTAGGAAAATCAATCAAATTCAAAACTGTGGAAAAAATTGAAACATAAACAAATGTTAACACACTATCGGGAATAAGGAGTTTGGGGTGTTCAGTCCAAGGAAGGACTATCAAATGAGATCAGTATCATGTATAAAGAATAAATTCATAAAAAAGTTTGCATAAGAAAAGTAAAATATCAAAGTGAATTGTTCTAACAAATTGAAAAAGCTAACCCAAATCATACAAAGATAAAATGTAAGATAAGATAAAACTAAAAGACGGTCAGACAATGGCAAATTCCTAAAGAATGTAAAGCAAATCATTAAAGGGAATCACATACATTTGACTAACCTATAAAGCCTGTTGTATAGCCTGACTTTCAAAAATGTAACATTTTAATAATGGAATAACTTTTTCAACTTTATGAAATTTTCTTAAATTCCCTGTATGCAGTTGTGAATTTATAAGCCTATTTTACTCATGAGATTTAGAGAAATCCTGTTTTCCGATTGGGCATGGTCTTGCCAAACCATTGAAAAATGTTTTATTTCCTAGGCTATTGTAACTACAAACCACCTGGTCTCTACTCCCACTCCAACAATGGCTGTTACATCCAATGCGACCACTTTGGCAACACATTTGTGCGACCCTGTGCTTATGGAACATATTGGAGAGGAGGAAGGGGACCCTCATACTATAACAAGTGCACCTGGTGAACATGAACATTACGAACTGAAACATCAATTTCAAGTTACAATCTAAGGTGTAAATGTACTGTAAATAAAGAATATAACATTTCGTAATAAACATTTCTATCATTGATGTATTGTTACTACTGTACTAGTATTCAACTCCACATTACAATAAAACGTGTGAATATTGAACATTTATTTCCCTGCGAAAAAATATTCAGTTGGTAGGTGTTCATTATAGAGGGTAATTTATACAGAAGAGTATGTGCAGAGGAAGGGTGTCCACTAGAGACAAGTGTTCACTATAGAGAGGTGTTCACTAAGACTGGTTTTACTGTATTTGTCATTTCAGGATTTTGTCATTTTACTGTTTGTAATTTTCCTTTGTTATTCTGTTATGTGGGTCATTGTCATTTGTAATTTTGTTGTTCTTTAATTATATCATTTGTTACTTTGTAAATCTCCGATTGATATGATGATCTTTTAATAAGTCATTTTCCACTTGCACATGGTCATTCTATCTCGTATTCTGTCACATTGTTATTCTCACAATTCCTGACAATTTTAATTTCTAAAAAAAGCAACCATATTAGATGATCTGTTACAGTTTAGATATTACTCTTGTACTCATTGCATTAAAAAGTAAAACGAGACTTATAATAATGACTGCCTAATTGTCAAATGACAATCCTGCTGAATATTCACATATACAGCATCAACTAATTCAAAGCACTCAATTACTTTTTGGTTTATAGTAAGAACACACAAGAGAACTGCAAAATTGGATTTTGGACTACATTACTTTCAAACATAATACTTTTTGCAGTTTAATCATAATGACATGTATAAATTTTAAGTTAAGAATGAAAGTGGCCATTTTGAAAATTGGCTTTCTTGAAGAACTGGTAATCCCATAAACCATAAAAAAGATTCCCAGTTATCGCATTGATGGATGGAGTTCATTTTTATGGGATAGAGTGTAGAATAAGAGAATGTGTGGGGAATAAATAAATAAATAACAAAATACTTATTTCAACTTGCAGACCACATATAATTATTGAACACAGGCAGCCAGTTTTTACAGTATATAGGGGACTGCACATAAAATTTAATAGTAAATAAAAATTTGAAACAAAAATAGGAAAAAACATTTGAACTTGTTAATTTAGCCTCCTCAGTCTAATTAAACAAAGAACAAATATTTTTTCTGAACGCCATTGCAGACTTCCAGTTTTCATATCTTCTAAATATATGCACATATGAAGATCTATGTCAACTGGAAATACAACAATCAGCCTCAAATTGCTCATAATATACAATAATATATAATAATACTATAATATTTAAATGATTTGATCCACTATAACTACAGTTTAATAAGCTATAATTTGGAAAACGGAATCAACAGTATTGATTTGACATGTTCAAGGACATTTCACCCCAATTTATTTTATATTTTGTATAACATCAATATAATGAGTAGTATCATATTAAAACTGTATAAACAAAACATAATTTGGGATGGAAGATTGTTAAAGAGATTGTGTTTCTCATACGCTAAAATGCTTAAAGCTGATTTACTATTGCATCAGAATGAGGTGTCTTACTATTATTAACCATAAGTGATTGTTCCCCATATGCTAAAACAGTTGTACAGCGATACAATGAACATACATAGTACATTTCCCTGTGTTTGAATTTGATGAACTATTGCAAAAAAATTATAATTATTAATCAATATCATTTTACCTCCAACAGAAATACAGTAAAATATGTGCCACTGAAAATTCTGTCATTTGAACATTTCTTACATATCTGATCATTTATTACAACTTCCATTGGATAGATATAATGTAAATATTCAGGAAACAGGTTGTTAACAGGAGTTGCTATAAAGCTGAATAAAACTGAATAAATAGATGTCAGCACTTGTTTTTTTGTTTTGGTTGGAGCATCTGCAACTGAATTCAAATACTAGTATGCTCTTAAAAAGGAAGTCATTAAAGGTTTAATATGCAAAACTCTTAAAATCTCATTAAAACGAGAATTAGCGAGATTTCAAAGCTATATAGAAGTAGTTTTTGAACAAATATAGCACCAAGATGATCGAACTTTGAATAACTTAAAAGCTGATAAAGTATTTTACTATGCTGTTTCTTCATACAGACTCATCCATTATTCATCTCTAATGTACTTTCTGCTCTTTTCACTGCACACAGGGTGAAATATAATACCAGTAGAATATAGTACCAGTTGAAATATAGCACAAGTAGTAGAATGACTAGAAATAACAAGTGGGGATGAAACATCTAGCTGTTACACAAAAATACAAAAAGTGAACTTAATCAATGATTTGCTACATCTGCAAGTGTTTCACTACATATATATAATTGTCTCCCTGTAACTATATCTTACTTCATAATTGCTTTCATTTTCATGGAATCAACCTGTCCTTCTACAATGTTGTCATGGCACGCCGGCGGTCATGTGTTAATACATCAAATAAAGGTCCTAACAGACAATTATTACATATCAAAGACTTACATTGTATACTAGTTCCAGAAACTCTTAATTTCACCACTGTGTCAAATAACCATAATTTGAAACATTTGTAACTATTCATTTGCAACAATTTGAATAATTGTCATACCGATTGAACATATACTACCTCATTTGGAGAACTTTGACTCCTTTATGATTCGCTTATGGATAGATCTTAAGAGGGACCTACATCTTTTACTCTTAACAAAAATGTTGCGAATATAAGTCTTCTTCCAATGCACACTTATCGTGTGCCTCTTTTAGAGCCTATATATAATAAATATTGCACTTCAGCTTTATTTTTAGGATAATTAAATGCAAATTAATATTTTATTGTTCTACTTAGAGATGTGTCCTAATGCAGACAGTTGTGAAAAAATGTTTAACCCTGACCCTCCCAAAAATAATGAAATCCAAAAATGTTGATTTTTATCCAACTTGAATTTTCCTAAAATAACATTCTTTACTAATGTACCACCTCCACCTTTACCACCTCCCACTTTATAATTAAACTTTGTTTTTTCACAATGGTAAACACTTGGACACCATCCCTTACTAGACTAGCTGGCACTACAACATTATTATCTGTAAGACACCTTCAGAAAATAAAGGGTTAAGATAGAGCAGCTTCAGCAAAATATACAAATAATTTCTGTGTTTTGGAATGTAGGAGATTAGCAATCTCTTTGCAAAAGTTTCTCAATTTTTCAATTCCATAGCATACAGTTTAATGCACATCCCTCAAAACATGGTGACATTAACTATAAAGCAGTACCCTCAATTTGAGATATTTCTTGTAGATTTGCATTAGACTGCATGTATTTATGATTACCAAGGTAAAACCTTATCATATCAATTTAAAATAAATCACATAATTAGAATTCACTCAAATTTGCCTTGAAAATCCTGTTTCCATGCACGTCACATGACAGATCATGTGACGTGACAAAAGCATGGTTTGCGACCCGTTTTACAACTCGGCTTTCATTTTCACAAAACATACAGTCCACATATTTCTTTCTTCTTAACATCATTTCAGTCACTCTTAAGAAACGAAACATTCAATGGGTGTAGATGATTATTTGTTTTGTTGAACGTATAATGGAGCCATTATATGTCTGTAGATATGCCAGTGTTTATTAGATTGCACTTCGTCTTATCGGGACTTCTTGGTAGCCACTGTTCAAACAGCTAAAATGGGATCACTGTTACATATAGCACAGATGTGATCACTGTTCATCCAGTGAAGATGTTATTACTGGGGGAGAGCTTTCAAGATAGCATGGACTTCCTCAGCAACAGCGGAAAGCACAAACTCAAATTGTTCCTGAAATCATAACAGAACACTTTCAGTTTAGTCAAATTTGATGTATACATCAAAAGATAGTTTATAGTTTATTTAATTAAAGTTAGAGTCTTAAAGCTTTTAAGTGGATATAGTTTATCCCCCTCATATATCAAAAACAACGTAAAATATAAACAATCTTTATATTCTTAAATAAATGTACGTCTGTGTATTTTTTACTCAACATTTCATACAACTTGACATAACAATGAAAAATAAGTTTAGAATTTAGATTACTTAAGTTGATTGAGAAGCCAAAAATAGAAAACAAATAGATTATTGAAATTAAAAGAAAAAATTCTATAAACAATACCTTAGTCTTGACCATTGACATTCTCTGGTCACGGATATGCTCCAAGGTAGCAGCAATGTCAATCTCCTTGGCTCCCTTAGCCATGCGGTTCAAGACCATATCTATGAGAGAGTAAGTCCCAGTGCGTCCCATGCCATCACTAAAACATTAGAAAGTAACTGATATCAGTGAGTCAACTTGGTTTAGTTAAAACATTTCACAAACTTTAAAAGAGTTAAAGTAGTTAAGATTGGATTTAGATGGATTCTCCTTCGGCGAAAAAAAGATTTACAAAAATATTTGAGATTCATTGTTGGATAAAAAACAAAATATAGATTCCCATTTATTTAGAAGTGCATTTAGTAATACCATGAATTGATAATGTCAAAATATAAAAATTTCAAAATCTAGTTCCAATACTTAGATGTAAAGATTGTTACAGGATGCCAAAACTGCACACCAGTCACAAAAAAACAGTCGCTATGACAATATCAGTTGCACAAAGTTTACATTATTACTGCTCATTTGCTATTCTCATTGGCTATTGCAGTGACAATGAAACAGCCTTATATTATGTTACAAACATACCTGCAGTGTACCACTATAGGACAGGAGCGGCCACGATAGGACTTGTTCACCTTTCTGAAAACACAATAATAATCATGTTAATGTGAATCATTTCTGATCCTTATACAACATGCGATTTTTAATATAACCGAACCCAAATTAGGAAATACATATTAAAAACTGTAGTGTCTGCCTTTTCAACTCTACATAGATAGGTGAAGATCTTCTGAAATCAAAAACACAGTATACCAGTTCCCAAAATTACATGGTTACATGAAGTGGGCCCATCCCCCAGAGTGTAAACTAACTCGATACCCTCAAGATATTTCACTATACACAACAGACTGTGTTTTGTTATCTCCTTGTGTTTTGTCCCTTCATTAAATTATATGAAATCCCATCCTTGTGTTGTACTCTGCCATTACATAATGTATGAAACCTCATCCTTGTGTTGTGTCCTCTCACCACTTTGTATGAAAGTCCATCCATGTGTTGAGTCCCCTTTTCAAATTGTATGAACCTCATTAGTCAAGGCTGTGTTATATTTTTAAGGTTTATTCAAGGTTATCCAAGGCTGACTTATCCAAAGCTATGTTATTCAAGGCTGTGTTATTCAATCAAGGCTGTGTTATTCAATCTAGGTTGTGTTATTCAATCAAGGCTGTCTTATTCAAGGCAATGCTATCCAAGGCTGTCTTATCCAAAGCTATGTTATTCAAGGCTGTGTTATTCAATCTAGGTTGTGTTATTCGATCAAGGTTGTGTTATTCAATCAAGGCTGTGTTATTCAATCAAGGCTGTCTTATTCAATCAAGGCTGTCTTATTCAAGGCAATGCTATCCAAGGCTGTCTTATCCAAAGCTATGTTATTCAAGGCTGTGTTATTCAATCAAGGCTGTGTTATTCAATCTAGGCTGTCTTATTCAAGGCAATGCTATCCAAGGCTGTCTTATCCAAAGCTATGTTATTCAAGGCTGTGTTATTCAATCAAGGCTGTGTTATTCAATCTAGGTTGTGTTATTCAATCAAGGTTGTGTTATTCAATCAAGGCTGTGTTATTCAATCAAGGCTGTCTTATTCAAGGCAATGCTATCCAAGGCTGTCTTATTCAAGGCAATGTTATTCAAGGCTGTCTTATCCAATGCTATGTTATTCAATCAAGGCTTTGTTATTCAAGGCGCTGTTATAGAAGAATAGGCTTTAAATAGGGAGGTATTATATTACATGTTAGTAGCAAGCTCCGCTACTTGATCACTTTTGTGACTATGCAATTTGTCTAATTTACAATTGCCAAACCACAAAAGCTCTCAAGGCGTAGAGAGTTTTAACTATAGGTGTGCACAGAAATTCTTTAGCCCATCAAGTCTCAAGGCATAGAAAGGTTTTAACAATAGATGAGCCATATTTGCTGAATGTATTGCAGTGCAGACAGGTTCTAGATATAGTGATTTCTACTTTTCTTCATCCATTCAGTCTATAGAGATGTTGAAATGAGACAATTAAGACTCTATATGATCATTCTGTTTCAAGTCATAGAGGTTTTACTATAGGTAGATTGCCCATTCCATGCCTTATATCAATCAATATAGATGCAGAGTGAATCCCATTAATGCTAGCCAGAAGAGGATTCTATCCATAAATGACTCCCAAGCACAGGATGGTTGATAGTATTGTGACATGTGTTTTTTTTACACATTATTTAATCATTCAAAATATGAATGTTATGTATCTGACATTATGCACCCTTCTCCTTGTAAAAGATCAAAATTGAATTGTACCTGGAACATTATTTTTTTGTAAAAGTCACATGTAAGGTCTTTGGGGAATGTGTACTCTTTGGGAAGATGCACCCTTTGAGGAACTGTGCCCATGACTGATATATCTGTCAAAATCTTCCAGTCAACCCTATTATAGCTATACAGTTAGTATATTGCATGCAGTGTTAGTATGGAAGAGAAGCTTCAGCTATTAGTATATGAAGGAGTGTTAATTGCAGAGGCTTTAAACAAGTTATGAGACATATAAAATAAAACCATATTATAAGTTATTGGATGATTTAAGTGCAATACAGGATATATTCTGCTCGAGAATTCCATAATGGAACGAGACAATGTCGAGTGCCAATACAGAATATCGAGAGCAGAATATATCCTGTGTTGCACTTCAAATCATTCTATAACGTTTTTATTGTGTGATCCTCTGTATTGCTACTGAGAATGTCCCCTCCGTTCCAGTATTTTCTGTATTGAGACGGAGATGATCAATGGGGACAATCTCAGTAGCAATACAGATCGGTACAGCACAAGACCTGACCAATCAGAATGCTTCATTTTACAGATCATACGATAATAGTGTGCACTGATGACTAAGCAAGATAATATATACATGGATATTCAAAATTCATGTTTTAAGATTAAACAAATATTCAAGTAATAACTTATGATACAAACAAATAACTATAATAGGAGTACACTGTACTATAATAGCAGTACAGTGTACTATAATAGCAGTACACTGTACTATAATAGCAGTACAGTGTACTATAATAGCAGTACAGTGTACTATAAAAGCAGTACACTGTACTAATAGCAGTACACTGTACTATAATAGCAGTACACTGTTCTATAATAGCAGTACACTGTACTATAATAGCAGTGTACTGTACTATAATAGCAGTGTACTGAGTACAGTGCTGAAGCACAGAACAGCACAGTACAGAACCATTACAGTGCTTAGTACTAATACCAGAAGGTTTTCATATTTTCAAATATCAATAGCATGAAGGTTCAACAGAATATATAATGAGAAAGCACAAAGAGACAAATTTTAAAAGATTTAAAAAATTCCTAAAAATCATATGAACTGGACACAGGAAAAAAGGTTTCTCTACTTCAAAATTAGTGTAACAAAAAGGGTGTAGCACACCATCTATATTACATTGTAAAATATCTACTGTAATACACTTTTGCACAATGAACTTCAATTCGGAATGCTAACTTGAAAAATAGGACTCCTAGTTAGGGGCTGGGCTGAAATATCAATGCTTTTTGTTCGCAAAACTAATTCATGAAGGTTAACGTAAAACTATCATCAATGAATCTATTTTTCTCTAACAAAATCAGACTTTATCCCTCCCACAGAGGAAATTAATTTCATGAAAATATGACGCATTGATATTTGATCTAGCCCCTTAGTCTAAAGAGTAACTTGTTTCATACCTCCTGAAGTCTAATAGAGCTTTTGCGGAGCTGGGTATGCCATTATCAGGCCAGCTGAGGAAGTGGAACTGTGTGACAGTTCGTGTCTCATTAGTCTGCAAGTTCTTCAAATAGAAACTACGCACCAGATAGTCGTCACACCAGATATGCTCCGATACCAGGTGAACCTAAATATATGAATATTCAAAAATGGAAATCAAGGAAGAGATTTTAATGACAGATTTTGTGACCCATACACATAAATATATTAGCTGAACTGAGCCACAATTGTACACAAATTCATTCAAATAGATATTTTAAGAAAATAAAATTTTCCAGAGTTTAAAAATATATTAAGTCAAAAATTAGGAAAATTGTGATTTTTAGACAATGATGTACTTTTAAAGGCAATTTTCTGTGAGGACTATTTAAGACCCGTGGGATTTCATAGGGTAGACACATTATTTACGAGGTCAACATAACCCAATTAACATTTAATACATAAAGTAATGAACTCATTTCAGATAGTAATATTGAAATAAAAATATACATTTCAAATCAATAAATCAAAATGTATGATATTACTCTAACATTAGATTGTCTCTACGTTTACTTCTATGTTAACTTCGCATACAAATCTGGTACACAATTTTATCTATATTGAGTCATCACAAAAATATACATGAAGCAGTGACAGTAGTTTAAACGTAACAATATTCGATGACAATGGAAATTTCTTACTTACAAATTGTCTTATTTTGATATTTTATTTCCCACAGCATTTTCTTTGTATTATTTTACTGGCTTACAAAATATGATTTAGCTTAATGTTTAACACAAAATTAACTTAAATACCTCGTATATATGATAAAGGTCGCTTCCTTCTTCAGGCCAGTATCTATGGCAATAGGCAACACCATTGTCTGTCATCTTCCCAAGCATGACAATCACCACGCTACCCTGCTCCCATACCATCTGCAATACAAAGTATAACAATATGTGATTATGACCTGAATTTCTTTTTGATTAAACACTGGATCGTAGGAATTTCTCCCTTGCAACAAGAAAGAAAGGTCATATAAGAAATTCTTCAGGCTCTACTATATACAGTAGTATGATTATTGTTGTATATTTCAAACATTGTAACCTCAACATTTTGAATAGACTTAAGTAAGTCTGCGATTTCAGAGAACTGATATCTTATAAATCCTTCGTTGATCCTCCCCAGCCAAAATTAAAATGACTTGTCTGATAAATGCATGTTCTTGAAACTAAAATTGCTAGTACACTCAATAGTAAATTAATCCCAGAGACTGTTTTGTTCACAATGTCTCCTTAACTCTAAACCGCAGACACATTTTTTCATTTGATGTACAGTAAACCCTGTTAAGTGGAACACCTCTGTAAGTGGAACACCTCTGTAAGTGGAACACCTCCATGTGTAAACACTTTTAACAGATCCGCACCCCTATTCACTTATTGCCAAATATTTGTAAGTGGAACACCTCCCAAGTGGAACACTTTTTAGTGATACCAAAGGTGTTCCATTTTACAGGTTTTACTGTCCACTCAATAAGAAGTCTATCCCTTGAGACTTTTTTGTTCACATATGTCTCCTTATTCTAAACTGTATTTAAGGTGTATGTATCTGATATGAATATGGGCATAACATTTCCAACCCATATCCTGTTATTTCTGTTAATTCTCTTTTATACATTGTGTGAATATTTAATGTCACTGATAATTTCATGCAGAAGATAATGCTTAATGAATTTCTCATGATATAATTTCACTTTAGTGCATTTTCCAGATCATTCAATTCACGTGACATCCTTCTGGCAGCTTCCTGCCCATTGAATTATCTTACAAATTGACAAATATATAGGACTATGGAATACAGTTAGTAGGACAAATAGTACTTTTCAAATGCGATACAAAAATTCAGCATTTCATGAATCAACAACAAAAAGTTTTCTTAATTCAAACATTTCATTTCATGAAACTATGAACGTAAATTATTTCATGTCTTTTTTATTAAGTAACGGGCTAATGACACACTGACATAGTACTAATATGTAATGTACATTATTTCTGGGATGTTACACCGAAAGGCCATAATACTTAATTTCACAGATGGATGATGTTTTTCACAATCCTTATTCCAAGAATCAGGATTTCTGCTTGAAAACAGCGTTAACAATTATTCTCAATCATTGACTTAACACTAACTAACAATAAAATGGTATTAATACAGAAACAGGACATACCAGTACGCTCCCATATTTTCTGAAAAAATGAAATGGTATGGTACATGATGTAAAGGTCATGAAGGCTGATTTTTCCCTGGTGCATATACATGTAGTATAAATAAGCAGCAAAAAGAAATGTGTAGACTGCTTATTCCTTGAAATACATCTGAATCTCCCAATCCATGTGAAATCATCAAAATACCTGTATGAGATCAAGGGTGGTATCCATGCCCTGATTATACCTTGAATTAAAGTAGCACATGGTCTAAATGGGGCATCCAATGGCTGTATATTAGGCTATATAATCAATGCTTGATTATATATATACATGTACTCTAAGCTTGTGCTTGAACTCATGGTACTTCGTATGTTCAGGGCTTGGATACTACATGTGGTATTGCATACCTGCCAAAAGTCTGCTACAGTGTGTGGAAGGGGTCCCTGGGTGGCAATGTAGGCAGGGTTCCGTGGGTCATGATCCGTCTAAAATACAGATAATTCATTTCTTAGTACTTTAAATAAAAACTCAATGGGCAAGCATTGTTTTATTTGATTGCAATTGTTTGTCTTGGCACACATTGCAAAATCACCCTCAGAATTGTATATTATGCAATGATTTATTTTTTCATATTAGCAAGCAACTCAAGAGAAAGGGAAAATAATGCGAGGACTGATTTTATATGATTCAGGGGGAGGGGGATGGATACTTACTATAGAGCTAGCATTGATGTAGTCAGAGTCAGCTATGTTAGTCGCAGTATTGAGTACAACACGGGAGTGGTCATCTGGAAATATATTGATATGCATGATTGCGACATTTGACATCTATCATATGGTAAATAGAGGATGTTCTTTTTATACCATAGTAAAAGTCATCAGAATCGTCGGAAATTAAGTTATTTAATTCGAATTTTCCAAACAATCCAGCGATGTTGACACTTAGCCTCGTTCTGAGTCTGAAGAAGCAAAAATCCATAAACCATCGCATACAGCGCCGTATGTCATGGCTAAAAAACCGTATGCTATGGTTAAGTGAAAATTTGTCAAAAATATCATATTCTACCACTGATTACAAAAATACCGTTTTTATTTTCACATGTTATCACATGTTTCACATTAATATCATGCTAACTATAGAATAATAAATATGAATATCTTTGCTAGTTGTCAAAACAAAAGTGCTGATTCTAGTTACGCATCATTAACCTAGTAACAGGCTGAGCTGTCAACAAAGTTCATCAATAAAAAAATCCAAAATTAATGTAAAATTTTGAAATAACCTTTGTTTTAGAGTTGTTCAAAAGATCTTGCACAAACCATGGGCGTAGCGCTATTTTTTCAAGTAGTACGCCACGACCACAGGAACAAGAGTTGAGTGAATAAAAAACAAGCATTCAGGGGGGTCTGGGGGTTTTCCCCCCGGAAAATTTTCAAATTTGGTTGTATTTGGAGCGAATTTGCAACCATCTGGTACGCCTGTGCGTACCCAGCGTACCGGGCGCTACGCCCATGCAAACACTTTTCAAAATCAAGTGATTTGTTAAAGACTTACCAACTATCAACAAGATCGGTTGATTAATTTCACACTTAGAGATTTTTGCACAAAACTTTTTTGAATTTATAATAACTTGCACTAATTAAATGATAAGATATCAGTCTGTGGCTAATCCTACTAAAGAACTATGGAAATCAGTATGTTGACAGTTCATGTAAATTCTGCACAATTGTCACCAAATGACATGTTATTATTGACTCATATTTTATTTATAGCTTGTAATGATGATAATGACATAGTCGTTCTGTCTTACTAAACATCTCAATACAAGTGAATTATCACAATATCTCTAGTAATTGCATGTATTTCAATATAATTTCAATATGGTTAATCAATTGTATTGTGACATCAATTAAATGTACATTCATGCATTGAACAATAACATTTTGCATAATCGTGATTACAAGTTAAATTACAGACTTATTTACAAAATGTATAAAGCTGACTAATACAGACAACATTTTTTCAAAGCTGTACTATAAAATTGTTAATGTAAATACATGTTCTTAGATCGTAATAAAAAGCAAAGATTTATTTCTGAGTTTTCAAACATTATTATTTTGTATTGTTGGAAGGTTCCATAATGACAGCCATATTTTGAAAAAAATGTACAAAATCAATAAATGTAGAAACTAACATGGGAGAACATCGGCATATCTGTTCTTGCTCTGATTGGTCTCTTCCTTGGCGACATCACAACTGTTTGGCTCAGCCTCGTAACGACACAATCCTTCCCATTCACTGTCCAGACGGTCTTTGTTCTTCAAATGGTCCTCCATATATGACTATAATGCACAAGTTTCATTTATTTTATTTAAAAAATCAATTTGATGTTGGAACACTTACAATATTCAAAGGGATTTTCAATGCAAAGATGTGATTTGACCCGACAAGTTATGATTGGATATTTCAATAAATAAATAAAAAATAGAAGAAAAATTTTTTTTAAGAATTAAATGCTAGCTTAGTCGTCACATTGAAGTTGTAAGGTCATAATGCATGCTATATTTTATAAAAGATGTAAACATCAATTTATACAACTTAAAATACATAACCTAACTAAAATACAATTTTCTAGATGACATTTCTGTATATATCTGATTGTTATTGGTTCATTATCAATAATGTTTCTTAAGGATTCTTTAAGCCACATACAAAGATTATTAGAGTTTTTTGGCGCCACCACATTTTGACAGTCATCGTTAGAGTATAACCGAGGCAACCATTACTTCCAAGAGAATAACCCCGTTGCGACAGCCATTATTTAGAATTACAACTTCATCCCAAAGGGGCCCATAGAAATGTAATGCTGCAATATGTTTGCTCAGAAGTCACTCAAATGGCTTTGACCTATGACCATATCATATTCTAAATATTATATTATAGTAGAGTTTATAATGGATTATAAGTTTCAGTATTCTATAAATAACATGTCTTCCCTGGGAAATAATAAAGATGAAATAGAATTGACTTTTTTTTTTATGACTGGTTTAAGAAAAACGTGTGTTCAAAAAGTTCTCCATATCGATACCACTCCTTTAAAGAACTCCAGAAGTTACATGAACTATTGACTGATATTGTATCCCTAACAAATGACCTTGTTGTATTTAATCAACTCACATTTCTGACTAGGAATTATTACCAGGCAACATTATACATAAGCATTATTAGCAGATTATGAATTTGATCCTACACAAGGTAATCACCTGGGAAGCCAAATTATTTAAAAATCAAAATCTAATATCAATTATGGACGATGGTGCATCACAAGGAATTTTATACAAGAGTATCCTCCAAGGGATTACAAGGCCTTAAATTCTACAGATGCACTTCTTTTATTCTATAAATACTAAGTTTACTCAAGGAAATAATAAAGGAAAAGAAATATAGGATCATATTGACTAGGGAAAAATTGTATCAGATCATATTCTCTGGCATTAATGGGCACAAGTTATTTTGATCTATTAAAACATTTGAGGTAAATAATTTATGGAATAAACAAGATATTTCCAGATTAATATCATATGATATTCTGTCACTACTCTCCCCTGGCTAGTATCATATTGTCCCTCTGAATAAATCTCATATTCACCTCATTTAATTAATGTGGAATAACCATGACTAAGTAATATAAAAAGAATACAATGGGCATGACTTAAATAGTATTATTGAAGGGAATGGAATAAACATGACTCAAATGATGCTAAAGAGAATGGGATAGACTAAGTATGACTGAAATGATAAAAGGAATGGAATCATCATGACTCATTTGCAAATGGAATGGAAAAAGTATGACTTGAATAGTATTAAAGAGAATAGAATAAACATGACTTGAATGATGCTAAAGAGAATGGGATAGACTAAGTATGACTGAAATGATAAAAGGAATGGAATCATCATGACTCATTTGCAAATGGAATGGAAAAAGTATGACTTGAATAGTATTAAAGAGAATAGAATAAACATGACTTGAATGATGCTAAAGAGAATGGGATAGACTAAGTATGACTGAAATGATAAAAGGAATGGAATCATCATGACTCATATGCAAATGGAATGGAAAAATATGACTTGAATAGTATTAAAAAAAATAGAATAAACATGACTCGAATAATGCTAAAGAGAATGGGATATGAATAACTGAAATTATAAAAGGAATGAAATTATCATGACTCACACGGAAATGGAAAAGAATAACTCAAATAATGTTAAAAGGAATGGAAAAAAACAAGAAATTAAAGGTGAATAAATACTCAGTTTTAATTACTGGTGTGAGAAAATCCCCGCAGCAATCAATCATCATCAGTCGTGATTTCAGGAGGCATTGATTGCCACCTATAATCCCACAAATGATGATATCGCAATTACATCAATATTACAGTGCACATCCAGCCACGCATATTTCAGATGGCTTCTAGACAAATTGAATGAACTTCAGAATTGAGTCACATATTTCGACAATTTGGAGAACAGTTTAGATCAAGTTTATATTGTGCATGTTATTTTCTTATTGAAGTTGGTGAGCTTTGTGGAATATCAATTGGAAAATGAACAGATATTAATCTCAATAGAATAAAATATTTGTATATTATTATATCATTGGCATATTCCTCATTCTCTGATTGGTCTATGTCCTACATGTGACTGGGAAATAAGAAGAGATATTCCCAGCTGTACACTTGACTAGGAAATATATAGAGGTTATTTAATGGGAGGGATGGAATATGAATTTTAATTCAAGGGAAAATATAATATTGGCCAAGAAAAATATCATGTTGACCGAAGGTGATAGCCAAAGTGTCAATCTGATATTTTCCGAGGCTAATATCATATTTTCTTAATAATTTTTTCATGTCAGCTCATATCATGAAATATCATTCAACTTAAAAATAACCACAACACAACCTCACAGTTGGTATTATTGTTGGTGATTCTCTATTAATTTCTGTTAAAAGTTGAAGCAAACCAAATTATAATTTATTTTCGATATTCGAAGTATATAATAAGAAAGTCCCATTAACATAATTGTATTTCTTAATTTTGACAACTAATTGATTTCAACAATTAAGAATAAAGAAGTCAGATTCACGGGTGTTAAAACACGAATATACCATGAGCACATGCTTTGAGGATCTGCGTTGTTTGAACCTACCGCCGAGCACACTTATACATTAAGACCCATTACACAGCCATGATACCGCCGAGCAAGCTCATTGCATCATCGGGTCTGCTTTACCCCCGTGAGATTAACTTCGAGAAAATCTTCATAAAAGTTATATGAAATGACAGTGGCTGTCATAATGTATTCTCACAAGCCCTCGTATAACATGTTCTATCAAGAGAAAAACAGAGTACCTAAAAAACAATTCACTATTATACTATACCTTGCATTTGGTGTTCATGAGCAACCCATTTGGCTTATTAGTAATGATTATATTATTTGTTTTTATTTGTCTGTTCCTTATTAATGGTTTATTGGATGACTGTTAGATGTTAATAAGGTACTTTCAAAATTATACTAACCAATACAATTAGACAAACAGAGTATCTTATGTATTTCTAGGGGTTAGATATAGTAGAGTATATTGAAAAACAAAAATAAGTTGATGTTTTTTAGCTATACCAAATACGTTCTATTTGCTACAAATATAGTGTATCCTGTGAGGAGACAGTTACGATGAGGCAGTTAATCGGGCCAATAATCCCCTTAATAATTCATAACCAAATGAGATGCAATAATGGAATTGTCTCGGAATCGACAGCGTAATTTAACCTTACAACCAATCATATTGGCTTTATCAATAGCAGTTCCCATATGGTGCAAAATCATACAAGATCTCCACTCGAGTTCGCAAATTCAATTTTTCAATGATGAAAAGGTTGTCAAAATGTGACATATGAACTAATCTGAAATTAAAACAGATGTGTTACAAACGGAAATAGCTATTTTATGCACTAAAATAGCTGTGTTATACAGAGATTTAAGCTTTCATAAAAATGCAGATAGATTAATAATTATGTGCATGAAGAGAAGAGTTGTAAACTAAAAGGTAGAAAACGAAGAGATGGTGAAGTTTTTATTATGAAGTAGCTAACAATACTTAATTCAAAAGGTTTAATCAAATCCACACTTAAAAACTTTTCATTATTCACTAGCTAATAATCAAAGAAATAGGTAATATTAATTCAAAATCTTTATAGTTATAACAGAATACAGTTCAAAATCAATCAAAATATTTGGTAAATAATGCTGAAATGACATTTCTTCATTTTTTCAATTTTTCCCGAATGTGCAGAACTACCTTAACATTTAGAGATGGAAATGACGAGGTGAAGATTAAGATATGCAAACAAAAAGGATGAGACAAAGAGGTTGATACTATGAGGTTGGCACTTAAAGTGAATAAAGGTTGATACGAAGAGGTACTTGTAGAGATTAAGAGGTAGAAACTAAGAGGTAGAGATTAATAGGTAGAAACTAAAAGGTAGAGATTAAGAGGTAGAAACTAAGAGGTAGAGATTAAGAGGTAGAAACTAAGTGGTAGAGATTAAGAGGTAGAAACTAAGTGGTAGAGATTAAGAGGTAGAAACTAAGTGGTAGAGATTAAGAAGTAGAAACTAAGTGGTAGAGATTAAGAAGTAGAAACTAAGTGATAGATGACAAATTCAGACTATGACGTTGAGAGGTCAAGGTGGTTCTGTATGCTCAGAAACATTGATGGCTTCCTAATTTAGAGCCCCATGTTATTTTCAGGTAAACATAACTCATTCATTACATGGTGTTCATCTTCCAGTTTTGCACAAAGAGTACATAATTGTACCGAGATTATGAATTGAAGTTCTTTTGAATTTTTGAAGATTTTGAATTGAAGAATTTTCTGCCTGAAAATAACAATGGATTCCGCATATGACACCATCAACAATTCTGAACATGATTAATATAACTTAATAGCAGGTGCTACTTACCAAGACAATGTGGCCAGTAGAGATGTCCATGTTGGAGATGACAGGCTCCTCGCTCCTGTGGGGAACAAAATGAAACACTTCAGTTTTACAACATGGACTAACATTATCATAGAGATCACAATAGTCTTTGATGTGGGTGAAAGAGTCATCTAATGAGTTTGGTCTATCAGCAGTATCGTAAAAGACATCATCTAGGCTACTGGTTGTACTAGGTACGTAGCCAGGTAGTTTTGTAGGGTTGTTTTGTGCATGGTCCTTTATACTACCCATGCTGTAAAAACGTCTCCGCAATAATCTTAATGGTTGCCTAGTTTTTGAATCAGAGGTCTTATTTTGAGCAATTAACCATTTGTTTGGATTCCTTGTAGACAAGCCTTTATTAAGTCCCATTGAGGAGTTATTCAAAATCGGCTTCTCATTCAAAGCAGGGACTTCATTGTTAATAGGCCCATTCATAGGTCCTATTGTAGAGCCATTCATAGCAGGCCCAATTGCTCCATTCATAGCAGGTCCCACTGACCCATTCATAGCAGGCCCCACTGACCCATTCATAGCAGGCCCCACTGACCCATTCATAGCAGGCCCCAATGATCCATTCAAAGCAGGTTCTATTGAAGAACCATTCAAAGCAGGTTCACAGGTAGAGTTCTCCATATGGTACATAGAAAACAACTCAGTCATTCCTCATCAGCAACCATGACAATATCTACCACTATCTATCCTTTAACTAATCTATCCTGTCTCCATATCTTGGCAGCTATATACAATTCTACAGAGATAATCGCCTCAGAATCTGCTGATGCTTGCAATGTTATCTTGTCTCGTTCAGTGAATATTGATTGATCCAAGTATGCGGAAAATATAGTGTGGATGTGTGTATATATTGTCTCAGTGAGTTTAAGCCCTCAAGACATGTTCTTCTTCATTACTAAAGTAACTACCGGAGCTTCGGCAAACTAAGCGAAATCCATCGAGAATAATCAATTGTGAATGTAAACTGTGTAGACATTCCTTCTTATAGCGAGTGCATTATTGAATTTCTAGTAATATTAAATACATTATTGGTAAAGCTGGCCTTATTGTACAGGAGCAACAATATCTATGATTACAGTGAATACAGATGTTCAATCAATGAGAAAATCCTGCTGGTTTGAGTACAATATGTTTTAATCCTAATATGTCCTTATATGGGTAGTAATCCTATTACGTAAAATAGAGCTTGAAAATGTATGTTTTAATTTGTAATTGGGTATTTTATCCTTGACTAAATCTTGATTAAAAACATCCATATACTGTACTGTTCACCATATGGTTGAGAAGAAAATGAATTGAAAAGTAGCGAATGTTCAAAATGAGGCTGATCGACAAATAACTTGATAGATGTCCAAGAGTTATATTAACGTCATTGCAGCCCTTGTTAAATAAAGAATTTATTCTATCATGTCTCGATAAAAATTAAGATTAATGTTTCTTGGATGTTACTAAGTAATACTATGTTGTTGAGAAATTGCGAACCATCAGAGACTGACATGAAGACAAAAATAAAGCCTGAAATCAATGGCTATGAATGATTTTTGATGACGAATGAAACCAATTTTCTTTATAAATTCCCGATCCGGGTAAGCAGTCAATAATTGTAGTAGTAGTAACGTCAGGATTTAGCCCATTTCATAATTAATTAGTCTGAAGAAATCTATTAAGGAGTACATAGTGGTCTTCTGATCTCCTAATGTTACAATGTAATCATATATAGGGTGTCTCAAAAAAATGTACCTAAAAGTATATCAACAGCATAGACAAACCAATCAATATTTTCAGACATTTTTTGCATGGTCTTGTAGATAAAACGTTCATGTTTTGGCTACATGACCATGCAAAAAATGTCTGAAAATATTTATTGGTTTATTTGTGCTCTTGATATACTTTTGAGTACATTTTTTTGAGACACCCTGTATACTAGGATTACCCTTTACAAGAACCTGACTTCATTTATACTCTTAAGGAGAGAAATATATAGTTAAGGTTCATTTCACATTCACTCTTTCACTTTCACTCTAACTTTCCATAAAAGCTACATTCAAGATCTTTCCTGCATTAAAACTCCTCTTAATAGTCAGAGGGTGGCGTAGCTAGCTGGTAGAGATACAGAGTATGTTACAATTAGACAATGTGCCAAAAGTCGAAGAGAGAGAGTAAAAATTGACTCTAAATGGCTGAAATTGCAGGATGTCAGCTACTTGTTATATGAAACACAGAATTAAATCTTGGGCTATGGGGTGAATGGAATAAGACACCACACCCTTATGCCAGCTAATAACACTCCTACATTATGACCTGATTTACATCTTTTTTACTTTGTACACTAAAGTAGCTTTATAATCAATGAAGTACCACAATTGTGTATTTATAGTAAATCCATATGTTAACCTCATGGAAAAAATCTATGCTTTCCGACATCTAATATTACACACAAAATTCAATTAAAAATACGCCACCCAGATTGCCTAATTATCGACATCATAATGAACATGTCACATCATCGATAACAAGATTTCAAAGGAACGACATCATTAACTTTTTGACCCTTTGTTCTCAAGAAAAAGGGAAATCTTACAAGTTTCTATGACGAAAGTGAAATCTCCAAGGTTACCATGGAAACAAATCTACCATTATTTGCAAATTGTCAATCATAAGATATGAAGAGATTTACTGAAGTACTGCATGTATTTCTTGGCAACGAGAAAGTAGGCCAAGATAAAGGTGGACATTTAACCTGTAGATACGCATTAAGGCAATTCTTGACTTTTAGCGCAATACTTTTTTTATTAAGGTAATACTTTGGGCTTATTCACCCTGATTGAAAAGTAACATGGCAATCACATTTTTATCACAAAATAAATTGAAAATGAGAGAAATTATCATGGAATACATTAGGTGGCACCAAAGAATGGAGTGTAAAATATTAGAAGAGTATCTTTTCAAAAAGCTGTCAATGTCTGTCTTCTTATCCTCTATTATTATCTGAAAATGATTTGATATATCTGATCAAATACAGAAAATACTAAAAAAATGTTTATATTCGTAAAAATTGAAACGGGGATGTCTATTTTCATTTCCAAATAACCTTAAAAATCAGGGAAATATTAAGAAATTATTTTAAAAGCAGGAAATGAATACCAAGATTATCAAAGCAAAAGTGCCAAAAGGGCAGAGACCAAACAGTATTACTGAAACACAGGAAGAAAAACAGACATCTTGGAGTACAACCAGCCAAAGCGAAGAGATGGTGATTTTAAAAGCTATCATACACTCATAATAATAAAATCTGTAATTTACTCATTGGATCAAGTCTCTTGAAGAAATGCTATTGGGAATTCCTAAGTTTCCTTTCAGAACTGGAGATAGTTATTTGACAACATTTAAAGAATTAATAGCAAAGCAAATCAGTAATTACGGTGATTTTTCACTTAGGTTCAAGGAAACTAAAGGAAATAGTGCGTTTATGAGTAATCACAAAATGAGTGGCTTTCAGCATCAAATGCTGGTTTTAGCTTAGGTATAATCTGGGAAAATTACATGGGATTGAAGTAGCTACTTTGGTTGAAATAATACTGAGTAATGCAGTGAAATGACATGGCTTCCATTCACTATATAGCAATCAAAAAGGGCTTAAGATTAGAAGAAGTGATTTATTCCCGGGATCTAAATCCCGGGGGACTCCCCATTAATACCATCGAAAGAGAGTTGTAAACTTAGCACTTTTAATCAGTGCTCGTACTGAACCACACGTATTGATTTGTCTGACGTTAAAAACTGTTTTTGCTCATCAGTTGAAATGAACTGATCATATTTCACCTGAAATTGACTAGGAGTGGGGGTTGAAGTCCTACGACCATCATATAATGTAGGCTTAAACCCCTGATTATTATAGAAGTTTGATCTATTTCAGCAGAACATGGTTGATTTGCCATTTGAGGCGATAGTAAGATATCTCATATTCCAACTAAAGAGTCAGAAACTCTTGATCTTTTACACATCTATAAATTAACAATAAAGTCATTCAGATGTTTGAAATTGGTTTTTCATCATCTCGTGCTATTTCCGGATCACTCCCACTCAGGTGTAACATATAACACATGTATAGATTCTGTGAAGAAATATGTATCTGTTAATTATCACGTATGATATTTTCTTGAATTAAATGCTTTATTGGAAGTTGATCTCTGAAAAAATGAAATAATCTCACACTGTCTCGTGCCCCACCTACTTGTACTTGATTTTCCAATGTTATTCAAGGCTTTTCTGAAAATGTTATTTTTATAATATTCAGAATTACCATGACTGGTGATGTCACAATATTCAGACTATCTCTGCCTTGCACTTAAAGGGACTGATAGAACAAGCTACGATCAGCGAGGGCAATCAGATATGCGAAGTCTCCCCCTTAGAATCTTTCCCTTTAAATAACTACTATGTGTGTGTGGGAGAGGACACTACACAATACTAAACATGATATGCTTGTTATTACATGTATAATCCATCATGTAAGTCATGTACGTAGGAAACAGAAATTCAAAAGGGATAAAAATAATCATGTATGTAAAGGATCATCAGAAAAGATAGAAGGAATTTCATCATAATCTCAGATGTGCTTCATACTGATTATAGGGATTGCCTTTCTAATGCAGCCCTTTGTGCTTCCTCATACAATCCTGCATGTAATTTCAATTATGGCTACAGCCCTGTAAAGAAGTAATATGTTCTAACCACATCAGTCTTAACAGAAACTCTGACAAGTGAATTGCATAGACCTTCCGCAGGAGCTTTTACCTGTACAGTATACACCATTCATCACTAGCTAATCCCTCATATTGATCTTCAGCCGAAGCCTTATACTCAATCCTCTATTATCTATCAGACAGTGTCTGAAAACTGTCTGATTTGGATTTCATGAATTACCTGGATCTCTGCACAAAATGACATGGATTTGGGCGTAAAAATAAGATGGATTTGGGCATTGAATAACATGGATTTGGGCAGTAAAAGACAGAGATTTATGTTCAAAATAACAGGATGTTGTCCACAAAATAAATCCAGTTTGGTCGGTTTTATTGGTCAAAATGAATTTAATTTCCAAGGAAGCTAAAAAAGTCATGTTGGAGTCCAATATTTTCACACCAAAGAATTCTTCTAATAGTTGTGGATCGGGATAGGAAATCTCATAGGAACAGAATAATTTAACAGGAGAAGGACAATTTAATTTTGAACATGTCTTAAGACACGGCTGGGGTTAAAAGTGACAGAGTTAATTCTCCCTCAAGAATTCACGAAAGCTCTTCCAAAAGGTCATGTGACCAGAGCTGACCAATGGCTAACACCGATTTGCGATAACCTTGTTAGAAAAGATCTTAACTCCACGTCCCTTACTAAAATCCCTAAACTGAATTCATTTCCAGAGGTCATATGCAATAGGCACTGACACGATTATGCCTTGAGCTAACATGGTCGCTTCAATTCTAATAATGTGGAAATGAAATGATGGCGGGGAAATGAGATGAAACCCCAGTCTACTCCATCTCAATTCTTTCACAAATTCAACTAGACATACACAATGTATTTATTCTACCTCAGTGATATCATAGCTTGTTACCCTAATAAGGCAATTCTATCAACTGAGAAATGGAATTTAGCCTTAACCTTATGTACCTACAAAGTGAGACATAGAAAACAATTTAGAGTAAAAAATTCAATCGTGATTGCAATGTGTACTGTGATGTATCAAGATTATTTTGATGAAATGTGAGCTACTTAAAATAAGCTACAAATGCCACATTTTAGAGTACAGGTATGTCAAAATTCTGGATTTCTTTCTTACTACACTATATTTCTTTAATTTTACTTCACTATATCTAGTTTTATTTATAATTACAAATATTCAGAATATAGATGGCGCTGACTTACCATGATGATGTACTACTTCTGCTAGAGGGACTATTTTCTGGCTTGTCACCGACGCTACCGATTCTTGTAGCAACGTGAAGCGGTTCAGGCTTCTCGGATGCTTTTGTCTGCATGTGCTGGCGACACAAGTCCTGGAACCAATATATAAATTTCAACTGAACATTTTTTATTTTAATCTTTATTGAAGTCCATCAAAATTGAGCTACCTAATCAGAATCTCTCTCCTAACCAATGGGAAGTAATTATTATCCACCCGTGTAGCTCAGCGGTAGCGCAGGTACCTCTTACGCAATAGGTCCCAGATTCGATCCCCGGTTCAGGCAAGACTAAATTTGCTTGTTTGCGTGAAGTACTTCAGGGTGTTTGACTGAGTGGTCCGCAATTCGTACAAAAGGCTGTGGTGTGTACTTATATGTCTATGTATAAGTGCACAGAAAAGAACACAGGGCTCCTTCAAGGAGGGGTTTCCGGGTCTATCTTACAGGTTAATTACGTAAATTACGACCGTATATATACGGGATATACCCAAGAGGTATTGCTCACCTTCATCGGTGGTAAACAAAATACAATACAATACAATACTAGATAGTATATGGGCTTTAGGTAAAGAAAGGTGAGTCCTCAGAGATAACCTAACATTTACTTCAACAGAGTCACCAAATATCTAATCTGCATTGAAAATTCATTTCACCAGCTAATCTCATTCAAAAGGGTTTGCAATCTGACATCCAACTCAATCAACCAAATCGAATTAGGATAACTTAGTTGATTTGTTTAAACTGCAATAGACTATATCATAAATATCACCTATTGGAATTGATTATATTCGTTCAGTTTAGTGTTTAAAACAAACAAATTGTTTGAATTGTTTTTGACATATTTATTTTATCTTCATTAAACTGAATAATATGACACTAAATATTCAGTTTATGTGATGAGGATATATAAATATATCGAAAAATTATAACTCAAACAATTTGTCTGTTTTTTTGTTTAACAATAGAAAGCAGGATAAACTGCACTGGAAATGATCTTACCGAATAGTCTTTAGAGGTGCCCTCAGTTCCAGCAGGAGTTGCGGAGAGTTGCTGAAGTTTTTCTCGTGATCGTGTGTGACGTTTGATCAGGTAGATGACAACCACAGCGATCACCACTCCAGCAATGCAGCCACTGATGACAAATGTCAAAACAAAGTACTTGGGAGTGGACTGGTCATGGTCAGCCATATTGATCTGGGCCTGCAAAATATAATTAATTCCATTAAATCAATGAGACATCTTGCATTTAGTGCTTTGTCTCAAAGTATTACTTGGGAGTGAACTTATACACGGGGGGTAAAGCAGACCCGATGATGCAATGAGCTTGCTCGGCGGTATCATGACTGTGTAACGGGTCTTAATGTATAAGTGTGCTCGGCGGTAGGTTCAAACAAAGCGGATCCTCAAAGCATGTGCTCATGGTATATTCCTGTTTTAACACCTGTGTTATACTAATCACCTTTGAGGATCTGGGCTGAAATACAAAATTTGACATTATGGCATTTGATAAACTTTGTGACACAGCACCCGACAGGATTATTGGTACATTGTTCAATTGACTCCTGAGAGAGAAACCAAACTCCTCCCTGCTCCTCCACCTTATCAGCACCATTCTATGTTTGAGGACGACACATGTGAATATCTGCATATTGACTTGTTAAATCAAAGATGATAGTTCCGAAGTATGATTTTTTGTGAATTAACCTCTTGACTACCTGGAGTGACGAGATTTCTCGACACCTCAGAAATGACCTCGAAACCCAGAGTGACGAGAAAATCCGTCACAATTCTTTTCACTAAAATTGCTCTTATTTGAACAATTTTCGACCAATTTATACAGAAATTGTTTTAAAATGTGCAGAAATGATCTCTGCCGACTAATTTCACTAAGTTGAGCATCTAAAATTGATTACGTATATAGTAAAATGTCAAAAGGTGGCAAAAAGGAAAAATTCTCTGGTTTCAACCGATTTTAGAGTCTGGGATTCAAGAGGTTAATATACTTTTAACATTTAGTGTAGCATATTTCATCCGGAGAGCTGAGAACATTTTTATTACTCTAAAACCTGTTCAATTGGGAGTCACAAAACAGTAACAAACACTCGATGTACTTTAACTCTCACTGGCAAATATTCCGTGTGAAAACACCCAGGCACTCCAATCTACCAGCTACAATTCATGTTTAATGATGCAATAAAAGAAAAGCCGTGTGATTTTATTGCACAGATGATCGTTCAGCACTAAATGTGGCAGCCTTGCAAATCAAAGTTTCAAGCACATAGGAGTAGCATGCGACACATGATGGGAGATCAAATAAGTCTGAATATAAGCACATTTGTGATCACTGGTTAATGTATTCAATGATATGAGAAATCAGTTAAACTATGATAGCCCTGGAGTCAGCATTTTTTCTCAAATAAGCAGTGATATCTCAACTTGAAAAACAGCAACTCCCTGGAGTAGAGTCCCACCATACAAAACATGTTTTATCAAATCACTCATGATTTTGAACATCTCACAAAAGAAATAATATTTTGGCAAAATCTACATCCATGACATTTAGAGGTCTTATGCCAATAAAGCTATCAACCTATCAATTTTGAACCATATTCGAGATATCACAGAGACAGATGAATGGAGCTCCCCTATATCCCTGTTTAAACTCTGCTTGGTGGGTTCAGAAAAGCATTGAACCATTTATACAGTGACATTTCAATAATTTATATTCGTCATATATACATTACATATTATCTTTCTTTTATATTCATTTCAACATCCTTTCATTTTAACATCTTTTCATTTTTCTTTCCATCTTTTTCCTTCCTTCTTAATTTCTTTCTGAACTGACTGATTGGATTGCAATTGATTTATTTCATTCTCTTTTTATCTTTCTTTATGCTTATCTATATGTATTTGTACTTATTGTTGCCTTTCAGATTAACACTATCTGCTTTAACAATATCTATGTGAATAAAACAATTGATCAAAAACCTCCCCATGCTTCAAATTCGACATTGATCATGTTTTACGAATACGAACTGACAGGGGTTCACTTTGTTGACTAGGGATTGTAAAGAAACCATATGCATTTTATATACAGAAAAATATGAGAAAAAATCCAGAAATATATTCAGATTTGAGCAGAAGACAACCAGAGATATGCATCACTAATGTGACACTTTGAGCATAGGTATAATAGTACTTAGACATGCTTCAACAGATTCTAAACTCCAGGCGATATACAGGAAAATTAACATTTTTTCTGATAATGATGTGAAACGCTTGAGTGATCATGAGAAAGTTAACCACAGTGCAACAAGCAATAAGATTGTTGAACAGAATATTTGGAATGTAAATGACCACTTCAGACATAATAATGCTAGAGGAGATGTAATCCTGTAGTTTGATCATGGAGTATTCTTTATTATACAGTAAGGGAATGTTAAAAGTTGGTTAATTTCATTATGATTCGAGGTCAAGAATGTAATTTTACCTTGGCCTTCCTATTATGTTAAAAAGTAGTATATAAAAAAATTCTTCAAATAAATTAAACTTAGCCTTAAAAAAATTCTTACAGTATAATGAATGTTTGAAATGGTGATTTATTTAGCCTTAAAAAAATTCGACTCCTTCACTATCCAGTATAATGAATGTTTGAAATGGTGATTTATTTACATTTCCAGAGCCAAGGATATTATATCACACATTAACCCAATTATCATTTATCCCTTCACCTCACATTTATTCTTGTTCTTCTACAACTTTTGGACATCACCCCTAAAGTGGCACGGTAGCCAACGGTGAAAATCTTTTGCTGAAAGAGCAGAAATTTTGTGACCTTGAAGAAGTTACGTTTTTTAACAAACGAGTACATTTTCTTTTATCTGATCCAGGCAATTACTTTGTTATTACACACATACAGAGTTTTGTCTTATACACTGCATTTTGATCATATTGAATTCATAACATAGCATAACAAAAACACTTTATCACAATAATTTCTCATCAAAAGCCTTCTCCTCTATCTTTATCATGGTGATGAATGCATCTTTGGGAGGTGAAGAGTACTTCAAGATGCAGCAGACCAAGGTTAAGTCAGATCAATAAATGAATCAATATCCGCAAAATATAACATTCATTTTTACATTGACTTCGCCCACATACTGCCCTTCAGAATGAAAATTATAATTCATCTGGAGCCAACTAAACCTAAAGTATATCAACTTACATGTTTACCAAATGAGAACCTGGGATACTTAAAACGAAATTGGTGCAATCACAATACAAAAAAAAGACACACAATGATATTTATCACCCTTTTTATTAAAAAAAAAAGTCAGTAATGGCCAAGTAATTTATCTAGCATGCCCAAAATCTAATCATATCTTGGCATTAATCTGCTCTTGCATCTGTAAAAAATTCAAGTTGAAAAGGTAAATTTTTTTCTGGAATTTTTTAAGATAAGATTTATGTGGTGCCCACCGACCCAGACAGTCGCATAGCCATCAGCGCAAAATGGCAACAATATTAGCACTTTGAAATTGTACAATAAAAATGGGCTTTTACACGTACACCCAATATATAAATGTACACAGATATGTCTTTTGATTAAAGTTGATGTTAACAAAGAAAGCAATTATGTAGTGAGACGACATTAAACACCTACAATGAATCGAATCTAAAGTTCAACTTCTTCATTACCAGTTGTTTTCAATTAGACATTCTTATGTTTTTTTTTTAGATTGCACCTGTACTCTGGTATTTCCTTTACATGCAATTAACTCTTAGCTACACTCAGCCATGCAGAGTAAAAGAGTAGGAGGTGTATCAAATAGAGTATGTCATCTTGACAAGATCTATGGCTGAATCTGATACATAAAAAGCAACTTACCCATTCACAATTCTCCAAGAAAACATCTATGGAAATTTTCTGAGATATTCGTAATGGCAAGCACTATGAATGGGCAAAGTCCAGTATTACAAAACTCAAGAAATACATATTTTAATGCAAAATTCAAAGGTTTGAGTGATACTGCACCACCCCAATGTGGGAAGGGTCGAGAATTCAGTATGCTGTATTCATGGGATGAGATTTTGATTTAGTGCTTCATTCTGAGGGTAAGGACCTTTGAAATGGATGTTTCCAGTCCTAGGAATTTTGCCCATATTTGACCAGCTATTATTGCAGGCTACATTCTGAGGGTAAGGACAATTGAAATGGATGTTTCCAGTTCTAGCAATTTCGCCCATATTTGACCAGCTATTTTTGCGACTCACTAATTTGCTTCCAGGGTAGGGAATTTTGCAGCTCAATTTTTATTTGGTTAAAATCCCAATCAATTAAAGGTGCATAACGAGCTCTTAAATCGGATTGGCCTTCACCCGATCCTTTGATTTCGCACCCAATCACATTAGATCTATGCAATAAGGCTAACTGTTACACAAGATTTATGAATTTGATTCCACAAAATTGTGGGCAATGAGTCAAACTGAGAAACAATTACTATCATGATCTTTAAACTAGGTTTAACATTACACCAGCACAGTGTCATTAGTGGATTGGAGATATAGCAGAGATACAAGTTCCATATTTGATTATTCCGCAAAAGACATTTTGCAATGATCCTAAAAAATATATCCCTTTATGCTACAATCTACAATTTGATATATCAGTAAAAATATTTTGGTATGTGATTAAATATGGAAGAAATAGACTTGTGACCTAAAATTGTTCAGTAAACAAAACTTACCCGTTCAACTGCGGAGTGACAAATCATAATAATGAATAATAAAAAAAAAAACAGAGGTCATGGTGACTGAGTTTAGATTATATTTAAGCATTGAATGTTTATTCACCCTCCAGATGGGGTAATGATGTGAATTAGAAAATTGCAACTGAATATGAATAGAGCCAATGAAATATGTTTTCTGAGTTAATATGGCCTATTGTTCACAAAACATTAATCTCGAGCCAAATGGTTCATCTTTTTGCATATACAATGAATGCACCATCAAATTTGACAAATATCAATGAAAAACATCAGAGATATTACAAAGACTCAGAGATCGAAAGAAATAAAATAATGATCATGATAACGCCTTCATCATGGCGACTACATCCCACCGATGCTGTGATAAAAAGGAACAAAAAATGCTTCTCTCACCAGACCATACAGAAATTGTAAATTGTAATGAAAAAG